CGGCGAGCTACTCAACGGAAAGAGCGAGGAGGTGAAGAGTCAGCTCATGGGGCTCATGAAGCCACTGCTGCCCCCGCCACCCAGAATCGTGGATGTGATACGCCAACCTCCTCTGCTTCCGAGCTCACCAGCCAGCGCAGGCTTCTGGTCGCAGCCCACCACACCTTCAAGTGCTCCTGCCCCAGTCGACGCTTGGAGGATTCTGCCTTCCAGCCCGAGCGTTGTGACAACCTCTGCAGAGTCGGGTATGCCTGCCATCTGGGCGAACATGGGCATGAGCGAGGCTTCGCTCTCCCCCCAGACCCCATCTTACAGTCAACCTTTCTCTTCGGCCGGGTTCTTCTACAGCTCGCCAGTCGCAACGGCGCCTATCCCATCCATCCCTCAATTGCCCCTGCCTAGCATGCTCACGCAACAATGTGGTGTAAGCGTTGGGTACGGCGGCTTTGGGTGGGATCACAACCGGTATCAGGAGTATACGACAACCATGTGACAACCATCAACAGTCAGAGGAGACAATCAGTCTGGCCCAGCGGCTACGTCTTCCTAGCAGTTGTCTTTCCTAGGACGTCTCCTTTCCAGGTAGCCTCTGGGACAATCTCCTACCGGACAGGACACCCTTGCTCCCTTTGTCGTCACCGAAGAAAACACCCCCCAAAAAGACTGGCATCTGGGCAGAGCTAGAGAGACACCTCACAGAGTTCATCACATGTCAAAGGCACATCGGCGTTTTGCATACCATGGAGCAGGTTCGGGTACACAACAACATTGTCATCACTCCACAGGCATACGGGTTCTTGGGTTTCCTCTGTACAGCGAGCGAGCGTCTGTCTTTTTTTCCTTGTTTTTTCTTTTTCCCGGAGTTTTGCGGTTTTCAGGATACCACCACCAAACAAAGGCAACCGCAAGCTCGGTCACACGCTCTCTCCATATCATCTCCTCATTGCGACTGGGTCCGGGGTGGAAATTTGGATTGCATTTTCGGGCGAGGCAGGAACTGTCGCAATATAGGGTGGCCTTTCTTAGTCTTGTTTCCTTCGGTGGTTTCTTTTTCTTGTCCTTTGCGTCTGACAATAAGAGGAACATGCAGCAATGCACTACAGCCCGGCAAGAAAGGACCGGGACAGAACTTCTGGATTCCTAACTCCTCTTCTCTATTTGGATTTTCTCGGCGGCAAAAAAGGCTCCTTTATATGATACCCCCATACGCAACGTGGTGTGCACTCACCACAAGCACTCGCTTTCAACATCACAATCCTTTGGACCTGGATTTCTTTTCTCTTTTTCTCATGTACGATTTCACGACCTTGGATGACGGATACAACCACCACCTAACGAGCTTGGAACAACGACCATTTCACGAACGATGACAAGCGCTCGGCTTGACGCTGGGGCTCACGACTTCTTTCGAAACGAAACGGCACGAACGACACAGCAAGGGTGGCGGATTATTCGATGCCAACAACTTGATCACTGGACTGGATTCCGTGGGGACTTGTGGCACACCAAGGCTGAAGAGGAAAAGACGACGTCGAGCCGAAGACCAACAACAATATCCGGAATATTGCGAGTCGGAAGCACAAGTGACACTGGATGTCGTCGACGGGAGAGCCCAGGCCTCTGCCCCCGACAGATCGGGGGCAGGAAGGAATTGGAGGCTGTATGGGGAGGCCAACAAAGCACGAACAAGAGCTGGGCACCAAGCAAACGATGGCACTCTGCTGCGCAGGAACGTGAGCGAAGCCAAGTCTATCTCGACGTCATTGCCGTCTACAACTCGGTTTCACGAGGGTAATGGGCTTAACAACATTCCTGCCGCCATCGTGATTGTCGTCGGACCCCTTAGTGTGAGGAACGAGACCTTGTTCACTTCCTGCTAGTTCAGGAGAATACTGGGATCCGACCCACTGAGGGGGCGGGGTTTTGTGCAAGCAAAATGTCCCTCGACCATGACGCGGTGGCGAAAGTGCCAGTTTCTGGGCCGAGTTCGAGTTGGAAAAGCGAAGCCAAAAAAAAATTGTAGCTCATTTCACTACATGTTAGCCTGAGTCGTCCCAGCCCTCAAAAGCCTCTATGTGAGTTGAGTGTTAAGTCCTCCTCGGTACCAGGCTCTAGAGGAACTGGGAGGATTCAGGGAACGGCAGCTGACGTGAGGCGATGTGGTTGATCAGGGGAACGGGTCTTCCCCTGCGACCTATTTTGTTCGCCTCCGTGGGCATGAAATGCTGGATGTGATTGATGGTGTGGGATCCGCCCCGGCGGCGAGAATCTCGAGGCGCCATTAACTTGGTTGGCCTCATGCTCTTTTGTCCTCTGTCTAGTAGTTAATTTTAACAATCGAGCAAAAGTCAAAAAAAAAAAATGACCCTCTAGAATCCCGTTCCAAAGTGATGCCGCGGCTGGCAAGGCCAAGACCCTGAAGGGCCACCACGCGCAGGATATGCTAGTGAGATCGTCACCTGATTCTCTTGTGCTGCCTCATACATGTACAATCTACTTTTACCTCTCGGACTGTTTCCGTCAATATCTCGACCACTGGCCTTATGAATCGCTGATGTAACCAACACTAGGCCCGCACAGGAGTGGTCGCGGCCAAGAGGTGGCATGACTTGGGGCCAGCGAATGCGATGGCACCTTGACTGCGGCTGGGGCTTGATGCCTATGTAATGTGCGCGTCTGTGACTTCTTTGCGTGACGCGGACGGGGGGTGGGACAGCGTCCAGGACCGCGTCCAAGCTGCGTGCAGATGGAAAGTCTGGTACGGCGCAACCTCATCTCACCCATCGTGCCCCTTGAAATTTTCTTTTTTTTTCTTATTTGTTTTTCGCTCGGACCCGACGCCCTTTACCTGTCTTTTCTCCCTCGGCCGGCATGTTATGATGCCATCCAGGGGTGGCACCGTCGTTTTTACTGGGTTAATATTGGCAATAATGCTTATATCGTGCAGTAGTTCGAGCTTCCGTCAAAAGTCAACCAAGGCATCATCAACGGCATCCTTTCGCCAGGGGGTGTCTTGTCTGACGGGCCACGGATAATCAGGATTGCCACATGACGGCGAAAGAAGAGACAGGGACTGTCATGGTACAGTTTACGGGATTTTTGAAGAAAAAGCCCTCACCCCCGCGCTCCCGCGCCTCCTCTTCGTGCTACCCTCCTCTTGGCCGCTCCTCCGCCGAGTTCTTCCAGAATCTCTCTATTTTCCCCACCCCCTGGTCTGTACCACGGCGGGAAGTAAGCAGGTAAAAGTAAGTAAAACGGTCATTGTGGGCCCACAAGAGCAAAGCAAGAAGAGCAGGAGAGCAGGGTGGTCTCGCCCGACAGATCGGGCATGTCAGCAGCTCGCGATTTGACCAGTCGGGATGCCGGTGGGAACCAAGAGCAATCTGGTCCTCGGCACGCCGCGTCGATCAATCTGGGGTTCGTCCATGGGCTGGACAGGTGACAGGGAAGCCTTGAGCCAGGCCCCTGTCCTGGCCCTGCGATGCCGGCGATTTGTGCGGCTTCAGACGGGTCTTGTTCGTCCTCGACCATGCTCCCTCCGCACGTTGGACCCCCCGTCGTCTGCCTTCGACTCAACATGCTGATCAGCCGAGCTGAATGCTGTGCTGTACTGTGCCTCAACGGTTGAACCCCAGGGATCACTTGGGTCTTGACTGGTATGGAGAAAGGCTGCAATGCGTGGGACCGAAGGACGAGAGCCAGCAGTCCAAGCAAGGCGACAAGGTTGGGCCTAAGGCGAGAGGACGACTCGCGGATGCGACCGTTGCAACGAGTACGACACCGAGGGGAGAAAGGCTCGGGAGCACAAAAGGAGCTTTTGGCTTTCTCGGGCGCGGGAGGCTCGGTGCAAGGTTTGCGGCCCAATCCCTGGTAGTGACGATACAGAGAACACACCTGCGATCTAGTCTAAGCTTGCCTTTGCCCGCATTATTCCCGCGTCCTCCCAGCACGATCTGGCATCGAAGACATCGTAAAACGCGGCGCATGCTATCTAATGTGCAAAAGCATATCTTTTACCAAGGGATCGTTTCTTGGTCCGCACCTGGGGTGTCAGTACACCCTCCTCGTTCCTCAGTGATTGTGCGCACAACCAACGTCTACAGCCCGCGTACGTTCTCCCGCCAAGGTGGCATTCGGAGTCCGCGGTGCAGTAGCGCCGCAACCATTATGTCAATCACGCTCTACTGCAGGTCGAGGGCAGGGCTGCGGCTGAGCAGCGCCTCTGACCGAGGCCACTCAGATCTCTGAGACGACGGGCAGGTCACATGAAGGGCTGTTGGCCTTCGAGGCATGCGCAGCTCAACACCAGGCGTAGGTGGGCCTGCGGACGACCGGTGCAGATTGATATCGCACAGCAGCGGCTCAACTTCCCAAAGTATGTGCTCGGGGAAGGACGATGGAACCCTCGGCTGGGGCGGGCTACACTACTCTCTTCAGCGAAGAGGGTGTAACGTCTGTCTGACTTGCATGGCGTCGCGGAGACACACGGCTAGTAGTGCTGACAACCTTCGGTGAGACAGGCCACGACTAATATACCGGCTTATCATGCGGTTCCAAGGCGACCAGTTTTGAATAAGTGATCGACAGGCGACTATCAGTGAGACGGGGTGAGCCTTGGCTCAACCCACCTGTTCGGGCCCCTTTTCGGTCGCGGGGTGACCGCAGACCAGTCGGTCCTCCCACTTCCCCTTCGGCCTGGTCTGCTGTCGCGGTGCCGCCTGGGTGCATATCAGCTTGCTGTCCTCGCTACCAATTTACCTACACGGCCGCTTGGTCACCTGGTACCGGTACTTCAGGTCGCACGTGAACAAGCAGGTCCCTCAGGACTGTCTGAAATCCTTGGGCCACTGATCCGGACTACGCCGCGCACCAGGGGGCAAACTCCGCCGGCGACTATGCGGCGCGGACGTCCACGATGAGACACACACCACGGACAGTGCTGTCGATGACACCATCAAGGACGTATGTGGCCATGCGGCACAACTAAGCTCTACGCCGTCATGCAGGAAATGAGGGGGGCCGTTTCCAGAGTTGCCTGGCTCCCGCTGTCTGATCAGTGGGCGGATGACGGAATGGCTGGGACGCCCTCTGTACATTACCTGTTCATGCAGCTGCGTGTCAGCGCGCTGAGTCCAGTGGACTACCAAGAGCCAGTCGGATTTTCGGCCTCTGATGGGTCAGCGAATTGGGACAAGAAGATTACCACGGCTTAATCAGATGGGGCGTCTTGCGATCTTAGATACCGGAGCTGTCAGGATCCTATGTAGCGTGTGTGCGTATATGGACCATGAATAACGTAGATAGTTATCGTCGCAGGCATTTTCAATCATATGTGTCCAATTCTACCAATGATTCCAATGGCAAAGCCCTAGGATTACGAACAGACGATGAGTGATATGTTGGGTACGCTTCCTGTCAATTCCAACATACCATGACAGTGCTTGCAAGAGCGAAGCTTTCTGTTGACGCATCCGGTTGACATACCTGGGCTCTCAACACCGAAGAATCCGGAGCTGGTTGTACAGAACTTGCATTGACGGGAGCTGTCCGGCAGATAGGGAGGGCGGCACAAGAAATCTCAGCGGGACTCTCCGACAATTATCAAGATAACCTCAAGGGCTTTGATTGTCAAAACAGTGGCACGCGGTCTTGTAATTAGACTATAGTTAAGGTAAGCATTCTATTCCAAATGGTAGTGACTAAAAGCCATCTAGCTCACTTTCTAGGGTGATTATAATAGGGCCAAGAGGCTTTATCTTGAAATTACCAGGATTCTGGGACGGGCCTTCTGAATATATAGGCTTCCTCAGCTTTCAGTGAATGAATGCTAAATTTCTTCAGATATTCATAATGTGGGTAAGAGACACTCCAACATCGTTTTGGCTCAGCTTCAAGAGCTATGCTTCCATCCGTTCTATCTCCTCAACTTTCCATGAAGCTTCATACGTCATGACATATACATATATACTGGTAAGATATTACCCATAGCTAGGAATGTTAGTTGACCCAGTAGCAATGTAACCATCCGGCGGAAGGAAATACAACGATCGAAAGGTCTCGATCATCAAAACATTCGAATAGACCCGAATATAAATGATACCGCTGCCATGGGCCACACACTAAGAATTTGTAGTTTCCTGTCCCAGAAGCCAGGTCTCTTTCGATCTGAACTGAGTCGCATTAACAAGACCATGACTGCAAGTATCAGCAGCGGGATCACGGCGGTAGCTATTGACGCGATCTGCCATGCCAATCGCTCACCAGCAGTCGGAAACGTAAACTCCCACGCGATCAGGTGAAATGCACCAAAAATGGCCAGCCCTAGCAACGTTCACACGTCGTTATTCGCTGAATCGTGAGGCGTACACCTGTAAGGAATCGTGTAACTGATGAGCATGCCTCCCCACCACCACCTTGCCCGGCCCTCTTTGCCTATTGCAAGGATGTCTTCTCTCGAAGCGCGCCGTAGAGTCTGCGTGGTGATCGGAACCCCGACATCCTTCGGACAGGATCACTGGAGTATGTAAGTGAAGACCGCGCAGACGGCATAGGCCAGCGCCACCGCCTCGCTTTGACTGGTCGATATGCCCTGGGCTCATCGGGAACGGATAGCAGCTATCAGCTGCGCTGTCTGTACGAGTGCTAGTGTGGTAACGAGACTGTTACTCTTGTTCTTGTCTTGAATATGCCGCTCCGTGACTTTCGGCAAGGCAATCAAACCCATCTCAGCCGCGAGCCACAGCTGCTTTGCGTTAAGAACCCATTCATCCCCGCATAGGGCGTAGAAGGGCGATTTCGCCTATTTGTCAAGCTTTATGAAAGCCCATTCTCCCATATGGCCTTCGGCAGCTAGCGAATTAATGATATCACGATGATCTGGCCGTGATTCCCATTCAAAGCCGCCCAAAAAAAGAAAACTCTTTCCAAGTAGAGGACAAAATGTGTCAGGGTGGGATGTTCAGAATAGGCCGTGGTCTGCTCTGTACCAACTGAACCCCGGATGTTCTCCGTGTCTTTTTCCGTGTTTTTGGGTTGCGTGGAACCGTCGTCTTGTTGAATTTGGGTGGGCATTTCGTCGTTTGAGTCCCTTATTTCTTGAGATGGTTGATTCTACCCCGCCGAACTCTGAGAAGAACCATCAACGGTGGGGGGCTATAGACTCTCCTGCTGTCCCTAACTCCTCCGATTCGGTAACGGCCGGGTGTCCTATATCTATTTCTTCCCGTATCCGGCGATCGGTCTCAGGCTTATCAAGCACAGGCAAAATCTTTTCGTCCTGATCTGGAGATGTAGGCCATGACAAGTTCCGGAAGTCGACAACGAAGCCTCCAAGATCGGCAAGCATTGTGTGAGAAAACGTCCATGACTTCAGCTGTTGCTGGAAGGACTCCGCCGCCGTGTCCCCTCCACTTTCGATGATTCCGTTCCCTTTAGTCGCTTGACCCCGTGCGCGCATGAAGCCACTGAGTGCCTTCCCCAGCACGTACTCAGGCAGAACGAGGGTATACAGCATCCAAGCCACTTTGATAACCCCCGGGTACGATGTCCTTCCCACTTCACGAAGCCATGATCTGAATCTCGTGCCGGGAGTCTCATTGAACTGCTCCGGTACGTTTGGCACGATGATCTACCAAGTGCACAAAAGAATTATGGCGAAACAGCTCCAGACAATTTGGAGTGTTCCACGTATGTTGGGCCCTTTCACGAAACCGCTAGTAGCAGGGAGGGTACAGTTCGGATGGAATGTCCGCATATCATAGAAATATGACGAACATACTATAGATGGTCATCCATAGTAGAGCATTTAAGTTGCTATTTCTTGACAGGTAAAGGGATAAGTAAATTCAGATCGAAGAGAAAAAGTTATGCGAGGTTAGATTTGTGGAGGGCCTCGTCCTGCTATTCCCTTATCGGGCGTCATTGCCAGGTGGTTGGGTGAAGAGTTGCTGACCCCGTCTCTGTTTCCACTTCAGCCCTCAGCTGAAACTCTTGAGCCAATCAAGACCAGGGTGTTTGACGCAATGAGATCCCTTTATCGCCGTACTGATCGCCTCCGCCATCGTTGCTTCTGTCGATTGCAGTACTGAACGCCTTTCTCACAGCCGCCAACAAGTTTATGTGATGGCATCCAGGAGGAGTTGACAGCAGGCAAACCTCAAAACTATTTATGTTGATCTATACAATTCACTATGGATGTTATAGATGAATAATTTCTTTTTGAACAGTCTCAGCCTGACGGTGGGACCTGAGAAGGCAATCGCTATTGATGTGCACTGGCTGCGCAGAAGCTAAGTAGCGCGGAGCTGGCTATCGAAGGCCTCAATGTCACAATGAACAGAAAGAGAAATACCTCCACAATGGTCAATATCCAAAGATTGGGCGTCAGCTGATTCAACAGGACTTTGATTACCGGTCGTGCTCTTCAATGACTTTTTACTTGCGCTGGTGGAGCTTCTCTTCGATGTCACTGTCTGGAACCGGCGCTCGATATTCTACGGGATCAGATAATTACGGCACTTCTTGAAATTGGATTGGATTTATTATTGAACCCATCATAACTCAGAACCCAAAACGAATATCACCTGGGAACCATTGTGTGCCGTGGCTAAGGAGCTGCAGCAGTTCTCATGTGAGCGAGAGAAGTGGCTCCCGACGTCAAGCTTTGGCACAACTTCAAGAACAATAGTGTCTTGAATTAGACGATGATCAACTATGTACAGAGCGCTTCGGTGCCAAAAGAGTCCAAGTATTAGATACGCAAAAAAGTACATGGCTTTTGTCGCCAAGTCTGGCGGATCCCAAGAGAGATCGCAAGTATACAATCCATTCGTCAACGGAGTGTTCAGAGTCTCAGACTCATTGGAGAGACGCACCCAGAGAAGCCTATATCAAAAGTTTTCAAAGACACCCTCGAGTGTATTTGTACTGAGTCTCCTACTCTGAGTAAGGATAAAACGTTGTGGTCGGACTTCATCAAGCGGATGGGGTCTATAACGCAGGAGATATAATGGGCGACCGATAAACCTGGGGCTAGCAAATCGACCTCTTTGAAGTTTGTGACCAGCCATAAGAGAACTTCATCATCACTCAACTTAGTAGACTGCCACACAACTTTAACTATTCCTGGAACAAAGGAAACCCCGTTCAGAAGACAGATTTGCTTGTTTAATATTGTGGTCAAACTTGACCATTCCATCCACTTTTCCAAAAAGTGAAAGTCTGATTATGTGTAAGAAAAGTTTTTGCAGTAGGACTTTATCAAAACATTCAGGGTGGGGCCCAACTTTGCTTCGATTCTCTCGCACAAGGTGCCACTCAAACATTTCGATGCTGCTACAATCATGGCCATATTCACATGTTTGCGAAAATATCAACCTCGGCACGGTGTATTTGACTGTTACACAACATTTGAAGTCGCAAACAATTTAACCAGTGGCTCCATAAGTACCATCTGACAAGGTACGACAGTTGTGTGTGCCTAATCTCCAAATCCTCCGCCGAGACCTTCGTGTTACCATGCAAAGGATTCCGTGTGTGGCAGGCGTATTAAGTCTCACGTCGTCACCGATGGTCGCATAGGTCCCGGAAACCCAATGGCTGTTTCGCGCGGGTGCGACCGAAGACGTATCGGAGACATTGCCAGGTCTACCTCGTGATTCGGGATCGAGCGCGTTGCACAATGTCCCACAGACGGACTCAAGGATTATTTCATATGTACGGGGCCAATGGGATAGATGAGTATTGAGACATATGACCGCGACAGCGGCCGCTTGCATGTTTAACGCAGTTCATACCTCGGCGGTCCTTTTGATAGCGCCGGCTTTCTTGTAGGTTATGAACTAGCTCGATCGACAACTCCTGCACAGCTGCAGAACCAGAAGGGGTCGGCTGCTCAAGTGCGTGTAATATTTCGGATTACTATCAACCGGCACACAGGTATTGTTTCGGCCCATCTGAGCAACACGGGTTGGTCTGGATTGTGTGGAGGACTCTCGGGGTCATTCTAAAAGCCAAAGAAATTTCGTTGGTCAGTTTCCCATCCCTTAGTAATTGATGAATTACGAAATGTATCTGTACTCAAGGTGTACTAGTCTCGTCGAGGTGCCGCAAGTGGTTACTGTAGAAGTCGGGACTCGTCGATCACACATTCAAGACTAGATAGGTAGGTTAGGGGTTGACGGATCAAGCTGATAGTGGGTGCGGAAGGTAAGAAAAATTTCCGAATTAAAGAAGATGGAGGATGCCACATTCCAAATAATCGCTGGACTTGAAAAGTATCAAAATAAAATTTCAAAATGTTGCTTAAGGATCATGCCTACTCTGTCTGCAACTGGCTCTGTTCCCTTTCAATCCACTACAACCTCATTCTCGTTAATTACGATACTCGAGAATGCTCTTTCTTACTAGTAAAAGCCTGAAATACTCGATAGGAGGTCCTTTCATAGTTATCGGAAGTTCACGTGCCGCCATTGTCTGAACCAAGCCTGAATAGATCTGATACTGCCAAATTTTACCTACCAAGATAGTTTCTTCAAAATGCGGCTCCTTCTAGTGCGTTAAAGTCTGGCGAAGTTACCTAGAATTCGTCTCTTAGGCCGCTTCTATCTAGAGATTACTCGAAAGTTCAGGCAAGCCGAGCTTCCTACAATCAAGTAATGGATTTTGACCATATACGACGATCACGATGTGATGGAGCTCAATAAATAGGATAGCTGATGTCATCCTACCCAAAAGAAATGTCTTCAAGGCAGGTCGGGCTGCCCGAACTTTGCGGTCTCTGGTCTGCTCTCACCAACCGATTATTTGGGACCCATACACTCGAGGTTTTACGTCAAGCAAGCTTAGCTCTCGAAGTACACCGGGGCACTCAGTACGTTTACTTGAAATTTGTAGACCAAACAGTGACCCTCTCCACACGGTGGGTCGTGGAAGAAGAGACCCGAGTAAGCACTCTTGAGAGTCGCACGAACTTTTTCGGCGGACAATCGCGGAGGAAAAATAAGTGAAATAGAGGTAAAGAAAGGGGAAAATAGGAAAAGAAAAGTGAAGTGCCCTCCACCCAGAGAAGAGAGGAAGAAGTGAAAGGAGGGATCCCCAAGAATGAAAAACATACGGTGCCTTTCGGCCAGTCTATACATACACACAGAGATATACACAGCGAGTTTATTAGTAATAGAATTTGTTGAAAAGACAGTCTGTCGCCAAATTGGGCCCTCCAAATTGTCCGAGAGGCTGAAGAGCTGCGACAAGAACATTCGGTCTAAGCGACACAGCAGGACAATAGAAGAGAATTGCATTAAGGAAAGGATGCCCTTGGGTGCGTGATAAGGCACTATCGACTATTCTTCCATACACAGACTTGAGCATGGATTCTGTCTTTCGCGTAACCGCCGCAGACTGACAGGTCCGGGTCACTTCATGACTTGAGTGAAGCAGAGCAGAGAATGGTAGCAGAGTCGTTGCGGGCGAGTGACAGCAAATTAGTACAGCAAATTAGTATTCAGCGATTCAAGCTTCCGGGCTCCTAATGCTGCGAGAAGTTAGATGAAGCGACAAGGAGCAGTGTTCTAGACCCAGACGTCTCCAGACGCAAGGCCGAGAATAGAAGAAATGTGCGACCGTCGAAATCATGAGCCAGTTAGCCCGTAGTCAAGGAGACGATGGACTACCCTCAACCCGCATCAGAAGTCTCATTGAACAAAATGAATTCGTCACATAACTAAGATATACAACAAGACAAGGCTCAAGAAATAAAGCCCCCATTCCTTCCCCTAACGATTACCCAAGTCTATGTGTTTTTGTCCGTCGCAACACCCAGTAACACAAAGTCTATAAGCCCGCCTGACGCCCGATCAAAAAAGCCACCAGACTTTGGGATATCAAGCATATGTATTACACTGCACCACGCCGGGCAAACTGTAGCCCGGACCAGGAGCCTTTTCCCTTTCTCCATTACTCTCGGGACACATCACGTCCGAAGACCTTGGACTTCGCCCAGTCGTTGAGGACCAGGAGACGGTTTCGAGCTAAGTCGCAAGTCAGTAGATGATCATGATATGCAAATTGGGGGGTTGGGCACTTACTGCTGAAGCACATTGAGAGATACGCGCTCCTCCAAAACAGGTACGTCCAGGTACCGCCAGATGCAACATTGCCGTTAAACCAAGCAACATCCGCGACGGCCTTCTCACTGCCAATGTATGCCAAGCTGCCCTGGTGCGAGTAGTGGAACGGCTTGATGTCCTTGATACGGCGCAGTTGCCTCTCGTAGTCCTCGATCTGCTTCGATGATTCGGCCGCATTACCTGGCTTGAGGTTCAGCGAGGACGAGAGCTCGCGAATCTTCGTCTCCAGCTCCTCCGTCTTGGCCATATTGTTGAAGAGCTTGGCCAGGAAGGTACCCTCCTGTGAGGCTACTTGGGCGGTGGGCGCGTATCCGGCGACTGCGCAGTCACCCACGGCCCAGATGTCACGGGCTCCCTGCACGACAAGGTACTCGTTGACGGCAAGGCCGCGACGAGAGTCCTTCTGGGCGACAATGCCTGTCATCAGATCCTTGACGATGGGCCGGACGGCGTTGCCCGTGGCCCATACCAGTAGGCCGTAGGGGAAGCGCACGCGCTCCTTCTTTCCATCAGGGCCAACTGCTTCCGCCTCAACGTACTTGTCGGTGACGTTCTTGACCATTGTCTTGGTCCTGATATCGATCTTTTCCTCCTTGAAGGTGCTTTCGGTGTAATCGATCAGCTGCTTGGAGAACGAGGGCAGAACGTTGGGCAGGGCCTCGATCAGCGTAACCTTGAAGCGATCGCTGATGTCCGGGATAAGTCGCTTGATGTCCTCCTCGAAGAAGTCCTGCAGCTCGCCAGCGAACTCGACACCGGTTGGGCCTCCACCGACAACAACCATGTGAAGGAGCCTGTTGATCTCCTCAGGGTCCTGGTCCTTGAACGCAGCCGTTTCGACACAGTCCATGATCTTCTTGCGGATCTGCTGGGCGTCACCAATCTCCTTGAGGAAGCACGAGTGCTCGCGAACGCCAGGGATTCCGAAGGTGGCGTTTTCAGCCCCGACACCAACAACCAGCATGTCATAGGGGACCTCAGTCTCGTTGACAGTGCCCTTGATCTCGGAGTCATCCTTGATTTTGACGACCTTACGCTCGGCGTCGATGGAGTGGGCTTCAGCTTCGTAGTATTTGACGGAGGCCTTCTTTGACTGGAGGATCGTGCGCACGGGCTCCATGATGGAGCGGTGTTCGATAGTTCCGGTTGTACATGAAGGGAGCAAGGGGGTGAAGAGGAAGTAGTTTCGGGGCGAGATGACGACGACGTTGTAGTTCTCGGTGTCGAGCTTCTTGAGGAGAGCAACAGACCCCCAGCCGGTACCTGGATAGGCGCAAGGGCGATAGGATTAGCGATGCACGGCGCGAGCCATTGACGGCAGCAAGACAGTATGTGAGCTTACCCAGGATCACGAGTGTCTTCTTGGAGGGGTCAGGAGTGATCTGAGGCAGCGGGTGCCTGATATCCCAGACCTCGTAGCTAACATAGGCGAGGGAGCCGAGAACGGAGAGGTAGACCAGGCGCCATGTCCACCTGAAAGTCCTCCTGATCTTTCCTGGCTTCTTGGGCGGAGGAGCAGATGACTCAGAGTACTGCCTTTGGAACTGACGAGTGATGGGGCGTATGCTGCCGGCAGCAAGAGGCCGACTGGAGGATGCCGTGGCCAAGGAGCGAGTCGAGGAGGTGAGGATGCGGGATGCGACAGCGTGCTGCTGCTGCATGCGAGCGACGCCGAACTGTCGGGTCGCGAGCTTGTTCAGCGCCAGAGCTCGCGAGGAGGAAGCCATGGCTTCAATTTCTAGGGGAGGTTGGGGCAATTGCTGGGCTGTAGGCTCTAGAAATGTGGTTCTAGGAGAGATATAAGAAATTGGTCTAGGAAATAGGAATCTAGGTGGCTGCTGAGATGATGAAAAGCAAAGGAATGCGAGGTGGTGGGGGTCGGAGGTGGACTCCAGAGCTGAGAGCGCGTTTTTTCTGCCAGCTTATCCGATAAGATGGAGCTTTTGCAAGCTTCCTGCCCTACTCACGGCCGTCAGTCACCCATCATCATCTAGTCTATTTAGACTATCTATTTATTTTTTTTACTAATCCCCGCGACACTGCAGCATGCCCAGTTCCCACTGCCAGCAGCAGAACAGGGAAAGCAAGCCCGTCAAGCACGTGCGCATCTTCAATTGCCATTCGCCCGGTGTCCTCACAATCCACCCGAGCGAGTCATTTGTCAACCGAGGGCTGCGATGCTGTTTGTGCATCTCACGAGACAGTAATGTAGAGGATCGAGGATCTGTCCGTCTGACTTGAGGTAGTGGGATAAGCATGAGATAAGATTAGCGACGCCTCAACGCGGTCGGTCTTGCTGTACTACTACCCAGTACTGTGGGTTGTGGCTCTGAAATGACGCATGCGAGAGACAGACACACAGAGACAGTGACCCAGAGCTGTGGTTCATCCCCACCAGGGGCACGCGCCTACGGACCTTCGGCTTTGCCTTGTCATGATCGCATCGGACCTCATCTCGAACATGTGTCAGACACTCTCCATATGCCTGTGTGCCTGGCTGGCGGTGTAATATTGACATATGATTCTCCGACCCTATCTAATCCAACATTCCTGCTCTCGGCTTTCCGCCGGGTCATCTCGGCAACCTCCCCCGACTGCGTACCCACAGTTCCGGCATTCAGCGACCGAAGGCTTCGGGCGTTCATCGGCAAATTGTGGAGCTGCCTCTGAACGCCGAGCATCAGATGAACCTGATCCATCAGGTCAACAAGTGAGCATAGCGTCTCTTCTAAAAGTACTCCAGAACGAAGTTACATTTATTGTGGCTATACATGTGCGGTCTGATCTTTCTTTGCTTAAGCGAAGGGACTCCCAAGAACTATGTCTCGGGGCTGCAAAACTGGTGTAGAGGCTTTGGCGAAAAGGCTGTCGAAAGGTTGAAGGCAGAATGCTAAGCATGCCATCCTGTGAAGGGCACGAGACGTGAAAGCTCATTACTTTGGCATTATGTTCCATTCTGATGGTGTTACTCATCAGGCAGGACCTAGCCTTCCCTCTGTTGGGACTCCTTGGGATCCTACTGAACGAGAATACAACTCGAGCCGAAATCCCACCCCTTGAGAGATGATCTCAGCCGGCTAACCACTTCCTGCCGTGTGGAGATGTTTCTGCCCTGTGACCAGCGTGCTGGGTGGTGGATGACGACGCGGCTCGCACAGCTTCCCCCTATTATGGCATCTGTCCGTGTTTCTGCTCGGACTGAGGCCGTGTCGATAGGGCTGACCCAGCCATTCCTGTCTCGCATATCTAAGCAAGACAACATGCATACCTTCCAGCCTGGAGCAGGTCCACAATTGCAGTCGCGCGCGTCTAGGCCACGATCTGTTCGGAGTTGATTACCTTCGATGCATGTTGATCCAGAAGAAAGAAACGAAGTACGCAAGCCTCTACTGTGGTCTCCACTTCACGGGGCCCACCATTATGCCGATATCTTGTAGTCCAGCTGTTCTGCTGCGGCTGAGCAGAGCCCCATCAAGGTACTACATTCTATAGCACAGGATGGAGTGTCGCTCCCTGCCCCTATAGTTGGGCGCCACACGCTGTAAACGACCAGGAGACGACATGTCCATACCAAAGACCAAGAAAGATGGCCATCGTGCTGGGAATGCACAGCCGGCAGTGAGAGACCGGCAGTAGCAACCTGGGAGGATGGATCATCCGGAAACGCTCTCCCAAGCCTATTTAACGAGACAACAGGTGCGATGCTAGGCTCTAGCAACAGTGGCATATGGCCGGCAATTCCGATCTGGTCAAGAAAGCTTCCAGAACATCCGTCAAATCAAGTCGATACACGTGAACACATCTGCGGCTCTTACAGTGATGGTTCCCGCCTTTTGGCAACACATGGAAGCCATGACTGATCGCTAGGGCATGAAGTGCCAAAGCTTAGACATCGCTGGCGTTATTGGTTGCAGGGGATGCTACGAAGCTTCTTGGTCGGAAAAAAAAGCACTTTGCCCTTGTCCATGTCTGGGCACGGAATATTCTTTGGAACCTGCAGGAGCCTGCGGATCTCATCTTTTACGCGACGATTACCCGATGCGACATTGTGCGCGGAGCACGTTTGGGCGTAGCTTTCGTTTTCCCTAAACGGGTTAAGGCACGCCGTCGTGATCTCGCTGGGTGTCCAAGTAGACACCAAAAGCCCGGTTGTCTACTTGATGTTCTCTTATGACTCCAAACCTTTTATGGCTCGCATTAATTCACGGCAGGGCCGACAGAGCAGGTCCAGACAGCCTCGCCAAGAAGGAAGGTCTGTTAATAAAATTGGCTTCTTTAGAGCTGGCTCTGAAGGAAATCGGTGGTTTCGAGGCCGGACTAGGCTGACCAAAACTGACCCGTTTGCTTGGAAGGAGGGCCGGTCCTACTTTAAGAATGACAAGAACCCTAAAGGTTCGGCCAAACAAGCGTGCTCGGCGCCCATGAGGCCAAGGCTGGGAGACGACAATACTTAGATGGGCAATGGCAATGACTAGTGTGAGCGGAAATGAATGATTGCCGCGCCCGTATTCCAGTGTTTGCCCAGACCAAATGACATGCGGCTTGGCCGATGGGGCGCCAGAGAGATATGACTTTGGGACTGCAATATGCCGAACATACCAATGTCAAAGTGCGACTGGCCGCAGAGGCTCCTATGACTTGGCTTTGCGATATTGAATCGCTGGCCGGGATGACCAAGGGCTGCCAAGGTTTGATGAACTAGCATTCAACGGGACGGTCAGGCACAGAGAGGGCAGGACGACATTGAAACAACCAAGACGTGACAATGGCAAAGTGACTTCCAAGAGTGAGATGACAAGGCAAACACAAGCAAATAAGCATCTCGTACCCGAGGGCCGCAGGCTCAGGATGGACTTGGCTCGTGGGGATGGACGGCGGGATCTGAGAGAGTGGTCTTGGACGGATTGGCAGCTCCTCGGCTTGCGGCCTTGACTGCTGGCTTGTTGTGCTGATGAGACTCGCATGCGATGAGCCGATCAGGAGAAGGCCTGGACTCTGAGGCTGAGGCCGTCGCGCTGAGGCCAACAACAAAGTTTCCGGATCCGGGCATGCACGAGAGAAGACGGATGAATCGGCCGTGGAACTTCATCCGAAAAATATGTGCTGCCCTCACTGATGTAAGGGGGTAGGGGCGAGGGGCCAGGAGCCAGGGGTTTTCGAGCATTGCCATGGCTGAGCAGGTTCCAGGCAGGGGTGGTGTTGGTGGAGAAGGACAATGATCTACAGCAGAGGCACTGGGGGGGGGGAACTAGAGTGAAGTGAGGTGAAGAAAAGGCGGGAGACGCAGCGCAGACGCAGCAGAGACGCAGCAGACGCAGACGTCAGTCCAGCTGTGCAGCCATCGAGCATCGAGCCTCCGACGGCACTAGGCCAAGGACGGCTAAGCGCCTCCCGGGACGCCCTTGTCCTGAAACCAGTTGTGCCCGTTTCTGAGACACTTGCACGCTCCACTCCGTTCCGTAACAGCAGCCGCACTCGACCTCACCTCACCTCAACCAGCTGGCTCTGCCTGGACTTTGCCTGGCAATGCCCTGCTTTGTGCCCTTTGCCTTGCCTCACAACACCCCACTTCACGTCGCTTCACTTCACCTCACCTAACGTCCGTCCGTCCGTCTTGCCCCGTCCTGCCCTGCCCTGCCCTGTGTTTGAGGACCTCCCCAGCCCTCCCACATCAACCACCGCCGGCCAGCACAATGTCAATGCGTCGCCCACCATCCCTAGTTACCGTCCGGTATGCACGCCCAGCACTGAAGCGTCACCCTCAGTCACAGGAGCGCCATGTTTGCCCATGTTCGTGCTCGTGTGTGTGCTTGGGCTTCGTCCGTCTGAAAATCCAGGGACCATCGCATCGCATCGCATCACACCCTATGGCATCGCGTCCTATAGCATCGTATTGTATCGCACCGCACCAGCTTCGACACATGCTACAGAGTGTTGCTATGGTATCGTATCTGTGTGTGGCCTCCCCTCCGCCTGAACAGCAGCCGCAGGCGCATGGCCGCCACTTGACCCTTGACCGCCCTTGCCACTTACTTGCTGCTTGCTATGTCCAACTTGCTACAAGCCTGCTACCGAACCGAGGTTTTCGACTCAGCGCGACCATACTGTGCACTTGCTAGGCTTTAACTCGATTGAGACATCCAGAGCGGCAGCGGCTTTGCTCCATCCCGCTGCGTCTCAGAGTCGTGGGCACTCGCCCTCGAACCGGCCTGGCTAATGCCCAGGTTCTCTGCCTGCACTCTGTCCTCGACGTCCAGCAGTTTCGACCAGAGCAGCTGAACATTCAAGCTCAGCCGCGACAGAACCAGTAGTCCTGGCCGTGGACGGGCGGTAGATCCATCGTGGTATCCACCATCTTCCATAGAGATCTCGCCGATGGGTGGAAATGGCGTCAGCCTTTCCCGTCAGATAGATCATTCGCTTCCGTGTTCCCCTCTTGGGTTCGTCTTGCCCTAGCTGGGTCAATGCAGAAAACCCGCCCTCGCAACAACCCCTGAGGGCTCCATCCGTGAGGCTCGTTTGGAATCTCCCCCAAAGCGTAAGGCTCCAAACCCTCTTGCAGGACCATCCCTCCCTTGAGTCAGGCTGCTCATCCCTGGATCTTTCGGCTCATTCGCCCAGTCCCGAACCCCCTCCCACTGATGCCCTTGCATCGACCACGCGGCGGGTAAATCTATCCCTCCCTCCCCCAGTCTGATACTCTCCTGTCACCAAGCTTCTCTGTCTTGGAAGTCTCACTTTCATTCAGCCTGCTTCCTCTCTTTTCCACCCTTCCCTTCTTCTCCAGGGCTGGTCTCTGTCACTTTCTTTGCGACCTTTCCAGCGCTTCTTGGACTGGGTCCTCGTTCTCTCCATCTACATGTCCTTGTGACATTCGCTAATTTTCGAATCTCCTTCGTTTCTTGGCCACTCCATACCACGACGCCGGCGTTGGGAACAGTTGACATGGTCGCTTGAACACGCCAGAGCACGTTTGAGCATATGGGTTGTGCCATAACCGCATAGGGGATCGTCAGCGGTGACGGACAGGATGCGAAAAGTGGACGACATGGCCCCCGTAATGGATTTAAGACAGGAAGAAAAGGAATTGCGAGCAGGTCTTCGGCGGAGGTACTTGCGGCAGCGACTTGCGCGGATCGATACGTCTCAGAGAGATCCCCGACGTGACCTCTCCGTGGTTACCGATGGAGGCAATGTTCGCAGGCAAGGAGATGGTGAAGAGGATGGGGACGACAGCGACGAGGAGGAGGCAGGGAAAGCTCGCCAGGGCACCAAGAACAAGCAGGGCAAGGGCGGTGATGACAGCGATGATGACCACGACGAGGATCATGAACACAAGCAGCCTGTGGCGACACTCGCTCTCCCTGCTCCGGCACCGACCGTACCGTCGTTTCCACCCCTGCAGCTGGTCCCCCCACCTACATCGACCTCGATAGCTCTACCGAGCCCTACATCGCCTGCGAGTCCACCGACCCCGACCTTCCCAGTCTTCTCATCGCCACCTCCGGCCGTTATTACTATGCCGCCGACCACTGTTGTGAAAACGTCCACAGTTCTGGCCACACCAAAACCATCCGCTAATGCGCCCGTCGTCAACAACCCGCAACTCGGCCCTCCGCCACCTTCGACAACAACCTCCTCCATCTCACTGATGACTACTCAATCCCTTCCGCTCGTATCGTCCATCACGGTCAGCTCTCAGCCCCGGAAAGGAGTCGGAAATCCAGAGACATCCTCTTCGTCATCTTCCTCGCCGACTTACTCCGAGTCTTACACTCAGACCACGCCTTTCGCTTTTGAGAAGAGCAGCCCTACGCCAACCGTCTCCCTCGAGGATGTGAAGTACGGCAACGACGGCGGCCGAGACCAGGATAGAGGGCCGCCTCCAGGGGCTTTGAGTCCCGCCGCTGAACACGCACTCATCTCAGCTGGATCAATTGGTAAGTTCGAATCCCAGCGTATCACGTTGGCGGAACCGCATTACTGACCAACCCGGGATCAGGTGGATTCATTATCGTCTGTTTCATTTGCTGGATGGCATGGCGCATGGTCAAGAAGTCCAAGGCAAAGGAGAATGGCTCTTACGGCAACCAACCACCACCATCGAACCAGCTTCTCGCCAAGATTCCATACTTTGGTCGTGGCCAGCGTGGCTGGCAAGAAATGGATGATGGGCCAAATGATTTCCGCAATGCACCACCACAATATGAGAAGACTAACTCAATGGGCCAAATTTCGGAGATTTACTCGATGTACGACCCAAGATCGCAAGCGCAGTCGATGGCAAAGCAAGGGCCAATGGTGCTGCCTCAGTTGCAAACCAACTTCTCCCCATCAGGCACATTCAACCCATACTCCGCGACATCTGGTTCCTTCCAGAACCCCCAAAGTGCCTCAAGCCCACTGCGCGCGCAGACAGTCTCGCCTCAGTCCCAAATGAGCCAGCAGCAACTCGCAAACTTCCCCCCGCAACTTCGACCTGGCTTCTCTCCGGCCAGCAACTTTAACCCTTTCATTTCAAACTCATCTACAGACGCATCCAATTCGATGAGTCCGAATAGCACGCTCCAATATGGAGCCTTGCAGACGACTGGAACCATGCAGAGCGTTGGATCGACTCAAGCGACTGGTACAATGCAGACCGTGGCAACGACCACTACAGATCGGTCACGTATGCAAGATCCGTTCTTCAACCAGTCGGAGCTCGCTCGACAGCCTTCCGACGCCTACGACCCGAATAGGCGACAGGTCTACCGCGCGTCCGAGCTGTCGTCCTTGTCCTCGGGCTTTGGTGACGAAGACATCATTATTCCTCCTCCCGCCGCCGCGGGGCAGTCCAATGCCCCAGGTATGCCCCGTCTCAGCTACCAGCAGACGCCTATTGCGAGCCGGAAGAACAGTGTCGCCAACGCTAGCGAGGCTGGTATCAGCAATCGCGACACAGTCTACACTACTACCAGCGAGGATATGCCGCCAAGATTCAGGACCGTAAATAGCTGGGTGAACCAGCAGACCGGGCGGATTCGAAGGGCCGAGCAGAGAGCCAACGAAGACATCCCGCCCGTGCCTTCGATGCCCGCTGAGGAGAGATACACAATGATGATGGACGATGAGGAGCCCAGGCGTCCAGATGTGGCCCAGGTCCCGGTACCAGACCTGCCTGCGGCCGTCAAAGACACGAAGCCATGAGGAATAGGCTAAGCCGCAGGTTTTCCTGCGAGGCTTTTCGGCCCTTTCAATACGATCGTTCATCACTGTTATTTGAATACGACTCGCGGCTGATAAGAAGATACCAGAGGCCCTTTGAGGAGCTTCACTATTTTTACGATAGCACTACATACTCACTGTACATATCTACCTCGATAGGTTCACGTTCACACATCATTCTGTCCTCGCCGCCCCGTTCCAGCCCAGCCTGGTGCTGTGGTTGTACACCGGAGAGGTGCATGACGGGTGACTCGCGGATCCATCTTGTGTACATAAAATTCCAAAATGCGCCTCGATAGACGAGGCAGTTGGAACCACGGCATATCGGCGAGCAAGGTGTTCTGGAATTGCGCATGGCCACACAAAAAGGGAGGGGATGGGGAGTGGAAGAGCGCTAAGCAGGTGAAATACATAACTCAAATAGTAATTTGCAAATGACACGACGATAAAAAAGAAGGTGTTTCTGTTACAGAGAGTGATGGTGGTTTCCGCATGTAATCCACAACGTGAGGTCGCTACCAACAGATTGGCGAGCTGTGGCGCTCAAGGCTGTGTTGAGGCCTCTTGAGTCTGAACGACAATAAACTAGGATAGAAGGGATGAAACCCCGGCGGCATGACCGAACGAACGCGTACAGCTACTTGCGTGGTGATAACATTTGGAATTATAGTCCCAGGGGTACGACATTCTGGGCTAGGGTTTGGGACGGAGACAACAGAGCCTCAGTGCCAACAAAAAAGACAGCCAGCATCATTCAAAGGTAGAGGGCTCCTGATCGATACCATGCCCGTTGACACGCGGAGTGGAGGAAGCAAAAAGACTGTCAAACTTGACATGGGGCTTTCTTCTTCATAGAGAAGTAACACTTATTTGTTGTCCATTTCGAAAAGGCTCGTGTTGCAAGGCAGGGGAATTCGCCTCCCACAATCGCATCTGCTTTTTCTCCCCATCCTCCACCATTACCATGTCCTGTCCAATCCCCGACGCCCACCAAGCCTTAGCCCATCCGCATCGTGAGTTGTCAGAAGCCAACCCCAGTCAAAGCAATTTATTTTCTCACATCCCCGGCTTCCCCGTCTCGCACTCTCCCAGCTTTTTTTCCCTTTCTCTATGAGGAACTCCCCACAGCTAGTTGAGCAAGCACAGGCCGCGGCCGTTTGTGATGAGTCGGATTCCCCCTTCAGCTCTTGTCAGCGCGGCGTGAGCTTCCGTCCGCAATGACGACAGCGGACTTCTTGCTGCCGTGCTTCTCCTTGCCTTTGTCCTTGCCCTTGGACGAAGATGACGACGACGAGCAGAAGGAGGCCTCAACTGCCGAGCACCCCCCGCCTACCACGAGCGGCGCCCCCTTGCTGGCAGAAGACGACGAAGAGGTCTTCTTCTCGCCCCTGTCGACCCCCCGCTCCCTGTCTTTGTCCCTTCGCTCGGCCCTCCTCCCCTCGTCCCTCCTGGTGCTGGAGCTGTGGTGTTTGCCGCTCCGGTGCCCATGGCCGTGGCCCCTCGACGAGCCAGCCACGGCGCCGCAGCCGCCCACCCCCACGGCCTCGCCCTCCTTGAGCAGCTTGACCTGCAGTTTCCTCCCCTTGAAGTCAACTCCGTGCAGCTTATCCACCATCCTCCGCGCAAGGTCCGCGCTGCGGAAGTGCGCGATCGCGTAGCCGCGCGGGTTGCCCTCCTTGTCAAGCGGCACCTCGACGAGGTTGATGAGGGCGGCTTCGCGGCCGGCCGCGTCGCATATCATCCTGCGGACCTGGTCGTCCGATGCGCGGCGCGACAGCTCGCGTATGTGGATACCGCGCTGCTCGGTGTAGACCACGCCTCCACCACTCGGCGCCGCGCCGCCCATCGTCAGGTCGGCCAGTTGGTTGGTAAGAATTGCTACGCTGGGTGGTGGCGGCGGATAGTATTCGCTGTATGGCTGGATCGGTTGCACGGCGTACGAAGCCGACTGGTTGTACAATGTCGGCTGTCGATCTGGTGCGGCTTGGTAGCCATAAAAGGGTTGTTGTGCTTCCGCACCCGAGGCGTAGTAGCCGTATGTCGTCGTTGGCATACTTGGCTGTGGGTAGGCCGCCGTGAGAACATCGTAGCTCGGCATGATGGCGCCATGGGAGAACGAGGTGCCAGGACTTGTCATGTAGCTGGACGGCGACATGGGCATGGAAAAGCTTCCACCGTCCTGTAGAAGAAATATAGGCATCAGCGCCTGAGCAGCCGGCACATAGAAGTGGCAGTGGTTGTGCATAGGGCCGTGGTCGCCTTGTGGGAGTAAATGCAAGTGGTACGAAGACATGGGTAGATCCAAACGCACCTGACCGTACGCCGAGCTTGCTGTAGACGTGGGAGAAGAGATCCCAATCGAGCTCGGATAGGACACTGGGCCTCCTGCAAACAGCGAACTTTCAGATGCGGGCTCGACAGCTGATTTCGGGCTGCTGCTAGCTGGGCGGTTGGCCGATCCGCTTGAGCCAGAGACCGTCAAATCACGTACTTTGAGGGGCCTGTCCGCATTCCTGTCGTCCGCTATGACGGCGCGGCCCTTGAATTCTTTGCCATTGAGTAGCTCTGCAATCCCCTGCTGTCAGACTTGTAAAAGCTACGAAGTGGTGGGTGTCATTCTCGCACAGCCCGGAGGGGTCATCATACCGAACGCTGCTCTGAAATGCTCAAAACCCTTCACTCTGACCCAGCCAGACGTGCTCTTCGGGAAGATTTCCACGTGGTCTACAGCGCAAACCTGTCTCACATGGTCTTTGACTTCCTGCCATGATACGTTGAATGGGAGCTAAGAGAGATTCCGGGTCAGCACAAACTTCTCGACTGGGATTCTAGAATGCCTTCTCCGTGGGCTCTATAGGTCTCACGCACATTTGATATTGGGATGTAGTAAGTGCCCGTTTGGTTGCCTGGTGGAACCACATCTCTCGGTATTTCATAGTCTGGAACTGTCATAGCTGTTGTCTCGGGATGCCACAGGGCGAATCGCTCAGGTGGCAGCAAGAGATTCTGAGAAAGGGCGCACAAGAGGCAGGCAACCGGTTGTACAATGGCAATAGCTGGGGATAGTTCAGCCAACGAAAAGGTAGCACACAATGGAGTCTATATGTCTGCGATGCGGTGCGTCTTCTGGCTCCTGTCCAGACCCGGGGGAAAATCAAGGGGTATCCATGTTTATATTCACATAATACCATGCAATCAAATCCGCCAAAGCGGCCCAAGACTGAGCACGCATGCAGTAGGGCAGAGTCTGCGGCTCAAGCTTTCGACTCTCTTGCGAATCTTGCTGCCAGTCGTGTCATCTTCTGAGCTATAGCTATCTCGGTTACTGCCTCATGCATCCAGGTGACACCCAAGCACAACCAGCAGGTAGTATTTGATGAGCTGTTTGCCTGTGCTTCTGATGGGCAGGAAATGGGCATCCAGATTCGTCTCATCCAGACCATTGGCTCCGGAAGCCGGAGAGGGCATCCGGGCATGGTTTTATGGGCTCAAAGGTCGGGCCGGCGGCGAAATGTCCAGGCTGGTCACAGCCAGGACGCATATTTTCTGCAGGCGCAATCGCCACTTGAAGGGCCTGGCTTACCGGAATGCAGCCATAATTCCACGGGGAGCAAACAATGTGGAGGACTTTTCTTCACCTGCATTTTGCATATGTATCAAACATGGATACAGGTGTGGCGTAGCGTCTGAGCTGTCCAACAACCTGGTTTGCGGATTTCCCTAGACGTTGGCGTAGGCGGCTCAATGTGGGGGGATGAGAGACTGTCAAGGCCCTTGCGATCCCCCATCTCCTCACAGGCAGCATCTGCAGGCTTAAGCGATCGTGGCCAATAGACTGCGGTATGTAGCCCAGATGCAAGCCACGACACCAGTGACAGCTGACAGCTCGTGTCTCGGATTGGCGTGTCATGGTTGCTGCAGTTCTTGTGTAGCACGGTCGGTAAGAAAAGGACTGTCTCAATTCGTTCTTGGTAAACAGAGCCTGTTATCTGATTTGACCGGGCCTCCCTGGACAGGATGCAGTTTGCTAATTTGCGACTGGTTGTAGACCTGGTAGGGCTGTAGGAGGATCGAGGTTGTCTGCCTCTTTGGAACAGATGGCGCATGCCGGTCAACCTCGTCACTGCAGCAAAACTCGGTACGGGAGGCCAGAGAGTCATAAATTTGGTTGTACCAAAATCCGTCGTTTCCGGCCTGTCATATGCGTCCAGTACCCTGCATACAACCGAGATCCAATGGACGCCAGCGAGTGGGTCCCACCTCGTTACGGCTGAGCAGCATGTCTGAGATGTACGCTTGATCATTGGGAGAAGAAATAACGTCGAATGACAGAGCACAGGATTTGATGGCCTATACTTTGCTTTTCTTTGGAGCTAGGAATTCGACGAAATATCCGCGGGCGAGCTAGACCGCATAGAGAACCATGAAGAGGTCGAATGCTGAAGCCGAAATGCACATATTGTTTTTGGACTCGAATCAGCGAGAGATGGATAAGTTCGGAATGCCGGGTCCGAGGCAGATGACCCTGTTACAACCCATCGCGGTGAGGGTGAGGTGCACGATGTGGTTGAGACAGTTATCTGACACCGCATCGTGATCATGTTCTTTTGAAACAAAAGGTGTCATCGAGCTCGCTGGTTTCCTCTTCAGGCGAATTTTCGATATGCGCAATTGTGCGACGTGGGGAGTTCTCGCTCAGCAGGCCACTAAGCTGGTCACCAGCGGGCCATGGGACAGGCTCGTCCTCGTCATCGGCCAAAGAAGCCAGTATGTACTGGCCGCTGTTTGAAGCAAACAAAGCGCCTGATTCCAACCCATCTATTTGTAGCCAGAGCACCTGCACTTTGCCGTTTGAGAGGTGACCAGAGAAGTCGGCCGGTCTTGGGCCGTCGGACAGAGGATCCCACGTGAACGCCAGCGAGTTATGCGAGTCACCTTCGCAACTCACGAGCAAGGTCTCACGAATGGTAGGGTGCCACGAAAGCCTTGACACGTTTCCATGGAACAACAGGACTGCCCGGAGTTCAGCAGCCTCGATGTCCCAGACCCAGAGGGTGCCTGGCGCATCTTCAAGTTTGGTAGCAAGAAGAGTCGATGATGGGTCAAAGGCAGCTAGGGCACAACCGCTGCCTCCAGTCTGGCTGGTGGGAGGGAAAATAGTCTGTGGGGCACGGACAAAATGGTGACCAGCAGCGCTGATTTGTTCCTGCCAGACCTGCTAGACTCAGCATCAAGAGCACAGGGGAGTTGGGGTGATCTGCAGCTCAACGCCTCGTACCTGGAGGGTATCTGTAGGTGCTATACTGTTGGGGTGCTGCAGCCGCAGGGATTCGGTGACGGATGCCATGTCGAGGACGCATATGCGCCTACTAGAGTCCCCGATGGCCAGACGCCGGGCATCTGCAGAAAACTCCAACAGCTTGACGCCGGGGCCAAGCCTAATATCGCTGTCGGCTGCTACAAGGGGCCGCGGGCCAGACCAGGTCTTGAGGAGGTTTCCATCAGCAGTGTAGAACAAGACTTTGTGGCCATGGGCCGGAGCCTCCCAGGTCAACAGCCATTGGCCATCCGGGTCCCAGATTAGGCCCTGGGCATCGATTGTGTCCGGAGACCAGGACCTCTGCACTTCGATGGACGTAGGATCGTGTATACTTATCGTGTCTTTCCCTGACACGCGTGTCAGAATCGACAGGTGGCCGGTCCGCGGCCGGAAGCAGAAGCCCCTGCAGCAGGCGGATGGTGTGGCATGGAACTTGGGATTGGCTATCTCGACTGCTCTGGAGGAGCGCAGGTCGAAGATGGCAAACCTGAGCCCCAGAGATGCGCAAAGACAGATTTGGTAGTCGGATGCGCCAAAGCCGACCAAGATTGGTTTTGATGCAGGGGGCAGGGGGTTGCGTATGGTTGCATGGAAGTCATCGCCCAAGGCGGAAAAAACATGTATCTGATGGGCGGAGGCGACCAGAACCAGGCTAGAAGACGGAGACCACTGAAGAGACGTCACGGGGCCAGAGAAGTCGCGTGGCAGTTCGATGTCTCTGACGGTATGCAGGGACTCAACGGCTCGAATGTGCAGGGAAGAGGCAGAGAGCGTTGCCACGAGTCTCCCGTGGGGACTGGGCGCGCAGTGAGATGAAGCTATTGCCGACGATCAGTGAGATCATCTAGCTGGCGGGCTGAGCGGTGAGGAGCGCTCGTGGATCTGCCTTGGTATCGCGAGGCATCGTTCGCCGCTGGGAAACCGCTGGGAAGGATGGGAGGGAGGGTGCGAGGATCAGTGTTCTCACCCTGGAAGCTGTCTGAGAAGCGCATGTTGACGGACGGGTGGACGGACTGACTGAAGACAGTGGTGAAGCCTCTGTGATTGTTGAAGAAGTGAAGCGAGAGGAGGTGTTGCAGCGGACTCGCTAAAGCAGGTGATGTATCATATCATTGCTTAAGCCTCGACATGTATGGCAACGGTCGCGTATCGAGAGGATCGTGCTTGCAGCAAGAAAGTGACCGACCTAGTCGAGTCGTGCACAGGTCAACGTAAAGGGAGAAGGTAGGAGGGTTACAGTGTCAGTCAAAACCGGGATTCCAGAGCATCAGTACCACCGATTGCGAAATGTGACAACAGCCACAGCGAAATAGCAAAGACCCTGAGCTTTCATGTATTGTATGTAGGCTGGGTATCAAACACGACTAGACGCGTCTTGAGCACCTAAGACCAACCCTGCACTGGCTAACCCTGGATAGCCACACTGGGGCAAAATAGCCACACTGGGCGGGCAGCTGGTGGGCAGGTGGGTAGGTGGGCAACGGGTGTAACGTCCAACCAAACGTTGACCGTTAGCAAGCACGCAGTGCACGCAGTGCACGCCCTTATCCGTCCTGCCCTGCCGTCACACCTCCGTAACCAGTGCCGGACAATCCGGTCAGTCAGTCAGTCAGCCGTGGACCGGCAGCCGGCACTCCTCTTTTTTTCTTCGACAACCTCACCTCCTCAATCAAGGTGATTGATCGCCACCTGTATGGCATGCTGACGCCCTTGCTGACTCACCACCAGACACCGAGCCCCAGAGCCAGGCTAGACTGCTCTCGAATCTCAATATCGAACTAACAGGCGGGGCGTATGATGCGAACTTGCCCGGTGTATCATTGCGGCTCCATACATATCCCCGGGTCTCGACCATGCATTTCCGCGAGCAGCGTCTAGGAGGTTGATTTCCAGATATGGCAATTAGACTTCCCAGGTCGTATGCGTGCCCGCCACCCTCCACGCGATCCCAAACCTAGATCTGCAACACCACACCTCACCAGAACGACGCACCCCGCGTCACCATACCGCGGGCGAGCATAGCCTGCCTGTTTGCTGTTTGCTGTTTGCTTCTGGCTTCTGGCTTCCTACAGCCCCTGGCTAGTATCAGCCACCGCAATCAGAAATGGCCCTGTCGATGCGCTCCGTTTCGAGGTCTCTGAATCCGCGCCAAGCACCCCGTGTTCGCCCTCATCAGACCGGCATCCCACCATTCGCCCATGTAGCTACCCGGCAACCTCGATGCCAGGTGCTTGGCCGGAGGATTGCGACTGCTGCTGCTGCCACACACCTGCCGACTCAGCATGCAGGCCAGGGTCTGGACGTGCCCCCCTCAGTCTCACCATCCAACCCAGCACAAACACAAGCCCAGGCACAGGGTCCTACACCATCCTCACAACCACAACCACATCCACAACCACAACCTGTCCCTAAGTCCTTCCGACGTTCCACCATCAAGGACGCCAGGCCATTCTCCGACTTCCTGACTGACACCTTCGACCGCCAACATGACTACCTCCGCATCTCCCTCACAGAAAAGTGCAACCTGCGCTGCGTCTATTGCATGCCCGAGGAGGGTGTGCCGCTTTCCCCCGACCGCGACCTTCTGACCACTCCAGAGATCGTCTTGCTCGCCTCGACGTTTGTCTCCCAGGGTGTCACCAAGATCCGGCTAACTGGCGGCGAGCCCACTGTGCGCGCTGACATTCTGCCTCTCATGCAGCAGCTCGGGGCCCTCCGACCCTATGGCCTGCGGGAGCTGTGTATCACCACCAACGGTATCGCCTTGCACCGCAAGCTGGAGGCCATGGTCGAGGCTGGCCTGACGGGCATCAACCTGAGCCTGGACACCCTTGACCCGTGGCAGTTCCAGATCATGACCCGGCGCAAGGGCTTTGCTGCCGTGCAGAAGAGCATCGCGCGCATTCATGAGCTCAACCGCGCCGGCGCCGGCGTGCGGTTCAAGATCAATTGTGTTGTCATGCGCGGCGTCAATGATCGCGAGGTTCTCGACTTTGTCGAGATGACCAAAGACAACAATGTCGAGGTCAGGTTCATTGAGTATATGCCGTTTGATGGGAACAAGTGGAGCAAGGGGAAGATGCTCAGCTACTCCGAGATGCTTGACTCCATCCGCGAGCGCTACCCATCGCTGTGCAAGGTCCAGGACCACAAGAATGACACGAGTAAGACATGGCACGTCCCCGGGTTCGCTGGGCGTATTGGCTTCGTGACGAGCATGACGCACAATTTCTGTGGCTCATGCAACCGTCTGCGCATTACCAACGATGGGAATCTCAAGGTGTGCCTATTCGGTAACGCCGAGGTGTCCCTGAGGGACATACTGAGGGAAGTAAATTGCGGGGAGCCCATCGATGAAGAGGCCCTCGCAAGGCTGAAGAAGGTCGCCATGGACCAGCAACTCCCGGCACGTGCCATCTCTGAAGATGGTGGAAAGGCTCTGATGCTGGCCCCCAATTCTGAGGAACTGCTACATGTCATCGGCGCGGCGGTCAAGAGGAAGAAGGCCAAGCACGCGGGCATGGGCGAGCTGGAACACATGAAGAACAGACCAATGATATTAATAGGTGGGTAGTTTTCGTTATTCCACCTGCACCTCATATTGTGACGGGACGGTTTATCCAGCATTGACTTGGAGTCCGGCCTGCGCTTCAGCTGTTTCTTCTTCTATTATATATATGGGGAACTGGAATCTTCTGGGCCATGTTCATATGAATATAATCAAGTGGCTATATAGGGTTATGCGTTGGGGGAGATGGTGCAGGTCAGTAGTATAGTTGGCTAAGCTTCTTGACACATAGATTTGACATCTCTGTCCACCCGGTATAAGACATATTATCAAGTGTCGCACGCCCGAATCCCGCGAACCACTGCATGGCCCCTCACGACACCGCTGTCGCCCGTGATGTCCTCGCACCCCCTTTTCCTCCCGCACGCGCTTCCGTCCAGCCCTGCCGTCCGCTTATTCTCCTCCACCACCCCGAGACTCGTGCCCGAGGCGCAAGATGATAGCAAAGCCCCTCCTTTCACGCCTCCCATCACCGACACCACCTCCCCAGCCCCGGACGACGACGACCAGCCCCGAGCAGCAGCAGCACCGGCAGCGCTGACGCACCTCTCGGCCGCCGGCGCCGCGCACATGGTCTCGATCGCGCACAAGCAGCCCACCACGCGCACGGCGCGCGCCGTCTGCGCCGTGCACTTCTCGCACCCGGTGGCGCTGCGGCTGATCCGCGAGAACGGGCACAAGAAGGGCGACGTGCTGGGCGTGGCGCGCGTCGCGGGCATCATGGCGGCCAAGCGGACGCCCGACATCGTCCCGCTGTGCCACCCGATCATGCTGTCGCACGTCAGCGTCGAGCTGGAGCCCAGGGGACCGCCGGCGCTCGCGGAGGAGGGTCATGCTGGTGGTGGTGTGTTGGACGTGTCTGCGACGGTGACGTGCGACGGCAAGACGGGCGTGGAGATGGAGGCCCTGACGGCCGCGTCGGCGGCCGCGCTGACTGTCTATGACATGTGCAAGGCTGTTGACAAGGGCATGCGGATCGAGGGGTTGAGGGTTGTACTCAAGGAAGGGGGGAAGAGTGGTAGGTGGGTCGAGGGTATGAAGACGGAGTGAATGAGGCACCACACGCGCCAGCCTGAGGGTCACACTTGCGGAACAGTAAGGCCCTTGTCTAGAGAGGGACGGTTGGTAAACTGCTGGCGCATTGCTGGAGAGGCTTGCTGCCTTCTCTAGCCTTGCACGATTCTCTGTCCTTGCACGAAGAGAACTGTAGATGTCCTGTATATTGCACCTCTATGAGCTTGTATCACGCCTCATTGAGCGATAAGCCCCGACAAGCTGTAATACGATACTTGGAACAGCCAGGGGCGTGAACTAATACTGAACCTCTACGTAGTCATTACTCTAGAATAAGACTCACCTCCCCGCCACTCGCGGGAACCCGACTAGCTGCTGCAAATGTCCACATATACTGGCAGGAGACTACACGAAAATGGCTCATATGATGGATCTGGAGATCTGAATAGTCGAACATACTATCGGAGATTATCTCCTTGCCGAGCCCCAGTAGTTCTACAGTATAGAGGGACTATCTCACTACGTAGGTCCCACTTACCTAGTGCATGCAAGCGGGTTAGATGTTACACATACAGCAATCGTAAAGAATACCCCGCCGGCTCGAATGCGCAGGAGCAAAGAGGGGATCATCAGATCCACCAGACCAGCACGTCGCTCGTACCTGAGGCTGGCAGGCTGGGCTGATGGCTTGTATATCGACCGCTTACATCGTGACATTGTGGCGACACCCTATCCCCGCAAATCGAGGCATATAGTCACTCACCTCAGCGATGGCCCACCGGCGCTGGCTAGCCAGACTTAGACTGTCGATGATACGTGCGAGCCTATGACCCCGTACGCCTCGTCGTCTCAGACGTGGGACCCAGCCGGCAGAAGCAGAGATCGGGTGGCTGTCTCCGTCCTGGGGAATCGGTCACCATTGCCGCTTTCGACCACCGCCGTATTCTATGTGTCGTCGTATTGCTTCTAAGCGCGGCAAATACAGTAGGGCAGCTCCTGTGGGGCCAGCCACATAAGGCCTGGACTCACCGACTGCTGCTTGCTGACTCTTTGAGGCTTCCAGAACGATGGCTCGTCTGGGGATCCCAGCAGTCCTGTGCTAATTCTGGGGATCTGCCACATTGCCGTGTGGTAACACATTGCTCTTGGACCCTGAATATTCGGACCGGCAGAACTGCACGAGACTGGGTCGACTGCTGGTTGCTAGACGCGACATGCGAAATTGCGGCGGCTCCGTTCCTGCGGCTCCGTTGCTGCGGCTCTGACGAGCCTGTCGTACGGCTAGATGCGACAAAGAGCCGCAAGCCGAGATGTTGCTCAACGGCTGACTGGAGAGAGCGGGATCGGGCGGCGTTAAGCAAGCCAGTACCGTGCTGTAGGCCAACCGATCAGATCCAACGGAAGAGCTTTTGAGCCACCAGAGCTCGCGGTGATGCGGGGGCACATGTATGGCTGCTACGTAGTGACGAAGCTGGCTTCCTTTGTTGCAAACGATCCTCAGATCGTGGGGCGCACGGGCGCAGTGGGCTCGCCGGAGACGTCAGTCAGCGCCATCCAACAAGACGATGCGAAATGGCGATCAACACAATGGCTAAATGGCTGGATGGTAAGGCATGGCTTGTTGCGACGAGATCTGCGAGAGTAGCATCGTGAACTACTCCACCGCCTGCGGTACATCATTGCATGCGGCTCATCTCAGAACAAAAAAAAAAAGCTCGGACTCGGCCAGCCTCCGTGCTACCCCTGATCTGGCAACTTGACGCGTGCCCCTACTGGATCTGCACGGCAAAGGGTCGGCAGTCGGCCGAGTTGACGTCGAAGGCTTGCATGCTGGGTGTGCCTGGGTGTGGGCCGGACTTGGCCGAGAACAGGACCCCTACGATGCTGGTGGCACCCTTGGGCCGCGCCAATGAGAAGGGCGCGATAAGCGTGTAAGTCGGCAGCCAATGGCAGAGGGTCGAGTTCTTGGAGCGCCCAGGATGGCCCACCGAGGAGCGGACCTGCAGACCCAGGTGCTTGGAGAGGGGGAGGGCAGTGAGCCAGGCGGGCTCTGTCTTCCCCAGATAAGCCTGTTGTTGGGCCAATGCGAGTCAAGTGTGGCAGAAGGGATTGGTGACGACTCGACGATACGACTCCTTGAGTTCCAGCGGTGAGTTTGAGAGGTTGCGGTCGGTGGACGGGCTGACGGGGGGCGGGAGACTGGTGTGAAGACATCGTGGCCAGGGTCCAGCGCGGCTTGGATCGCATTGCCAAACGAGAACAAACTCAATTGAGGTGTCGATCTGGAAGTATGGAGCCAGGAGCGACACCCCAGCAGACTTCTCGAGCCAGGGCCAAGGGCCAATCACAATCCGATCGTTGTCACGGCCAGAGATAAGGACCCGTCTCGGCAGGCGGTCGGATGCATTTCTCCAGACCATCTCCAGGGGTGGGGGGGCTGAGCCACGGTGGGCACCTTTTGGGGGGGGGGGTGGTCTGGTGGAGGAAGGGCAACGGAATGAGGCGACCTGGGGTTGGCGCGAACTGGACTGCAAGAGGTTGAGCAGTAACTACCAAAAACTATGTCGTCCACACCTGCACGTCGACTGCGGGTCTCGTTCCAGATGCGCGGGCAGGAGGCAGCATCTGCTGCTGATGGAGAATGGAAACGGAGCCGGAGATGGAGACAGAGAGGCCACTTCAGTGCAGACGAGATCTTAATTGAGTGGGCTTCGGGCGCAAGACGCGGCTACCCAGGCTTTGCTCGTTGAGGGGTTCGTGAAGCGGGGCGAGAGGTGCAGGCGACGTTTCGTCTGGACGCAGCAGAGAGCATTCTGCAGTACTTGGTAGACTGGCAGAACTGGCAAGAACTGGCAGAAAGAGGACCAGAACCGTGGGCCCCTTCGCCTGGACCATCTCCACAGCCATGTGGCCGCCAAACCGCCAGCCTCATTCAAGCCCGCGAGCGGAGCGGGCCTGTACGTAATGCGACGGTGAGGCGAGTGCGGGCAGCTCGGAGGTTCGCAATGACCAGACAGCCCAGACCTGACAGAATGGCTGCAGAATGGCAGAGCATGAACAAGAGCAGCGTGGGAGCAAGAGGGATTTCATTTCAATTCGGAAGTCGGCCGACAAGAGGGGAGAGAGAAATTGGTCCGTGGCCAGTGGGGGCTTCTGGGGGTCATCTATCTGGGCGTGCCTAGGAGTTGTAGCGCAGCGCAGCACCGCGAGATCTGATCTGTGCTTTCTGTATGCGTATGTGTGTCTGTCTGTATGTCTGTATGTATGCATCTACACGTATAGGTAAGTGTGTTTGTCTGTGTTCTGTCTGTTGGTTGTCGACAGCTCTGGGGCCCCGCAACAACCAGAAAAGGAGTCTGGATTTCATGGGGTTGCTGCATAGTACACACACAGACACACACACTCACACGCACAGGATCTACAGTAGCTTGGCAGCTTGGGTGATGCCCTGACGTTACTTGATCCCCAACTGACTTGCCATCTTCAGAAACCGACCGACCGACTGACTGACGAAAAGGGCTCCAGCAGGGCTGATGAGAAGCCATGACGACGAGTCAGTCGGACACGGACGTAGCAGCCACCTGGCACTTGGCCCAGCTACGGTATTAAGCCGACGGAAATTGGGTGGATGTGCTCTATTGATCCTGCGACAGCCGACAGGCGACGCTGGCTGCTCGTCAGCGACGACGAGCGACAATCATCGTGAAGCACCTCGTCCGTCCCCACTGCCCACCATCCCACCCCGCTGCACCCGAGGCTTGCAGGCGGAGTGATGGCAAACGCTGGTAGCGAGACTGCGCTTCAGCTGGGCTCGACATTTATCCGTCAGTCTGTCACTTATTAATTACCTAGTGAGTGGACTCGGCAGTCTAGTAGTCTATTGCCTGCACCCGAGTCTGGGGATAGAGATGGAGTTGCAAAGCTGCAGTCTGCAAGTCGCAGTCTGCAGTCAGCATCCCACCCATCTCCGCCTCTCCACCCACCACCACTCACCAACCGTCATTTCTCATCATGCCGATGCAGCGTGATACGGGCCGGGGGGCAGACCGCACCACGACGTAGTTGGTTGGTACAGCCGGCCGGCCGGCCGGTAGGTACGCACCACGGGACAGTAGTGTCTAGTACTCAAAGATAGACTACCTGACTACATAACATACATAAACCATGTAACCACAGCCCAGACAGACTCAGCGCCAGGCATGAGGAGGCATGAGGCATGAGGCATGAGGGGTGCAGCTGAGGAATGATGGGGGGAGGAATGCAAGACTCAACCCGGGATGACGCAGTAAAAGAGACAGAACGGTCAAGCAGAACGTGGGCGGCTATCTCCGTGGCTTCCGGGAACAGGAGATTGTGATGTGAGATGGAGAGTGAAGGGTTCATGGCCAGCCGGGTAGATGCTCGTTGCGAGCTCAGGAGAATTAATTGCTTGTCTATTAAGGAACACATGGCTTTTTCGTGTCTGTCGTTGTTGAACCATTCGTCTATCTAATCTGGGTGTCTGGGTAGTTCCTTGGGAGTCGGTCCTGCCAGCCCGCTAGGCTGAGGCCCTTTTACCGTAGCGGTGCGTAGTACTGTGATTACGGCCTGGTTGACAGGCCGCGGAGCAGGGCTCGCTACCCAACGGCCTGGCTCTCATGGATTCCCTGGCCGCCTCCCGAGTCTGCCACCACCCATCACAGACACTTTGCTGCTTCGGGCAACTGCTCAGGTGTCTCGAGTCAACGGTCGTCGGGGCCGACAGCACTATGGTGGTCTGTCTCAATCATGATCGATCCTAATAACAGGTCGGGAAAAGACAGGGTCCCACCACTGATCAACCCCGTCCGCCGTGGAAAAGTAAATTTCGCAGCCATAACCATGCATCCATCGCCCACACCCCCTCCCCCCCCGGTCTGGTACAGTACAGGCAGCCAGCCTGAAGGAGAAGAGACGGGGTTGGAGATGGAGATGTGATTTGATACGGCACCATCGTGGCACATTCACCGCCTTTGCCATGCGGCAGCGTCACAGGTCAATTGGATTGACTCGACTCCACCTGGATGCCATGTCTGTTTAGCATGTGTGCTGATGTTCATGATGGTCGGAGGAAAGACAGATAGAGAGAGAAAGAGATAGGTAGACAAAGCAGGATAATCTATTTGCAAAGTAGGAAGTACATAGACGAGTTCCAGTCCAGCCCTGTCCTGCCCCGTCCCGTCTACCATCGCCACGAATGAAGCATTGTCACCATTGTCTCTGCTGCCCCATCACGCCCGTCCATCAATCAATCAATCAATCAACCAACCCATCGCCTGCACTCACAGCAACGCTCGCCGTGGAAACCAAAGCTCACCTGTAATCTCTGACCTCTGACATCTGACCTCTGATCTCTTGATCTCCAGTCAATCTCAGCTCAGCTCAGCCAGTTTTCATTACTCAAAAAGCCGCTTTCTTGGTCCCGTCTCATCCACATTGACCCGAGCCTAGGGTTGCAGCCGAAGAGGTGCCGTTTCCGTCGCCGTCGCGCTCGCCTCACCACTCGCCCACTACTGCCCGCTGAATTCCAGCACCCTGCCTCCCCTTGCTCCCTGCCTCCCCAGCTTCAACCGAGCACAGATCCGCTCCGCTACCTGCGCTACGCTGCCCAGTACGCAACCACGCTATTCGACACACAAGGTTACCGCCACTCTGGTTGGCCGCAACCCACCCCCCTGTCAAGGTCTCCCTCCCCCCCCCAAGAACCGAAAGCCCTGGCCTGGGTCTCGTTATATACCAAAGCCGCGTCCCTCCAACAGCCGCCTCGAATAATCTCTCTATCCGCACCCTCCTTTTGCCTTGCCTTGCCGTGCCATCCCATCCTCCTCCTTCTCACCGCGACAAATCGCTCCGGTATCCGCAGCATCTATCAACCAGTATCGCTTCTGCCACGTCCGACACAACGTGATCATCTCTCCTCTTTCTCTCTGTCCCTCCAGCCGCTCCAGCCCCTTCACCTTCAGGAGTCTGCGATCGACGGTCCATTCCAAAATAACAGGTTCCAAGTCGTTGAGACCTTGTTCTCGGACTCGCTTGCAGCTGCACACGACTCGGTCGCCTACATCTAAATCAGACCGATCCGATCCGATTTGATTTAATCCAAGCCAATCCAACCCGTCTCACTGCGCCGCGCCGCACTTGGGACCCCCACTGCCCACTCGACTCGACCATCTGCGCAGCCGCCAACTACACCATCCTCCCACGCTCTCCCTCGAGTACCAACTATCTATACCTCCTTAACCCCATTTGAGCCGCAACATCACGGCCCAATCACTCACTATCCTGTGTCCTGATTTGTTGCCGCCCTCCCTGTAACATCATACACATATATCCTTCGGCGAATATGGCCATGGCCGACCTCGTAATGCCTCGACTGCCCGACCAGCAGCAATCCTTCTGGCATCGCCAGCCAACGGGCCACCAGCGCTCCTTCTCCTATCACATGCCACAACAACAACAGCAACAACAACAACAATCACAACTACATGCCCAGTTCCAGCAGCCGCTGCACCAACAATACTCTCTACAGCAGCAGCAGCAGCAGCAGCAGCAGCAGCAACAGCAGCAACAGCAACAACAACAGCAGCAAAGACAACCAACACCGCCGCAGTCGCAGCCCCTTATCCAACAGTCTTCCGACATTTCGCCTCTCAGCACCTCAAATAGCACGTCGCCTGTATCACCCAAGAACTACCACGGCCGCCAGGTTCGCCCACTCTACGTGCCTGCCGTTCTGCGCCCCAACGAGTACCCATCCGCTGCGCAAAAGCCCGTCGCCTCGCCCAAGGGTGACGGAGATGACGACGAGCGGGCCATCCGCTCCAGCGGCAGCTTCACCAGCCTGTTCGGAATCTCGAGCCTGAGCAGGCTGTCGCGGAGGTCCACTGCTGACAGTGGCAAGTTCGTGGATTGGGATTGGGATCTGGAAAACTACCCCAAGGTCCACGGGCAGCCTACAAGGAAACACTGGAAGGTACGTGCGGTGCGACAACATACCCAACCCTCATACATACACACGCCCACCTGTCCGGAAATGCTACGACAGTGTCTCAGCCCTCTCTGACATGGCGTCATTCTCAAATTCCTTCCGCTCAAGGAACCACCTCAGCTAACATGACCTCACTTATAGGCCGATTCCGATTCGGAGGTCTGCGACGACCCGACCTGCAGGAAGTCCTTCAACTACTTTGTCCGACGCCATCACTGCCGACGGTGCGGCAACATCTTCTGTGACCCCCACTCCAACTACGAGGTGCCACTTGACGAGAGCGCGAACTACAACCCCCGTGGTCTGCTCAGCCGCTCATGCGCCCACTGCTATGGTGACTTCAAGGTATGGCGCAGCAGGAACAGCAGCGACGCATCCAGCGCCGGTCAGCGTTCCGCGAAAGGAAGCCAAACCGTGCCCGCAAGTCCGATCTCTGCCACACCTGCAAAGGGCAGCCCGACGACACCCGGCAAAGCCCAGGCTGAAGTGGCAGTCAGCGTGCCAAGCGATTGGAACTGGAGCACCTTCTGAGTTGCTCGGTCTGCTGGACTTGCTCCAACGGACTAACACATTTCGAGTCAAATTAAACTCGGCTGTACTTCTCACACCACGACTCACGATAAAGCGGCCGGAAAGCGGCCGAAAGCGGCCAAGACGGACCTATCCACACTAGCTCAACACGAGCCGGTTAGAAGCGGCGAAGTACATCACTGTACGACACCATCCCCAATCAGACTGCCCGCCCCCTCACCACTTGGACGACACCACGATCCAACCTTATACCCCGTACGCATGATCGCATTTACCGTTCAAGGATTTTGGTAGATTCTCGGGGGCGAGTCGGATCGCACTGTTTTCCCAATACCCAGGAGCGCGGTTGTTTCCAGTATTCCAGTGTTTTGATGCTTTTCATGCTTTACAACTTTGCTTGTTATGTTTTCTGTTCCCCTGTGTTTACAGCGCTGGTGTTAAGGTATTTTGTCGGTTTCAAGATCGTAGACGAACCAGGCTGGCATGAGCCTGGCTCCCCACTAATGCTGGGCAGAGCTGCGCCGTCAGCCTGCCACTGTTTTGCTATTTCATGCTCTCAAGGAGTATCTATTACTTCGGAATTGGTTACAGGGAACGACGGGAAGAGGAGTCCACGTGTTTTATGCGCCTCTGATTTCAGGCCCAGGATAGTCCTCCACGGAGGTTATCTATGATGTTTAGTATCTACGATGAAAGGGATACACACTATGGTTACGAGGACACGCCGAGAGGCACCTGCTCAAGTATCAATTACCCACCATGCTTCTGTAGTAGAGCTTCATAGAACGAGAACGAAATTGAGAATATTGTCTAGCAATCTTCTGTGTCATTTTTTGCTTGTGCTATGTCCCAGTGTGCAGGTAACAGAGACCTTGTGAATCAAAGGCTAGATACGGCGAAGAACTGCAAAAGAAGATAGAGCGTGGCAGGAAGGTCCCCATGAGGACAAGTCTGGAGTTCAGGGCACGTCACCGACCTTGGTCTCACGCGCATATTAAAGAACTGAGAGGAAGTGACACGAGGCATGAAGCAGGCATGTTTCCTGACTGCCCTCCCACTTTTACAGATGAAAAGACCACCAGTTGTGTCGAGGATAACCCCCACGCCGTCGATGAACCATGGAGAGAGAGAGAGGTTTTGGAATGACGGAAGCCGGCGCAAACATGAGTCGCCGGAGTGGTCTACTGGATAAACTCCAGATCGAACATCTAGGATAAATGCTATCATGACACGAGGAAGTTGTCAGTCTCACTCCACGCAATCATCAGGAGTAGAGATGCGGTCCTCGTCCCGTACAGGATGAGGTGAGTGAGTCTAGCAAGACTGACGTTGTGATAGTGGCCCCAGCTGTACGAATTTATGTCCATGTGATGCGGCCCTTGGGTTCTCGAGGCAGGTTGACGATGGCGGGTTTCCGCGAGCACCGTCACGAAGAAAACTCACCATGGACTGTGAACCAGCGACATGGTGGAGGAACTCGACGGCGTGTAAGGAAAAAGGGCCCTGGACAACGGTCCGCCCCTGATTGTATGTACCAAATGCCGACGCTCCGTCTAACCTTTACTCCGTTAAAATATGCAATTCTAGACTGTACCACCGCGTTGTAGTCTATTTTTTCCACCTCCCTCAGAGCTCTTGCTCGCCAGCTTGCAAAGGCCTGTCATTGCTTTATCGCTTGGTCATTTTAAGTGTGTATTTCCGAGTCCTCCCTGCTCTGCCCCAGTCCTCTGTTACCAGATGCCACCCCTACTTCTCAAGCATGCCGCCTCTGCCTTGCCGCCGGCTTTGGGATACCGCTGCTCGCCTTGCCATTGGTTTGTCCATTTGCTGCTGCTGCGCCGTTCGATTGGCCGCTGGACGAGCCCTCGCCGTAGACCTCCTGCTGGATGCTCTGGGCGGCGTCCCAACCAGCCTTCTCGGCGACTGCCACCTGGCTCTCGCGAGAGCCCTTGCCCTTGCCCTGCGCCGAGCCCGCACTGGACCGCCGGAGATAGCTAGTGATGAAGAACTTGACGAACAGGTAGGTGAGAGGAGCGAGGTACAGCACATTGAGCCAGATGGCGAAGGTCTGGCCGGTGGTGTTGATGCAAGGGACGACCTCTTGGGTGTAAACGGTCTCCTGGGTCGTGGTAGACTGTTCGGGTTCAGCGTTAGCTTCGGCCGATGCTGCCTGTTCGGCGACGGAAGTGGTCACCTTGGATGCGACGCCGAGGACAATCTGCTTGAGGCTGTCCAGGAATGCTGGGCCGGACGCAGGCTCGGTGTCAGCGTCGACGGAAGAGGCAGCTGGTGCCGCAGCACCCTGGACGACGGTGGTTGCCATAGGGATGCTGTAGCTGACGAAGGAGTGAATCATGGCATAGGAGGCGCCGACAAGAAATTGGGTGATTTGCAGGCTCGTCAGGGTTCGCTTGATAAAGACAGGAACGCGAATGGAGAATGCGCTCAGTGTGTAATAGGTGTACTAAAAGAGCAAGAGCCTGTCAGCATGATGGACCGAGATGTCGTATTGTTCTAGGCCAGCAGAAGGAGCGAAATATTACTCACCATCATGGCGTGGATACCGGAGTTGACGAAGACGAACATCCAGATGGGTGGAGACATGTAACGCATGCCAGCCCACATGCACATCATGGCGCCGGCGTGGTGGTAGGTCTGCAGGACGGAGCTCTGCTTGCCCTTGGCCAGGATGATCAAGGTATCGAGGACCTCGTAGAACTTGCTCAGGTAGAAGATCCAGCCGTAGAAGGCCAGACCCTCGTTCCAGATGCGGCCCAAATCGGTGCGGCTCGGGGTGCCGTCACTGGCGAGGGCGACGTTGTCGGAGTATGCGGCCCATCGCCCATCCTGCTGGCTGTAGTAGACGGCATTGCCAAGGCCTGCTGGGCCGTGGAGCCTAGTCATGCTGTCCACGAATCCGTTGAGCCCTGCAGGCCCCCAAGGGTTCACGACACTCCGTCGCATGACGCCGACCATGCCGTAGAAGGTCCATGCCGAGTAGACGGCGAGAAAGATGTTGTGGACGACGATGAAGACGTGGAACAGGCGTGTCCTGCTGATGGCCCAGGGCCTCTTAGAGTTGGAGGTGTTGTACCAGTTCAGGAGCTTCGCAGTAACGGCGTAGAGAGCGGCAATGGTAAGTGGCACCTTGGGGTCGAGGGCGGCTTGGTAGATGTGATCTGGGATCAGGACTGGAGGGGCCGAGGCGATGGAACCCGGGGCGGGAGGAGGCAGGAATTGCGGCTCGCGCAGGCTGGCCGGGGACAGCATGCTCTTAAAGAGGTCCGGGTCGGGAGTGGTTGCGAATACTTGTGAGGAGTCCATGGTGGCGGGGCAGGACGAGGACAGGAGAGGGTATGTGGATGTGTGTCTTGCGACTGACTGGAGATGGTGGAGATTGGGTGGTGAGGGTGAAAGAGGGTGGTGGTGTGGTGGTGGTGTGGTATCACATAGATCAGTGGGCGCAGACGCAGACACTGGCGCAGACGGGTATGTGTATGAAAGTCTGGCTGTGTCTGTCCTTGCTTGATCTTGAAGGAGAGAGAGGAGGTACTGCGCGCACAGCTTTGAGCCTTTGGCCTTATTTTTTTCGTGCCTGTGACGCAGCTTCCCCAACAAATTCAAAATTCGGATTCTGGGCCGCCAGTCGGAGGAGCGGGCCAGACCCTGGGAAGAAAAGACAAGGGCACGCGGCTGAAGGATGCCAATCGCGCGCAGTCCGGTTGTGAGCCGAGGCACCAGAGGCACAGGCGACACAAGCGACCCTCGTACGCCGGGTCGCGGGGCCACAATTTGTGATTGACCGGAGGGGAGACCAAGAAAGACGGGGCAGAGCGTGGCACTGCGTGGGAGTGTACTACACAGAACTATCATGCATACGAGGTGGGAGCTTCATGCCGGCGGGAAGCGATGAGACAACCCCTCCCCTCCGTCCCAGACAGACCTCCTCGCATGATTATAGCACTCGCTACTAGTGTTGGCCGCCATGCACTGGCACGGTCCAGAGTGACCAAGAGAGAGAGAGAGAGAGAGAGAGAGAGAGAGAGAGCAGCGGACAGTAAGAGTAACGCAGCATGGAGGGCTGTTGAAACCTCGGCTGGTTGGAGGGGGACAGAGGAAGCTGGGTGCTGGTGATACTTGGATGCTCGGCCAGCCTCACGATCCAAAACACGGCCCTCTCAGCAAAGATGGGATGGGTGACCAATTGCGCCTGCAGGGCAGGGCATTGAGAGACCTGCCTGCAGTAGCAGCCGTCTCATGGCTCCGTGGCCTCCCATTTGCAAGAAATTGGATGGGACGGGACGGGCACGCGCATAACTGAGCAGCCAGGCCGAATCAGTCTGTGGACTCTCGAATTGATGAGGAGGCCTGGGCTTTTTTTTCCCCTTTGAGGGCGAGGGCCCCACTCTCGGTCCAACGTGGCGATGGAACCTCAACTTATTTTATTACTGACGATAAGAAAACGAAGGGTGATAAGAAGACAAAGATGGACACAGGGACACAGAGGCAAAGAGACGGAGATCCACCTTGGGCGCCGTCAGTCCGTTCAGCCTCGGCACCGGAGCCCGGGCAGGGGCAACCAGGATTGGAGCTTGAAGTGATATCGTGGCGTGGGGTTGGGGTCGAGGTGAGAGATTAGATAGAGATAGAGACGTTGATGCGGTTCAAGAACAGGCCTCATGGTGACCCGACGGCGGGATGACCACGATATGATGGCACCGACGATCAGGATCAGGTCAATCGGAGTCCCGTGACGAGACGTGAGCTGTGAGGAGGTTTGAGAAGTCTGCAGAATGGAGAAAAAGCGGAGAGACGGAGAGACGGAGACGGAGACGGAGACGAATTTGTTGGGGCAACTCCCCAGCAACCAATAATGACTCGGCAAGCTTCCAAGGGACTAGGGCACGCCGGGCTGAGCGGCACCCCGCGGCCACCGTCATTGCTATGGTGTAGAAATTTTCACGGTGGCACGAACGACAGACATTAATACAAACGGTGGATTCTCATTCTGCCATGGTATGTGAAGGTAGTAGTCCATACACAGTAGTAGTGTGGATAGTGTGGTAGGTGTGGGGTCCGAATCAAGGCCCAAAGAGGCAGGAGGGCAGGTGGGCTGCAGGAGGGCAAGCACTGGGCAAGGCAAGGCTTCCGCTCTTGGCTGGGATGCACGCCGCAGATTTGGTCCGTTTCAGGCATCTGGCCCTTTGGTCCTTCCCGTCCCCCGGGTTGGCAGAGTGGGCAGTTGCTCAACAAATTCGGCATGCCGGACAAGCACATGCTGTTTTCTGTTTCTTTTGCCTCCTTGTTCGCGGCAGCTCGTGATCGCGTCAGGGTCCCTTCAAGCCGACAATAAACACACAGACATCTACACCGGCACACGTATATACCATTGCTTCCTGGCCTGGTCTGGCCTGGCCTGCCACTGCCACTGCCACTGCCACTGCGTACCTGCATACAGCCGTGTGGTTCATGCATGCGCACACATACACATACAAATACACATACACATTATATACAGTATATATATATGTACACACTCACACGTATGGGCCATGCAGCCAATACGGCAACCACTTACACCAGCCAGAGAGGAATCAGAGTCCCCAGACATTGCTATCCCGCCATGCCAGTTCACTTCTTACCCAGCTGCCAGCTAAGTTTGAGAGCAGCTACTGACTAGGCATGGCTCGATCCACATCCACCTGACACACGCCTTGTTTAGCGCGAGGCCCGTCCCGCCTGTCAAACCCATAGTTGGCTCTGCCTCGCCCTTATCTCTTGGGTCCCCGCGTGTTGCGAAGGTCATGTACCTAGGTGTGCCTGTGTAGTCTAAGTGTACAATGGACGCACAATTACGGTTGTATATCATGAACACATGCGATGCACATCGTATACAAGCACACACGCATATATGTCACTTTGAGTGAAGCTACCATCGATGCTGACATGTCAGGTGACCACGAGCAGCACTTGAATGGACCAGCAGCTCTTATCGGTGGTGTTTTGGAGAGTTCTCCCTTTCTCTCTCATCTCTTCACCAACCCCTCTCAGTTTCTCCTTCAATCTGTGGGTTTGATTCGGGTGCAACTTGACCAGTACAGATCACACACTTCCCTGCAGGATAGATTCCTATGAGATAATTTCTATGGGATGACCTATCATGGGATAATCTCCCATATGATACCCTTATGGGACACTTTCCTATAGGAGACCCTCCCATGGGATGCTTTCCTATGGGATTACGTATACATCAGGCATCTTGTGGAATGACCTGGGAGGTGGTATCTCGGTAGGTTTCCCTTGTCCTCTTCCTTCTCTCCTAAGTACTTGGCAACAGGCCTTTGGGATCCCTGTGGGCTAGACAGCTCTACGCATTGATCATTGCGCACGTGTGTACTCCGTACGCATACAGCCCTGGCGGGCACGTTGCAAGTTTGTTTACAGTAAAACAACGGCGGCCCGCCAGCGCCCGGGCGGATTTACAAAGCTTCAGCGTTGCATCTAGACCAGCCTGACAGCCTGACAGCCGAAATGACCGTTCATCATCTTCGCTGCTTCGCTAGTTTACCAACTGCCGCGGCTTAGCTCCTGTCAAATGTCAAACACCGTGTGGGCGCGCAAAACACAACTCTGTTCCCACGCGCGTACATATTGTTGTCATGTAACCAGTGGCACAGCGCGCGCGCCCCCTGCCCGACACGCCGGGCTCACCTGCAGCAATCCCGACGCACATGTGGCCATGTTCCCGTCACAGTGGGTTCGGGCCACACCTTGAACCGCCATGGAGGCCATGCGCCGTGCAGGTGAACCCCTCGGTGGGCTGAAGGTCTATGATCCTTCCACCCACGGTGTGTACGGTCTCCACGGTACGGCATCGGGTTATGATTTGCTCGCTTCCACCCCCTGGACATCGAATTGTGTTTGCTGCTGGCCAGTGACAGTTGCATGATGAGTGGGGTTCTCCTTCGGGTCCGGGAACGCGCCTCGCCATCTTGGTTACTGTGTGTTGAACCCAAGCGGGGGCTCCGCTGTACCTGCGTCTGGATCTGATCATGGTACGGGCCAATCTTGCCAGGGCCCTGGCCGCCTTGCAGCGCAGATGTCGTGTCACTTTCGTCTATCTGTTTGTCCGTCCAACTGGGCCTGGGCATGTGAACCCGACAGATCGTTCATCCCTCTCAGCCCCCAGCTCTCCACTCCCCTCCTCGGCCCGTCGCGCATTTCAGATCTTCCCTAGCATGCACATCATGATTTGACGTCGTGCGGCTAGAGCCTCCTCTCTGTTGTTTATTCGCGGTCCCGTCTCGGCACCTCCCCTAACAAGAGGACCATCTGAGCACTCACGAAGCCACCCAGAACCAAGGTAGTGCCGCGCTGGGCCTTTCTCCGCCATGGCTTTGACCGAAGAGATCATGACACCCCAGAGTCCGGCCCTGCCTGAGCTCCCTCCCCTTGATTTCTGGAGCGAGACCGAGTGGGCTGTCTTCAATGCAATCTTGGACACCATCGTCCCGGCAGTGGTATCCATGTCGTCACTGACGCACAAGGAAGGTCAACTGGGCATCCCGGATGACGAGTATTCGGCCGTGATGGGCAAGGCCAGGACTACAACGCTCGAGTCACGAGACGAGGCATCTCTGAAGGCCTTCATGGAGGACAAAGCCTCAACTCACCCAGCCGTGCGCGAAGTCTCGCTTCGGATAGCCGCCCGTCTATCAGTCGCGCAGAGGGACGGCCTGAAGCGTCTACTCAAGTCCTTGTCGTCAGCATCCCTTCCATCGTAGCCTTAGAAAACTCGGCATCACGTGAGAACCACTGACAAGTCGTCAATATACACAGGTCCAGTGTCGGCGCCTTCCTCCTGACCGGCTCGTGCGTCCCCTTCCACCAACAACCCGCCCATGTCCGGGAATCTATTGTTCAGGGCTGGCACAACTCCTGGTTCCCCAGGATGAGGACCGTCGCCAGGAGTCTCGTCAGGGTAAGCCAGGTGAGCTGGCTGATGTCCTCGCCGACATTCCGGGAGGTCACAGGCTACCCGGACATGCCAGTAAACTGGAAGCCGGGCCTTGACTTTGGCTACAAGTTTCTCCAGTTCCCAGGCCCCACATCGAAGTCCCAGTCTGAGCATGAGTCCGTAAGCGAACCGGCCACAATCGAGACGGACATCGTAATCGTCGGCTCGGGCTGTGGCGGCGCAGTCTCCGCGAAGTTCCTTGCCGAAGCAGGCCACCGAGTCGTCGTTGTCGAAAAGGGCTACAACTTCCCCACATCTATGCTGCCCCTCCCGGGGCCCGTCGCCAGCCGATATCTCTTTGACAAGAGCGTCGTCAACTCCGTGGATGGGTCCATAGGCATAGTGGCCGGCGCGACATGGGGCGGCGGCGGGACGGTCAACTGGAGCGTGTCGTTGCGGACTCAAGACTTTGTGCGGAAGGAGTGGGCTGCTCAGGGGCTGGATTGGTTCGACGGCCAAGAGTATGATGAGTGTATGGACCGCGTGTGTGAGCGTATGGGTGTGGCGACGGAGCCGGTAGTCCAGAGCCACCGCGGCCAGGTGCTTCTCGGCGGGAGCAGGAAACTGGGCTGGAAGGCCGGTGTGTGCCCTCAGAACTCCGGCGGGAAAGAACACAGCTGTGGCCACTGTACCATGGGCTGTGGCTCTGGCGACAAAAAAGGCCCGACACAATCGTGGCTTCCAGACGCAGCCCGTGCAGGCGCCGAGTTTATCGAAGGTTACACCGTTGACAGGGTGCTATTCGAAGAAGTTAGTGGGAACAGGAAGGCAACCGGTGTAGTGGGTACCTGGGTATCAAGAGATACTCACGGAGGTCCAGGTGGGCTGATGGATGAGAGAATATCCAGGCAGGTGGTGGTCAAAGCCAAGAGGGTAATCGTGGCCTGCAATGCGTTGTTCAGTCCTCTGCTTCTGATGAAGAGTGGCCTAACGGTAAGACTGGTCCTATGTTGGTCCAAGTTGAAGCGAGGTGAACTAAAGACTGACGCCTGCAGAACCCCAACATTGGGCGCAACTTATATCTCCACCCGTGTAACATGGCGGGCGCCTTCTATACCGAGGATGCTCGTCCTTGGGAAGGTACGCATGAGCATATCCGCCAGGTCAGACTTTTTGTGCAAGCCTCCATCATGCTAACCCTCGGCTAGGAGCCATCATCACAAGCTACTGCTCCGAATTCGAGAACCTAGATGGCCATGGCCATGGCGTCAAGCTCGAGACCACCAACATGACACCATACACATGCCTCTCAGCCATGCCCTGGCGTAGCGGCCTGGACTTCAAGCTCGCCGCGCTCCGGTACCGACACTTCGGCGCCTTCATATCGGTGGCCCGAGACCGCGACCCGGGCAGGGTGGTGATGGACCCAGCGACGGGCGGCCTCCAGATCGAGTACACGCCCTCGGCATTCGACCGCGCGCACGCCGTCGAGGGGCTGATAGCCCTCTGCAAGATCATGTACGTGACAGGGGCCCGAGAGATCGACCCCTTCATCCACGGCGTGGAGCCGTACGTGCGTGACGACGCGGAGCTGCAGCAGGCGGCCGCCACGTCTGCCGCCGCGGACGGCTCGGGCCTCTACCAGATCGACGACCCAAAATTCTCGGCCTGGCTCGACAAGGCGAGGCGGCTGGGCAACGTCCTGGGCAACCCGCCGTGCTCGTCGGCGCACCAGATGGGCACTTGCCGCATGTCTGCGACCGAGGAGCGGGGTGTTGTCGACCCGTATGGTAAGGTGTGGGGCACGGAGGGCCTGTATGTGGCCGACAGCAGCGTGTTCCCGTCGGCGAGTGGTGTCAACCCAATGATAACTGTGATGGCCATCGCGGACCGGATAGCGAGGGCAGTGGGCCGGGACTTGAACGAGGAGAAGCAGTGAGCATGGGTTAAGATATGCGCAAAAACATGTACTTGGGCCAAATTTTGGGATCCGGGAATCCAAAGCCGTATTGCTTAGATTGTGCCTTTCTGCTATAGGGAACACGGAACATGGCTTTGTGTATATATAATCCGGTTCGACATACACGCTCGGTTCTTGAACAAGGCTCGGACGTCAGGTTGCGCACATGTACAGTATATATATATCAAAGACTGTATGCCCTATTGTGGACAGCCCTCAGTTACATTTCTATGATTAAGTCTCCGATTCTTAAGGCGGCCGACCTTGGGATCTGTAACGACAGCCGTAATATATGTGGATGATACTGATGCGCTGTCACCTTGTGATCAGCATTACCTTGGACCCCGTCCTCGGGTGTACTTGCAACTGTATTTGCGCAAGATTTAGACAGTCCAAGCCCTGCTCAAATGTCGCGGCACAAGCTGCCTTGATAACTCGTCTCCTCGTGTGCGCTTATCCTGTAGCCACCCAGTCGGTCTGCACATCCCACTCTGCGTCAGCCCCATGTAGTTTTCTGAATACGACAACCCAGCTGCCGTCCTCTCTCTCACGTCCGATGATGGCGTCGTGGACTCGTAGCTCCTCCGCTAGCCCAAATGGCGCCTCTGTGATGAGACCGCTTGGGAGAGTACTGCTTGTAAGATGTTGCTGCTGCTGATCCCAAGGAATCGCATTTGTCGTTGCCGACTGGTAGAAGCTATCCTGCTGTGATTGATTGCCCAAGATAGTCTGATAGCTTTGCTCGTCTGCATCGGGCGAAGATCCACCCAAACTCGAGTGAGATGCAGAGTCACCCGTCGCATGTCCGGTGAGATGCATTTGCTTCTCGTTGTGATGGTACAAATACGGGGTTGTTGGCGCAAAGTCCTTTCCTAAGTCCGGCTGATACGAATCCTGGCTGCTGTGATCTGGTTGTTGATGTGCTTCATGCGGCCATATGGCAAGCTCATTTTCCCGCGAGGGTAAGCCACTTGCTGCCGAATCCATGGCCGAATTGAATGAACAACCGTCTGTTGAAGACGTGAGAGAAGGTTCCTGACTGAGCGACGAAGGAACATTGGCATCTCTCTGAAATACTTGGTCTGTAGACGGCTCCATGCGTTGGTCGGCATCGAAATCGACGAATCGAAAATCGGGGACCGGACGCGGTCCCGAATTATTTTGGATTTCTGTATTTATCTGCTCTGTTGCTCTGTTCGTGCCGCGAGGCTTTTCGTGACTTGAAAATTCCGGCTGGAGTCTAGATTGTTGCTCCATGCTGCGCTCGGATGCAGTGTTATGGCCGACACTGGTACTCCTTATGCTCGAATACTGCGGAGATTGAGATGCAGATATCGATGAGAAACTCTGCCTCTGAGCCCATTGCTCCTCAAGGGACACCACATGTCCCGCCAGTGCACCCATCACACTAGCTCGCCAGAGGTTTTCTCGTCGGGATGGATCTCGTCTGAGTAGGCTGAGTGCTGATCGACGGATCAGGGGGTGCCTACATTTGGTGGCCACATAGTAGAGAGGGGGGATTATGTGGGTCTCGAAAGTAAAGTTGCCTCCAGGTAATTGCTGGCTAGGACCCGAAGAGGGATGTGTTGGGATCGTGGCAGATCCATGTCTTTGAGGCGGGAACACTGGTTGGTGTTGTTGCGAGGTTTCGAGGTCAATGTATGCAGCTGCCAAGGGAACGATCGCTGCGAACTGAGCTAGGTAGTTATCGTAAACCACCTCTGACGAGCTCAACGCCGTAGAGATCCAGATATATTGGGCATGCAGATACATTTGCAGGACAAGAAGAGTGTTCTCAGGGCCCGGCTTCGTTCTTGATGCTTGGAAGAGTGAGAAGGCCACATTAAACTTGGCTAATCGGCAAAGTAGGCGGTCTTGTTCGACCTCGAGCAACTGCATCGTCTCCCGCGATATTGAGTCGCTGCTATTCTTGGCCGGCCGTGCTCGATGCGTAAATCGGAAGGCTTGCTCCATGAATTCGTGCATGAAATACCTCAAGTGGTCCATTGACCCGAACGTATCAGGTATGTCCCCACGGGACTTCAACGAATCTGGTAGGGCCACAGGGGTGCCGCCAAAAAGAAACGATGTTAAGCTCAGTCGCGTATATAGAGGAACGACGTGACGTAGGATACATTCCATCTCAGGGCCATTATACCGCTCATCCAGCCGAGTTAGAAGCTGTCGGCCCTGCTCAAGATGTATGAGAGACTCTTTGTCCTTTCCCTGCAAGAACTCAATACAGACGAAGAGAACACAGGTGAGAAGTGATGCCAGCGGCTTGGTGAGTGGGTTGTTCATCTGGTCCAGGAGACGAGCGATAGCTTTGTTGTACTGTTGCAAAGCGAAGGACTGTGTCGGGCAGCCATCTGTTGACTGGACGATTGTGCCTTGTGTGAGCCCCTCGTGCAAGGTGCTCACGGAGAGCACGGCATGGCGGACCGCTGGCTCAGTCTGAGCAACTTGGAGCACAACACTCCTCCAGAAAACTGCGTCAAAGTCTCCCGAGATGCATGGCGCGGTGACATGCTGAAAGAAGTAGAAAGCTCGCTTCTCCTCTGGTGTAGAAAGGTCGAGTAACGGACCCAGGACACGGTCCTGAGGTGTGGGGTCTTTGGGTCGGCGCCTCGAGGCCAGGTTCCGTGGATCCAGATACCCATCGCATTTACGCCCGGTCTTTGTGCATCTCAGACAGAATGGTTTGGTCTCATCGCACTTGACTTTCCGTATCCTGTCGCAACGAAAGCATTGGTGAGCTGCATGTCCATGAAGCTATGTACTGTGAAAAAAATGTCTCTTACTTGCAAGTGACACAGCCGGTGCGTACCTTCAACATACGAAGACTTGTTAGCACGCTCATTGCAAGGTCTTGGGTGACATGAAGCCCTTCTCACTTTTTTTGAGCCCCTCCTGCCCGAAGAAACTATCGCGGAAGGGCTGGAGGCACTAGAGTCGGATACCATGTTGTCGAGATGGCAAAAGCTGTACAAGGAAGCGCTCATCCCTGAACCCTCTTTGAAATGCTGACGTGATGGTATGTTCATTATATACCCTCTTCAGGTCAGGTCATACGTAACTGCCCATGCGCGTGCTTGCAGAAATTAGTGTGACCGGGTGCTGAGGAGAACATTGTCGCGGAAGAGATACCGGAGAGGGCTTTTGAGGAGGGAACGTGCTCCACAGCCGATGACATCGGCAGGGTGATATCGTTCTCTAATGTCTCGAACGTCTGCCTTGAAGGATTGGGAAAGCCAACAATGGAGGAGGTGCAAAAAGCCCACGCTGCATTACAAGGGCAGCATTTCCAAAGTCACTGCCACTGACAGACGACAAGGGGGAAAGGAACGGTCAGCGGTTGGCGGGCATGGCCTCATGCCCGTCTAAGCAGGGGATGATGCATTCCAAGGCGGGAGGATATGCAGTCTAAGGCATGGTGATTGACTTCTCGATCCGGCCAAAGAGCCTGACGGCATGGCAGACAACCTGGATATGGCGGGTGAGATGCAGCTATCTTGAACGGTGTGGCCCAGGAAAACGCCTGAGTGGGTGCGAATAGCTGCCGTCTAAGTTGGCCTTGGCCCAAGGGTTCGGATCCTTCCACCCGGGGCCCCTCCTCATCGGGACCAATAGACTAGGTGTGGCCAGCCCTACATCTGCAATATCCCAATGGCAACGGGTACCCTGAAATAGACTTCAACAAGATAATGAGCATCAGCACACCCGAACCTGCGGTAAGAAAGGGGGGGCTTTGCTAGCCCGTTTGGCAACCGTTGCGACGTCCAGGGACAAAATGTGGCAGCCTGGGAGCCAAGCCTTTGCTGCGGCAAATCCAGCGGTGGGAACTTGACAGAGGCGACATCTACAAGCCAGGCCTTGGTCGCCCCCTCTTTTTCGCTCTATGATCTTAGGAGTCGGGGCAGTGAGCCCTTCTCGACGCTGCATGACGATACTTACGTATGAGTTTGGCATGCGAAGCCGCGTGAAGAGCCCCGGGGACGGGTGGTAAGAAAGACGTGACGCTCGGGTTGCACGAATGCTTTGTGTAACCGCATTGCGCTTGCTGAGGTCGCTAAAGTCTGGCGGATCTTCTAGGCAGGTGTATTTTAACCGGCCCACTACGCGTGCTCGAAGTATGTCGTACGACGTGATCCTCGTCTTACATGCTTCCAACGCATTTTGCTGCTCTTCCCCTCCGCACAACAGCAAGCTGACGGTGGCATTGAGCTTACTCTCCCTTGGGAACTGAAGTGACAAGTACCCCACGCTGGACCACAGGATTTCGCGCTAGTTTCGATATCTTGTTGCTTGAGAGTGTTTGTCTGACCAAGCGCCAACCCGTCGGTCATCTTCGCGTAGCACAAATGTGCAGCGTGGTTGCGCAGAGTGCACTTCGGGTCACACGGGGATTGGAGCGTGTCGTCTTGACAGCTCCAAACCATCTGTCCGGTGTTTGAATCCGGACTGCGGTGTATATCGAGGCACCCTATCATCAGATCGGCTTGCCCCGTGGCATTAACCACTTATCCTCGTCTTCGATTGTCATCAGCCCTACCACCTCGGGCAACGCCCAACAGCTCGACAAGTCCAGCGTGCCGCCCAGCTCGGCAAGCTGCAAGGACCAGGGATTCACATCGACAATGCCGATGGCAATTTCCAGCTTGAGTTCCTCTGTCGCGAGCGTGTAATGTGGCGATAGCCAGACAGGACTGTGGGCCTACCAAGGACTACGTGATCCTGAGACCGACTCTCTCCTTCAACCCAGCCCACAGACCGTACTCTCGTAAGCTGCTGCTCCTGCATGGCTGCAAGTGTGTTTTCCGCATCGAGTTTCTTAACCCCGAACATGTACAGGTGCCGGTCAGTAGATTGTGCCGGCACGAACAGAGCCAAAATGGCCCTGCTGACGTCGCGCCCAGACTTCCAGCGCACGAAACAAGAATGTTGCATAAGCATGGTTCGCCATGCACTTGGTAGCTGCTGTCTGTCTGATCCTCCTAGACGGATGCAGACATGATGAGGACTCTGACACCTTCTTGCTGCGTAGGAGGGCCCCTTTAGATTCGGAGGATGGGGGCCAATATCGACTCTCGGCACCGACGCGACCGAAAATAAAGGTTGGTATCATTCGCTTCAACCCCAGGTTGTAATTCTGTAGTGTACCCGTCCGATAGGTCAGAGAAATCAAGGAAAAGGTAAAGGTGCAACAAATAGAGACCGGCGAACGGGACACCGATGTTACTGTTGGCCCACCTCATCGTCTTGTTAGCGACAGTCCCCGTTGTTCAGGAGAGAAGTGAGTCTAAGAGCCCGGATGTGTACATAATGGCCACGATGTATACCGACGGGCGGGCTCTTTCGCGCTTGTCGGGTCCAATCGGGTTCTTGTACACCGTGATGTCTCACTTGTCACACAAACTTGAAAAGACCGGTTTGTGATGGGCAGCAGAGGAAAGTGACTGGTGACTTTGGGGGCGACAAAGGGACGGCGCCTCAGTACCGATCGCGTACAACCTCAGCATGCCCTTCTCATTCGTCAGAGCCAGCGGATCTGAGCGCCCTCGATCCAACGTCGTGGCTGGAGAGAGTCGAATGAGGGTAGAATGAGGAGATGTGGCATGTTCCAGACAGGATCTATCAGGATGAGTGCAGATGCGTCGAGTGATTCTGAAAGGGTCCCCGGGGAACACTGCCTTGGGGGCGCACAAACGCACAAGCACCGAGATCAGTCACACAACTGGCCATCATGGATGGACTGTGAGGTTGAGACTGGGACTGAGACTGAGACTGAGAGGAAGGTTGGAGGAAAATTACAGGACTCTGGTCAAAAACTGTAGGAATAGATCCCCTTACGCGGGATGGATGGATCCTTGGCCGCGGCTTCTAACACTGCGCGCGCCGTTCAGCTGGGTAAGGGTCTGTGCGCTGGGAGTCCCAATTCCCTGCGTGACATCACCAGCGCCGAAGCTCCCAAATTTCTTTCGCTGCGCACTGCCATCCAGAGCCACGCGAATTCGACATACTAGCGACCAACAGATCAATCCATCTAGCTACACAAACATACCATATCACAGCAGACATGGATCAAGTGTACGCCGTGCCCACATCAATGACTTCCGCATTGTTCAAATGACCCAGGAGCTGACCACCTCTCCTCACCAAAACAGACTTGGAGGACTCAACGCCAACGAGCAGCGCGAGCTCGAGCAGCGCATGCAGAAGCGCCAGGTGAAGGAGTTCGTCAGCGTAAGTAACAAAAGATCGAACCGCCTACAGCCCCCGGCCACTTCACTAATGCTGACCCTCCCCCCGTGCGTGTAGCTCTTCGGCAGCCTGGTCGACAACTGCTTCATGTCCTGCATCGACGACTTCACATCCAAGGCCGTCTCGTCGCGTGAGAACGGCTGCGTCGCCCGCTGCGTGCAAAAGACCATGGCCACCCAGGCTCGGCTCGCCGAGCGATTCCAGGAGCACAACGCCGAGATGTCCAACAAGATGGGACAATAGGAGATCGACCGTCGCTGAAGTAACGGGTGAGCCACGTCGGCAGCAAGCCGTGCGGTCCTGCCTCGATGAGGAATGGTCACCCCGAGATGGCATATCGTGTTCGAAGTTGGAGGGTTCAAGGATGGCGCATTGCGCAGATGCATACCGCCGATGATGATGCTCAGGCCTGGCTATGTCTGTACTGGAATGAGCAACGGGACACGGCAACTCGGTTGGATTACGAATACAATTCTGTGGGCACATCATTACCATTTACAGCCCGAGGGAGTATTGTAAAAGCGAGCTTTTGTCAAGGCAGATATGGTAGTAAGGCGTAACTCAACTCACATGGAAAATCTTGAATGGGAAACACATGACTTCTCAATGTTCTGTATTATGGTATCGACGTCCCATCATGCTTGCCGCTATAATTTTGCTATCCGTTCCAACGCCACCCAATGCCACAAGCCGAGTACAAGCTTCAACTGTGGCAAGCCCAGAGTTGATTAGAGCCGATTGCTACAACTCAGCCTATTCTGAATCATCACCTAGCACCTCCTTCACCGTCTCCAGCAGGGACACCACCTTCTGCTCTAGCACACTAACCTCCTCAATCCCCGTCTTCATGGTCCTCCAATCAGCTTCGCGCTGGCCCAGGGGCAAGAGCCGCTCCCGCAGGATCTTACGGCTCGTCAACCAGTAATCCACATTCTCGAGCGCGGTGGCCGAGTCCCACGATACCTCAGGGATCTCATGGTTGAATTCCGACCTGTATTTTCCCAAAACCTGTGTTAGAAGTGCAAGGGAGTTGATTTCTGACACGCCGAGCAAAGTCACATATTGGGAGCTTCCGCGGGTCGTAGTCCTGCTCATCCCAGGAGCTTCTATGCGATCGACGCTGCTATGAAGGAGGTTGGGGAACTGGTTGAGAACGCAGGCAACCTCAGTGGCTACGTTGGGGCCTAGACCCGGCGCTGACAGCACGTTAAGCAGCAACGGCAGAATTCCCTTTGCCCAGATATCGTAGCATCGTTGCGCCCCAACATTATCTGCGAAGGGTGAGACATTCGGCCGTTGAATATGAGTCGTGATATTGGCCGACGTAAGCTGGCCAAGAAGACCGTCGGATGCGAGGTGTTCGGCGATAACAGGGACGTTAGATAGTTGAAGGAGGAACAAGATGCTCAGTTCGCCATAGACTGGGTCACCTTTCACGGCCAATTTGTCAGCCCATGAGAGGAGAGATGTCGCAGCCTGTCCAACGTCCTCAGATATCATGATGTTGAGAACCTGGCCGGAGACCTGGTCAATGCCTGGCAAGCACAAACAAGCCTGCAGTATAGCAGTAAGGAGGGCCAGATCTTCGGGGAGAACTGCGACAACCGGGTCGTGTATAAGCGCAACCAGCGACCGGAAGCCTTGAGCCACGACGCGTTGAAGAATGTTCAGCACACACTGCAATACCTCGACAATTCTATCACCATCGGTGTTGATCTCCCGGACTCGCTGCGCTGGCCTTGACCGGGTTGTTTTTTGCGCCCCACCTTCAGCTTCTATTCCATCGGCGGCGGGTGATGTTCGATAGCCCCTCAACACAACATAGAGCATTCTCAACATCGTCCTCCAGTATTGAATCTGGTCAGGCGTGAAAGGGTTATCGATGCCATTGAGAGTTGTCCATATGACCTCAAGTAATTCAGCAATGTCTTTTGCCACAAGAGAAGCATCGGTGAGACGTTGTACGAGTACCATGGCCAGGTTCGCACGAGATTGTGTGATCCTCTGGAAGATGCGTTCAGGGCCTTGATTACCCTGGTTAGAGACCAGGCATTGCTCCGTGACTTGCATCATCTGTTTGGTGATCAATTGTCCTTTGGGCAAGAGACAGCTGCTGAGTTCCAGCAACAGAAATTCCCAAGCGTGAAAGAGAGCCTGTGCCAGGAATTAGTCTGTGTGTACCTTAAGTAGCCAGGCCGGGACAGCTTGAAGATTCTACTCACGATTTGTGCGTCCACGAGAGAGAGATTAAGGTTGGCCGCTGCCATCTCATGCCGAAAGCCATTTCTCTCTCGTGGTCCGGCCCACCCAGGGTCAAACCTCAACATCTTGTCTGCAAGATTGAGGGCATAGTAATATTCGTCACCAAGTTCCCTCGGTATCAATAGTGTCCGTTGAAAGCTTTCCAACGAGAAGCCAGGGTATTGCTTTGAGAAGTTTTTGGCAAAATTGGCATGTAGGGAGCTGTTGTAGCCGGACACTGTCACACCTTCACGTAGGTAGTAGTCGACATCATTAACGAGCTCTTGAGCAAATTCCTCCTCTCGCCCTGTTTTTCGTAGGTGGTATAGATGCATTGCGAGCGCCTCTGCAATGTAAGCCGCGATGCGAGCTTCATCACAAGCCTGGCTGGGGTTGACTTTCGCTGTCACAGAGGCTGATTTGAGCTGGCGAACGTAAGCTCGGAGCTCGGCCAGGCAGCTGTTATCCTCTTGAGACGCAAATACGGTCCATTGCCAGAAATTGTGGGCAGACGTTAACAGATCCAAGATTGCTAGTGTCTCTGAGGTGGACAGAGTGCGAATAGATCGCAAACGTGTCAAAGCTGTTCTGAGGATGGAGTCCGGTGCTAATTTGGACAGTTTTCCCTCGTTGCCCAAAGCTTCGCGCGGCGTTTTGCCCGTTAAAAGGCAGTTGGCCATCCAGTGTTGTCCATTACGCATGATAGTAGAGAAGAATTTCCATGTCTTCCTGGACACTGCCGGTCTCTCAAACGGCTTGTCCAATTGTGAAATTGTCTGCAAGAATGAGCGTGATATATGGGGACCCAAGTATCCGAGCAGGGACGGTGCCTCGGTGTCTTCGCGGCCGAGTCTCTCTGCCATTGCCCCGAGGAGGGATAGCACCGAGTTCTTGTAGGATGTATCTGTAGCACAGAGGCGAGCCAGTAGCGACGAACACTTGAGGATCTGATCCTCAATAGCGACTGTCGGCTTCCCGAGATAGTTTGCGACCCTGACCAGTGTCGTTGCAAAGTCCAGAACCGCAACTTGGCGTTTCGATATGATCTCCGACCGTTTGGGGTACAGTGACGAGTCTGGCATTCCAAGTGCGACAAGCATCGACGAAAGAAGTGGTTGAAATCTAAGCGAGGAGGACGAAGAGGACAGGAAACCATCGACGATATGCTGTGCTGCAGGTTCCAAAAACGCTGTCAGGGTGTTGGACTTGTCCGATGCACTCACGCTGAGCGAATAGGTGACAATGTTGTCCAATACCGGAATCAAATCACCGACGAGGATGCTCCGGTGAATTTCCGATGAAAAACGCCATGTCAGTGAGTTCTCGAGTATATCAATAGCGGTATGAGCTATTGACAGATTGACTTGGACCATGGCTTTGTCAGAGGTTCCTAGCCAGGGATTCTCCTTTTCGACTGAGCGCCCGCTGGCCTTGCTGCCAATTTTCTTTTGAATGGTGCCCTTCATTGCATTTGCGACCAGGTTGGAGAAGAACTTCACCACCGTTGATAGGAGCTCGAATCTTTCATCGACGAGGTCCAGCGTTCCAGTGATCCTTGACAGCCTTCCTGCCCTTGAGTCGCTAATCAAAAGATCACAGCGGGTCATGTATGACCATACACGGCCTGGGCAGATCGATAATATCGAATCTAGGAACTGAAGGCAGGTGGTCATGACGCGTATACGAGAAGCCTCCAGGTTCGCCAATTCGCCATCCACATAGTAGTCGAGGGTGTCGCAGATCACACTGACGATATCTTTCGTGCGCGGTAGAGCACGGCTAGCTTCCTGTAAAATGGCCAGCCCAGCCTCGACGTCTGCACTCGACGAACTGCTCTTTGCGGACGCCTTTATATTCTCGCAACGGATTGCTGTTGCCAAAAGAGACACTGTCTCAGCGAGTTCATCGGCTTGGAGCGGGCCGAGGGCCAGCTCGTATGAATCGGGTGCAAGATTGGCCTCAAGCCGTTTCCCCAGCAATGCAATGGTGGAGTGCTCGAACTGCACCTGCGCTATGTGACCGGTGTCAGAGGCAAGGTTTCCAAATGTTCCGGCAGGAATGCAAAAGGGCTCCTCGTCTGCGATAAGACGTTTGCGATTGGGTGATACAGCGAATAGTGGGAAGTCTTGGGTAAGCTCCAACTTGCCCAGTTCCTCCTCATCTGCCGTGAATTGCCAATACGGATCGGGCAAAGGAAGCGTCAGGGTCGGGGTCTTGAGCAGAGATTTCAAGATGAGACCCGAACGATCGTCTTCAGCCAGACACGTCGACAAAATCTTGCAAAGACTGGTGAAGGGAAGAAATTCGTATGGGTATCTTTGCAAAGCTTGCAGAATGTAAAACTGAAGGATGAGTGGATCGTCGAGAGCCACGGCCACAACATCGTCACTTAGCGACAAAGACTTCTTTTCCGGGATGTCCCAATATCCCTGGCCGGCGGAGAGTACCGCAAGTAATGTAGTGACAGGCTCCGATATGTAGCCGGTCACCGGAAAGCTGAACTTCAGGAAGTCGAGAAGGACATGACGGACTCTTGACCCTAGAGACGGGCGGAAAGCAGCATTCTGAGCCCCGCCCATACTGAGAGCCATGTCGGTCATGAAGTCGTATAGCTGGCCGCCAGCAGTCACTGCCCCAGCCAAATTCTCAACCTCCTGCAAGTCCCATTGCAGCGAATTTGAGGCGAAGGAAGTACTCAAAAACTGGTCATAGGACTGTGTTTCCATAGACACAACGCTTCCAGCAGATGAGCGCCTGCCTACTCCCGGGCGTTCCTCGACATGCTCCAATTCGCGTTCGAAACCCTCCTGGGCCTGTCGGTTTTGCTGCAGATCCCTCAGTTCAAGCCGCTCATGGTGCGAGCGCAGCATGCGCTGCAATATCAGGGCCCAGGAGAAGATTACCGGGCCGGATGTGAGCAGACTTGCGTTAGCCGCGTTGACAACCGATTCGTGTATTTCCTTCAAGGTGGAACCAGAAGTAAAGTAAGAATCCTCATTGACTTGAAGTGATATTTCGCCGTCAAGGAACATTATTGCTCTGGGAAGGTTCAGAATCCTCATGGAAATGATGCAAATCAAGTGCTTTATAGGCTGTATCACTTCAGCTGTAAGATCGTCAGACCCTTGCAGCTGATCGAGAAAGCCGTATGCGTCGACGAATCTGAACCAACGGGAAACAATGTCGGCAGAGAGAAAGACTGAGGAGAGGTCGATGATTCGGAAAATCGAGGCTAAGAGATGCAGTGTCTCTGTGAGGGATGTTCTGGTCCAAACAAGCTCCAGCTCTTCGGGGTGGACCTTTACATCCTTCACTGAGGCCCGCAAGGCGGAGTCCGGACTCGTCAGGCACTCGGGGACCAACTCAAGATATGTAGAAACAAGCTTCTCAAGCTGGCGTGTGTCATTCCTCACGTCCTTCAACAGTCGTTGGCCAAAGATGGTCATCAGCACCTGCGCTGATAGCTCTGCCTTCACTTCATTGATCTCCGAGAGTGTCTCGTTCAAGATCAGGTTGAGGACTCCGTCGACAAAAGCCATGAGATAGCGCCGCTCGGACATGTACAGGTCGACAAGGCGGCGGCGTCTGCCCGCCTGGGTGTTGAAATCGGCCCAGATGGTGTCAGCATCGGCCGTGTCGGCGGCGTTGACGAAAGCCAGAAGTGTGTTTGCTTGCGTTCCATCAGCACCGACGGCTTGGTGAAGATTTATTATGTCCTGGGCGGAGAAAGGCCCGGCGAGATAGCTCTGCGGCCTGTTCTGGAATTCGATTACGACGATGCGCAAAGCTGCAACCTCGTTGATCCCGACGCTGCTGCTCAACCACAACGAGTCCTCCTTGATGGCCTTGATGTCATACTTCTCATTAGGCGTAGGAGTGACGTGTATGGCGGCAGTCTTGGTCTCGAAATCGGCTCTTGACTGAGGAGTCGGTTTGGTGAATGCCGTGGCGGGAGACCGGATCAGGTCTGTCACGTAACGGTCTTGAAGAAAGTCTTTCAGGCATGGGCTGGTAAGGCGATCGGTGGAGGCATCTTGGAGAGCTGAGGCGACCAATTTCCAGGATCTATGGAATGATTATCATTAGTGTCTCTGCTTCCTCACGTGGGCAGGGTCGGGTTCGAGCTGCGCTGTTTTGGGCTGTTCTGGGCTGCATTGTTGACGTACAAGACCAGCTTGTCTCCCTTCAGGCACTCATCCAAGGAAGGGAAATAGACGCCATTTGGAGGCGAAGCCATGGTCGCAAGGCTCAGCAAGCAATGCGCAAAAGCCTCTGAGGTGCGATCATGGACAACAAGAAAGGCAGTGCCAAACTGTCGTCAAGATTGAAGGCTGGGATGAGGGGGGTTTGTGCTGCTGCTATGAGGTTTCGATGTTGGCCGACGCGCCAGACCTGACCGTGTATTATCCAGACCTTGTCGCCTGGGCGGTCCTCAAAATGTTAGCTCCAGCATCCCTGTCCCGTCAGAGCTTGGGAAGGGAGCCTATCAAACAGCAGCCAGGCCCCCACCAGCAACGAAGATGGACCCTGGCAGCACTGAGATTTGGCCTGCAGGGATCACCAGTCGCCGTTGCGGCACCGAGGCCAAAGATACGTTGAGTTTGTCTACCCGAACGGTCTGGAGCTTCAGTCGCCGCCACCTCGATATTTCGAGATTGATGTTGGATCATCTCCTTTGATCATTTGAAGAGTTGACACAGCCAGCCAGCCATCAGACACAATCTGAGTGAAGACGGATCTTGCCACATTGCCTTAAAGTCTCAAGGCCGTTGCCGTTCAAGCACACTTACTCACTCTGCCGACAGGAGGGGCAACTGACTCACCTGGGCGTGCTCTTTGAACATCATCTTTGACTCTTGGAATTCTCTCCCTACCACTCTTGCGGCGCTTTGTCTTGGCTGTGCTTGTTCAAAACTTCCAGTATGGCTTCATTGGACATAATTGATCATTCTCCTCATCATCCGCAGCCCTCTGCGTCTTTGCCCACCGCCTCCAATCTCGTCCTCATCGACAACTATGACTCCTTCACGTACAACGTCTACCAATACCTCGTCCTCGAGGGTGCTACCGTCACGGTTTTCCGTAACGACCAGATCTCACTGGAAGAGCTCATCGCCAAGAATCCCACCCAATTAGTCGTCAGCCCCGGCCCAGGCCATCCTCAGACGGACTCAGGCGTGAGCAGAGATGCCATTCGCCACTTTGCGGGCAAGATCCCCATCTTTGGCGTCTGCATGGGACAGTGAGTCTAACCCATCCCATTACGCATCTCCAAACTCAACGCTGAACCAACCTTGTACTTAGACAGTGTATATTGGATGTGTATGGTGGTGATGTCAGTCAGACGGGCGAGATTCTCCACGGCAAAACCTCGCCTCTCAGCCATGATTCCAATGGTGTCTATCGTGGCATGTCTCAAGGTCTTCCAGTCACGAGGTACCATTCTCTTGCCGGAACTCATGTGTCACTCCCGGAATGTCTCGAGGTGAGCTCGTGGATTGCAAAGGAGGACGGCTCAAAGGGGGTCATCATGGGCGTCCGTCACAAGGAGTTCACCATTGAGGGGGTTCAGTTCCACCCAGAGAGTATCCTTTCCGCCGATGGACGGATTATGTTCAAAAACTTCCTGCTTACTCAGGGTGGTACCTGGAAAGATGACCAAGAGCTCCGCACGGCTGTGGCCACGAACGGCGCCCACAACTCAGAAAACACGCCAAAGAAAAACAACATCCTGCAGAAAATATATGCTCACCGCAGAGCTGCTGTTGCCGCTCAAAAGCAGATTCCGTCTCAGAGGCCTGCAGATCTTCAAGCTGCCTATGACCTCAATTGCGCTCCACCACAAATTTCGTTCGTCGACCGTCTGCGACAGACTCCTTTCGACGTCTCATTGCTGGCGGAAATCAAGAGGGGCTCACCTTCGAAAGGCGTCTTTGCTCTGGATATAAACGCGCCGACACAAGCCAAGAAATACGCGCTCGCAGGCGCGAGCGTCATTTCGGTCCTTACAGAGCCTGAATGGTTCAAAGGTAGCATCGAGGACCTGAGGGTGGCGCGTCAGGCTCTTGAGGGCATGCCCAACCGGCCTGCCATCTTACGAAAGGAGTTCATTTTCGAGGAGTATCAGATCCTTGAAGCCCGTCTTGCTGGAGCTGACACGATTCTTCTGATTGTGAAGATGCTTGACACAGAGCTTCTCGAAAGGTTGTACAAGTACTCCCTCTCGCTAGGGATGGAGCCACTGGTCGAGGTTCAGAATGCCGAGGAGATGACAACTGCTATCAAGCTTGGTGCAAAGGTGGTTGGCGTGAACAACCGAAACCTCGAAACCTTCGAGGTCGACCTGCGCACCACGAGGAGCTTGCGAAGCATGGTACCCCAGGAAGTCATCATCTGCGCGCTAAGTGGCATCAACACCCATGCGGACGTCCAGGACTGCAAGAGCGACGGTGTGAATGCAATTCTGGTCGGCGAGGCCATCATGCGAGCATCCGATACATCCAAGTTCATCCAAGAACTATGTTCAGGTACCACGACACCTTCCCCAAAGATCGAGAATCAACCGCTGATTGTGAAGATCTGCGGAACTCGTAGCGCCGAAGCTGCTGTCGAAGCCGTCAAGGCCGGAGCTGACTTGATCGGCATGATCTTGGTACCTACAGCCAAACGTTGTGTATCACACGAGACGGCTCTGGCCATCTCGAAGGCAGTCCATGACAATCGCTCTACCAAGCACTTACCACAACCGGATTTTCCATCAAACATGGCTCGTGATTTTTTTGCAGGGTCCAAACGTAATTTGACTGTTAAAGGCGCCTCGCTTGTCGGCGTCTTTATGAACCAGCCTCTGGAAGAGGTTCTCGAGAAGCAGAAACTATACGACCTGGATGTTGTCCAGCTCCACGGCCGAGAGCCTGTTGAATGGGCCCATCTTATACCTGTCCCAGTCATCCGAAAGTTCCAACCGGGCGACCCTGGACTAGGTCTCCGCGGATATCACGCCATGCCTTTGTTGGACTCTGGCTCCGGTTCTGGTCTACAACTCGACCATGCTGCTGTTCGAAAGGACCTGGAGAAGGACGAGCACTTGGAGGTGATATTTGCTGGCGGCCTGAATCCCGATAATGTTGTCGAATCAGTCTCTGCCGTAGGTACTCTTTCGGCTAGGATTGTCGGTGTCGATGTGAGCAGTGGTGTTGAAGAGGGCGGTCAACAAAGCATAGACAAAATCAGGGCCTTCGTCAAAGCCGCCAAGTCCATCAGGTAGACTCCACTAGCACACGGCCTATTAGTCGACAATCAAGGACAGTCTTAATTCATTACGCGATACACGCCCACGTACCTGCCTCCCCTTGCTACCGCTGGTATCTATATTTTATGCGCTGAAAAGTCACTTAAGCCCGAACACGAGTTTTGATTGCATTTACAAATCTGATGCTTTGAGTGGTCTTCAAGCTGGTCCAAGACACTGTGGCTGTGGCGAAGCGAAAGTATATTGTGTCGCTGGAGGTATGAGCGTTCCTTGATCATGCGGCTGGGCTTCCGCGACTCTCTAAATCGGGTAGTGGCGATGCCGCTCGTAGCGTTTCGCCCTTCAAGCTGGTCCCAAGCAACCCGTGGGCTCTCCTTAGGGCCAAGAGCATCGAACGGCTACGCAACGGTCCGCCATAAGCACGACCACCATCATGTTTACACCAAATTGGCGTCGTCTATTCCCTGGCGGTTTTTCTGATTCATGCTAATTGGTAAGCCTCCACTTGCCAAAAGCCGGTGGAGGAGAGGTTCACTGTCCGTTTCAGCTTGGTCAGGGAAGCCTCCCCGACTCGTGGACAGACAGATCGCATGATATTGGACCATATGCACCTCTCACTACCAGTGCTCTTGGGATGCAATCCCACAACATTCTGATGCAAAGAGCCGTGATTCTATGGGCGGACACATATCGTTCCCCGATTCCGATGTGGACACTTCAGTACTCACACGCTCGTTGGCTCTCTTTGGTTGGAGCCCCTGTACCTAGCGCGCTGCATTGACCAGCCTTCTTGGCTTATGCCTGTTTCGAGCTATACAGGAGCTTACTGACATGGAATATCAGCTTGGGTGCTCGACAGCCCGTGAAAGCGAGATGGAACCGTATTCGGCTCCTGTCCCTCTGAGTCGACCTCGCTCTTGCTACAACTATGCTCGCATATAGTGACTGAACCTCAGCATAGTGTTACCCCTGTCTACATGCGGCATCGCTTAACATCCTTCTCTGCTTGTCGGGGTCCGGGCAAACACCGCAGAAGGTATGGGAGCTTGAATTTGGAGCTCCAAGCCACGGCGTTCTGACACGATGGCCCTCATGCGTGGGCAGGGAGGCAGCTCTAGCTTCGTAGTATAAAGGTGAAGCTCTGCTCCCTCTGAGGGCAAACTGAGTACCAGCTCATCAACAACATCTGCTTCAAATCCAACAGTCTCAGCCCCCTAGACCCCAACAATATCATAACTTCCCGGAGAAGTCATCACTACCCACCACTTATCAATATGTCGACCACTGTGACCATTGCATGGCTTCCTGTTAAGAAGGATGCTGAGAGCAGCACGGCTGTCGCCAGTCTGAAGGGGTTGAAGGATGCGAAGCTGGCAACTCCAGGTCTTGAGCACGCTTACCACGGCAAGGGGACCGATCCCAACGAGCCTCCCGCTGTTGAAATTATAGATAGTGAGTCCTCCGAGTCCTCTCTCTTACCAGTGACTAACTGCTTCAAAAGTCTGGTCTTCCGCGGACGCAGCCAAGGCAGCTGCCTCAAGCTCTCACGCCGCTGAGGTCAAGAAGCTGTTCGAGGAGATACTCGACAAGTCGAACCCCGAGGTCCGCCCCGTTCACAACCTATTCACACTCAACGGCGACTTCGTCAAGGTCGCCGAGTCTCCCATCGTGCAAATCGCGGCTACCATCGTTCCCACCTCGGTCAGTGCCTCGGACTTCGAGGCCGCTTTCAACGACGTCGTGAAAGCAGGCGGTGCGCCCGACGGCTTTGTCGCCGGGGCCCATGGATGGGGCGCGGAGGAGATTGATCACCCCAAGGCCGGAAAGTCCAAGGTATTCCTGGCGACGAGTGGTTGGACGAGCGAGAATAAGGCCAATGCGGCCAAGTCGGGTGCGGAGAAGACGTTCGAGCCCCTGAAGAAGTTCACAGAGCATCACCATGTTCGCACAACCGTTCTCACCAAGGAGAAATGAGCGGGCTTTTCCATAGGTCACGAATTGGGAATTTCTGAGCGGTATTTCTTTGGTAGTGACAGACATCCATAGGCTATGTACGCATCGTGCAATCGGTCGTTAGGCTGATCTCAAAAATAACATGCGATATAAGCACCTCCTCCAGAGCGCATCGGCTGCCTTTCACATATATCGTTCACCGTGCAAGTCGGTCATCATCTCCGCACCCAACAGTAAGCGGAAGTTTCTATCCCGCATTTTACCTTGTCAGAGCGCCGTTTGCTCTCAATTTTGGTTAGCTGAGCCCAGCTGAGAGTCAGGTTGCCTCAAGTGCTAAGCTCTTCTTCCTGCGGCAGCTTTCTTCTTCTAACTTGATCAATTCAACTTGAACATAGCCCGGGCTATCGAATAGAGACTTGAACTTCCATGTTACCGGTGCTATCGAGTTCGGAACATAGGCCAGAACGTTCTCACTCGTCCAACCCCGACCTACGGGGCCTCACTTCGCTCGTTCTCTTTCCTGACCTTTTGTCGTAACCATACTCAGGCCTCGACCATATCTTAAACAAGAAGAAAAGCACTCAGCTCCCACATGCTTTAGAAGTGCGCTGACATCATACCTCAGACGTTCTCAGCACATCCAGCTTTTGGTGTCTGGTCTAGAGGTCCGATATCTGCGCCACCGGCAGTCGGTCCATCGAGACCATTACTGTTGTTTCCTAACATAAGACTTCAAATCAGAGATCCCATCTCTCCGATTTGCTTCTTGATACCTGGCTCCCTCTTTGAGAAGCCATCATCTTCTTAGATCCCGCCTGAGCCCAAGCTTCCGGCTTGGAGATATTTCGGTCTATCGTTTGAGTGAATCCTTCCACTTCTTCCATAACTTGATGTGTCCGACATTCATACTTATCAGCCATATGAGGATATACGATAGAACCTGATGCCTTTTCCGCTCTCAACCCTTCGAAAAGCTCATCAACATCGTCCTTGCCCTGTTGCTGCACAAAATGGGCCACCTCAAAGGCGTCGTCGTCTGCATTTGCGGCGACCTACGCTCAGACAAAGACAAGAACAAAACAATCCGTGAGCAGTTTACTGATGAAAACATCAAGAATTGGCTCAAATACCGCGGTGGCAAACTCGTCGAGGAGGTCAATAAGACTACTACCCATCTCCTCTGCTCCAGATCCGCCTTCAAAAACAAAGATCCCATGGGTAAGTTTCCCGGTCTGCTCATTTTGAGTTTGCCTTTTTCCCTTGTTTGCAAAATGTTTGGATAATCTTCAGCGTGATCTAACTGATTCCCGACACACGCATAGTCCAGTCCGCTCGGAAGCGTGGTTGCTACATTGTCACTTACGAGTGGCTGGCCGATACTATACAGCTTCATGATTACCATGATAAAAAGAAAGCCCCTCCCAATCTCTATCATCCTAGAAGAGCTCGCGATGGTGATGCCATCTCGAACCTTTACACGGGAAAGAAGAAGCGCAAGACTGCTAAGCAGGCGCCAGTGGGAGCATTGGAAACCGCCGCCAGGGATGGTGATGATGAGACCAAAGCTGAAAAAGGAATTGCTGAAACTGAGATAAAGCACTCAACCATTCCAGAGGAAACAGACCCTCCAAATGTGTCCGAAGCACTCGAGAAAGAGAGCAAAAAGGTTGTCGATGACAAGAAGAAAGCAGGCATTCTCGCCAACAAAGCGAGCAGTAAGGCCGCTGGAAAGGCCGCTGGAAAGGCCAGTACGAAGCCCAAGAACAAGGAACCTCCTGTCGACCTCAGCCTCTATTCCGTGTGCAAGGACGAGCCCGGCCTGCACTCCATCGAGGTCTCGAAGCCTGGTTTGCGATTGATCCTCGAGCTTTTTGAGTCCAAGTCAGAACCAAAAAAGTTCTTGTTCGGCGCCAGAAAATACAAGACCAAAGACCCCGGGTTCTGTGCCAGGTGCTTCCCGAGCAGCGTTCCTGGAAGCAAGAAGCATGAGTTCAAACAGTTCAGGTTATTTTTTTGGCAATGCACAGGTGTCCATTGGCACCAACGGAACTCAGTGCCGAGCAAGGGGCCGTTTTACTACCAGTCCCCAGCTCTACCGGAAAAGACCACTATCAGTACCGGGCACAAGGAAACGTCCAGCCAGCTTGGGGGAACTAAGAAACGACAATCTATGGGTTTTGAAGCCTTTTCTCGCGAGCACTGCGATCACAAGACGTCGATGAAGAGGAAGAGATGCTACTCAGAAGAGCTTACCCCTGCAAGAGCCTTGAAGGTATCGAAGCCTTTGATTGCTGACAACGCATCTAAGACCACCAATGGTGAACCCACGACTTCGTGAGCGTGGCTTGATTCAGAAATGCTGGTCTCAATGAGTGATTGGTAGGCCCTGACCTCGCATCTCAGGGGTATTTGATTTGCGTTGCTTTCAGCGGTGCTTTTGCTTTCAACAGAGTGGTCGGCGAGACCACAACAGAGCCTGGTGGCACAAGTAAGTCTGGGCTTGAGTGATATTTTGGAACAGCGAACAGATTTGAGCGGGAGTGAGTCGCCTTGGGATTGCTATGCGTTCTTCATCTTCTAGCGCGCGACTCCACGCGCACGACGTCGAGATTTGTGATGGAGAACATACCATCCACTATGGCTCGGTCTTATGTGGACGGTTGCATGGGCTCGGGGGAGAGCATTTTAATGATCAACGAGGTGCATGTGGAATTGCTCGGAATGGCAATTGCACGGCATCAATCAGCGACCCAATAGACAATGCGATGAGTTTAGGCATTTTGACAAAGTCAACAGTCTACCCCATTATGCTAGTGATGTCCTCGGTCCAAAGTAGGTTCATGACCGGTTTTGCAGCGCCATGAACTCCGTGTGCTCACGATGCAGTGCGAAAAGCAGTGGATATAAAAGCCGTGCCTCGGTATCAGAATCGCAGCTTTGGCAGCACAAAAACGACCAGCACCAGCACGACCATGAGTCCGTAAATCCATGCGTACAGTATAACTCGTCCCCACCAGCCCTTCCCTTCCGTCATTCGCGTTAGGGCGCCCATTCTCCTCGCCGCCGCCTCAAGGCCAAGCTCGTTCTTGCTAAGCCCCTTTCCGGCCAGCTCGGTCATCTCCTTGTCCTCCTCGAGAGCCTCGCTGAATCTGAGAGATGACAACTTCAACTCCTTAGTGATCTTGCTCATCGCCTCCGTGATCTTTTCCTGTTCTCTTCGCTCGCGGTCGAGTATAGCTTCCGTCGTGGCAAGATCGGACACTTCTACAGAGCGGTCACCCAGTAACAGAGATCTTTGCGTGGTGGCGCCTGTGGTTTGTGCTGTGTCCAACCCCTTCTCTGTGTCTGACGAAGCAGGCTGTTGGCCCCTCGGCCGGAGAGTATGTGACGTGAGTGTGTCCGGTTTCTCTGATATTACCTCCTCTAGGGTCTCCACAATGCGCCCGTTCGCCCCATCCTGCAGCGCTTCTGTTACGCCTGGTTGATCGTCTCCTCCCGTATCGTGCTCAGGCAAACCAGTCGACCTGGAGTCCATGCTCTGACTAGGGGTCGCAATTATCTCGCTCAAGATGTCGTCTTCCTCGGAGCTTACATCGTCATCGTCGTCGACGGCGTGCGCGCTCAGCTCTTCCAGGTCCCTCATCCTTTCCGTCACCTGTTCTAGGAGATCTCGCTTCCGGTTGAGGTCGGCCTGTATCTCCTGCCTCCTTGCATGTACTTTGATGCCAAGCGCATCTTGCTGCAGCCTCGTGAGTAGCAGTCGCGCGTAGTCGATGTTCTGGTCAGCGCACCACGTCAGTCCACAGCTCTGCTTAGGTAGGAAGAGACAGAATCTTACGACGGTGACTTTCTCGCGCTCGAATTCACTGGTCCTGAGCCTCCGTTCCCGTTCTGCATCAGCTCGAAGGATGGTCTGCCGGAGACGGCCGAGGAGGCGATCCAAGTCGACTAGTGGGTCTGTCGGTTTGGATGTTTGTGGAGGAGCGAGAGGATCGAAGGTGAGTTGCGCCATGTTGTACAGAAGCGAAGTTCTTACTGCTTAGAGAATGTTTGTTGTTGTTTCCAGCAAGTATGCTCTCAGGTTTGGAGGGGCGGTTCGTCGTTGAAGAGCTGTGGCGCGAGCTCTCTATAATCTAGATACTCGGGGATCAAACGTGGCTGAAAGCTGATGGGCATACCATGCACATGCCTACAGGTACCGGGAGACTGGGGTACCTGGGCACACAGATGCCGATCTTGAGATTGGTATAGTACAGTACAGTAGTGTGTGAATGTCCTCGTTACCAAGAATTCAAGGGCTTGTTGATGATTCTGCAACCTTCCCATATTCCGAGTCTCACCATTCTCAGTTAAGCTTCACATTCAGGATTTGGTGTGGTATTTTTTATATATTCAAACACGGCGCAATGTATTGCAAGTGTACATGTCTTCACAGCTGCTTGGGTGAATGCCCAGGGGTGCGCGTACCTTGACACTTTGGTACCCACCCTGAGTGGGTCAGTAGCGCTGACCTTAAAACAACCCCTGTCCCCAGTGTGGTCTTCAACTCTCAGGCGCGGACACCCTTGAGGCTCAACGGCCATCCCTCTCCAAGGGAACTTCGACCTCGTCTTAAATATCTTTGGACCCTCTTCGATCTACCGCATCGCACCAACTTCTTAAATCTAGAAGTCATCCCCCGGTTTCCACGCCAAGGGTCGTTGATCTATCAAGATTTGGGCACAATGGCGAAAGAAAAGCAAGTCGCGACTGACTTTCAGAAGCTCATAACCGAAGGTGCGCCTTTGTCGCACGTCGCACCCCCTTGAGTCGCAAGCCTAACAATGCTTTTCGAAATATACAGGTCGCGAGCGCAAACAGGCCCAAGATCTCGCTGCGAAGGTCTTTAGAAGAGACCGAGTCTCATCGGCACCACCCAGGTTCAACGGCACTGGGGGCTCCCTCGCCAGCCGCGCCGGAATCAAGAAGGTGAGCGCTCTGCCCTGGACGCGATCAGTCCGCACCGCACCGCATGGCACCGCACACGCAGAAGCTGACAATGGGCCCTTACGCCGAACTCACACAGCGAGCTCCAAATTCACCAGCAGTACCGAAACCCGGCAGCCTCGCTGCTCGCATCCACGCCCCGGGCACCCAACCCCCATCCGCGACCACAAATGCCAGGGTGCAACGCCGCGTTGAGGCCCGACAAAATGCCCTGCTGCAGGCGGAGCACGACTCAACGGTCGCAGCCCAGGTGAATCTGGTCAACACCAGCAGGAATAACACTGCGAGTCTCGGGGGCAGGCGACGGGGCGGGGGACTTCAGCAAGTGGCAGCACAACCACCGCCGCAACCGTTAAACAACGGGATAACCATTCGAGGTCTGGCCGGTCCATTTGTTGTCATAGCGCAGAACCTAGCCCCCGGAACGACGGCTGGCGACCTCGAGAGCGCGATGACGCCCGTCGGCGGGCTTGTCAACAAGTGCCGGATCATCAAGACACACCCAATAGTGATCGCTGAGATTGAGTTCCAAACTAAGGAAGGTGCCGATCGGGTCATTGAGAGGTTCAACAACCAATTGGTAAGAAAAGGAAAACCCTGGGGCCTTCCATGCGGCTGCACATGAGATACGTTACGATACTGACAGTAATTCTCAGGCTGACGGACGGATCTTACACGTCTATCCCAAGGTTGGAGGACCGCCAACAAGCCCGCTTCGAGCTCCTCGAGCTCCAGCATCCCAGGGGAACGGTGTTCTAGTTGATGGTTCGATGGGTTTTGAGCCCATGCAGGTGGAGGACAGCACCAATACGGGACTGTACAGCGATGATCTCGTTGGTTCGACCAACACACCGGCCCACAATCGGAGGGGCCGAGGGTTCCGAGGTGGCCGCGGTGGCAACAGTCGTTAGGGACGCTTTGACGCCGACTACAACGTGAAACCACGACGTACAGACCTGTTCGATCGGTTCGACGGTCATCGTGAGGCCAGAACGTGGGGATACGGTGACAACTCAGGTCTGGACCACTATCAAGGCCGATCACCAAGCAACTCAGGCTACGCCCAGAACCAACCCCCCCGCGACTGGGCTTATTGAATCTGGTCCTTCTGAAGCCCACCAGAATCTGCAATGGGCGTCCTTAGTCTCTATCGCATGGTTGCTATGGCTGTGTGGATAATAATCTGACAGTATCACGACCGGGTCGAAGCTTGGGCTCGAAATGATTTCGCTGGAGGGATAGCATCAATGGTCCCTTCGTTTCGGATTGCTGGAAATGGATAGCGAGATATTCATGTACTTGTAGGAAGGTATCAATACGAACGGCATGCCTTCACCCAAACACTGTCATGGAGGCCCATTGAAATGTCCACCTAGAGTAAAAAGTGAGATATGGATCTAGGGGAACAAGCTTGAAGATGCTGGCCCTCTCGTGTAGGAGCAAAGCCGACCAGATGACATCCAACCTTCATTATCATAGGGATCGAGATGGGAACCAAGTTCAAGGGAGTTGGGCGTATGTACGGCTCTTTCTGGGCCTTGCGGTGTCACTCCAGAGAGATTCGCTCAGTGTTGCCGGTATTTATAACGAGGAGGTCTACTGTAGCTTCTTTGAAAAGTAGATTTTCCTCAAGCTCGTCATAGTTCTATTGCTTCTTCTTGGGGTCCCTGGTGATGCTCAAGATCTTGACTGAATTTAGAGCTTCTACTTGGACAGGGGAGGGGGACAACAATTCAACTATGTGTCGAGTTTGAAGGAAGACCCAGAATCAGAGTGACATGTTTTTTTTTCCAAAGAATTTTCTCGCATGCGATCGTTGGGAGTGATAGAACACCACTTGTAGGATCAGTGTGTTTGTGGATCGTTCCTGTGCCCATGCTCTTCTCTTCCTTGGCAATTTCTAACCATTCTCGTCTTCATTCGACTGCGTAAATTCCCCGAATAAACATTTTGACTTTTAAAATGGTGTTTGTAGCACTCTAAGTCGACATCTCGCGCTTCGTTGTGTCTATGTTATGCTTACTGGCTCGCAGGCGTTTCTTCAAATGCATGTCTCTCATACGGTGTCCAGTCATAATTAGAATGGACACAAGGAACTTCAAGACGCTCTCAGTTGTTAATATTGCGTTGCATCTGACCAATAATAGCTCAAACTCGGTAGATTGATATGGCCGAGGCCCCTTCGTGCTGTATTCGACCGTACTCTAGACCGCGGGTCCCCTTCCCGTGTTTAATTCCCTGGAATCCTGACGATCTCATGACCACATTTCTCGTTGTATCTGTGGGCTTGGTCCCTGATTAAAGAGTCTGTTGCCCCAAATGGTGAGACTGTTGTCATGTTTCTCAAGGCTTGCACCTGTCACGCTGTGGGACGTGAACATTATGTGACATCGATATTTGTTCGTAAAAAGGTAAGAAGGTACTCGCGGCATGAAGGACATAGAGGCTTTCGGTTCATCTATAACGTGTTGCAGGTAGATCCGCATCTGTTTCAGCCTTCTCAGACTCATGGATGTCTTTTCTCGCAAGTCGCACCGGCACACAAGGTGCATTCATATCTGTGCAGCTCAAGTACAAGAGTTTTTACTTTGTAAACAGCTCAACACCATGGTCGGTTCCGTCTCAGGCCACACTAATAGGATGCCCGAGAGCTGAAGGCAGAGCTTCAGCGTCATAATTGACAAGATGCCGTTGTTGTGCGTGGCAGTGCGCAGCCATGACCCCCCTCGCGCCACACGACTGTACAAGCATATTGGTCGAAGTTCAATGCGGCCGTCATGCCGAAATACTGCTTCCAATTCCAATCTCGGAGTGTACCAACGTTACGCAGTGTTGGTAGTTGTACAACGGCCTTGTGACAGTGTTGAGAAGTGGAAAAGGTCGGCACTCAAAATTCGCAAGCAAATCACAAATTGGCGGGTTCAGGATTCTCTTATGGAGCAATGGATGCCAGACGAACCGTACGACAGCAAACAAGTTTCATGATTTTCACGGCTGAAAATATCTGTGTCTTTGAATGCGACGATATATGTTCTACACCTGCTATGGTGAGAATTGTAGCGAAGCCGTAGCTGGGTCAGTGTGCCCCCGTCGATTGCTGCCCACTGCAGAGCTCCAAGACCTATGATTTGCACACTGTGAGCTCGAAATCTCTCAGTTTGACCTTGGAGAAAGGGTATCAAGGTGTCACACTCGCATCATCAAAACCACGGTGACTTCTGTAGTTGGTGGTTGGTCTCACGCGCAATGCCTTGCGCTCACACCGAGGAACCAATGGGCAGACCAACGCATTCTAGTAGCTGAAACTGAATTCAAGTCTTATTCTCAGATCTATGTACACGGGACTCTTTTAAAGCCCAGCTCAGTGGGGCGGGTGAGGCCGAGACAGAGGAGGGGTTTCACCGACTCCCTCCACATCTTCGAGCGGGTATGACGTTTGCGGAAGCGCTTGGAGGTGCTCGCGGTGATGCTCATTTGCCTGTGAAGGTTGGGTCAGCCATATGAGCCTTTGTAGCCGTATGCTGGGCAGTCCGGGCTGGGGAAAGGAACGTACGTAGGGCAATCCGCAGTAGTTGCAGACGGCGATCTCAGGCTTGTCGGTGTTGATGAAAATCCTGGGGTGTCCGTGAGGGCCACCACCGCCATCACAAGACACAACCCGGTCGTGAGTCCAGCGGACGGGCTGCTTGTGGATGAGCTCCATGGCTGAGTAGGATTGGGGCTGTAGTGATGGTTAGTGAACTGTAGCGGACGCGGGCCACGCCCTTCCTTGCAGCCTGCGCACCTGGAGATCGAAGTCGGTCTGCTCAAACCGAGGACCCGTCATAGCCTCCTGCCGCGGCCGCTGACTCCTGGACCATATGCCCTTCCTGTTCGGCGCCTGGGGCAGCTCTGTCGGCACCTGGCTCTCGGTCTTCGGGACGGGGGACTCTGTCGAGGGCGTGGGCGCCACGGACTTGGTGTCCAATTGACGGGCTGTGGTGGTGAAAGATCGTGGCGCGAGTCGCACGAGCCCGCGGGCTGATCGGAAGCAGGTCGACGACAGCATGGTTGGTGTAGGCCTCGCCGAATGCGTGGTTCTGGTTGCTGAGGATGCTTTGCTGCGACGTCAGGATCCAGAAGCCTTGGAACGGTCGTTCGTAACTCAGGAAGCCGCCGCAAATCGCTAGCTCGTGATTCGCTAGCGTTTCCGGGTCAAAGCTCCACTGAGCCGCGGCGGGTCCCTCGCCAATACTGCGAAGCGGGCTTGGGGAACTTTTTTTGGGCGAGATTAATTGTCGGCGTCCCAACCGCGTCGCCTCGAGTCTCACTACTCTGATCTAGCCAACGACGAGACTGTGCGCATACTTATTCCGCAGTTTTTTTCCCCCAATAGTTCCTGCGATACTTTCTAGAGACTATTGCAAGGGATTTCTTTTTCTGACACAAACTTCACTGTCCCGCCCTGCTGTACATCTCTGCAAGGTACTCAGACCATTGTTGGTAATCGTCTCTGGAATCGAGCGCCGACGCAATGGCTTCCCAAACGCCTACAGGCGCCTCTCAGAGGCTGCTCACCATGAAGTTTATGCAGAGAGCAGCTGCAGCAACTACTTCACCAACATCGCCGAGCACTCCGACGTCCGACGACAGGCAAACATCCAAACGACGAAAGATTTCTGGACAGTCCTCACTGGGTACTCCCCAGACACCAAGCTACGTCATTGATCACAAGGCGGCGCAAGCTGCGATAGAAGAGGAGGAGAGAAAACGCCAGGAGCATGCGGCGAGGCAAGCGGAAAAGCTGGGCGACTCTCACTGGGTTCTTGATGCCGCAAAACTCCCCCGCCCAGACCGGCAAGCCGGCAAGCTCCTCAATGTGGTGCAGGTCGGGTTCTCGCAGATTGACAGCAGGGGAGGAGTGGAGGACGAGCAAGCAAGCGTTGAAGATGCTACTACCAGAAGTGACGGACCAAGTTTGAAGACCTACGGCCCTAGGAAGGAGGCTTCCAAGAAAGACGCAAGTTTCTAACATTCCGCCTGACTGTGCTCATACTGATATCTATCTGGTTGCAGGAAAAGAGCGACTCAGACTCAGACAGCGACTCTTCGGATTCGGGATCATCTGGTTCGTCCAGTGAGGATTCTGCCGAGGAAGGACCAAGCCAATCTGGTCGCGTTAGTTACGGGTCACAAAAACGCTCGGAAATTCGGTCCAGGCAAAGTGCCGAACGTGAGAGGGTCCAGAAGCTGGCCAAAGAGCGTCGCAAGAAAGAGGTCAAGCTTAACACGCTGACTTCGATCTCCGGCGGCTCGAACAATTTTGGACGACGACGATGAATAATGTCCCTCGGCCCTAGAGGAACTCCACTGATCATCTTTCGCTTTGCGACGTCTGAGTTGTTTAACATACACAGGTGATATCTTGACTAGATCCTGCGTTTGACTTGCTTGCAGCTAGCAAAATCCAGGAAGTAGCGGGACCTTGCAGATTGATGCGACTTACCGTTGTACGGGCTGTTGATGTTGCATCGTCTGCTGAAGTTGATATGCACCGAGGAAAGTATGAATGGAGCGAATCTCGCCGTGGTTTCAAGACCGGGCAGAGGTGCTTTTGCTCCAGACGCTGCCGCGAAAGTTGCACTCGACCCTTGGGATCAGTAAGCAGCGCAACTGCCTGCATGCATCCGGTTGCTTTTCGAGTGTCCGTCGGACATGCCGAACACAAGCGCTGAATACCGTTGCATGGCGTGTTCCAGTGAGGCGGTTTTACTTTGCCAGCTGTGGGCTTTCGACCGAAGGCCGAAGCGTTTCGACGTTACAGTCTCCAGAGACCTGCTCTGAGCAATATGACTCGCCGCTACGGTTGAGATGTCTTCAGGCTGGGAAAGACACATGCCGAAAACCATCCATTAGCCAATATCACATCGCAAATATTAGCATGGCGTGTGGTTCTATTATTACGCATGATTTGAAATTCTAATTCTATAGCTCCGCAGAAATTGGCATATGTTCTAGATCGTGACGTGCGTGAACTTAGTATTTTGGCCCTTCTCCGGTCCTTGCTCCAGCTTTACTGCCAACGGCGGGACCCACAACGCCAGCAGCCTGCGGTACGGAGACGTCATCGTCAGGGCGGTCGCTCAAGTCCTGACGCTGAGCGAGGCGAGGTGTCATCCTGGGCTCCGCGAGCGTCAAGATCGCTTTCTTCTGTCGCACTTGAACCGACATGACACCAACATTGTCAACTTGCGGACCACGATCTGCCTGCAGTGTGCCTCCGAGAAGCCGGCACCGGGATCAGCGTCGACAGCGTCAGTCTCTGGAAGGGCCAGCGGCTTTTACATCATGTGTGGGAGTCCAAAAGCGCTTTCGAGAGCCTGACCACAGCCCAGGGCTGGACAAGCGGGATGCCGTCGCCATCATCAAGATCCCCTAGCCGGCTCCGACGCAGCTCATCGCCCGAGAAGGTCTGTCTTGCTTGGGCCGTATAGTTCTTAGGGCGATCTTCGACTTGCGCTGTTAATTTGTTCTGGTCTCTTCTTTTGGAGGCATACATAAGTTCTTGTATATATACCTAGTATTGCAAAGGTTTTATGGAGCCATCTGGCTCCGAGAAATATGAACCTTGTGCCTCACACCTCTTCCTATGGGCAATGGCCGTCTTTGGAACTGCCAAGCTCTTGATGGCCGGGAGAACTACGAACAATTGGCTTTGATGTTCCTAGCAGGAAAGTGGTTGTTCATTTCAATTTTGGCTACGGAGGGTGCGCTTCCAGAGCATATGCACGGGCGGCCGTCGGCCTGCGTTTGTATGTAGTATCTAAGTTACGTACCAAGATTGGACTATCACTTACAGCAGTGACTGGTACGGGATCTCCACTTGGTTTCCCAACTCAAAACTCCACCACATTTATGGAGATCAGTCTCGCAACTACTAATCATTTTCTTACACTCATCAAGACCTTGGGAGGGTGACTTTTGTACATAGCTGATTTCATGCCTAGAGACACAAACCGAAGGCTTGTCCGCAATGATGAGCACCCAAATCTGAGCTCGTTTATTTACTTACTTCAAGGCTCCTGCTGTCAAATTGTATATACCTCGATCTGCTTTGGAATCTATGTGGGCCGCAGCATGTCTACAAAGTGAAGAACAAGTGGGGAAAGTTGTTGCTTGGCACGGGGCGAGCATTGTTCTGGATTATGTTTGTCTCCTTCAAATTTCCCATGAGTGCTTTGAGGCGGTTGCTTCGCACAGTGGGCACAGACAAGCCCTAGGCGATGGATGTCACGATTGGCCTGCTTACATAGGTACCGATTTACACATTCAAATTTAGCTACAGAATATGGCCTCGGACCTCTAGACTGCAGTGGCCCTGGATCCCGGACATTTAGCTATCTTTCAGTCACCGTTCTTCTCTTCATTGGCTCTGGCTCGACCGGATCGAATCGAATTTGGCCCCATCAAACCATCTTGTATAATTACCTAGGTCCTCAGTTAGAAAAGAGGACTTCACTAACATCGACATTCCGTCGCGTCCCAGCTTCAGGCAGCGTTCACTGTATGCTGGCCCATAATTACCCGCGCCAAGTTATCCGATTTGAATAGAGGGCTAGTTGATATTGAGTGCGAATGGGTGAAATACTGAGCATCACCCACTACGTGTGAGACGTGCTTTGAATGAGTTTGTCTTCGCTGACCAACTGGGTCAGGACACGATACTTTGGACTCCCAGGGTGACTAGGGCGATTAGGTACCTAGGAAGGTAATTGCAGATGCCTGTGGTCAGTCAAACACTGACTGGTCTTCCAAATTGCTGCGGAGCCTCGATAACTAGTATGTGTTCTATATAAAGCTTATAGTCATCGGCCCGAATATTAAAGAGTTGTCATAAAAGCCCAAATATCTGTAGAATAACCTCTCGTGGTCAAATCTGCCTATGATAAGAGGATGTTAGGGACCGTCTACAAGGTACTGTATTACAAGGTGTTGTAACACAGTCTGCAGCAAATTGACCGACGGTTTTCCCATAGTTTCGTTTTCGTACTCTTATAAATCTGGGTACATTCGGTTGTTTGGGATGCCTGCAAGCTGTAGATCGATCAACGTTCCTACAACATAATATTGGCTGGCAAGCCCTGGGGGAATCTAATTGATACCCTGGGTGTCAAAAGACTAAATAGGGATCAAAGTTCGCCCAATGTCGCATTCGGCATAACTGCCGAAGTCCCACAAAGATATGTCAACTTTGACAAACGCCCTAAGGCATTGCTCATCGTACGTCTTCATGTCTTGTGTTATCAAAGGTGGAAAGCTCCGTCGTCAATAGTGTAAGAGACTAGACGTGCTTCGTTGCACCCGCTTTGCCCCTCTTGTAGCAGGACGCTGGTGCGCCTATGGCGGGCCGGATTGGCCGGCACCAGCCTACCGGCTTGTGAGATGTCGGACACGCCTTGTCAATCGCTTCTGTGATAGCGCCCACAGACTCGCGGCAGTGCGTACTTACGAGGCAGGGACGATAGAGGCGTGTTGCTCTCACATTCGCAATCTCCGGACTTTCACAGGGATAACACCGGGGAAACAACCGGGGCTCGAGCGGCGAGCGGGCGAGCGGGCCTTCGGCCGGTACTAGCTATAGCAACCCGCGATATACAGAGTTGACGACCGGGATTGCCCCGTGCGAAAAGGCGCGGAGCCGCGCTGCGTATCAACATGCAGGTGCATGTTCTGGAACGATGATCTTACCACCTCGCAGGGCACTGGCGATGCATTTGGGTAAGTTCGTCGAAATGTGCCATTGCCACGAGCTGAAAGAAGGCTTATTCCAGGCATTGTCGGCCGCCTTCCATCGCCCGATGACACATAGCCATGGGGGCCCTCGGATCCGACTTATGGGCGACATCTTCGTCTGAACTCTCGGGGCCGCCTCCTGGCCATGGGGACTTGTGCTGTTCATGTACACCGAGAGAATCAGAAAAATAGATATATACACGTGCTACTTAGTGCGAACACGGCCGACAGATCTGCGCAGCGCCTGCGTCTCGATGATGCAGTCATGCCCTAAATGCATGCATGACTGGCATCAGCAAGGGTTATACATAAGTGCACGCCTGCTGGGTAGGTATGCATGTGGACTATGTCTGCAGCAGAAATCCAGGATATACGACGATTTCGATCGAGACCATGGCACATTTGGACCCGCCCGAACCTCTATGGTTCCCTACCAACGTTGCCCAGTTGATGCTTGTAAAATCCGCAACGTCACAGCTTGTGCTGGCCTCGCCCATCGACGAGCCACAGGATGGTTGACATGATGTGTACAAATAATTTGTAGATCGAGCACTCCTGGTGGCCTCTCCAGCCATGGCCCAGGGAATGCGTAGATAGGAAAGGCGCCAATATCACATCCTCAAAAGGCATCAATCACTTCCGCTGGTGTCATCGATCCCGGCAGTCGAGGAGCTGGCGCGCGCGGCTCACACCGTCCCGCTGGGTCGGATTCAGCCCCCTCAAGGCGGCACAGCTTCCAAAGCCAGTCTTCAGGCTATATAAAGCTGGTACGGTATGGAGACAGGATGCAGCGCCGCTGGCCTCAAATCCTTCGTACCGATCCTGTTGGGACATGGGTTTGCTTACGTATTTCCACGATTTCTTGACCTCACGGCTGACAACCAACTCCTCCAAACGGCCCGCGCGCTGATGCGGGATCAGACTGTTGGAAGTGAAACCGATGATCCCAGGTGGCAGTGACGGCATAGCAGGCGGTGTGGGGATCTAGTGAGGAAGACAGCGGGTCACATTTCTTCGTCCCGACTCATTGACACTGCTGGCTGGCCTGGCGGGGGGAGGCCATTGGATGTCGAGCGGGCGCAAGAGGAAACGTCTGTTGGCGAACATGTGCGAACAAACATGTGTCCTCGGGCACCACGGGGAGAGAGCCCAAGGATGTGCGCCGTTGACTGCTGTCTGAGCGACTCAGCGACCACACTGTATCATGATTCCAGACTCGTGTTCCGGCACCTTTGCTGATCGTAGTGGTTGTGCTGGCGCACCACCTTTTCGCCCCGTCAAGGGGGGGGAACGAGGTCGTTCACAAGGAGTCCCTGGGCTCTCCATCGAGGGCCAGGGAGCTCAGAGGTTGCTAAAACGACGACCGAAGGCTACGTGCGCCCACTTTAAGGGAGTGGCGTGGGCTTTGAAGTGTTAGGCACGGGAAGGGGGTCAAACAGCATTTGGCTGCCACGTGGGTCCGGACACTAACACCCGGCACGTATCTGTGGCCACTCGAGGCCTTGAAGAAAACAGAACGCAACGCAGATTTGCTTTGCATCATCACACACTACCACCTACCTACACAGTAGATACCTGCCCACTCACTACCGATCAGTCCTACCTTGGTACCCACGAGAGACATCGAGCACCACATCCCTGGAAGATTGAGGTCGAGGTACCCAGTGGCGGATCCAGCTCTCTGCGCCACCTGGGAGGCCATCTGCCTATAATTATTGCTCCCTCAGGACGCTGGGCCAGCCCTCGCAGGCCCTCCTCGTGGCTGCAGACAGACAGTAGACTATACTGTTTGTTCTTACTGACGGAGTGACGGATTGACTGACTAACTGACTGGCCAACTGACTGGACTCACTCGACTGGCTCGACTGGCTACGTTTTACTTGGCCGCGCAAACGAGGCCTTGCCTGCAGATGCCGTGCATGGTACCTAGGTATCTATATATTCCCCAGGACCTCTTCTCACATCATCCTTGTGTTGCACGGTCTACCGTCCTGTCTATCTCGTCGCTCCGATCTTTTTTTCCTTTACAGACACTGAGTTGGGTAGACTACCTGGGCCACACAAGGCGCTAGATGATATTTCCAAATCACGCGTCCCCTACTCGTGGTCGGATCCTAGCTCTCATTCCTAGCATCGGCAGCGGAAACGGGTGCGGCTGCGTCCAGTCCTCTTTCTCGGGTCTAGCTGCAGAACTGCCTCGGTCGACACACACCTTCGCAAATCTCTCCCCTGCTGCTGTCGACCCTGCCACCAGTCTTAGTCAACAGCGCTCTCGATACTCGAGCGGAGAGACCCAGTAAGCGGCTACCCTCAAACAAGAACGGCCGGCCAGGCTCTCAAGCCCCCCGAGACCAAAAGCTTGCCCACCTTATAGATTTTGAACTCAAGGCTGACTGGATATTACAGGGGCCTGCTCCTCGGCATCTGTGGATTTGCAAAAGGCAGGGCTGATCTCCTCGATTCTAATTCTGCGGCAATCTCCCGGCCTAAGATCTTCACGTTGATCGGCGAAAGCAAGAGCACAGCGTCTCCACAACCAGGTTGCACAGACGCGGCTCGCACTCGCGCAACCCTACCACCCGCCTGTCTTCTGACAACGAGACCAGCTTCCACAGCCTACGGTTATCCACTAACTCGTTCACTGGACACCCGGTCACACCCTTTGTCGACTCGGCTCCGTGTGCTCTCACCTTTGCTCCGTAAGCTATCGTCTGTGGCAAGTCCGGGACTCACACTCAGGTCTCCTCTGCGACGTCAGCTGTCAGCTCTCTCCTCTCACATCAACCACCGGGCGATCCAAAGCAACATGTCGTTCCCAGAACACGAACTCCGCCCTGCGGAGCTAGTGACGGACCATCTCGAGACCCCTTCTTTGGATGATCGGACGTATCGCGTAATCCGGCTTCCGAATCAGCTCGAGGCCCTCTTGGTTCACGATGCCGAGGCCGATAAGGCCAGTGCTGCTATGGACGTCAATGTTGGCAATTTTAGTGATGAGGTAGATATGCCGGGTATGGCACACGCTGTTGAGCATGTGAGTTACAATGCGTCCTACTAAGCCCCCCCCCCCCCCCGAAAAAGGGCAAAAACAGCACAAATAGCAGATGCTCTAGTACTGACGCATTCATCGCAAAGCTCTTGTTCATGGGGACTAAGAAGTATCCTGAAGAAAATGCCTACAATCAATACCTGTCGGCGCACTCTGGCACTTCAAATGCGTACACTGCTTCAACATCTACCAACTATTATTTCGAGATAGCTGGAAGGCCTAGTGATGATAGCGAGCCTTCGGCGACTAACCCGTCCCCGTTGAAAGGAGCTCTTGATCGCTTTGCTCAATTCTTCGTCGAGCCTTTGTTCTTGGAATCGACTCTGGACCGCGAACTCAGGGCCGTGGATTCTGAGAACAAGAAGAACTTGCAGAGCGACACATGGCGACTTCACCAGCTCGAGAAGTCCTTGTCGAACCCTGCGCACCCCTACTGCCACTTCTCAACGGGCAACCTGGACGTCCTCAAAATCGAGCCCGAGGCGCGAGGAGTCAACGTGAGGCAGAAGTTCATCGACTTTTATGAGAATCACTATTCTGCCAATCGTATGAAGCTCGTTGTCCTTGGTCGGGAACCACTGGATGTCCTTGAGTCTTGGGTAGTAGAGTATTTCTCGCCGATTCAAGATAAAGATCTTAAGCCGAACCGGTGGCCCGACGCCACACCTTTGGGCCCTGAGCAACTGGGGATGCAAGTCTTCGCAAAGCCAGTCATGGATTCGAGGGAACTCGGCCTTTCTTTTCCATTCCTTGACGAGGATGAGCTTTTTGAATCGCTTCCAAGCAGGTACATTAGCCACCTCATAGGACATGAGGGCCCAGGAAGCATCATGTCCTATATCAAATCCAAGGGCTGGGCCAATGGCCTCAGCGCTGGTGCTTACCCAGTTTGTCCTGGATCGCCTGGAATTTTCGACTGCCAAGTACGGTTGACAGAAGAGGGGCTGAAGAATTACAAAGAAATTGTGCAAGTCTTTTTTCAATACGTTGCTCTCCTGAGAGAGACACCGCCGCAAGAATGGATATTTGAGGAGCAGAGAGGCATGGCTGATGTGGACTTCAAGTTCAAGCAAAAGACGCCTGCAAGTCGATTCACGAGCAAGGTCAGCTCCGTCATGCAACGTCCTCTACCCCGAGAATGGCTCTTGAGCGGTCTCAGCCGTTTGAGGAAGTTTGAGCCAGAGTTCATCAAACAAGGAATTGACTGCCTGCGGCCCGAAAACCTCAGGATGACGATCATTTCTCGTGATGTTCCTGGACAGTGGGAGAAGAAAGAGAAGTGGTATGGAACGGAGTACACAAGCGAGAAAATCCCTGATGACCTCCTGGAGGAAATCAAGAAAGCGGCGTCGAGCAACCCTGCGGACCGCGTATCGAATCTGCATCTGCCACACAAGAATCAGTTTATCCCCACCAAACTCGAAGTCGAAAAGAAGGAGATCAAGGAGCCCGCTGTAGCACCAACCATGATCAGGAACGACGGTCTGGCGCGTACGTGGTATAAAAAAGATGATAGATTCTGGGTACCCAAGGCGAACCTGCTCGTCAGCTGCAGGAGTCCCCTCATCTTTGCATCGGCGGAGAACTCCGTCAAGGCTCGATTTTTCACGGATCTCGTTAGGGACGCGCTTGAGGAGTATTCCTACGATGCTGATCTTGCAGGCCTGCAATACTCTGTGTCTCTGGATGCTCGGGGATTGGTTATTGAGGTCAGCGGCTATAACGACAAGCTCTCGGTGCTCTTGGAGCAGGTGCTCAAGACTATGCGAGATTTGGACATCAAGGAAGATCGGTTTTCCATCATCAAAGAGCGTCTGAGCAGAGCATATCGAAATTGGGCCTTTCAGCAGCCGTTCCACCAGGTCGGAGAATACACTACCTGGCTTAACACCGAGCACGACTTCCTGGTTGAGCACTACAATGCTGAGCTGGACACAATCACTTGCGAGGCAACCAGGGCTTTTCAGAAAGAATTGCTGTCGCAGATGCACATGGAGGTTGTGGTCCATGGAAACCTGTACAAGGAGGATGCGCTCAGGCTCACGGACATGTTGGAGAAGACGCTCAAGACGCGTGTGTTGCCAAGTTCGCAGTGGCCTATCTGGCGATCCTTCTTGTTCCCACCCGGCTCGAACTACGTCTACAAGAAGACCCTTGGGGATCCTGCCAATGTGAACCATTGCATTGAGTATTGGCTGTACGTCGGGCAGAAGGACGAGCGCATGGCCAGGGCCAAAGTTCTGCTGCTGGACCAGATACTGCACGAACCAGCCTTTGATCAGCTTCGAACTAAGGAGCAGCTGGGCTACGTTGTGTTCAGCGGTATCAAAACCAGCGCAACAACTCTGGGCTTCCGGTTCCTCATCCAGAGTGAGAAGACTGCGCAGTACTTGGAGACGAGGATTGAGAATTTCTTGAGCAACTATGCTGAGACATTGGAGAAAATGAGCGATGCCGACCTTGAGGGCCACAAGCGCAGCCTGAGCATCAAGCTGCTCGAGAAGTTGAAGAACCTTGACCAGGAAACCAACCGGATCTGGGGCCAGATCTCCACTGAGTACTACGACTTTGAGCTTTGTAGGTTTCAACCCTTATGCTTCATAACTTGCCACGGGTGAAGACTGACCGCCAAAATAGCAACCAAGACTGCAGAGCGCGTCAAGGAGCTGACCAAGCAGGACATGGTCGACTTTTTCAAGAAGCAGATTAGCCCTGCGTCACCCGAGAGGGCCAAGATCTCGGTTTGGATGATTGCGCAGGCCACGAGCGACGTGTCCACCAAACAGATCTCGGAATTGGTCAAGGCATTGGAGCTCAATTCCTCCGAGAGGGAAGCCGAGGCCGCGACAGATCTCCAGGCCCGGCTAAGCGCCGCGGAGCACGACGAGACCAAGGAGATCGAGGGCCTAAAGGAGTACCTGCTGCACGATCTGAAGGTAGCGGAGGACAAGATCGACGCGGCCGTTGAGGCATGGGGCAAGCTGCACTCAAAGACAAACGGGGTTGTGGGACACCAGGACGAGGACCCGCCCTCGCTAAACGGAACCAAGATCTGCTTCATCGAGGATCCGAGGGACTTCAAGGCCGGGCTACCGGTGAGCGCGGGGGCGCGCTCTGTCAAGGATCTGACGGAGTACGAAGAGCTGGACCCGAAGCTATGAGTGGGTGATTGGTTTGAGCTGGCTGGGAAAGGAAGGGGAAGGGCTCGGTGGCTGATCCATGGGCGCGTTTGGTAGAGGATTTATACATGGGCAGAGTCATGATAAACTTGATGTATGAGCATTATGGGCGTGCGGCATGCAGGATAGGTGCATATTGCATGTGTGGAAGGGGAATGCATTCAGATTAGAGCGAGAATAGCCATCTGTTGGATTGCTTAGTATCTCGAACATTGCCTTACTGAGCTGGGTAAATATGGCCATGGGCCTAGCCAGCTCGTGTGACATAATGCCCTCAACTTGCTCTACCAAAGAGCCAATATCTTCTTCCAAGAAACAAAAAAAAAGAGAGAGGATAAGTGTCATGTGGCCAAAGAACTCTTGGAGGAAGCAAGTTGAGGCCATCTCTATCTGCGTTCTTAGTCTCAACTGCTCAGAGTCGAGTCTAGAGGCTCTGGAATAGGCGAAGCTGCTGCCCCAAATAGAAGTGGTGCAGCCAGGACGCCTGGGCGGGCTAGTGGGTTACTGATCTGACAAAGGAAGGGCCAGGAAAGCGGCCCCTGAACTGTCCCCCCGCTAACAGAGTTTGTTCCAGGGTCCCATTTCCCAGTCCAGGGCATTTGGAGGGATTCCTGGTTCCAAGAGGTACAAGTGACACACAGCAATTCTAAACCCAAGCACCAGGTACCCAGGCAAGTCCCAACTCCAATTCCTGCACCGGCACTTGCACCTGCACCCAAACGAAGGCCCTTCCTGCTCTCCAATGTAGGCTGACCGCCTTTGCCTCGGGGCTTCTGACCTCATCCTCATTCATTTTCAGAGTGGCAGGAGCAGGACCAAGAACAGCATCAGGAATGTGCTTCCAACAACCACAGCCCTGAAGCCCCCACCCAAGACTTCACCATAAAATCCACCTGTGAGCGACCCCAGATTGTCGTTCTGGCTCTGGTCTGAACCTGGAAAGGCTCAGGGCACCCAGGTGAGCTCGTCTCTCCTCCTGTTTTCCACCAGTGCCCCTGTGACTGCAGTACAGTGAGTGCAGAGACCAACAGGACAACTGCCAGGGGGCGCTGCAACTTTCCGTGCACTTACCCATCGCCTTTTGTCAACTTGCACCTAGGCCCGCACCACTAAACCACGCCCCTCCGAGACAACTTCTCTTCCTTTGATGACCGCATGCCTATTTCTACATTTCAGCTCTCTGCAGCCAAGGACTTCCCTCGGTAGCAGAGCCCGACTTGTTTCTTGCCTCTTTAGACCATCCTCTTTTGCTCTGCATTGTTGGATTTCGGTGTTTTAACTAAGCGCTCCACCAGGCTGAACAGTAGCTATCTTTGTTATCCAAAGATTCTGCCGCCTTGTATCCATCAAGGGAACACTGACCACGGTTTTGCCTGCCCCCTCGACGACGCCCTCATCCTTCAACGGCCGCTCATACTCTTTCACCCAGGAGCTGCACAGGCAGCTCCCTTTCACCACGTCTTCCACTATCAAGAAACGGAAGATGTCACGTCCAGAGGATCTCCCCCGATCGGCATCCCCCTTAAAGCGCAGAGCCCCCAGCCTGCCCCCCGACGACAGCCCTGCCCCGAACGCCGACGCCCTGGAAGATGTCGACATGCTATCAGTTCCTGCTACCAGCGACGACGTGTCTATGGGCGATGGAGAGCCTGTCCGGGGCACAGACTATGGCGCACAAGAGGTGGATGGCGACAAGCCCAAGATGGAGGCGCAACCCTCGCCTGGGATCGAGGACAACGACTCGGACATTCCTGGGCTTTTGAACGGTCTGGAGGCAGATGGCGCAAGTGTTGAAGAGACGCAAGTTGGATCTGAGCCCGATGAGGATGCTGCTGTCGTCGGGTCACCCTTACCGGACGGTGCGCATGGAAATCATGGCCATACTTCAGCCGACCGCAAAGTGCAGGGCCACAAGGCATTCAGTGCCAATTCCGAAGAGGCAGCCGACTCTGACGCAAAGACTGTGGACACTGCTGCGACCAGTGCCTCTGTTGGACCCCTCAGTCAAACTCGTCAGTCCCCGCGCAACTCTCATTCCATACCACTCGCTGACAAACCTCCACAGCCTCCCCTGCAGATGCGTCTCTGGAATCTGCGATTAACAAGAAGGTCAAAGGCAATCGTAGCGGTCGCAACAGTCCCGCCCCCTTAAGTCTGGGAACTCGTGGTCGACGAGGCCAATCAGACCGTGTGATGGGGCAAACTGGACTCACCAATTTAGGAAACACGTGCTACATGAATTCTGCGCTCCAATGCATCCGTAGCGTCGAGGAGCTCACCAAGTACTTCTTGGCGGACGAGCACGACGAGGAGATGAACTTCGACAACCCTCTAGGCCACAACGGTGCCATTGCTCGTGTCTATGGTTTCCTCCTGAAGCAGATCTATAAAGAGCCACCCCCGGCTTCTGTTGCGCCTAGGCAGTTCAAGGATACCGTCGGTCAATGTGCGCCTCAGTTCTCTGGTTGGGGACAACAAGATACTCAGGAGTTCCTTGGTTTTCTGCTGGACGGGCTTCAGGAGGACCTAAACAGGATCAAGAAGAAACCCTACATTCCGAAACCGGACTCAACAGACGAGATGGTCAACGACAAGGCAGCGATCCGAGAGCTGGCTGCCCAGGTCTGGGACATCCATAAGCAACGAGATGATTCTATTATCAGCGATCTTTTCACCGGTCTGTACAAGTCGACGCTCGTGTGTCCCGAATGCGCCAAGGTCAGTATCACGTTTGACCCATTCACCAATCTGACACTGCCACTTCCAATACAAAACGTTTGGGTTCGGAAGGTGAAGTTCTTTCCACTCAACGATGTGCCCGTCTTCCTCAACGTTGAAGTCGACAAGACAGCCACCATAAAGATGCTGAAGGACTTCATCTCGGTTCGTGTTGGAGTTCCATCTGAGCGCATGATTGGGGCGGAAGAGTACCGTGATAGGTTTTTCAAAATCTACGAAGATGATCAACAAGCATCTGCAGAGATCACCAGAGAAGATCTCCCGGCCTTCTTTGAGGTTGAAAGCCAGCCGACGAACACCAAATGCAAGACCAAGAAGAAGTCCAAGTATTCTTACTCGTCCTATGATAAAGAGGATATTCCCCACTGGGACGACCCATCGGCTACCAGAATGGTGGTTCCGGTGTTGCACAGATTCAACCCAAGATCTAATAAGGAGTCAAGGATCCAGTCGGCGAAGAACTCGGAGAACATCTCGCCCCCACACTTCATCACGCTCACCCCAGAAGAGGTAACGAAGACATTTCGATTGTTTATATTCAGTTTAGATGTCAAGGCTAATGTTCGGGCAGGCTCAAGATGAAGACATTATCCGCCGTAAAATCCTAGAGAAGGTTGCCACATTCACGACATGGCCTACGTTGTCCTGTTTACATCACGAGGAGACAACAGACAGCGCTGACTCAGATCAACTGCTTGTTACTACATCAGATTTGGACTCATCAGGCGACGGCACAGTCACTGCTCAATCTGTAGAAGGCGAGGATGACTTGGTGGACGTCTCTATGCAAGACACTATTCAAGGTGACATTGCGTCTCCACAAGAAGCAGAGAGGTATGTCAACGTCGCCGAACTACCCTTGGACCTCGGCGCTAATAGTGATAAAGATCCTCAACAATCCTCAAGAAATTCAACAGCCGGCGCCCCGAGTGGATCAAATCTGATGTATACCTCGATGGACAGCTCCAAAATCTGTTTGACATGAGCTACTTCACGGAAGACACAATAATCCCTACCGGATGGCACGCAATTGGGACCAATTCCGAACGCCTATTCCCCAGGCTCGACACCAGGAAGCCTAGACCTAGCACGCCCTCGCAAAGTGACGAGGACATGCCTAGTCCTTCTGGTTCCGGGACTGCGTCTGAAGAGAGCGGTACTGAGGAGAGCGGCGATGTACCTGAGCACGAAGCTACGACACGGATGGTCGACGAACCTAGCGAGGAGGAAAGCGATTCCAGTCTTCCGGACCTCAAGGCATGTCTTCAACCGACCTGGAAATTCCCGTCCACTGGAACAGTGCCTAATGACGAGCAGGACATCAACAAGACTCCAGACTTGCCTCTAAGACCGCAAAAGGACGCGAAGCTTAGGGGTGGAAAGTCCGGAGGCAAGAAGAAAGTCAAAGGCCACAAGACGTACTCTAAAAAGGGTACAAAGCGATGGAAGCAGCAGCAGCAGCAACAGCAACAGGCTGCCCGTCAGTCTTTCAAACGCAGCAACTACCTGGATGAGGATCCTGAGTGGGGCTCTAAAGTGGACGGCGGTCCTTTGGTCCGTCTCGGCGAGGGCATCGTGGTTGACTGGGATCCTGCCGCGTGGGACATCGTCTTCGGTGGCCAAGAGGCAGGCAACAATGCCGGGACCACTTCTTCAGGCAGCTCAACTTTCTTGAACTTGGATATTCTTAAGGATCCGCAGCTCGAGGCCAAGAGTCAAGCCCGCAAGACCCGTGCGAACAGGGGCATCAGCTTGGACGATTGCTTGAAAGAATTTGAGAAGGACGAGGTTCTCTCTGAAGATGATAAATGGTATTGTCCCCGATGCAAGGAGCATCGACGCGCGGCCAAGAAGTTTGATCTCTGGAAGACACCGGACATCCTCATCGTTCACCTCAAGCGGTTCAGCAGCAGTGGGCACCGTCGCGACAAGATCGACGTCACAGTTGACTTCCCAATCGAAGGTCTCGACATCACCCAGCGAGTCTTGGAGAAGGAAGACGGCAAGCAAGAAATTTACGATCTCATCGCTATTGATGATCACATGGGCGGTCTGGGCGGCGGCCACTACACAGCCTTCGCCAAGAACTTCGTGGACAACGAGTGGTATAAGTTTGACGGTATGTGAGCCCTCTAGAATGGGAAATTGTCGCAGTGCTAATGAATTCACCAGACTCGTATGCATCCCGGGTTAAGAACCCCGAGACCATGATCACATCACACGCATATTTACTTTTCTACCGACGGCGCAGCGATCGCGCACTTGGTGGTACCAAATTCGAAAGTATCCTGCGCCGCTTCGAGACGGGTGATGAAGACGACGACGACGACGATGCCGCTATTAATAGCCAAGGCTCGGAGTCTCGCTAGACCCCTAGGACCAAGCATCACAGCTTGGCAGCATGATTTATGAGGGATGCAGAGAGATTCAGTCCCTAACCCCAGGGCTTGGTCATCATCCGGGCGACTGCGTGCAGCTATGTAGGAGTCAAGTACTCCACGCCATGGTCTCGCCGTGAATGTCCGAATTTCTCTCGGAGGTCTTATGACCGAACAATGGTATTATGAAAAGCTATTTATCTAGCAAGATGTTACCGGCCTGGCATAGCAGAGGGCGCGGGCACGGTATTAAAGTCCCGTCGCATCAGGGGTGGACTCAGAGACGTTACTCGACGTTACTCCCTAGACAGTGCGAGCATGTGGACACCTGGTAGACTTTAGAGGAACTCACCATTCCATAGAACATAAGATTTACTGTACAAATGTTCTCTTTTGACGGATCGTCAAAAGTATATGGCTGATAGGTGTCTGCGGTAGTGGTACCACCCAGTTGGCACAATTGCAACACATCTACCAAGAGAACTCTGAGTGTCGTGCCTTTTCTCATTACTCCCACTTACCAATTAACACGGCCTCCAGCTTCACTCGTCCTTGCTGGATCATATTTTGTCCCTCAGCCGCCGGTCCCCGGCGCGCGCTGCCTTGTTTCGTGCGCGAAGCTCCGCACGGAGTGTCGTCTGTGCTGTTCAAAGAAGAGGAGGGCCATGTGGAGTCCAGACTGCCTCTTATTGCCACCCGTATTGCATTATAGATATATATGTTGTGTGGCCCCCTCCATCCGACCCCCCCCCCCCCCGCGGGGGGACAAAGAATGAGACGAAAGACGACGTCTGCGGCAACCCTATTCCCCAGAACCAAAGGGCGTAGAATAGAATTGGTGACCCTCCATGTGTGCATGCTCACGGCGGCAGGACTACGGTGGCCTGGTGTGGGCGGGCCAGAGCAACGAGTGCTGCACAGACGGCGAGCTGATGGCAGAGATGCTTTGCTGTATGTAGGCGGGAAGCGCCCCGACCGCTTCGCTCGCACTCTGCCGTGTCTCTCGTCCCAATGTCCTACCCTGCCTGTGCCCATTGTCCAAGCTGGGGGAAAAAATGGCTGGGCTCATCGAGTTCCCCAACGTGGCCTGGAGCCCTCTCTCTCTCTCTTTCTCTCTGTGCCTGGGCTACGTAAATGACTGTGCGGAGGCGAGCTTTGTTCGTCACGGTCCGTGAGTGCGTACATGCGTGCCTCGGCACGAGGGTTGTGGACAGATGAGATGAATTGAGGGCTGGGGCCAGCGTCGGCACGGCTGGGCAAGGCTGTGGTCGTCTTGTGTATATGGTTTTGGAGGTGGAGCCTGAAAGGTGCAATGAGGAGGAAGGGGTGAGAAGTCCCGTTACTACGTGCCCACTTGGTGTCCCTTGGAAGACAAGGATAGCGAGGTTCAGGGAAATCGGCCCGTGGGGATTCGACACAGGGAGGACGGTGGTCTTTGATTATTAAATAGAGGGCTTTGCTTATCAGATCAAAGGTTGCAACAGAATTGGGACCGCGCTGCAGGATGGGTCCTGGTGGCCGTCGCCCGTATTATGTTATAGGCTGCAGTACGCTATATTACGTGCACGATGTTCATCGTCAACCTGTCCCGTTGTTTTTGTTTTGATATTGCCTCGGTATACCGTATGTGCGAGCCCGGACTACAGAGCGATGGGTTTGTTGTTTCTCACCATCAAGCCCAATCCAACACCTTCGCCTCAGACTGAAAAGTTTAACAACCAAGTCTTTTAAAGATGTCAGGTGGTAACATCACACTGCATGCTCAACGGGTTTACCCGTCGCTGTTTCGTACGTGGTGCACACTGTAAAAGATTCGGGCATCACACTGCATGCTCGTGTAACGAGTTGCGGCAATGCTTCACGGCAAGGCACGGATGGTAGCGGTTGAAAGTTATACCTCTTAGAAGTTGGGGGAGGGGGGGGCGTTGTCGTGCGCTGTATCGTGGTCAACCTCCCCGGCGTGCTATGTCCAGAAACGAGTCAGAGAGACACACGGAGGAACTCGGTGTTCTCGGCCTGCGGAACCTTGTGGTTCGAGGACGATGGCAGGCGGGCTCAGTATCAACAAGGCGTCCTGCACAGGGTTCTCAATGCTTCTCCGGCAGGTCCCTGGGGCTCTGGAAAGCCTGTTGCCGTGGGCTTCCTGCCACGGCTACACAGTTCCGACTGCCACGGGCACGCTCGGTGGTTTCCTCGCTGCGTCGGGTAACGTTTGTTGAGGTGAGCGGCCGGACCTGTCGACAGTTGGCTCGTCGGGCAGCGGCTCATCGGGGGTAAAGGACTGGGCTCCCGAAGACGCATGATCGTCGGCACTTTGCCGACAGGGTTGAAGATCGTGCTTGCTGCGTCCTGTCAGTGTCGCGTTGGACGAAGGGCCGCAAGCATCATCCACAGGCAGATCCGGCATGGGATATAGGTCTGACTTTGGTAGCGCGGGGGCCAAGCTGCTCGTGAGGCTTGTGCGCTGTAATAACGAGGTCAAGGCTGTGACGGCTCCGACCGGTTGACGGAACGGCATTGATGGAACCCGTAGATCCCAGTCCAGGATGCGACTCACCTGGGATCGTGGAAACTTCCATGGTGTAGCAGGTGGCGACGGCGGAGGGATGACGTTGCCCCAGGTATGACGGCACATGCTACAGCGTAGTGTAGCAGTCTCTCCTCACCCACCTGGGTAGTGCTGGGCCGCGAGTGGAGCCCAGCGTGAAATCCAATGCGACCGAATTTTCTCGCAGGCTGTCGTTTGGGTTTCTGCTCGGGCTGAGGGACTGACTCTGTGCGTGCAGGTAAGCTAAACCTTCGTTCATGAACGCATGCCAAAACAGGCACGCTGAGCGACCGGATTGGTGTGTTTGCTTTTGGGCTAGCCCAGAAAGGGATTGCCGCTCAACTGGCAGATGCGAACATGCGCCGGAGTGCCCGGTGGGTTGCGGCATTGCAGGCGACGACATCGTCATTGTCATCACCGGGTCGCATGCAGCTGACAAGCGAGTGGTTGTTGCACCTTTTCGCGATCCACGATCAAGGCGAGCTGTGTCTTGGAGGGCGGCACATGTACAGTATCACCGTACACATCGAGATCTGAGTGATCCAGTGCCCATCAAGGTGTTATTCGGAATGTTCTCGAGGAGAAACGTCTCCGGTGGCCAAACAGATGCATCGATGAGAGCAGGAGCAGGAGCAGTAGTAGGGGCCAAGGCTGCATCATCCTGTGAATGGGTTAACGTGGTATAGATGGAGATAGGGCCCGGAGCCGATGCCGATTTACGAATGCAAAACCTGGTTGTTGCTCATCTCAAGGCATAAGCCGTCCATCGATTGGCGAGGTCGGGAGCACGACAGGCGGAAATATCGCTTGACTTGGCCTCGACATCCTGGTGGCATTTGGTTGTGTGTGTGTGTGCGCGCTTGTACGTGCATGCGTGCGTGCGTGCGTGCGTGCGCGTTCAGAGGGAAGCATATGCGGATCGGGTCGGGCGGCTGCTCGACGTACGCCCCCTCCACCTCAACCCCGGCTTACAATACACAGAGCAGACGGACTGGCCTGAATTAATATCTCACAAGCATTTGACCGCCCTCCAAGGTGTGTTGTGTAGTCGAGGCTGGACAGGGGACACTTGCGCAGACCGGCCAAAAGCTTGATGATTGGTTTGGCGCGGTGCAATACTAGGAGGGGGGGCTGCTTCGTGGACGCCGGAGACAAAGGCATCATCGGAGCTCAGTCAAGCAGGCATTTGAAAAGGCCGTGAGTGGGTGGATATCTCCGGGGGGCCGAGGCTGTCGATGGCTTCATCAGGAAGGTCGCGGGTCAATAGATGCGCGTCTCGGAAAAGGGGGATCGCAGACTAGGGCCAAAGTGGGAAATGATCCAGGGTGTACGCCTCTAGGGACAGATTACCTCCTGGCAGCCTGGCGAACGACATTCCGGCGCAGGGTTCTGGTGAGACTGACAAGAATGACAAGCGATAGATCGCGCGTGTTGGTGATGACCTGCCTTACAAATGCCGGCATTGGCATGGTCAGAGAAGGTGAGAGGGATCCGCCCATTGGGCCATGGACTGTGGGCTGGAGGCTAGAGGCTATACAGTATGGGCCCAGCTTCGAGCCCGGACCCGACATGGACATATGTCAGTTATCCAGGCCGTGTGCGTATCGCGACTCATCAACGACCAAGTGCCCGGGTGCTGTAGTCTGTCTGTTTAGACAGCCTAGATGAGCGCTCATCGTCGCCTGTCTCAGCGGTACAGCAGTCTAGTCAGGCAGCCAGGTAGCCGATCTAGACTGCTACACTACCTTGGTGACAGTGACAGTGACAGTGACAGGTCGAGTCCAGTCCCGTCCCATCTGAAGCACGGTTGCTTGGTTTGTCTCCAGCCTGTTCTATCCCGTGCTGTCCCGTCCCGTGGTTTAGTTCCCGCGCGGGCGACTGGTAGATTGACGACAGATTAGCTTGATCTGGTGGTGCAGATGAGGATCATGAGGCGGCTCGAGACGGTGCAGCAAGATAGAAGACAGGGCAGAAGACAGGACGCCGTTTCGCTGGGCAAGGCTCGACGCCGCGCCAGTGGGTGGTGGGTCCTCGGATCTACACGCTGATCGCGTCAAGCCAACCCCAAGACGGCGTGCCAGGCTTCGCAGCACTCAGCACGACAAAGGGCCAGAGATAGTAGATCCTGCAGATCTGCCCTGGCAATGAATGCGCTGCGCTGCACTGCGCTGCTGCCACTGCATTGCATGAGGCGGTTGTGGCACTCGCTATCTGATGATGCAGGCGATGGGTGGTGAGGTGAGGCGAGCATTGCGCATGCCCGGCGGCGGCGATCTACTCTGCTATGCCATAATTACTTTACTAAAACCTGGTTCGGTATCGCATTCCCACCTGCGCTTGCGCTTGCGCTTGTGCTTGCACTTGCACTTGCGCATCTGTCATCCCACAATCCTCTTCGATGCTTTGTTGGTGACGCATGATGACTCTGGCCGGCTGCTCGTACGTAATGATGCAATTCTGGGTTGATTGTCCACCGGGTTGGCTGGCTGTCTGGCTGTCCAGCTGTGTGCTGTGTTGCTGTGTTGTTGTGTGTATATGTGGCTGGGACTGCCAGGTGGTGAGCGAAGTGTGCAGGAGCTGTGCCTTTTTACTACATGTACTGTGTGTGTACAAGTGTTCTACCAACACCAGGCAAGCAAACCACCAGGTGAGCACATTCGTGGCGGTCGGCAGAAGCCCTAGAATGCTTCGACGGCTTCGATGGCTTCGACGAATGTTCCGGCTGTTCTTCTCGAAGGCCTGTGGAAGCCAGCGACGCATCGGAGTGGCCCCTTTCGCGTTATTTCCAGCCGCAGATCAGAGGTGGGGACGGCCACAAGCTCCACACAATGTTGCAGCCCTCTTCCAAGGTTTCCAAGGGACCCACGCCAGGCCCACGCACGCCCGCCCCATTTGCTGCTTCATTTGCGCCGATCCATTTCGCCCAGCCGCGCGACACACTCAGACACACCCAGGCACCCTGCCCAGCCTGCAACCCTTCCTCCCCCCCCTCCATCACAGCTACAGTACTGGATAGCCAACACGCTCCTGCGGCCTGCTCCTCATGACGATCATCGCGACGCCTTGTGTGTGTGTGTGAGTGTGTGTGTGTGTGTATATATATGCGTGTGGGTGTGGTGGCCCAGCCAGCTTGCGCCCGTCTATGTCCTGGCACCCTCACGTCAGGCCTTGCCCACCGATGACAACCAATTGCCAGGACAAAGGGGGTGATGGTCGAGGGATCTGCCGTTTGCCTCTATCGTGTGCGCAGTGACACCTCACGTCTTTGTCCAGCTGTAGCACCCCAGAACACAACCACACGGCCTACACAATTCCATGTACTGCACCATGGTGCAACGTAGTCTACAATGTACAATGTACAACACATAATGGGCCGTGAGCAGTGGGCAGCGGGCAGTGGGCAGCCTCGAGCCGGGGAAAAGAGAGGGGCTGGGGAGGGCGACGGGTCGGCATCTGCAGCACATAGCACATACACACACGTACCACATTCGTTGCGCGCCAAAGATGCGTACTTGAAATGAATGTACACGTGCGATATGCACAGTACCTGTAGGAGGGCAGTCGTGGCCGTGTCCATCCCGAATAGAAAAAAAAGAAGAAAAAAACGCATTCATCCAAAGACGTGTCCTAGGACATGCTTTACCCCTTTCCTCTTGCAAAAAATTCGACCGGCATTGGAGCCTTTTGACTTTGGCACTAAACAGGGAAGAAGAAGAAGACATCTCCGCCGTGGTTCGTGTGCCCCGACGTTGTTTCGTACTGTACTGCACGGTTTTTTGTACTTTTCATTATTTTTCTTTTTCCCTCATCTTGCCTTTGCAGTCATTGCTTTGCTCTTCTTGGCTTCTCTATGCGAAGCTATGCGATGTTTTGCGATGCCTTGCCTTGTCTTGCCTTGCTTTTGGACAACTGACGACGAGGATGAGGACGGCGGCGAGGCCGGCTCAAGGACGCCCGGCCATTACAAACTTGAAACATAAAACGGGGGAAGGAAGCCCCATCTGCCGTGCCTTATCTCAGCTTGTGTGTGGCTAATCCACCGTCCAGCTGCTCCTGCGAACGCGCCTGGGCAGCTAACAGCGCACGTACAGGCAGGGTGCCTGGGAGAGGGTATCCACTCGCACGCTGCTACAGTACTGAACTGTGCATGTACATTGCAGTACCCGGGCTGCCCAGGTTACAGGTGGCTGACCAGGGGCACTACCCAGAGATCATCAATCGCATACCGACCGGCTTGGGCTTACGGAGTACTCCGTATCTAACCAGGCCAAGGTATGCCTCCCGCGTACACGACTATCTAGGCTTCCAAGGCCACCGGGCTGGGCATTATCTACAGTACCTAGGTATCCGTGGGATGGCATGGTATGGCATCTATCTGCCTTTTTTCTAGCCCGAGGTGCCACCGTTCTGCCTGAGTATTTCCGGCATTCGACTTAGAAAGACGTAGGTAGGCCTGTAGAGGCTCCTAATTGCCCTGGTCACGCCCCGGCCGCTAGATCTCTTTGTTCCTTTTCGCACAGGAGCTCGGCCGCGCAAGACAGGATGGGACAGAGGAGAGAGTAGACAGAGAGTGTGAGACAGAGAGCGAGAGCCCTATCTGCTACCTAGGTATGCTAGCACAGTCCAAACCCCAGTCGTCACTATGTAATGTACCTAGGTAGTGGTGGTAGTCCACGGCCCACGGTCCCATGGTCCACAGCCCAGCTCCCTCTTGGTGCTAGGGGTGTACATGAGCACCGGCGGAGGGCACGCCAAAACATCAAGGTATCCCGGCATCTCTCATCTGGGCCTGGACCCCTGTTCCCGTAACATGTACTCTGGTACTGTACAGTAGGTCTGGTCTCTCCCGAGGCCCTTTCTCTGTTCTGCACCTCAGTCCCAGTCCCAGTCCCAGTCCCAGTCCCAGACTCGCACTCGCAGACTCGTCGAATTGAACGAGGAGGGAAGGAAAGAAGAGGGCCCAGGCCAGGCCCTTGTCCCCATCCCCATCCCCAAGCCCCAAGCTCCTGCCTCCCCCCGTTGCCGTTGCTGTCCTCTCTCGACTCGCCTGCACCCGCACACCCGCACCCGCACCCGCACCTGCAACCTGCACCTGCACCGCGCAGCATCGCACCTTGGCTGGCCGCACTTGCATTTGCACTTGCACTTGGACTTGGACTTGCACCTGCGCTTGCACTTGCACGCACTTGTACTTGCTCTCGCACTCGCGCCTGCCTGCGGGAGTAGCAGACCTGCCTTTGCTACCTTCCTATTCTTCCCAATTAACCTGCCCTGCCCTGTCCTGTCCTATCCTGTCCTGTCCTGTCCTGTCCTGTCTTGTCTTGTCCTGTCCTGCCCCGACGAGACCAGACCAGACCTGACCTGCCTTGACCTTGACCTGCCTGGCTTTTGCTTTCGGTTCGAATGGCTCACCCCGATGTGCCTTCCTGGGCTTGACAGTCTGGATTTCATACACCTGCCTACCCTACCATTTCATTGCCATTACCATACCATCCATCCATCCCCCATCCCACTCGATCCCCATCCCCGTCCCCCGACCCCGACTCCCATCTCTCCTTCAACTTGCGCCCTCTTGTCGCAATTCAATTCTGTCCCTCACTTCTTGTGGTACCGCACTCGTACCTCGCCAATTTCTGCCTCGACCTCGACCTCGACCTCGATCTTGACCTTGCCCTCGACCTCGACCTCGAGAATTGGCTCTGACACTGACCTTTAACCTTGACAACTACCACCCCCGACCCAGCGCCGAGACAACCGCTTGCCTCAGCTCAACCACGGCACACGACCACCTGCAGCCCTTCCCTCTCACTTTCCTATTCCATCCTCGCCTTGCTCACCACCCAGCCCTCGACTGCGACTTTGGCCCATTCCTCGACCTCCCATCTTCCCTGTTGGCTTCGTTGGCTTCGGGGGATACAAGGCGCGCGACATTGGGAAACCAGGGACGGACTAAACGCCCAATCCATTCCCCTAATCTACCTACCAAGTCGCAATTCTCCTGAACCCACTCTATATCCGGTCCGAACCCACACGGCGTACGGCGACCTTCCTTGACCATTACTCGACCGTCTGTCTGCCTCTATTCCCCACGGTGCTCACCACTCTCATTCGCATTCTATGTCACCCGTACCAGTGACTTTCCTTTCCGCCGATATTTGCGACAGCCCCTGCCGCCGTTTCCCCACCTGGTCTCCCCCGATTACTTCGACCTTGGCTTCCAATGTCTTGTTGAACGTGACACTGCCATATTCACACCTTGCCAATCTCAGCTTGGCAGCGCAATTCTGGCACGACTTATAGGACGCCCAGCGCACACTTGCGAACACCTTCCTCGGCCGGCGACCACAAAAACTTGGTGCCTGGGCCGACAATCGCCCGCGGTGTTGGGAGACCACCGCCCAAGTCGGATTGTCGGTTGTTGGGAAATTCCAGTACTCGACGCCGCCCCGGGCTCGTAACACCATACCGAAGCTGCCTGGCCCAGCTTAGTTTGTCCGCGGCAAAGGCGCACCAGTCGCGAGACTGGCCGCGGTCTTTGGAGTCAACGCCATGGACAGGATCGGCGCGAACATCATTTACGTCGATCGTAGGGCGTCTGAGGAGCACACTGCCGACCCTGGCGTCGATGATGGCGTCGCAAATAGTGGCACTCACGGTGCCGAGATAGGACACTTGAAACAGAGTATCAGAGTGCTGAAAGATGCTTTTGGTGACGGTGTGTCTTGGGAATCCCCGGTTTGAAGTTCAGTGCTAATCATTTCTGGCAGTCCAAGTTTGCTCAAGTAGCGCATCCTGTCTTTCTGCCCTGTCGGCTCTGCACCATGCCAATACGATCGACCAGATCCCGACGATATTATTGATAGATACCCCTTACGACGAGGATGTGGTGGACCGAACTTCCCGATCTAGGTCGCCATCACCGCATTCGCGACCAATGCAGGAAAACGAGCACGAGGGCCAGATATCAGATGTCGAGCTCTATGGGTTGCGATTACTGCAGAGGGTCGTCGCTGAAGCAGACATGCTGAAGCTGTTGAAGCTCGTGGTACCGATTCCCATCATTTCTCCGCCCATGCTGCCCCAGGCTGGTTCCACAACTGCGTCGGCTTCGATAGAGACAGGCGCCATTGGGGAAACCATGGCATCCAGCCTCTCGCAATCCAGACCTGAACTGGTCCGCAGATGTCTCGAATTTGGAGCAGTCGACGTCATGACCAGCCCCCTTCAACAACAAAACATTGAGAGTATCGAGGTCCACGCGTACAAGGCTCGTCAAGCTGCGGCAAGGGAACGGGAGGCAGTTCTGCAGGTCCGGAAGAACCGAAAACGATCCTGGGTTGGCGTGGACACAGGAGGAAAGCCATTCGCATATCTTCGCGAAGCCATGGTATCGGGCCTGATGAAGGGGATATGCAGGTTCGACGACGAGGATGAAACCTCTCTTGGAACGTTTAGGATATCGGTCCCAGCAGAAAGGCAAGCGAGGATCGCACAAGCGGTTGGCCAGTGGTATTTTTGCGCGCACGACTTCTCAGATGACGAGCTCGTTGTGGCCGCCTCGCTCATGTTCAGCCATGCTCTCTCCATGCCAGAGTTGGAACAATGGCGGATCCCACCAGGTAAGTAGCAGAGCCAGCTCATAACTTATCCCGGCTCTCGTCATCTGGGCAACCCCGCTCTTGCTATACTGTGTACTGACCTCTATTCAATTAGACCAACTCACTCAATTCGTAATCGCCTGCCGAGCTGCTTACAACAGCTTTGTACCGTATCACAATTTTCGGCACGTCGTTGACGTTTTGCAGGCCACTTTTAGCTTTCTTCTCCACACGAACACAATCATGCCCTACATTTACTGCGACGCCTCGGATGATGCGCCCAAGTCTCCCGTGGAAGCGCTTTTGACGCCGTTCGAGGCTCTGACGTTACTTATCACAGCCATTGGACACGATGTGGGACATCCTGGCGTGAACAATGGTTTTCTTGTCACGTTGAATGCTCCACTTGCACAACTCTACAACGACCGCTCGGTTTTAGAATCTTTCCATTGTGCGGCCTTTTCCCAAATACTTCGGAGGCATTGGCCGTCCGCCTTTGAGGACAGGAAAATGCGGAGTCTCATGATCAGTTCCATCTTGGCAACAGACATGGGTCTGCACTTTGACTATATGAAAAAGTTGGCAGACTTGAAAGAAAAGCTGTCGGCCAACGAATCTACCGAAGGTTGGAACAGTCGCATGGTCGAGGAACAAAAAGGTCTGGCATGTGCCTTGCTGATCAAGTGCGCGGACATCTGCAATGTGGTAAGTATTAGGCACACCATACACGCCATCAGAACTCTTACTCACGGTGTTGCAGGCGCGAAAGCATGAGACAGCATTGCAATGGATGGATATCCTAGCCGACGAATTTGCACGCCAGCGCTCTATGGAGAAGGAACTTGAGATCCAGACTTCACTCATGGCGCCGCCTCTAACGGAGCGAGCGTCTCAGTTCAGGTCTCAGCTCAACTTCATGAACATGTTTGCCATACCACTCTTCCAGGGAGTGGCCGACGTACTACCTAACATGAGATACTGTGTTGCCGAGCTCACAACCAACTCGGAACTCTTCCAGCAGAAGATTGCAGATGCTTTGGCGAATAAGCATGCAGAGCGCCGGACCAGCCGCCAGGATGCTCCTCACCACAACACACCCGCGAAACCAAGCACCGGGTCTTCCCAGACCGTCGACCAAATAGCCAGGTCGGCAAGCACTCCGGAATTGCGGGGTGGTTACAAGGCGGTAAATGGCATAGGTCCTCATTTTGAACCTGTCAAAGAAATAGCTACGGGCGATGATGGACCTACCGGACCGGAACGGCAACGTGGCAGTGAGACAACCGAAGGAGGTAGTTTTGCGCATACGAACGGTGACTGTGCCAGCAGTGCCACGACTGGCAAGATGCCCCTCTCGCCTAGCACGAAAGGAACAAGCGTGGTTAGCCAGGAATCAATGGAGCGACCCAAAAGCAACCCCATCCCGATGATTTCAGCGCCAGATTCTGCAAAAAGCATGACCGAGCCGAAGATGGATGGTCAACCTATTTTCGAAGTGGAGACAGCAAGCACTCTCAAGTCGACCGACGACAGGTCCGTGAAAAAGAGACCAAGTCGCTTCCGGATGAACGCCTTTCAGTTTTTCAGGAGACACAAGTCTCCTGGCCCTGCCACAGAAGCCCCTTGAATATACACACCTCACGAACCGCTTTCTCCCATCCCAAGGCGCCGAATCCCTGCTTAATGCGTTCCCCTGTGGCCGAAAAAGTGGGACCGGCGGCCCTTTCCATGAGCGACTGGTGATCCTCACGAGCGCGCGACGATCGAACCTCCTGGATTCTGCACAATCAAGAATCACAGTGGGCTGTCCGTGCTCGGTGATCGACCTGTTCGCCACTCTGTGCGAGTAATGCGACAATGGAGCGCAAGGCTGGTTGGAGACCAGAGGGCATAATGAAGACGCCTTCCACTGCGAAATAACACCGACTACCTCATCGATACTTCGTTATTCAGCCATTAAGTTATTCGCATTTTAGAAGAGCAAGGACACGTGAGGCCTTCCTGCAATGTCCACAAGCGCTTCACGGCACGCAGACCGCATGATGCATTTTTGAGTCGCGCACGCCGAACTGGATCCCGACTCGGCCAGGCCGATAACATCGGCTAGGCCGGGCCAAGGAACATTGGCAGGCGCTGTTTTTTGTTCATACTGTTTTCGTTATGATGGCAACATCACCTGCCAACATCTATCTTAATTCTTCTCTTGCCTTTTAACTCCACTTTCCGGGCGAAACGGTACCTGGTACGGAGAAGGTCTCCGGCACGAATGAAGAAATGACGCATCTTGGTCATCTTCGGGGAGCGCTGGAGCACCATCCCATCTCACGATATAGAACACACCGCCAAGAGGTGAATGTGTCCAACCACACGGCCCGAGGGCTTAGGAGGAGGGAGAGCAGACGGTTGGAATGTTAGCGTAGACCACTTCGGAGAGAGAACAGAGAGGGTATAAAGAGAAGGGAGAAGACGTTAACGGTTGGGAGGGGGGTAGGGGTTCGTTTTGTGGGAGAGCCACCAAGACCGAGCGTCTTATGTATAAATGTATGACAAAAGATATCCCATTAAGCTGTTTTGCTTCCCACATATTCCAGACTCGTACGTGTTGGTGTTGTAGTAGAACGGCAGCGGCTGTGAATTGTGCACCAATGTCGGCCGCTTACTTTTTCACAGGGATTAGGCAAACTTGAGGTCGGCCGCCGTTGGGTATGATGCTGTGCATATGTCCCCCAATGCGCCTTTACTGGACCGCAGAGCACCGACAGGCCAGCCAGCCAGCCAGCCACAACAAAGTGATAGAATAGATATGTAAGAACTAGGATCAGCAGAACTATGTATATCCCATGCGGACGATGAATGAGTACTACTCAAGCCCCTTCATTATCGAAGGCATGCAGAGATTTCAACTACCACCTACGATCAGAAGAATAAAGGCGCATCAACAACACTCGACCTTGTACTTCACCTAGAAGCCCCACGTCGTCTGTCTTGACTCTCAAATTTTATGTCGATGGTTAGAATTGGGGTCAGAGAAAGAAGGGGGGAAAAAATTCTCAGATACACAAATGCATCTCCCCATTCCCGGCGGAGCATCTCCGTAAATCATTGGCCAGCTGCAAACTTGGGTCGTCTTGACTGGGACCCATGCTCTGGAATACTCCATCATGATAGAAAGAACAAGATAATAAAGAAAGAGACCCCTTAATTCCTTGTGTGTGTTGTGTGCTCGCTCGGTGCGTGCGACGGTGATGCTGCGGCGGGTTTTGAACATGAGGCCGGAAAATGTAGCTCCTACAAGCTGCATATGTGAGCTTCGACGCCCAGGCAACTAGGACGCAGAAGGCTACCTACCCTGAAACTTCCCATTGTAGGCTATCTATCCTATAGGAGGTTATCCCGCATGAGATGATTTTACAGGAGGTCCATGTTCAGCCCATCGGAAGTTATCCCGGAGAAGGCTATACTATAAGAAGTTTATTCTACATGGGGACTATCCAGTAAGAGGTTATCCAACATGAGGTTGTCCCATAGGAAGTCATTCCGTAGGAGGCTTATCACATAACAGTCTCTACCATTCGAGGTTATTCTATTGAAGTTTATCCCATCAGAAGCGTTACTCGTCGTTATGCACATTATATGTGGGATTCCTACGCGCTGTAACATCGATAAGAACCATACACCCTGTCTGGCGCCCGTTCGACAATTGCATAGGTGCTACTATGCCCGTAACGACTTTGGACTATGGTGATTTGGATAGGCTTCACACTGAAGACTTGATATTAAGCGGGCGACAGACCGCTTGAGAAATGTAATAACACTGTTCGCTCTATACGTTGAGGAAGAATTCCATTCTGATAGTTCTAACACAGGAGAGTACTCCCAGACTCATTGTGGTACAGGGCTCCACAGCAACTACAACATTGAACAACCTGTTGCCATACACTGACCGGCCCGTCCGTCAATCCAATCTTATTGGCCTAGTCTTTACGCATACCATTCTCCACCGATCCATCGAGTGTAGAAGTCCAGAGCAGGACCGGGCTGGTCGTATGGAACCATGTGGCCGGCTCCGTAGATCTGCATGAAGGTGAAGTTTCCGGAAGACTTGATCCTTCCGTACTCTTTACCCTCAGCCTTGAGGGGCGAGAGCTTAGTGCTCTTAAAGTCCTTGTGGCCGGGCCAATCCAGCTCGTTGGACCAAGCCTCGTTGCCGAGCCAGTTGCAGATGAAGTCGGCATCACCGGCGTAGATGAGGACAGGGATCTGCTCGAGCAGGCCAGGAACAAGCAGGTGGAATGGCTGCATCCAGTCACCCTTAAAGAGGAAGTTCCGGTTGATATCAAAGTTGCAGCTGTCGTAACTGTCGACGGTCTCGACGCCCAGGGCTTCCATAACGTCCTTCTTGTTGAGGTACTTGTCGATGTTTCCGAGACCTGGGTAGCAAAGCGAGCCTCCCTCACAGGGTATACGCACATCGTAGGGGTTCTGGCCTGACCGCTGGTAAGTGCCCAGGATGTTGTTGTTACAGTAGATGGACGCAGGGACACAGCTGAACCAGCTCTTGCTCTCGTAGCACGAGCTGATCATGGACTGGCAGCGAGGCAGGGCGTTGTCCATTGACTGGCACTCGCTCTCGCTAAGCACTGCATCGTAGCCGCCCTCACCGCAAGCCATGGGACGGTAGTAGGGGTACTGGGTGTAGGGGTCCGTCAAGCCGTTGCCGATAAGCACGGACTTGAGGTTGATGTTGCGGTCCTTGTGAGACAGGATCTCAGAGGCAAAGACGGGGATGTAGTGGCCAGCGTAGGATTCACCAGCGATGTGGAAGTCTTGCTTGGCGTACTCGGGGAATTGTTGGAAGAAGAGGGTCAGGAGGGCATAGACATCCTTGCCAGCGGCGGTGGTGTCACTGACAGAGTCACCACTGTATGAGTAGCCGACGTTGACAGGCTGGTCGAGGAAGATGACAGAGGCGTTGGCGTTCCAGGAGTGCTTGTTGTACACCACCTTGACATTGTCGTCAATAGAGGAGGGGCCCAGCTCGAAGAAGAGACCGGTGAGGGATGAACAGCCTGGGCCGCCGTTGAGCCAGAGGACGACAGGGTCCTTCTTGGGGTCGTTGCGCGACTCGAAGAACCCTGTGAGAAGGAGTCAGCCCATGCCGAGAGACAACGGTACCGGGGCCCGCAATACTGAGGTGTAAGGGGTGATGTGGGGAGGGAATTGTGGTGTACGTACAGTAGAACAGATGCTTGTCGTTGGCCTCGTCATCCAGATATCCGGAGTACTGCTTGACAGTATCGACACCGAGCTTAGATGGGTCGACGGCCTTGGTGCGCAGGTTATAGGCCTCAAGGTCGCCGCCGACCACCCTATGGCTCTCGGCGTCGGCGGTGTTCTCGGTCCACAGAGCCTGGACGTCGGCACCCTTCGTGACGAAATCCCACTTGGAGTCGGGCTTGCGCTGGTGCTTCTTTGGCTTGGTCAGGGGAGGAAGAGCATCGAATGCGTTTGGAACAAGCATCTCGACCTCGTCCCACAGTGCCTTGGCTTCAGAGGTCATGGCGCCGAAGACGGCCTCGTAGTCCTTGACCTTGTCAGCCCAGGAAGAGGCGACCTCCTTGACCTTGCCAGCAGCATCGCCGATGACATGCTGGGTGTCCTGCTGCAGGTTGACAGCGGAGGCGGCGCCAACCAGCAGTGCTGAGGTGGCGATCCTCATGGTGAAGGTAACAAAGGTGGTGACGACGACAGGGGATCAGATAGCTCGGCAGGTGTAGATAAGCTGATTGTGCTGCAGAGGCCGTCTAACGATAGCCCGTAGTGTGGTGATGAGAGAGGTCAAGCCAAAGATGTTCAAGGAAAAGCAATGATGATTGCCTGTGGCAAGTGATGTAGGAAGAAAATAGAAGAGAGTAGAGATGAATGGAGGATGGGGGACGGAGGCTAGAAGATAGACGGCGGCGGATGGGAGAGAGGTCAAGGTCATGAAGCTCTGGGGAGCTGTTGGCAGGGTACCATGTCACTCGCTCTGTCACTGTGCGGTACGTGGGTACTCTGGGCACCTCTATGTCTGGGGGACGATGAAACCGGATAGCGCCTGCATGACCGCGGGTGGGCAGGACCACTCGCTCCCTCGCTCTCTCTCAGCAGGCAGCTCGAGAGTGCCTACCGTTGCCGAGGGTACCTGCTTTCCAGCCTGCCTGCCCTGTCCACCAGCGGCCAGCAGGGAGGGACGGGGAGGGTCGTGTGACCGTCTAAGTGGTTAATCCCGCAGCGTCAAGCCCCACGCGGACCCTCTGATACACCCTGTCGTGCCTGATAAGCGTCATCGAGCGTAGCCCCCGGTCCATCGAGCTGCCACGCCAGTGGTTTGGTTACCTGGCGCATCGGTAGCACCTACTTTTAGATGTCGGTCTGTTTCTCCATCACATCCTAGGCACAATAGTCTACATACCGGATATCAAAGAAGAGGAGCCATAGCCAAGGTCCGAATCGAATGATGAATAGATTCCTGTTGGCAGGTCAAGTACAAGTGCTTGACTCCACTGATGCGGACTCCCAGAGGCCTGCTGTCTATTCTACAGGCAGTAGACTCTAGGAACTATGTTGTGTACCAAGTCAATATCTACAGCTAATCACAACTCATGAGGATTTTATACGTCTGGCATGACTTAGACAGAGCATGTACTACTTCTTTTAGGAAACCTGCTGCAAAGCTATGGGATACCGTCCTACGGCACAACGTCCTATGGGCTGACCAGACCTGGGATACCCTTCTATTTAGGATGACCACATAGAAGTAGCCCCCTATGGTTTTTTGTATGACATGCTGCAGAATAGCATCTAGGTAGATGTTGTCTCGTGCGTTCTTTTGGTCCCTTTCTATATACTGCCGACTGCATGGCCAACCGTCAGGATTACAGCACTTTGTATAAGACATTTATCTGATCGGCTAACCTGTCCTACTGAAACAGCCTATAACAGTGTGGGAAACCCAGAGGTTTTGCTCCAGCCCATGATGTGCTTCTTCTTTTATTCTAGATTTCTCAGAATGCCAAATTCCACAATATCTGTACGTTCCGACCATATGCTGGGCCTCATTGAGGAATCAGTCTGTCTATGATGGGGGCGAGCAGCTCGAGTTGTGGCCTTGTCGCTGGTACCTGAGCCGTTGCTATTAGTCATTCGGCGGCGAAAGTGAATCAGAGTGAGCAAGCAATCTTGGTCAGCCTGGCGTGCATCCCACTCCACTATCGATACCAGAAAAAGTGCAGCCCTCCTCCATGACATAGCACGCCTCTAATAACGGCAGCCATTCCTTTTCCTACACTCGCTGTTTTCGGAAACACCTGGACACCTTGATTTACTCCGACTTTAAAGGCAACAGACGACTTCAGAAATCAACAACAAGACTGACTGCCCAGACAACCAACTTCGCGGGGCAGCAAATCCCCATCCCGCCACCTCTCTCGCACAAACCTTCTTCATCACCGCCGCCGCCGCCCTACACAATGTCTCGACAAATAAACCAGCCCTCGAACCAGATCAAGCTCACGAATGTCTCCCTCGTGCGCCTCAAGAAGGGCAAGAAGCGGTTCGAGATCGCCTGCTACAAGAACAAGGTCCTGGAGTGGCGCTCCGGCATCGAGACCGACCTGGACAACGTCCTGCAGATCCCAAACGTCTTCCTGAACGTGTCCAAGGGCCAGACCGCGCCCACCGCCGACCTGGCCAAGGCCTTCGGCAAGGACGTGCCCGTCAACGACATCGTCCTCGAGATCCTGAACAAGGGCGAGCTGCAGGTCGGCGAGAAGGAGCGCGCCGCGCAGCTGGAGCGCGTGCACAACGAGGTCGTCGGCATCGTCGCCTCCAAGCTCGTCGACCCGCGCACCAAGAGGGTCTACACCACCGGCATGATCGAGAAGGCCCTGGACATGCTGAGCCAGCAGGCGCACCAGGGCCAGGGCGACAACAACAACAAGTCCTCCGCCGCCGCCAGCGGCACCGCCACGCCCGCCGCGGCGGAGAACGGCGACGCCAAGTCCAGGCCCACCGTGCCGCCTGCTGGTGCCGCCGCGTCGTCGTCCAAGGAGCACGTCTGGACGGGCGTGACGACCACCAAGAGCGCCAAGAGCCAGGCCCTCGAGGCCATCAAGGCGCTCATCGCCAAGCAGCCCGTGCCTATCGCCAGGGCGAGGATGAGGCTGAGGATCACCTGCTCGACCAACGTGCTGAAACAGGCCGTCAAGGCGCCCGCCGCAGAGAAGGGCAAGGACAAGAAGGGAGGCAAGGGGGACGACGAGGATGGCGAGAAGAAGGCGCCTGGCACGGTCAAGGACAAGATACTGGGCTACATAGAACAGGTCGAGAACCAGGACGTGGTGGGCTCGGAATGGGAGGTCATGGGTTTCGTCGAGCCTGGAGCATACAAGGGACTCTCGGACTTCATAGCCAACGAGACAAAAGGACAGGGACGGGTGGAGGTCTTAGATACGGCGGTTACGACGGAGGACGATTGAATGCAACCTGGTTGAGCTGCTCAAGCTCCCCGGTGTAAGTTCATGGGAGGGATGCAGTCGTCGTGACTTGAAGTTCATATTGGTGGGCTTTAGAGATCCCGCGGCCTCATGCCTCGGTATTCGAAGGTTGTCGCAGAGGCGTCGATCTCCGTCATAAAAACTGCTGTCACACGTGGCGCCCTTCACACGAAATTCTTCCGTAGGATCTGAACTTAAATGCCTTTTCAATTTCCGCAATTCCTTTTGTTTGGAGGGGATACCGGTTTCATTCTGTCGACAAGCCCAGTACGGGCGGCGACGCCCTTCTCATAAACCAGACGATGCAAGCCATAACACGCCTGACACCATCCATGGTGCGGCAGCAATGCAACTGTGTAGTAAAAACCGTGTGTATCCCGTCCAACCATCCGAGACGCCAGCCACAGCCTTCTTCTTTAACCACCCTTCTTCTTGGAGACACCGACGGTCCGGCCACGACGACCAGTGGTCTTGGTGTGCTGACCACGGACACGGAGGCCCCAGTAGTGTCGCAGACCACGGTGGGCCCGGATCTTCTTCAGGCGCTCGAGGTCATCACGGAGCTTGGAGTCGACACCGTTGGCGAGGATCTGCGAGTCCTTGCCGTCGACAATGTCGCGCTGTCGGTTAAGGAACCCTGAAATGCCACTAGTCAGCCCAAATAATTCTCTCTCTCCCCTTCTCAGGCTCTCGCCACAGTCCGCCCCACGGGGGCGCGAGACTCGGGATATGCAATTGACGTACAGCTGGGAATCTTGTATTGGGTAGGATTCTGGATGATGGTGACGATACGCTCGAGCTCCTCGGCTGTGTGAATATGATGTTAGCTACTTCTTGCTTCCGATTCGGGGTGGTGGGTTTTTCGGGGTCTCGCGTGGATCGTACAGGTAAGCTCTCCGGCGCGCTTGTTCAAGTCGACATCGGCCTTCTTGCAGACGAGGTTGGAGTAACGGCGACCGACACCCTTGATCTTGGTAAGGGCGTAGACAACCTTCTGCTTGCCGTCAACGTTGGTGTTGAGCAGACGCAAGATGAACTGGAAGTTCGACTGGAGGCACATCAATCGTCAGCATTCCCGGATCGCTTCTCTTATCGCATCGACCATGCCAGAGGAGGTGGATCGCATTACCTTCTCGCCCGACACGAGAGACATGCTGGGCAACCTTGGTTGATGGTGTTGCGCCAAAATGTCGTTGTCCTGGATCGCTTGCGGAAGGTAAGGTGCTTGGGGAGATTTTCGACTCGGTGGGCTTTTGGGCCCAATGAGCGGGTCCCGCCACTTCGGAAAAATTGGTAGGTCCGGGAAAACTGGGGCCCGTGTGCGCGGGGACTATTCCTGGGAGATGCACTACCCCCGGGTGCATCTACCACAATTCATGCACATCCGCAAGTAAAGCAGACTGGGGTTTACTTACTTGTCTTTCCCAGTCCACACAATGCCGTTTACTCGTTCTTGTAGGCCCCACCTGCACCAGCAAACGCCACAGGTCCAGGCACATAAAAGGTCTAATCAAGATACAGAGAAGTCGCTCTTTTGCATCACATGGCAAATCTTCCGAAAGCAACCGGCCTCATCTTGACAACGTTCTAAAGCTACTTGCAGGGCTCCTTGAGGGCATCTGCTACATCTGCTACATCGGGCAACATTGGACTCTGTGGGTGCGAGGACTCTGCCAAAAGCGCTGCGCTCGACTGACATGTCATGACATAGGGAGATCAGACCAAACATGCGGCATAAGCGTTCATAATCTATTCTCATGGTCCTGTAAAGCAAAGGTCGCAAATGCTCCTCGCCTATCCATCTAGTAACGCTCGAAATTCTATTCCTACTCGTTGGTCTCGTCCTTGGCAACCTCTATGAGCAACGCCAGGCGCGACGCCGTTTGTAAAAAAAATGCATTGCACCCATGCCAGATATTGTCGAACCAAGGCGGTCTCCCTTGTAAATACGGCAGATGATGCCGGGGACCGAACAAGATGCTCTTGGAACGGGCTGCGAGACCAAGCTGAGTATTCAAAATTGGGTCAACCGCTCAATGTCGACCTCTTTAGTAAAAAACCCACCCTGCTCCTATTTTTTTGTGTTTCGGCTTCCACGAAGCCGGCACTGGCCCTGTAGTCAGCGCTTCGATTTGATGCCCACGTCTTGTCCTCGCTGTCGATGCGTAGTCCCGGCATCTCCTCCGCCTTGAGTGTATCTCAAGATATGTACTGATCTCTCAAAATATTTTACCGGCAGCTTGACATTGCTGTCTTTGTGATTTCTCGACCCAAGAAGCGTTGGCCAATCGTCTTGCCCAGCGCTTTGCGGAATTCCAGTCCCATTGGATGGCAACGCTGTGGACGTGTCTTAGCCCACAGCCACGTTCTGCTGAACCCGGTACGGAAGTCTCTACCTCCTCCTTGAGCGCGTCTTTACAGCAGGGACAGGCTCCTCCACCACCTCCTTAGCGGTTTCCTTCTTTCTGGCCCCACCCTTCTTCCCCTTCGGCGGTGCAGGAGGCGGCTGATCACTGTGCAGATGGCCCAGCTCCTCGATGGCCGTGGTGTTCTCCCACTGTAGGCAGCGATACTGCGGGGTCGGTTCTGGTGTTGCGGCATTCCTGGTCCTAGTGGTCATCCGCTTTCCAGTCGTCCCGTTTGTCTTCGCCTCTTTCTCCTTTTCCTCCTCGGCAGCCTTTGCCTCAGCCTCGCTGGCTGCCAGATATGCCTGACGATTTTCCATATGCTTGAGAATTCTGTCGCTAAAATTGACCAATTCCTTGCGCAATTTCAGCTCGTTGAACCCGCGCGGGTCCAGCCAGTCGATCAGCTTCTTGACGTCCTTAGGGTCGTCGATGTAGCCCCACTGGCGGGCCGTGAAGACGCTCGTGGGGCCTTCTTCTTTCGCCTTCCGCTCCGGGACAGTCATGTTGAAGACGGCCTGATACTCTTTCTGCCACTCGGGGGCCAAATCAATGTAGCCCTCGCGTTCGAGATCATCCGGCCCTTGAATCCATATGCACCCATTTGCGTAGCCAGCATCCGCCGTGGAGCTGTTGGGCAGACCAGCGTAAGGCATTCCGTTGCGCTCAAACCAGTAGTACCGATTCCAAAACCGGTCCTTGCCCAAAACTCTTGTTCGCGCACAATCTGCCTCTCGAAGGTCATTGTCGATGACGGCAATCTCATCTTCACATTTCTTGATAAGATCTTCCTTCTTCTGAATATCCTTCAAGACTTTCACGAACTGTTTCGATTGCTTGGGGACGGCCTTGGCAGCTTCGGCCTCTTTCCTCTTCTCTTCTTCCCTCTCCTTTTGGCGCTGGCGTTCTGCAGCTCGGTCTTGCCCACGCCGGAGACCGCGAGCCACACTTCGCGGCGGCTCATCCTCGTCGGGTACTTCTTCTTCCGCTGGGGTCAGATCACCAGCGTCGTCCATTTTCACGTCCCCGTTGGCATCAACAGGCTCGTGGGAAGGCGACGGCGGCAGGTTTTCTGGGAGCAATATCTTTCGCTCCTCATTCAGAGCCTTCAACTCCTCAATGCTGATATCTTTTTGTTAGCTTCACTGCAACTGCATGTAAGATTGACCCAGAGACTTACGCTTGTTTCCTTTGTCGCTGCCACTCAATCTTGTCTTTCCTGAACCCCGTCATGTGCTCGCTGCAGTCCTCCATGTAGCCACGGATGGCTTTCGTTTCTGCCGTCAATAAGCAGATAATTTGGAGGGCCTGTGCGCGGTAGTTGACATCCATAGCCGCGTAGTGTTGCCGGATCGTGTCCTGTGTAGCCTCGACGTCCCGAGGCACCAACTGGATGAGCAGATCCTCGCATGCACTCTTTCTCCGCTCGTCTTTTGACAGCTGGTAAAACAGCCCAACCATGATCGACTCCCAACCGCCGTCCTTAAAGTCCCTCTTCCTCAAATGGTCAATCCAGTCGTAGTCAGCGAGGAGATCCTCGGCACGATGCTTTGGGGCATTTTCCAGCTCCTTTTCCTCTTTTTCTGCAGCGGCAGCTTCTGCTGCCAGCCTGTCGGCCTCCATCTTCGCCATGCTACTCCGCGTGGCACGCGCGGTCGGCTGTGGTGTAGGCTCTCGGCTCTCGTCTTCCTCCTCGTCCTCCTCGTCTTCCTCGTCACTTTCCTCGTCCGATTCCAGCTCGGGCAGCCGGAAGTTGATCTTGCCCCCGTCGGCCTCCGAGTCGACAAGGATTTTGAGGACCGCGCAATGGATCTCATCAAATAGCTGGACCTTGACCTCCTCCGACGCGACTTGCATTGCCTCCAAGTAGTCGTCAAACGTAAACGAGTCGAGCTGGAATATCTGGCAGTACACATTCAGAGTATCCCAGGTCTCCAGAAGTGGGCCGAGAGATTTCATGAGAATGTTCTCGCCGTGAGGTGACGGCTCCTCGACCTCCACTGGCGGATCACTGCACATATATCGGATAGGAGGCCGGACCAGGTGCGTTGGCTCTACCTTTAGATCCTCGATCGGGTATTTCGGCGGTGGTGGTGGCGGCGGCGGAGGCTCGGGCTGCGCGTAAACGGGCGGCGGCGGCGGAACCTGGTTGTGCCGGAAGGAAAGAGGAAAAGTAAAGGGATTACCCGGGAGTGGCATGTGCACGAACTGGCCCGGCTCCGGTTTCTTGACAACCTGCCCTTGATGGCCATGGTGATTCTGGTTCTTGTTGGCCTTCGGGGGCCTGGTCGCAGGCTTCAATTCGGGTAACCGAACTGGACCGTGGCTCTGGAAGGAATTGCCGGCGCCGGACATGTCCTGGGGCTGTGCCATCTGGTTGGACAATCTCTTTTGCGACTGCGCCTGCTTCCGCTCCAAGACCTTGGTTTCGTAGCGCAGATGAGTCGGAATGCGCGTGTCGATCTTGTACTGAGCCGCGATTGTGTCTTTCACGAGCCAAGGAGCTCCGGTCCATGCATCTCTTGTAACCGTCTTTTTCACGAATGAGCGCAGGACGGACTTGGTGAAGACCTTGCGGTCGCGCCAGATATTGTTGTCGTCGACGACTGCCTCGTGCTCCTCGGAATCATCCAGGCTGACAAAGTATCTCGAGAAGGGCACGGTTAGGGTACCATCCGGAAGCATCTTGCTGCCAAACCTGGCCTTGTCCCTCACGACCCCTGTAAAGCGCTCGCCGGTGTGTATGGAGACGGTGACATGCTCGCCGGGGTAGAAGTCGCCCTTGAACTCTTCGTAGAGCTTGTCGACCAGGTTGTCGATCCTCGAGATTGTTTGGAACTGCACGCGGCGCAGGATGGGGCCCTTCAGGGGCTCGGGGAAGGCTTGCTCGACTTCCTGTGCGCCAGCGAGCTGGTGGAAGTGGGGGTCAGCGCATAGACATTCGAGGAAGTGGCCGAAGGACCTTACTTCTGACTCTAGGGCCTCGAAGAAGTTCAGGCCCGAGTGTCCGGTGATTTGACATATGAAGCGTTTCTATGGGTGCTGTCAGTGGCGGCGTTGCGGGTTTCGAGCGGTTCGCAGCACGACTAACCTGCTTGTAGAAGTCGAGCCTGGGCTGTGTATCAGTACCAACGCGTGCCTATGATTGGGTGAGAACATCATACCTGTTAAGATAGTCTTCGTACGTGACAAAAACCTCACCTGTCTGGGGAATGTACCACACCTAAGCCAGGGTGGAGTGAGTAAGCCGAGTGCGCGGGTGGGCGCGGTGCGGCGCGTCACGGGAGGGATATATATGTACGTACCTCATGGTCGTTTTCTACGGGCGGCGGCTGCAGGAACTGCACCGGCTTGCGCTTGAAGAGGACCTTGAGAGGGTGAGCAGGGCGTTGAGGAGAATGCGCCAGGTCGTGGAGGGATGTTTTGGGGGCGTACCATGTCGGGGGGTAGCAGGACTGCAGGGTGGCGGGCGGGCCGAAAATCATCTGCAAGGCTGAGATTCAGCCTTCCGCGTCTGAGGGGAAGGGCGCTCAGATTAGGATGGAATTGCTGTAGCGGAAGTTGTTTTGAGGTGTTGTTGTGCCGGCTGGGACGCGGTCGTGTCCAAAAGGCAAAAGGCAGAAGCGTGGAGCAGGTCCAGTCGTGGGTAGACGTGGAGGTGCAGAGACTGCACGGGACTGGGGTGTGCAGTCTCCCGGCGGGCCTTGACCGATCCCCAGGGCCGACCTGACTTAGACGAGGCTGCTGCTGCTGCGGGCGCGCAAGGGGATTGGAAGGGCCGGCAGCGTTGGCTTTGGCGTGGGTGGGTGTGCGAGGGGCCAAGGTTGAGGGCTGGCTGGTGATGCTGCGCGAGGGGGAGTGGAGGGGGCGAGTGTTGAGAAGGAGAAAGGGTAGGTCGTGAAACGAGATTCAAAATTTGGGAGATGTCCAAGAGGTAGGGTAGGTAGACTAGGTATGTCTGGGTAGGCAAGGTGGGCGGGCAGGTAAGGTAGGTAGGTAGGTGGTCTAGGTACGCATGCATGCGCAGGCACATGTACTCGCATCCCCGTATAATCTGGTCTGCAGCCGTGGTACATACTATCTGAACCCCCCCAGGTACCCTGTCCGCCCACACAGGTACATCTGATGCGTGCCTCGCGTGCCTACGCCTGCGCGTGCTGCGCTGTACATCGGCTGGCGACTATTGTACAGAGTGGATCCCGGCTCGACCAGGGCCAAGACTAGCCTGGCCCTCCCGGGGGAGACGGTGACAAGAGACAAGAGGATCCCGTCCCCATCGCCCACACCCCCAAACGTTCCCTCCCTCTTGCTCCCCTGATCTGTCCACCATCACCGCAGCTTTTATATGCATGTTTGTACTCATTCTGACCGCCCTTGACCGCACAATCCACCCTGTACCCATTGGTCTCTCCTCGACCCTTGAGATCTATCTCCTATTGATATATCTCCAATCTGGCGCGTCCCAAACCGGACCCTCCCATTTCTGCACCACATGCACGCAGGCATATGCCACCTTACAGCTTGCAATTCTTGCAGTGCAAGAGCGCGTTTCGTCCACATGTCTGTCTCTATCCCTTCCCATCCGTACTTACAACCTCTTCGACCTGTAAACATGTAGCTAAATGAAATTGCGCCGTCTATACATGCGTGTATCAATTCAAGCGCGTCGTGTTGAGCCTCAACCGGCGTCACCGGGTCTTCTCCAGATGGATCATATGCTGCCTCAATAATTGATTTCTATATCTCATTTCACTTCTCCTCTTCTTGTTTTCATTTACATTCATTTTGATCCATGTGCGGAATTCCTCTCAAAGGTCTTAGTTTCGAGGGTCAGTAGACGCCAAAGCTGCACATGTCTGATACAAGGGCGGATCAGGATTTTGCACATCTCCCGTTCAGCCTCGCAGTCTATACTTATTGGCTACATCTTTAAAGGTTCAGCAAGGCTAATTCAAAAGATATTACTGGTATGAAAATGTCCCTAGATTTTAGATTGGGAGTGTGAAAATATGTGACAGAGGCAAAATAGCGAGGGCATTTCAAGAGGCAAATGAGTGAACATGCAAAGTTGAGATGTAGGAGGTGCACAGGTACTGACGTGGTAAACATCCCAGGGTGCAATCTGTGCCCATCGATCAAAGTCACTTCCCGCTGCCGAGTTATGGAACACTTGCAGCATGGGCCTGCACACGCCTCAGGCTGTGGTGCAACCTTACCAGCGATTCAGGGCGGTACATTGTCACAAAGAAACAAGGTCTGTTTGGCCCGGCACACGTGGGGCGCCATGCCGTTTCGGGCTTGGGGACTCCCTGCTGCTGTGCTCAGCTGTGCAGCATCCTTCGCTCTCAGACCCAGGCCCTGTAGCATCACGTCCAATTGCTAGCCGTCTGTCTCGCGACGGGCGGCTGGCAACTCAATCATGTGCTTGTGCTGTCCTGTAGTCAACCGGTTGGGATTCATCATGCCTGATGGGCTCTTCTTGCCTCTCTACGAAGTAAAGTACACTACATTGAATCCGATCCAACTGCCAACCACTCCCAGCGCCGAGTACGCACTGGTGAACATCAATGGCAGGAATTCGTAGCTCTGGCCAAACACAACCTCGTGGATCAGCGAGCAGTACGCGATCAAGGGTATGCTGATGGCAATGTAGAGTGTGTTGCACCTGTCGAAGAGGAAGAACCTCGGCCTGCCGGAAGCTGGCGCAAGGCGATCGAAGACCATGAGGAACAGAATGAGCCAGAAGATGGTGTAGATGGTCTTGATCGGAAACTCAGCCGGCGTGAAGAGCAGTGGAAATAACGACACGTGCCCTGCAACCGCCAGCGGCCGGAACGCGCCAAAGTAGCGTCTGTCCTTGAGTGCGATCAGGCTGAAGGGGATGATGACCAAGAGGACAGCCTTCTCGTGCACGTGATAGCCAAACAGGAACGACGCGTATCCGCAAAGGGTCACGGCTCCAATGAAGCCGTCCCAGGTCGGCTTCCAGAAGAGCTTCACCAGAGGCGGGCCCATGAAGACCACTGTGAGCATGAGACATATGCCAGGAGTTATGTCCGGGAGCACCGCGAAGGACGTGTCGCCGATGAGACCTCGCGTCACACTAGACAATGCGTCGTGCTTGATCGGCAGCCCAAGACGTGGTGCCACTGTCGAGAAGTTTAGTCTACATCGCCAGCAGTCCGGGTGGCATCAATTCACTTACAATAGATGAGGACCCGATCAGAAAATGAGTACAATGCCCACACGTTAGGCGCCCAGTATGCATGACATAGCCCTCGGCCAAATGGGAAGAGTCTTTCCTTCATTTGCCAAAGCTGGTCCACGTTATGAAGAGCGAAAGGGCCAAACGCGGCGGCGAGGATGGTGGCGATGCCGCCGCCCAGCTTAAGGCAATTAAGCCACTGAATGCGAAAAATGGATTTTGGCGACAAGCAATAGACCCGGAGGAGGTAGACGAAGTAGGCTGGGGCCAAGTAAGCGTAGATGTGCTTCATACATAGAAGGCCTGCAAAGGCGAGCCCACTGCCCAGCAAGCCGGATTGCTTTCTTGCCAGGACAAGAGATGCAATGAGGAGGCCGTACATGCATCCATTGTACTGGAAATGGATGTGGTCAATGAGAAGGAGTCCCGGTGAGAGCAAGATCGAGATGGCAGCAGCTTGCGCAGCTCTCTTGGTAGCACCATGAGACGAATCCACGAACCTGAGACGAGCAGTGAGGTCAGCACAACTTTGGCTCTCGCCGTCGCCATGATGGCTGGATGGGGATACTGACAGCTGTAAGGCGTAAACCAGCAGTAGCTCTGTGATCAGCACCGATGACCTCTGGAAGTAGACGGTCTGCCAACTGTCATATCCCAGGTTGTAGACCTTGAGCATTGATGGGTCGGCCAGCTTCGCAACCTGGGACAAGAGCCATTCGAAGTATGCAAAAAATGGAGGGTAGTCGAGGGTCCATTCCGATGTCTCCTCGTAGTACCATTCCCGGAGAGGGAGACTATGTGTGATTGCAAGCCAATTCCGGTGGACTTCAAAGTCTGTGGACTTGCTGAGAAGGAGACGGCACATCAGCACTGCAAGCCCTTGGGGGGCCTCATCCGGAATAGTCTGCAGTGCAGCGCAGATACTCACTAGGCTGGGAATAATAGGACCTTGAAGGCCGTGGCAACTACGGCACACTGAGTGAGTGAGGGATAAATCTCAGTCATCTTGACACCATGCCCTCCGCTGCTGTCAATGGCACGGATACGGGATACGTGGTGTGAAGCTGTGCGTGGTGTTGACCAGTCCAACGTCTTTCTTGTAGAGTGCAATCTCATAAAATCCACAGCTTCGTCCGACGTGGTTTCGAGAACGTTGCGCTCGGGCCAGGAGCTGGATCCAGTGCAGTCTGGTATCTGGGTGGACAAGAGGAGTACTTGCCAGGTGCGAGGTCCAGCTGGGCTCAACTACCCCAGAACAAATGATGTGTGTATCGATGCATACATGCAAAGAACCTTGCGATTTTGTCCATATACGAGTGTATTTACTTTTCGTGCTTTTGCCTCGTTTCACGATTCTCTGGTGTCATAATAGATGCAGCATAAACGCTCGTCGTAGTACTGCGCGGTACCCTCTGTGTACTCTCATCTGTGACGGAGCCAACACCCCTGGACCCCACAACTGCCTGCCGTTGTGGACAGTTGGAGAAGCTCCCGAGGGCAGGGGTCGTGTTCTGTTCTGGCTTCGGAACAGCTCGCCAGATCTCCAAGGGCTTGTGCTGAGGTTCTGAGGTACCCTGGTACCGCCCGATGCCAGACACAGACAGGTACTGTGGGAAGACAAAGGCTGAGACTGAGACACTCGAGTCTCGATGCATCTTTCTTTGCTCGGCCACCACAACCAAAACCGAGCACTGGACTCACCTGGAACCTGACCTATTCTTTTAATAACCCCAAAGACCATTCATCGCGGCTCTTTGTCTTTGAGGCGATTCCCACCTCACCCTGTCATTATAGCTGAGCTCCGGAGCTCCAACCCCGAGGTGTTTTGGAGTTAGGGCCGGGCCAGGTCAGCGCGGCGGCAGCATCCTGATATTTCGCCAGAGTGGCCTCAACAGCAGCACAACACCCTCGTGTCGCAATCCATAAACCGCCTACCAGGGCACCATTTCCCAGGCCCTGCTGCATCCTTTCCAGCATCCAAACAAAGTTCTTGTATTCACGTATATTAACTAATCCACCATGCGGTCAGCGCTGGCCTTCCTCGCCGGCCTTTCCCCGGTGGCTGCGCAGTACCTGGTCAATGAGCTTAGCTTTGGCTACAACAACAGGCAAGCCGAATTGTTGCTCTCTGCTCGCTTGCAGCACTCTTACTGACATCCGCTGCAGGATAAGTCCTAACAATGACGGGTCCATACCGGGCTTCGCCCTCCACGGCAACCCTACCTGGCCAGAGATCCTCTCCAACAAGATAATCCTCACTCCCCCTGCACCTGGTAACTACCGATCCTCCGTATGGGCCGATAGACCACTCCAACACACACAATGGGTCGCCGACGTCGACTTTCGCGCCAATGGGCCAGAGCGCGCGGGCGGCAATCTCAACATCTGGCTGGTGCGAGACGGCCAACAGGACGTCGGCCTCAGCTCCATCTACACTGTTGGCAAGTTTGAGGGTCTCGCTCTGGTGATCGACACATACGGCGGCAGCTCAGGCATGGTGCGAGGGTTCCTCAATGACGGCAGCAAAGACTTCCAGAAGATCTCGGTAGACGGGCAATCCTTCGGTCACTGCAACCACGCCTACCGCAACTTAGGCCGGCCCTCGCAGATCAAGTTCCGCCAGACAGCCAACAACTTCAAGGTGGAGATCGACGGTGTGCTTTGCTTCGAGAGCGACAAGATCAGCATACCCGCCGGGTACAAGCTTGGAATCACAGCCGCCAGCGCGGACAATCCCGACTCGTTCGAGATCTTCAAGATGGTCCTCATGACCGACAATCTCGACCCGGGCCAGGACAAGCAGCAGGCCGCAGTCCAGCAGGACGGCATGTTTGGTAACCAGGGGCAGCAGCAGCAGCAGCCGATGGGAGGAAACCCACCCTCTGGCCGTTGGGACTCGGGCTTCGAGGATGACATCCCCGACGCGACCGCCGACTCCATCACCAGCTCAAAGGCTCAGTTCGCCGACCTGCACACCCGGATCCAGAGCGTGAACCACCACCTCTCCACCATCTTCCGCGCGGTCGCGAAGCAGGACTCGGTCGGCGAGATCCGCCACGGCGAGGTTTCTGGGCAGATCGCAGAGCTCAAGGGCTTGTTGTCCAAATTGGACCGGCTTGGCGACCTGGAGAACAAGATCTCGAGCCTTGAGTCCGAGGTCCGGAGGCTGAAGGGAGATGTGACATCCAAGGTGAGCTCCTCGGAGCACGCGATCAAGGGGCTGGTCAGCGACAGCCACCAGACGATCAGGGATACTGTCAAGGAACACGCATCACCAGGTCATGGGCGTCTGATCGCTGTGATCATCGGCAGCCAGGTCGTGTTGGTCGCTGGGTACGTGTATTACAAGAAGAAGAAGTCAACGCCGAAGAAGTATTTGTAGAGAGAGTTTCCGAGGGGGGTGGTAGAAGATGTTGGGCCAGGAACTTATTTTGTACGAAAAAAGCGATGGATGGAAATAAAGCGGCGTTTGGTTCTTATGTCCTTGTGTAGCATTCCAGGGTACTCTTAGCATTGCGAATTTGAGGCATTGACGGGATCTTTCCCATCGCAGCAAGTGTTCTCCATTCTCAGCATCTGAGCCTCTCGAAAGCGCAAGACAACCATGACTTCGAACGAAGTGCAAAAAGCAGAACCGTGATAACATGGCTTGCATATACGGATAACCAGAGCGGTTGTGTTCACCACTATGGATCGGCAGTACGGCAGTGATTGGCTTGTGCATACTATTCATCCTCGCCGTCGCCGCCGTATTCCGGGTTATCTGTACCGCTGTTTTCACTGTCAATGGAGCGTACTTGATCAGATGCTTGGAGGCCCCTACACTAGTTGCTTCGCCCATCCCTCTATTACCTAGATTTGTACACTTTATCTAGACCACCTCATTATGACCTGCCTCGGTTGCCGTTCCTGGTCCCCTATTTTCCATTAACCACCCTCAGCATCTCCTCTCCCTTCGGCGCCGTGGTCAAGTTCTCGTATCCATCGTCTGTTACCAGGATACAATCCTCGATCCGGCACCCACAGACCGGGTAGTATTTTTCCAGTGCATTCTTGTCGACATACGGGGCCACATCGGGATTGCCAGCGAGGAACCACTCAATGTAGGCCCGGTTGAAATAGAGACCTGGTTCACAGGTAATGACCATGTCTTTCTCTAGGGGTGGCGAAAAACGATCGCCTCCTCCCTGATAGTGTCCGGCCCGGTGCCCCTCAGCAGAATATCGCCCTCTAGGATGAGCTCCAGCGAGAGAATCCATTTTGTCCAGACTCCATGCTTTTCCTCGCAGCATGCTATGAATATGAACTCCACCAATAACGTCGTGGGTGTCCAGACCAACCAGGTGTCCGAGCCCGTGCATGAAGAAAGCCCTGACAGCCCTGAGTGTCAAGGCAGGCTCATTACCGGTGATGATGCCCAACCCTTTCAGTCCGTCTAAGGCGACCAGCTGGGCCTTGTTCGTGATGGTCGCCCACGACGCGCCGGGTTTGATCAATGAGATACAGGTGTCCTGCATCTTCTCCACGATAGCATACACCTCCTTCGCCTCAGAAGTGAACTTTCCATTGAGCGGGAAGGTCCGAGTGACGTCGGAAGCGTAGCATCCGTACTCAGCTCCGGCGTCAAGGACCATGAGCTGCCTATTGTCAAAGTCCTGGTTGTTGGCGCCATAGTGCAAGGTGGCAGCGTTGGGCCCAGATCCGGCGATCACAGGATAGGCCTGGAATAGACGTTTAGCTCTCATCGTCGGGTGCATGCAGATACACAGTTTTGGGTGTTACCTGTTTCTTAGCCCCGAGTTCACGGCATTTGGCGATAAATAAGTTCTCGACTTGGGCCTCGCTGGTCAAGGATTTAATGTGCTGCTGGACGTGACGGTGAGCCTCTGACGATATGTAGTTGGCCTCGCGAATCTGGGCAATCTCATAATCGGACTTGACAGCCCTGGCCAGGTCCATGGCGGGCTGCAAAGCCGAGTAGTCAACAGTAAAGCCAGATGCCGGGCCGTATGGACGGGGTGGCGTCTGGCTTTCATGCAGGACGTAGAGAGTCGTGTCGGCGGTCAGAGTTTCTTTGAGGTACGGCTGCAGGCCAGTGATGTCCTTGACAGAGTCGACGTCGAATCGAGCGGTACATTCTTCTATGCTGGGCAGAGCGCCGAACCAAATGATCTGCTCGGGCTTCCTGATTGGGATCCAGAGGGTGAGTACGTCCCTTGCGATGTCATATGTGACAGCACACCCGGGGAAGTCTGCACCGGAGAGATAGAATGCGTATCTGCGCTGTCTAAATGGTCTCTCACTGTTGACTTCGTCAGCAATTTACATTCTATGAGAGCGCGATGAGAAGGGAAACGATGGTCGAATCCGGCATTTTGAGAATACAGTTTTGATCTAAATGAAGCTTCTTATGACGGCGATGGGAGTGTTGCAATATACAATCAACCAGAGCAGGCTTATCCAGTCGCAAGGAGTAATGTCTCAGGAGCGACATAATTAATAACCAGTCCCGAGCAATACTGGTTCAAACTTTGATGAAGTCAAAGGAAGGGAAGGGGAAAAAAGAAAGAAAAAAAAGGGAGTGGAGAGTTATTACCCATCTGTGTCCTCATACTGCGCAGAGTTCTGGCCAGGAAGGTAAATCAAGCCTCTGGTCGAGGACGAGTCGGAGGCAGCGAGCTCTCTCTTGACCTTGTGGGCATGGGTCTTGGCCGGATACTTGAGGTCATCCTTGTGAAGCTTGACCTGGATGGAGAGAGACGTGGATTCGTCGATCTGCGTCATATTGGAGTTTAGAATTTAGGCCAGATGTACGTGTATCTACGTGGTTGCGAGAGTGGTTTAGAAGATGACCGAAGGTGGGATTGTTGCCGGAGTTCGAGGTGGTGATAACAACTGTCATGGGTCCAAGCAGCTTCCTTGTTTAGCCACCTGGTGCCGTCGCCCGGAAGAAGACACTCCAACCTCCAAGCTGGCGACTGACTCCGGAGCCGAGAACCTAGCGAGCTCCGTATATGATATTCCCAGTGCACGTCCGCACTCCTTGCAACAGCTACCATTCCTCCAGTATCACAATATCAGCTAGGCAATTTATCGTTTCTGTTCCTGTTGTTCTTTGTCGTTCAGAACCGTCTCGTAACACCTAGCAGCACTTGTGTCAGAGATTAAGCGGGTGCAGGATCATCTTCGGGGCGGCTATATCTGCACAGGATACCCGCCGTGCAAGTATAGCATAGCAGCCAACTCAAACGGTCGCCCTGTCTGTGCGGCAACATTTACAGCTCTGCGAACAATTGCTTTCCTGCACTCAGCTTCCCATATCCAGAATCATAGCAAGCGAGCGTCCGGTCGTCTCCTGCGACTTGCGTTGTCAGTCAGATACAGCGCAATGTCATCAGGCTGATAAGTCCAAGCACAGACGCTCGCCCACGGCCAACAATTAGCCTAGGTCTACAGTACTGCGCGCCTCGGAGCTCAGCTCCTCCTCACCATTCTTCACCATTCACTCGCCCGTTGTTCACCGATCTGGGTACAGGTAGCCAATTTGGGTTTCCACATTGAGGCTCGACGCCATCTACACTTACCACCATCGTCTTGCCATTTTTCCCAAGACTTTTTTCGACGGGCTTGTCTCAACATTCCCCTCACTGCTGCCGTAAAAAAAAACCTCCCGCGCAAAGCCAATCCTACTCGACGTCAAACATCAACGTTGACATAGTCCGGCTGCAAGATGGCGGCTACAGCACAATCTGGCCAGGGCCAGGGTCATCTGGCCGACAACCTTGAGAAGCAATTGAACGAGATTGTAAGACCACACATAGAATGCGCTTGCCTGCCCTGTTCTATACTGTTCGCTGGGCTTTGCTAACCACGGTCTTTCTCTAGATGGTGCAGATGGGCAGGATCTTTCAAGCCCCTAACCAGCACCCAGAGCGCGCAGAGCAGATCGTTTTGAACGCCAAGAAGAAGATGGGAGAAGCTACCGACAGCTTTCACTCGACCCTAGATGAGATGGAGATAGAAATAGTGAGTTACAGGCCTCCTGCCAGACCGTCCGACGGATAATCACCTGCGAGGGCCGACACATGGCTTCTCGATGAGGACATTGGGCTAGGACTGACCAAGCCAACAGACACGCGCCAAAGCCGTCTTCATGCGAGACCTACAGAAGCTGCAGGATAAACAGAAGGCTGCTGTCCCTAGTCAAGCTCAACCTCCTGCGCCCATGGTCATTGATCTTGACCCTCCCAAGGCTGAGCAAGCATCCGTGCCGGTTGCCCCTATGATGGCCTCGGTGTCGCCGTTCATGCAAAATCGACCAAACCCCAAAGTACCGGAAGTCACGCCAGTCGCCCCCTTCCCAGACATGGGCATGGGCATGGGCACGAGCACTCCCACCAACGCCGCAACCGTGCCTTTTCATCCTGTCAAGCCCACCGAGCAGAAGCGCCCGTCTCCAAAGCCAGCACCGAAATCAGGCCCGCCCTCTGGACGTCTAGCGACCAAGCCATCCCCTCTGATCAACTCCCAGAAACAGAAAGTTCCTGCCACTGTACCCCCGGCCGCGTCTGCTGTGGTCCCACCCCCAGCCGCGCCTCAGCAAGCACCAAACCCACCACCTGCTAGCAACCCCTTCACCAACGCAACCTTCACCCTCGACCCGGTCAACAACGAACCTCAGGTGCAGACGGGTGGCCAGGATACCGCCATGGATTTGACGGGCTTTGACACTACGTCAGGCGGCCTTGACAATCTGGACTTGGGAGGGCCCATTCCTGGCGGAAACACAGAGCCTGTCACCAATAACAACAACGTTGGGAACGACACCAGTATGGACGACCTGGACCATTTCTTTGACCTAGGTGAGGAGTCTACTACGAACTTTGATGACAACTTCAACAGCATGAACGAATTCATGAACGATGACTTTGCCTTCGACACGTTTGAGTGAGGGTGGACGACGTACGGACAGGCGCAATTAGGCGATGCGAGCAATCGGTATCGGAACTTCTCTATCTCAACGGACCGAAGTACTCAGACAAGGCCTGGCTATCATCAAAATCTATTGCTTTACATCAGGTCGACTATCACGATCTCAACCCTTTTCGCTCGAAATGAAATCACGTCTCTTGACTTCTCCTACTGACTGTTGTGGCTGCCCCCTCCCTGTGTGCGAGAGCCAGAGATCGACCTGGAAATATACTCTGCTATCTCCAAATCATATGCTCAGCGACTTAGGTCGATGGTGACTGGCAGCGAGGAATTGCTGGAGACCGTCGCTGAACCTCGCATATCCCCCTCGGTCAACAATAGGGGGGATACTTCAGTGAGATGACCTCTCATGTTCTTGAAGGCTAATTTGTGAGACGTCAAATATCATGAGATTATTAGCTTTACATAGGTAAGTTCTTCTCTGTCTTTTTGTACTTTGCAGTACCTGTGCAAGTATGTGGGGTCCCCGCGAGCGGTATGGCAATACAGAGTGGCAATGTCAACGTGGGTTTCAACGACAGGATGAGGATCATACAACGATCGCAAAAAAATCAGCGAGTAAGCTTGTCACGCAGTATCTAAGGCCTGAGGTTTCTGGAATGATTTAGGGCTGATTTATCTACCTAGCCATCATGAAAGAACGCTGTCCTGGCCTGCACGCACCTTACCTGAGAGGGCTGAGGGTTTCCTTGCCGTATCGCTGACGAGCCATCCATTATTGCGATGGCCCCTGGGTGACATTCCACATCTTTCCCAGCATGCCGGGAAATTTTGAGTTGCGCCACGTCGTCCAGTCCTCATCCAGCAGGCCCCAGGTCTCATTATAATTCGTCTTCCCATTGCGGACGTAATACGTCCCCTGCAAAGCCCACACGGCCCAGTCGGCGTCATTCGAAGTCATGTATTCAGTCAGGCATGAGAGGTAGCTGTCGTCGCCCTCACTAAGACCGTCGAGATCGCCGCCGCTCATGTCCACCCCGAACTCGCTCAGAATCAGTGGCGCTGTGTAGGGCTCGCCCTGCTTAAGGAGGAACCCGTCGAAGAGGCCCCACGCTTCCTTGCGGAGGGCGCAGATGCCGAAGTTGACGTAGAACGTCGGAGTGAAGGAGTAGACGTGAAACTCCCACACGTGTTTCCCGCTCCAGGACGACGTGTCGAGGTTGCGATTCCTGACGGTGGTCAGGTCCGTCGCCGAGGCGATGCCCCCGATGATGATCAGCGCGTTGGGGTTTGCCGAGTGCACCGCCTGCGCACCCTTCGTGACGAGCGTGTACCAGTCGTCAATCCCGGTGACCTGGATCAGGCCTTGCCTAATCTCGTTCCGCAGCGACAATCCGACAACGCCCTCGCGCGAGGCGCTCCACGAGGCGACGGCCGCCAGGCCCTGGAGCCACTGGCTAGTGTTGAAGAACCTCGAGTTCAGGTCGTTGTGGCCCTCTGCCTCGTCCCACCAGCCGTTCCCGTCCGTCAGGTTGCAGCACCAGCTAGCCTTGGAGAGGTGGTTGTCGAGGATGGTCATCACGCCCCTGGCCCACAGCTGATCGATCACCTCCCCAAATACATCCTGGGTTGTGGCGTTTTGCAGGAACGGGTTCTTCGCCAGGGCCTCTGAATAGAAGCTTGTCATAGAATCGGCCGACACTCCCGCCGCGGTTGCGGCTTGAGTAAAAGCATCAGCAACAGGGAGGGTGGGATTCAGCGCCCAGTCGATGGAGTACGTCAGGCGAACGCAGTTGAACCCCTGCCCAGCGATCCAGTCGGCCAGGTAGCTTATAGACTGTTTGTGAAGGCCCTCGGGTAGGTGCGTCTCCATGTGACCCGCCCAATTCACGCAACGCAGCTTGACGCGTTCCCCGCCGGCGTCAACGATCCAGCGGCTTGATGTTGAGAGGGGGACATTTGGGGCCGCAAAGGCAGAGTTGACGAGGGCCAGAAATGCTAGCAGGAGAGGTAGGAGCAGTGCCATGGCTGAAGCAATTCCTATAGATAATTGCCGTTGGCCAAGTGCTTGATGAAAATGAGTAGTGCCCACGATATTCTGCGCATGGATTTATAGATGAAGAATAAACGCTTTACTGCGAGTTTGTGCCGCTTGAGCCGGGCCAAAGTCTTAGGAGAGCGAAGATTAACAGAAATAGAGCGAAGTAGGACCTTGGTGCCCGTTCCAAAGGACACACTGGGAGAGCAAAGGTTTGTATGTACGCAGTGAATTATTCGATATCAAAATATTGGATAACAAACGACAGGCGAGGGCAAGATCGGTGACAGACAAGGAGGCCGTGAGGCAGCCCGGACTGTACAGAGAGCGAGTGAAGAGCTGGCGAAAAGCCCACAAACAGTAGTCGAGGGCATCGCGGGTTTCCAACGTCAAAAGATATATAGTATTCGTTCCCTTGTCGGTCCCCTAGCAGCTGAGCAGTGCGCCTGCACCTCTCCTATCAGGACACCTGCCCAACTAGTCGTGTCTGCCCTAACCATCGTGACCGACATCATGATTCGGCGGAGCACAGGCTCCTGCAACCCGAGGTCTCTTGGTCGACCGCCCTCCCGGGGAGAGTAGCCAAGCGGGAGGTGGCAACGACACTCGCCTATCAGCTATCGCGAGGGGGGAGACGCAGGCATGGCCCAAATATCCAGACCCGCATGAATGGCAACTGAAGGGGGGGAAAAGGTGGGTGGGCGGCAGCAGGGTGCCGTCCTTGCATGACATCTTTTCAGCATTCGTCTGATCTATTGCACGCGGGGCCGCCCTCATGGTCTGTTGTTGCATCCCATTGGGGCTCATGTGAAATGCGTCGACCTGTCATACCCATGCATGCTGCCAGAGATGGTGTGTGGAGGAGGCCAACGGCGCTATCTAAGTGGACGATGGGGTTCCTGAGCCAGCTTTAATGAACTGCTGCTAACCTGGAGTAGTTCCCGGCCCTAAATTAACTAACAGCGGTCCTGGGCTAACAGTAATACACACCTTCCCGTGTCCGCATTCTCCCCAAAATACCGTGTTTGGTCCAAAGCTTCCGACGAATAAGTTGCACAACCCTGCAATGCTGTTCCCATCTAGACTGTTTCCTATATACTGTAGCACATCAATCGGGATGATATGCTCGCCACAAATTTGCCACAACACAGGCCATGCTAAGCCTCATTGTAAACTTGCCCGACAAATCATCCCAGCAAAGTGTTGGACTGATCTCCCAGAATGCCACGCTCGGTCAGCGATATGTTTGGATGCAGCAGGATGTCGATGTGCAAGCCCAGTATTTCGCACTCTGTGCGAATCGCAGTTGTGAGTTGGTCAGGTTTCCCTGAAATGGTATCAAATATTCATCGTTCGTAGATTCGTAAATACAGGAGCATGTGTACAACACATGCATTTTAACCCAAAAACAAGTAGGTAGGTACAGAGAGATGATTCGACCTAAATACTCCCGTGCTCTGCCCGTGCGACCGGCAAGCCCATTGCCAGCCACGTGTCCAGCCTTTTCAGAAAATAAAAAATGTGACACAACGAGAAGTAGCGCTCGCTCGGTTGGTACCTGTAGCATATGACATGCAGGTCTCAAGACGTATTTGCAGTAGTGTCGCTGGCAGCCATCTTGGCTTCAAGCTCTTTCCTTTTGGCCAAAAGACTCTTGAAGGCCCCCAGACATTTGATCAACGATTCCTCGTCATCGGCACAAAATCTGTAGCTTTTTTCTTCCGTGATAACCTGCAGGCAATGTGTCTTCGTCTTGCTCATCGGGTCGATGTCAACCACGTTAAGGATCATGCCCATATGGACAATGAACTGCACGGTGTACTCGGACTCATCTTTGTAGAGAATGAGGTTCCTGGGACGGAGAACAGCCCAGCAATTCTTCCACTGGCGCACACCGCCCTTATTACGAAGCCACCGAAGCCAGCCTTGCCAGAGAATTCGATCAGGGTCTTGTTCGATGTTGATTCCGCTAGCTTGACTGGCGTTGCGGATTCCGACATTTGGCCTGGGACTTGCGAAAGCGGGTGGGGGAGACTGGACTGCCAGGTTCTCGACTGCTACACCATGGACTCGTTGGACATCCGAATCCGAAAAATCTGAGTGCGACGCCAGCTCTGCCCCTGAGAGACCTGAGGACTCTACGGTTGTGGATGGGCGCCGCGGATTGTACGACGGGCGTCTGAAACTGGTCGTGCTTATGTCGACCGGCTCCGGGGAACTTGAAAAATATGTTTCGCGGTCATGTAGGATCGGGCCGGTGACTGGTTCGGCCTGGTCGAAGGAACCAGTCGGCATAAAAGAGTTGCGACGGATGACAGGGCTGGCCAGAAACATCTCCTCCTCTTCCTCCTCGATTCTGGCATCGCTGCGTATTAAATCAACCCATGACTTGGCCTCGGCGAGACTCGAAGCCTGCAAATGGAAATTTTTCGATGGCGAGAACAGCCCGAAGACGTTCTCTCGTTTGTTTTTGGGGTCCTTCAAGAGCGTGACCGCAGTAAGATCGGATAGATATATTTTGTGGCGCAATTTGTTCTCCTGGTCGTCCTTGTATATGCTAAGCGTATTAGGCCGGTACACCAGATAGGCCGACTTCCATGTCTTTGTCTTCTGTGTTCGCTTCTGCAGATAGCCGCTCTTAATAACTCGATCGAACTCGAAGCTGCCGTTCTGGTTGACCGGTGAGTATGGATCGAGCGACAGCTGGCTCTTTAGTCGAGATGTGGCGTTTTGTGGGGGCAGAGAGATCGACGTTGGAGGGATGGCGATGTTTGGCGATCGCTTAATCGGGTTGCTGGCGGCCAGCGCGGTCGGCCTCGCTTGCACTTCAGCCATGTCGACCACCGATGCGCACGTGGTTTCGTCCGTGTCCTGGGAAAAGGGAAGTCGGGAGTTGAGGTGTGCAGGGTGAATTGAGAAGGAAAAGGTGTGTGTGAGCGAGGCGATGATGTCGTCGGCAAGGTAGGTTGGTTCGCAGGCCTGCCGCAGGGATCCACCGCCTTTTCAAGATTGAAGGAAAGTACTGGATTAACGATTGACCAAGTTGGGAATTGAGAGAATTAACGAGAGGCTAGGCGGCCAGAAAGAGACCTATGAGAGAGAGAGGACGGGAGGAAATGGAGAGGCTGAAGTTGAGCAGATCACGGCGACGGTGAGTTGTCGTGCGTTGGGGCGGGTGGGTCAATGGAGTGACTTCGAGTCGAAGTGTCGAGTAGATTTGTATTTCCTCCTGCTGGACCTGGACCAAAATAAAACATGGCTACGGCCCATCGGGGGCCAACCCAGTCGAGACCTGGAATCGATTGATGTGATCGGGGCAGATAGCAGAGAGCAGATAGCAGAGAGCAGAGCAGGGAAAAGGCAGGGTGACGGGCTATAATGCTGCCAGACGAACCAAAGCACCAGAGCGACGACAGGCTCAAACAGGAGGAGATGATGAAACCTGGGCGGGAGGAAGCAAGTGGGAGCGGGTGACAAGTTGACAAAGTCGACAAGGGCATGACAAGGGCACGACAAGGGCACTAGGGCACAAGGGCGCTGCTGGAGACCAGAGAACAAGGTTGCGGGCAGGGAGGCACAGCGCATGAGGAAACGGGCGACCGCAAGGTTGCTGCAGGGTGGGTCCTTCCGCCCAAGAAGCAATATCGCGCTGAGTGGGTCTGTGGGGAAGGCACTTCCCTGAGACCGGGTCGTCATTGGCCGAAGCCCCAGCACTTTCCTTCATGCGTAGCATTCAATTGAGGCAATCTCGGCAGGCACACAGGCGCCCCAGCACGGCACTGCTGCGATGGCCCAGGCGCAACAGATCGAGGTTCGGATGAGGCCTGGGACGGGAGAAATGCAACTGTCACGTCGGCCAAGCGATGAACCTGACAGCAAACAACAAACAACATTGCTCCATCGGATCAGTTTCGAGATAAAAGGACGAGCAAAGGACGAGACTCTGCTGCAACTGTATAAAAGCGGAGGACCATGGATATCAGCCAGCAACCCCCCACCGCTGATACAGCTGCTGTTCACGATGCAACTCGCCCAAATGACCAGAAGCTTCGGAACGGTCGATCGCTATTTGTCGATCTTCGGTAGGCCTAATGATTTCTGGTTCCTGAAACCACATTTCCGAGTGCTGCATCCCAGCGACAAACGTTCTAGGCCCTGGTTTCCAGGGTCCTGCAAATGCGCGCCCGATCAGGTCCCCTTTCCGGTCTCCATCTTGATATGCCAGGCCAGGGACCGGATACATCAGACAAGTACACTTGGAGCTGCAGATCCAAGAACGTCAAACGCGGTTTACTTATACATGGCCAGCACTCTGTATTATGTTGGTACAGCGTGTATGTGCTCAATGTGCCTGCTAACGGGACAGACGGGAACTTACTCAAATAGGTAGGTGCCTAGGTACGATGCAGACAAAGCGAGCTCGCCGAAAGACTCATCGGCCTTTCTGCTGGTGAGCTCCTCAGCCGCATCGAAACAACGAACCGCCATGAAATGTTCAGCGGCTATAAGTCAGTCGCGAACGCGAACCTCCAAGCAGAGTACCGCGGTGGGGATCCCAATTGAAGGCATGCGTATTGCGTTTTATTGGTTCTGATCCGAGATTTGCGTGGCCTTCGCAGAGCCTCCACGCCTTGATTTCTCAGGTCCCCCACTGTCACCACCACCATCTCCATCGTCTCGATATGGCCGAGCCAACAGCGGACGAGATATTGTCCCGGGTCACTCAAGAACTGGGCCCGACCGGATTCGCTTGCACGTCGCTTACTCCACTCTCTGGCGGTACTGCGAACTTTATATTTAGTGGCAAGTTGCAAAAGCCTCTTGATGACGGGACAGCCGAGATTGTCGTCAAACACGGGGAAGGCTTCGTTGCCCAATTCCCGTCATTGAAGCTCTCGACTTCACGCTGCGTAGGAACAAAGATCCATCGGAATTTCTTGCCAGGCGAATCAGTCAGCTGACTCCGTCTGAGAATAGAGTCTCGAGCATGAGTGTCTTCAGGCGGTGCGCGAGTTGGACCCGACCATAAGTCCGTCGTACAGCGTTCGAACGCCCCGTCTGTTTTATTTCAACCTAGACTCGAGCACCCAGATCCAAGAATATCTGCCCGACTCTCTTGACCTTAAACATTATGCTCTGAAACGGCTGTTGCCATCCACGCCTGAGCAGCAGCGGCCCAAAGTCCTCGAGCTGGGACGGGGCCTCGGTAGATGGCTGCACAGCTTCCATGACTGGTCCAGTCATCCGGACCAAGAGTCCTTGCGCAATGCCGTCAAGTTGAATAAGCAAATGCAGGGCATCAAGCTCACTTACAACTACGATCGTCTACTCTGGCAGCTCCAGAAATTTCCGTTCCTCAAAGACTCGGAACACGTATTCAAGGAAGTCATCGCAAATGCCAAGCTCGAGCTGGAAGATGAGAGCAAGCTGAGCGTCATCCATGGTGACTTCTGGACAGGGAAGTAGGTTGCCGTTTGAACACTGGCTCTTGCAAACCAAGTACTGATGACGTCTGGCAGCATTTTGCTTCCTGATCAGAGCCTGGAGTCAGACCACCAAAAGTCCATTTTTGTGGTCGATTGGGAGATGTGTCAATTGGGTGTACGACCATTGGATTTGGGCCAGATGATTGCAGAGCTCTATGAGCTTTTCCTATACAAGGACGTTGAAGCGGCACTGTGGCTGATAGAGGGATTCGCCACTGGCTACGGATTTGTGGATGACGATTTTGCCTTCAGGGTCGCCATTCACGTTGGTACGCATCTTGTCGGCTTTGGCACGAGTGTCGCAGGCTGGGGCAACGCGGAAGCCGTAGAAAGGGTTTGCAAGGCAGGCAGAGATATCATCACACATGGCTGGGGAAAGGATCGGGCTTGGTTTGAAGGCCACAATCTATCGCCTCTCTTCAGACAGTAGACTCAGCATGCCAGTCTGTTTTTGCACCTCTGAATGATGTGCCAAGAACCAAGTTACCATGTTGAATAAAAGAAGCTTTTGATGATGACATGTCTCGGGGCAGAGATCTGACAAGGCGGCAGGAATTGTGGAATTCGATCTGGTACCGACAAGCTGGAACCGACGGGACGGGACGGTCCATCTCGCAGAGATTTAGTTAGTGCTCAGAGGCAAACCAGGCAGAATTTCACTTGTTTCCATCAGCCATCTTCTCTGCCACAGCCAGACTTGAGTTTCAAACCATCTTGTCAATAATCAGAATCCACTAAATGAGACTGGGCTGAGACTCTAGTTTGTATACTTTTGGGAACCTGGGGCCCACCATGGCGCCAGACGACAAAGTGTCGAAGCTCTGCCGTCGGTGCAACGAAAACGAAACCACTCACACGATCCGTTCAGAGCCAACATGCGGGTCTGTGAAGCCTGCTCCAGAAAATTGACATTGATCATCAAGGTTGCTAATGTGCTAACAGCCCCTGCTACCGCCGATATGTGCAGATGAAAGCTGTCAAGCGGCTCGAGGTGGCGTCCAAAGAACTCCGCGCCGCGCCTACTCAGACCAAAAAGGTCCTGGTCGGCTTGTCCTTTGGAGTATCGTCATCCTCACTCATCAGTATTCTTGATGAAAGTGCGAAAAATCAATTAAAGAAGAGGCCCACGCCGGCCTATGACCCAGTAGTGGTGCACGTCGATACGGACATGCACGAACAGACTTCACCATTGCCACCCGAAACCCAGAGGATACTGGACAAGTTCAGCGAGCGGTATCCCCGCTTCAAGTTCCGCAGGATACCGCTCGCCGCCGTGCTGGGTCTTGACACGATCGATTGGAGCGCGCTACCCATCGCACCGAGCAGCGGGGAGGAGGGCGGCAAGGCACCTGAGGAGCGGCTGCACGACTTCTTCACCCGCCTGCCCTCTACAACGTCCAGGGCCGACATCATGCGGTTGCTTGTGCGCCACGTTCTCATATCCGCGGCGTTGGAAGAGGGCTGTCATGCCCTGCTCCTGGGTTACAGCACGACCGCCTTGGCAGCGCTCACCCTGAGCGAGACGGCAAAGGGCAGGGGTTTTACGCTCCCATGGATGACCACCGACGGGCTCCAACCGATCCAGACCTTCGCCGCCTCACCACAGAATGGTACAGGCCCGGGTGCTGCTCCCGAGACAGCTGGGACAGAGGTGGCCAGGCTACCAGTCTACTACCCCCTCCGCGAAGTGTTCCGGAATGAACTCGTTGCGTACACAGACCTGGTCTCGCCACCACTCACGGACCTTGTCCTGTCTTCAGACGCCACTGGATCTAGTTCCGCCGTCGTATCACATAAGGACGTCAGCATAGACGATGTGATGGCTCGTTACTTTGACGAGGTGGAGGCGAGCTACCCATCGATCGTAGCCAACGTGGTGCGGACGACGGCAAAGCTAGAGCGTCTCGGGGAGAATGGAGACGATACATCTTGTGGTCTATGTGGAATGGGGCTGGACGAGCAGGGAGATGAGAGGTGGAAGGGCGAAATAGGGGACGCAGATGCAGGGGAGTATGGGAAGTTGTGCTACGGCTGCCAGCGGGCGATGCGGAATTGATCACTTCGTAGCTTCGAATCTATGCAAGTTCGAACACTGGGTTAACCGAACTCCACCCATCCAAATACAGCGTGCTGTAGCGAAGAGAGTACGTCCCTCGGCAGGCATCAGGTTGATTGGCTATTACGAGGTCAACAGCATTTTGCTCTCCAGCCGCGAGATCCTACGTAAACCGATGACTTTTGAGGTAATGACTCTTCCTTGAGCAACCATAATGACATGGAATCGAAGCGAGAGACCGTATTTCATGCTTTTTCACGTGTGAAATTTATTCTTTTGCTTCTCTACCAAAAGACGCCCATCGTCATGCAAAGGGGTATCATATACAGAAATACAGGTACAATTAATTGGCCACCCCAACTCCTTTTAACACAACCTCATGATAGGCCTCCCATGCACGATTAGGCGTGGGGGTCAGGCAGCCAAAACTCCAATTGCTGGTCTGCGGTTGCGAAGAAGTTGAATCGCGGGTTGTAAGCCAAGACCGCGGCTTCCTTCTTGTCCTCCAGGACGTGACTTGGTTCCAACACCTTCTTCTCGTTGGGCGTTCCCAAGACATCCCATACTAGAACATCCTTCTTGGAACCACTCAAGACGTATCGACCATCCGGCGTGAAGCAGCACTCGCCACTGCTCTCCATGTTGGAGGGGTTCTCAGAGGGAGGGCCTCTCAGGTTGGCCTCGCCAGGGGCAGCCCTCCTAGTGCCACCCTCAGGCTTGCGCAAGTAGGCCTTCAACTCGCAAGTGAATGCGTCGAGCAGGAAGTGGCCCTTCCCGTTGGCACCAAGCAGTATATGTTTTCCATCATTTGAGAACTCCAGCTTCGTCCAGCCCTGCATGGTGTAATGCGTATCGACTGTGTGACATTTCTCGACAACGTCGAATATGTTGAAGGGTTTCACATAGTTGCGGTGGTCGTAGAGCAGAATGCTTCCACTAGAAGATGATGCAACCGCGAATACCTGGCCGGAAGGATCATAGGCGGCGAGGTAGGGGGTGCGGAGGTTGATCTGTGCGGTCCAGAACTTGGTGTTTATGTCCCACAGCCGTACAGTGTTATCGCGGCCGCAGGATATGAAGTTGTCGGCACCGGGGTGCATCGTCAAGGCGGTCACTGGGCCTTCATGGCCTTCGAAATAGCGGATGAAGGAGTTATCGTGCGTGGCCAGGTAGCGGATGGCATCTACAAGACGCCCATTAGTGGCTGCTCGAGCCCGGGCGCGCCGTTGGTTTTGTACTGACCGTTCTGTTTTGTGCTGGCGTAGATGATGCTTGAGCTGGCATGGGTGAATCTTGCGAGCTTGACTCCATACTTCTTGCTCAACAAGGTCTTGTCATGGCGTCCCTCCTTCACATTGTAGATTTGGATGGTCTCGTCGCTCTCAGATGTCATACACAGCTCGCCCGGATCATCGTAGTCAATGGAAAGGATATAGGACGGAGGCTTGCCCTCCTTGGGATCATCCCTCTTGAAAAGCTGCAGGCGAATGCCAAGTTAGACACTGGAGCAACCCAGGCTTCAAATGCGAGACAGAGCTGGGGATGTATACCTTGGTTGGCCTGAAGTTGGCAATGACCTCGCTCACGGCAGAGGTGGTGCTGACATTGGTGCCCAAAGTCCTTGTTATATTCAATTGGGGCGCCTCTGCCGGCGCCGGTGACGACTCGGCGTCGATGTCCATGGGGGTTGCAGACATGCTGGTGAATGGACGTCGACGCGTGACACGCAGTGGAGGGCATTGGGAAGAGCTTGGGCTGTTTTTTGGGTTGTAACCTGGCAGAGGAAGCACACTGAGCTAAGAGCGCGGCAAGGTGGGGCAGGCCATTCCTGACGACGACCTAGACCAGAGCCCACAGGTACATGTACCCCAGATGTGCGGACATAACAGGGACCAGTGCATGGTACTCTCCGCTGTAGCATGACCTCCCATGGATAAACTCAAATGGGACAAACTCCTCTGGGCTAAAGGATCAACTGCAATGGGATAGATAATCTACTCTAGGAACTCTTGAGTATCTATTTGGCTGAGCTCTAAGGTCCATACAACCACGCCTGGCGTGGGGCGCTCAGGCCCACGGTCGATTTTGAGGAGCTTGGGACCCAAAGGGACCTTGCTAGCCCTGTGGGGATGCTATGACGGACCCCTGCCGTCCAGCAGCTCCGACAATCGCAGCAGACTTTCAGGAGTTGATTTCTTTCTGCCCGAATTTCCGCTTGGCCCAGGGCTGTCTGACTCTTTTTGCACAATGTTTCCGATCCAGGTATGACGAATTTGCCGTGGGCCACTGAACTACGAGATATTGTCAGCGCTATGGTGTTGCTGATATAATACCTTGCCTGTCACCTATTTTCTGGCGCTTGCTCGGCTTGCCTCGGCGCGTCGCATACACATACCTTCAACTCGAGAGTGCTCGCTCAACCACACCGAGGATCATCACGCAGCGTCCTGCCCTCGAGGGGCTTTTCTTCCCTTTTCCTTCTTCCCTTCTCAGAGACTATCCGTGTGTCTGAAGAGACCAATTGATCTCGCCAGAATGTCCACAACAGCAGGGTACGGCGCGGGGATTTGCACTTCCTGCTCTCCGATGGCACAATAAGCTGACCACGTCGCAGTGCCTTCATTGCGGGCGGAATTGCAGCATGTGGCGCTGTTACTGCAACCCATCCCTTTGAAACAGTGAAGATCCGGTGAGTCGATGAAGCTATCTCCAACCTCGTCGCCATCAAACGCGTCCGCGCGATCCGGTGAGGTGCAGTGATGAATGACCGCGCCTGCCCTCACGACAGCTGACGAGACTGTTGCGACAGTATGCAACTCCAAGGAGAGCTCCAGGATAAGGGTCACCAGCCACACCACTACCGAGGTCCTTTCCACGGCGTCTCGGTCATCGTGCGAAATGAAGGCCTGCGAGGCATCTACAGAGGGCTGGGCTGCGCCTACATATACCAGGTCCTCTTAAATGGCTGTCGGCTGGGATTTTATGAGCCCATGCGCAAAACTCTTTCATCGGTATTGTTCAAGGACAGCAATGTCCAGTCGCTGGGAGTCAATATGTTCTGCGGCGCCGGGTCCGGCATCATCGGCGCCATGGCCGGAAGTCCCTTCTTCCTCGTTAAAACGCGGTTACAGAGCTACTCACCATTTCTGCCCGTCGGTACGCAACACATGTATAGGAATGCATTCGATGGACTGCGACAGATTTATACGGCCGAGGGCTTCCGAGGACTCTACCGTGGTGTTGGTGCGGCAATGATCAGGACAGGCGCCGGGAGCTCAGTACAACTGCCGACTTACTTCTTTGCAAAGAGGAGGCTGATGAGGCATGCGGGCATGGAAGAGGGACCCGCGCTGCATCTGACTAGTAGCGCAATCAGTGGCTTCGTCGTTTGCTGTTTCATGCACCCGCCAGGTCAGTATCCTGTTTTTGGCTTGGGCAGAGAAGCTTTCTAACACTCAATGCAGATACCGTTATGTCTCGTCTGTACAACCAGCACGGAAATCTGTACAAAGGCGTCTGGGACTGTCTTTCCAAGACGGTGAGGACTGAGGGATTTTTTGCGATCTATAAGGGATTTTTGCCTCATCTGGCCAGGATATTACCACACACCATCTTGACCCTGAGTTTAGCAGAGCAGACGAACAAGCTTGTCCGCAAGATCGAGGGTGTGATATTACCAATCGCTGAGACGAAGCTATAGAGCAGCGGTAGATTACGGAGGTGCATTTCAAAAGCCATTTCAAAGCGTCGGTTCGGTTCATAAAAAAAGGAGGGTCAAAGTGCATATAGAAAGATACCAGGCTTGGGTTGGAAAATATGGCCCGATGTAAGTAAGCCTTCGATATGCAGGCTCGGGTGGGGGCCTCAAGACGGATCTACAAAAGGCGTTGGCACTGAAAAAATCCTCACATTATTCGCGATTTCAAGCCCTTTTTCTGTCCTCTCTTCCATTCACTCGCATGGCTCAATAGCACAATTGAGAAGAGGTGGAAAAATAAGAGCAAATCGCGTAGGAAACGAGGTCGAAAGGCAGGAAAGGCAGTCTTAAAGCATCTCGCCTGTAAATCGCACATGAAAGACTTGGATTGAGCTCCATCCCTGTTGCCGGCCGCGATTGAACCCCACCAAAGACTGCTCTTACTCTTTGGATGCCAATCCAGCTCACTCCGGACTACAGCTCCCAAGCAGTCTTCAAAATTGCGGCCAATCCTCCAACAGCATTTATTCCAGCACGCGACACCTGTTCGCTGTCCTTCTGCGCAGAGTGTCCGGCGCCCATACCGATAATATTCGAGAGGCGAGAAACACCACAAAGATGCCGTACATAACCACGAGCCAGGAGTGGCTCGCCCAGTCCGCTCTCCTCATCGAAGCCCGCCCAACAACCGTACGTCTCTCCTCGTGAACATGACCCCCTCGCGCTGTCGACTCCATACGGTAACCCATATACTCACAAAGCACCACCGCTCTAACAGGCCCGCGTCACCACAAAATACAACATCAAGCCCGCGAAAGCACGCGCAGCCAAGAAAGCGAACAAGGATGGCGACGACGACACGACCATGACAGACGCCGCCGCGGCAGCGGCGAAACCCCCCCGCGCGTCCCTGATAATCAAGACCTTCGACCCCCACTCGGGCGTGTGCCTCAAGTACAAGACGACCAAGGCCGCCGAGGTGTCGCGGCTCGTGCAGCTGCTGGGCTCCCTGGGGAGGAAGATGGCAGCCCTGCCCGACGCGCCGGCGCCGGCCATCGCCGTGGAGGACGAGGCTGCCGCCGCCGGGGTCGCGACGCCGCCGGTCGGTGGCTCGGCAGGAGCAGGAGCAGGGCAACCCGCGCAGCAGGCGCCGTCCGGGGCGGGCGGCGGCGGGAAGGGCAAGAAGAAGAAGGGCAAGCGGTGAGCGGATGTGGTTGGGGCACGCTGTTGAGGCGAAGGTACGGCAATCTATGGAGCCGGAATCGGCTTCTAAAATCGGCCGTCTGCGGTGCTATGTCACGTACGCGCACCGAGACTAGGCGGGTGTCTTGAGAGCGCTTCATAGGGCGAAGGACTACATCTTCGAAAGCAAGCTTTCTGAACCCTCTCATGCAGCTGCAGATCACGCGAACGGGCGGGGAACTAATAGTGTTGTTTAAGACATTGATGCCTGCCTAGAGACCTTTCTATTTTTACATGTTGAGAAGTCCGAGATCTTGTTTCCTCGTAGCTCCCTTTACCATAAACTCATAAACCCATCGCGAAACATAGGGTACTACCGACGATGACCAACTCCACCAACGCCAGCAAATGACCAGGATAAAAAATCACTACGGCTGCCAGAGGTTTATATATCTTGCAGCCGCAACCAGAAGTTATGGCGAACGCCACAAGCACAACAGCCGCTCGCCCTCCGTTGTCTATACCCAGAGATGCATGTGTGCAGGAGTATGCTGTGATATACGAAACAGGTTGTCTCGAAGACAAGGACGGAGCATAATTAGAAGGTGATCAGAAGTCTTCGTCGAAGGTGAAGTCTCCGCCGTTCTCACCCTTCTCCTCAGCTGAGCCGGAGTCGTCGGCAGGGACGGGCTTCTTGGTACTAGCCATGACGCCGGCCTTCTGGTAGTCACCGACACGCTTCTCGAAGAAGTTGGTCTTGCCACCGAGGGAGATGTTCTCCATGAAGTCGAAGGGGTTGGTCGACTTGTAAACCTTCTCGTTGCCCAGAGCGACCAGAAGACGGTCAGCGACGAACTCGATGTACTGCTTCATCAGGTTGGAGTTCATGCCGAGGAGGGCGCAAGGCAGCGCCTCGGTCAAGAACTCCTTCTCGATGGTCACAGCCTCCGTGATGATATCTTGGACGCGCTGCTTGCTGGGACGGTTCTTGAGGTGCGAAAACAGCAGACAGGCGAAGTCTGTGTGCAGGCCCTCGTCACGAGAGATCAGCTCGTTGGAGAAGGTCAGGCCCGGCATGAGACCACGCTTCTTGAGCCAGAAGATAGAGGCGAATGCGCCACTGAAGAAGATACCCTCGACGGCAGCAAAGGCAACCAGTCGCTGGGCATAAGTGGACTCGCGGTCCTGGATCCACTTCAAAGCCCAGTCGGCCTTCTTGCGGATGCAGGGAACTGAATGGCGTTGTTAGATAACACGTCCCTGGGGGCATGGGTCAAGTGGGGACTTACTCGTCTCAATTGCGTTGAGAAGGTAGGTGCGCTGGGCAGGCTCCTTAATATAGGTGTCGATGAGCAGGGAGTATGTCTCGGAGTGGATGTTCTCCATCATGATTTGGAAGCCGTAGAAGCAACGAGCCTCGGGGATCTGGACCTCAGAGCTGAAGCGCTCCACCAGGTTCTCATTGACGATTCCATCCGAAGCAGCAAAGAAGGCGAGGATGTGGGAGACGAAGAATCTCTCGTCGTCGGTCAGGCGGTTGCTCCAGTCGTGCATGTCCTTGGAGAGATCAATCTCCTCGGCAGTCCAGAAAGAAGCCTCGTGCTTCTTGTACATTTGCCAGATCTGTGGTGTTGATGTTAGTGTGGGGCCACTTAACGCGTTTGAGCAGGGGGGCAACGCGTCGCGTACCTCATGGTATTGAATGGGGAACAGGACGAAGCGCTGGGGGTTTTCCTTGAGGATTGGCTCCTCAAGCTCATCTTGACGGAGGTCTGGAATCTTTGCTGGCTCCTCTGGTGCCTTGATAATTTCCTTAGTTGCAGCATGCTTCGCGTCGAGGTCCTGGGCCAGGGTGGCGACAGCAGGGTCTTGGAAGTCATTCTCCTTGTTGGCAATGCCGAGGTCGAGCTTCTTGACAGGAGACTCCATCTTGAGAGATTCAATGGCAGAAGCAGCCTGTAGAAATTAGAGTCAGTCCACTGGTGTGTTGGCATGATCGTTGGTGGGAATAGGCAAATATGCGCTCACCTGCTTCGAGGGTGTGATCTCCACAGACATGGTTGACGTATGAAGGGAACAGGTTGGAATTGGGAGATTGAGGAATGACCACAAAGGGATTGAAGTATGAGGACCTGGACTGAGTGAAAGCGTGTCTAAGGTCTATCTGTGTTGTCTCAAGGCAGGACTGTAGTGGATGTCCGGGAGAGGTGAAGATGTTGTGACGGGAGGTAGTACGGTCTTTAAAGTGATGGAAAAGGCAGCCAGAGGCGCTAGGCAGTGTGGGTCTCACAGACGCGTCTGGTTTTTTGGAGCTGGGTCAAAAGCGCGTCGACAGTCACCATGGCCCCCTGCAGGTTGCCTGAAGCAGCAACCGCACGCCCACATGCAACAATGCGGCACAATCCAAGACACAGTCAGGGCACTATCCACCCACTTTGTCGCATTGGCCAGGATGATCAGATGGCTGGTTCCTGTCTATTTTCTTGGCTCAGCTGTAACGACTGAACGGGACTCCCCAGCTGTGGGTTCTGTTCATTCAGTGACTTTGGGGGACACACACACACACGGGCCCAGTTCCCTGTCGGAGTTGACAAAGGCTTATCAGATCCTTTCATCCCGCATCGTTTCCCTGACATCACCACCCACACCACGAATCACGAATCATCACACTTTCCAAGGCCTAGCCCATCCTCGACCCGGGCTGCCTGGCCAAAACATACCACTGCGACTGTAGGGCCGTTTCATTATTGGAGCAGACAGTGAACCATCACCAGATACACACTCCTCAATCAGAACGCAGAATCTCCGTTGCTGTCTCTCATTGAATTCCCTCTGCTTACTCAAATTGAATCGAAACGCGCCGCGCAGTGCATTAGGACTAACTATAGTACGAAATCAATCTCTATTACTGTACCCAGTTGCGTGTGCTCTTCCACAGTGGCGCCGTACTGTATCTCCGTACAGTGTCTCGACCCCCGTCCGTCTGTCCGTCCGTCCGGTCCGGTACCGATGCTCATCAAGTCATGTTTTAAACGACGCGTCTCAAAGACGCGTTCTAGAGTAAAGAAAGTACCCACACCATATTGTGTCGCTGCGATGTCGCTCTGTTACCTCATCTTTGCCTGCAGTTCGCCTCCAGCCCGCTTTTCCATACTTATATCAACGCCGAGTTCCCTTCATTGTTTTAGTTGGCTTTGGCTGAGCTGGCGGCCGTGATTGATCCACCATGCCCAGTTCAGGATCGCCTGTCTGGCCCGACTGCCCTTTCTGCACAGCCCTGGCCTTTTTAACGAGATAGTCTTCCAATAACCACGTATTACGCGAGTTGGCCTTATAGAGAGCGTCGGCGATGTCTCCAAGAAGCGGTACCAAACCAATCCCAAAGTCGGCCGCGACGTTGAGATACATCCTCGCCTTGAGTGAAGAGGGAAGACCGCCTTCGATTTTGTCCGCCTTGCGAATAATCCAGTAAGCTAACAGGCAGTCGACGATATCACCGAGTCTGTGCAATGGGTGTTAGTCAGGCTTCGCCATCAACGACAATTATCCCGTGTATGTGGGGGCGGGGATGGGGATGGGTGCTTACACAGGGACGAGGCCAATGATCACGGACCATCCAAATCTGAATCCACACCAGTGGAAGAGGCTCATGTCTAGATGCCATGAACGTCTCCGCACGCTGGCGAGGATTCTGTTGTCATGGTCAGAGACACCGGGGGCTTGGTACATCTTCTTGCCCATCATGCCGTTCTTGTATTCCTTGAACTTTCTGCCCTTCTTCTTCTTCTTGCCAGGCTTCTCGCCATTGGCGTGGTGGGGCTGCTCCTCATAGTAGAATGGGTCCTGCGCGCTCGTCAGAGATCAAGTCGTGCCAGCAGGGTGTGTGATCGCAAGCTTACCTCCGAGTCGAAGTTCTTGGAGAAATTGCTTAGAGCCTCCCCTGCAGCCTTGTTTGCAGCCCCTATGCAACAATCAGGTTAGTTCCTGACCAAGGTAAGGAGGTACAAGATATATCTGCGCGGTATGCTGCCGGTATCATATCTTGTGATACAGAATGTGACGGAAGAAGCATCAAGTCTTGGCTTTGAGTTCACTTACAAGTAACGAGCTTAGAAGTCATGCTGAACGATATTTAGACCAGCTCAAAGTGAAATGCTGTTATGATGTGGTTGAGAGAGGTTGAACTGATGAAAGAAAGAGGGTAGAGGCAAGAGACCGCAGCTCTATCTTGCAAAGGCCTGACTTTTCAAGAGAACTGGCCTGGGTGCTGACGGCGGCTTTTGTTTGAGGTGTGAAGGCCGAACCGTGGGCTGGTCGGTGAGTCGGTCTCGTGAGTATCAGAAGACAGCCCTAGATAGCGAAACAAGGGGTCAGAGAGCAGTCGCAGGCCTTCTGGCAATGCAGACTGGGAACACGAAACAAAAAGTGTGAAAGGTTGATGTGGGCTTAGGAGAGCAGAGGCACAGGAAGGGGAGGTGAGGGCCTGTTTATGACCGTTTGATGTTGTATTGCCAAAGGAGGGCGCCAACTCACTCGCCAGAGAGGTCAACGGGCAGCGCAGCACAATGCAGTGCGACGCATGTCGCACCGCCAGTCAATCGGCCGCCCATGGGCTACCGCAATACCGGATTTGCGACAAGCCCAACCCATGAAACCAAGCTCCTGGCTTGCATTACGTCAAGTGCTTCTAGACCCCTTCCGATGCGGGCCACTGTTAGTGCAGAATACACGCAGCAGTCAAGGAAACGGGCAAGTGACCAGTATTGTACTATCGCCCTACTACCCTAGACAGACTGAACAGACCGGGGGGCAAATCAGATTGTGGCTGCAGCTCCTCGTGAGAGAGCTATACCCCATGGCAGCTATGGGCAATCAAGCATTCAACATGCATAACATCTACCATAGTAGTGCTAGTCTGGTATACTGGAAAGATCGAAAGACACAGCCACATCTGGTCAAGGTTCGTCCATTCTTGTTCGAGCCACGATCTATGCCCTCTAGGTGCCTTACAGCAAGTCAAATGTCGGTTTGGGCTGATGAGCTAAGCGGGCGGTAGCCGATCAGTCGCCCCTGCTGCAATGCGAACAAGAGCCCAGCCACAGTTGCCGCGCTATGGAGGCAAACTCCCTCTGGACTTTGGGCGTCGAGCAGGCCGGCCGTGAAGCGAATCAGTGACTCGCTGGCAGCCCACCCAGCCACCTCACCTCGCCTTGACTCTGCACAACTAACTGCCAGAGCTTTCCCTGTCCGCACGGCAGAACGAATCAATCAATGCTCCCCTCAAGTGTCTACAACGACCAACCACCTCCAGTCCTCAGCTCAGGCCAGTAGTCATCAAAGGACATCCAATTACGAAGTATTGTCATTGCTTTCATCTAGCGCCCCCGCTCACCTCAAGCCGCCATCGCATCGCAACCTGGTCCCAGTCGTTTGCCCGCTCGGCGGAAATCAACAACCGACCCACACTGGCCTGGCAACGACGACGTCGTTGCGCGGTCCTTCTGGTGTCATAACCTTCTTCACACCGACATCGTCTACATCTCTGGATCTTGCGCTGGTAGATATGGTTAGCAAGCTCGACCGACACAATGGACCCATCACGGACGACGTTAGAAGATTGTAAGCTCTCTCATTGTCATGACATGCAGCCGGCATGGTGGGCGATCTGCAGTGGGCAGTCTACTGACTGACATGGCGTGTGGCCAGGGCTGGACGAGCTTTGCGCTCGTTTTCTCAATAATGTTCCTAAGGAGGAACACCAGGACTTCAGCAGAATCGGCATGCACCTCGAAGAAGCACATTGGTTCTACGAAGACTTCATCCGCCCGCAGAACCCCACCACGCTGCCCAACCTCAGAATACGCGACTTCAGCCTTCGTGTCCTCCAGTATTGGCCTGTGACCTCTACCGTAACCCTTGACATTCTTGAAAAAGCATACGATAATTGGGTAGCCTACAAGAAACGCATACCAGTCCGAGGTCTGATCATGCTCAACGAAGCCATGGACTCGGCTGTGCTTGTCAAGGGTTGGAAATCGAGTGCCAACTGGAGTTTTCCTCGGGGCAAGATCAATCAGGAGGAAGACGACCTCAATTGCGCTATACGTGAAGTCTATGAGGAGACAGGTTTCAACGTGGAGCAGGCGGGCTTGATACCGGGCAACCGCAAAGTCAAATACTTCGAACAGACGATTAGGGATCAGCACTTGCGTCTCTACGTGGTCCCGAACGTTCCCATGGATACCTATTTTGAACCCAGGACAAGGAAGGAGATCTCAAAGATCCAATGGTATAAGTTGGTCGATCTCCCCGGACGTGTTAAGAAGAAACAAGGACAAGACAACGCCACAGGCCCAAATGCCTCTAAATTCTACATGGTAGCGCCTTTCATGGAGCCCTTGAACAGATGGATAAGACAGGAACTTAAGAAGAAGGATAGGGCAAGAAACAGCCGCCGGACTGGCCCGGCTCTGCAAGCCGAGATCGATGAAATTATGACCGAGGAGGAGGGGATGGCCACAGAAACCAAAGTCGACTTACCTTCGCCATCTGATGCCAAAGACCATGCCCACGAAGCTGCTACTCGAGAGCTTCAAAGACTTCTCAAGATACAGCCACCAACTCAGGTTTCCCAGCCGGGCGTCCAGCCGGGCCCTTCAGCTCAAACCCAGGATCGGGGTCAAGCTCTTCTGGCAATGCTGCAACAGCAGAGGGACGCGCCGGCCCACAATCAGGCGGCCAGCGCTCAGACTGGTGTCCATGTCCCTCACACACCCATGGATCATGTATACAATGTTGCTCCGATTCCTCACAACCCCCACCACAACCACACTGCGCAACGGCTTCCTCCGAACCAACCAGCGCCTCCTCCCTTCCCGTCTCAGCCAGACATGAACAGTGCGCTTCTTTCTGTCCTCGGAGCGGCGGGCGGTCCTGCTAGGGCAGGGCCGCAGCAAGGGCAGGCGGCATATCAACAACTGCAGATGCAACCGAACAGCGTTAATCAGCCAGGCTTGGTACACCCTCAGCCTCTACCTCGTCAAGCAAATCACCTTTTAGCGAATACTCTGTTGCCGAGTTCTGTTCATGACAACAGAACGGGTCAGATGTATCAGCAGGCAAACGTGTGGCCACAGTTCGCTGCAAGCATGGCTGCGCCGCAACAAAATGTTGCCAACACTCGCCAGCTGCCAGCTACTCTGGACAATACCCGTCAAGCTCTACTCGATGCCTTCAAGAAGGACACTACTCCGGCACAGCCGCCCGTACAGCAGAGTCCGTCTTCGCAACAACGTGCGGCTGGACTTCAAAGGCCAACCCAGCAGTTGACAGCACAGAATTTGGCTTCCTTGGCTTCGACCTATCCTCCCGCGCAACAGTCCGTGCCGATGCCATCAAATGGAAGCCCTCAAATCACCGCCGCACAAGCAGCTCTCAGACCGTCGAACGTGCCAGAAAGCCAGAGAAACGCTTTGCTGGGCATATTCAAGCAAAGCGCGACTTCGCCTCTCACACGCCAAGATGCTCAACCGAATCTGAAGGAGAACAGGTCTCCGAAATCTCAGCAACAGTATTCCGCCTTGTTTGGGGCGGGCTCAACAGCCGCGCAAACGAGCAATGGGCCGACTCAGGCCACCCTAGGGCTCCCTTACGGTGCGTCTTACGGGACTCAGTATGTTGCGGGCCGTCCTAGAGAGGGGGATCAGAGGAGCCCACAACCACAACCACAACCACAGCCGGCCCATGCAAGCCAAGCCTTGGAGAATATCGGCCGTGTCCCGCAAACCCACTCCATGACCACCAGCTTGCCTTATAGTGGCACCTTTCAACTCGGGCAGCCCACAACTCAAGGCGGCATACCCTCGATCCCGAATATCACTCAGCAGCAGCAGGCGGCGGATCCTCAACAGGTGCAGAAACTCATGTCATTGTTCAGCAAGCCATCAGCACTACCCACAGGCACACATGCACCTTCATTGAGTGCCTACCCTCCTGTCCAAGCGAATACTGGCAAAGAGCCGACCCTTTTCAACATGGGAAAGCTCGCGGCTCAGCTACCCAATACAAACTCGAATTTAACCTCACACGGGACTTCCCCGGGCATGGATGAGGCGAACGCATCAATGTCCCGTCGTGGCAGCCAGCAGACCCCGATCTCGCCTGAGAATGAAAAGTTTCTGCTTAATTATCTGAAGACTGTTAGTAGTACTGCGAAGTAGTGGAACTGTGCTTGTTGCCCGGACGGCTTAGGCAGATGGAGTTAGGTCTGAGTTTTGGCGATCCTGTCAAGCTGGAGAGCGTGTTTCAAAGCGAATTCTTCCTGACCATCATCTGCTTCGATGGCAAATCTGGGGCATTGCATTGCATTGATTACGACAAGACGATGGGTGGATTTGAGGCATCACGGGCTGGAAGGCATTTCATAGCGTTGGAGTACGCAGTTTTGCAAGCTTGGCTCGAACTTGAGTACGAATCAACAGCGGTCTGCTCAGTAGCTGCAATATCGCAGTACATTTAATTGTTGAAAGCGACTTCACCCCTATTCCACCATGCCGCCAATCCATGTAACATGCAGGCATTTCGCACTCACATTGCCAAATTTGTCGGGCATGTCTGCTCATCTTCGTACCTAACTCTTTTTCGAAGATTTTAAAGTCGTAAACAAATCTTGAAAGTGTGGCAGCTTGTTCGGGCAGCAGAAGTGATGATAGTACAGGTAGCGAATTCCAATGAGCTTGTCGGCCTGTGATCACCTTGCTCTAATCAGCGATGTGGAGTGCGATGCAGTAGCAAGCTCTGGGGAGAAATATGAAAATACTCAAAGGTTTCTTTTTTTGAGGTCTGAATTGATAATTACATGTAAATAATACCTGTACTGACCTGGCGTGCTATAGCGTGCGCTTCACCATTTCGAGCCGGTGGTGTATGCCTGATATTCCTCGAGCCGATCATACTGTTGTTCAGCCAGCCGGCAGGTGATCAAACCGCGACCTGGGCAATGGACTTTCCCACTGCAATACCCAATCCATTTCGAATTGAGTTTCCGAGACTCCTAGGGTGCCGACTGTGGCACAGTGGAGCGGAGTTACAATGATGTTCCAGAGGGGCCCTGGGGCCCTGAGACCCTGGAATCCAGGCCGCGAACCCACAGGGACAGGAGGTCTCGATCTGATTGTCCAGATACTACGCATCATGTACATACACCAAGTAGTGGATTCCTGCCACGCCCGTGAATGCTTGAGAAGGCATGGAGGCACGGCTGTGTTGAACTCTTAGGCTACGTGACTTTTGTGTGTCATCAACAGTATATTCAGCGACTGAGTTATCAGGAAAGGAGCGTCATTCCGTTGCTCTCCTGGTTCGATCTATGTACCCGACCCTAGGAATCCAAAACACAGCTTCCAGAGATCCCAAATATTCGGCTATCGCTTGACTAGCGCCACTCTTGTGCCGACAACCTTTCCGTGGGATAACCTTATGTGGGACAACCTCCTACAATTTGATCTCTTGAGAGGTAATCTCCTGTGGGGATAAGTTTTTGTAGTATGATCTCCCATAGGACACCTTTTTTTTTTTTTTGGTGTACTCCATTGCGGGATGACCTCTCATGACTTGTGGATAATTTGTAAGATACCAACGGGGTCAGTTTCAACAGTTCTTTTCTCCGTTCTCTAAAGTTCCCTACATTTACATTTGGGGATCCCTGCAGGCTACACAAGTTTCCCCAGGTCGTCGCTGCCCAGGGCTTGGTGGACCCTGACCTTAAAAGTGGGCTGCCTGCCCCTGTCTACACCCACACGCTAGAAGACGCGGAAGGGGAGCCGCTCGTCAAGCTGCACCTCCCCTGTCTAACAAGTCGCTTGCCAAGCTTGCCTACAGTGCCTACCTAGGTACCTAGGTATCTGGGGGAGGTACAGTTGGTTGCAACCTGCCTGCCTGTGTGTTACTATCATACGCCTGCGCTGGGTTTTACGAGTTGGAATCTCGTCCTGTGATGCCAACCGATTTTCTTCTTGAGCCTCGTTTGTCCTATTTTTCACTTCTGGCTCGACCCTCGGACTCTTTTCGTGGCCCGCCATGTCGACCTTCAACGATACCCAATTGGTCACCATTGACCGCGCATACTTCGATACGCTCGTTCGACGGTAAGTTTCCAGCTTCTCCAAGCATCCTCTAGCTCCCTCTTGCTCTCTCCAGAATTATCGTGTGCCCCAGTAGGACTTTACCTCTGCTGCACTCACACTTCAGCCCGTACTGGAGCGTTCGATCTCGTTGCTGCTTTCGTCGTTCTCTTACTTTCCATGCTAACGATTTCGTACCATGCAGTGCCAATTTTGTGAGTTATAGCTGCCCATGTATCATGGGGTGCTTCAGCTGTGGTCCGTTGGTCTGACCCGCCCCCGAGAACCGCGAAGATATCTTGTCGAGCTCGGACGTTTCCATTTCCAGATCGGAGTACGATGGCCTGAAGCAAATCTCCGCCAAATATGGTACGCTCTAGCAATACAAAATATATTGGCTGCCACACTTCTCCTCTGACGTCCCTCAGCGAACTTGCGACAGAATTTAGAGAGAGGTGGCGTCGACGGTGCAACCATTGATGTATGTGGTGCAAAACAGACAAGCAACGAACCTTGTCATCCTCCTGCCCGAAAGGTCAAGTGAGCAGGGCAGCTGTATGCTAAATGATTTGTTCACAGCTTCTCAGCAAAGACGATGCTACGCTCAAGCAGCAGGCAGCACCTCCTACCCCAGCCACTGCTAGGTCGAACAACGAGACCACCGCGCTTGAAGCCTCTCAGTCCCCCGGTTCGAGGGTGCTGACTGCTCCAAAGGGATCTTTCGGCAACGACTACAAGACTTACGATGTACAGTCCAAGGCGCCTGCTCGTGTCCATACCCTTGAGGTACCAAACTGGGTGGATGAGGTTGCAGGCGACGAGGATATCTCGGTCTCTGGCGGTGGACCGGTTCGCAATATCCAATCGCAGGGCTGCAATAACCACACCCTGAGCTGCCCACACTACGAGCGGCAGTGTGCAAGATCCATCTTCCTCAGCAAACTTCCTGACAACACAACCCATGCGGATATCACGCAGGCCATTCGTGGCGGCCAGTTGCTGGACATCTATTTGCGGCCCAACGATGGTACAGCGGCTGTGTCATTCCTTCTCGCAGCCGATGCCAGGGCTTTCTATGACCATGTGAAGCGTCACGACTTGTACATCAACCAGAAGCGGGTGAGTGGCTCCCGAAGTCCCCGGCAGCGTGTCAATCTGTTTGGAGGCTCATCCGGAATAACTCTGACTGCTATCAGGTCGAAATTCGCTGGAATGATCGTCAATTCATCTTGCCCGGCCATGTCGCCAGCAAGATCGGTGTCGGTGCTACTCGGAATCTCGTAATCCGACGTTGCGATCCGCGATTTACGGAGCAGGAGATTCGAAATGATCTCGATCATATTCACAACCTCGTCGTGATCAAGGTCGAGTTCATCGGCGGGAGCTGCTATATCAAGACTAACTCTGTGAACAATGCGATGTTTGCCAAAACTTGCATGATGAGCCGAGCGTAAGTGGAATACTCCGAGGACAGGCTGACAGACAGCTAATTCTGATCCAAGCAAATACAAGGGCAGCAAAATTGATTGGGACGTGGACGAATGTGACCAACCTTTTGCAAAGACACCACAGCCCAAGCCACGTCAGCATACGCCCATCAGGAACCATGGCAGCGGGATGGCGAACCGCTTCAACCTTCTGGACATTGACGACGACGGGGACGCCTTTTCGTCGCCCGAGTTTGGCGCCGCCAAGAAGACCATGCTAGCTGCCTAGAGGGCCAACACCTGAGTAGCCAGGGCCAGTATCAATACCGTCGGCCTGCGTGGATTGGACGGAACAGGGTCGAAGTAGAGCATAGGATGATCGACCTTGAGTTTGGACGTCCCGGCATTCATTTGGACCCCTAAGGCAGCACGATCCTACGGGTGGTTGTCACGGCCGCATATCGAATTCCTAAAAATCCATCAAAAGGCGCGTGGAGTTACGGATATCCCACAACCACACAGGTAGCATACTTTTCATCCTTTTTTTTGGGGGGGGGGGGGAGGACAACAGCAAAGCATTGTAATCTCACAGCCGCCGGGAAATGGCCGCTTTCACTCAACAGCTAGCCTTACTACTTGGTGCACTGCATATCTGCTTGCCCCGCCAGCGGGCTCTGATCGTGAAGATCTGTGAAATTGTTGAAAGAAGCCAGTTGTGTGGGAATAAATACACAGCCTCGTCGGGTCGTGATGTCCGGTGGTCGGCCCGTGGCATGACTTGTTGCATAACTTGACCTCGGGATACGGACATGGACAGGTCAGAAATTCACGGCCCGACCTGGTTCGACCGCGAGGCCGGGAGACTACTCCTGTGCTACAATTGGGCTCGTAAGCCCGTGTCCTCGTGTCCTCTTGTGGGGAAGTGGTCGGTTGTACGGGCATCGGGAGGCAGCTTTTAAGCTTGTTAGACGGCGCACCACGGAGCACGGGAAGGGGAAGGGAGGTGTGGGGCCCGCCCGTCTTCGCCTGCTCTCTATTGTCCAAGTGCCAGGCTTGCCTTGTTGAAGACTTTCGAGCTGGAAGACGCGATTGGCGGGTCAGCCTCAAGCTCAGATCAGTTGGGAGCGTGACTGGGGCATTCAAGTTGCTGGTGGCACCCTGTTTCCAGTGGAATGGATCGTCGTCCTATATTTGTTGTCCCCAGGATCTTCACATGCTGTGTTGTCACCTCCATTGTTAGGAATAGTAAGGTTTGTGGAACCCGCCGATCAGGACGCGGGTTGATGGGTATACAGGGACACGCTAGTCTTGCACATATATCCAGCATTGGGCAGCTCAGAAAAGGACGGATGACGCGAAGAATGATGAAGAATAGCCAGCTTGCTTTGTGATGAGCGAGACGATTTCTCCAGACTGCCCCTGACCCCATCGAGAAGGAAAGTGCGAGCGATAGTCAGGAGCTGGAATAGAGAGACAACGACTCGGTTGGTTGACCTCATATAGATTATTTTTAGCAGGGGTTCACGGTGTCCCCAACACGAGAAAACGGGAACATGGTGCTGGGTGCCCGGGTGAGCCCCATTGTGGGCAATACGAACTGGGCCGGGATCCTGAGTGGCCCGGCCATCCCCCACTGGATCCATCTGTATTGCCACCACCACCACCTCTTCCAAGGCCAGACATCATGCGTGACATTTTGAACAGCGACGGCACAGCCAAGTATACCCAGCAAAAGGTAGAGAGCTGCCCACTTTATTACGAGGGTACTAGTCTAAGACCCTGGCATGAGACTACGTACTGTGAGGTCAGGAGGTCTGGAGAGAATCAGATACAGAGAGAGAGAGAGAGAGACAGGATGCGAGCGAGTTTGGGGTACCATCAGCCGCTCGTAGAGATTCCGGACTGGGCTGGCTTCTTCTGCATGGCCTCTCCGCCCAGGGGGAGGGGGCAGGTGGGAACGGCCCTACTAGTCTGAATAGTCTGCTGTGATTCGACATTCTCTTCTCGTCACCCCTGCAACCGATCCTCAGATGCTTTCTGTCCCTCGCCTTTTTTCCTGTCTGTCCGCACCTCTAATCCAACCTCCCCTTTCCACCAGAGCAGTCTCCTTGTTTAATTTACACCTTCGCTTTGTTGTCTGCACTATTTGCTCCTCTGCAGCCGTTGATTGACATTCGCTTCAACCCCTCCGAAACGTTCGTTCCATCGATTATCCAAGCAAAGAACCCACCCGAACCTTCACTGGCCCCTGATCCTCGACTCATCAGACCTGCCAAGCTTGCTCTGCTCTCCGGCCTTGCCTTGCCGTACCTCGAAAAGCCATCCGGCCCAACAAGTCTCGTGTCATTCCAGCGTGGTTCACAACCAGACGCCACCAAATCGTTGTGACCATCGTGCCGTCGAGTTTGTGGGATTGATTCGGTTTCAGCGGGTCTCTCGGTTTTGGTACTTAAGTGGGAGGATTAAGACTTCGGAGCCGAACTCGCCTCGCGCCCCCTGACCACCACCCGTCTCTAAAAGCGAAGCCTCTTCGTGGCCGATCAACAACAAAATCCGCCATCATGAAGGCCGCACACTTCACCACCGTCCTGCTCTCCCTTGCACCTATTGCATCTGCCTATGCCTGGCCAGAGTGGCTACCAGAGCTCGACGCTCTGGTCGTGAGGAGGCAGGACTCAGACTCCACGAGTATGTCTCACACCTACGACATAGAATTGAGCCACGTCTCGGGTGTAGATTGATGACTGACCAAAGACCAATTACACAGCATCTTCGGCAAAAGCTACTGCCACCGCATCAGCAACTGACGACCCAGCGGACGCCGGAAACTTGAACACTGCGGGCATCACCTCAGCAAGTGATTCGGGCACGGCTTCCGCAACAGGCGATTCAAGTGCGTCCGCAACTGGGACTGCAACGGGCACAGATAAGGACGCGAGCTCGACAAGCAAGAAGAGCTCGAAGACAACAAGTGCGAGCGTAAATGCGGACGATCCGGCCGGCAGCGCGGTCATGTTGACGCCCCAGACCACGTTGACGAGCGCGCTCTACCGAATTGGTGAATATGTCACAATGGGCTGGAACTACACAAACGTGCAGGTCACCCCCACGGCAGTCGACTTGGTCATTTCCTGTACCACCGCCTCCGAGTCCTGGACCTTGACGTCTAACATGACGTATGAAACCTCGGCCGCTTTTACCTGGGACACGGGTGCTTTCCAGAGCGACTCGGTCCAACAACCCCTACTCGTCGAACAGTACATCCTGTACATCTACGACGCCGACGCGAGCATCAGTGCAACCGCCGGTCCGGGCGAGCTGACAGCCGCAGCCGCCATGACCTTTGGCCTGTACACCGGCCAGCCTTACACCCCGCTCGCTAGTGGCTGGGTTTGTGCAACCTGCAACAGTGGTGCCATGTCCAGCAGTGAGAGGCAAGCCCTCGGTTTCCTGTTCACCGTAGCAGCTATCACCGTGGCGAGCTTTACCTGGTTTGTGACTGGGCTGTGGTGATCAGTCACGCTGCATATTTGAGCCTGACGTGGAGCGTAATGTGTCATGTCTTGTGAGCACTAAGCGGTAATGGCGTGTGGATATGGTCGAGCGATTATATGGGCGTGCGTGCATTGTCTTTGGACATTTAGGCTGGAATTATTGAATCCACCGGTTGTTTGAGCGGCGTTGGCATATCTGGGTCTTTATCAGGGTTTTTTGGGCAAAAGTCTGGCGACACTTTTGGGGTGTATCTATTGGCCCTGCTGCACACGCATGCAATCACATATAGTAATGATGCATCTGGTGTGTTGAACGGAGCCTGGGGATGGACTAGGATAGTCATAAGTAACTATGTAATGAACAAGTTATCAACATATCTTCCTCGAACTGTTGGAGATTATTATGAAAATCTGCCCTGTGATGCTTTCAGGTAGACCAAGAAGATGCCAGATTCTCAGACCCGAACAGCACGGCTCAAGATGCATTGTGCATCACACCATCCTCAGAGAAAACCCTCCGCCGCGTTCCTCTTTATCCCTTCCTGTGAATATACCACTAAAATCGACCGCGCCGAGGTCGGCGGCTTCACCGCGCCCAGGCGCATTCGGGGTGTCTCTCCGCCGCCGCCGCTCCTGGCCGGCCTTGCTTGGGAATGTCGGGAACATGGCCTCAGACTTGGGCCGCGGGTCCTGACGGAAGTACTCGTGGTTCAGCATCTCCCTCGCGCTCGGCCTCTTCGCCGGGTCGAGGGAGAGGAGGCCGTTCAGCAGCGACGCGCCCGCCGCCGTGAGCAGGGGGAACTTGGCTCGGATGACGGAGCCCGTGCCTGCCCTGCTGGGCGGGAGGCGCAGCGACCTCGCGTTGGGCAGCCTCCTGAAGCCGGGCCAGGTGTCGTCGGTCGGGATGCCGCACAGCTCGAAGATGCGGCTCAGCTCGTCCACCTCGTTCTTGCCCTGCAGCAGCGGCTCGCGCGTCAGCAGCTCGCCGAAGATGCAGCCCACGCTCCACATGTCCACGGCCTCCCCGTAGCTCGTGGCGCCCAGCAGCAGCTCCGGCGCGCGGTACCACAGCGTGACGACCAGCTGGGTCAGCTTCGGCGCCGGGTCGCCCACGTAGCGCGCCATGCCGAAGTCGGCGATCTTGAGCTGCCCGCGGTTGTTCAGGAGGAGGTTGGACGTCTTGAGGTCGCGGTGCAGCACCCAGTGGTCGTGCAGGTAGGAGACGCCGCTGGCGAGCTGGAGGAGGAGGGTCTTGACCTCGCTGGCGAGGAAGGGCTGCGGCATGTCCTCGAGGACGGACTTGAGGTCGTGTTCGAGGAACTCGAGGACAAGGAAGATGCTACACACGCGGAAACGGGAGGCACATAACGTCAGCATGGAGACTTCAGAACTTGGTGGGCAAAAGGGCTCGCGCGCAGCACGCACTTTTCTATCTTGGTCGTGTCCTCGCCGACCACCACCTCCCGCAGCTCAACAATGTTCCTGTGCCCGCAGTCCTTGAGGATCTGGATCTCCCGCAGCCCCGTGACGGGGAGCCCGTTCCGGTCGTTGAGCTCGATCTTCAGCCTCTTCAGCGCGACCACCTTGCCCGTCGCGATCTCCTTGGCCCTCGCGACCCAGCCGTACGCGCCCTCCTCGATGTCGTTGAGCTTGTCGTACTTTTCCACGCTATTTGATTTGCCAAAGCCGCCGCCCGCCTGGAACCGTAGGAGCCGCGGGACCGCGCTGCTGCCCCCCTCATCTTTGCCTCGTTTGTCCGCTGGTCGCTCGGGCGTGAGTCTCCGCCTCTTGGCTGGCCGTCCGTCCTGGTCGTCCCCGTCCCCCTGGGCTGTGGGTGCTGCTGCTGAGGCTGCTTGCCGTTGTTTCTCTTCTTCGACCTTACGGGCTGCCTCTGCCTTCTCCCTCTTCAGCCTCTTTTTTTCCTCCTTTTCTTTTCTGGCCTTGGCCTCCCGCGCGGCGTCCTCCTCGCTGTCGGCCCAGCGCGACTTGCCCTTGCCGGACATGTTGAAGTACAAGCAGCACGAGGGCGAAGAACAAGAACCCGGAGAGCGACAGCCAAGGGGCGATAAATGGCGGAGGAGGAGCAGCCCCCAGCGGTGGAACTCAAGAATGATGAGAAATAAATGCGTGGAAACGCTGGAAAACTGTAGTTGGAGTGAGTAGCATGATGTCGATGTGGATTGCCTGCCGGGCGCCTGCAACTACCGAGGGTCCAGGTGATGCTTGCAGGGGTCCGGGGGTAGCTTTCAACGTTCAGAAGCTTCACAAGCTTGGAGCTGCAAGAACATTGAAGCTCTCTCTCACCTAGTTAATTCCTAGCTTGAATTTCCACAGGCTGTGAAGCCGTAACTCCCCGAACACCGAGCTAGCAATGCACACCTGACGATGAAGACGGCCGTTGTCCCATAATTCTTGAACCTGGCAAACTTGTCAACATGAGGCCGTTTTCACGCAGGTTGGCCCTTCGTGGGCTCGGGCTGTCTTCAGGATGTACACATCGCCAAGGCTTTGTAGCTTCTCAGGGCTTCAGGGCCTTGTCGATGACGGCGTCACGGCGCAGTGAGGATGCCTCAAGACAATGGTCCACGCCCCTTGCGAAAAAGCTTGCTCAAGCTATAGAGGTCTGCCTACACGGAAAACAAAATTACACATTGTAAACAAACTAACAATTGAGCCAGATGACCGGCCCTGTCCCTCTTGCAAGCTATATGCGTATGTGCCTAACAGGTGATCTGGGCGGATACTACACCGGAGCCATTGAACAGGGCAGGGACCAGTTTGGCCAAAAGGGTGATTTTGTTACTTCACCAGAGATCTCCCAGATATTCGGGGAGCTCATTGGCATTTGGTTCGTGGCAGAGTGGATGTCTCAGGGCCGCCCAAAGTCGGGTGTTGAGCTCATCGAGGTCGGCCCTGGAAGGGGCACTCTGATGGATGACATATTAAGGGTATGCCATGCCATACTTTTATAATGGTTAATTGGAGAATTCTGCTGATCTTCAATGCATAGACCATCTCAAATTTCAAAGAAATGGCCAATGCGATCGATGCCATATACATGGTCGAGGCCAGTTCCGAGCTCAGGGTCGCTCAGAAAAACCTCCTATGTGGACAGGACAGACAGATGACTGAGTCCAAGAGTGGCTACCACAGCACATGCAGATATGCCGATCTTCCAATCGTATGGACTGAGACTGTCAGATCAATCCCTCAAGGTACGAAGCCCGGAGGGGAAATCGTCTCTTTCAGGACGTGGAAGCGCTGACCCCGACCAGGTTCGGACAAGGTACCATTCATTGTAGCGCACGAATTCTTCGATGCCCTACCCATCCACGCCTTTCAACTTGTCAACGTTCCCCCCTCAGAGACGTCCACACCATCTCCCTCTCCATCATCATCGCCAGCATCAGACAAATCAAAACCAACGCTCCAATGGCGCGAAATGGTAGTCTCGCCCACGCCTCCAGGCTCGACACACCAAAGCCTTGGGACGCCCAAGTCACAAGCCACAGATACTCCCGTGCCAGACTTCCAGCTCACCCTCTCGCCTTCCTCAACCCGTCACTCACAGTATCTTCCCGAGTCATCCCCACGCTACCGCGCCTTGAAATCCATCCCCGGGGCACTCATCGAGATCTGCCCGGACGTATCATTGTACGCCACAGACTTCGCGACACGCATCGGCGGGTCCCCGCAGCACCCCAAGCACAGGCCGTCGGGTGCGGCATTGATCCTTGACTACGGCCCTGGCGACGGCACAGTGCCCATCAACTCGCTGCGGGGGATCAGCAGGCACCGGCGGGTGAGCCCGTTCGCCGAGCCGGGGCAGACGGACCTGAGCGCCGACGTAGACTTCGCAGCCGTGGCGGAAGCGGCGCTCAGGGCGAGCGAAGGCGTCGAGGTTCATGGACCGGTCGAGCAGGCGGCTTTCCTCGAGGGGATGGGCATCAGGGAGCGCGCCGAGGTACTGGTGAAGGGACTCAGGCAGAAGGTCGAAGGCGAGACGAAGGCTGCTGATGTCGAAAAGGCGTGGAAGAGGCTTGTGGATCGGGGCCCCGACGGGATGGGCAAGACATATAAGGCCCTGGCAATTTTGCCTGAGAACGACGGCAAGAGGCGACCGGTCGGGTTTGGTGGCGATGTTGGAGCTTGATAGCTTGGTGTAAAGCCCGAGCGTGAAATACCCTTGGAAAGAAGGATCCTTTCGGTTCGCTTCAAAATCATATAGTATGCAAACCAGCTTTGTGTCATTAAAAGATAACGAAGCTTAAATAACCATGCCCGGTGCCAACCCCCAGAGCACTCTCGCTTGAACGCCAGAATATCTATAAGATTACAACACAATCGTATCGCCTAGCCGGCCTACTCCCGCTTACACCTCGATACTTTGATGGACTTGACGCTCTGATGGAGAGTTTTCACCAGTTGGAAATGTATCACTTGCCAGTGTTCTTGACCAGTCCAGCGTTCTCCTCATCCTCGTCGTCTGAAAACTTGTCGTCATCTCCAATGGCGAAGATGGTCTCACCATCCAGCGACGCCCTGGGTCGCTGGCTGCTGCCATTTGCAGGTGGCGGCCCGCTTGGTGCCTGGTAGTTCTCCACTCCACTTGTCTGGCCTCCCCGAGTGGTGTTGATGGCTGGCTTTGAGCCAACATTTGCTTCCTCGTCATCTGAATCATCCGGCGCCCCAATATCCATGTTGTTGATCTCAAAGGTGCCGTCGTCGTCCTAGTCGAAATGTTAGCATATAGAACGTTATCTATCAGCTCTGAAGAGCTCAAAATGGTTGACTCACCTGCGCGATCTCGTCCGACATGGCAAAGCGACGGTTGTTCGCAGTAGGCCGCCAGACATAAGCAATCCATGCCACGTCCGCAAAGTAGACCAAGTTTAGCCATCCGTCGAGGACGAACCATCTTGACTTCCAGTGGAAAGGGACGTAGTCTGGGTCGCTTGCCGAGGCAAATGAGAAACTGTTAAAGAAGAAGAAGGCGAAGATGACCAGGATGCTGAGCAGGATGCACCACCACAACTTCTTATACATCGCCTCCTTTGCGTGCTGTTTACGCTCCCGAAGGTCCTTGAGGGTGAAGTTCAGCGAGTTAAGCGTCCAAACGTAGAATGCGGTCAGCGTCGCTGCTAGGGGTAGGACAATGAGGAGCACGAAGGGACCTAAAAGAGTCAGATACACCATAATCCGGGGTTTTGACGGAATCGTCTCTTACCTGCGCTATCAGGGGTAATCAAGAGACTTGTGATAGCGTAGACCAGACCGAACACGAAGTGTGCTATTGCTAGCCACCGTACGTAGATCATGGTACGGCCAAGCGTGGGCTTGACAACACCATAACCCATACATACGATGAGCAGCAAGAAGAAGGAGAACGAGTTTCTAGCCGCATTCAAGATGCCAACCACGACCAGTAGGACCTTTGATCCAACATTCGAGCCGTTGCGATTCAGGTAGTCTGGAGATTTATGTTAGCGTCGTTTCACTTCGTGGCAGTCTTGATGAATTCCATTTCGTTTCATACCGTAGAAACCCCAAGTCATGAGCATTTCAACAACAAGGAACAGCAGGATGGCTGTTATGTAATTCTGCACAGCCACTAGAGAATCTGTCAGCGCGCGCTTCCCAAGTCGTACAAAACACCGTAGCAAACATACAGATGTCCGCGTGATGCTGGTAGTAAAGGAAGCCCCAGAACACGGCAACCAATGCGTAGAGAATGGTTATTCCTCCGTAGAATGGCAGCTTAGGTATCTGGGTGGCTGGAAGCTCTCCAAAGGCGTTGCGGAATTCGACGATGGCTGTGTAGTCGTTGGCGGTGTACTTGTCCGTGAGCACACAGTAGTAGCCGGTCTTTTTGATCTCATATTTGATCGGCTGGGCATCTTTCAGGTGTATTGCGTCGGTAAGTATGAGGTTCTTGGACTTCTCGGTCGCATTGGGCGCCAGAATGAACTCTCCGATGTCCTGTTCTTCACAGAACCCATCCTCGATTTGTTTTTCCTCGCAGATGCCGACTTTCTGTGAAGCAAGTCAGAGTCCAGTCCCATGCCGGTCCGCAAGCAGCTGTTCCATACCTGAGGTGCGTCTGGGCTCGGGTATACGCCGATCAGATCCTCGTCCTTCCACTCGAAGACGACAAGGCTGACGATGGGGTCTTGTTCGCCCTCGTGAGGGAGGAACTTTATGAGGATGAAGGGGTCGACGGGTCCGCCCCAGGCTGATTTACTGTACATGCCTGCACATCGTTGGCGGTTCTCCTCGGTCTGGTCCTGAAAAGAGGGATTACACGTCAGCAACGACAGAAGGTGAGCAATGCCCGGAAGACAGGACGAACCATCTTGACTTCCAAGCCCTGGACCGTCCATATTGACAGCGCCAGAGACGCTGCGGCCGAAAACCATCTCATTGCGTCTGCTTTGGATATGTGTGGTGAAGAGGAAGTCGGAGTCGGGGTGGACGACCGTTGCAGGGAGTTGTTGAAGCCGTCGGGAGAGCTGGAAGAGGCGGCGGCGGCGGCGTCGACGAGGCCCCGGTAAGGTGAGACTGGTCTCTCAACAAGTCACCTAGGCTTGAGCTCTCGAGTTTCCGCAATGAATTGGCTGCTGAGCGGAACAACCGGCAACCATAGTTGAGGCACAGAGCTGGTTTTCAAGGTGAAGACGTAATTGCAGTTGTAGATGCAGCATTGACTGCGCTCTGCCTGGCTCTGGACAAATTGCAGTTAGCAGTTGGTAGTGCCCAGATCCAGGATCAGGTCTAGGATACAGATTACGAAGTACAGAGCATTGCGCAAGCTTGGCTGCGACATGGGGGGTGCTGCGCATGGGGCGACCGGTCCTCTCGGAAGGCTCTGTGGGGTCTTGGCAAGGATCTCCAGAGCTGCAGCTGTCACTAAATTTGGGTGGCATGGACGGCACGGCACCTACTGCAGGCCTAGCCTGGGTCTGGCTGGCAAAACATTTGTGTCGCATGCGACTCCAGCGCTGTACATACAGTACTAGACTATGTAGTGAAGTTGTTTCGTTCCCGCTCCCGACTCCAACCAACCAACCAACCAACCAATTCCTGCTCTGCACTTCGCACAGGGCTGTCTCCCGTCGCGCGATCGGTCACGACTCACCCCACACCGAGCCAAGATGGGAAAGGGCACCGACAAGCTATACATCACACACAGCGAGTGGTCGTCTTCTGATGCCTACTCGGCCAGTGTTGGCGCCGGGGCGGGATCGCGCGCCCAGAGAGCTGGCGCAAACTTTCGGCGACTTCCCTTCAACTTCTGCGCCGCAAGCCTCCAGCCCTTCAAGAATCCCGTCTGCACTCCCCAAGGCACGATATTCGACGTCGAGGTCATCAGCTCATGGCTCGAGAAGAATGACACCAACCCCGTCAACGGCGAGCCTCTCAATCCCAAGGACCTGATCAAGCTCAACTTTGCCCGCAACGCTGATGCCGAGGTGGACTCCAATGCTGGCCCGACGGATGGCAAAGGGGACATGATAGACCCAGTGACTTTCAAGGTCTTCACTGACAACACGCACATCGTCGCGATACGGCATGGCACATATGCAAACGTCTTCGCTTGGGAGACTGTCGAGCAGATGAACATCAAGCAGAAGAATTGGCACGATTTGGTTGATGACAAAGAGTTTGGCCGTAAAGACATCATCACCCTGCAGGATCCCCAGAACGCGGCGTCCAGGAATTTGAGCGAGTTCCAGTATCTCAAGGATGGCGGTGACGCATTGTTGACGCCTGAACAATTAGAGGAAAGGAAGCAGGGTACAGTGAACGTCGACGCGCTAGGGAGAATCGGAGACAAAGTATTACGGGCAAAAGAGGCGGTCGAAAAAGCGAGGCGGGAGAGGGAGACAGGTGGGGATATCAATCGCTCCGCCAAAGCACTACAAAAGTCATCTTCAGCAACGACGTTCAAGAAGCCTGCAATACAGGAGAGGAAGCTGGCTCACAATGCTGCCACATACACGACAGGTAGAGCAGCCGCGAGTTTCACAAGCACCGGCCTCACACCCGAGACAAGTGGAGAGAGAGCCATACTTTCGGACGAGGACTGGATGCTGAAGCCTAAGAAAATCAAAATCAAGGGCTACGCTAGGCTGGAGACCAATATCGGAGAGTTGGTCATTGAGCTACAGACTGAAACAGCGCCCAAGGCTGTGTGGAATTTCGTCAAGCTTGCACAGAAGGGCTACTACCGTGGGGTGCCTTTCCATCGCAACATAAAGAATTTCATGATCCAAGGCGGCGATCCCACCGGCACCGGCAAGGGAGGGCAAAGCATTTGGGGGAAGAATTTCCAAGATGAATTTGATGGTCCTCTCACGCACAGCGAGCGTGGGGTTGTGAGCATGGCAAATAAGGGGAAGAACACGAACTCGAGCCAGTTCTTTATCACATATAAGCCAGCGAAGCACCTTGACCGGAAACACACGATTTTTGGTAAGGTTGTGGACGGCCTGGATACGCTGAACAAAATGGAGACTGTGCCAGTTGATGAGGGCAGCCGTCCGTTGAAAGAAATAACCATCAAAGATATCGTCGTGTTTCTGGACCCTTTTGAGGAGTTTCTGAAGGAGAAGGATCAGACCGAGAGAGCAGAAGCTGAGAAGGCTGAGCTCAAGCGTCAAGGCGGCACTGACGATGACAAGACCACGTGGACAGGAAAGCGCATCCGTGGAGACGGCACCGTCGAACAGGCTGGCAGCGGTGTTGGGAAGTATCTGAAGTCGTCCCGCGCAGACCAAAGTGAAGCTCCCACCGTAGCAGACGACCTAAATGTTGAGGCGTGGGAGCCTTCCAGGAAAAAGGTCAAGACAGGCGGCTTTGGAAACTTTGATAATTGGTGAATCATGTAAGATTTTACACAATGAGGGTCAATACCTCGCAATACACAGTGCGTTAACACATCTCAGGTCTTCGTTTCAATTCTTTATTGAGCGATGACGGTGCGAGTAGAGCCCCAGGCCTCTACAGCCTGCCCTGACAACGATCCACCGAAAAGTTTTCCGAGGGTATCATCTTCTGTAAGCCTTGATCGTTGATTAAATCCCTTGCGTCTATTAAAGTCTCGGCGCGTTCCCGCTAGATCTCCCTCTTGTGTGTCCCGCAGAGGATTCTGCTACTAACACATCTGGCCAGCGAGTGACAAGTGGTACACTGCAGTTGAGCAATGCGCTCTTCCAGCACGGCACTTATACAGGCAGCACTCTTGTCCGCTGATTTTCTTTCGCATATTGACTTTCCCACCTGACGAGATTTGTCGAGCCGCAGACCCTAGGCCTCCGTCCCGATGATTCCGAGGACTGCTTGTGGCTCTCAACGACGGAAGCAAGCTCTTTTGCCTGGGCCAACCCCGTTTCGTCGTGGATAGCATGCAGTCTCTCGACTACGAAGGCCCTCATCGCGGCCGACGATGCCGTGGACATCCCAACAAGGTACAGCGGCCAGACCAGACCGTTCGTAACAGAGGAAAGGAGCATGAAGCGCTTGGCACTCGCCTCCACATCCTTGACTTGCATGGCATTGTTGAGCGAAGGGCTCTGGCAGTAGTCGTCGCCATCATCAGAACCATTGGGGTCGGAGCCGCCACCTTCGCCAAGTTCTGCCCCCCAGCTGCTATCGGGTATTTGAGGCCAGACGTCCTCAGCGGTTGGCATAGGCGCAAATGTGTCCTGAGCGCTTCCGTCCAAGGGGACGAGGCCAAAATGTTGAGGAACACTTGCGAGAATTGCTAGTGCAATTTTCTCCAACTTGAACTTCGCCTTCTGATATTCAAATTGGTGCCGCCCTGGCACCTGGGCGACGGGCACGCGCAGGAATCGATTTCGGAGCTCCTCCAGCATCGTCTCGATGATCAGCATGCGGCACGTCCGGAGCCCGTTCCATATCGTTGACACTCGTAGGCTTGGGTAAGAGTGGCAGACATTGTTGAAGAAGCCCGGCCGGAGACGTTGTGTCAAGCGGTATTTGCGATACTGCCAGTCTTCGGGGAAAAGAGTGACCACCCTTTCGAAATCATCCTCCGCCTCGGTAAACTTGTCCAGCATCTCGTCTAGATCAGTGACGATATTTTGCTTGATGTCGTACCGCAGTTGCAAAATGTTGTACATAGCGTTGCAGATTTCGAACCCAGGTTCCCTGCCTTTCAAGTTGAACATCACACCTAACTGACTGCGCAGATCGATCAGGTCCTTCGCTGTTCCACCAGCCCGTTAGCAAATTTAGTGACCAATTTGTTTCGCAAGGGCAACTGGGGATCCTCGCGGCTTTCGAAGCCAAAAGTTTTGAGTGAGCAAGGGATCTGGACGGGTGGAGAACATACGCATTGGCAGCTCATTCTGGATACAATTGATCATTGTGTTTTGAGTGAGCATGAAGAACATCCGGATTCCAGCGCGGGACCGGAATTGGCCCATGCCTCGAAGTCTGGCGAGAGCAGCTGCGCCGTTGAGGTGCTTCTGCCAGGCCTCGGTGGTCCTGGCACTTGATCCGCCGATCATCTCGAAAAGGCCCAGTATCAGCACCGAGAGCATGGTGGTATCTTTTACCGCCTCATCTTGGTCCCGAAGGGCGGCATTTGTCAATTGGAGAGCCTTGCCGTAGCTCTTCCGTGCTGCGTCCAGGGCGGTCTGGGATCGTGTCATTTGCGCGACGCCGACGAGACCGACGGCCGTCACACTTGCCAGAACTGAATCATTCTCCTCATTTGAGGTGCCTGGTGTCCAGAGATCGAACAGGCTGGGGGAGGAATCGGTTAGCCAGGCACTGATGGATCTGCTTTGGGGGAGAGCAACTCACAAGTCATATTTGTGATGACAAAAGTTCTCGCTCACACTAATGTAACGGGTGATGAACAAATTCACACCCCGTTCCTGGTAGCTGGGCGAGAAGTGATAGTACGAGGGAGGGAAGAGATCCACCGGCGAGAGTAGCTCGGGCTCCTCTTTCACAAGTTGTCTATCTGTCTCATCGAACTTGAACACCGGAGACCATTGAAGCTGCGAAACCACGGAAACTTCCCGCTTATGTGCTGTTGAGGTTGAAATCAATGGAGTTACCGGTAGCCGCCTCGGGCTGGAGCTTGAACTGGACTCAGGTGGCGACCAGGTCAATGTCTTCGGCGTGGGGACCGGCCTGGTTGGTGAAGGAGTGGTCTTGTCTGGCGACTGGGTCTTCTTCTTCCTGGCTTTGGCAGTCGCTTTCTTGATGACATGGGAACTCTCATCCCGAAACATAAGATCAACCAAATTCCTGTATCCTGGACATTGCTGCTGTCGCTTCTCACATTGTCCACAGCCAGGTTCTCGTTGGTCGCACTACATGGACATCAGTCAGTGCATTGGCTCGAGAGTAGGATCGTCGGGAGCCCTTCGGCAGTGATTCCCGGGGGCTCAGCCTGCAAGTTTTCAAATATAACACAACTGGATTTGAGCCTCTGAAAAGGTGGCTTACACGAATCTTGCGCTCACGGCAGTTTGAGCACCCCTTGGAGGGCTTGCCGCAGTAAACCATGTTGACGATGTGCGCCTCCAGGTGTGAGGTTGAAGTGGGCCCGAGCCAAGAATGGAATGCTTCGCGGTGGGATTCGAGGGCAGCGTTGGGGCGAGGTGGCAGTGGCTAGGAAAATTTGTGCTAGAACTAAGGTCCTTCTGGCACTAACGCGCCGTGGCCCTTGTTACTGGATTCAGATGAGAAGGATCTGAACAAACTGCGACGTTCGGTAGTAGTCAATCCCAATTATCGGCAGACTCGGAGGGAAGCCTTGCGTACATGTATCCATATGCACCAGCCCCTAGCGAAAGCAAGTCTGGCTCACATCTCTCCAACATCACGACGTGCTGCCATTTTTGGTGCGATGCGGCACGGAGATCTGGGACAGATCTGCCCGCTATTAGCATCGGATCATCCAGAAGAGCACGTCTCTGGGGACATCATGCACTCGGGCCTAGCAGTTTGCCCCTGGCCCTGTTCAGCTGGTCCTTCACTGGTCCGCTAATAAAACGTACCAGACCAGCATAGCCCAGGTGAGGATAGTGGCATACACCATCCATCTCCCGCGTCTCTCCCACTTTGCCTAGGCTGCCCTGCCTCGAGCCTGCCTATCGCACGTTGCGACAAGCACGGAAAGGGTTCACTTTTCGGCGTCAGGGGCTGCGTGCTAGCGGGTGGTGGCGGCCACCCCCGTCCATAAAGCTTCCAGAAGCACATCCACGGGGCAAATCGGAGCTTCACCAGGCTCTTGGCAAGCGAGCATCAGACAATTGGCTACCTTTGGCAATTCCAGGGACTGGCTTAACCTTGGCTGCCGTTGACGGGCAGTGCAGGGCCTCTCCCAGCGGCAGTCAACCGGTCCACCCCTATGTCATGCACTAGAAAGGAGTTGCTGCCAGAGCACGTTTCAATGTTCGTCTCATCGCATACGACAAGCACGGTCGGAATAACAGTATTCTCCAGATGGACTACGTGAATGCGCATAGTCTGCTAGTCTGACCTTGTTGCGCGGGCTCTGCCGGCTCTCCTGAAGCACGCGCCATGAAGCCAACTCGATTGATGCGCAACGGCGCCTAGGGGTTTGTTTGTTGACTTCAAGATGCGCAAACTATATGATCGCAGACGGGACGGTGGGTCCATGACTGGAAGCATCGATCATTCTACCCAGTGAAACCCAGGCCCCCACCCCACGAGACCCTGTTCAGGCCCACGTATAGAACATCTCGAGAACAGACCCTAACGTCCGGCAACATCACCCGAGGGCAACCCATGATGTCTGTCATCTTATCCAGGATCGATGGCAACACGGACGGCTTCGAATTGCGAGTACGGTTCAGCAAGTCGTCCGTGTCGTTCAACAACCCTGTTGACAGTTCCGGTGAAACTGGGCTGGGTGCATACGTAGGCTGCCAGACAGCTATCTCGTCTCATCCGAATTATAAGACGGTCCGGCGCAACGGTCCGAGAACTAAGCGTATAGGGGGCTCATTGATGCTGGACGGAATCAAGCACAAGCTTGCCAAATGCCCATCACATGGATTGACATCACATGGCGTCGACCTCCTCATGGCCCGACATCCTTTCGGCGAGGTGCAGAGCTGGCAGGACAGAGCGATCCCTTTCGTTTCACGGCCTTTCCGGATCGCCGCCATGTGAATCAATGGCTGCGGCAACTACCGTAGTTTTGTCTAGTTTCTTCTGGTTTGCTCGGCTTGGCTCTCCGGCCGGTGGGGCCCATTCCGAAGTGCCCTGTGCTGTTCTGCCTTTTCTTTATTGAAAGATCAAGGGATCTCCTCAGATCTGTTAGCGCATCTGGACAGCTATGTCGTGCAGTCAGGCAGGTGAGGCTCAAAATGTTAAAATCTCTACTAGTGGGTCGTCAGCCCAGACAGCCCGTCCGGTGGGGACTGTCAGATCGCTTGAGCATTGAGATGCCATCCTCGGCACTCATCCGATGTCTTTCTCTGTGTCGTCTGATCTGTAGGCAATTTAAACGCGACCTGGCTCCGGTCCTTCCGTTCTCACCTTGACCGGGGGCGGGAGAGGGGGAACGGGGAGGCGTGCCTGATGGGTGCATCCAGAGAATGGAGAATGCCTCTCATTGCCTTTGGCAGGCGGCGAGCCGAGGTATCATCTATGTTTACGCCATCGTTTCCTGCGTGCTCCCCTGCCTGGTCTGGCTGGCATTTCATGCCATGGCCGCGGTGTGTATCAAGCGTCGTCTACTCTCTTGCGGGCCCCCCACAACCGACGTTGCAACGGAGCCTTCAGATGCATATTCGATACACGGCAGATCGCTTTCGGTTAATTGCCCGCATCGAGAATGAACCCGCAGCGTCTTCCAAGCTACAGGGTGATACATGTGCAGTACTTTTCTTCTGTACACGATTTGCTCATGGTATCATGAAGCCTGCCCATTCTCAAAACTTTACAATCACGATGCAACTGCCAATGTCTAGGTGAGGATGTTGCCACGTGTTGATATACGCGTCTGTAACATAATGGCCCGCTCCAGATTTGAAAATAGTAGCTCGTCAAGGTAGCAGCCGGCTAAGGAGTGAGGGCAACGACAGACAAAAGAAGTGTGAAGTTGGTGACAGGCCTGGCGATAGCTAATAGAGTGTAGGGGAAGGCTGTCGAGGAGCCCCAAACTCTTTCTAAAATAATAGTCTACCCACAGTACAAGAATGGATCAGGTAGTACCGAGTACCCTGTGCCCCGCCGATTGAGATCTGGAATCTGCAGCCCTGGTCCTTGATCTCGAAGCCCCGCCATCTGCCATCCGCCGTCACTGCAGCCCCACCAAGATTTCGACTGCAAAGCTCTCGACTGTACGTACCCCGTCCATTCCAGGTGGCCAGAGAACCAGCTTGGGGTCATTTGGGCTCACAATGCCGGTGAGTTCTACCTCCTCCTCCTGCCGGCCCTCAGCGTGTCTCGTGTTTGAATCTAGACTCACAAAGGCGGGCCTCGCGCACAGCTCATCATCGTCACTGGCCTGCCCACCTCCGGCAAGTCCACCAGGGCAAAGCAGCTGCACGACTACCTGGCCGAGAGGATACAGTCACAGCAGCAAGGCACCAAGTACCGGTTGCACCTCATCTCCGACCAGACACAGTCCATCAGCCGCACCGTATACGACCTCTCCCCCGAGAAGCTCCCGGCACACACCCGCTCCGCCAATGCCTCGGAAAAAGATGCCCGCGCCTCGCTGTCGAGCGCCGTCAAGCGCGTGCTGTCCACAAGAGACATCGTCATCCTCGACGGCCTGAACTACATCAAGGGCTGGCGCTACCAGCTCTACTGTGAGGCCAAGAACCTCAGCACGCCCAACGTGCTCCTGCAAATCGGGTGCGCCCCGGACAGGGCCAGGGCGGTGAACGAGGAACGGCTCCTCCGACGGGAGGAAGCGCTCACAGCCGGCCAGAGCGTGGCAGGCGACGACGAGGCGCCTGAGGGTGCATACGAGCCGGGCAACTGGGACAATCTCAGGTTCCGCTACGAGGAGCCCAACCCTATGAGTCGTTGGGACAGCCCGCTCTTCACCCTGATCTGGGAGGATGATGAAGCCCAGACAAAGAAGGTCTTTGATGAGATGTGGGAGGTCATCGCCGGCGAGGGCAGGAAGGTGATCAGGCCCAACCAATCGACGGTGCAAAGGAGTCGTGACGCCGGCGGTGACTACTTGTACGTACTTGACAGGGAGACTCAGGATATCGTAAAAAAGATCCTAGAACAGCAGTCAGACGAAGGTGGCGGTGAGGTCAACATATCGAAGGATGGCGACGCAGGAGAGATGCTGGTTGTGGAGTTGCCAAGCAAGAAGATCGGGCTGCCCCAGCTACAGAGGTATCGACGCGCCTATGTGAACATGAACAGGGGCGGCATTGGCCTTGAAGCTGTAGGAAACATGGCCGCCAGCAGGATGAGGGAGAGCTTTGTTGGTTACCTCAACGACGCTTTCGCGAAGGATGAGTAAAAAGTGAGGAAAAGCTGGCACGCTCTCTTTTAGACTACAGGTCAATTATGATACCCCTTTCAGCCGATAAACTATGATAAAAGGACTTGGCTTGATGCTACGAAATTCCACAGTTGTCCAGTTGGACGAAGAGTGCATCCATCTATCGGCCAACTCCCATTCCACCCACAATTACAGGATGCACGGTAATATCACAAACGTTCAAGAGTGCCAATCCTGGCAAGTTATTTGAGCCAAGATGTTGAATCTTGTTATTCAAACGAGTGTGGGGAGACTATAGCAGAAACTACGAGACGACGTCGTCAAGTTCACCATCCTGTCGTACGAACCAAACCACCTTTCTCTAGCATATCGGACCTGCCACCTACTTTTTTCCCCCAGTACTGCCGCCCTCGGCGTTCCCCTGTGGTGCCATATTTGTTCCTGCTCCCGAGTTGGCGTTATTTGCCGCCCCAGACTGGGCCCGCGCTGCAAAGCCACCTGAACTCATGTCTCCACCACTCTTCGCCTACGGTCGATGTCGGATCAGCCCTGTGTGCACCATCTCGGCGCCTTCAAATCACAATTTATGTTTGAGGTGTGCATACCTGAGTGGATTGGATGCGTGAGGCATCACTTTGGGACATTGAGTGTTTATCAGGCATGATAGTTGTGCAAAATTGTGAGGCTGGGATTTAGTCGGTTTCAATTCTGGTTCCAAGTCTGGAGTTTTGGAGAATGAGGAGGGAACTTTGATCATCTTGAGATGGGATGCCGACTTTTATAGACGGAGCATGGTGTGCAGGCGCTGCTTGCGAAGCTTGTCTGAATCTCTGAGGCCTACCGGCGGTCAACGCCGGAACTGTCTCACATCCAGATCTTCGTGAGCTGTTGCTTCCGCAACATGTTATGAAGGTGTCCGCTCTGCACGATACTATTTTTCATCCAATGATGCTCAGGGATAGGAATGATAGACGTCAGAATTATCTGCTGTCTCGTACTCCACCTATGCACAGAGCTGGATCCTGTAGGAGGCCTTCTTCTCCTGTAGGAGGCCCTCCATTTACGTGGGTTTGATAGGCTTCATTCAGCAGGCCTAGATTTCTAGGCAACACGTATCGAGACTGGTCTTCTCCTTGAGGCAGACGATTCACAGCAGCAGAGCTACAATATCAAAGGGGCCCATTTGTCGACATGTGATTACACGTTGACACCCTTTCCCCATTCTCCTAGTCCCCGGGCTGATATCCCACGAGCCTTGAATCTCAATGACTTCAGAGGATCGTAGTAAGATGGTAGAGAAGTGTTTGAGATATTGATATCAAGTAGATAGGTAACGGGCGGCAAAGCAAGCCCTTGGGAGGCGATGTACGTGTCTTCTAAGGAGGTGTCACTAACAAGGCACAATATTGGAGCCCAAGAAGAAAGACTTAGCAGGTTCGAAGCCCAGTGGATGCGAGTTGCGGAGAGTCGGGTCCGGATCTGTGACATCCAGCCTGCTCCTGCCGTCACTATGTCCTGGTTCATGGCGCCGCAACGTCTAACGAGACTTCCCACTCAGGGAGTCTTTGCGGTAGGAGCGGCTTGGAGCTCAATCCGGTCCTTTGCTTTGCTGGAGGGAGGCCTTACACTGTTTTTTTCTTTCTTGACTTTCTCATATTCCAGTTTCTTCTAGCTTTACCAGCCGTTCCACCGAAGGCATCCTCATTAGCGGCTGAGTTGTTTTCAAATATCCATTGTGTGTGTACACAAAACTGCCAGCTGTCAGTCTCGATATTCTCATCAGCCCCCAATAAGATGTCTTCGAGCCCCGTCACTTCAACGGGCAGGAACCGCTGCTGCTTGGCTTGTTCTAAAGGCGAGAATGTGACACTCAAATTGACCATGGGCCAATCCTCCCCTTCATGTGGCTTCAAGAGCCGTACTTTAGGCCACCGGTCACTGGATGCGGTCCGCTCTGTCAGGGGCTCCATGAAGGGCCGGCGGGCACTGAACACGGCCACCAACATCCCAACTGCGCCAAATTCAAGCTGTTCATCAAGCCCAGCAGGCTCTGCCGCCAAACACAGGTGGTACGATTCCATTCGCTCGAGGGCTTCCCAGATACCTATGCCGACCAGTTCAACTTCAGTATCTCCGACTGTGAAAAGGCACTTATTTAAAACGGCCAGTCATAACACTGGAGAGCAGATGCGGTCTGCTCCTGCATGCGAGGGCGACATTTCACCCACCGTCTTGGCAAGATTCCAGAAGCATGCTCAGACTCAAGCATTTCGAGCTCCTCTTCCAAAGCTTGATCTCCCGGCTCTCGACCCAGACCTGCGAAGAGGAACCACTTTCCGAGCCTGTTCTGAGAAGGCCATCCAAGGTGAGCTACGTCCTTCACGTGTGGCCGTTCTTCATGGAATCTTCGTAACACTAGCATGCCACTGACCGACTTTCGTAGACATCAGCTATAAATACGACGGCGGGACACGTGGCTCAGTGCAAAAGCTCGATGCGAACGATAACATCTTCATGACGGCAGCAGAGAGCATGAGGCTCAAACGAGCCGATGTTTCGATGGCGAAAGTTTCTCAGGAACCCAGCAATAGATTAGCTGTGAAGTGCGACGTCCATTATCCGTTGGTTCCCTCGGCGCCTTCTCGTACTGAGCATTTTGAAGACACAACGGCGGCACTTTCGAATTACTGCCTTAATAACATGCTCTTGTGTGGAAATGTCGAATACAGCAACGTCATTCTCTGGATTCTGCACACCTCCGTGACATCGCCTTGCAAGATTCAGCAGAGCTTCACTGTTCTTCCCAACTACCTTAAGCCGGACCGCAATGCCCTTGGCACTACTTGCCAGTGGGCAATCATCGTCTTCAGGAATGATCCTGGCTCAAGTAGACTGCCTGCTGCGGTCAGACAACAAGAAACGATTCTGCAAGCCGCGCTTTCCAACGTGTTGAACATGGGCTACCGTGTGGATGTATGGACAAAGTCTGATAATTATTGCTGGAGAGACCAAAAGCTTCAAGCGCTGAGCTCTGATGACTGCAGGGGACCTGACCAGTCACTTCGTGAGAAATTCCAGGCTATGGTTGGCCATGGCATTCCTGGGTTCTCTTTCCACGAAATCCAGACTATTGACGACCTGCTGCGTATTCGGGGTCCGGCGTCAGATTCTGAAGACTCCGAAACTGTATATTCTGAGATTGCCTTGCAAACCAAACTTGAGACTGAGGATGAACTCGAGTGCGGATCGAACTCCTGGTCTGAATTCGACGGCTTTCTCGAACACATGGAAGAGAGCATTTTGCCAGCTGGCTCGGACGCTAAGTTCGAGCATGATGATGACTCCAACTTCAGCGGGGTCTCAGAGGACTTGGACATGGTGATGAGGTTGGGAGGGAGGGCATCCGCGTAATAAGCTCAGCGCGATATGCGCCGAGAAGGTGCATATTACACAGCATCATTGAGGGCCAAGCTTCCTCTGTATCCATATGTATGTTTCTTTCGGTCGCTGATAACTTTCGTGCTGGGACAGTGACACGTCGTCGGGGCACTGAGTATCCTTATGAGAATGGAAGATATGTTCTTATGACAACGCACTTCAAGTTGCAGACCCGATATGTGAGTTGGTCGAGAAGGGAAGACGGGATGCTTTCATTGTTTATACAGGCTCGTTACCGCGTTAATAACTCTGTACACGCGGACTACTAAGCTTCCAACCCCAGCTGTTCCGTCTCATCTCTACGGCCTTTCTTACCTAGCCCCAGCTGGGTGTTCTTTCCGAGAGTTCGGTGGACATACTCGTTCATAATCTTCCGTCGGATCAGGATGACTCTGGCGTCATCCGACCCGCGCTGCACCAAGCTCTGAGAAATCATCTTATCGCTGACGGCAACGACCTTCTTGGCAACATCAAGAACCGACTTCCGTCCGCGATAGTCTCGCTTCCAGCTCTCCTCCGGCGACTTGGAGGCTAGAGCGGTATCTGAGAAGGCCAAGGCGTTCGTCGCCAACCTCAGTGGCTCCCACACGCGGTCAATGGCGTCGAGAATTTGTCGGCCATAGGCAAGCTTGGCCTTAGATTCAATCGGGTACTTGGTTCTGTTGTCGAACTTCCGATAGTTGCTCGTTGCTACCTGCAGATAGAGCGTCATGCACTCAGCGTCAGGCGTTTTCATCTTCTGCATCATGGCATCGAAGATGGTGGTTGCGTTCTCGAAGGCATTCTCGTTGTAGCCGTCAAAGTGGCACATGAGCAAGCCACGCCTGACGACGAGGCCGTCAACCATCTCTGCTGGCATATCCTGGATGATCCGTGCTGCTTTCCCGCTTGCGGCCCCGGTGGATAGGGAGTCAAGGTAGTGCTTGTAGTTCCACCTGTCCGGAACGATTCCAAATGTGCCCGTCAAGTAGTCCCAGTATTTGACTGCTAATTTGGTCCTCCTGCCTAACCCCAGCGCCGTCATTACGAGCGATAGCGTGTTCTTGCCAGCCATTGGCTTTGGAGGGCCTTGCAATTGCATCTCTTGCTTTTGCAGCGTTTTGGAGGCCGGCTGGGATTTTGATTCGTCGTTTTGATCACTGCCGGGGTTTTCTTCTCGAGAGGAGGATAGCTCTTGATCGAGCCTTGGTGCACCCAGAACATTCGAAAGCAAGGCGAGAATAGACTCAGTCTCCTTTGCGCCCCCCAGAAGTAACAGCCGACCCATCGCGCACATTAGCTGCTCGTCAATGATGATCTCATTCTTCTTCCATCGGCTCATGACCTCATCCCAGACCAATTTTGCTCGTTGTATGGTCGTTTCTATGCTCTTTTTCACAGCCTCCCCGTCCGTACCGGTTCCATCCATAGAGTCTTTGTGATTGGAAGGCTGATGGCGAAGAGCATTGAGTATGATGGTGTATGTCCAGTTGTTGGGGGCGCGGGCCTTGTCAGCCGAACGCAGTGTGACGAACATGGACTCGAGGTCCTGGGCTCGTGAACAGACATCCAGGACCGCGTTGAGATGTGTGACGTTGGGCTTCAGTCGGCTGCTCGACAGCATGGTGTTGTAAATCTTGAGCGCCTCGCCGACAGCAAGCTTTGGATGCTCGGACTCGGCGCAGCCTTTGAAAATAATGGTGTATGTTTGCGCGTTTGGAAGTTGGGCTCGCTTTTTCATCTGCGGCTGGGTTAGCCTCAAGGAAAAGAGGTTTATTGAAGGAACGGGCTTTGGCCCAAAGGTCACCGACTTCATTGAAGAGCTTGATAGCAGCGTGCAGCTTGTTATTCTTAAACTGGTACTCTATACAATGGTTCCAGCTGACCACACATTGTTTGTCCTTGCTCGCCTCCCGGGTCAACAGCAGCGCCTTGTCGAAATCGTTCTCCTTCAGCTTCTTCACCACGTTTTCGGCTATGTGGTAAGGGTCTGTGGTGTACTGAAGCTCTTTCTTCATCGCTCTTCTTGACCTCTCGAGCGCCTTCTTCTTATCGACTTCCCTATCTTCGGGGGTCTTCTGCCTCTCCACTGAGGCTTCGAATTGGGCGAAGCCATCTTCCTGGTCCTGTCCCTTTCGCAGGAACGAGCTCGTCACGAACTGCCTCGGGAGGGCTGCCAGGCGAACGTCGGCATTTGGAAGTTGACGTAGAACTGAAGTTGATGCCCGCCTTGCGCATGCTTTGCAAACAAACATGGCTGAGACCTCACAACCTCAGGCGCACGTTGTGGTGGGCGGCAATTCGCAGCGAGGTTGCGCAGTAAGGAAAGGCAAAAAAATGTCGATTTGCTTAGACTTTCCCTGTTCCATGACGGAGCGTTAGTCTGTTCTGAGCTGAGCCATATAGGGCAGGCGGTGAATGAACGTTTCAATTATTGGAGGTCAGCCAAACGGCCGGACCCGCCTTCAGCACGCATGTTGCAGGGATTCGCGTGTGTGGGCTTGCTGGGGCGTACCGCGTCTACAAGAGTATGGCGCGTCTCCCCTGCCACTTTAAATCGAAGGCATGTCTTGTGCACTCTTCGCTTCCCACACACGACTCCACCACCAAAATATGACCTCAGTATACCAATAGACTCCCTCACATATTCGGCCTCTCGGCCAATTGACTATTCAAATATCTCTAAGACTTGCCAGAAAACCGGCTCACCATGCCGAAAGCCGACAGACGAGCCAAGCTTGCACAGCTTGCTGCGCTGCGAAAGGCTGGCAAGAAGACATTCGACTCGTATGAGGTCGAGCAAGTCGAAGAGTTATACGAAGAAGTTGATGAGGATCGCTATAAGAAGATTGTGCGAGAACGCCTGAACCAGGATGACTTCGTCGTTGACGACAATGGCGAAGGTTACGCCGACGACGGTCGTGAGGACTGGGACCGTGTTCAGCAGTACGATAGTTACAGCGAAGACGACTTGCCAGTCCGAGGAAAGGAGAACAAGAAGTGTGAGTGCCTCGGATTGTTCCGCACATGAAATGCACCTCTGACAATTGAGCCACAGCCAAGAAGCAGCGTGAGGAGGATCAATCCAAGCGGGACGCGACCGATCGAGATATCAGCGAGTTCTTCACCAAGGGCGCCACAAAAGCCCAGCCAAAAGCTAAGGTAGGAAGTGAAAACACTTGGAAGCCCAGAGACATGCCTCTGACATGAGATAGACCATAAAAACCGAGGAGGACGACGAATTCCTTGCAAGCCTGCTGGGAGAAGTTGATCAGAACGTACCGGCTGCCGCACTTCGCCAGTCCAAGAAGAGAGGAAGGTCCCCTGAGAAACGCCGTAATCGCATCCCTTCGCCAGCACCTGAAATCAAACGGCCCGCAACAAAGAGAGTCAGACACAGTCCGGACCCTGTCGTCTCGCTGCCACAAGATGATGATATTTTGATGGACGACGACACAGTTCTCCCATCGATCGATGATGATCTGCCTACGCCTTTCCCCGCGAATGATATTCCGACAAGCGACCCAGCCCCCTCGTCACCAACGGTCGATGCAATTGGGCGCAAGATGAAACCGAAGGCCGAGGCCGAGGTCGAAGATGAAGACGACGAAGATATGATGGAGGTCGCCCATGCCGGCGCCATCACTGCTGCCAGTGTCAACTTGACTGCGGCCAGACTTCCCAAGAGATTGATCAAGGCCGATCCATATCCTTCTCCTGCGAACTCGTCCCCACCCAAGGGTCCGGCTGAGGACGCAGTTGACTCTTCGGCATGGAACGATATCAATCAGCGTCTCAACGTTGTCAGTAGCTCTCCAGCGGAAACAAGGGGCATCAACAAGATAGACTACAAGGATGCAGTCGAAGAGGATGGCAGTCTGAACATGTTCTGGACAGACTACACTGAAGTCAAAGGCAGCCTCTGCCTATTCGGCAAAGTGCTGAACAAGAAGACAAAGTCATATGTCAGTTGCTTCGTCAAGGTGGATAATATCTTGCGGAAACTCTTTTTCCTCCCGCGTCAAAATCGCATGGAGCGCGGAGTTGAAACAACCGAAGAGGTTGGGATGATGGACGTCTACCAAGAGATCGACGCCCTCATGTCCAAGATGAATGTTGGCATGTTCAAGATCAAAGCATGCACGAGGAAGTATGCTTTCGAGTTACCGGGGATACCAAAAGAGACGCAGTACATGAAGCTGTTGTATCCGTATACTAGTGAGTTATCCTCTAGCCAACACCTAGCTCGTTGTACTGACACACAGCAGAGCCTGCTGTCGAGATGGGAACAAGCGGTGAGACGTATTCGCAAGTCTTCGGTACCAACACCGCTCTATTTGAGCAGTTCGTCCTGTGGAAGAACATCATGGGCCCTTGCTGGCTGAAGATCCAAGATGCTGATTTTGGCGCTCTCAAGAATGCTTCACACTGCAAGCTTGAGGTGCTTGCGGAGCATCCCAACATGATATCTCCCTTAAGTGACTCGGATAACCTTGACGCTCCTCCATTGACTGTGATGAGTGTGGCCATGCGGACGACGTTCAACATCAAGGATAACAAGCAGGAAATACTCTCCATCAGTGCCAGAATATACGAGAATGTCGCTCTTAGTGACACAACGCCAGCGGACAAACTTCCATCCCGGACGTTCACACTCATCCGGCCCAACGGCCCATCGTTCCCAGGAGGCTTTGAGCAAATGGCGAAAACTCGAAAGCGTGGTCTCATCAAGACTATGAAGCAAGAATCCGAAATGTTAATGTTCTTTCTGGCGCAAATCGACGTGGTGGACCCTGATGTCATTCTCGGCCATCAACTGGAAGGGGTTGACTATTCCGTTCTTCTCAGCCGGTTACGAGAGAAGAAGATACACCAATGGTCTCGTCTTGGCAGACTCAGGCGAACCGAGTGGCCATCATCCATAGGGAAGGTGGGTGGCAACGTTTTCGCTGAGCGTCAAATCATCGCTGGCCGCCTGCTTTGCGATCTCGCCAACGAAGCTGGCAAGTCGGCAATGTACAAGTGTTCGACTTGGAGCTTGACGGAAATGTGCAGTCTCTACCTCTCGGGCGATAACAAGAGGCGAGAAATTGACAACGAGGTCGCTTTGAAGTCGTGGGCAACGACTAAAGACGGCCTCATGGATTATGTCTCCCATGTGGAGACAGACACATACTTCATCACAGCCTTGGCGCTCAGAGTCCAGCTTCTGCCGCTGACCAAGATCTTGACCAACTTGGCTGGAAACTCTTGGGCAAGAACCTTAACCGGTACACGTGCTGAGCGGAACGAGTACATTTTGCTGCACGAGTTCCACCGGAACAAGTACATCTGTCCTGACAAGCAGCCTTTCAAAGGGCGACAACGCTTGGAGGAAGAAAATGCGGAAGAGGAAGCTGGCGACGGCAAGAAGAAGGACAAGTACAAGGGCGGTCTTGTCTTCGAGCCCGAAAAAGGTCTCTACGACAAGTTTGTCCTAGTCATGGACTTCAACTCGCTTTATCCTTCTATTATCCAGGAGTTCAACATTTGCTTCACTACTGTGGACCGGTCTTCATTGGTGAGTACTCCGTTCAATATCGTTGCTTGAATATCAACTAACACTGAAACAGGCTGAAGACGAGGACGCGGTTCCTGAAGTCCCTGGGGAACAGGAACAAGGCATCCTGCCCAAGCTAATCGCCACTCTCGTCAGTCGCAGACGGGAGGTGAAGAAGCTGATGAAGGACAAGACTGCAACTACTGAACAACTCGCGACCTGGGACATTAAGCAACTTGCGTTGAAGCTGACCGCCAACTCCATGTATGGATGCTTGGGCTACACCAAGTCACGATTCTATGCACGTCCTTTGGCCGTCTTGACAACATATAAGGGCCGTGAAATTCTCCGCAGCACGAAAGATCTAGCAGAGAGCAAGTCTCTCCAGGTTATTTACGGTGACACCGACTCTGTCATGATCAATGCCAACGTCGACAATGTTTCTGATGCCTACAAGGTGGGCCACGATTTCAAGAGAGCCGTCAACGAATCATACAGGCTGCTGGAGATCGACATTGACAACGTTTTCCGTCGCATTCTGCTCCAAGCCAAGAAAAAGTATGCCGCGATCAATATGATCGAGCAGGATGGCAAGTTCATCGAGAAGATGGAAGTCAAGGGTCTGGACATGAAACGACGAGAATACTGTGGTCTGTCCAAAGAGATCTCCAGCCGTCTTCTCAACGAGATTCTGTCTGGTGACGATACAGAGATATCCATTCAGCGTATCCATGAGTACTTGCGGGAGATCTCAGGCAAGATGCGCGAGCAGGCCATTCCTGTGCAAAAGTACATCATCTTCACGCAGCTCGGCAAGGCCCCCAAGGAGTACCCGAACGCCGACTCGATGCCGCAAGTGCAAGTTGCTCTACGGGAGCTCGCACGGGGCAAGACGGTGAGAAAGGGAGACGTCATCTCCTATATCATCACAGGCGACAGCAAGGGCTCTGAGTCAGTTGCCAAGCGAGCGTATACCCCCCAAGACGTCCTCAAGACGGGCTCTGACTTGGCTCCGGACGTTGAATGGTACATAGGCAAGCAGATCTTCCCGCCTGTCGAGCGTCTCTGTGCAAACATTGTTGGCACCTCCACGGCGCAGTTGGCGGAATGCCTGGGTCTTGACATCCGCCGTTACGCCAACAATGCCAACAACACGAGCAGCGGTAACAGCAACGACCTCGAGATTCACCCTCTCGAGTCCCAAATCCCCGACGCGGTGCGCTTTGGCGAATGTACGCGCCTGCAGCTGCGTTGCCGCTCCTGCAAGAAGTCGTCGACCTTCGAGGGCCTCCTCGGCAGTCCCGATCGGGTCGCACCGGCCGGCGTTGTCTGCGACTCATGCGGCGCCATCATCTCGACGCTCTCCGTGGTGGCGCAGGTCGAGCGCGCGATACGCACTGCAACTGCCGCATACTACGAGGGATGGCTTGTGTGCGACGACAGCAGCTGCGGGAACCGCACGCGGCAGCTGAGCGTCTACGGCAGCCGCTGCCTCGGGCCGAAGGGCCTTGCGCGAGACTGCCTCGGCCGGATGAGGTACGAGGTCTCGGAGCGGCACATCTACAACCAGCTGGTGTACTTTGCCAGCCTGTGGGATGTGGACAGGGCCAGGGCCAAGGCCAGCGGCGAGGGGAGTGACGGCGCGGTCGCCGACCGCGAGACGAGAGAGAAGATCCTCGCCCTGGCGGAGCACAACCGCACAAGGTTCGGGACTGTGAAGAGCGTTGTCGACCGGTATCTGGACAAGTGCGGACGGCAGTGGGTTGCAATGGACACGTTGTTTGCGAAGTTGGGCTTCGCTGCTGTCTGATGAAGTTTCTGTATCTCATGTTGGATTGTATGATTGGCGTTCATGTTTTGCATAGGGGGAAGACCAACACTTGCGTTTTCCACCGAATTCGGTGACGTGGAGTTCAAGGGGCAGTTCTCTTTAAACAGCTACGGTATTCACAATTATGTCCATAATACGTCCACCCAAAATACGTGTGCTATTAGGCCGATCCTCGCTAGAGCTTCGAGCGCATTCTTTCACAATCATTTATTGGCATTTCCGACAGACGTAGCTATCTAATTTCTTGACAGCCTGGCGAGACTTCTTGAATACTGGGCCTTCCAGGCTAGGCTAAGCACATATCTCCCCTCGCCAAAGACTGCGAATGAGGTTTCTTACGTGCGAAGTGCTCTCATCCATTTGGGTTACTCACAGCGGCCTCGAGAGCATCTTCACATTGCTCGAGACATTTGAACATCAGGATTGATTAATTGCTGCGCTGCATCATATAACATCTCAAAGTCCACAACGTCAACACACATGGATAAGCAGAAGCACCTGTCCGATAATAGAAAGACAATCCTTCATTGCGGCTGCTGGCTCCCCTTCCACGAATTAGATGTGATAATCATCATGATATACACGGCGCTTCCCCCTCTCAAAGATGGGAAATACTGCACCTCGGCCCCTCTCTAGCCTGGATCATAAGACATTATCCACTGTTGGCGACCAGTGGTGATCTCTCTATGCTCCGTTGGCCCATGTCCACCTTCCTGTACCCGTCGTCACTTTGGGAGATGGGCGAAGCCAGCAGCAACAGCAGCAAAATCGAGAAGAGACAAACGCGTTCTGTGAACCCTGTGAACTCCGAGAAAATCCCCTTGAAATACCATGGATCGTTGCTCTCAATTACCTAATCCTAGCCTGGTCCATTCCTGAGACAACCCGGAGCTCGATCGTGGCGGGTCTGGCAGTCTTGCCCATTCATCACAAGCGTTCCATCGTTGTCCGTCATGATCTGACCTTTGGTCTCGGTCAGTACCGAGTGTATCCCTTATCCCCGGCAGGGGAAGGTGGGCTCAGGTGGTAGAGAGCAACTGGACCCCGTCACTGTATTGAGAAAAGTCCAGAAATGAAGAATATGAAGGTGGATGCGAGGGAAAGCCCCTGTCTGAGATCATGTCTGCAGACGAGCCTTCTGTCTATGCCGATAGAGGTATCATGGAAAAGGGGAAATCTGGCGAACTTTTGACACGTATTTTAGACCCCGCCGTAAATGCAGAAACCGCCTGCCCAGTTTAGGTGCGCAGAGAATGCTCTAATGCGTATTGCGAACATTGGAAAGATGAAAGACTCAGTCCGCCTCCTTCTTCTCGCCTCCAGCCGGAGCTGCTGGCTTGGCATGGTTGAGCGCTGGCGAGGCCGACACGGAAGGTGGTGATGCAGGGTTCTCCGACTCCATGTTGGCAAGAGCACTGGATTCATGTTAGCGCTGCTCTGCGAGCGTCTGGTGTGGGATTGAATACTTACGCAAATGCATTTGTCGATGCCTGAGTGGGTGGGGTTCCGGTTCGCGACGAGGCACCGGAGTCCTCGGCACCACGCGCTAGTGAGCCACCTGGGCCCAGCCTCGTGTTACGCCCGCTGCTGCTGCGGGAGTTGAACATGGACGTCGGTCCGAGGGTGACATTGCCACTAGCAGTCCTCGATGCGGAACCCTTCAGACGGCGCAGGTCGTCCATACCGACGTGATTCGAGGTGGGCTGCTGGAACTGCAAGGAGTTCCTTGCGTCACCGCGCCCTCCCTGGGACCGACCGCCGGCCTGGCCACGATAGCTGCTTCTCGCATTCTCTGCAGCTTTCTGGGCAGCAGCTGCCTCGGCCTGTTGATAGTTGATTAGTACTAGACCAAGCGGATAGATGATCAGGGCTTGGGCCCTGCACAGCATGCACTTACCTCTGCTCGGATCTCTTCTCGTGTCTTGGGGCCCTTGAGGCCGTCCTTGGTCTGCCACCTATCCCTTCGCAAATCGATAATATCCATAAGCATGAACTGAAGTCGGCTTGGCAAATCAGGTGTCTCAACCAAGGTGGAGATGCGCTCGAAGTATGCGTTCATCATCATCATACCCTTCTCCGTGCTGTCAAGACTGGCGCCAATCGTGCGCAGTAGCTTGCTGAGTGACTCGATCTCAGCTTCATCGGGTTCGCCCTGGAAATCGAGAAGTTTTCGGACACATTCGTGCATGATACGCTCCGTGAGCATACCAAGCTTGAAGAGCTCGCCAATGAACTGGACGAGACCGAGCCCACGACGCTTGATGGCCATGGCCTTGTAGTACTCATCGGACAGCATGGCAGTTTCCTTGGACTCGCCCTCCTTGGGCTTGGGCATCTCAACTGCCCACCCGTGTTCAAAGTCCTCTTGACACCTGTTGAGAAGATACTTCCGGAAGAGGGCACCGCCGCTGACAACGTTCCCGTTCTTGTCCGTGATAGTGACATCTTTAACCTCGGGGCTCATCGTCTCCAGCATGCGCTTGCAAAACTTGGCATACATCGCAGCCCAGTGCGCCTCGTCTGTTGCCTTTTCAAAGGTAAGCTGAATGACTTGCCTGAGTGTCCGGCCATCCTGCTCGTCTTTGGACTGCGCTGCAATCTGGAGGATCTGGTCTGAGATCTTGTCAAAGTTCTCGGGGGTCATCTTGTTCAGGTTGGACTTGACCTTGCGCTGAACAGTCTCAGGGTCCATGTGGCCGGGAGCTTCCGCGTTCTGCACAGCTCTGCCAACGCTCTTTGGCTTCCAGCCGGTGGCCGTAGTCTGGATAGGCTTCAGATCCATGCCCGCGGTAAGAGGCATGGTCTTGCTAAGCTTAGCTTCTTGTTGGGCGTCAAACCCTGCCCCGCGCTTGCTGCCGCCGCCGCCGCCGCCACGCTGCGATCGACTACCTGAACGAGAGCTAGATTGAGCCAAGTTTGAGGATGATGTGCGCGACATCTGGCTGCCCCCGAAAGAGCCACCACGGAAGGAAGAGATCGGACCTCCGATGGCTGGGCGGGGGATCTGCCCCTGAGACATGGCAAATCGCTGCTCGGACGTGGTGTTGGGCGGGAGTGGCTTCCCAGGCGGCTGCGCAAATGCGCCAAAAGCCCCATTGGCGGTTCTAGATCCCTGGCGACCATTGGCACCGGCAGGTGTCCTGACAGATGCGGACCTGGACCCATCCGAGTCGCCGATCAAGCTCTTGACTTGCTGCGAGAACTCTGTGGAGGGCTGCTCCGTGAAAACCTTTTGGAACTGCAGCAAGAATGCTGAATCGTACTTGAATGAGCCGCCCTTCTTTGCCACGGCGGCATTGACAGCCGGGTTGGGGCTGGCGATACCGCTGGGGTATTTGACCTCATCTTTGATTGTCAGGAACCGAGCTGACTTCAGAGCCTGCATAGCTGCGGTTGGTGGAGCCGGCTCGACGCTGTTTGTCTTGAGTGGCGCAAGGTTCAGGGCTGCTGGTTTAGGCTTGCCGGTTGACTTGGCCGACGATGGCGCTGAGCCTATGAGAGACGTATCCTTGTTGCTGATGATCGTGAGCTTGGTGGAGTCCTCGCCGCTCTTCTGAGAGGCGTTCAAATCCGAGATCTTCTTCGTCAGGACTTCTGACATCGACTGGGACTGACCGCCCTCGGCCTCCAGGCGCTCCTTTTCACGGGCCTTCTCCTTCTCTTCTTCGAGGCGTTCCATCTCTCGCTCTTGTTCCCTCAGCTTGGCGTCGTTTGCGGCAGCATCCGCGAGGCGTTGTGCGTCGGCCTTCGCCTTTGCGGCCTCCTTTTCGACTTGCTTCTTGGCCGTGATCTTTGCCTGCTCCTCTTCACGGCGTTTGTCCTCCTCTTCCATTTCTCTAATCATCCTCTCCATGTACTCATCCTCGGTCTCCTGTGGCTTCTCCTCAGCCTTGGCAGCATCGGCCTTCTTTTGTTCCTCGGCCTTGACCTTTGCCTCTTCCTCAGCTTTGGCTTTGGCCTCTTGCTCGGCCTTGGCGGCGGCTTCTTGCTCGGCTCTAGCGGTTGCTTCCGCCGCTGCCTTGGCCTTCGCATCTTCCTCAGCCTTTGCCTTGGCTGCTGCTTCAGCCTTGGCCTTGGCCTCAGCCTCAGCCTTAGCTTTGCTCGCGGCTTCCTCAGCAGCCTTGGTCTCTTCGGCTGCCTTCTTCTCGGCCGCGGCGCGCTCTTCCTCCTTCCTCTGCGCTTCCTCCTTGGCCTTCAAGTCGGCAGCAGCTTCATCATCTGTCTTGGTCGAGTCGCCCTCCTTGGACTTCTTTACCTGCTCCAAGAACGCAGCCTTGATCTCATCCGGCTTCGCCGTGGAGATGCTTTCGGTCCTGGCATGAGACGCTGGAGTGGGAGCCTTGGGCGGGGGCGTTGGTGTCGACGCGATGACAGGAGGAGTCCTGGACTGTTGGATGCTTGGCGCTGGGGACGCAGGGGCTTTGAGAACGTTGAAGTTGACAACTTCACCTGCGGCGTTCTTGATGGTAACACCAGATTTCTTTGGCTTCTGGAATTGAGACTGGCCAGGAGTCGATGAGCCGGTGGGTGCTTTGGCCGGCGAGTTGTGACCCCCAGGAGCTCCGGACACGACTATGGGTCCTTGGGCCTGTCCAGTGCTAGAGGCGGGCCGCTCGGACATCTGCGAGTTATTACGTGACATGGGCTGACCTTGAGGGGGGGCAAATTGCGTAGCACCGTATGGAAGAGGCATACCAGCAGGGGCGGGTGACGCTGGGGGGTACATTGATTGGGGATGGAAGGGTTGCTGGGGGTATTGAGGCATGCCCATGTAGGCTGCCCTATTATCGTATGTACCTGGGTAAAAGCTCTGTTTTGATGCAGTCAGCATCCGTTCAACACGCTCAAAGCCGCCATTTGGGCCTGGCGAAAGGTCCAGACCCTTGTCACTCAAGAAAAGAAGGGGAGGGTTGTGGAAAGGAAGTTGCTGGTCAAGAGATGGGGCTCGGCCACGAAGAGGCCCGTGGTCGATCGTCGAATCACGACGCTTCCCCATGCGACGGTTTCTACCGCCGATCTCCTGCCATGAATTTGAAGAAGAATCCGGCTGCCGGTGATGAGATGGTCTGTTCTCTGAATCCCAGCGAGCGCCTTTCTTCTTGTGAGGTTTGAAAGGGGTAAAGACGTCATGACAGATGGGGGGCTTTACATGTGGGGGGTAGCCGCTTTGCTGTTGAAAGCCACCTTGCTGTGCGTATCCGCTCATGGGCGGTGGGTACTGCTGGGTGAAGCCCTGCGCGGGAGGGACGGGCATGGCGGCGCCCATGTTTGGAGTACCTTGGCCGGGCATCACCGGAGTGAGGGCAGGGCTGCCTCGCGCAGGCTGTGGCGAGTTGTGGTATCCGCCACCTCGGGGGTTGAACTGTTGTGGAGGCATTCCGCCGCGACCTTGACCTCTGTAGGACTGGTTCGTGTTAGGAGGAAATCCGCTGTGGTTTGGGTACTGGTGGTTGTAACCGCCGCCACGGCCACCTCGTCCGCCGCCAAAGCCACCTCGAGTCGGGGCTGGACCATGGTGGCCCATGTCGCTGTGCTGGGAGACGGCTGAGTCGCGTCTAGCGTGGAAAGACATTTGCGACATTGAGTTTGGACGTCCACCGATACGCTGAGGCTCTGTCAGCGCACTCTGAAGAATTGGAGAAATAGGGAGACTTACATCGCCATCGTTAGTGAAACTGCCAATCTTGAAAGTGTTCTCGGTGTTTCCAGGCCTTCCACCGCTCGTGATATTCTGGGGAATAGGCGAGGGGCTGGGAATAGGCGAGGGGTTCCGTCCGGCGCCGGGGATATTCACTGGGGCGGTTGCGTTCAGCTGCGGAGTGCTGTGTGGCATGGCTGGAGACGCTTCAGCGTAGCCGAACTGCAGCCCCGGAGGCTTGTTGCTCACAGCTCCGCCATTCGCCAGGTAGCTGGTAGGGCCGTTGGGCGGAATGGTGACGGAACCGTTGCGGGCGTGGTCGCCAGGGCCTCCGTTGACGTTTGGTGTGGCGGCGACAGTGGGGACGGCGGGAACAGCAGGTGTCACGGAAGGCCGACCGTTCACATTTGAGGCTGACGGGGATGGGACATTCTGAGGAGCGGTAGCCGAGGAGCCTGCCACCGCAGAAGGGTTGGCAGCTCCTACAACCAGCGGCGTCGAGGCGGGCTTCTTCGCGGCACCAGCGGCAGAGGCATACGAAGGAGCCGTCGAGGCAGCAGTGGTGTTCGGCGCCGGGGTTGTGTTGGGTTGACTCGCAGTGGAAGTCATATGTGATACCGGGTCGTCTGGAGACGGTGACACTTGTGATATGGTTCGCGCGATCGTGTGTGGGGTCGGGATGGGTTTGGACGAGTCGATGAAGACCGTAGCAGTCGATGGAAGTCAAGCCTCGATGTGGTGATCGGGGGCGAGAAGAGCGATCGGCTGTTGGCGTAGAGTCGTTTGACTATGCGCGAGAGTCAAGAAGGGAAAGGCGCTGCCGTGAACCAGTCGCGAAGTGAATCTGACCGATTGAAATCCAGATCAAATCCAACCTGATCGGGGTCGTGGATGAGAAATGTCCCTGACTTGTTGCGGACGCTGGGTCACTGTCAAGGAGTGAAGTGAAGGCGAGGGCAGGGCTGTGCGCTGCTGCGTGTCGTCGACTCAAAACCGAGATGGACGGACGGGATGGGAACCGTTCGGCGGATTGGGTCGCTTGGGTAGACCTTTGGACCTGTGCTCGCTCGCTCGCAATCGAAGAGGACCGACTGGGACGAGGGAGGGAGGGAGAAATGGAATGCAGCGACTCGAGAAGAGAGACCTGCAAGACCAAATCAAAAGGAAAAAGAACTATCTACCACTACCTTTCCTAGGGATGGAGGTTGGTGGTGATGAGAGGGGGGTGTTCTGGTTGATGATGGAGAGAAAAAAGAGAGAGAGGGAGAAACTCTGGTCTCAAATTTTTTTCTGCCCTGGGTGAGATGCAGCGGACGACGGATGGGCACGGCAACCCAGCCAGCCAGCCAAACGAGCGATAAAAGGTTTTGGGTGGTTACCCTTCTTTTTTTTTGGGCAGGGAAAGAGCGAGCTTGGGGCTTTGCGGTGCTGGGGCTGGGGCTTGAGTGCCTGCCAGAGTGGTGAGGTGCGGGTTCTGATTGGCTGGATGACGTCCGTTGCCCCACAAGACCGGGCAACTTTAGATACCACCCTAGTTGTGGTAGGCTCTGTTTGCAGCAGGTCTGCCTACCTGCACAGACAGTATCTTGTGCTGGCTGGCTGGCTGGCCTGGCTGGCTGGCCGGCCAGTTGGCGTTGCACCTTGTTGTGCCTGCCCTACCAAACCTAAGTAAGGCATTCACTTCCACTCATTATCACTCATTTCTCCTTTTCTTGTCACTCACTGTCTGTGTCAATGACTCCCAGTGACCCCATGTCTTGCTGTTGGATGATCCAGTCACTAACCTCAAGAGTGCATGAATGACTGCAGAACAAACTAACAGCTGCCTGTCTGTACATTACAGTTGTTGGTTCGCTGCCATGCAGGTAGTCATATCTCACACCTTCCTCCCGAGTCTCCAAGGGCCTGGATCCCGAGTCTGGACAGGTAGGTGCACAGGTACGTAGCTTGAGACGGCCAATCTGCATTGAGGCCAGGTCGAGGCCAAAGAGGGGGCCTTGAGCTGCCAAGATGAGTTACGCATATGCATGCTTGTCCACAGATGCCATACGCTGTGATTCTCTATTTTGTAGTACAGTCCTGTAGCATCTCAAGTTGCTTTGCTTTGCTTTGCTTTGCTGAGCTGAACCAAGGGCGACGCGGCTCTGTGGCGTCGTATAATTTACTGCATTGAAATAGACATATCATCCAGGTCGAGCCTTGACAGGGTTTCGCGTCTGCAAACACGCTAACACGCTACCCAGGTACTCCATACCTGGCTCCCGCGATTGATGGCACGTAAAGTAATGTGCTAGACTGCCACGCTTCCCATAGTCCGTAATTGGTCTTGACGCTACAGTTTGTGCCTCCGCCCGGCTTCCTCAATGCATGCTCCAGCTTTGCCACCTTTGTACTGTCCTCTTTGAAGCTGCTTGCAATTGTCTGGTGACGGACAGCCGACCACCCCTGCCAAAATAACCATGCTCCAGGGAGACTCGCCCCAGTCCCGAATTCGTAGAAAATTTACTGTAGGTACTTGTATTCCAGTGCTGGTTGCCTACTGCTTCGAGTACCTGTTGCTGGCTTCGCCGTGCTAGGGCAACGCAAAGCACCCAAGGAGATGGGAACTGCGCTCGGTCTGAGAACCGTGATGGTGTTGAGCAGGTTGCTCTAGTACCCCTCTCTCCGCGCGCCGGTGCGAATCATTCGTGTTGGCCCCATCGTGGGCGCGGGGCATTTGGTCAGGGTGGCAGGCCAACACACCGGCAGAATCCTGAGCCCCACAGAAAGGCGTCACCGAGGCCTTATCATTGCTATCACGAGCTGCAGCAGGTTTGCGACGTGTATCGTCGAAGGGAAAGGGGAAGAGGGTTGGGGCAGGGCCGAGAATTGAATCCGACGCGCTGCGCTTCCGACTCCCATTGTGTCCTCTGCGCAGCAGTGTCTTACACAGATTCATTCAATACAAATCTACTCGCTCCAATGGTGATACACAACAATACAATTAATTGCAACCGCTCATGTCGAATCCGGGAGGCTCAAAAATAGTTGCATGGTGGAGGGCTTATGGATCAGCCAGAACTGTACAGTTTACAAAAAAACTTCCAGAACATGCAGCATGACGACAACGGTCTCTAAAGGTTGCAAGCAACGCCACATGCAGCCAGTGAGTGACGCCTATAGTTCAGCGGGATGGCAAATCATCAACAGGAGCTGCTTGGCCCTTGGGGTCAGTGTGGTACACGGAGGCAAGTAGAAATGATAGTGTGGCACAAGGCGAAACCTACAGGCATCCCCTTCAGTTCGACGCTTCGGAGTTAAGGTGCGACCAACTTGTCTCCGTCAACTGTCAGCATGCAGGCCCAAAAATAGACCCAATCCAGGCATTCCGTGTCATACGATGGACCATTTCGCCCCTCCACAGGGAATTTTAAGTGACTCAGAAGCCTCCGCTTTATAATTCTGCTTCAGGTCTACTCGAGACGAAGCAGGGTAGGCACAGACCGAGAACCAGAAAACGGGTACATGTCGCCGCTGGCACGGCTGCTCATGCTCCCAGCTGAGTTGATTATACTACCTACAACCCCTGAAAATCCGATGCTAGTATGGGAAACCGTGCCGACATGGCCTTGTTGCTGCCTTGGGCGGGATCGTATCTATGCCTCCCCTAGTCTTGGCAAACCAACCTCTTTTATAAACAAAAGAGGCTCTGGATAAAAATGAGTCAATCATGGCTCAGTGCTCCTCAGCCTCGGTCTCCTGATTGGAACCCTCTTCCGCCTCCTCCGCCTCCTCATCCTCTTCGTCCTCTTCAGGAATCGGCTCGATCTCCTCTTTCTGAGCATCCAGAACCTGCTGCATCTCTGCGTTTGAGGACTGTCCCCTCTCTGCTTGTAGCTGCTGGACCTTGGTGCTCGTCATTTCAAATACATACTGGCCCAGGTGCTCCACACCCTCCATGATTGCCTCGCCAGCCACCGTCTCGTTTGTATCCTCGGATAATTTACGCTGAGATGGCCAAAGTTCACCCGTTACCAAGGTCAGCTTGTCTGGCCGCTTGAGGAGCTGCTCAAAAGCTTCGCGGAGCTCAAAGCAGCCCTCGAAGATTTCGCGCCGGCCCAGAATGTACAGGCCAAGCTTTGCTCGCGAGAGAGCCACCGTGAGCCGGCGGATGTCGCGGAGGTAGCCAACCTTCGAGGTCCTTGTGAGTGATAGAATGATGTCTGTGCAGCTTGTTAGCAGCTAGTATATAATGATTGGGGATGTCAGTACGATAGGCACTCACAATCATTCTGCTCGCCCTGGTACTTGTCGACCGTAGTCACAATCTTGGGCAGACCAAAAATGGGATTTCGGGCACATCGATGGCCAAGAACATCTCTGATCAGTGCCCGCTGACCAGCGTAAGTGGTAAGGATACTGATCTTGGAGGCAGGATACCCGAGCAGGCGCATGTATTGGTAGATTGCCACGGCGTACTCGGCTTCCCCCAGATTTTGAATGAAGTGAGGCGTGGGCTCGACTTCGCCCTTGCCCTTGTAGTCCGGCACATTGATGAATTGGTAGTCGTATTTGAACCCAGCATTGGCGACAAGATACTCCTCTGCGCTCTCGACATGGGGCAGGTTGCCCAAGTTGTTGTACCGCCATTGGTAGAGTTTGGCGATTGATGGGCGAGCCCGACCCTGTTGGTCGAGTGTGATAGCTGGTACTCCCAAACGAATGAGGCGAGAAAATAAGGACTGCTCCAAATTTGCGAAGTCACGGAATGCAAGATTCTGGACGACGGGGGAGTTTTGAAAGTGGTCACCACAGAGCACGACCCGCTGCAAGGGCATCTGTCCATCTTTAGGCTTCTGCATAGCTAGCGGAATGAAGTTCTCAATCTCTGTGATCTGGGCAGCTTCCTCCATTACGACATTGTCGTAGTGGAATCCGAGTTGGGCAATCTCTCCGCGCCTCATCGCGGCGTGCGTGGAAGTCATTGCGACTATGCGTGCCTCGTTCGTGAGCAGGTAGTTCGCCTTTTCCCGGTCGCGTCGCAAGATCTCGAAAGGAAGAGCATCGGCAAGCTCGGAGAATATCTTAGAAATGTGTCGATAACAGCCATTGGCAATGTTCATGACCAGCTCACGGTCTGCCTCGGGTGGGAATAGGGGTTGGGGGGCATTAGAGAAGTAATAGTGGAAAGGGAATGCTGCCACAATGTCCGCCGCTGAGGTATCCTCAGATGTGGCTAATTCGGAGAATTTGGACCACGCAGGCTGGATATAGACAGAGTTGAAGTAACCCGCTGTCTCCGAAGAATTGCCATGTGCTCCTGGGGCCCCAATACTGGCAGCTAGACGAGTCACTTCCTGAAGATACCCATCGCGGTTCTCGAGGAAGGACTCAACTCGCCCATGTTTGCTGAAGTTGCCCTCTGTGCCTAGATCTTCTTCCCCGTGGCCCAGACGAAGCAAGTGACGTTCATCGATGTCAAGAGCCACTATTTTTGCGAATAATTGATTCAAGGCCTGGTTGCTGTGTGCTATCAGCAGTGTTCGCTGCTCGGGGAAATTGTGGTAGATATTGTTGATGATTTGAGTTGCAACGTCGGTCTTGCCGGTTCCTGGTGGCCCAACCACTACGGTAAGTCCAGGTTGCGTTCCGGACAAGATACCCTCGATTTGAGCAGGAGTGAAGCGCACGGCGTTCAACTTCGGAGCATCGACTGGGTACGGTCCGTTGTTTGGAGGATTATATGTCGAGACCTTGACAGTTTCGACATCAGCTATCAGGGCGGGTTCCGCATCTCTCCGCCTCTTTTTGGATGGCTTAGATGGCGGCCGCTCTGCAGGTCGCTCCGCAGTCTCCAGAACGTAAGGTGGCCCGAAGCTACCAGTAACATCATCACCGGGCTCGATGATCTTGCCAGGCATGCTCTCTATCAGGTGTTGCCAGTCGAGAAATGTATCACGATAATCAACCGTTTTGAGACGGTTTGGCAGCTGTTTATACGATGCGCCTGCCGGGTCGCCGTATCCAAGGAAGACTTCATGCAGCCATGATGCCAAAGGAACCTCTGACAAAGTCAGGTTCTTGATCGACTCCAGTACAGGCTTGAAATTATTTTCTCTGCCGCTCCTGCGCATGACGAGATTGATGCTCTCATACACGTCAGGCTTGCCAGCGGACACCCTTTGCTGGTCGATTTTATACATTTTGGCATCCAGCTTGAGCTGGAATTTTCTCACCGGGCTCCGCGAATGGCCATCAAAGTATGCGGAAGAATCTCTGATGGCACGGCCCTTGTCATCTAGGATCTGTATGATTTCGCCACATCGTACAGACCGAAGACCCAGCTTTTCGGTCTCCGTCGCTTGAAGCGACGTCTTTTTTGATTTTGGGGCTTCAACCGCCAGGAGAAACACGACATCGTCTGGTCGCAATGCCTCCCATTCACGACGGACGTTGTCAGCGAGGCGACGGACATCGATGACTATTTCCGCACGCACCATGGCAGGCTTATCGTCGCCCACCAGTGCGGGCATGACTTCTAGAATCGACGGTTTCGAAATCGAAAGAGCCATCTTGGAGAATCCCGGGAATGCTACCTCGCCGGTCCTCCCAGTCTCCGGCTTCAGCCTCCGCAGGACATCTTCAATGTCTCGCCGTATGCCATAGAACGACTCACACCTGTAGAGAACGAATGACCTCCAAAGAAAGTCCCCCACAGACAAGTACTGCAAGTTGAGCTTTGGTATCGCTAATGGGTGTGATCCATCGTAGGAGTCAGTCCTAAGCAGGCTCTGTTCGAACAAGGTGTCTTCGGTCGGCAAGAGACTCATATCCCGGACGATTTCCTGGAACGTTTTCCGCCTCTCAAAGGTAGAAGACAACACTTCAAGCAAGAATTTGCGATCGACAGTCAACCCCGTTGATTCTGGGTAAGCCGTCCGCAGATCGAGCAGGGCTGACAGTTGAAGTAATTCCTCATCGGTGAGGGGCGCAAGGAGATTTTCGAGCTCTCTCCTGTCGTCAATCGCAGCATAGTTCGAGAGGGCAAGAACAGTCAACTTTTCTTTGAAATGTTTCAGGGCAGTCCTCTGCAATTTTGCAAGTCTTGCGCAATGCCGTTCATACGCCTGAGTCTTGCCTTGCTGAGCCCCTGTCTGGTCGTCGATTGTGAAATGTGTGTAATGAGAGAGTAGGGCAATGAGATCACGTAGGAGCCCATTCTCCTCGTCGTTGAAGGTAGGCGACAAGGCGGCCGCTGGAAGGATGTGCAGGTCTTGCAGCAGGTAATTGACGTACCGCCGGGTCGGCAGTTGGCTCTGGAGATCGGAGAGAAATTCGGCGAATCGCTCACAGTACACAACGTCATCTTTTGAGACGTGCTCGGAGTAGAGAAGGCCTAAGAAGTCGAGGGCAAGGGTGTATAACCAAGACCTGTCGAAACGTAACCGAGCCTTGGTTGGCTCGTCCGCGGAGTCATATCTCTTCGCCGACGCCCTCCAAGCTTTGCGCAATTGGTTATGCTCGGTCAATTTCTCATCCCTTTTCTTCTCCGTCGACAAATTGTGCCACATGGATATCGATACCAGAGGTGCACACTCCTTTCGCACGATCGCATAGTCCAAGCTCTGGAAGGCGTGAATCACGAAGGATAGAATGTGAGTTCGGACAACGACTGATAGCGAGCGATCCAGGCTCATGGAGAGTATGCGCCGGAACAAGGCCGAGAAATCGTCCGGACGTTCTTCGAAGATGCCTGCAGAGCCATGTCAGCACGACTGAGATATGACCACTGTCATCCTTGGCCAGCCCTGCACTTACCCCATGTCTGTAGGTGCTCCCGTCGTTTCGCATTGGTGATCAGCACAATAAGGAGGACGTGATGGTTCGAGGACGCTTCGCTATATCCGGGCCAGAGATAACTGTAGAGTGGCGTCAGCATCTCGACGACAATTGAAATATTCGCGAAACCTTACCTTTCCAAGACCTGTAAACTCTCCAGCTCCACGAGTGCTGCCGATGGGAACTTCTCTTTCTCCAGAGGATCCCATATATCCTGCTTCAAAACATCGTTCTTGACCTTCACTTTCGTAGTCCTCTTGGAGGCCTTCAGCCAGTGTTGCTTCGCGACTCGCGCAAACTCGGACCCTTCCTCTGTGACCGCCTCCACGGCCTTTGGGGCCGCCGCCTGCGTGGTTTTCGCGGTGCTCTTCCTCTGTCTCTTTGCTGGGGGCATGGTGACGGGTATTGGGCGACGAGACCGTCACTGCGTCGCGTTGCTGTTGAAGTAGACGCGCCCAGGCACGTTGGGAAATTTTGTCACAGTAACCGGCTGCTGCAGCGCGGCAACGGAAAGCTTCAGCCTTGCGTCACTAGTGGACCCATCCCGCGCGCGCTAAGAAGCTCGGGCCATGAACGGCGATCCCTGTCCAACATGCAGGCGACCGGCGACCTGAGCTGGACTGAGCTGCCCCATCAAGCCGGAAGGAGGAAATCCATTGTTGCGCGACCTGCGATTGGCGATCCTCAACCTTACTACACCCTCGACAAAGACAACCTCAGACTCCCGTAAACTGACGGTTGCTCTTCATTCCAACCACCACGCTTCGCATTAGTCTTCGGCTCCTCCCAAACATTCAATAGACCGTCCAGTATCAAGGCGGCAATCCTGTAGTGTCGGTCGCGCTGCCGCGGCGCACTCATCTGCCAGCCTATCCTCCGCGTCTACTGCCCAACAGCTCTTGCAAGATGCCTTCGCTCGAAGTTGACGACTATGGTGTCACACCTGTTACCACATTTGTCAGCTTTTTCGAGGAAGCTCTGGACGCCGCGAGCGCGATCAAACCGACAGCTGCGATCGATCCTCCTCTCGAAGAAGCCGACCTCGAAGGTGTCCTGAGCCGGCTGCCCGAAACGCCTCATGCCAACGAATCACAAGACACACGCCAGCGGAAACATCACAGATTTGCCGTCATTGAGACTGCAGCCCGTGGCATCCTCAGTAATCTCATCGTGCGTCACCCATCTGCAATGCTGCACAAGAATCAGGTCAACTGATCTTCTTCAGGCCCAGGTCCCCATCGATTCAAACGACTTTGTCAGAATATGGAACCTTTTCGACATACTACAATGCCTCTCCGATCGGGGCCAATGCGACCCAGCTCTACTCGTGTGGCTCCTTGAAGACCTCCTCGACAGCCAGACCATTCCGGGTTGTCGAAAGATTTTCGACTACCTCGAGTCACGGAGGCAACGCATCATCTCCAGAAACTTCGCCGAGAAGAAGCTCATAATACTGAGAAGCTGTAACGAGCTTCTGCGCCGACTTTCACGCGCTGAAGACACGTCTTTCTCGGGCCGCGTCTTCATTTTCCTCTTCCAAAGCTTCCCTCTTGGTGATAAGAGCTCGGTTAACCTCAGGGGTGAATACCATACTCAAAATGTCACAATCTATGATCAAGAAGCTTCCAAAGCCGATCATGCTGAGGACAAGATGGACGTCGACTCCGAGACTACTCCTGCCAAAGATGGGGAGCGGCCAGTGCCGAGCAAGGCCGTCTCTTTCAGTGACAAGAAAGAAGCAGCACTGGAGAAGCCTCTAGATGCCGACGCACTCTATCCGGTATTTTGGTCTCTGCAAGAGAGCTTCAATCAGCCTAAGAAGCTCTTTTCGCCACCCCACTTCAGCCAGTTCAAGACCTCGCTACAGGCTAGCATGGCGGCATTCAAAGCAAGACCAGTACAGCAAGAGCCGAAATCTTCGAAACAAGCCGAGGATAGTAAGCGAGGGCTGAAGAGGAAGCGGAGCTCTGATGTCGATACCATCGTTGATACTTTTAATCCAAAGTACTTGACAAGTCGTGATCTGTTCGAGCTCGAGGTAAGAAGCACGGAAAGTTACCACTGCCACTCTTTTACTGACTCACAACGCAGATCGGCGATCTATCACTGAGGAGATACGTTCTGTTCCAGGCACTCATCATCATGGACTTCCTGCTGTCGCTAGCCCCAAAAGCCAAGGAAGAGTTGTCATCAATACCGCAAGTCAACAAATCTGTGGCTTACTTGGATCAAACCCTCAGCGAGGAGGACATCAAATGGGCAACATCAATGAAGTCGGACATATCCAAGTATCTTCTGAGCACCACGCCTGATGGCCCCTTCTTCCTGAGACTCGTCGAAACGGTACTCATCCGAGACAAGAACTGGGTCAGGTGGAAGATCGAAAACTGCCCGCCAATCGAGCGACCAGCTGTCACGCCTCAGGAGTGGGCCGAGACCATGAGCAACGCAAAGTCTCTCTCGACAAACAAGAGACTGCGACGGGAGGCTATGGGTTCGCTGTCGCTCGACTTCCTGAACGACGAACAGGACGCAAACGCAGTGGAGAAGCTCAAAGACCCCGAAAGATACCAGCTTCCGGAGCTCAAGAGCTTCAAGCGGAAGATCCAGGAGGACGACCTCGAGATCGAGATGCCACTTTCCAACGACTCAAAGGCGGCCGCCGTCGAGGGCAAAGCAAGCAAGACTTGGAGGGCCTTGCGGATTGCGAGCAGGTCAAAGCTGGCGCTGTTCGATCAGATCGAGTCGTACGAGGATATCAATATCCTCTTCGAGGAGAAGAAACCGGAAGAGGAGGCTCATGAGAATGGAGAGAGTGGGGAGAATGGGGACGTCGGGGATAATGATCAGACCATGGATGAGGTCAAGGAACAAGAGTCTGAGCCTGCTCTAGAGAATGGCAACAGTGAAGCTGCGGCTGTGACGGCAGAAGTGGTGTCGACAGAGGCTTGAATAGAGGACGAAAAGAAGTCAGCAGCTGGAGCGAGGCTGCGAGCTGGATCAAGTGGTCAAATCTGGTCCGTCCTCGTACATGATACCCAGGTAATTCGAGAAGTACGACGGTTCGATGCGGATAAACCGAAACAAAATCGTTACCTCCAACCGTTCACCCTATTGCAAGCTTCGTGTGTGTGTGTAAGAGGCATTGTTGTGTCCTAACTCGTAGCGGTCCCCAGCGCGTGAGGCGTGGTTTACCTTTTATGTGGTTACTGTGGCAGTCTCCGAATCTGTTTAGGGTTCCGGTTGGCAAGCGCTAGCTTCGAGTAGGGTGGACTTCTTCTAACCGTCCCACCCTTCGACTGACTCAACTTTTTATGTCCGTGTATCTGGTGTCACAGGTATGCTTCTTAAAGGCTCGAATTCTACTGTTGTACTGATAAGTGTCCGTTCTTTTCAATTTTCTATGACTCCTACTAGAACAAGAAGCTACATTTTCTCGTCTTATTCTTCTAGTTTCTTATTTTCAAGTAAATCCCGTGTTCTCTTTCACCCTTTGATGTGACATGGTATAGTGATGTGTTGTTTATAACACTTGCTGCAATCAAGGTGACTGCCTAATATCTATTTGTAGGTGAATATACACAACTTGGTATCACAAAGACAGGTACAAGAAAAGTTCCGTGCAGAAAAAAAAATCCAAATGCCCATCCACATATGCCTCAGAGGGAAAGCGCCCTCACATGACACAACAAAAACGCTCTGGAGGCTCCCTGATCTTGGTGTCAGCATGGAATGAATCCAGAAGTGCGTAGCGAAAGGATAAACTGTCCACGAAACCATAACTCACGGTTCGCTCCAGTTAATGATCCACCGACAACATATCTTCATCCGCTGCCGGACAGAGGTGGTGTCCAACATTTCGAGCTTCTGCTCCTCCGCGATCGGAAAAACGCTTGCAAACCACCATGGAAATACCGCGGGGTCGCTAGGGCAATCGCCAAATACCGCTAGGATGCGGGAATTGAGCCATCTTGGGTTTGTGGCGGCCATCTGTGTTATGGACCGACTGGCAAACCTCATCAAGGCTTTTGTCTTCATCCAATTGATGTCGCTGCTGGACGGTTCCGCGGGCTCGGAATCTCTTCCCTCTGGTTTCAGCCTGAAGTCCGCAGCCTCCCGCATTTCCTCCTCATACAAGCTGACATCAGAAAAGTCCTCCACCTCCGCAACAGCATATCCGTCTCGGTGGAAGGCTTGGCGCTTGACCCGGAAGCGCGAGATGCCTTTGGTTTCTAACAAGCTTCGTCCGTCAGAGAGGAACGTCGCCGCCTCGACTCTAAGGTGCGTGCCAATTGTCGTACTCCGGTCAAACAGCATACCAAACTGTTTGCCTCCGTGGCCGCCTGCCCATGTTCTCATGATCATTGCCCGATATCTCTGCTCGAAGACGTGCAAAAAGGTTGGCATCCCTGGGAACGATACAGCGCACACAAAGACTGGCACGTCCAGGCCTGAATTGTCGTAGACAGGATACGGAGACTCCCCACGAACGATTGGTTTTCTCTGTTCAAGCTCGTCCCCCCAGAAATGGGTTGTCAGGCGCAGTAGAAATCCATTTGGAGGGAAGAGACGGCTGTCCAGATATGGTAAAGCGATGTCGCCGCGACACGCTGGACAGTGTGGGCCGATTTGGGGTTGCTCGAGCGCCCGTTTGATACAATGTCGGCAAAATGTGTGACCACAAGGTGTGGTCCATGGTTCGTACAGCAGCTGGTAGCAGATGCCACAGTCCATTTGACTGCGCAACAGACGGTCCATCTTGCGGATATCCAGTATCAGGTCGTCGTCTTCTGGGTTGGGGCCTGCTGCCTCCTCCGCGTCTGTAATACGGCCGAGGCTGAGCATCTCGAAAGCTTCGACCAGCTTCGCCGACCTGGTTGGACCGGCCAGGACGAGCTTGGCAGTGTAGAGAACATCCGCAGTGAGTCTATCTGACCAACACGCTTCTATAGTATGCCCTTCTAGACAACACGGGCACCTGAACTCGTGCCGCCGCTCTGCCGTACCAGGCCATAATGTCTCGTCAATGTCGGGTCTGGGCTCGAGCGGAGGCAGGCAGGCTCTGCAGATGCAATTCCCGCAAGGTAGCTCGATGGGATTGTCCAGCAGGCGCTTGCACTTTGGGCACTGGAATACCCGTGCGGTGGCCCAGAGACCCTTCAACTCGGCCTCAGAAGCCAGCGAGGAATGGTCGTCGTCGTCGTCGCTGGCCGGAAGCGGGACATCAAAAGGCGATTGCTGCAGTGCCGTGAGAGCCTCGGACTGCCCGGGTGTAGTCATAAGGACGGACTTGCTCGACTTTGTTGTAGCCTGGCCGGCCTTGACGAGGTCAGTGAAGGAAAACAGCTTTGGGAACCAGGAGACTTTTACCAGGTATTTTCCGGGTCACTCCTTCTAGACAAATGGGAGCAGCAGAAATTCGCAGAGACGCTAGACAAAATAAGGTCGGAATATGGCCGGGGAAATTGTTGGGTACAGTTTTGTCGCTGGGGGTGTACAAATTTAAGGTGGATAGTCGAAGGGCCTCTTCAGTTCCCATAATGGAGCGGCTGGCCTCTGTGTGCTTGGTGTCAAACTGTCGTCGTCATTTCAAAAGGAGAGAAGCTAACAAGTGAGAGCGAGAGTCATGCCGGTTCTCTCTCTCTCTGTGTGTATGTGTCTGTCTGTCTGTCTGTCTCTCTCTCTCTCTGTGTTCGCCCTGTCTCTCTCAAGAGCCTTCTTGGTGACGGACAAGATCGTAGGTTGCTTGCAGTCGACAGAGCAGGCTGGCTGAAGGAGTGCAGTCAGAGAACAAGACGCGCAGATGGCAGGCAGGAGCCAGTAAGATAAGAGGCGAAGGCGGGTGGGCTAGAGCTAGAGGAACAAAAGGAAAGAAGCCATCGCGGTGTGCTCCAGCTATACGTGTCAATGACTGGTGGTGGCGTGTGGCAGGACCATTTTACGACGGAGACAGAAAGAATATCAGGGTCCGCATAGGGCGTTCAGGGGACGGGGTCGGGGTCGGGAACAGGTGCTAAGGAAGATGCAATCATCATCGATGCAGCAGTTTTTTGTCGTGTACGAGGACGTCCGCAGCGGGAGGCGGGCAGGACCTCAGCAGGTGGGCAGGATTGGTAGCACGAAGGGGGGGAAGCCGACGTCACACACCCCAACTGACAGCTTGGATTACCCACAGGGGACGGAGGTACATGCAGATACTCGCCCGAGCCGGAGACAAAGACCCCCCTGTACTGCGCCGAGGGTCCGGACAGGGGCCCCTCTGCCGAGCCTTGGGATGGCCTGGAAAGAAGCACAAGTGGGTACTGGCTCGTCTCGCCAGTCCCTGTTGTTGTCGGCTAGACGCCATACCGTAGTAGATGTAGGACCACGGGGGCAGGCAAAGTAGGCAAAGCAGGCCAAGGCAGCAAGCAGCAATAACAACAACAGCAGCAGCAGGCAGGGCAGGGCAGACAAAGGCATGACAGTTCTCGCAGCGGGTGCATCTGCAGCGAAGTCTATCCAGTCGTCCATGATTCATCAGAGAGGTGTTGGCATCTGTCCCGAGCGATTGGATCCGGCCGTTGCTGGTTCGTTACCCGCGGGCTGTTGTCCACTCGGGAAGCTTTGAGGCTCGAGACCACCACTTTTCCTTCTGGTGTACTGCTTAGTACTGTCGCTGAGAGGGGTGTGTGTGCGTGCGTGTGTGTCTCTGTCTGTGCTACTCCCTACATGCCAGGCCATGCCCACATGCCATAGTATAGCCAGCAGACAATAGTCTCCGGGCACCCAGGAGCCGCAGCTCCAGCTCTCGGGGCCGCCAATCTGATAACGGCAACGCGGATTCCCAAGGTTTCATTGGCATCGAGATCAGGGTCCAGATAGGCGTCGGGCAGTCGCCCCTGGCGGCCATGGCCCGCAGCACAAGATACCTCGAGGTACCTGGCCGTGGATGAGCACCCCCGGCCCCTCGCACTCGCATATCGCGCCCTACTGCGTCCTACTACGTAGCTCCTACCAGGCAGACCAGGTCCAGCCAGCTGGTGCATTATTGTTCACCACCTACATTCGCGCTTCTGGACTCTGCGAAGCGGCCGTTGCGGCGCCAGCACAATGGGGACATCCCTGCCAAATCCTGATCTCTGCCGCTGTCAACGATCCTCAGCCCACGCCTCTTCCCGCCTTGATCGAGCTCGATCGACCGATTTCATTGGCGACCGCCCCTCGGCCTTGGTCACATGACGCCCTCGTGCCCATCGCTCACCCAGTCACGTACGGACAACTGCGTAACGACTGCGTCCTCACCTTGCTCGCTCGTTCGCTCACCCGGCAGCCCGGCAGCCCGGCAGCCCGGCCGATTGAGATCGTCACGACCCGACCGGATGGGCCACTACTGCGTCAAGCTCACACAGCACAGTGGCAAACGACGAGGAAAGGTAAGGTCAACATGGCACAGGACGGCGAACGGCCAATACGCAATCTGTTCCTGCCTGCCTGCCTGCCTGCCTGCCAGACTCTGTCTGTGCACGCGTCTAGACGCCAGAGACTACTGTGCTGTACCTGACAGCATCGTGGCTTGCGTGCGACTCTGGATCTCAGCCGCCCTGCCTGCAGCCTGCTCGCCCTGACCCGACCAGTGGAGCTCCAGCCCCGTTCTTGCATGACGGTCGGCCAGGTTCAGCCCACCCGTCGGAAGCACTCTCGTCCACGGATGTGCGCTAACGGAGCAGAGGCCACCACCTCGCAACATTCCGAGCAAACCGGGCAGATCAATGCGAGCCTTCTGCCGCCGTGGTTCATGCTCTCTGCAACAGCCTTGTTTCGGCGCATCTCCCAATCAAGTCCTCTCCAATGTCTCTCCGACAGCCATGACGGCATGCGACAGCCGCAGCCATGTGTACAGCCTGCCCCACTGCCTGCCGCCCGCAGTCAAACATGTCCATCAATAGCATGGTGAATAATCCTACCAAATGCTCCATACAGTAAAATGGAGTCCTCGCGTCCACCAGCTCTGAGGGAAAAGAATTGACAGTTCGGGGTGGCCGACTGCCATTTGCCATCTGCATGTTCTCGCCACAGCGCCGGCAGACGCAGCAAGGGACAAAAGAATCTTGGAATATTTCCACGAAGCTCAGCAGCCCACGGCACCCCAAGTGCACGAACCTGTCATTGCGGTCAGACTTACGAACTAACTTGGTTAAAGCGCTACAAAACCCGAGCCTGAGGTTGGCGACGGCGTTTTAGTCCGTCTAGAACCCAGTAGAAGACTTGGGTCAGTCCATTCGAATCTGGATCCATCCGCCAAGGCTAGAAAGGCTGCCAGCCTCACCTTGATCGATATCTTGTCAGTCTCTCGCCTGGGAGCCGACGCGTAATCTTCAGAGATATGTACATCTACGACGCTCAGACGAATGGCACGTTAGCCAACTAAACATTACGATCTAGCTCCATCAGTGTTTGTGTGATTGTGCCAACCTTCTCTACTTGCGGCTGCGCCGCTGACATGCCAGCGAGTCGTCCACATCTCTATTAGTCTCGTGCTCGCCGTGGAAATCGGTAGAGGTTAAATCTGCCACTTTCGACCAGCCCCTTTTTCCGTACGAATAAGTAACTAATCTGCCAGAACTTCACGTCGCTTCCGATACAAATTGTAGTAAAAACTTGGATGAGGCTCTGAACCTGGCACCGCGACCAGACTGACAATGCGACAGTCTCCCGATGAAGTCGGTAAAACAAGACAGGATCTCAATTGCAAGTCTTCTAAACGGCCGAGAATAGAGTTTCCGCCTCCCCGTGCTTGTAACTACGTAGCTCCACAAGTTGCGGCTCAAACTTTAAGCAAGTCAGTTCAGCATTCGAATTAGTATATCAGCCTTGGCACTCTGTCTGTATATGAAGGCCGCAAGCCTCTGAGAATACTCACCGTAAATCCCTCCACCGTCTCTCTACATTTCAGTGTCAGGCTAATACGATCTCAAAGGTCGGATTTACATAATGTGCATTGTACCACATGCCGGGACTCGTGGAAACCGTCCTTACGTCCCGTCTTGGTAGGGAGCCTTATAGGTGGTATGGGTGGGCATTATAGCCCGTCTTGTACATGTATGACCGCAGTCTGCAGCAGAAAGCAAAGCTATCTGCGCAACAAAGAGATAAAAACAATGGAAATGCGCAGGACCTAAACGATAGTTGAGAACATGCATCGCAACATCCCGCTTAACGCGATTGTTCCCTGCTGAATTGAGCTTAGATGACACGGCCTTGAAGATGCTTCAAGAATTTCTCTTGCCTCAAATCTTGCTACAGAACCAGTTCCAGGGAGAAGTGGACATCGAGACGTACTGCTTCGTCAGAACTGAATGCAAAAGAAGTTGTGTTTGTAAATGCTGCCTTGTCTGTACCTGAATTGGCACCTACGCAATTGTCTCAGACATTATTATCGTAACGCAGGTGAAAACATTAGGGACTTCAAATATCACCTACCCAATAAGAGAATTAGCATAAGATGTAAGTGCAGTTTAATTGTCAATCTTCTATCTGAGAGGTTACTATAAGCCTGCTGTTTTTTCACTGTTTTAGACAGCCACTTTAGAAGTGAATTTTAGCAAATTTCAATCATGAAAGTTTCCAAAAGATTTATGAGGTTCTTGCTAGCCAGTTTGAATTCATAGAAAAGCTGCCAGTGCACAGCGCCATGTAAGCACCAAAAGAACCATCGCACTGCAAGAGTGGAGGACTGTCAGACTGAGAAAAATCTAAAATAGAACTAGCGTCAAGACTCGAAGACGATACCAAGACTGCTCCTGTGTTACAATACGACGTTACTGAATCAAATCGCTTTCAGGGTCCTGTTGATCGAAATGGAAGTGAATCCACACTTTCTGGGCAGCCTTACCTTGAAGATTCATTTCAGAAGAGGTATGACGTGACCAAATACCATCGGGGTTGAAAGTTTTGCAAAAATCTCTTGCTACAAGTAAATGGAATGGAATTTGGTATTTCCATGACCTGGGCTGCGGAACCGCAAAAAATCAAGGTCTCAGGGCCATACATGACTCAACCAGAGGTCTACGGCAAGGCCCTTACGCGTCTGTTGGTCCTCCTCTTATTAGGGATGCATGAATTCTTCAGTGAACCCCACGGACTCCCACTTACCGAGACCAATACAGCCACATAGGGGTATTATCCCACGCTGGGATCTTCCATTAACAAAAAGATAGGAAATATTTGTCAGCGTCCAACTTGCAAATGTTCCCAAATAGCAGGGCCTTGCTGCTTGAAATATTGCCAATGCACAACCGCGTGGGTCGTGATGCAATTCCTGAGTAGCCATAGGTACTTAGTAGGTGCGAACATTCCGTGCAGGTTGTCGTCCCTGCTACAATACTGCTCAAGCAGTTGTTCTAATATTCTTGATATTATCAAGCCCGCTGTCCACAATTGTTCTCATCGAGGGATTATATATGTATATCACAAGACTTCCAACCCATTTTGAAGCTCTGGCAGCTATGCATATCTACTTGGAGAATCATTGACCGGGATGGAGGCAGTTTTGATATATTCGGGTTCACACTCACAAATGTTTGGGAAACAATTCCACTTATACGAAAGGGGTTTTGTGTGGGCCCATTGATCTGTCTCCTGCCTGTGCAGTAATATCCACCTTTTCGCCGCGGATGCGACCATCGACTACCGTCCGGAACGAATTCCCATGGCCCACAGCCCCGTACCAAGCCCTTCACCGAGTGGCACCGTAGATAAACCGCTGTGATTTTCTGTAAATAGTAGACTTGCAAGAGGACTAGCTATTCAATAGGAAGGCAGATCGCCTCTCGCACAAGGGTGCTACCCGAAAGGCCCACCGCCACAATCCGTGGTGATACATGCTACCTTCCCGAACCAGACAGAATTCGTTTATTGCTCAGCAATGGAGTTCTGGTACAGATGTGCGTGCTCTCATCGCTGGTCCGTGGGCTGGAAATCTGGGTATAAGTACGATGGCAAGGCGAGTAGGACATGGTGACGTTGAATCCTGAACTCCACGGCGCATTAGACAGTCTTTACTTGGCCTGCAATCACTCATTTATTTCATTGGCTTTGAATCTGAATCTGTTAGACTATTGCTCTATCATACCGACATCAAAGCCCATATACATTCAGCAGTGACCATGAAGTTCAACGCTTTTGCAGCCACCGGCCTCCTGGCCACAGCCGTCCTGGCCCACCCGAGGGCCTTGCCTCGCAGCGAGATCGCCAGACGTGGTACGATGTCTAAGCGTTGTGAGGCCAACGCGGCCAACTTCAACAAGAAACGCTACGACCAGCGCATATACAACAAGCGCGCTGAGGCCAAGCGCGCCGAGAACGCGACGTACACAATCACGACTGAAGCGCCGTACTGTAAGTATAAGCCTTCTCTCGCTACGCTTGCCCATTCGTCTGTTATGAAAATTGTCTAGAATTCATCCATTCGAGCTCCGTAGCAGGTGACTAACGCATACCAGATGATGTGATCCAGAACGATACTTGCGTCCTTGAGCCCGAGGTCACCTGGGGCCCTTATGTATACCCAAACTCGCAGACCTTGAGGCAGGATATGTCTGAGGGCCAGGCTGGTGTGCCGCTGACCCTCGACGTTGGTGTCTTGGATATGGCAACCTGCGAGCCCCTCGAGAACGTGTTGGTGGACTTTTGGCACTGCAATGCTACCGGAAGTTACTCGAGTTTCACAGCTCTGAGCCCAAACACGCCATTCTTGGAGCTGCTGCAGTCGCTCAACATTTCCTCAGATGACTGTACGTATAGGATATTTACTACTGAGGCTTCTTCCCCTTTTGGATATTCAGAAAGAATATCTTATCTTCTATACTCTGTGCTAGTGAACTGACATATCACAGACAACATTGGTGTGACTGATCTGCACACCGACGACACAACTTTCCTTCGAGGCATGTGGCCGACGGACGCGAACGGAATGATGGAGATGAAGACCGTCTTCCCGGGCTTCTACGTCGAGCGAGCCATTCACATCCACGTGCGGGTGTACAACAACTGGGTCCTCCGCGAGAACGGGACGCTGTCGTCGGGCGATATCGTCTCGGCCGGCCAGCTGTACTTTGACGAGGAGCTGGAGGAGCAGATAATGGCGCTGGACCCTTACGTGACGCACACCGAGATCAACCGCACAACGCATGAGACGGACAACATCTTCGCCGACTCGTTTGCTGGTGGCTACAACCCTGTTGTCTCAGTCGTCGCAGCTGACGGTGAGGATGTTACTAAGGGGATGAGTAAGTGATTCTTAAAAAGCCCGATTGCACTCCAAGTCATTCTCTTTATCGCAGGGGTTTCATCGTATAAGGGACTATGATTCGCTAACAAAATCACAGTCGGATACATCACTATTGGTGTCGATACTACAGCTATTACGACTCACAGCTTGGGTGGGCTGGACGAGCCGGTGGACGAGAATGGGCATGATATCTAAATGGGCGTTTTGGTAACGAGGGAGTATTGTGCTGGGAGGGGAAACAATAGACGAATTAATGCTTCATTCTGCGTATATGTTGTTCAGACTACAGTAGAATATCAATGCCTCAGGGGCACATGAGCTCAAAACTAAGACATCTGTGCCTGATCTAATCTGATATGACTTGCTCGCTTTGCCTTGTCTTGCCTTGCCTGCCTTGCCTGCCTTCGTACCTGGGCTGGACTACTAGTGCATGATGTCGGCCTGAATCACTCATCTAGTTATGCGACGAGGGATGGACTGAACTGGACCCTGAAGCAAGGTTGCCGTGGCTGCCGAAGGTGCGGCACGGGGGTGAAGAACGGACTGTTGGAACCAAAGGAACCAAGGAACCAAGCACGATTGACTCGGGCAGCTTCTAGCGCCGTGGGTCCCGGGACTCGCCCCAGCCGCTGGAATCCGGGGTGGGCAAATCAGAGACGGCTGTATCCGATCCTAGCGAGTCACATGCGAATTCAGAAAAAAAAAAACGGTACCATGTACGCAGTACGTCTGGACGGTCGCAGGACGGTGCTCCACAGATGATCGCCGGCCTACTGTAGCTCGCGTAAGCCAGCCAGCCAACTGGACCAGGCGATGGTTGCCCCGTTCTGCCCGTTTGGGCCCCCTGTCAGGCCTGTCTGACGCTGTGTGTGGGTTTTTCTTCTTGAGATCCCATCCATTGCCATGCATGCCAATTGCATACTGTACAGTCCTTGTACCATGCCATACCATGCCATACACGAACCAGAGATGGCATGTGAAAACCAGCCTGTTGTGCCCGCCTTGGACCTGACCTGCTGACTCCTGCACCTGCTCGTGTGTCTGGCTGTCTGGCTTCCTGGCTGGCTGACCGACCTGGTCGACTGACTGACTGCATACTTTCTGCCCACGGAGCATCTTGCTGCATAGTGCTCGGCGGGGCCTGCAGACGCACCACTGCACTGTAACCTGCGTGTGTATTCGTTTCGTGTTGTATCGGCACTTTGATCCCATCCGGTCATCGATCCATTCCCATTTCTCTCGCGTGTTTCCTCTCTTCGTCGTCTCGTCGTCGACTCGACTCGTCCCGACTCCCGACTCGACTCGACCCATCCTTCTCGTCTTATTCCCTGGTCCAAAATCCGGACCCACCCTCCTTCTCAAAGCTTCTTTTCAAATTGTTGAGCTCGACTGCAAATCCCACAAGCTGTCACTGGCTGGAGTCCTGAGGGAATGTTTAAGCATTCTTGCCCTGGATCCTCTTCAACAATTGCTACCCATCCTTCCCCGCGCCGGCCCTCCGACACCTCACACGCCCCAACCAGCATCGAATTTAGCTAGCATTGGCATTGGCATTACTACCAGCATTCCGACAGACACAAAATCAGCCCGACTAAGAGGTCGTGGACGGAGACGAGACTAGACAGGAAATCTAAGCCTCCTCCGGTCCAGATTTGAGACAGAATTTCAGGGTCCTGCCATACCACACGAATACGAGAAACTTTGACGCGCCCTCCGCCTTCCATCACAGCTGTTCCTCACGACTCCGCCGCCCACACCCTCTTGCCTACCCGTTGACCTCCCCAAGAGACATCCTCACCATGTCGGACGACGGCGGCCCACGTCTTTTCCGGCCCATCCCCCGCCGGCCTTTTGAGCTTGGGCTGATGAGCCCGACCCCTCCTGAAGACGACTCCGCACCGCCCAGTCCGACCACGAACGCGAACCAGAGCTTTCTCGACCCGCGAGCCTTCACCAACCCGGGGAACTCGATCAGCCGCGACGCGTCCTACAGCAACCTGACCAGCTCCACACTCGCCGGCATATACTCCCACAACATATCCGGCTACCCCGCCAGCGATACGGTCTACGGCTCAGAACCCCCTGATACGCCTTGGGGCACGGGCGCCGAGACGCCCGCTACTGCCGCGAGGGGTTCAGTCGACGAGAGCGTGTACAAGCTGCTCAAGGACAGGTCCTCCCTGCTGAAGAGGCGGAGGTCCTCTGCGCTGTCAGCCCGGTCAGGTCACGCGTTTCAGCAGAGCTCACCAACACAGACTGTGCTGTCGCTTGCTCTCCGGACGGCGTTCCTTTTCGTCCTGGGGCTGGGCTATGGGGCGATCCTGTCCCGGCTCTCGACGGAGCAGCAGTGGGCCTCGTTCCCAGTCGAGGGCATTATAAGACATCGATATGACTCCGCGTACCTCGCCTGTTGGGGCGTCTTTGGCGTGGCTCTGGGCAGCCTTTTGCCTTGGTTCGACGGGAAATGGGAGCAGGCATTCGAAAAGCCAGAAGACGAGGCAGAGGAAGATTTCAAAGAAGAGGAGGAGGAGCCAGGGACTGACTGGGCCCTCGTGGTTCGTGGGGTTGGTGCTTTCGTTGGTATTGTTTTCGCGATTGTGAGTCAGGCCTTTGAGATGTCACAACGCCCCCAGTAGTAAACTAACGCTTTCACAGAGAAAAGTTCCCTGGGCATCCACAATGCAGGTCTCCATGACCCTGGCCATGGTCAATCCATTTCTGTGGTACTTGATCGACCGGTCAAAATCCGGGTTCCTGCTCTCCGCCGCCGTGGCCTGGGCCGGCTCGATGGTCTTGATGGGGTTTGACCCTGACATCGTGCCCGCACCAGCTGGATTCTCCTCAGAATTCTTAAACCGGAACCATACGGGCAAGACTGGGGCCGAGCCACTGATGCTCGGCGGGCTGGCTACCCAGAAGACTATAGAGACCGGCATTTGGGTATTGAGTGTGCTGTTCTGCAGCTGCGTGTGCTTTGGGAACATCGGCAGGCGGCTTGCCTTGAATAGATCAGCAGCGGGTCGCGGTCGATGGGGCGGGCTGAAGTAGCCGCTCTCTGTTGTCCCTTTTGTGACCTCTCAGTCATTGGCTCTTGACAAGAGGCCGCGGTACCTGGATTGCCGGCTGTTCATATTTGTGATAGTTGAGTTCGACTAGACTTAAAAGTACAAATTGCAGTGTGGTCGCCAAAGACCGTTGAATTACGTTGACCTGCCATGTAGAGTACTCGCTAGCAGCTCCGAGTGAGAGGCCTAAATGAGACCTCATGCAGCGCTTCACTAATTCAAAGACGAAAACGGACGAGCCGCATCTGCGTCATTAGGATACGGCGGTCACGTTTTCACATTATTGGAAGAGACAGAGGTTCATATGCGGAGTCGGTACGGATGTGCACATGGGCTTTCATTGCTGGCTCACTCATCGTCACTATCTCCATCGTCCTCCTCTTCCTCCTGGAGCTCATCCTCGCTCTCCTCAACGCCTTCCGGCCGGGGTATCATGACAAATGCCTCCATGCAAGTGATCCTGTTCTGGGTGTCGTGGGTCCCAAGCAACTTTCCAGCCTGGGGCGCCTCCTTCCTGTCCTTGGCCTCCAGCTCCTCCCGCGTCAGCTCCCATATCCTCAGCTTGCCATCGCTGCTCGCAGACGCGATGAACCACACGCCTGGTGCATCATCTGATTGCACCACCTTGAAGTCCTTGACCCTCCCGGTGACGCCAGCGGCCTTGCCCCCGACTTGTGCGAGCAGCTTCGCCCGGGGCAGAGGCGCGGCCTTGCCTTCGGGGGCCTCTCCTTGCTCCAGGTCGCCCACTTTCGTCGAAAGGAACAGGATCCTGCCGTCTTCTGTCGACACAGCAAACACGGTGTCATCCGTGTCGGCTCCCAGCTTGACGTATCCAAACTCGTGTATCTTGGTCCTCGCGTCAGGCATGATCCTGCACCTGACCTTGCTGTCCATGCCAAAGACCAGCACGTCGCGGTCGAAGCCGACGGCGAACTCGTCCCCGGACTCGTCGGCGGAGCCCCACACGACCTTCCTCCCCTCGCCGGTGGAGTGCCTCCCCTCGCCGATCTCCTGCATGGTGGTCCTCCCGAAGTCGAGGACGCCGGCCTTCTTGCCGGTGACCAGGTTCCACAGGCGCATGCAGCGCTCGCCCTTGCTGACGCTGATCATGACCTTCATGCTGGGGTGGACGGCGAAGTCGTTGACGCCGCTCGGGGTGCCGCCCATGGGGGCGGTGTCGCCGCTGGGGCGGCCCTGGACGGCGGGCACGGGCGCCTTGATGGTGGACAGCAGGCTCCAGTCGCGCACCCTGGTGACGGCGATGGTGGAGTCCTCGGAGCTGGACAGCAGCTTGGAGCGGGTGGGGAAGACGACCTTGGTGACGGTGCTGGAGTGGTGCATCAGCGTGCCCAGCTCCCTGTTCTTGCTGTTCTCGAGGATGGGCCGCTTGGCGATGGTGGAGAGCAGCTCCTGGTCGGGGGAGGCCTTGGTGGACGGGGGGTGCGCGGACAGGTTGAAGACGTTGATGCGCTCGTCAGTGCTTCCGGTCGCGAGCATGACCTTCTGCGACTGGCCCGGCACGGGGGCGCTTGGGGGGGAGAGGGCGAGGCATCGGATGGCAGAGGTGTGAGCGTTGAAGAGGAAGGTGTCGGCGAAGGTTACGTGGGAGGGGCTTGAGGGGGGTGGGATGGTGGCTGTGACACCATGGAGGACACGGTCGTAGGAGCCCGCTATTATTTGCAACGTTATGGGTGAGTCGGTGCGTTTTGGGGTCGTGTTGTCGGCACTGGTATTGGCTTTGGCAGACTTGGATGTCCGCGTCTTCTTTGGCTGCTCGGTCTTTGGCTGCGAGGCGCCGTTGTTAGGCTTGACTTTCTTGGACTCCTGTGGCTTCTGAGCAGGCTCGCTCTCGGCCACTGCTTGGCGCTTCCTTTTCGCCATTTCTGTGGGTATCACGGAGGATATAGCAGTGGTTGGGGTCGAATTGGTTAGAGAGTGATCGCCCACACAGGAGGATATGTTGTTCGCAGGCTCAAAGATGGGAAGCAATCGCAGACTTTTTAGTGGGTCCATCTGCGCCCGGCAGGCAATGATGATCTTCACAAGCACAGGGTCCGACCTAAATGCCATAAATATATCCCTGGTATAGAGCACCGTGCTTGTAATATCGACTCAGTTGCCCAAGTGCACTCGAAATCGTCTACATTTTTTCTTTAAAAAAAGATCTACTCTATATCTGGAATCGAATACATGGTTGAGCTATCCGTGTGATGTGTTTTGTGATTGAAATTTCAGGTAATTAATTGATGCCTCTATCGTCTCTCAGACAGCAATCCGGGACGAGCTAACCATGGCTTAGCCACCCATCACGTTCCGTTGCGCAGCAATGACGATGCCCTGCTCTTCTCTGCGCTTCCCTGCCCTGCAGTATACGGAAATAATTTGACGGAAGTGCCTCCTGGGATCCTGCAATACCCTAGTCAATTGAGGGACAGCAGACAACCTCCTCCTATGCCAGATCCTCCAATGAGCAATGGTCCAAAGTCATCCCCTTTCGCGGGTGGGTCATGAACGCGCACGCCTCCTGAGATCTGGGGACCGCCTCCGGGGACGCGCAAACAAGTGGGCCGCGCCAGGGCTGCCATTCACGATAGCCACATGCCGAAACTTGCCCACCCGAGACGAACTGCACTGCAGCCATACACGGCCACGCCAAAGCTGACCAAACGAAACCAAACGGAACACCATGCTGCTCCATCTCGTCCCGCATCTGTCAGGCGGGACCGCCGACAAGCTTAGAACGGCTTTTCTATATAACAAGTCGTGATGGGACGCCTCGTTCTGATAATGGAAATGTTCACCATCTCCTTCACTCTCTAGCCACTCGACCCGGGAAGCAACCGCTTACTTTCACTTGACTGCTTTCATTCTTTCTTTCTACAGACATTCTTTCTTGAATTATCACGGTTTCAACCTTTAGGAATTCATCATGGTTGCCTTCTCCAAGTTTTCCGGCCTGGCCCTCGTCGCCAGCGCCATCGCCCACCCCGGCGAGAAGCACTCTCCCGAAAAGCTCAAGAGGGACATCGCCATCCGTGACGCCCATGCCCAGATAGGCGCCCGATCTCTTGCCCAATGCGGGAACTCCGCTGGCGCCCAGGCTCTCAAGAAGCGCTCCATCCAGCGCCGTGCCGAGACCGTCAAGGCACTTCGGGAGAAGCGTGGCATCAAGAAGACTCGTCGTGACCTGGCTGCGCTGGAGGACTGGGAGGCTGTCAACCACAACTACACGGGCGTTTCTACCAATGACATGTTCACTGCCATTGAGAACGTCTTTGATGCCGTATGCCTACCTTTATCTCTTCAGATATGGCTGTACTATTTTGAGCTGTTGCTGACAATGAAACCTTTGATAGAACACCTCTTGCGTCTTGGCGCCCGAGCTGACTGCCGGCCCTTACTACGTCGTTGGCGAATACATGCGGTCTAACATCAAGGAGACAGAGAACTCTGACGGCGTGGACATCTTCCTTGAGGTCCAATATGTCGATGTCTCTACTTGCAATGCTGTCCCCAACGTAGCAGTCGACGTCTGGAACTGCAACGCCACCGGTGTCTACTCTGGTGTGAGCGAGAGCTCCGGCCAGGCGGGCATCGACACCACCTTCTTGCGTGGTATTCAGCTTACCGATCACGATGGCGTCGTCCAGTTCGAGACCATCTTCCCGGGTCACTACACCGGTCGCGCTATCCACACCCACTTGCTCGCACACACCAACGCCACCGTCCAGAGCAACGGCACTATCAGCGTCTGGAACAAGGCTGTGTCGCACATTGGCCAGCTGTTCTGGCCTGAAGACCTGCGCCAAGAGATCGAGGCTCTCGAGCCGTATGCCTCCAACACAGTTGCGGTGACGACCAACGACGACGACATGTGGTATGTTTTATTGTTCCTTTCCAACCTCTCAGATATGTTTCTTTGTGCACGGGCAAATTATGCGAGGGTCATCTCACAGCGAGATCCTTGGTTCCAGCACTTGCCTACCATCATCTTCCAGCCAAAAGACATCCCACTGACAAAGAAACAGGGCTCCTCTCCAGGCGGACTCGTCCTACGACCCCTTCCCACAATTCGTTTACCTCGGCGACGACGTCTCCGACGGTCTGTTTGCATGGATCCAGATTGGTATCAACTCCACTGCCGACTACCAGAACGACGACTACTATGGTGTGGTGGGCTACCTTGCTGCCGACGGTGGCCACGCCTTCGAGGGTGGCTCTGGAATTGGTGGTGGCGGCTCCGCTCCTTCTGGTGCTGGGCCTTCTGGCTCTGTGCCTACCGGTGCTGCGCCCTCTGGCACTGCTGCTCCCTCTTCTTGATTTCCGTACACATTTCTATGACAGGTACACGAAACTTTTTGTACATAGACTTAGAATACCCATGTTGCTGAGGCGACAAATTCTCTATACGCGCAATTTGAATTGCTCTAGAGTGCATGTCTTTTGAACCTCTCCGACTAAGCCTTGACCTTATTCTTTTCTCTCTTTTTGTTGAACATATATTCTCAAAATGAAAGGCACTTGATATTTGCTCCATATCATCCGGATTGACAACCAACTCACTCCTGAGATCGAAAAGATTCAGATAAGAACGGGCGGGGTGTTGTTTTCTTCCGGAGAGTAGTTACTGCGCAATGAAGCACATGCTTTGAATTTGTGCTTGAGGGGGATACGCGTTGTTTCTCTGTATCTGGTATCATCCTGTTAAATCTGGAACGAGTCATGATAAATAGACTATTCTTTAATCTTGTTTGAGGAACCCCCCGGAAAAGAAATGACCAAGCATTCGGAGCCCCGTATTTGGCCAGAGACACCGCAAGAGGGAATTTACGTAATTCACTCTCCACTCATGATTGCTTTGTGGGAAAGTTATCGAGTGAATGTGAACTCCGATTTGGCAGGCTAGACGAGAACATAAGTCGAAGCTGTATGGAGAACAGTCTAGCATCTTAATTACATCTCGAGTAGTACCTTGAAAAATGTAAGCTAGCATACATAAGCGTATTGTTTCGTGACACAATCTTTCCTCCATTTGTCAAAGGTCTTGCTATTAATCATCTAGAGCATGAATCTTCCCATCTGGGAATCGCTTCCCCTTCATTCTTGATATTCTTTACCTAGGTCCTTATCAATACTTGATAAGCTTCAACTGTCAATCATCTACATTATTGCCCTTTGGAAATTTGGGGCCTTACAGTATATTCACGCAAAAGGAGGTATAGAAGAAGTTCGACGCACCAAAGATCGATGTTCAAATAAGCTTAGACCCAGCCCCTTGCACAAACTCTAATCCCATAGATAGCCCCGGTGCAATACTAGTACCAGGAAGAGCCTGGTATTCCATGAGATGCTTGAAACTTTAAGGTCTATGTGCTTTTGACGGCCTGTGCACTTTTGGAAGCTCGTCTTCATGTTCAGATGTCTCAAAAGCAAGCGAAACGCTGCTTTTTTTTCTTCCTGAGAAAGAGAGTCAAGAAACCACAACATTGGAGAGAAGAACTTCCACATTTGGCCAAAAGACGAGAAAAGCCTTGTTCTCAAGGGAAGGCAAACAAAGAATTGCTATTTCATGAAGCCAATTTCAGTCAGAACTTGTCGAAACTCGGCGAGGAATTGACCACTGGACTCGAGGAGGATTACAGCAACCACCGAAGACAAAGCCCGCAGCTCATCGACAGGCACGCTTTAGTGGACTGGCCGTTCCTACTCTGAGAGACGTGCTCATGGAGAGTTTTGACGACAAAGTGATATGACTTGATGTAACCAATCGATCCAAGACAATTTGATCAGCGGCACACCTTGGCTAATATGTTTGCAACATTCACCCTGGCTCTCATGGTAATATGAAAGATGACAAGCTTAATGAGACATGCAGTTTGTCGGCAGCATGCAACTGTCGATCAGTGAAAAGCCACGCAGGTACAGAGTGGGAGTTGCAGTACGATAAGCGGGATGCAAGGCTCCGCAGCTGCAGGATTATCAGTAGTCCTGCATAGGTCGGCCAATCGAGGCCCTGGTGCAACCTGATTATGGAGTTGTGGCAAGCCATCGACGGGGCCTTACGAGGGAAACGAAGCTTGGCGTCCGGGAAAACTACTCAAGGGAGACCGACTGTAGTCTTGGCGACGCGTTTTCATACCGCGTACAGAAGGTGTTACATCAGAAGACCTACCAATGCTCGTGCTCCGTTGGGACGTCGTGATAAGGCGCCATGATGAGTGAGGAGCATTGAAAGGGGCGTGGTCAGTCTTGTCACTAATATGATTTCCTACACACACATATATAGTCGAGCCCCTGAGCCGGGCACATTGCTTTTCGAAGGGCCACACGAGCACCCACGTCGTTCCCTCCATATCTGACCTTCAATCGCATTGATTCTCGTCCCGTGCTGCTCGCCATTGCCAATCATCACCGGAACGATGAGGTCGTCGATAGATCTTCTGGCACTTGTGTCAGCTGCCATACTCGTGCCGGCTCAGGGCTCGCCGTCTCCCATGAAGAGATATGGAAGTCCCGAGAATCTAGTAGACGATGTATGTCAAGCCTGGCTCGCGTGACTGCTGACCATGTTACTGAAATTCTGGCCCGTTATAGCAAGCTTTGCAGGATGCTGTCACGATCGAAGGTCTTCTTGGTCACGCCCAAGACCTTGAGGACATAGCATATGCGACGGAGGGTCGCAACCGTGTTGTTTCTAGCGAAGGGCACAACAACACCGTTAGCTACTTGGTTGAGCAGCTCGAAGCGCTCGACGGCTACTACAACGTCGAGCTGGACCCGTTCCAGTACACCTTGCAACAAGGACTGGCAAATTTCTCCGTTAATGGCGTTGCTTACGACTCCGCCGGTCTTGAGTATTCTGCCGAGATCAGTGTAGAGGGTCTACCTCTTGTCCCAGTAGCAAATCTAGGATGCAGTGCAGTAAGCTCTCCATCGACTTGAAACTTTTTGACAAGGTGCTGACGCCCCTCGCAGGCAGACTTCCCAGCGGAGGTCTCAGGCGCCATTGCACTAATCTCGAGAGGCACCTGCACTTTTGCCGACAAGTCTTATTTCGCTGCGCAGTCTGGCGCTCTGGCGGCAGTTATTTACAACAACGTAGAAGGACTTTTCGCATCTGGAACTCTTGGTGGTGAGAATGCCTCACTCGTCGCTACCGCGGCAGTGTCACGAGAGGATGGTCTTGCCCTCGTTGCGTCGTACAGCAACACCACTCTGGCAAGTGACCTGGACATTGTAACTGTTTACAACACTATCTACAGGTATGTCAAACCCATGGTGGCTGATATAACCTGGTAATGTAGCTGACACTGCCTCCAAAGTAACAATGTGATCGCAACCACTGCCAATACCAACTCCTCCGATATTCTCTTTCTGGGCGCACACTCCGACTCCGTTGAAGCTGGCCCGGGCATCAGTCAGTATAACCCTTCTCCCGCTACGTTTGCCTACCTGTCTTTTACTAGAATCTTTCAAAGTGCATCAATTCGGGCTCAGTAGCAGGTGACTAACAATTATAACAGACGACAATGGTAGTGGCTCCTCGGGGATTCTCGAAGTTGCCATTCAGTTGGCCAAGGGAGGTTGGAGCACTGTTCCCACCATTCGCTTTGGCTGGTGGACTGCCGAGGAGGAAGGCCTCCTTGGAGCAGAGTCCTATGTCGCCAAGGCATCAGCCGCGGAGCTTGCCCGCATCAGGCTGTATCTGAACTTCGACATGATAGCCTCGCCCAACTTCAAGTTAGGCATCTACGACGGGGATGGCAGTGAGTTTGGGCTGTCCGGACCGGCTGGCTCTGACCTCACGGAGGCATTGTTCGAAGATTGGTTCGAGAGCATTGGCCAGAATCATTCCGCTTCTGAGTTCAACGGCCGCAGTGACTACGGACCGTTCCTGGATGTGGGCATCCCGTCTGGTGGGTTGGACACAGGAGCGGACGATATCAAGACCGAAGAGGATGTTGAGAAGTTTGGTGGTACCGCCGGCATCCAGGCTGACCCTAACTACCACTCAGCTGCCGACAATGTTACCAATCTCTCATTAGAGGCTTTTGAGATCATGGGTAAGGGCATCGCGCATGCAGTGGCGTTCTATGGTGCCAATGGCTTTGCGGGATACCCAGAGAGGAACTCCACGGCAAGCTTGAAGAGCAGGGCCGCGGCTCAGGACAAGCCTAGACAGACCGATCTGCACCCACGGCGCCGCAAGTCCCAGTTCTAGTTGAGCTGGTTTAGGTCTTGTTGTGGCGTGGCTACGGATCAATATCAATATCAAGTCTGTCTTGCCTACACACCCCTGTGCCATTGTATTTAGTCCTATACTTTCTCGTAATGAGTATGAGATGCTTCAAAAGTCTAAAGAGCTTTGCGTTTCTCTGAAACTCCTTGGTGCCTGTAAATGAGTAACCCGGGAGTTGAATGTAGCTAGGTATAGCATTTCGAGCTGCGACCGTAACCATTGTTATTGGCTTGGTGATGTTGCTTAGTGGTAGTTGGCTGATCGTCCTTATCTTGTCACACTTTGTTGATATAAATCCGAATGTTGCGTCACACTTCTAAGCTTGAAATGTGCTTGGTTGAGTGCGTGGGGAAAGGCCTCATCGCTCATCAAATCTCAAACGACATTGAGCCGTATCCTGGCAAATAGGTACAACATGTTGCCAATCAATGTAGATTTGCCCAAGATCTGAGGATCGACAAATTACGTGCAGGAATTAGAGCGTGTCCCTTGGGTATCATCATCTGCAAAGTAGACAAGATCTACGGGTGAATTAGAGCTCGTAGCTCTCAGCTGGGAGCCAGCTGCTCCGAGGCCGTCAGAGTGCGTGCTGATAAGATAAGGATTTTTCTTTTGTAGGGAGTGACATCAACTGAGAGCGGCCATTGAGTCAACCGGCATCACATCCTGCGCCACCTACCGTGCTGGCCTCGCGCTCGTCTTTGGAATAAGATGGACGCCTAGCGCGACAGGCGATGTCGACTGTCTTGGTTCCGCGCATCATCTGCCAGAGAACACCCCTACGTTGTGCTTCAACACTACGGCGTCGCTCTCTACCGCGCAGCAGACCTGGCGCATTGGTCTCGCGTAAACCAACGATTCCGCCCAGCTGGTTCGGTCCCAACGTTCGCGTACTCGACTTGCCACCTGCATACTCCGAGACCCTTCAGCTCAAGCTCCACGGAAGACCCCACTGTCTGCTCCTACACAGGCGTCAAGGCAAAAACTCGTCGTCTGTAGGCCGTCTCGAAAATAGTCTCGACGATCCCCGCGGCAGCTTCCATCACCCGATGCTCAGCTGGGTTCAGATTGTGTGCGCGCCCACGGCGGACACGCCGGGGGCGTGCGTTCTGCTGCACTTTGACAATCGGCGGTACATATTTGGCCACATCGCTGAGGGCTCGCAGCGGGTGATGAACCAGCGGAAGGTCGGCCTCAGCAAGCTGGACGAGTTGTTCCTCACCGGGCCTGTGACATGGGGGACCACTGGCGGTCTCATGGGCATGATTCTGACCATCGCTGACGTTGTAGCTCTGCGATTGGCACCGAATGATAGTGCAAAGAAACAGAAGAAGAAAAAAGACCAAGGGCTATCCTTCATACCGAGCCTGAAAATACATGCAGCCGAAAACATAATGCAGGTGCTCGCCACCGCCCGAAAATTTATTTTCCGAAAAGGCTTGCCTTTGGAGCTTCATGAGTTAAGCCACCAGGCAGCACAGGAAAGAGCGGAGCAGAGAGCCCCGGATTTCGAAGACGCCAACGTCAGGGTCTGGTCTGTGTCTGTGAAACCAGAAGGGCAGCCCAAGTCGCAGGGCCGTAAGAGAAGCCACGACGATATGCTTGCAGACGGCAACGGCCAGGCGAGTGGTCAAAAACTAGACGACCAGCAGCTGGAGACAAATCGCCAGATCGTCAAGTCCGTCGTCGACCACATGTTCGACTCAGACTGGGAACTTGACGCCCTCGTCGAGACGACATTGCACAAAGTCAAGCTTCCGGCCAAAATCTTTGTCAAGGGCCCAGATGGCGAGATGACTAGTTACAAGGGCCCCATGCCGGGAGACGCTCGCCCTGTTCCAGACATACCGGTTTTTACGCGTACTCCATGGCCAGCAACCAGAATAACACAATTACCCCCTACATCACCTTCGAAACAGTCCCTGTCCTACATTGTCCTTGAGCAACCACGAAGGGGAAAGTTCAAAGTACAAGAAGCTTTAAGACTCGGGGTGGCCAAGCATGATTTTAAGAAGCTCACCGCCGGAGAGACAGTCAAGGGCGCAGATGGAGTAGACGTGACTCCAGAGATGTGTGTCGAGGAAACCATCCAAGGTCGTGGCTTTGCTGTGATTGACCTGCCTGACCTATCCTACGTAGAGCCATTCTTGGCTCGGCCGGAGTGGACCACAGAGTCGCTTGTCAAGACTATTGATGTCATCTACTGGATACTAGGGCCCAAAGTCGTCCAAGACCAACGGATACAAGAATTCATGAAGAGTCGCCAGCAAGTTAGGCATAGTGTCTTCTCGCCGGATGTCAGTCCTAATTACGTTTCCATGGAATCTGCAGCAGGCAACATAATCAAGTCGCACCAAATAGATCCCGATCGATTTCCTCTACCGGTCTACAGCAATCAGAATCCAGGGGAACATTCAGATGTCTTTGTGGCAGCACGACCAGGTGCCAAGGTGCAACTGGCGCCCCGGGTCATTTTCCAGGACGAAGAGACTCTGCCACCAATGGATACGGTAGGCCCTGCGCGGAGTATGGACAAACAGGTACAAGATCTGGCAGATCAAGCCAGAACGAAACTTTTCGACCCCGAATTCCTGGACGAGATCGAGAAGACGGAGCAGGATATTCCAAACCGCGACGCGGAGATCATCCCGTTAGGTACAGGCTCCGCACTCCCTTCTAAATACCGTAATGTCTCCGCAACCATTGTACGAGTGCCCGGCTACGGCAGTTATCTCTTTGACTGCGGCGAAAACACACTCGGCCAGCTCCGCCGCATGTACGGCTATGACGGTACGGATGAGATCCTCCGCGACCTGAAAGTTATTTGGATCAGCCACCTGCACGCCGACCACCACCTAGGCACCGCGAGCTTCATCAAGGCCTGGAAGGACGCCACTGCCTCCGTCCAAAGCCGGCTGGCTGTCGCATCTCACATCAACATGCTCGACTGGCTGCGCGAGTACGCCGACATCGAGGACTACGGCTTCGATCGATTGCGACTGATCGAGATCAGGGGCTACGGTAAGGCCGGAGCCAAGCAGAACTCTTTCATCTGCAACGAGAAACTCGCGCGTGAGATGGGCATCACACAGATCGACGCTGTACGCGTGGATCACTGCTTCGGCGCACTGGCGTGCGTATTTACATGGCCGTCAGGCTTAAAGATCGCGTACAGCGGTGACTGCCGGCCGTCGTCCGAGTTTGCCGAACTTGCGAGGGACTGCACTTTGCTGATTCACGAGTCGACGCTGGACGATGAGCTGAGAGGCGATGCGCTGGCCAAGAAGCACTGCACCATGAGTGAGGCACTCGGCGTGGCGAGGGAAATGAGGGCCAGGAGGGTGCTGTTGACGCATTTCTCGCAGAGATACCCCAAGATTGCGAACTCGTCAACGGGTGGCACAGGCGCGCCGGTAAAGGACCAGGTGGTCCTCATGGCTTTCGACCAGATGTGTGTCAAGCTGGGAGATTTCAAGAAGGCAAACCTTTTCCTGCCTGCGCTGAGGAAGCTCTACGAGGAAGATGCAGATGATGAGCCCCCAGCACTTGACTGAGTTGGAGGATTCGGTTGAGTCTCATCTTGCATATGAGGATGGTTGCATATCCGCCTTTCTAAGTGTTGATAGAAATAGAAAAAAAATACAGATACTCAACTCAGGAATGAAGAGATCTAAAAGTATGGAGGTCATATATCCACGCACCGTGCCTGCAGGCATGGTACACATCACGCTCAGATCAGTATTGAAATCAGCAGAACGGCCAACTGTAGCTTACAACTATTCACAGAAGCAAAACTCACTATAAGACACCTTTAAAAACTTTACAAAAGGAAAATTGTATTTATGATGGGACGCTGAATTTTATTTATTTCATAGTATTAACAAAAGAAACACTTTTAGAGACGAACAAGGAATGAAAACGAAGGTAGCTGGGAATCGAGTCGAGAGTTAAACATCAACACTCGACCAGCTCGTCACAACCATGACGAATCAGGCATATAGAGGCCAGAGAAGGGGCCGCCGCGCCCTGCGCGCGCCCTCCTTTCTTCGTCAAGCCTGGCACTCTCCCTAGAATTCCCGATCGCGATCCTGATATCATCGTCGCCCTCCTCTTCTCCATCACTGTCATCCCCTTCAGACTCGAAGTCCATGACTTGCATCTGCCGGGCCAAGACCGCATCTGCCTCGATCTGATCTTGCCGTAAATGACGACAGTGGACGTCGCCCGGCCGGTTGGGAGGATAGAGCCCTGCGACCGCCGAGACGCTGTCATCGGGGAGCAGGGACGCTGTGGGCAGGGTGGCGCCCAACGACCCGTCGCGCTGGTCGATGCTGCTCAGCCCGGCCTGGAACTCCCGGCTGGACAATGTGGTGTTGCTCGACGGCGCCCTGCGGTGCCCGCTGCTGTGGCTGCTGCTACCGCTCGCATTGGGGCCTGGCCAGGCCGTCACGGTCGATTGGGCTGGACGGCGTGGGTGGTCGTCCTGCGCAGTGGTCTTGTCGCGGTATACAGAAGGAAGCCGTGGCACGGGGGGCGCGACCTCGCTTTGCGGCCGCCCACCACGACTAGACTTGTGCGTGGACTGTGTAGCAAGCGTGTGCACGGTGACATCGGTCCACTCACTCGCACTCACTTGTGTTCTCGCAGGGTCAGGAGCTGGGACGGAATCATCTCCGTCTTCGTCGTCATCGTCGTCATCGTCGTCTCCATCACGGGTCGTTACGCTTTTGGAGAATTGCAGCGGCTTCGGAAGAGCCGACATAGCCATCTGGCTTTGTAGCCAGGTTTTTTCGATCTCAGCGGCGTTGTGGCGGAAGGCTGGGTGCTGGCTGCCGACGTCTGTGGCTCCTGAGGGCCCGACGATCTCGGTGAAGTTGTCGTACCAGCCCTGGAGGCGGTCCTGCTGCTTGTAAGCGGCGTCCGCGTCCGCCTCGTCGAATTCGTCATGGTAGTCGGCGAGTTGCTCCTCGTCATCCGCATCGTCTCGTGAGGTTCTCGAGCGAGAATCCTGCTGATGTATGCTCGAGTTATCACCAACTGGCAGGGAGTGGTCATTATGAGTGCTCTTGGGCCTAATGGTGGCAGAGGAGGCAGTGGAAGCCGATGAAGCGTGGTAAGAAGACGCAGCGGCAGACAATGATGCATGCTTACCTTGGCGTCCATCAGGCTTTCTCGACTCTTTCCCAAACATCTCATCCAACTTTCTGTCAATCTCCCCTTTCGCAGATCTGGCCTGGCTGGCCGATAGTCGCTGCTCGTCAAGACCACGCTCCAGGCGGGCGCGCTCCTTCATCCTCTTCTCATACGGGGTGCGATGGCGACGATGCCTATTCTTACGCCCCAGGAGCTTCTTCCTTATGTGACGCACATCTCTCGCCATCTTTGTGCTCTCCGCCCAGAGCCTGTCAGAATTCTCACCACCAAATCGGTCCATCCATGCCTCAACCAGAGGGATAAGGACTGGAGGGCGGCGCCTGTGAGACCGGCCGTACATCATAGCCCGCAAGTCACACAGGGCCTGGCCTGACGCGCCGATGCAACTGCATATACAAGCCTCACAGTCACTCTCGATGCGCGGCATCGCAAGCCCGGGCGGATAGTTGTCGCCCACGATCCGGGAGAAGACGTCCGCGCCGGTCCAGAGGGACAGCATGCTGTTCATCCGGTCTACGTAGTCCTGCACCTCACCCAGCGACGTCTTGAGCTTTACGGCATGCTTGGTCGGGTTCTCCAGGAACCTTCTCACCGGGTCAAGACGGTGCGTGACCTCTTCCGATATCAACAGGAACATCCTGTGCACTACCCACGGGTTCAGACCTTTATGGGCGGTACAGAGCACTGCACACTGCGGGACGAGATCCTCGATGGTCAGGTTGAGCTTCTTGTTGGTGTAGATGGACAGTCTTGCCAGCCAATTTTGGGGACGCTGAAGAGGTTTGGGCAACTGGGAAATCTTCTCGGACTGACGGGCAAGCCATTGGTCAGAAGGAAGACCGTCTGTATAAATTCGGGCTGTCGGCGGTAGGCAAAGGAGCCGCACAAGGAGGTTGATGTCCTCGTGGGTCAAGTGGGAGATGTGACGGTAGCGGTTGACCATATTGAGGTTTCTGGTCGGTAAGACTCGTGTTGGTTCTGGTAAACAGCTGTCTGCGCTGTTATTTTCTCTGGGGTTTCCTCTCGACTGACACGAAGTGTAGAAATTACTGCGAGCGTACAACTCACTGGCGATTCAGAAGAACTGGGTGATTAGGCCCGAAGCTTTTTGATTTTTATTGTAGACGACTTGCAAAGTCCTTGATTTTGCTGTGTAGCATATCAGCTGCAATACCCAGTCTTTTTAAGTTCGTCTCTTGTCAATAATTGCACCCATAGGGACAGGCCATGTCCAGGATAAAGACTAAGAGTCTAGTCTGTTGCCCTTTGAACCTTCTCTTTGATGCACACTGCCTATCCTTGGTGAGCACCGTCTGTCAACGACGTCCTTTGTTGCGGAGCCGCCGTGATCTCAGCACAAGACCATTGTCCCGCCCCCTTCTCCTTCTTAGTTCGTTTGACATTTGTCTTTCGAAAACAATGTGCCACGTTGCGAGGTCCGACTTTCGACTTTCGAGTACCAGGTCAGTCCAGTTGCGATTGTTTGTGAAGGTCCTGTGGTCAAGTCACCGTTATCGTATCAAATGAGCTCGGAAAGAGATCGCTCGTTAGGTGCCGCCAAAGATTACGTCGCTGTGCCATGAGGAGATCGGACAGGTTGGGTGTCAAGGCATCGCGCAGTCCATTTCAAACGCGGCCGTGCCGAAGTTTTGATTTCACCGTGATATGATCGACGATCCTGACATTTGCTCCATGCAACTCGTCGTTTCCGTTCCATACCTTGCCACCTTGAAAAAAAGAATACCAGGCCTGATGTGTCCAACAGGTCCAAGAAAAACTCCTCAACGCGCTCATGCCAGCCGTCCGCCTATCTCCATGTCCCTATTATAATCTGGGACACCCAGAATAAGTAAGAGTACTTTAACAATGAATACCTCTGTCTATCAACCATGCATGCTGCGAGCTGATGACAGCCCTTGACTAGCCCGCAATCGTTCCATTTTGATCTTTGCAGCTTCAGTGCCGTCGTCAGGATGGGCTGTCTCCTTGAACCAAGGGTGTTGCAAAGCCTGCTTGGCCGTGATGCGATGGGCAGGGTCGTAGACGAAGATTTTCTTCAGAAGATCCCTGAAGTTTTTCAAGAAAGGTGTGTTGTTGGGAATGATATCCTGCAAAGATGTCAGCGGTCTGTGAAAAACTCGCGTGCTCGAATCCGACTCACGTCCAACTTCTTCATGGCCTTGACAAACCGACGCGACGCCCTAGTCGTTTCAGGTATTGGGTAGTCCAACCTGCCTCTTTTGAAGTATCTGGAGGAATGTTAATATGCGCTCGAATCTGGACCAGAGGGAAGTCTCTCTGCTCAGGAGAATCTTGTTGGAGGGAGGGGGCATACTTGGAAGCTGGATTGCCACCATTCCTTGTCATCTTGTTGACTTGCGTGACCAAGTGGCTGTCGATCCTCGAGCCCACGACATTCTCCATCATGGCTAGATGTTCAAGATTTTCATGAGTCTGGAACAATGCGTCGCCAGTGAAGAATTCGACAAGGATACAGCCAATACTCCAGATATCGCATGGGAATGACCATCCGAGACCGAGGATGATTTCAGGCGCCCGGTAGTGACGAGTCGAGACTACAGAGGAGTGGTACTCATCCTGGAAAGTAGCGGATCCAAAGTCGATCAAACGAATCTCCGTGTCCAAAAGAACCCGTCGCTGTGTCGCGTTACGACTAACTTGTGTCGACGAGGATGGTATCTTTCTATTGTAGGTGAACGTCTGATAAGCACTGTCATAGAGCAAGATGTTCTCTGGCTTCAGATCAGTGTGGATCAGATTCAGGTCATGTAGAACTATACTGTGTCAGATAAAGAAACCCCCAAAATCGTTGATCAGGAAACTCACAAGCGACACTAGTAAGGAGCTGTCTCGCAAAACTTTGGATCTGGCTGTTCGGGAAGGGAACGAACTGATTGCCTTTGAGGAAATCGAAGACACTCTGGCCCAGCAGGTCCATGACGATGCAGATGTGGCCTCGGTAGTCGAAGCAGTCGCGGAGATGTATGCAACGATTCCGATTTTCCGAGTCGTTCGCTTTCAGCGTCGCTAAAACTCTGAGCTCGATCCTCGAGGCATCCCTGTACTTTTGCACGGAACGAATAATTTTGATGGCAACAAGTTCATTTCGTCTTCGGTCTCGAGCTTGCACAACTTTGCCGAAGGTTCCTTGGCCAAGCATCTTGATCATTTGGTCTGAAGCATGTTAGTCACTTTATCTTTCAGCTACCGCGTGGGACGGGGAGGGCTGCTCACAATTGTCCGTTAGTTCCGCATCTGGAACAACAATGTAATGACCATCACTGTCGTCCACGGTACCACTCTTGAAGGACTGCAAAATTGCAAGTTAGCAAGGACGTTTTCCACAAAAACAGTGTGACAAAGTATACTTACATCTGGGATCACTCGGACGTGAACGTCCCCGGCCTTTTTAGGCGGCTGAGGGGGTGGATGATAACTCGGGTAGGCATGGCCGATGATGGCGTTTTCTCTCCGCTTTACCTCATTGGCGACCTGTTGTCGAGTCCGCTTCCTCTTATTGCCAGGCTGTACGTCATGGTCGTATTGGCTGTTTGACGATAATGAACCGAGGGATGTTGCAGCAGTAGTGTGAATCGCCGAGTTGGTCCTGTCACTGGAGGAGATGGTCGAGGCAGAGGGCGTTGCTCCATTCTGGTGGGGAGTCGTGGTCGAGCCGTTGAGCCGGCTGTGATGGACAGGATCGTAGCGGGTGCCCGAAGCCGTGGGTGCGTCGTCGTCTCGTTTCCGCCTCTTAGGGGCGTGTCGAGCGGCAGATGTGTTGGCAGCGACGGGGCCGCCATTGACGCCATTGGCGTAACTGTACGCTACACTGCCGTTGGTCAAGGTCTGTGAGGCCGGGACGGCAGAAACGGCAGCACTCTCGGGTCCGGGGGAGTCATCAATGACAATGATTTCCTTGGGAGGCTGACCACCGTAGAACTTGTTCCAATCGACAGGGCTGTGTCGTCGCCTCTTTCGCGATTCCGGCGAGCCGTTGGCAGGCTGTGGCTTGGAGGCGGGCATGGTGGTGTAGTTTTGTTCGAGTATCGCAGGCAATTCCAGGTCTTGCCGATGGGAGCGGGCTAGAGAAGAGCCGCTGGAGAAGGACGACCCATTCGCGGTCGACGAGGAAGCCTGTGTGGTCGTGGTAGGGACGTAGCTCGATGTGGTGGAGGTGGAATATGAGGGAGGGACGCGGCTTGTCGGGGGGAGGAGGTTGTTTGCGGCGGAGCGGTACGATGTCGACGAGTTGGCGGAATAGTATGGGAAGTGATGATGGGGGTTGTGATAATGAGAATGGGGTGGCAGAGTAGCAGTAGCAGTGGTCGGCGTCGACATGATTCTGACTGCCACTGTTGCCCTGTTGCTCTGTGCAGCAAAGGACGAGAACGACTAGAAGAGGGCCGTGGGGATTTGGTTCTCCAGTATGGAGGACAGCCGGTTTGGCGGCGTAATCGACCTGCCGCTCTCCCTGTGGAAGGTTGTTGGTGGAGGATTGGGGGGAGAGTGCACAGGACAGGGCAGGGCAGGCAAGGAAGGGAAGGGCACTGCAGCAACAACGCTGGGGCTGGACGGGCTTGCAAGGTTATGCAGCCAGCGTGCGGAGCGAGGGGACGAACGGGACCAGGGCAGTGACAGCAACAGCGACCGTGACGGGTGACTGATGGACTGACTGACTGACTGGTTTTGGGCTGCTGAAATTCGGGCAGGCCTCCTCCTCGGAACCGACAGTGCCTGGTGCAGACTCCAGACAGATAGACGAGAACAACAGGTGGGCAGACAGGGTTGGAAAGACGAGGTGGTCGTGGCGATTAAACAGGCGTCAAAAGTCGAAGACCAAACAAAGTCGCACCAAGACAAGTCAAGGCCGGGTTCGAGGCAGGCCAGGCTAGGTCGGGTGGGGGGTTTTGGAAGGGGCTCCAAGTAGTAGTCTGACGGTTGAGTGTTTGCCGGTTTGCACAATCGAGCTGACTTTTGGCCTTGGGTTCAGAAGCCCAGTTTTGTCGGGGGAAGACGAGTCGAGTCGTTGGGAAGCCTGTGGAATGGGTGTTGGTTCCGGTAACATTGAACTCGAGGAGCGGCAAACGATGTGTGATATCCAGGTGGGTGGGTGGGTGTGTCGAGGGTGTCGGTCGTGCTCATACGGACCAAGAGAAAGAGACGAGACGGAGAGGAGTATGGGATTTGCGAGATTCAGAACAAGACTGGACAAGTCTCTTGGTTGACAGGACTGACTGGACTGGACAGCACAAGTCAAGTAGAGTCCAAGGTCAGGTCAGGTCAGGCCAGGTCGAGTCGAGTCGAGTGAAGTTGATTGAATGACAGCTGGAGCGGAAGCGGGATTGGGAGTGGTATTGGTAGTGGAAGCGTGAGGTATTGGTGGTGTTGGTAATAGTGGTGGTGGTGAGGTCAGGGTCCATCCAGTCCCATCCAGGCCAAGCGACGCAACGCAACACCAAAGCAAAGCAACCTTGGACCCGGGATCACTCACTGCTTCTGCAAGGTGCCAGTGCAAGGGCTAGCTTTTCGTCCAGGGTCGCCAGTCTCTCGGCACAGGGAATAACATCAAGTGCGGCCGCGGGTGATGATGAGGAGATGATCGTCCGGTCCCAAGATCAGTCATGCACCGGCGTGCAGCAAGTCCAAGGCGTGAATTGTGCGCAACAGGAACGAGTGGGTGCAGTGCTGAAAATGGGTGGACGGCTGGACGGGTAGGCGGGTGGATGGGTGGATTACTGTGTAGTGGATTGGTGGATTAGGGATTGATTGACTGAGTGACTGACGACTTTCTAACGTTGCAGTGCCAGTGAATAGACCCGATGAGGACAGCCACCACCAGAGGATCAACCCTTGGAAGCCTGAGTTCCTGAGGCAACTCGTACTGTATTGTGCTGGACTGCCCAGACTCCCAGACTGGCACCTGGAACTTGGGCACCCTAACCTTTTAGCCCTGCCACGCCTGCATCCTCCCTGTACAGGTCTGGCACTGTGCTGTGCCTAGGTAGGCAGGTAGGTCGCGGCAGAATGAGGTCAGTCCCAGAGCGAGCCAGGGCCAGGCCACTTCCGGAAACTCTCTGTGACGCCCTGTAATCACCCAGGCCATTCAGGGCTCCCAGGTCACTCGCAGAGTTGACGAACTGCTTGGTGGTCAACAACTCCAATTTCTCTCCCCTGGTTAATACCTTTGAATACAAAACTATGTGTATTGATTTATTTAAAGACACTTGCGTTACAGTCGGGGGTCACTTGGTCACCTCCTGCAAAGTTCACGGATCCAGACGATGGGGAACGGGGAACCTGAGTGCCAAAAGCTTCCCTCAGCCTGCCTTGGGACCCAATCAATCTCGCCACCCGCAACCCCGATCTCACTCGCTCCCTCGCCCACCCACAGCTTGCACTCCTGCGGCTGGTGTCGCCGTGTGTGCACCACCAACTCGGGCTTTGAGGGGCAGAGCGGCACAAGAACGAGGCCCCCATGCGATATCCCATGAATCAAAGCACTCCTCGAGAGCGATATCTTTTAGGATGAGGTGACGAAATGCACAAAGCTTGTCTTGGCTCAGCCAGACAGCAGACGTACTCGTGTCAGATTACTGACGAGGAACAGACCTCAGACTCTGACCATGGACAGACGCAGGAGGCATTTGCCTGGGCACATCCACCTCGGAGTGGTCTTAAACACGCATGCATCATTGGCTTCCTCCCCCTTTGGAACTTGCGGCCTCCAATGACTTGGACTTGCTGCGTACTCACGGTACTGTGGTACATAGCCATGGCCACTCGAGGCACGCCTTGACTGTTCCCACTCAAAGAGACGCGTCCGAATCCGAATCCTCCTGCCTCGGTCGCCAGCAGGCAATTAAAGGGACACAACCGCGTTTGGGCATTCCCTCCGTCCCTCGCCTGAGCGAGAACGAGACAGGCGATAGTGCGCACAGTGTGCAGTCTCGCGAGCCAGATCCAGGCGCTGGGTAGTGGGTCTCCCCGAGATCGCTGATAGATCTTGCACTATGCCTCCCCGGTGCACAGACCTGAGCACAGTGTTCTCGAGGCAATCGCCACGGCCTATCCCATCTCGACTTCTTTCCTGGGGTGACGCCCCAGTGACGCCCCGACGACCCGCCCTCCGCAGCAACTCTCCCGTGAAGGGACATGAATTAAATTACCTAGGGACCCCATCGTCGAGGCTATTTCGTCGAGACACCTCGCACTGCTGCAGCGTGATTGCCCTGACATCATTCCCATGCTTCGTCGCCCCGAACGACGGCAACGAAAGAAGCACGGTAGCACGGCAGTGTGTGGCCCAACACGGATGGACTGACTGGCAGGCTGGTTGCCTGACGTCCTGGCAGTGGCTCAACTGATTAAACTCTCGCTCACTCCCACACCACTGTCTGCCGCAACGCGCTATCCTGCCCCTCTTCTGTGGAATGCTTTCGCCTAGAAGCGCCGAGCCCAGCTGCTGGGTGGTGGTGCTCCCTGCTAGCTAATGCTTTGCCTCGCTTGTCATCATCCGCGGTCCATGGATGGCTGCGCTTCGTTGATCTCACTCAGGGTCTCCTCCCCAGTGCGTTGGCGTCCTGCCCTTGCCCTGGGCGTCACACGCCAACCTCGAGCAACTCTCAGGTCAGTCTAAACACTGCATTCAAGGACGCAGCGTCTAGATCCCTGCATCCTCTCGGGTGACTGGCAACAACGACAACAAGCAGGGCCTGTGAGCACGGGAGCACAGAAACACAGCTTCTCACAATCAGGATCCCAGCAGCTGCGTGACCCACCCACTGGCGCAGCTGGCACTGGAACGCAAGGGACTCGAGGCGCGGCGCGGCGCAGCGACTCGAGTTTCTTTGTTTCGCGAACAAGCACAAGCTGACGACGAGGCATGGTGCGTGCGAGTTTGCACGTACAGACGTACACACCACACTGCAGGGTCTACCGAACGTTTGAACCCTTGTAGGTCTACTAAGCCAAATTCCCACATGCTTTACTGTGTATATTTCGAGACTTTCCCGGCTTGATAAGCCGTAATGATCGCAGCTCCCCCGAGTCAGCCTGTAGACCTTGTTTCGGCATCAGCTTCACATAATTCCGTGACCCGAAAATGAGGAGAGACTTTAGACCTAGCGCAAGGCATCTCTATGTCTGGCTGGCCTTCGTCACCCATGTTTGTCTCTGTGACTTATTCAGTGCCCCCGTGCTTGACTTCAGCAAAGTTCACGAGATCTCCGCTGCTCAATGCCTAGGCGTGCGAACGAGCGCTGGCCAAACCTGCTAGATGTGCGTTGTGTGGCCCCGCTCATCCTGTCATCCCACGAAGACGGATCAGGCCAGCAAGGGATCGCCAATGTTGCCGCCAATGTGGGTGGTTTGCGGCGACTCTTTTTTTCCTTTTGGGCTGACTGAATCCCCGCTCTTTGACGAGGTGTGACGGGCACGCATTTGTTTGGCTATGTTTCCGTCCCAAAGGGGGTCCACTCTCGAAAAGCCGGTTATTCCGCTGATTGAGGGATTGTTAGGGACCCTTCAATTCCCGTCGCCATTTCCTCGCTGGTTTCGTCGTCCAACGGGGCGGTTTTATTGCACGACTTCAGCGATCTCCTGGTTTTAGCCCCTGGAAATTCACTGACCTGTAATTTACAATAATAACAACTCTCAGCCTGGGCAGCTGGGGTCTTTAGGCGTGGCGGATCAAGCTTTGAGTGAACAAGCCCCGGCAGGGCGGCCACAGCCAGTAGCCTTACGATACCATTAGCTGATGACTTTGCCCACAGCGACCGCCCACCGAGGGACCTATTAATACTCCACCACCGCTCCGCTGCCGCTGGCCCAAGTGGGCCGACGTTGTCAATAAGCTGGGCTTGGGCCAAATGTCAAGCAAGACGAGGCTGCGCCGCGGCCTTCGCCCGCAGCATGTAGGTGCTCCACGTTTGACGTTTTCACCGCGACCCGCTCAGCCTCGCGGTTGGAGAGGCAGGAAAGGTCTCGGCCACAGGCTGCCAACGATTCTATTATGCCTACATTTCTTCTTTTTTCTTTTCTTTTTTTTCCTTCACGCGGCGCTGGGGGCGACAGCCGATCGAAACGTTCGTGTCCCACCAAATCGTTTCCGTCTCAAAGGGGACGGACGACCCAGTTGAAACGTCGCCCATGGATCAGAGTGCGCGTTCCCACGTCGGGCCGGATTTCAGTACCGTCCCCTTTCCTCAGCCGCGCTTCTTGGCAGGTCAGGATGTCGCACACAAATGAAGTCAAACTGATGGCACAAAAGTTTAGGAAGAGGCATGGCTTAATAGCGTAGAGCGGTTGATATCATTCCCGCCTATCTTTCCTCCGTGGACCGGCCTCTCAGTTGTCTGGAATTGCCTTAGGAGAGACGGCTGTGAAACAGTACCCGAAGCCGGGCTGCTGGCGGGGCGAATCCTTAACTGTTGCACATCATTCTCACCACGACCTGATCACGTTTTACCTGCTGCAGCAGGAACCTGGACTTGTAGATTGAACTTAAAATGGATCAGCATTCATGATCTACAGACCCTCATGCTATCTAAGCTTCTGACGCAGGCGGCTCACGTTCCGTGATCAGACAAAACGCGGGGACTCGCCGTGGGTCTCCGAGGTGGCAAGCCCTCCGAGCATACGGCCGACACGGCCGATGGCGACGAGTGTCCTCAACACGGGCACATTTCGTGCCGCTTTCAGATGCCCCGGTTGAACACCACCATCCCGGCGTCTCCCCCGCGCCCGTGGAACTCCTCCTCAAGGCTCTCGGCCCGTATCTTCTGCCGCTGCGGGAAGGCCGCCAGAGCAAGCGGCAATACTGCGTAACTCGTCACCAGGATCAAGCCCAGGTTGACCGGTGTAGTCAGTCTGGGGTTCTTTTTCAACCACTCGGTCTTTTGCAGCTTCACAAGGATCAATGGTGGAATCGCCATGACCGGACTGCTGTTGAGCACCCTGGACAGTGCCGTCTCGCCGACCGCAAACTGTGCGGCCTTCTTGCTCTTGCCTAGGCTCTCGACGTCGTTCTCGGCCTTGCCCTCCTTGGCCAGGCGCTGCTTGTCCTGCTCCGAGAGCACGGGATATACGTCGATACCGGTGCGCATCTCCTCGCCACGCATCAGGAACACGTTGAGCGCACCGGCTGAGGCGACTGCCGCGAAAGGTACGAGCCGAGACAGAATCAGGCGGGTATTTGGTGGCAGGTTTGTGAGGCGCGGGACAAGAGAGTTCAGGCCCACTGCTACGGAGCAGGACGCACCGACGGCAAGAAAGTATGACTGGGCGATCTTCGAATAGGATAGTGGCGTGGACTTATTGGCGTTGGCATTGTTGATAGCCACATTGAGGGATTGGTTGGCTATCTGCCAGAGGATAGTGCCCGTATTCGTGAGGCCGGGCGTTAGCATGCCCGCCGTCACTACCAGGTTGGAGAGGACGAAGCAGGACATGCGAAACGGTAGCAATACTGGTTTGCCGGTGTCTGAGTATAATCATATGTAAGTCCATCCTGCCGGTAGCACCACTTGCGAACCAAGAATCTCGTACCGGGATGTAGGGTCGAATCGACAATCTTCTTTGCCTTCCATAGCTCCGGTGTCATCTCCTTGACCTGGCCCGTCTTGTAGGATGACAAGGCTTGCTTCGCCTGTTCGAGTCCGGTCTGGCCCACGAGCAGTGTCCTGTGGGCAGCCAATGGTCAGCCAGGCAGCTCACATCACGATACCAAAGTCCGACTCGTCTTCCTCGCCCGCCAGGCAAAGACACCGATAGAGAAGAAACCAATGGCTGCTTACTGCTCCTGCAGAGACGCATTTCTCCTTGGCCCGTCTTCACGCCTTCGCCAGGGCTTGCGCCCCGGAGCATCTGTTGTCTCTCACCTCGGATCGGTTATGCCGGCGGTTTGCCTGACACGGCCCCAGTACGTGCTGAGGTCATACTGCGACTCGGGCAGCTCACGGTTGCCCGGTAGAGAGGCCGACATATTGGCGCGGTTGCTGTGGGCAGCAGTTTTCCCCCTTCTGCTTCGCGATGGTCGTGATGATCGGCCGCCCTCTGGTTCTGCGAATGAGCAGAGTAGGACAAGGGCAAATGGTATGTGAGGGAGTCGACCAGCTGTGTCAATTGAGACACAAGCACCCGCTGGAGGCCTTGATCAGACGGTGCTACAGTGCTGCCGTCAAGTTGCACAAGTTTTGGAATGTGTCGGCGGTGTAAGGCTTGCTCAAGCCGTCGCAAACCGGGCGTCGCACCGGCCTTGGTGGGTGGGTTTCAACCGTGGATAATTGTGTTGCTTTCTTCTTATCGCCGAGCTCGGCCCCATCTCCCGGCGTGGGTGGCTTGCCCTGGCACGCCTGGGTACCTAAAGTATTACCCGGCGCGGGGCAACCACCACTCATCAGCTCACCCAAACGGGATTGACAGGTGAGGATGGTCATCGCTTAAGTAATGGCGTCGCCATGTCATCAACCCACCTTGGGTGTGTGTTGGGCGTGTGTGCGGGCTTGTTGTTGTTCCTAGCCTAGCCCAGCCCGACCTCTCTCTGTTTGTCTGCAGTAGCGGCCCATTTGGTAAACAACCGTCTTCCTGCATTGCATCTTGCATCTTTTTTAGCAGGATAGCTCGTCGCATCAGGCTTTGTAGTCCAATGCCGTCCCCCCAATCCATCGAATCGAGTCATTAGGCTCCTCTACAGTACATCTTCAGGCCCCGTTGCTTTCTTGAGCTCTGTGTAGCTCTCCTCCGTCATAGTTGTTTGCGCGCATGTGAAACTGTCCGTGGGCATCCCATATCAGGAGCTCTCTCCCTGCCTCACACCCCCACAGCATAGCTTCAACAACAGCTGCTTACAGTACAGCGCCCACAGTCTGCTGCACATCTCACATATTCTTCTCAGCCAGTCATGGCGCGAAACATCTTGATCCGGCATCTGCCAATCGCGCAGTCGACCACAACCTTTCAAGCTGTCAGCTACCTGCTCGGAGTCGCGCTCTTCTCTATCTCTTTCCTCGTCTTCCTTAACAGCAGCATTTCCTTTGTCATCACCGACCTGCTTCATATCGAAGATGGCGTCGGTGATATCGTTGGTACTCTGGGCTTTGTCGATGAGATCGTAGCCCTGATCGCATGCCCCTTCTGGGGCCTGATATCTGACCGTTTGGGTGTTCGCTTCGTTGCCATGGTTGGATATGCCATCATTGGCCTGGCCCTGTTTCTGTTTGTCCAGGCTTCCAACGTCTACCCTCAGCTCCTCCTGGCGAGGATCTTCTTCGCTCTTGGGGCTACTGCCACGTAAGTAAAGGATACCATTCTCTATACCATGGGGCGCATGGAGCTGACAAGGCCTTTGCTGCATACAGAGCCACCATGGTCACGGCGACTCTCCCCTGCTTGACTGACGACTCCGACTCCTCCCCGGAGAACGAGGGCGAGACGGAGTCAGCTCAGCCCTTCCTCCGCCCAACGCACAACAACCGCGACAGCGTCGCCCTGTCTGTCGAGTCCGATCTCACTATCACCCCCGAGCGCTACACGCGGCCCGGCTCCAACGGGGATGCCTCCAACGAACCGCAGTGCACCGTCGACCCAGCCCAAGGCAAGCCATCTATCCTTGCCGGCTACGTCGGACTCTTCACTGGCTTGGGCGCCCTGGTGTCCCTTCTGGCTTTCCTGCCCCTCCCCGCCCAGTTCAGCAAGATCGAGGGCGTCGAGATGGGCGAGGCCGTGCAATATGCATACTATGTCGTTGGCGCAATTGCCATCCTGGTTGCGTCCTTTGTTTACATCGGACTCCGAAAGCTGAAGGGCGAGGAGGGCAAGGGCTTCCGCACCCTCTTCGGAATGAAGAAGAGGCAGCTGCCCGACGGATCCGAGCCCCCGCGCCGTACATTCCTGCCTTATCGACAGCTCCTTCGTGAGGCTGTCGTACTTGGTTTCACGGACTCTCAGATCGGCTTGGGATACTTGGGTGGCTTCGTGGCCCGCGCGTCAACAGTGGCCATATCCGCCTTTGTTCCTCTGTTCGTCAATTCCTTCTACAAAGATCTCCCTGGTGGCGACACACCGGAGTTTCAGAGGAAGGCCTACATACTGGCCTCTATTCTCACAGGAGTCGCGCAGCTGTTCGCACTCATCTTCGCCCCTGTGTTTGGTTATGTTTCAAGTCGTAGCCGTCGCATCAACTACCCAATTGCCGTCGCCACGGTCTTCGGTGTTGTCGGATATGCCGTCTTCCCCAACCTTTCGACCCCGGAAGTTTCAAATGTCGACGGTCGGGGCGGATCTGGAGGCATTTTTGTTATTGTTGCTCTGATAGGCATCAGCCAGATTGGCGCCATCGTCTGCAGCTTGGGCTCCCTGGGCAAAGGTGTACTGGCTGCGGACCCTCATAAGAAGGGGACCCTGCCTTTGCCGGTGGGAGAGGCCTCGATCGCCCAAACAGACGTGTCTGTTGAGGCTGGGGAGGGTGCGCCTTTGCTGAGCAACAGCAACGGCAACAAATCACATCCACAGTGCACCAGGGTTCTGCTAAAGGGCACCATTGCTGGTGTATACTCGTGGTGTGGTGGTGCGGCCATCTTGCTTCTCACAAAGCTCGGTGGTTATATGTTTGATGTGACGTCTAGGGGGGCGCCATTTTACATGATGGCAGTTTTCAATCTCGTGCTACTTGTCGCAACACTTGGTGTGGACGTGGTACGTCTTGCCAAGCAGAAGCGTTCCAAGCACTGATGAAGACGATACTGCTAATCTGTTCAAGCTTGGGTGGCATTTTCCTTTCTAGTCTATTGCTTGGGATTTCGGTCATTATGCACGTACATACAAAGGAAGAAGCGTTGATCAACTCGATTGGGAGTACTACTGGAATACCTGATAGATTTTTTCCTTGCCTCAATTCTGCCTTGACGACTTAGTTACCTGAGGCCCTCAAGGCTGTCACGAATGACACACCCCAGATCTTCAAACTGTCTGATATCTCTGCTATCACAGTGCGTTTTGCGTTCGCTTGCGAATGCAGTGATATCTTAAGCTTCTCACCACTCGTTATTTAGCAGTGCCGAAGGCCATGTCAGGAGCAGCAATACCACTAGAGACAGGCTCTTGTGAAACGGCAGACTTGTCTGGGGGACTAGATACAGCAACATGGGCCTTATCAATGAACGAATCCCTCCCGCAGCGTCAAGATGTCTGTCAGCCACACAACAGCAACGTTCATCCCATTCACGGCGAGAACTCTCCTCCTAACAGGAGATGCCCTAGTTGACTATGACTCCGCTGATGTCACAGCCGTCCTACGAGATAGTATCAAAACCAGTGTCCCCCATGCACGAGGACTACCAGCTAAGTGCATATTGCCTCTTATCATCAAATCTCGGACTGCTGTCTGTAGTCATTGTCTTGTGATTTTTACATTTACACTGAGTACGAACGTAGGGAGCGAGAGTAACGCACCAAAATGGAGAAGGGGAGCTTATGGATCAAGAGAATTTTAGTGCAAAGACTGATTGAGCGAATTTTCTATCTGTTTGCATGCAATTTATTTTTACTAACAAAAGAAAGGGGTGGGGGGAGACGTCGGTCTAAAGCTCTATACGAGCATCTTTCTATCAAAACTGATTAAATTCCTCGAGACTCTCGGGCCATTGCAGCCTGCCAATGCGCCACACGTCTCTCAAGAAATTTCTTAGGGATCTCCGAGAAGCTGGAGTCTACGGGCAGGGAGGTGGGCCGCTCACTGTCGGAGGTATAACCTGCGAGGAGCAGCTCTGCGTTTCCGTAAACACCCCCAAAGGGCCGCAGGGGCACCGGCGCGAACAATTTTGGCAACTGCCCAGACGACGACTCGACCGGAGCATCATCGTCCCAAAACTCCGAAGGCAAAAGGTCCCGGACAGGATGGGGTAGGCTCGGCAGCGGCTTGGGACTTGGGGACGGAGACGCAGGCTGAGAAGATGGGAAGTCACCGACTTCGCCCTCACTGTCCGCGAGATAACCAGCATCAAGAGTCTCCGGGAGAAAGGCAGGTGTGCCGGGCCGCATTGGGTCCCTCTCTTCCGGATGATCTCCGACAACAAACGAAACCCTGTGTCCTGAGCCATTTTCGACAAAGGCTGCCTCGTGCTGCAAATTGAAGCCACTCACCTCAAGGTTGTCTTCATGACCATGCTCTACAAACAGCCTTACCTGGTTCCGCAGTCTGTTCATCGTGCGTTCTACTGATTCTATGCTCAACTGCATCAAGTTGTTTTGGATCCTCTCCCTCTCAATCACATACTGAGAGACTCTCTCCTGCCAAGTGGTTGGCCGGGCCGCATTGCAAGAAGGGCAAGAACGGTCTGAGGACATGTTGAGGCTATTGGCGAACGGGACCAAAATTTGAACGATGGATGGTCGGTTTGCGAGAGTGGGCTCGATATCAAGTTTCAACAGCGATACACCTTGATCAACAAGGTGTGTAAGATTTTTGAAACTGGTGTTGAGCTTTTCTCGAATACTTTCCGATGTTGATAGGGTCGTGGTGAGGCTTGGTAGAAATCGACGAGAGGAGGCGATCGAGGTGTATTTGAAATGATCGTGGGTCACACTTGGATAAAGACCATCTCTTTGGTTCTTCCATGCTCTACAGAATCATCTTTGTCTGAACAAGAAGAAGCTAGGTGACTTTCGTGAAGGAAAGGGACCGAAGAAAGAGAATCTTATTGTGTACTCTGCTGGAAGGTTTTTGCTAGCCATGTACGGGTTCTTTGTCTCCAAGGCGGCCGAGAACAATAGAAACCACTAGGCCGAAAAGCTCCGTTGTGGGATCTCAAGGCAGAAGATCACCAACCTCTGGAGTCTAGCTATCCTCAATAGAGATAATGAAGGCATGATGGTTTCCTTGACTACGGGGTTGGTGCGGGGTGACGTAGGCCTACGGCCGCCTCAATGGCTATTGTCACGAGCACATTGGGCACCCAATCAAGCCGTCGGTTACGCAGCAACGTTGTGTAGAAATCGAGGATCATGTGACGCCGGATTGTGGAATTGCCATTGAGACAAACTCATAATAGTTCCAGTGGATTCATGCCATGCGCTGCCTTCACGATCTATCTATACAGTCGAGGACAAATTTTCCGGGTTTGGAGTAGAACACGTAACATGGATAAAGAAGTAAAATAGAATCAGCAATGCTTGCTCTTGTCTTTCCCAAGTTGTGATGGTATAACGGTGTGAGACATGGTCGTATGAAGGACCGATTTTCGTATTGAGTGACAGTTCTTTAGGTGCTACGGAGCGACAGCTGTAAGCCTTCAACTTCAATATAGGAGTTGCAGGTTGCTTACACGAGAAATTATGGGAAATGTTGAGAGAGACAGAATGCATGAAATCTTATGCCATTCCTGAGTACTTTATGGATATACGATACCTTCTTCCTTGGTTATTTCATGCTTAAGTCCTCTGTCTTTGACTTCACTTCATGTACTGTCGACGGCTCAAATCTTTTGTTTATCGCTGTTAGTTCTAGACAGGAATACTAATTCTTCTATCTTCTATCATGATGATTGTCTTCTGCCTACAGTGGGCGTTGTTTCTCTTGCTGCGATATGAAATTGTAGCCCTATAGAGTTGCGAGTATGTATGTTTGACTGCATATATCTTTCCTCTCTCAGATAGCTCACAGGCTGATCTAGTCATGAGCGCCACCAACTCTCACTTTTGTATTAGCGTTGCACTTTTTTTATTAATCTTGCGCAACATGGGCTCGCAGATGTCTTCTTTGCTTCATATAATTAGAGGCTTTGAAACATGTAGAATGGCTTTGATTGTGTATGGAAGCGGTGGTAGATATACTGGAATGGTCCGGTGAGGGTTTGCACGAGTAACAAGATCGGGCTGTCGAATCTATCACACAGACAGGTCGCGGAGAAAGCTCCAAGAAGGTGGGAAATAACTAATGAAAGAGCTGCCGCTTCCGAGCATTGCTTATCATGCGATGCACAAGACCTGTTTGACTGAACAGCGTAGTCCGATGGGCGCTACGTCAATATCGATGACGATCAACAAGGATATTTGGCTTTAGGTCATGCACCACTATCTTCACAAAGCAACTTACCCATCTCATAGTTTCCTGGGCGGTCTAGGTCACAATTTCAGAGAATGGGAAATATGTCATCAAGCCAAAACTGAAGCCTTGTTCAGCAGTACATAAAATCCTCACCGATAACTTTGTGCATAGCCCATCGGCACAACGCCGACCGTCTTGCATCCGTTTTCCGTACCGTACCTCGGGTGAAAAACAAACCAAGCAGCGAAGGAGTACTAGTAATTCAAGCAAGAACACGTGGAATGTGGAACGTGAAAGGCACGGTAACAGCCTGAGCTGGATCAGAGAAGGTGAAATGCATTTTTGCTTTTGAGATGTGGACATGACCGGCCAGATACCAGACGTAGTGACGTTGAGACCAAGCAGATAGATGAAAACCTGAATCCCCCCTACCAGCCAAATGCCCTGACCCAACCGTGTCTTTCAGTATGCCCGTCGATCTTGTTCCCAGGATCACATTGACGTAAATTCCGTGAGACGATAATCTGGCGATTTTGTACGTTGACCTGCAGTGTGCTGCGAGGATTTGCGTTGCGACAATTACTTGCCGCCCAGGCTGGGGAAAGCGCTGGTGTCGTTGGTGTTGATGGGGGCAGCGGCGCCACGTCCACCACGGGGGCCACCACGAGGGAAGCCGTCACCACCGCGAGGAGCACCACCACGGGGAGCACCGCGGGGGGCACCTCCACGGCGGTCGCCACGCTCGCCACCACGATCACCACGAGCAGCACCACCACGGCCTCCGCGGCCGCCACGGCCCTCACGGGGACGCTCGGAAGGCTCCTGCCAGCGGCCATCAATGTCGACGTGGACCTTCTGCTTGCGCTCACGCTCGCGCTGCTTCTTGCCTGCAGAGGCGGCGATGAAGTCCTCAGTCTCATCCTTGACAAGGGCCTTGGCGTCAGCCCACTTCTTCTCCTGCTTGGAGTTGACACCCTCGTTGGCCTTGCGAGTGTTTGTGTTGCTGTTCAGCGCAAGCTTCTTCTCGGCCTGCTCGGCGAGGTAGGCCTCCAGAGTGACCTGCTTGACCTCAGGCTCCTGGGCCTCGGCCTCGGCGTCCTCAGCCTCGGCGTCCTTCTGCTCGGTCTGGGCAATGGCCTCGCCAGCCTGCTCGTCATTGAGCTCGGCAGCGCCCTCGGTGGCACCCCATGACTGAGCAGCTTGCTTCTCGGAACCTCTGCAAATGTCATTAGCTCACTGTGATTTTGCAGTAGATGTCAAGGCATGCGAAGGCTTACGGCACTATGTTCTTAGTGTGCCGGTCGTCAGCATTGCGGTGATGGGTTGCGCCACGGCCTTGGTTTATCCGGTTAGCATGACAATCGTGCTGTAGGGGTAGACAGAGCCAGAGTGAGAACTCACCTCCACGGCCACGAGCGCCACGGCCACCTCGGGAGCCGCCACGAGGAGCCTCGTCAGTGGGCTTCCTCCTGTTGGCGCCAGAGCCAACACCTCCATCGCGGAAAGCTGTGTCACGATTGTCAACCATGGTCATCACCTTTGCTGGGGCGTGCCTTCTCAGCCAGCAGGTGTCCAGGCACGCAGGAAATATTCCATACCAGTCTCGTTGGCGGAGAAACCACCTCGGCCACCAGAGCGGGCGGCAGCAGCGGAGCCGGCGGGACCAGTGCCGTCGGCGTTGGGCTTGCCAGTCTTGGTGGATGTCTTGGTGACGGTCTTGACAGGGGCAGTAGGGGTCTCGGATCCCTCCTCGTCATTACCTGGGGTTCACGATGGTGTTAATAGGGACTGAACTGGGCCAAGTCTGCTTAGGCGCGGGCGCCGGTGCGAGCTGAGCGAGGGTAGCAGCAGGGTGTTAAGAGAGCAACAGAGAGGACGGGCGCAATTACCGAGGAGGTCGTAGAGGTTCTGCAGGAGAAGAGACGACAGGTCAGCATTGACACGTAACAGGAGGAGCACGGAGATGATTGATCCGACAAGAGCTGGCGTCGTGTGTCCGTGGAGCAAGCAAAGGACTGAGAAGCGAAGGCGAAGGCGAAGGAGCTCTCACCTTTGAGGCGACCGACATCTTGTCACCGGGCAGTTCGCCTTTCAGGAAAGGCGTGTGATGTGCGACGACAAAATGGGACTTGAGGTGACTAGGTGTTGGTTGGAGCAAGGACAGTCTCTACGCAGACATAATCCTAGGCCGTCGCGTTGCTCGGGGGGTTGGCGAAAAAGGTTGAGGGCGAGGCCAGGCGAGTCGGGTGCGGCAGAGGCAGAGAGGCAGAGAGAGGCAGAGCTTTTGGTGGGCAAGCGGGTGTGGGGAGATTCAATTTTTGCGGCAATGGCCTGTACCCTGCTAAGCCGTGGTGCAGGTGCCCGGGTTGCCAGGTGCGCTCTTCTTGCTTTCCTTGCTTCCTTGCGCAGTGCTTGCTCGTTGGAGGGGGAAGGGGGAGGGACACAGAGAGAGGGGTGGCCCGAGCTCCACCCATCGTCCTCGTCCTTGTCCTCGACTCCAGTTCCCAGTTCCCAGCTCTCAGTTCCCACTGGCACTGGCACTGGCACTGGCATTGGCACTGACACTGGACGGACATGGGGCCACGCTAAGCTCGTCAATGCAGCCAAAGCTCTCTGCTGAAGGCCTGAAACAATGATGGCAGACCGGACTGACTGACTGACTGACAGACAGACTGAGTGACTACACACAGTACAGTACAGACGGGCGAGCCAGTGATTCCAACCACCAGATTCGTCAATGCGACATTGACTTACATAATCGCCCAGAAAACAGCAACCAGGGGGGAATTGTTTTTGGCCGCCCGCTGCTAATTTCAATTTGGTGGCATTGGTTTTGTCGTTAGGGCTCCAGGATGACATTTTCCCAGCCGTTACGCGTTCTGGTTTGCTTCTGCCTCTGCCTCTCTGCTTCTCCAACATCTGATACCGTGAATAACATCTAACTCAAAACTAAACTTAGCAATCCCATGACAACCTCTCATTCAGCCCATCGTGTTCTGGTCCCACCATAGCGACTGGCCCCTCGCTGGATGATCTGCTGCTATTTGGATAAATGCAAAGCAATTTGAACCACCCTGGTGGATCTGGATTGGGTCGCAGGAGATGCTGACTGACCCTTACTGACTGACCCTTGGCCCGCCAATGCTTGATGACTGCCTATCCAGCCATCCACCTTTACGACCTCGGCTCCGATGCTCGTCCCGGCCTAGGAGCTCATTGAACACAACCACCCACACATACACAATCGCTCGACATACTCATGGGCGGCACCAGACACCCAAATCTTATCGTTAGAACCGTGCAACTTAGAAGCCATATCTTGGTGTTCAAGGCCTCGATGGCCAGCACTTCTTAAGTTTGGGAGCTTTGAGAATGTGACTGCATCAGAGCCCGCCGGTTGAGTAGATATCCGACGGGGCTGATGAGTAGCGTACATCGATGTGACGCTCACTGGTATATATCTGCTACTTCTGCCGCACGCTCTTCAAGGGGCCGCTCTGCCCTCATGTCTCTGGAGACACTGATGCTCACTGATCGTGGATTCGCACCCTCCCGCGGCAGCCTCGCCAACGTAGCGGAAGACTCTCGCCCAATTTCTCCTCGACCATGATGTGCATCTTGAATGGTTCGCATCGCATTGTCTCAGGCGAGAGTGCCATACCAGCACCGCGTCTCTCCAGGCTGAAGCCTGCACGACTGACTTGCTATTGCTAGTTTGGCCCACTTAGACTCGGCTGCCTGTTGCTTCTGCTTGGCTCTGGAGCCTCGATTGCCAGCACGACGACGAAACCTCGACGGTTGGTCCTCATCCGCAAATGGGGAATGCAGTTGGTGCAGGGCGTCTGCAGCGCTGCCTTGTGAATGACTACCAACGTGGAGCTGCACAAACCACTAGCATTTTCGCTGCGAAGAATAGCCAGAAAATATTAGACTGCCGTGCATTGCACGCTTCCGGTCGCAGCCCGAGGCTTAGCCATGATCAGCAGATATAAAAGTGAAAGGAATTCAATGAAGCGCGTGTTGTCTAGATGTCCAGCTCACAGATCAATATTCCTATCATCGGTCCCTTCAGGATTCATTTGCTCGATTTATTGCCTCGTTGACTTTGGAATAACCATCGATAGCACCACAGCTGCCATGTCTTCGCAAGTCGGAACCATATATAGGCACGACGAAAACTATGTGCCAATATCTCGGTGGTCAGAATTCGTCAGCCTCAAGGATGAAGCCGACGAGTTAGAAGTCCGCATGGCAACGAAGGATATTGTTCATCGCCTAGCAGGGTGTGAGGGCTCCTGGTATGTCTCTCAAAGTATTCGCCTCGGGGTTTCCAACCCCTATACCGACTCAAAGAAAGCCCACCAGGCTTGGATATCGAGCAGTATCCCCGGGCGATGGAACAAATTCACTAACAAAGTAGTAGGACTACTCTCAGCTTCACTATCAACAACGTCTTAATGAGAGACTTACTCACCAGGGTCTTCGAGGGTTACCAAGGATTCGATTTGAATCTGGCGAACTGGACCTTCCAGGACCCCTTTCGACCGCTAGTCCACAGATGGGGCCAGTTGAACGCTCTACATTCCAAGCTTATAGACGATGAAGATGTTACTGTTGACGAGAAAGAGGCTGGTGATGCCCTCGTGAGCTTCCTCGGCCCCATACTTGCTCCGTCTGTCGGGGCCTTGGCGCAAACCCGTGATACAGGCAGGATTTCCTACAAGGACGTCTGGCAGATCTTTCCTCCTTCAGAACTTGTAGTCACGACTCTCTGGGGAATTCCCCTTCTCGGACGAGTTCTGAAGTACAAGAACAAAAATTCACGAGGGTGGAGAATCACGTTCGAGAAATTGGCCTGGGATGGAAGTTGTTGTGGCTACGTTCAGGAAGTTGCATGGGTTGAGCCCTTCTCAGGTGAACGCTACGTCAACGCATTGGATGTCTATCCTTTGTCATTTCACACGGACCCCGAAGGCTTCAAGAGTAAGATGCTCGAACGAGGTAGGAAGTTTGAGCGCCTCAGGGGATACCACTCACAGACCTATAAGGGAAACATGCATATGCTTGAAAATGATTTCATGACGGGAAAGAGATCGGTATGTTCGCTATCGCTGTTCATTATGTCGCGGACTATGAAGTCGATTATCTAACGGCTACCACAGGTCGAGGGTCGCGTGATTGTCGATACATTTGCATACTACGCGTCCTCCAACCTTGGCAAGCCCAACATGCGTCCGTTGGAGTGTCTAGATGAGGAGACGGCACCGATGCGATCCAGATCCAGGACCACTTCCAGGGCAAGTTCCCGGTCCAGCACACGATCCCACAGTGAAGACTCAAACCGGTCTCCAAGTCCTTCTCAACCATCCGAGTCCGGCGATTTCGTTCAGGTTTCCTCAGACTTGAGTGACACATCAGATCATGACCTGTGGGGCCGGAACGAAGACCTTTCGCCGCTGACGAGTGAGCAATGTCTGATATCAGATCCATGGCTCAGAGGATTCGACTTGAAGGCGAAGCGATGGGGTAAGAATTGAGCTCCAGGCCTGCCACTTGATGGCAAATAAGCAAATGCTGACCAATGTGACAGGTCTAATGAATATTGACGGATTGTCTGACATCGAGTGGAACTATGACGCCTTCGACAACCTTGTCGTCCCAGCCGATGAGAAGCAGCTTGCTTGGGACTTCGTGGAGAGCAAGACCACATCAAACGAAGCGTTTGATGATTTCATTCCCGAAAAAGGGCGTGGTATCATCATCCTAATGTTCGGCCCTCCAGGCGTTGGAAAGACTTTTACGGCAGAGGCAGTGGCTGAGCGTGCAAATGTGCCCCTTTACTCGATGAGCGCCAGTTCGCTTGGTACAGAGCCTGCAGAAATCGAACAGAACCTCGACAGTGCACTACAGCTGTGCAAGGTGTGGAACGCGATGCTACTTTTGGACGAGGCAGACGTCTTTCTGGCAGCACGACAAAGTGACAATATGAAGCGCAACGAGCTTGTGTCTCTGTTCTTGACCAAGTTGGAATACTACCCTGGCATACTCTTCTTAACAACCAACCGAGCTTCTGATATCGACTTCGCCTTCCAGTCCCGGGTGGATCTGTTTCTCCCGTACTACGAGCTTACGCCAGAAGCGCGCCTGAAGATCTGGAACAATTTCATTGATCGAGCTGGAAGGGAGGGGTTTGCGTCTGCAAATATGGAAGGGGACTTGGAGAAATTGTCCCGACTGAGCTTGAATGGCCGAGAGATCAAGAATCTGGTCAAAACCAGCCAGTTACTAAGCCAGAAGACTGGCGGACTCGGCTCTATGGAGAAGCTTTACTTTCTTGCTGAAAAGCGCGTCCATGCGCTTAAGCTGCTTGCGGAGCGAGGAACCTAGTGCGTGCACTCGTAAGGTGCACCTCGATCGTTTGTGGATGATCGGTCAATCAATAGTGCTCTTTGGTTGCGTTGCTGTTACATTTACACTTGAGCATGCTCAGTGGCTTTGTCTCGAGGTAAACGTATTTTTGATCATTTCTTCATGCTGAAAAATTGCTAGCCTTCGGGTTTCCGATGAGTCCTGTGGACATGGTATTGTGAATGAATAGCTCCTCAACGCCAGAACGGTACAGTTATATCAGGAATCTAAGTTAGCTTATGCTGGAACCAGACTGCAGAAGCCTTACTCCGTCGCCATTGCTGCGCTGGAAGTTGGAGTGGTCGCTTCTGTCCTGGGCGGCACGCTAGGAAAGGATCCAATCTTCACCCACTCCGTGAAGCCTGGAGTGATGGCATCAGGTTTGATCCAGAAAAAGACTTTCTTGTATTCGACTTCCCTACCGTTCTCATCCAAGCGGAACTCCACTTCGTCTGTGATGTCTGCACTCCTGATGCGGAATTGGTCTGCTGGCAGCTGTGCCTCAATGTCGTTGGGAAACTCTGGTCGGGCGGGATCGAGGGAAATTCCATGTTCTATCTCAACGCAGCGCATGCCAACGTAATACAGCATCTTGGCTTTGAATAGATTTTCCCGCTCGTACCCAAGCAATGGCATGTATCTTAATGCAGCAAGTCGCAAGTCCAACCGTCGGCAGTTCAGGACCACAAAATAAAGATAAGGCATAAAGCCCATTTCGAAAATGAATTTCGGCTTTGGTCCTGATTCTCCCAATTTGAGCTCAGCGAACTGTCCAGCGAGATGTATAAGCTCCTCGAAGTCCTGATTGTGTTCATCATAGGCCGTTTCGTCGCCACTAAGGCAGCATGAGACCCAGATCTTGCCCACGATGCATTTCATCTCGTCGGATAGATGCGAAGGGAAATCGTCTAGGCTCAGTGAGCCTTTCAATCTGATGTCCCTGTAATGATTCCGCCACACGACTAAGACATCGAATATGTCCCGTTGTTCTTCGTACAGGTGGCTCGGTGTCGACAAGTGACGTAGAGGGCCTTGACGATAGCTGAGACCCAGCCGGATCAGGCGGACAGTACGATTAACGAGCCAGTTCCAGGACGTCTCCATCTCCTTAGATGTGACATCTAGTGCGATAGGATCTGAGACCAGGCCCACAGGTTCTGGGAAATCCGCAGCTTCAACCCCAAAGAAGTACGGGAACGTCGCCAGGCGCAGAAATATCGGCTGGAGCTCCTGCTTTGCCCAGCCCAAAAGCCCCTGTGGTGTGCTATTGCAGATAGTAATGCCATGTCGACAGTGCTCGATCGCCATATCTTTATCTCCTCGCATCGTTTCTATACAGATGAAGAGCAGACAGACGAGCAAGGTTGTGTTCTTGTCATTGGCTGATGAGATCAACTTGCTCAGCGCCAGATTGTACTGAGTGATCGCGAATCTCTCTCGAGATAGTGCCAGGAGGTCGTGGCTGGTGTCATTCAATCCCTCATACATAGAGCCTATGCACACCAGAGCATGGTGCACGGCAGGTTCCTGTTGCCCAACCTGTGATACAAGGATGTTCCAGAACTTCTTGCTGGAATGCTTCGAAAGCACCGGCGCAACCTGGAGCCTGAAGAACTCCAAGGCCCGGGCTTCCATATCATTCGAAGTAAAAACCATGCTCGGATTGCGGCGGACAACGGTCGGTGCGACATTCTGCGCTGAGAGGAGGTCTGCCCAAGAGTATGCTGCTTGACCAGTGGGATGGGCGGGATATCCCTCACATTTGCGGCACGTGGAGGTGCATCTCCGACAATGTGGTTTAGCCTCGTCACATTTGACCTTTCGTGCTCTGTTTACGATTTGATGAGTGCTTGATGGCGCTCAGGACAAGCGTTCCAACTCACTTGCACGTAAAGCACCCTACGCAGATAACCGAATCAGCAATTCATCAAAAAATTATTTAATTGCTCTTAGTTACTTACCTGTCCTCACTTTGGTGCTGCCTTTTCTTGCCATGATCAGGCTTCAGGCTAGCTCGAATTGCAGCACTTCCGACGCTGGAACAAATTTGGTGGAATCGGTTCCCGCCGGGAGGCGAAAGAAATTGGAAGTCATCTATCTATAAGTAAGGTTGAGGGAACATCCTAACCATAAGATCAGTAAGCGCTACCCTGTGCACTGCCGCCTAAAGTTCTGGAAGGATTCAAGGGGTGGCGCAGTCATTATTCAGCCGCCGTGCTAATCAGTACCAAGACTATGTACGTGGACGAGATACTCCTTACGCAGTGGCTTGATTATCAAAGCTGTCTTGACTACCAGCTCTAACGCTGACATCAACGCTACATAAAGGAGCCTCACTGTTGATGGACAATATTCATTGGTCCAATCTGCACTATCTTGCAACAACAAAAGATGGAATGGTATCAAGTGTGGCCCTGAACCAATGCCCCGCTGCTGTCAGTCCCCCCAAACGTCACTCGAAAGTCGATGTTTTCTGCGTTTGCGCACCATACTAGTCAACACCATCATGAAAGCTTGAAGGAAGCGGGTCGACTTAAGTAAGATGAGATTCAGGAAGGAACAGGCTTCTTGCCCAGATTCGTGAACGGACAAAAAGTTTCGCGTGGTCATGTGAGGGGAGAATATCTAGGAAGGCCAAGCGGCCCGGGGCTTCATCAGAAGTAGACGCCGAGAAACCGAGCTTCATGCTGCCGAAGGTTCCCCTCATTATAGTTCACCTTCATCACATAACATTGCACCGACTTCTTCAAAACATCGCGATTCGACGGTATTATAAAGTCTGTGAGAAACCTGTAAAACCAATTCTCTACTCTCATGTACGCTATGACGTCCAATCCAGAGTTCAACCAAGACACCACAGGCACCGAAGCGGCCAAAGCTCTCGGGGCATCAATCAAGGGAAAGACTGGTTCGTGAAAACCACTGACCAAAACCTGAAGACATAGGCTGATTTTGGCTATTAGTCGTCATCACTGGTGTTAGCCCGGCCGGGCTTGGGTTCTCTACGGCTGTAGCGATCGCTTCTCAGGAGCCAGCGACTCTGATCCTGGCCTCTCGAACCGCATCTAAGCTGGATGCAGCGGCAGCAGAGATCGAAAAGAATTCTCCTTCTGTGAAGGTCAAGAAGGTGTCTCTTGATCTCTCGTCATTGGATTCTATCAAGGAGGCCGCTGCCCAGATTGATGCTCTGGTCGACCACGTTGATGTCCTCATCAATAACGCCGGCATCAGTCACCTAACTAGAGACGCGGTACAGACACCGGGAGACACTTGGGTCGACACCAACTTCTTCACTAACCACCTTGGCCCATTTTACTTGACATACCTCCTGCTTCCTAAGCTTCGTGCTGCAGCAAAAGAGGATGAACCGAAAGGCGCAACCCGCATTGTCAACCTCAGCAGCCACGGCCATCGGCTGTCCCCCGTTCGCTTCTACGACTACCAAATTTACCATTATGTCTACGACGGAGTACCGGACAGCCAGAAACCTCCCAAAGGATTGCCCGATGGATTTCTGAGGCTAGTTGATGGCTACCCTGGATTCATCGGCTACGGGCAATCGAAGACAGCCAACATATTGCACGCAACAGAGCTGACCCGACGTTTCAAAAAGAAGGGCGATAACATACTCGCCCTATCAGTCCATCCTGGGACCATCGAAACAGAATTGTCGCGATATCTCGACGAAGAGGGAAGAAAAGCGATTGATGGCACGGCACCCCACGGCAAGTGGAAGAATCTGGACCAGGGCGCAGCCACGACGATTGTCGCAGCATTTGACCCCAAGCTTGCGGAGCTTGATATCGGCGGTGAGGCATACGGGTACATGTCAGACTGCCAATTAGGCGATGAACATCTTGCAGAGCATGCGAAAGACCCATACAATGCACAGATGTTGTTTCACGAGAGCGAGCGCATGCTGGGGTATAAGACCGGGCTCTAGGCAAGTGGAGAACACTTACACATGTGCGTGGAATACCTGTTCGTCCTATAATAGACAGCTCATGTCATGTCACGTATTCCAAGCAACTAGTAATCTTCTGGATCTCCAATTTTGCATTACAACGTGTTTATTTAACACAGCGAGAAGCTCAATCTTCGTGTTATGTACAGACGTGCCTCTGGCTGCGTTGATGTTGCTCGCGACTTGTCTCTACAGGCCCATTACTGGTGGCAAGAAATGACACCTGATAGCATCGTCTGTGTAGCTGTCGCCCTACTCGCAAGAATCTGAACCTCACACACCTCAGTTCGCGCCCGCAGCACCGCCCAAAAGAGCAGCCAAGCCGCCTGCGCCGCCTGCCGCATTTCCACCCTGAGCCGCCGCGTCTGCTACAATTTAATTTGAGTCAGCTTTCATATTATCGAGGCAAACTTTTCACAATGGGAAGAGGGATAGGATGGAACATCATCTGCTGATGGCCAGCCAGTCCCACAAGTTGCGGCCTGGCAAGGGCTCTACAAGATGTGAGACAGCCAACGCATATGATAGATATATGTTCTTCGTGAAGGTCAAGCAGTGTCTGGGACATGCTTACCACCGCCAGCAGCCCCTCCTGCAGCGCCAGCGCCAGCACCTGCACCGCTGCTTTAAGTTAGCAGACTGTTACGAAGTCAGACAGGTAAGGGTGAAGACATACGCAGCTCCACCAAGCAAAGCTGCCAAACCGCCTCCTGCAGCTGCTCCTCCTGCCGCTGCTCCTGCTAGATGTTTTCATTAGCCTCGAGTTCATTTAGAGAGAAAGACTGGGATCTCCAACTAACCTTTGCCCTTGCCGCCCTTTCCTTTTCCTTGATGGTGACGAGGCTCAATGGCAATAGCGGACACGCCAGCCACCAGAGTGATCATGTAGAGGAACTTCATTTTGGAGAGAATGGATGGAGACCCAGCTCTTAAGTTTTTAATGAAGGATTTAGATGTAAAAAGACTAACGGCACAGCCGAAATTTGCAGAAGACACGAAGATTGAAAGGTATGTGCGTAAAGGATAAAAACATTCTAGCCCAAGCCCGAGGAAGATGGCGGCGGGGCACTATATACCACGACGAGTGACAACTGATGTCCTGTTGAAGTGGCAGTTGTAGGTGATCTGCGTCGATCTTCCGCAATTCTGCAATCCGCCCGACTGGGTAAGGCAATTGTCCGTTCGTAACATGGGCAGTGTGGTCTGAACTATCCTGAAGCCATAGGGGTGGCAGTGACGAAGTTAGTTTCGTTTCAATGCTCGGACGGATGTCTGCCAAGCCACTGACATTGGCAGACACCAGCCAGCTGATGAATGACTGAGGGGAAAGCTAACGTCCAATAAGCATAAAAGAAGCTATAAAGCATGAGAAAAGAACGGCTAAAGCGGCATGGTGTTTTAGGAGGCGAGTACGAGAATTTCAGACGAGGTGAGCCGCCCAGTTGTACCTGCGTCTCCGATGCGAGCGGCAGCTATTTAAGTTCAAGTCTGTGGGTGAGGAGAAGAGCCCCCGAATCGAATCGACACACCAACCCCGGCACTGAGACGGATTTCGCCAAGACGGCCGTGGAAACCTGGGGCTGGCTTGGGGAATAGGGGAAAACAAAGTCGAATCGCAGTTGGCTTCGGAACGTCATACACGCAGCCACACGGGACCCCTTTCCATCTGCATCTTCGACCGCTCGTAAGCCGAGGAGTCAGGGAATGTGTCGCGAGGAATTGAAACATGCTCTGGATAGTGCAAGACTTCTGTTTAGGAAATTACCCTGTAACTCAAAGCCGTGAAATGAGGGCCTCTGACTTCTGTCCAGGAAAATTCTGGCACGAGAAGATGTGATCCGCCACTTGCATTACCCGTAAATTGCAATTTCGAGCACTTCTCGCAAAACATGGCTTAATGCAGGAAGTGTTTTCTTTTTGATCGGATGTCCGCATCACGGCAGGATGTGCTGTTTGGGTCGCGTTGGTTGGATTTCCAGTCGGCTCACCGAGAGTAGTAAATGATGCTGTCCAAAAAGTAGATTACAAATGAAGCTGGAATTTCAAACCATGTATTTCCTATATGTTTTGGTTCCATCATCGCCCCCATCGTTATTACAATCGAGCTAGTGTCCACGCATGATTGAAGGTGCTCGTTAATCGTTCAATAAGAAACGTGATGTCCGTCAACTCCTCCCACCATATGCTGTTGGCCTTGAGAGATCTTCCATCTTCACTTGGCTGCTCGGGCAGTATAGCTACTGTCACGATCGACCTCAAAGCAACGCTTGAGCGAGCCCGCTACTTGTGCTCGTGTCACTGGAAAGGCCAGGAACGAATATCGTCACCCGGACTTCTACCGGCGAGCAGACTTTCTGATGACGAGTCGGGCCGATGTTTCTGCGGGAGGAGGCATGGCTCACCTCACTGGTCAGGTGGAGGCAGAGATCGAGTCCTCAATAGTGAACCGATTCTTCTGCGTAAGTGCAACTTTCTGTGGGCAGTAAACCATGATGCGTAGACTATGGGGCTTCCTGATTCGGATGGACAAGCGAATTCGGTTCTGAGTGAAGGTCTGTTCTCACTACCTAGGTAGCTAAGAGTTGTTTCTCGTGTTTCTCTTGACTGTGTGATTTAGAAGTTGCTAGTTCTCTAGGCACCATGTTGGCCACAGCCTCACTAGGGCACTGAGTTCTTGGCTTTTGGTCTTAAGCGACTGTTCTGTCCTCCCGCGATGTCTGAGAAGCCCGATGCCTCGCGCATGGGCGACCTTCATTTTGCCCCTGATATTTCTCATGTTTTTCAAGTCGACTTGAGAACTTGGGGAACAGCGCTAAAGACGTCAGGTCTACTACATGGCCCAGAATGTAGCGCAAGAGCTCGCCTGTCTGATTGTACCTACCACTTAGAAGGAAGACGTAGGAAAGGGAGCTGAGGTTTGGGGTATCAATTTTGATGAAGTTCAAATCTTTATCCTGAAAAACAGCACCCCAGCAACACTTCTTTCTATTTTTATTCTTCTAATCTTGCCTTCGACCCGCCACTTCAAGTATGGCTTCTGAAGTCCTCTCGAAAATTCAATGTCTACTTCAAGCGTGATGCAGGACCTATCAAATAATTCCTATACGCCCCTTTGATTGTAAATCTGTACTTTTTCCGAGCATGGGCTTCAGGTTTCATCTCTCCAAATGCGCTAACCAGACATTCTGGCCTCATGAAGTCACAGAAACAATCATGTGTCGTGATTAAAGACCTCTGTAGTTCTATTATGGAACCCAATTGTCATACAGTCGCAAATAACCAGCTGGTCTACAGCAGTCGGTCAGGAGACGGTTCATTTTTAGCTCATGCCAGCACGAAAACTACTGGGCCTGGCAAAATTTCGCGTGATTTATACTCATACCTACTTCAATGGCGTGAACCCAGGAGCTGCTATGTTACCTTTTGATGATAAGCTTAACTATCTAGCCAAACGACCAGGGCAGTATCGGCTCACCGTATCTAACTTTTTGACAGGCTAGACAACTAGCTTGATCACATCGTACCCTTAGTTGAAGAGGCCCGCCCTCTCAATTGCCTTTCCTGGACATAAGAAGGCGGTCCTTCGTTCCATTCCCTTCGTCGCATTGTACTCTTCTTGTCATCGGAGGAACGACACCGACAAGACCGAACTGCCAACAAGCATTCCCTGAGCATAAAAATATAATCTACAACTGGTCGACTCCGTAGAGAACATCCTCTGCTCCCGAAAGCGTGCAGCATCATCACGTCATGTTGCCCCTACATCTTGTGGCTGGTTCTGTGCTGGCTGGCCTTTCGGTTGCAAGTCCTTTGCACGGCCTGACTGCTTCTGAATTAAACCAAGCCATTACTCCAACTTCTGATTCTACTTCTTACCTTGCTCCTGCCAATACTAACGGGCCCTTAGATGATCAGGCTTCATCAAGTGCTCTGATTTCTAAGCGACAACATCAGTATGCCAGCGATCAGGACGACTGGGAGGAGGTCGCCAAAGCAGGCATCGAGGCTGGAGTGGATGGCCTAGAAGCGATTTTCACGAACATATTCAAAGAACCAGGAGAGGAATTTGTCACGGTCACTGTTACTTCAGTGCCGGGACCAACCACTGTCACTGTCACTCCAGTGCCGGGACCAACCACTGTCACTGTTCCTCAAGTGCCAGGACCGACCACCGTCACTGTTCCTCCAGTACCAGATCCAGTCACTGTCACTGTCTCTTCACCGGGTCAAACTCAAATTCTGATGCCGCCGAATAAAGGCGGGTGTTATATTGCAGATAAAAATGCTAGACTAAGCTACGGGGTTTGTTAGACAGGCAATCAGCCACGTTCTGGGACAGAAGCTGTAAGTATGTGCTCGAGGCTCTTGCACTTACGTCCTGCTCAGACCACTCTTCCATTTACACGTACCAATTTTCTATGTATTCGATCCTGACTTTGCATCACAGCGGAAAGAGTTACAAATCTCGTGGGCTTTGCTGAGGTGGTTCGACATACGTTAAGTGTTAATATTAAGACGGAGTTCATACGTACCTACATAGGTAGGGTAGAGTTGAAGCCTTGGTCACCTCGACTCACTGGCTTGTGCCAAGCGGGTGCAAAGAAACGCGACGGAAGATCTGGGATTTCGGGCTTCCCCCAAATTGGTATTTATTGTTGTTCCAATCTTGGAATCAAGTCTCCTCAGACTCTGTCCTAGGTTCACAATACAAAGGTCTCTTGTTTAACCCTGAAGTCTGTGTCTTTTCGATGCGGTCCTGGACTGAAATCAATCTTCTGTGAAAGCCACGTCAGCAAGTCCCGCCATTCGCCTGGGCCTGTTTCATCTACACATCGTTCGAAGTTGCGCCTTTGATGCCCAGACCACAAGGGAAGTAAGCTCAAATAGGCCGTCATTATTCAATCGTTTTCAGAAGTCACTGCTCTTAATTGTATTGCTCAATCCGAATTGAGAACTTAGTCTAGCTCGTCAACCGTGTCTTTTAACTGCCCATCATTTGAGACTGTCTGCTGCGGCCCGAGTCTAAAGACTCTTCTTTCTGATTCTTTCTGGGATGGATATCTTCTCTAGTTGAGAATGAAGTATCGGATTCACTCATCGTGTTGTCTGGAGAAACTCCTTGAATCTGGAGACTAAACTTAATGTGTACTGAACTAAGTGGTCTGGCCTGACCTCTGTCCCGAAGGGCTGCGGAACTTAGCCGTCAGCCTGTGGTGAAAAGACGACAAAGAGACATCAGAATCTCGTCCATTGTATCCAACCTCCGGATAGCGATCGTTGCTAACGACTGGCTACCACATCCACTAAAATCCAAGGTCCATTCTACCGGCAGTCTGTCCTTACGTCCTTTGCTCTTGGACTGACTGTTCACCGCGTCAGACGACTCCCATTCCCATCCATCGTGAAGTGTGATGAAAGCAGCGATACGGAAGTATCCCCAACCAAGGGATGACTTTGTGAATGGTGGTTTCCGCAGTGTGATGAAACGGTGGTTTCGGAAACTGTCATGTAGGATGAGATCGACAGAGTCGATCAAGTCTGCATGCGAGCTATTCAAAAAGAAGGTCCAACAGTGGTGACGCATCATGCCTGAGAAAGGTGAGATGGAGGGCGGGACTTTCTTGTGTGTGTTACCAAGCTGAATGGTCATGAATTCGGTCTCGGTGTTCTGCATGGCTCGTTCTTGGTACATGACCGGATATGTCAACTCTAGCTGGGATGACCGAGTGGCATCAATTGAAAATGTCGTCTCTGTCCGGCATATTGGGCATGCAAGCGATATGCAGTCAACATTTAACTCGCAAGCAATGCGGAATGATGCGTTGAGAGGCTGGGGCTCGGTTTTTGATGTTGCGATCCATGTCAAGAGGCAAACATGACAAGCTGCATGTCCGCAGACGATGCCTGATGCCGGATGATGAAGTAGCTGTCTGCAGATTGGACAAATGTCGTTGTAGTCGCAATCCATGATCCAGTTCTGCAAGTTTTGTGACAGGTAAGCTGCAAGCTTTGAAGTGTCCGCTCTCGCAAGAGTTGCGAGGTGTCCTATCAGGACACCCCAAATCGTATTGCTAGTGTGATCCGTGCAAGTTCTCCTGAGAATCCTTCGCTTATGCCACGCACCCTGTCCTTCGGCCAATCGCGCATCCAAATTTGGCGCTGCATGCGCTGCATGTCATATCAACGCGAACAATTATCACTGTGCTAGATTGGCCGCCTTCCCGGTAGTCTCGTAGCCCCCGGCATCGATGATTTAAGAACATAGGGTTATACAGCGTTCCTTGGAAGTAGTTCTCGCTCTAGCAGGATTCGCCTCCCCGTCAGGCTACTGGAAGCTTGAATTCTTAAGCGATTATAAGGACCAAAACTCGAAAGAAACCAGGTGTCCTTGCAAGTGCTGAGGTAGCCATCGTTTGCTGCTACATAATCACACACTTCAGTCCAGGGTCACTGTCCGGATCGAAAATCGTCTCCGGCCAGACACTCTCGAGCTCAACCCTGTACACGTCCCACCGCTCCCCCGGTTGTGCTTTAGAAGCTCCCTCTGGGTGCCAGTCAGCAATTTGTTTCCGGACCGCATCATCAAGAGACAACTCCTCGCCAGCGACCTTTGCCGCCTCTATAACCATTGTCGCCCTTGACACAAGGTCGGTGATGCCGCGACCCGGCGCTTGCTGGTGAATCAGCTCGAAGTTGAGGATCTTGACCCCCGGTGGATTGACGCTCTGCCAATTCATTTGGAAGAGAGTACCAGCGTCCGTGAACGCGTTGTTGTGGACACAACAGACATTCGGCAGGACGACGTGTGGAATTGGGTTCACTTCCGGGTGGTACACGTAGGCTGTATGCCGGTACTACTTGCGCTTGAACGTCTTGAATACCATGCTGCAAGACGAAGACAATGCTTACAAGTTGCTGAGAAATGAGAGGATACTGAAATGAAAGTTTTGACTGATGGCCCACGATTGCTTTCTTGTCTTAAAGTGCTCACTAGTACAATTTGCGCACCACTCGCAGAAAGTTGATGTTGGCTCTCGTGTTTGTTTGTGGCACTGTGCCGCAATGAGTGGGGCCCACCACAATCGAACCTAGACTGTGATAATCTTGTATTCACTGTGTCGTGCTAGCATGATTCGTTGTGTTTTGTTTTGCTTGTTTTGTTTTGTTTATGTTGTGTTGGCCCTATATGTGGTTGGATGGAGGGTAGTTTATAATACTTGCTTCTGAACTACATAGGGCATGGCCGTATTTCCTGACGAGAATACTGCAAATCAATCTAACATGATCGGTCTACAATTCTCCCGGGCAGCCAGAGTACTGTTGCCCAACTCAGGCAATCTGCGAAAGACAGCGGGTGTTGGGGATAAGGCTTATCCGGTGTAATCCTTGAGGCCCTCGGCCGCGGTTCCACCCTCAGCTATGAGCGCAATGGGCGACAGCTCCTTCAAACATTACACATGCCGGAAGACGAAGAACTTGCCCGACGATTGACATGCTTTGTCAATACATTCTGTTCCCTTGTCGTTTGTGGTCTATCTGCCCGAGAAGTGGGGGCTCGCGAAAATCCGGTGCTGCAAGGGTGACTGACGTGATCTTGAGTGATAATGAGGAAAAGACCCCTCTAGCATACTTATACCTTGATATTTCCGCCGCCCTGAAAAGCTCCGATTGCCGATATCGTTACATTGGAAACAAATACCGCTGCATCAAGCAAAACAGTCCAACATGGGACTTGCAGAGAAAACAGTGGTCTCTGAGACCGGGCTCGACAGATCTGATGCATCGCTGGAGGTGAAACCACAAAACTCATGGAAAGGATATTTGTGGGACACGTTCGCCCTTCCTCAGGATCAGCGTCGACTGTTGTTCAAATTGGATGCTTTCGTTTTGACGTTCGCTTCGGTGCGTGAGCCCATGCTAGGCCTGAAATCCCCCCTACAATCAAATTCATAACACACGCCCTAACGAACTCTTCAGATTGGCTACTTTCTCAAGAACCTCGACCAAACTAACGTCAACAATGCATTTCTCAGTGGTATGAAGGAAGACCTACAGATGTACGGCAATGAGCTCGTTACTAGCACCTCCAGTGAGTATTTCTAATATGTTATGTTCTCCTTAACTATTCTGTTGGTAAATGTCCTCTGTCCAGAGGATGATGTATGTTGAGACTGGCAAATTACTGAATCTTATTGATTGTGACCTTCGTATACTTTGTAAATATCGCAATCAATGCTAACTCTCGTCAAGTCTATACTGTCGGGTACGTGATCGGCCAGATCCCGTCAAACCTCTTGCTTACTCGAGTCTCACCACGATGGGTGATACCTATGGTACGTCTCGCGTTTTCGTCTATTTGTTTTGGTAAACAAAATCTAGTATTTCACACGCCGCTGACAGTCATCCTGCAGCTTGAGTGCGGATGGGGCGTTGCTACTATATGTACAGCATCTATAAAGTCTTACCGGTCCCTCTACGCTCTCAGATTTCTTGTTGGCCTCTTCGAGTAAGTCAAAGCCTAACAGTCTTAATTTTTTTTCATGACTATTCTGCTTTGGACTAAGGAAGCTAATCTTTAAACTATCTAGATCAGGCTTCTACCCAGGTTAGCTTCTATCAATTCTCACCCCCGTTATGCTATTCTACCCGTACTCGTCACGGCATCGTCGAGCAGTTTCGTAGCCATTCCGGCCACGTACCGACAACTACGAAGCACCTCTAGTTGAAACTTAGGGACAGGATGTGTCCTGCGATCTACCTGTCCCATGTGAAGTTTCTTCTAATCATCTTCGAATACTGATACTTCCACAGGAATCCATTACATGTTGGGATCGTGGTATACTCCTCGTGAAATCGGTAAACGGGCCATGGTATTCTGGCTAGCTGGGTCTATTGGCCAGATGTTTAGTGGTTTTCTGCAGGCAGCGGCGGTAAGTGGCTCTGAGCTAGCCTCTGTTCGTCTCGAAAATACTGCGTTACTTCCTTTTGCCCTCCTCTGCATGATCTGGAGGTGCTACATCGGCCTGCAGCTCCAAGGTCTGGCCATGGGCAGAGGCTTCCAATCTGATCGTTCTCAATGAAGTATATCGAATGTCCAGGACTGATTTAGACTCATGCAGTACACAAACTTGAGCGGGTCGGGAGGTCTTGCAGGCTGTAAGCACAAATCTTTTCCTTTTACGGTTCCCCGTCTGTTGTGTTTTGGAATATTCCAGGATGCGCCACTTTAGGTTCCGTAGCAGATGATTAACACATATTAGGGCAATGGCTATTTATCGTAGATGGTATCATTACTATTCCTCTTGCCTTGGCGGGTTTTATATTCTTCCCAAATATGCCTGGCGGTGGAAAGACCTGGTGGATCACCGAATCAGAGCACACCCTCTCGGTGGACCGGATGAAGGCTGTTGGGCGAGCCGGAAAGCAGCCGTGGACGCGGGCTAAAGCCAAGAAGATCCTTTGCAGCTGGCATACGTACCTCCTCCGTGAGTGATCCTTCCCAATGACTAACGTACTACTCGAGGATCTTCACATCTCAACGTGTCAATTATCGTTCAAAATCTTTTATACTAAACTGAGAGACAGCGTTGTGTTATGTCGTCTGGAATAATGGCTGGGCCCAGCCCGCGATGGGTGTGAGTGTTACCCCAAGGAACATGTCCCATCTGCGCTGCTCTAAGAGGGCCCATCTCTAAATGAAGGTGTTCTTAGCGAATTCTGGGTCTTCATAGTCCCAAAAAGAGCATAGAAAATTGCCTCTGAGCGAGTTGATGTTTTTATAGAACCGGAAATAACTGATTCGAGGTATTGCAGTACTGGCTCAAGAGCTTTAATGAAACCCCAGCCCCGGTGCCGGGCACCTCGTTCTCAGTGGCAGACATCAATGACTGTAAGTGAAGCAAGGAATTTGGATCCTACTGGACTGGGGTTGACTCAATTGCGCAAATATAGTACCTCTTCCAACCACCGGTATTTTCATTGTGATGGCTCTGATTTGGGGCTGGGCCTCTGACGGTCCGTGTCACGGAGTGCGCTGGCCTTTTATCTATATCGGCGCAGCTATTACTGTAAGCTGCCAGCCTTTTCGCACTCAACTCAACTGGAAGCCGGGATTTGATATTGTAGTTGCGTTGAAGATGGCGTACTAATGCTGAGAACCAGCTTATATTCAGTATCCTCCTGCGCCAAATGCCACTGTATGAGAATATCAGGGGCCGCATGGTAGTCTACTGGCTCAGTCAAATTGGTGTAAGTGGTGCAAAACGATGAATTGCACATAAGTTCGTCTTGCTTACTGACTGCTCTTTTACCCAGAATGGCGCGGGGCCACTTATCCTGACCTGGATCAACGAGATTTGCACCGACGACACCGAGAAGAGGGCGCTGCTTGTCGCGATGGGCAATGATCTCGCATATGTGGTGCAGGCAGTTGTAAGTCCAGACCTGATTTATTTTGACTGCCGTGCCAGGCGGTGTGCAGATTAGAGACTAACCATAAAGCATTAGGCACCAAATTTCGTTTGGAAAACTACTGACTTCCCGGCGGCACGAAAGGGGTACCTCTGGTGTATCATCATGCAAATCTTGCTCGGTGAGTCTACTTCTCCCCCTCTACCCCTTCTCCCCAGACGCCGCTGGAAACAAGCTTACAAAGACTTTTGGTATATGGAGTTGTGGTCACTGCCTCTATTCAGCTTCTACTGTGGCGAGACAGGAAGAATGCTGCCAGAGCCGCCGAGGAGTCTTTACCGCCATCTCCTAGCAGTGACAGCCCCAAGGACGCACATGATGTCGACGAGCGTCAGGCGGTTACCGCCGACAAAATCTCGCCAGTTTGAACGCTTAAATGGTACAGAAAATCTTCTCTGTTGCCCGCCGATCTTGTTGCCCCTGCCCACCTATCTCCCTTACCCAATCTCTCTCCTTCGCCGACTGGCCACCTTCTCCATCAAATGGGAAGCCAACCCACACCTGGCAACGTGCTTGGCGACAGAGAATGCCAGTCACGCATCCCAAATACATTGGCACAGCCTCATGCAATTATGGTTTTCGCAATGGACTAGCGACACAGAGCGCTAGTGATAATGCGAGAGAACAGATTGGCTCACTGTCTCTCCTCTATGGTGCCTCTCATGTTAGGCAGGAAACAGGAATGCTTTATTAGATGCTCACAGTGATTGATAGCAAAATTAAATTTTTGGTCTTCCTTGATTCTCTTCTCTTCCTCATTGCTTCATGCTGGTCCTGGGCAAGACCGAAAACTGCCTCGACGGGGGTCACGTCGTAAGATTCATCAACGCTCCTAGCAAGAGTCTAAACCTGCGTTTCGATACAAACAAAATTAGGCACGTTCAGCCGAGACTCAATAACACAGTAACTTGTAAGTTCCCCGGAAGAGCTACAATTTGAGGGGGAAGGGCACCTGACGCACTTTGGCTAACCAGCATTTTGCCTTCCCAACTGCCAGGATTCCACCCATTCACTTTCCACCACGAAACATCAACATCTCACGATTGTTGTTCTACATCTTCCTTTTCCACCAGGATCCAGTAACTCATCTTCATTCAGGCTCAGAGCACCCGTCCCTGTCCCAGCCCACTGCGTAAGTCACGTCAGCTTGTCTTGTTCTCATTCCACTGGCATTCATCACATTCTTTTCAGCAATTGTAGCATTTGATTCCATCCGCACTTTTCACCCCATTGATGTCCCATTGTCTGTTTTCACCCCACTGTTCTTGACCCCACTAACAATAGGAAACGCGTTTCTATAGTTTTCCTACCTAAAAACCAAGCAGCTGCCTTCTTCAAAACCCCAAGCACCCAACCTTTTCAAACCCCAAACCCTCCACCAACGCAACATCAACCATCAAAGCAAGAACCTCGAAACATTCCTCGATTGCACTTTCAAATCGACTTGGTGACTCGCACAAGTCGCAAGCTACATACAACTCGACTTACAAAAAGGTCGGAGTCAATCCATCAACCCATCAAAATGTCTGCGTTTGACCAGGACAACGTCAGCGACGCAGGCTCCGGTTTCCGCACCCCAAGCCCACAAGGTCGCGGTCGATCGCAGAGCACTTCGGTAAGTTGACATGTCGAAAGCCGTCTCAAGCATGCGATGAGCTATACTGACAACGGCAATAACAGAGCACCGATCGCAAGATGTCTCCCAAGCGCTCAAGCAGCATCTCTGTAAGTTGCCACTGGTGCTCCAGTCTGCACGAATGGGTTCACTGACTTTGTATCTCCTCAGGCGCTACGTCAGGCAAAGAAAGACTACCATCCTGACCACATCATCTCTCGTGACGAAGAGGGCCCGACTTCTTCCACTGAGGTGAATGTAAGTTGATCGTACCCTGATTGGTTTCGTGGGTACTGCGCTAACAAGAGACTTACTAGGACACCACCAACGTCGTTGATACTCAAGGCACTGCACCCGGACATGAGCAGGAGGACATCTACAGCTCTTCTCCTCCCCCTTCCCCTGGAAACGAGCTGGCCATGGACGTCGAGGTAAGTCAACATGGTTCCCCACTTCCCACCATCACCTATTTCCAGACCCCGACATGCCTTGGCATGTTCTTGTCGAAAGTGAATTTGAAACAAATAACTGACTGTTCGGGCGCAACAGGACTTTTGCAGTAGTGAGTGGGCCAACCCGGTTGAGGCGCTCAAGAAGTCAGTTGAGCACATCGCCAACAACACGCAAATGCCTTTCGACTATGTCATGAAAGACTGGAAGATGACCTGTGGCGCGATGACTCTCATCCTCGACGACACAGAGCAAGCCACATACCACGAAGCCAACATTCAAGCTATACAGCTATTCAAAGTCGAAGATGACGCCACTGCTGACGCTCCACCCCTCCCTGAAGAGCAAGTGGACCTGGGTTTTAGGATGCTGGAGCATCACGGCGATGATCTCCTCCAGTCCATGCAGATTGAAACCCAGCTGTTCATCAATGGAAAGCTTGTCGGAAATTCCGATGAGGACTCCTTGAAGAAGCTCTGCATTCCATGTGCAGAAGCGCATGACGATTTGATTCTCCAGGCATCATACTTGTTCCCAGAACACAACTTGACTTACATCTTCATCACAATGTCGCGCTGGGCAAGCGGCTGGGAAGAGGGAGGCAAGTACCTAAAGAAACTTGGAGACATCGTGCTGCCAATGATAAAGGCTCAGGAGGATGAGCCCAAGCTCCAGATACTCTCCTCGGATCAGGCCGCCAGTCTGCTTGGTATCGCCACCTGTGAAACCAAAGCAGTACAGTACACAATTGTCGGGACACCCCGCTGCAATGTCACCGATTACATGACCAGTATTCGCTCAGGTCCAATCAAGGAAGCGGTTGACACAATCATCGGCCTGCTTGACAGCAACGCAAATGTCACAGTTGACCTTGTCCATCCGATCTACGAGGAGACTGAAGACATGAGTCTTGACTACACGGTGAGGATCCTCGAGAAATGCACAGAGGGATGGCACCGGGATTCGAATGATCCACTCGCGATTTACTTTGCCAACTCGCCCTCGAAGCGCATGCTTGACCTCAGAACGATCCCCAAGGATAAAGCCATTCCTCTCATGGACAAGATACCTGCTCTGGCTACATTCGACACCAATGAGCAGTACTACGTCGCCATGGCCATTGGCAACCAGCAAGAAAAAGAGTACCAGGACCGCCAGATTGGTAAATTGACAGAGTTTGACGTCCCAGTTCGATTCCTCGCAGACCCCCGCACTTTGCACCCCAAGGATCAGGCACCGCAAGAGTACTTCATGTTGATCGACAGCAACACTACTGTCCCTGAAGTCGATTACCTCCTTCCACGCATCGGCGACTCCGCTGATATTGTGCTGAAAGGTGTCTCCGTCAAAAGGCGAGACTACGCCGGGGACATGAGCTCCAGAGAAGATGATCAAATTGTCATGCATATCACAGCCTCTGTCTGGGATGCCGATAATGACCACACTCTAACGTCCCGGACTGACGTTGAAAAAAGGCTCGTATACCTGCTCAGCCCCCTTTGCGTCACGGACGACAGCGGTAACGAGATTACCGAGAACCTCGATCTCCTGCGGACCAACCTTGATGAGATTCGACTAGTATATGAAGAGAATGATCGGATCTTGGAGTTTGTGAAGTCGAACCGGGCCTGGCTTAGGCCTCCACCTCCGGAGATAGATGATGAGATAGACCCATTCACCAACCCAGCCCGCCTGCGTGGTCACAGAATCGACGTGCCGAGCAAATTGTGGCCAGCGACCACCCATGTATGGAAGCTCCAGGTTCCAGCCGACAAGCAAACCGCAGGCGAGAAACTTCCCCTTTTGCTGGACCTGCCAGATCTTAGCACGGATGAGGAGGGCAAGCCTCTCAAGACGCTGCGAAGTTTCTCTGACCGACTGAAGTCAGACGAGATGTACGTGCCTGTCAAGATCAGGGTCATTGACAGCGACAAGACCCACAAGGCAGAGATGAATGCCTTGAGGAAGTTGATGGCACCTCACACAATGCCTCTTGACGATCGGCCTTCACTTGCCAGCATCAACGCTAGCCGGGACTTGATCTCAGCAAAGTTGCGCGATGGAGAAGCACTGAAAGACATCATGCCTGCCTTTGAGCAACTGAGGCGCGGAAAACATCCGGACCGCCATCTCCAGAGGTTCTACCAGCAACTGAGCAAGGACAAGCATGGGGCAATAGAGTTCCTCCTTGATGACAAGAAGCTCATCAAATACATCCATGGCCCGGCTGGTACTGGGAAGTCCTACTTGGCTCTATGGATCGCCTGCCTTGCTGTCATGAGCGGTCCGCCTGCCGCAGAAGAGACAGATCGGCCTGTGGATGTAGGACCACAGCTCAGTGCAGCAGAATTCGACAAGGTGTATTTGACTCAGCCTATGCGCACAAAGGCCGTGACAGATGCAGAAAAGGCCGCGTCTTCAGCGCTTCCCGACAAGACAAAGGTCCTCATCGTTTCTGGACAAAATACCGCGGTTGACGATCTTTTCCCCCGCTTCTGGACAATGTGGAAACGTCTCGGTGGAGAAAAGGTCAGGCCACGAGAGCGCGCCCCTATTGTACTCCGCCTGTACTCATGGAAGTCCGAGGCTCGGGACTTCATCCGGGCATTTGCCAAGGTTGGGCGCCACATTCAGCGCACCGCCGAGGACAGCACTGGAGGGATCCTGATGCGACTACTGGGAGCCTTCTCTGATGAGGCTGACTCGTTCGACCGGAGGGGACGCAAGGCAAGGCGTACAAACATGTCGATTGTCGACAAGGCCATCGAGCTATACCAGGAAGACCGAAAGAAATCCCAAGGTCGCAAATATGATGACCTCGCCGAACTCGTCACAAAGGTATCCGGCAGCCCGGAGCAGACGTTCATCGTTGGCAAGCAGATCAACAAGCTTGTTATGAATGGTCCGCAAAAAGACGCGCTTGCCGAGGCTGATGTTATTCTTGGAACTCCTGTTGGAGTAGCAGACAAGACAGTCCGCGAGAACTTTCGACCCCACTATATCATCAGCGATGAGAGCCCTCGCGACAAGGAGATATCGTTCCTCATCCTCCTGGCTCACTTCAGCCCTCGAGCTTTCTTTTGCTTCGGTGACCACAAGCAGTTGAGTCCCGTCATCATGTCAACCTACCAGCACCTAAAGTACAAGCCGCCCAGGTCCTTCAAGAGAGCCAACAATGAGGACTCCAAGGACAAGAAGGAATCCGCTGAAGGTGCAGAGCCAGACGAGCCTGAGAAGGATTTGCCGAAACCTTCAACCTTTGCTAACCAGATGAGTTGGTCCGCCATTCACCGTCTAATGGCAGCTGGACATCCGACATTCATGCTTTCCCAGAATTTCCGGCAGCATGGTTGGGTTGGTGAGTTTTTCAACAAACAATTTTACAACGGCAAGATTCGATTCAAGGAAGCCAACGATCGGTTCAGCCAGATTGACTTGGCAGCAATCAGGTGGCTGCGAGAACTGAGTGGCCAGGACACTATCAAGGGCAACTCTCTTATGATCAACCCTAATTCCTTCGAAAGCTGTGAGGCCCGCTCCTTCTCTAACGTCGGCAATGTCAACATGGTCCTGACCAAGCTGGTCACACTCCTGGCCGATGACAATTTCAACGGTGGCACTGTCATGATCATTGCACCGTACGAGGCCCAAAGGAATTTGTACACCCATGAGCTCCAGAAGCGCAGCCAGATCGAGATTACTGGCGTGGGCCACAAGGCACAGTGGGTGTCATTCGACAAGTCTCGCATCGAGATCCGGACACACCAGGGAGCTCAAGGACACCAGGCGCATGTCGTCATCGTGGACCTTACCCGCTCGGACTCCCCCGGCATGACGGGACAACCCCAGCTCATCAACATCTGCAGCTCGCGTTCAGTCTGTGCCCAGGTCGTATTGCTCAACGATTCAGTCCTGAGATCTTCCGAGTCCAGGAACGCTCCCAGCGTCCGTCATTTGGTGGCATGGACCCAGTTCCACCGAGACACAGATATGCTCATCACGATAGACAGCGTGACGGCCAATTAATACCGCATTGTTTGTTACAAATGCTATACGACAGGCCAAAAAGAAGCCGAATGTCCTTTCGCGACCATCTTGTCTCGATGGGGGTCTTATCGTTGAATAGATCACTACTCCTTGCCAGAGTGTAACTCGGCTTTTTCGATAGAAGAATGATCTAAATGTTCTGTATTATATGACTTATTTTGTTTTGCGTGACTGATTGCGTATGAAGACAGCCACATTCGGGGGTGTGAAAGCACCCAGTATCAATTTCAAGCTATATGTTGCTGTCACTCCCCTCGCTTTTTTTTCCACATTTCACACGAAATCTCAGAATACCACCACCACATTGTCAAAAGTCGTAACACATTGTCGAGTCTCTTGTGGCGTATCTACTTCCCCTTATGTAAGGTTATCCCATAGAAGGCCATCCCACAGGAGGTTATCCCACAGGAGGTTATCCCACAGGAGGTTATCCCACAGGAGGTTATCCTACAAGAGGTTATCCCATAAGAGGTTATCCCACAAGAGGTTATCCTACAGGAGGTTATCCTATAGGAGGTTATCCTATAAAAGGTTATCCTATAAAAAGTTATCCTATAGGAGGTTATCCTATAAGAGGTTATTCTACAGGAGGTTATCTTATAAGAGGTTATCTTATAAGAGGTTATCCCACAGGAGGTTATCCTATAGGAAGTTATTCTATAGGAAGTTATATAGGAAGTTATCCCATAGGAGGTTATCCCACAGGAGGTTATCCTACAGGAGGTTGTCCCATAAAGGGTCATTGGGCCCTTTCGCTTCTTCGACACAACAGCACAATGGGGCCACGACGGCCAAGACTGCGGAAGCCTCTCAGTCCTTACATCAAGGCTGTTGAACTCCAATTTGGAACAGAGCAGCTTGCCTCGTAAAACTCCCAAACTAGTCAATACGGATTGTGCTTCCTTGCCTCGTTCGGTCCAGCTTGGTATCCAAGCCAAGATCGCGCGAATCGCACAGCTATGCCACAAATGCCGTCAATTCTGAAAAAGATTTTTATTTAGAGTTGTTTACTATTCAGAAATCTCCCAAACCTATCAGACCAGATGCTCAGAGGGCTACCGCATTGGTCCGGTCGACGACTCTGCCAGCTAGACTCATGGGGTCCAGAAGGCTTCACTGTCCCAAGACAATTCATAAAAGACGCTTACGGTGCGTTCTGAGATTGCAGGCTATTTTCAATGGTCTGCATCAAGTCATTACTCCAAGCGAGTGCTTCATTCTAGTCTTAGCGATTTGCTGAAGGGATTGGGAGCATCGAGCGAGGAGCGTTATGATCATAGTGTTACGTTGCTGAGGACTCTGTGACATCGAGAAAGGGAACTTCCGGCGACCCTTCAGGAACCACTGTAGACTACCTTTGCCGATAATGGAATATCGCACCTCTAGAAAGGACAGAGTTGGGAAGATGGAAAGGTCCGGCTGCAGATCGAATGATTGTGTGTGTATGTCTTCAACCTCTGGAAACCCTGCGCAATCCGCCCAGTTGCTGCCTAGTGTAAGTGACCTCATTTCCAAACAACTATGGTAGGCTTCAAATCCGAGTCTAGAGTAATGCGTGAGCGTGATCTTCAATCTTTTCGAGCCCAACAGCGGCTCATCATCCACCACATGAGATAAAGTGATCAGTGTGGCATGTTATAAAAACATCTCACAAGAACACCAGGGCATCATATGAGACGATCTAGCACTGATTGCTCGGGGCGTGATGAAAACAGAGATCAGAGCCAAGCGAGATCTCTCAAGCCTTTCTGAGTGCACATCAGCCTGATGCTAGTCTCTTTGAAGAGATTCATGCAATATTACTCACAATAAAGATGTTCCCTTGCCCTCCCGAGGATCTGTGGGCATTCATGCAACTGACAGATGATATCGATATTAAGAGCTTAGTGCAATTCTATAAAAGCCGAGTGCCGGTATCTAATCCGTTTATGTTGGAACGGTCTTTCCTCGAGATGATCCTGGACATCGCTATAATCGGCTCTGTGAGCGCATCTCCTGGACATGGCCAGCCAGAACTGCTTGATGCCAGTGCTCCTTTCAAGTTACAAATCACCGAATTGAATGGTAAGGGTCCATAGACTGCTGTAGACTCCAATATGCGCGTGACATCGAAAAAAGAGTTATTTTGCTCGGTGCTGCAGAGCTTGCGGTTGGGTGTCGAATTAATTATGTTATATTTGTGTGAGACTCGGCGTCAACCGTAGTCATGTAATCATCTGTTATCACCACCCTGTGTGGATGTTTTATGATTCTATCAAGGCCACATTGAGTCCCAGATGAACAACCAGTGTTTATAGTAATGCTCCTTCGGGCCCACGATCATGCTGCGACCGTACCCTCCCGGCCGGACCTTGTATGGTCTTGAGTAGATCCCTTCCTCCTTCAGGTTTCTCTTCTGTGTCGTTAATATTGAGAAGCTGCTCCTGCTGTTGCCGACAAAGTATTCGCTTCCGACCAGGACGATATAATCAACTAGTCCCTGCTGATCCCAGCTGAGTGACGCCAGCTCCTCAGCATCATCCCCCGTCAGTAGGTCCGCTTTACTGACCACCAGCATTCCCAGTGCCTTATCCGCGGCGGCGGAGAGTTTGTGTGCCTCGCTGAGATTGCCCGTTGCCACGTACGCCACCGGAAGCTCCAGCTCCTTTGCTTTTGCGAGGTAGGCAGTCTCTTGCTCCTCGTAGGTTGGCCAGAACTTTACGGCGTCGGCCTCTGTGCGTAGATGCATCCCCATAAAGGCAGAGGGGTTAGCAGCACTTGATCGTGTTTCTATACTCAGTGGATCACGGGTCCGCGCATGCTTTTGCGCGAAGGTGTGCATGTTCTCAAGGGCCTTCTTGCCGAGGCGCATGACTTGCTCGTTGAACTTCAGCAGCCCTCCGAACGTGTTCGAGAACTCAGGGCCATCGTGCCACCGCGGCCATTCCCATAGGACGCCTGGGTAATCAGTCATGCGGAACAGTCGAGGATTCGCGGCCGATGGCGGCGTGCCGTCTTCTTCGGATTGTAGCCATTCCCTGAACACATCTGTGGTTCTGTCAGCGTATGACCCGGGATGAATTAATTGATGTGGTTTAGATCAGCACAGAGCTCTCATATCGAGAGCCCCTGCGTGATTGAGTTCGCGATTTGGCTGTGGGCTGTCCTACCTCCGAATCGATCAGTGTGGTGATCCAGCTCACCACCGTCACAGTTACCTCGATCGAAGAACTGGTGTGGGCTGATCTTCTCTATTTCAGGCTCAAATGAGCCCTGTGGTGTAGTGATGTTGGGAATCTCTGCCCAAGAGTCGTAGATTGTAATTCGTGGGCAATTCTCCCCAAGCGCCTGTCGAAAGTTCTCCTCGTCAAAAAAATAACTGAAATGCCGGAAGTCCTTGCCCGAGTTGATATCGATGATGTTGTCGTCGTTTCTCTTTTGTATCGCGGGCAACGTAATGCCGGTGACACCTGCTTCTATGGCATATCGCAAGCATGTGAGGATGAAGTTTCGCACATTGCCAACGCCGCCCCAGTTATTATCGCACAACCACACGACGCCTTCCACCCATTCTGTGACTTCGTTGCAAGTACGCTTGAGAGGCCACCCGACGAAGGGTGCGTCAGGATCGGAGAAGTCGATGTCGCTGACATCTGGCCTTCCGAGGCCTTTGACTTCGGTGCTAGTGCTGGTGACTCTGCCATCATCACCGACGCGGAACCACGAGTAGTCGATGGACATGGCAGGCATCTGCAGGCGAATCGTCCATAATGCAAGTAGAAGGCCTATGGCCAGTATAGGTATGAGTTGAGGGCGACCCATCCGCGCCACGCTTCCGAAAGACTTGCTGATCATGATCCTGACTGACAGTATCGACAATGAAGAGAAGTTCGATGGGCATCAACGCCTGAGGCGGCCCATTCGACACTTTAACTGGCCTAATAAACCAAGGTGGCCGCCTGCATTAAGGTTGGTGGCGAAGGGCACGGCTATAATGAGCGGACTGCTGCTGACGCGGGCATTGACCTCGAGGTGAGATTCCGTTGTCTTGAATTAAAGGTAACACATACTTTGAATACTGTGGACAAAAATTCGGAGCTGGAAAAGTAATAGAAATTTCGGTCGGCAGAAGCGAGTGCAATTTGAGCACAGTAAGTGCATCAAGGAGGCGGCGCCAAATGGTCTCATTTCTGCACATCCTTCGACTCGGAGGATTCGGCCTGATAGAGTTTACTTCGTGTTTGACTCCTTCGCACCGCGTGCGCGCCGCCTTGAGGGTGCTGATGCAAGGGCTTGGCGTAAGTCGAGGCTGCTTGGCGCCGCATCCTCCCGGGGATAAAATGAGACATATGTCTCGATTGAGAGTCAGTGTGGGCCTTTTCAGCCCCTATGGAGTGTCTCAGCCATTTGTACGAGTCTGACAAGATAGTGAGATGGAATCATCCCACACCTCCTAGACCGAATTGAACCAAGCCCCAATTTGATTGTACTGTACCTTATTGCTTATTCTGATCTATCACAGGGGCCTTATCTCACGCCAAATCGGTACCCCCGGACTGTCAGTTGAATCTTTGCAGCAGGGCGCCAGCTACTTAGATAACATGAAGTGTCAATTTTGGCATCATTGATTAGCTTCATGCGTCCAGGCAACTCGTTTCTCCGTGCTGTGAATCGAGTTGAACAGCACCTGTGCGTGATCGTGCACTTTCGACGATACAAAACGAGGACGGCATGGCCGTGAAACAGATCGTTCAAATCAATGTCGATATAAGCCACGGCTCGTGCCGTGTCACGAGAATGTGCATTACTAGCAGACCCAGCACTCTGGGCAAGAGGTGAACAGCCCGAGATCCTACCTCTATCTCCAGGGTCCACCTGGTCAGACGTCTTCAGCTGTTTTGAGCACACTTTGGTTTAGACTTTGAGACCAGAGTCGTAGTCCGCCTTGGCGCCCGTCTGTGATTTGGAGCTTAATCATCCCCCAGTCAACTTTGACAACCGTCGGCACGGGATGTTCGGCGTGAAACAGTTGCCGAACGAGTATAGTTATCTAGATATAGGGTTGAACATGCGTGATAACTGATGCGTGATGATCCGACGATCTACTTAACTTCAAATAAGATGCCCCTATCTCATGCATGAAAAGCATTGCCCCCAACACACTAAATATAATCACACCTGACGCCTTTAAGAAAATAAAGATTGCTGCAAACTTGCCCTTGGCTTATCTGGGCATCTGGGATGGTGGGCCTAACAAATGATGCCTTAAATCGCCATTGGGATAAATCAATCTGGTAGACCAAGGAGAAAACTTTATCTAGTTGTGCTGATATTAGCGCATAATGCTTCATGCACCAATGAGAAATTACGCGCGCCAACTCAGCGAAGGTAAATTCAGTCACACTGTTTATCATAGTCCAGATCTTAGACGCTGGTCGCCACACAAAGCTAAGTATACTAGTTTGTTCTATTCACCGAAGGTGCGTCGAATCTCGTGACTTTGCCCACTGGCCAAGCCCCTTGTGAATGTCGAGTCCATTTTGAACATACCTACAATATGGGAAACCGGGCGTCGCATTCCAATCTCCTATGATTAAGTGGCAAGGGGAAGTTGAAAGTTTCAGAGCGCGCGGCTCGAACATGATCCGTTACGCGGCCCCTTAAACTCTATTGTGAAGAGTCAGTTCACATTGTCGTCTGCAAACTCCCACGTTATGTGGAGGAGTGAATCTAGCCACACGCCTACCAACTTGGTCCAGCTCCAAGATACTACGTTCATAGGCATGGCTGTGATAAGCAAGATTAAAAGCAGCACGGTATACGCTGGTCAAACGGAGATGCTCAACGTCGTCTCAGCAAGTTCTTGCCTAATCTGGTCTCAAGAGAATTTCGAAGCGGTTCAAACTCCCTCGCCCTATCCAACAGAACACGACAATAGAGGCTGAGACTTGAATGCAATGGCCATGGTTAACAAATTACTAGGAGACAACAAGTCATGCAATGGGCTAGTGGACGAAGTAGATGACACAAATTACCAAAACGACAAAAACATACAACACCGGGTATTCGCTGGTCGTCACCGACCCAACTACTAATCCAGCGGTTAGCAGCTTATCTATGGGAGAGCGGACGGGATCCCGAGTTTTCTGCTACCTATGGTCGTATGTGCTAGTAAGAGGTATTTCCTACATTATATTGGAAGAACAGAGTGGAAATACTACAGACTAATCACAGCTAATGTCACGTTGGAAGTACATGTAGGCCTACAAAATCAGGGTCGGAAGCGGGACTGGCTTGTCAAATGTGCCCGGGTATTAGGAAAAGAAGGCAAGACCTGTACAACAATATTCGCAACACCACTCGACGGATGTATATGTAATCTGTAGAAAGCCCGTATGTCTAATTCACAGCGGCGCCACCTAGAAATCCTCTTGAAACTTTTTAGGCTCCCGATGCAGATGCAACAGATGCATGTTGTGGAGCGGTGGGAAATAATGCATCATCGTTCGTCCAAACCGTTCTTTCGTCCGTCCGGTCGTGTCATCTCGGGTATCCAACCCGTAAACAAATACGTGCTCAGTAATTTCCTGGCTGTCGTCATAAACCAAATATCAAGAATATTAAAACCCAGATAGACAAAGCCGACGACATGCAAGCACGCATGCGTGGGGGAGGGTGTATGTAGAGAAATGCTCAAAGGAAATAGTGCTACCGCACAGCTCTTTAATCGCTCGAAGCACCACACATGATTCTAATAACGCGAGTCCATGGCAGCCGAAGGGCGCCATCCCTAGTAGCCCCTTCCACCACCGTCGCCGCGATCAGCAAGATCCATTGAGGCAATCGCATCTGCTGTCCAGTCCTCCTCATTCTGCAAAGACGGGTTGCGAGCGTGCCCGGCTGGACCGTATGTTGGATGGCCTCTCCAGTCCACGCCTTGAAATTCAGGAAGTCGAATCTCTGGTGGCTGCTGGTGCATACCAGGCTTCGGACCAGGGCCTGGTGGTCCATTGTCATGGTCAAATTGGCCGAAGTCGGGCAGATCAAAGCCATGCCCCTGCGGTGCGGAGGGCCCTGTGGGTGTCATTTGATCACGGCCATTGCCATTGCCGTTGTCCCCTGGACCCGGCCCGTAATTGGCCCTCGCCTCTGGTGGAAGGGCAGAGATGCGCTCAAGTTGTGTTTCGAGTTCTCTCTGTTCGAGAATCTGCGGGGCTGGCTCGACGTTTCGGAGAGTGCTACCAACAGAGGCAAGGCCAATTTGCGCACCGCTACTACTTCGATAGCTGCTGTAACTAGCCCGATGGGCCTCAGGCGTCGTCTCACCCTCGCCGTTACCCAGGCCAGTTGATGCGTCCCTGATGGCGAACTGTGCTATCGTTCTCATCTTGCGAGAGACCCAGCCTGCGAGGATCTTACCCCTTTGTTTCTCGCCGAGACGGGAGCGCGGGAAATCGCCCTTGGAAACAAAGGCAACAATGTCGACAATGATCTGATGTTCGTTGAGGATGGAGTTGACGATTACTGGCACGATCGAGGCGAGGTATGCTTTGCGGCTGACCTCAACAACCACTACGACGAGACCGCCAGCTTGGAAGATTGCACTGTTTGGGACTCGTGTTAGCATCTCTGATACCAGATTGCAAGGCTCGGTTGAGCAACTCACCAGCCTCCCGACACAATATTTCTGTGGCTCTTCTCCACGGATGCCTCGATATCCATGGGATAATGACTTAGCCCGTTGATTTCGAACGTTTCACCAATGCTTCCCAACACGAACAACACCTGCATGTCCACCTGCGCACCACCAGGACCAATAGGTCTGCTCACACAGTGCAGGAAGCCGAGATCACCGGTCCTCACGTAGCTGATACTTGGGTCTCCATCAAGCGTGCGGCCATCGAACCTCTCTGCATCGAATATGTCCTTGGAGCCGTAAAAACCTTTGACACAAGCCTCGGAGTCAACCCAGATTTCACCATATTCACCGTCGCAACAAAGTATACGACTTTCAGGGTTGACAATTGCGATCTGCGTAGAAACTGGGACCATGCCGGAGTCCTGAAGAAGGAGGGCCTTGGGGTCTGTCTCGGGGTCTGTAGGGATGACAAGACCACGTCGAAGGGCCTTGGTGTCAAGCCAGAGCTCGATCGGCTCGATGCACATGTACGAACGAGACGCGATCATGGGGTTGAGGACGTGAGAGTAGACCGTATTGATAGCCGTACGATCGAGGCCAGTGGCTGCGAAATGCAGCCGTACTTTCTGGAAAACATCGATCCGCGGCCGGGTTTCCGCCGAAATCATCATGTTCTTCATTTCGTGTAGAGTGAATCCTTTTCCTGGCATGAGCGCCATAGCATGGTCAAGCATTTGAGGCGTGGCGTACGTATCCTTGACCTTGTACCGTGAAAGAATCATGAACAGAGAGATCGGGTTCTGCGCAAACTCCACAGGCGATAGTAAGTACGTGGGTGTGCCAATGTAAATGCCCATGAGACAAGTATGGATGAAGCCCAGGCCTGTAGTACTCCTAACGCATCCCAACACTGGCCGAGAGCTGGTCATTTGACATGTTTCCTTTTGAACCTTGCACATGCCGAGAATTGTGTCATGCCCCAGCTGCACAGCGAGTCTCCGTTGGTCGGGTGTCCAGTAAGTCCAGATGATGACTGGGTAGCCTGGCTGTATCCATGAAGGGTCCACGGTGATTCCAAGATCCCTCAAACCGTTGTTTTGTTTTGGGGGCTTGGTCGTGTTGTAGCAAGGCGGCACATTGATCTTCAGAATCTGGGCAGACTGTTTGATGTGTTGGGCTACCGGCTTCATTTTGAGCAGGTGATCGACTTCCTGGTTGACCAACACGGCCCTCACATTGTAGTCTGCTACCAGGTGTAAAAATGCCGGCACGTCTTCGGGTAGTCGATTTTGATCCATCGGGGCGCAAGGGATAATAACCGCGCCGAGGTTTATGCACGCATGGACGGCGAACACAAACTCTTCCGAGTGCGTATACATGAGTATGACATGATCCCTCGCTCGGATCTTGACCTTGTTCTTCAGGTACATGGCTACTGCAGCAACCCTGGTGTCGAACTTCTTCCATGTGATGCCCTTGCCCTCTTTGCCTTTAGCGTCAATAGTACAGTAGGATAGCTCTTCGGGCTGCCTTGCCACTCTCCACTGGATGAGGTCGGTGATAGTCCTAAAATTGTTGAGCGGTGTAGACGTGCGATCATCAATAACGACCTCGCGACGGTCGATACCAGAATATTGCTTGTCAACTGGCCCCAACACCTCGGCTCGAGAGTCTGAGGCAATATTGGACCAGATCCCACCTATCGGATCGACACCAATCGGCAGGTTCAGCACGGCATGTTCGACACCAAACTTGACATGCACTGCAGGCAGGTTGCCGAGGTCGAACTCCTTGCGACAGAGCATGTTTCCAATCTCCCTACGACCGTTCTTGAGCACTCTGGGGAGTGAGTTCGGCGCTGTGATCAATACGCAGTACACACGCAGATGGTGCTCCTGCATGAGAACGTCCATGCACCTTTCTGACAGAGAGTCCAAAAGCGCGGTATCTAATTGTCGAGGGGGGCCACCGGAGGTTGCAGGCGCCGTTGAAGCTGACGTTGATTCTAGAACCACAATGGGGAGATGCTCCTCGTTGACAAAAACGTCGAAGGCAGAACAGTCGAAGATCTTGGGAATGTTCCGCATGATGCTAACAACGAGGTGTTGCACGAAGAAATATCGGTACTCGGCCACCTCATGGCCATGTTCGACCCATTCCACCTTCTGCCTGATCCGATCCTCGTACAGTCCAAGAACAAAGACCTTGCCTTCGATGATGGTACCTAGCAGCCCCGTCCGCAAGAACTCTGGCTCCACTGGAGTTGGTGTGGGGTTCCCAGGGTCGAACTTGTAGGGCCTCGCATGGAATATCTGCTCGGTATGTTTGGGAAGAGCCCAGAACCCACCGGATAATGAGGGTGAGTCCACCCAAATCTCTCCGATGGAGTGAGGAGAAGCAAGCAAGCCGGTTTCCGGATCGACGACGGAGAGTGTCGCGTCCGGTATTGGGTACCCGAAAGCGCCAATGCGGACGGTGGTCGAGTCACTGGACTTCTTCCTCGCCTCGTCACCAATAGCAACCACGAGAACCTCGTTGGATTTCAAGGCTTCTCTGTCGAGGAGGACCTCGCTCAACTCGTTCTTAGCGCGCTGTTCAGTCACATTGGTCGTGCCTCCACTGAGAAGACTGCCACCGAAACCGTTCGATGGTTTCTCCTTCTCTTCTCTGGCCCTTTCCGCCTCAGAGTCTGTGTCCTCCTCGTCCACGTCCAGCTTGAGGGGGCAGCCCATACGCTCCTCTCCACCAAGCCAGTCTCGGACGCTGATGACCATGCCTCCATGCTCGGGAAGACAAAGCATGGGGGCTACGACTTCTCGAGCCCTTGGGTTCCTCAATGGCCTGAGCCATCGATCTGCAAGAAGCTCGTGGAATTCGCAATCGACCGTGACGGTATCAATCAAACACAGCTTCACTGACTGGAAGTTCGGCTCGGTTCCCTTCTTGTAGTTCCGGGTCGTCATTGGATCTTGCTGGTAGTTGTAAGCAGCTCGTTTTAAGCCAGGGTAGTCGGCAACCATGAGCGTGGCCCTGTATTTGGTGATGAGGTGCGCGTAGAGGCCAGGGACCTCAACAGCCTTGTTCTCCAGCCAGACGGTCGTATGTCCACCATAGACAGTGAGCAAGACGCCAAGTATCATACCAATGCCTTGACGTGGATCCAAGTACGATAACAGTATCTCGCTACTTGCGCCTCCTCCAATCAGCCGTCCGTTCTTATCGCGAAGTGATGAACTGAAGGTGTCGCCAGGCGAATTGCTAGGCACCTGCGATATTATAGCGCTCAAGCAAGCCATTTGATGCATGATAGTCCGGTGGCTCAGCACTACTCCTCTCAGATCGCCAGTGGGAGCCCTGGAAAACTCGACGTAGGCCAAATCTGGCACAGACAGCGCCGGGGTATCGTCCTTCTTCTTGGGGTGATAGCTGCCGAACTCGTTCGTCTTCCACCATTCCACTCCCTTGGGCCACGTAAGCTTCTGAACTGTGATGTCTCTCTGGAACGCTTTCAGGTTGTTGTCAGTGGTCAGGGCCAGGTGGGCTTGTGTTGATGTCAGAATCAGGTTGAGTTTCTGGTAATCTTGTAATTCATTGATAGGCACTGCGACGACGCCGGCGATGAAGCAACCGAGGAGAGCGATAGCGAAGTCGATGATCTCGGTATCGCGATATATGAGCGCGACCCGATCACCCCTGTACAACGAGCTCTTATCCCGTATGACTTGTGCCACCTTTTCTGCCCTCGAGGCCAATTTATCCCATGTGATAGACGCAGTCTCCTTTCCGCGATTGTCTAGAACCCAGTATGCCGGAAGCTTGGCAGACGTGCGACCACGGTGACGCAGAACCGCTGCTATGTTATCGAATTGTGACATCTGTACGTTCGAGTCGTGTGGGTCGAAGATGGCGAAGGGGACCTCACGAGGTTCGAGCGGCATTTGGTATTCAAGGACCTCAGCGGTGGGTAGGTCGTTGGCCGTGAGCATGGGAGGAGCCATGGCGGCGGTCGGGGAGAAGGCGTCGCTCGAGGAGTATCGTTGTGGCCCTCCATATTGCTCCGAGGGATTCTGGTCGTAGGCCTGCTGGCCGGCGAAGTCGGAAAAGTAGCCTTGCGAGTCCAGCAGAGTGCCCGTCCTGCTGTCGTAGGGTGTGCGTTGCCCAGGTTCTCCATATCCGCCTTGGTTTTCTGGGTTGAAAGCATAGTCACCCGAAGCCATCGTAGGGGACCTTGTGGACTCGGCATGTTCTAAGCCCTGTCCCGGTACGAGGAAGAGGGAGTCGCGTTGGCGAAGACCAGGGCGGGAGTCGGCGAAGGTGCCCCCTGGAGCAAGCAGGGAGGCTGGGTGCTGCTCGGGAGGTAGAGAGTATGGTGACTGCGGTTGGAACCCAGACGGAGAAGACATGCCGGTGCCAGATCCGGTGCCGAGGCCGGGAGAAGGGGGAAGGCTCAGGTCGGGGGAGTTGGCACTCAAGGCCGCAAGGGCGCCTGCCCGCGTGCCATCGTTGGAAGGGTGGGAGGAGCTGTCGGGAGAGTGGATGCGCAGGCCGGTCGGTTCTTGTGGGACAGCACCGTACAGGGAGAGCAGCTGTGTCCTTCGCTTTTGATATCTAAGGGTGGTCGAAGAGAGTCAGAAGGGCAGCGGACAACGACATCATGTCAAGAGTAGTTGGGACATTGTGATCGAGACGATGGGGCATGCCGCATGCCATGGCACAACGAGGCAAGACGAGGCGTGGTATGCGAAGCTGGGGCTTGAGATGGAGCAGCACTAGGATCGATCGCAAGACAAGAAACGTACCCCTTTTGCGTAATATCGCCTTCCTAAGAACAGGGCACCAGCCTCAGGTTAGCAAGCGCGCGACACATGGGCAGAAGTGAGCTGTTGTAGCACTTGGAAGGGTTGCCCAAGGCTGAGCGAATGACCCCGCGATTGCATTGCCACGACTGAGCATGGGCACAGGTATTGGAGTGCGCATGGGCACAGCAGGCGGAGCAACATTTCAAGAAGCTCCGGTGTCTAAGCGCCGGTGCAAGAGCAGGAGTAGGAGCAGGACCTCAACATACTTCTAATTCCTTGTCCAGCTCCTCCAAGCGGTCCTGCAGTTCTGGGCTGAGTTCTGGCGACATTGTGTATGTGTGGCTGTCGCAGCAGCGCTGAAGCACCCTCGTGGGCGTGCTGCAGGGAAGGATGGACGGAGTGAGTGGGTGGGTGGATGGATAGATGGATGGATGAACCAAGTCGAGTCGAGTGGACTGGTGGAACAGACGGCAAGGTCGAACAAAAGTCAATCCGGGCCTGGTCCAGAATTGATAGCTCGGCTTCTGGCCGGCGGCCTTGGAGATGGGGGTATAGACCGGCCAGGAGACGGTGGATGATTCAAGGTTGGGATGAGTTGATCAGCAGCGCAGCGGGTGCCTCTGCCAATGCGCAGCGGGTAGTTCGTAGTCGTCGGTAGGTAGGCCTGGACCGAGACCTACCTACAGTCGAGTCGGTCGCGTGTGGAGGTAGGTACTGTGGGTTGTGGACTGTCTCTGTGCAGTGCCAATACAGTGCCCAGTGTGAAATGCATGTATGTACGCTCACGAGGTTGAGCAACGCACAAGAGCAGCAGACCAGTGGAGGACAGAGCGGGCAGAGCAGAGCACAGCAAATAGAACACCCGAGTTACAATTACCTGCGTATGTCTCGTGACGTAAGGCAGGTCTTCTCCAGGGCCCTTTTCCTGGTTTGATGGTCCCTTTTGGGGTCCCTACTTGGGCTTGTCTGTCCTGGCACCCTGGCACAGGCTGGGCAATGTCAGGGGCACGCAAACAAGCGAGCCCAAGTCGGGTTAGACAGTCAGACGGCCCTGAGCACCAACGGCTAGTACAGTCAGAGCCCAGGTGTACTGTAGTGTGACATGGAAACACAGCAGATACGTACAGCAACTGCCATTAATTGGCGCCCATCGCCGAATGATCCGCGCAGAACGAAACGAAAACCTTGGAAAGGGGCGCAAAAGATAGGAGACAAGGAACAGAAGGAGAGCAATGCACACCTGGATGGCACCTTGTAATCGAGGACACTACTACCATCACTACTGCTGTGTACCTGTCTGGCTGTCTGGCAGGGCCAGTCGCAATGCCGTGGACAATCTTCGCCTTCATGCAGAGCCTCGCGCTGGAATTAAAATATCTACAGTAGACGCGACTGTCGCCAGTTGCATCACGCAAGAGACCAGGTTCCATGTCCTTGTTCCCCCCGATGCGGCTAGACCAACCCCAGATACGAGGTCCACCCAAGCGATGGTGGGGTGTCACCTTGGCCCATGTCAATTGGATTTTGATTTTTTTTTTCCCTCGTCACGAACACAGTTGTCGCCGCCGGCTTCACCATCGCTAACATCATCACAAGAGCAACACGAGACTGCACTCTGGGCCTTGGTCAATTGCTTGCGACAACATCTGCGAGCCCAGTTGGCTGACCTGTCCGCAGACGGGCCTGGAGTGCAATCCATTACGGTAAGCAAAGCTAGTGCCCCTCTTTGCAGCTGAACCCTCCCTACCCCTTCTCCAACATGATGAGAATCATTAGCATTTCACAGACCTGTTCTGAATCACCCTGTTGATAAAATGCATCAAACATCTCCTGATACCCTCTCGCAACCCCATCAACATGTCCCAGACTAAAAGTGTCTACAAATCACTGACATCTCGGATAGATGAGCATTGCTATCATCTGCCGAGTCGCGCCAAACACACCCTCCAGCCCATTTCTCCTAGCTGCCAGCTGCCGGCTGCCGCTCGGTGTATTTTAGAGTGTCCAAGAGCTCTCTTCGGGATGGCAAAATATGATGGCTTTGTGCCGTGATTCGAACACTTCTTTTACTCACGTCTTCTGCTATTGTGCATTGTGCTCTATATTTGGCCGGCCTGCCGCCTTGATTTTATGAACAAGCAACTCGCCAGCAAACAATCAGGTTCAAGAGCCTTTCTTTGTTGGCATAACAACAATGTCCTCCTTGACCATGCATATCTGCTCTTGACATGCCCCGCGCATAACGTAAATATACTACGCATACTCCTACCAGCATTGACCAGCTCTGATTATTGCTTTCCTGTGTAATCATTTCCTTCAGGACCATCTCATCTACTCGCACACCTCTTCGGCTCACAGTTCAGATATCTGTGATTTGCAGCAGCTGCACTACCTAGGTATAGGAGATGGCTCTACCGTCTCATACTAATCACCCACCCTCTACCTATGCACAGGTCCCTGGCTGTGTACTAACGCCAATTCCTCAGCACATTCGCCCTTTTCTAGACACAAAGCACCAGCCAACCAAGGGCGGCTATGTACCGAATCGGAGATCCGATATGCCCCTCAACATAGCACAGGACTATTACTACAAACTCGGGCGCCTTTCCCCGATCAGACATGCCGTCTCTCATCGAGTACTCGCGACTTATAGCAGTTCAGGTGAGCTCTCACCTGGTATAGTATTCTCGGGACATGAATTCGACGAGTACGTTTTTCATGCGATTCGAGCATCCCGCCGATTTCTCTTTAGAGTGGAGCGCCAGCCGGGACTCTTAGGATACAGGTATCCGCGTGGCAACGAAAGTACCCGATGTAGGTTTGCTAAATGCCCCATCAAGACGAGGAGTATCAAACCTGGACAACTGCGAGTCGCGATATCAGAATTTGCGGACCCCGAGAACACGGTTCTTGACCCGTATCACAATGCTGGTTATACACATCTCTACTGCTTAGAGAAATTCTGCAATCTTCCCAGCCTACTAGCAGAGACTAATGTAATTTTCCTCCCAGCGGGCAAGCCTGCTAAAGAGTTGTCCTTTCCCGCGGCTTTAGATATACCCCAGCAGGAGGCTTGTTTACAGTGGGTTAATGAGGCCCGACAGTCGTGGAAAAATTTCAAGAGCCGTTTTCCCATCGCCGAGGAACGCCCACGGTATACACCACGTAATATAGACAGGCTCCTTTTCCGCCTTGAGCTTGCCGAGCCTAGCACTAGCAACAAGCGCCGCCACGACGCAGCAGCCGGGAACAATCTACCAGATGAGCAAGCCGCGGCCGAGCCTGCTCCTAAAAGACCTCGTACACAGGCCGAAGGGCCCTACCACCAACTGGTCCCCCAGAGCGGCGGTTTTGGGGTCCGTCCAGACATACAGCGGTTCCCACTTGGAAACGGGCAGCCAACGGGTTTTCAAGGACAGCTGTACCAGGCTAACGCCCCCGGCGCTCTTCCTGATACAACGCAACCTGCGCAGAGCAAAAAGCCTCTCTCGCCGGGGCAGGAACTCACGAGGCTGGCTGAGAACGCTCAAGCCGAGCTTCGTACTGAGGCCCGAAAACAGGGTGAAGAACCTGAAGAGGACATATCCGCACAAATGGTCCGCGAACTCGCTGATTTGCTCGCTCAGCCTGATCCTGCCGCACCTGCTGTTGAGGCTGGTCCTCCGGAGTGCGCCGGGCCGGAGCAAAGCATCCAGCCGGAGCAAGTGCCAAACAAAATTACCGAGCCTGTGACTGCCGTCAAAATACCGGTGGTAAGAGCCGGTCGGCGCTCATCTCGGAGGTCTTCCGCCCCACCGGTATTAGGAGTCCAAAACGCAAGGATTAGAAAGAGTGCGCAGCTGTGCAGAAGGGGCTCGAAGCTCAGGGAGGTCCCGGTCACCCAGGCGGATCTGGAAGAGCTGCAAAAGGGCAGGTAAGGGACATGGTGAGAGGCTTTGCAACCAGCGAGTCGCTGCAAGTCGCTTGCCCCCAGCATTGATTTGTGTGAACTGTGTTCTGTTGTGTGTAGTGCACACAATCATAAGCTGCCCTGTCTTCCTCCGTCGCCACATTGATTCTCCCCCCGAATTGGGCATTGTCACACAATCTCTTCTCATAGTAGTAAAAATATACGTATATCGACTATCTTGTAACTGAAGCCATCGTATCATCTCGTCACACGCGAGTCACTTGCACTTCACTGCTGAGGTAACGTTGTAGGCAGCTCGATAAGGAGCGTCATATATATAGACTGTTTTGGATTTGAAATGCAGTGCAGCCTGACCATAATAAATACAACGGTCTTAGACAAAGCTTGCGCGCGGTCTCACGAAGTGAACGTTGTGCCAGAGTAGCACCAAAGCCCAGACTGTTAGGCGCAAGGTCGACGCCATGCACGTGCCGAATTACGGACATGATATTCATCTTACAGCTTGTATACTCGTCTTGACGGGTAGAATCAATATCTCGGTAGTCATATCGGAGCCCGAAACGTTGCTATGTACTCACGAGGCCATGGTATTGATCTCTTCGATGCCCAGGAGCCGACAGGTCTTGCCTTCGCAGAGCTGTACCACCTCCTTCGAACCATCCAAGTCTTTCAGCAATTGATTCCTGTTCCTCAGCCACTCATTTTTTGTACCATGACTAACGTCTAGTACTGTCCATCCAGGCCTGACAGTCTCATGCATCCTCTTGATAGCCGCACTGACAAGCTTGCCATCTCCGGCTAGCACCACGCCCTTCAAGCCTGCATGAGCCGCCGCCGAAGCACTCACCAGACCTGAGTACGCAGCCGGCTGTTTTCGCAGGTCCGGCCCAAATGATGCGATGGTTTGCCTTCCCTTCTCCTCGTAGGTAGCATCGTCAAGTAACGAGCCTAGCCTTAGGAGGTTCCAGGCGCTCACGCCGTTGATTCCCGGTTCCGCGTTATCCGCGGCGTCTTTCGAGCGCACCAGAATATCGGGCTGGTCCGCCGGCGTGGAAAAGAAGCCGTAGCCCTGAGCATCCCAGAAGAGCCTAATCTGCGACTGTTGTAGTGTGTCGGCCCACTCAAGGTGCGCATCGTCGAACGTCGCCTCGTAGAGGTCGATGAGGCCGGAGATCAAGTAGGCGTAGTCGTCAGCGAACCCCGGAGTGTCGCCTGGGCCTTCGCGGTACACACGCCGCAGCGTGTTGGTCTCAGGGCTGAAGAGGTGCTCGCGGATGAAGCTTGCTGCTTTTTCAGCTCCTGCGAGGTACGTCTTTGCATCGTCGATTTTCCCGGCCGCTTCGAGCGCTGCGCTTGTTCGCGCGAGCCCGCTAATTGCCATGCCGTTCCACGCAGTGACGATTTTGTCGTCCAAATCAGGACGAGGTCGGTACTCGTTGCGGTATTTGAGCATTTTTGCACGCGCCTGGCTTATGATCTGTTCCACCTGCTCTGTGGTCTTGCCGATAGACTCGGCCAGCTCAGCGGTACTCGTCTGCACACACAACGTGTTCATGCCTGTGAGCTCCCCTTGAATATCATGTCGGCTGTCGACGTTTCCTGTGTGTTTGATGTTCCAGTATCGTGCACAAACCAGCAGTTCATCCTCCTCCAGCAGGGCGTCTAACTCGTCGTAGTCCCAGACATAAAAGGCACCTTCCTTCTTCTTTTCCTCAGCTGTCGAAGGTGCCGAGTCGGCATCTTCGCTTGCGTGGATGCCCCCTTGCTCAGAAGACATGGGAGAAGTGGTGAGATACTTCGCAATGTCGTGGGCGGTATCAAGGTAGATATCCTCGCGGGTTAACAAGTAGGCGTCGAGGTAGAGAGGGAGCAGTTGCGCATTATCATACAACATTTTCTCAAAATGAGGAAGCGACCAGTCCTGAGTGACTGAATAGCGAGCGAAGCCATTCCCAACTTGGTCCTTGATGCCTCCACGCGCCATGCGTTGTAGTGTATGCAGCACCATTTTGCTGGCATCAGCACATGCCTCCTCACCCAAGGCGTCTTTTACATCGCTTCCATGTGCTCTCAGACGGAGGAGATGGGTCAAATTCGCTGGAGTAGGGAACTTGGGTGCACCGCCGAAGCCGCCATGCGTCCCGTCGTACTGGGCTTTGTAATGCTGGTACGACTGGATCAGGGATTCCAAGCTCGCTCGATTGCCGCCTTCTTCATCCTCCTCGGTCCTCGACTGAGCCGCAAACCTGCGCAGAGCTTCGGTGATTTGCTTCCCACTGTCCCTCACCTTGGCCTCGTTTTCCGCCCACATTTTGCTTACCATAGTCAAGACATCCTGGAAGGTCATACTTCCAGCGTCATCGGCGTTGGGTCCAGGCCAATACGTTCCCCCGAAGATGGGCTCAAGATCCGGAGTGACAAAGACATTCAAGGGCCATCCGCCATGGCCAGTAGTCGCAGTCACAAAGTCCATGTACTGCCTGTCGATATCGGGACGCTCTTCCCGGTCGATCTTGACAGGTACAAACTTCTCGTTGAGGAAGAGAGCGATTCCCGGATCATCGAAGCTCTCGTGAGCCATAACATGACACCAGTGGCAGGCACTATATCCAATACTCACGAAGAGCAATTTGTTGTAACGCTTGGCGAGGGCGAGGGTCTCGGGAGTCCACAACTGCCACGCTGTTGGATTGTCCTTGTGCGCGCGGACATACGGGCTCTTACTCTCGCCACAGCGGTTTGATAGAGATGCCATGGTGGTAAGAGCCCTCTGGTTGATTCCTGAGAGAGTAGAAGCTTTCTGGAAAGTTATGTCTGCGCCGAGAAGTGTATTGAGACGTCTTCCGTGAGCGAGCTGCAATGATCGTAGTGGGGAACCGGCCGTGAGATGCACCCGTGCGCGGAACATCCGGGAACCCGTAAGACGACACCGTGAATGCGGGACTTGACACTATCCGAAATGTCGCGACAGGATCACAGGCTGGTTGATCATGCAAGCGATGTGTGTCGCCATGAGTTCAGATTTAATATTGGCTGTGGGCAGAACCGAGTTCGTAGTTGTGAGGTCATTGACCGCTTTTTGCCGTGTCGGCGCATCCCAGTCCCGTCGTGCCAACTTGAAATTCATTGTCTCGTCCTCGTGGTGACGAGCCGTCGAACCGCGATTGCAAATAATTTCTCGTCGTGACTAGGGCCCCACGAAGCTACTCTCTGCATCAAGCCAGACATTAAGACATGAAGAGATCAGCCTGAATATTATCTCAAGCACTCCGACAAGATAGGTTGTTCTGCCAAGTGCGCCTCTGCATCCCGGTTTCGATACTACACAATGCTGGTGCCTATGTTTCTCAAGAAGATGTGATCTTTTCACAAATATTTTTAGCATTTTCTACGATTTTACGCCTTGGTTTTCTTTCTCGGTGTAATATCTCTCGCTGTGTCGTCCCCTCGAGACGGACACTTACATCGGTGCTGGATAGATGCTTCTCCTTTAAGCACGTGGTGCTCAGATACCTCGTGCTTGAAGAGAAACATTAAGGAAGCAAGATGTGATCAAATCTCAAAGTGTGAAAGATAGTGGCTTAGCCCAGTCTGTTGACGTATGCCTACGCTTCAGGTATTTTCAAGAGTTCGACAGCTGCAGCAGCGACATTCCATCTTGCTGCGATGTTATTAAAGCGTATATTTTGTGTTTGAGTACCTCCCAAGCATTCAGGTGCCAAAGTCCTTGGCTGGTGCCAGTAAATTGTGATCCAGGCCATGCTGAGTCCAGCTTTTTCCCTGAGTCAATCAATGCAGGCAGCTCTGTGGCAGTCTCGTGGGTGAAAGCTCTTTCCTTTTGGAACACCAGCCCGTGCCCGACCAGAAAAAGCGATTTCCAACAGTCTCAAGTTAGAGTCCATCCAACAACACCACTTACGACGCGAGCATTCTGCATGGCCGTGGCTGGCACAATCATAAAAGTTTTCATCCAGTCAGGATCTATCGGTTTGCAAAGGTATTGATCAGCCGACATTTCCACGTCTTGTCAATGGATTGATTCACTCACCCATTCAGTGCTGCTGTCCCACAACAGTGATTGAGACGTTGCAGTCCTGCCATATAAACTGTCATTCGGCCAGTGCTTGAGCTCAGAATTCGGCAATTGTTTCTGCAACTACCTTCGAGAAGCCCTCCTACTTCCAAACAGACAAATTCAAGCTGCGCAACACATGAAAGCAACGAAACCTTCACCGTGATACCTAGACCACAAGCAAACAATCATCCCACCATCATGATCAAGTTCATCCTCAGCATAATCTTTGCCTTGGCGCAGGCAGTTCTCCTCAGTGTCGCCACGCCATTCGACTGCACCAATTGCAACAACTCCACCAATTCGACCGCCAACACCACCGATTCATACGGTTGCTTCAAAAAGGGCGAGTTGTGGAAAGACTTGGGCACAAACCAGTCAATCATTCAGGCCTACGACGAGCAGTGGTGCACTCTGGCCGTTGGGTGCGTGGAGCTCAATCACAGTGTAAGCTGCAAGCCGGCGTTCATTTTGCTAAGCCATTCCACTAACAAACTACATGCAGGGAAACCGCTGCATACGCGGGGATCCAATCAACCATGCCTTCATATGGAAATGGCAGGTAACGAAAATCCCCGAGGGAAAGACTTGCGGCTATGCTTCTCATGTATGTACTTGGACACAAACGCAGTTCAACACGTGTCTTGTGCTCAACTTTGATCACAATATGAATTAGCTTCACGTTGAGTTCACGCATACAAACGAATGTGAAATCGACTGATGCTTGGTATAATAGGATGTCTGTATCGGCTTCCTCGCACAAGTCTTAGACAAATGCGAAAAGGGCGGAGTCTTAGACCTAATCTCAGGCCCTGGCGCCGATGGAGGCGGTAAGTCATACCCAGGAGCAACTTTCGCAGAGTTATTAGGAGCCTCTCCATTTGTTCATATGAAAAGCGTGAAAGCCAGCGTCTATTCTCAGGTCTTCTCGCTGACACACATGCCAGATATCATTGGCGCCACCGTCACTGCCGACCCTCAAGGTTCTTTTTCTTGCCACAGTTGAGCTGGATTAGGAGGCATAAAACGACTTTTTGGCGTCGATGGGTATCTAGATAAGACGGGATTTCCAAATAAGCGGCAACAGGCAGCATGATAATTTGGCACAAATCTCCCATAGATCACGGGAATAGTCCTCATCTCGCCCTGCTCCATGTATTCCCGTGCGTGATATTGCATAGACAACCATCGTGAGCGGCGCAGGCTGGATGACCGTGGCATTTTTGAGTCCGAGACCGTGAGACACTCGAATATTGGACACAGTCTCAATTATTTGACAGTGTAAAAACTGACTGTTTGTTGCTTGAAAGCTTTACAAAATCACTTTGCTACGCTTGGACATATGATGTAATGCCGTGAGAATCAGTGCGTATTGCATCTAGGGAACATAATCTTCTCACATTCCTTCTGTAGAGGATGAGCGAGTGGTTCAAAAAAGTGTATATCAATTTCAACAGCTCGGCGGTCCTAATCTATGACTGGAACTCTGCAAAATCTAGAATTCTAGGGTACTTACCATAGGAGACAAGTCACTCACAATGGAATGCAGCGCTCGCAAATAAGGGACGCCTTGGTCCTAACCAAAAACCTCCTTAAGAAGACGGAGATAATCCAAGCGGTCCTGGACTTCTGCGACGGGTCTACTCAACATATTCGCGATGAGCTCTTCATCAGCGCCCAGACCGGCCAGGTCAAGGATTCGCTCATCTTCAGCTGGAGTCCACACCGCCTCAGATGGTTCAGGTTCGCGCTGCATCCTGTCGACAAAGGCAATGAAGTTCTGGTTAGCTCGGTTCATCGACGGCGTGTTGAAGGGACAGAAGGCAATTTCGCATTCATGGGAGTCCCATAGCGCACGGTCAAGGAACTTGGCACCGTTGATAATTGTTTCAGGAGTCGGCTGATCTTCGCCGATGAGGGTCGAACAGCCTGGACACTTGAGCAGGCTCTCGCCCTCACCCTCGCCGGGTAGCTCGTCGTTCTGGGCGCAGCCTTCCTGAGGGCACAGCCCCTGACGAGCATCCCACTCATCCCGGGGCAGAGCCAAGTTCAGCTTATGCAATTGGTGGGTCTGCTCCTGGGTTGGGTCGAGAGGATCCATGAGAGAAAATCCGCATGCCATACGCTCAGTCCGAGCATAAAGTCCGCAGATGCAGTGATAGTCAACCTCAATACACATTTTGGTTCCGCTCGGGACAAGCCTTTGCAAAAGGGTTGATGTATGTACCTTGTATGGAGGCTTGATGATTGGTAATAGTAAGGTGGTGATGCCGACTATTGTTGAAGATGGAAAATATCACCCCGTAATCACAGTCAAATCAATTGCATTTATATGCATCAAATGGCACATCAAATCGTTGTTGTGTCTGAGCAAGACAATTACTATCTGCCGTGGACTCGAAGTACAATGGTCTTGTCCTTGGGGCTGCTTGACACAGACAAAGAAAAAGCCTCGAAGCCGACAAAGACTACCGAATTCTTGATGGGAACAAATGCTTGATGCATCACTTGCAACAATGGCGTTCTCACAAGGTTGTGTCTTCCACTTCGATGAGAGCGAGTTTGTGATTACAATTGACATTGACCAGTGGGTACTGATATACCCAGGAGATGAGTACTTTCAAGAGTTTTAGACTTGAAGCCATCTTTGATAGGAATTAGGTTTACATCTTCAAAACATAATTCTAGGGGACTGTACGAGTCTCTATGGTGTGCGAAGATTCAATCTCTCAAGGAGCAGATAGGAGGCCCGAGATGGTAACCGGCTGTTGAGTTATGGCTCGGCATACCTCGGTGTACCTCGGTGTAGTTCTTGAGACTCGATAAGAAGAGTGGGTTGTCATGCAACCCAGAACAAAGCCTTTGTTCAAGCCGTTGCATTCTTCCGTGAATCGTTGCAGTGGCCGAAGTACACATGCGCGGTCGGGCTAGCTTGGGATGAGCGTACAGGCGAGAGAAGGCGATTATGTGGGCTGGTAGCCGGCTTCCTCTGGCAAATCGGAGTTGCACCAGCTCTAGTGGAGCAGGAGAGCCAGGCAAATCTTCGGGCTGACGCGTCGGCGTGCAGAAAAGTAATAGTTGGGCCTATTCAATGTTGCTTTTGCATGGAATAGGCCGACATGGCAATGTTCCATCGAGCCCAGGTCCGGTCTGGCAGGGCGGACGGATTCTGATGTCACAGTGGATTGACAGATTGATTTGACGTGACTGGCAGGGTCTGCATGCTACCTCAGTTCGTGGGCTACATGGATATGCAGTGACAGTGGAGGCTGCATAGTGGACATGTGCAAGACACCGAACGCAATGCAATGCGATGCGGTGCGGTGCGTTGCAGTGCAGTGCAGTACAGTACAGGGCAATACGTATACGATCCCAATGCTACGAAGGGGCCACGGGGCTCCTCATCGGCGTCTCGGGATGGAGCAAAACTTACATTGCAGTCGAGGGTGAGACGGCACCATTGTACGGAGTATGTCCATTTTTACACTCGTGAGGTACGTCTCTTCTTGTTGTCCTGCAACACGATACCTATCTGTGTACTGTACTGTACCTAGTGCCTGGCCCCGTCCGGGTGCGCGTGCCCCAGCCACCAGATGCAGATGCAGCTGCATGGTTGCTGCTGCTGCTGCTCCGGGTACGGGCAGGGCCCACCAGGCCAGAGGGTCGGCGAGCCCGACGCAACCATCCCAACCCGTCCGATCGCAGGCCGGAACGAGAGGCAACAGCGAAGGCATGGCGTCAGCACTGCATGATGCAGACAGGGCCGACATCAGCTGGACGGACTGACGGACTGACGGACAGGGAGAGAGTGCGAGCACGAGTGCGACGCGAGTTTGAGAGCCTGTGCGAGAGGAAGAAGCATGCATGTTCGGATGGGAGAGAGAAGAAAGAGCAAGAGTAAGAGAGGCACATTATCTTTTTTTCGCTTTTTGGGTATGGATTGACCAGGGCGGATCGCGGGGTTCAGTCGATTTGAGCTGGGTGTGCTGAGGCCCCCTGATGATCAGCTTCTGCCCCCAGCAGCCCAGGTGGACTGCACTCCGTACCCAGACAGCCAGAACATAACAGAACGGAACAGACGATTACTGACGCACAGCAAAGTAGATGAATAGGTAATCTAGGTGCTGTGGCTGGCTGTGGGTGTGTGGGCAATAAGGTTATCTTGGCCCCCTCGCCTCCCAATCCCTCCCAATCGCACCCCCCTCCCATTTCCCCATACTTGTTATTGTTGTTGGCTACGGGGTAGCTTCGTGCATGGAGGCATTCCGTCATTGTTGCAAGGCCCCATAATTATTTTTCCCTTGTCGATCTCATCTTGAACGACCCACGGACGTTTTTCCCCAACTCGACAGGGCGAGGGACGGTTTGGGCAAAAAAAAGAACAAAAAGCCATAGGTCTACTACGACGGTTGTGACAAGCAAAATACCCCAATTGGGTGACCCAGGAACTCCCTTGGAAGTAGATTAATTGTGCGCATTCCTGTCTGCGGCTGGGAGGCTCGGCCCACTGACAAGCCGCCAGCTCCCAGCTCCCCCAACTCCCAACTCCTCAGCAGATCCAGCAGTCCAGCAGCCAGCAACCCTGTCCCGGCCTGCCCTGTCCTGCCCCTGCTCCTGCCCTGGCCCGTCAAGCCGCATCTGCACATGCTCCTGCACCTAGTCTACACCTGCATGGCAGCTCCCTCCCTTGTCTCGCCAACCTGCAGTCATCGCCAATCCACCCGCGCATTGTCCATTGTTCGATCCCCCCCCAAGGCAAAAGAAAGGTCTCAGAGCTCACAATGTTCTAAGGCTCCCCGAGGCTGTCACCTGCCCCAGTCCGCCACTACAACCAACCATCCAACCCAATGAGTATTACACTGCAGCAGCGACAGCCAGAGCCAGAACCAATGCCAGAGCCACCACAAAGAGAGCGAGAGAGAGACTTTCAACCATCGACCACTCAGGATATCAGGCTCAGATCAGGCAGACTACGGAGACACACTACGGGCATCGCGCCGGAGATCATTGCCGATCACAAGGGGTGAGACGGCTGCGGCGAATGCGACTGCGACTTGGACTGCAACTTGCCCTCCCGCCCAGCACAGCACCGACTGCAACGACACGCGACACTCTGCCATCGCAAGTGAGCTGATTTGCCTCCCGAATTGGGAGCATGCTCCGGCGACAGAAATACAATTCCGACTTCCAAGGTTGACCGGAACCACGGTTGCGACCGCGCTCGCTCGCTCGCAGGCTCGTTGCCCGTGCCCGTGCCCTCCTCCCACCAACAACTACTTACTACTGTTACTCGTATTCCTCTTCCGGCCGATCGCCCTGCCACCTGGAAGCCCTCCCTCGACTCTCGGTGCTGCCCTGTCCGGCCCTGCCCTGCCCTGCCTCGCCTTGCCTCGCCTCGTCTCGTCTTGCTATCTTGCTTGCGACCAGGGAGAATTAGCGCTGGCTCTTCTGCACGCCTGGGGCTCCTGAGTTCTGAAATCTCCGGCTGTACTCTCATCCACCTACTCCTTTCTTTTCCTCGCTTCGACTAGGGAATTGATCCATCTATTCCCCAATTGCCGTGTCCACAACACCCAGCGCCTCGCTTTCCCCACCACACCCAATATCAGCCGCTGGCTCTCCTGCCAATTCAGCCCCAGTCCGGTCGAGTCGAGTCGAGTCGAGATCGCAGAGTCCAGGGCACGCGCGCAAGGGTTTGAGGTCTCCAATCCCCAGCCTGGGCACACGACAGCCCATCGGGCTATACCCGAGTCTCACAAGACACGGCCTCCGGCGACACGACGTTATCATAACGCGGACGGCGACACAGACACAGCGCCCAAAGTGGGACCATCGATCAATCTCGACCCAGGCCACAGGTTACCGGCCGCGGCGCACCAACACCCCCCACCAGCAACAGCAGTCTTCAACCTCTCTATCTCTCTCCGCCTCTTTCCAGAGTTTACATAAAGAGAGTTCATCCCATCGTCGCAATCCCACCGCCCAGGGCGTACGTGCCCTCAGCTGCGGCTCTTGCAGCCCTGCGCAAATCCGATAAGTCGGTACTGCGTGATGGCAGGCGAGGGGAAGTGGAAGGGCGTCGCCGGCGACGAGTCATCAACCTCGGCTGCAGTTGCGTCTGCGGCACCTCCGAAGCAGAAACCTGCCCTGCAGGTCATTGTACTGGTCAGTCAGCTCTTGTTTCCTCCTGTCGTTTGCTCCTGTACATGCTTGTGTCACACCCGGTCACAGTTGTGTGTGACCTCACCTCGCATGCATCCCCTCAGAACTGAATCTCGTCACATTTTACTGCACACTTTCACTTTCACCGTGTCTTTGCGCTCTTCCACCGGAAACTCTGTCTGCGGCCGGCGCGGCCGGCCGGCCATCCAGGCGCTTCCAGCGGTCTTCTAGAAGTATACCCAAATATCTTGATTTGTAACATCCTCTGCCCTATCATGTTTGCCTCGATCTGGCTTTTATGCCGTTGCCTTGGCACCGACCAACCCTCTCTAGTCTGTGGCGCACTGTCAAAGTCGCGGTGGAGCTCCCCTGCAATCTTTGCATTCAGCGACTCGGCTTACAGAACAGCCTTCACATCAGTTTCTCATTCCCCAAGCACACATATTCAACATCGTTACTTCTGGTCTTACTATTGGCCAAATTGCCCTAGGTCGGACCAAGAGATCGACGGGGCCTGCGGACTGCCAGCGCAGTGACTTGTGGGCCACTCAGAACGCTTGGACATCGGGCCCAGGGGTTTGGTTCGCAGTGGATCATCAATGCCATTCTCTCAGAAGAGAATCCATTTTTTCCTCTGACCTGCAGGCTATTGTTTCCAAGCGCCCCTGCAGCCCTGTCAGGCCAAGTTGCAGACAGATCTGAGATGAGATCAGCCCTCCCCACATTCAGCCTCGTTTGGTTCTAAACCTGGCCGTTTACTCCTAGTGGAGCGACGAGCGTATCGTCCGGTTGCTCAGGGCGCGCCTTCAAAGCCCAATCATCCATTTCAGCTTGCTGCACCAGTCAACGGGCTTTCTGGTTTCCGCACGACGGCGCAATCATACGTTATTACGCTACCACGCCCACCGCTCCTGTCTAGACAACCTGCTAACCCGATCAACAACAGGGCTCTCAAGGAGGGCCGTTGGAATCTAACGTAACCGCATTCCTCGTACGTTCAATATCATCGGGATGGAGGAAAGGCTCGATAATGGCCGTCGACGCCGGCGTGCACCTTGGCGCCATAACGCGCATACTCGAAGACACTCAACCTCCAGACCTAGGCGAAACCGACGAGCTGGCATTACCACATGTGCTGCAGAGCGGGCCCTTCTCAGGCATGACGCTGCATTCTGCGTCTGCAAAGACAAATGCGGCCAAGATACATGCAGACCTGATAGACACCTACCTCATAACACATCCTCACCTCGACCACATCTCGGCCTTTGTCATCAACACGGCTGGATTATCAGGACCGAGGCGAAAGAAGCTGGCTGGATTGCCGGGGACAATCCAAGCCCTGAAAACACACATCTTCAACAATATAATATGGCCCAATCTATCAGATGAGGACCATGGGGCTGGTCTCTTCACTTACCTACGGCTGAACGAAGGCGGGTCCCCGGCCATGGGCAACGTTGACGGCTACTTGGAGTTTAATGAAGGCCTAGCCGTTAAGGTATGGAGTGTAAGCCACGGCCACAATATCGAGAAGCAAGCACCTCACCGTGGGAGCGGTAGCAATACTAGACTCAACAGCGTGGACGCCTCATCAGGCTTGATGAGTTTCGGCACAGGGATGCTCAGCCCGCGGTCGATAGCTCACCACAACACGAGTCCGAGCCTAGCGGCGTTTTACCACCAGCAACCGCATCTGTTGCCACACGACCGTGCCGGGTCCATATTGCCGGGGTCCATTGCGATGCCTGTAGGAAGGGGGTCGGGAGCGATGAACCAAATGGGTGGGGGAGTCAGCCCAACAGAGTTTGCCTGTGTATACGACAGCAGTTCCTATTTCATCCGCGATGTGGATACCGAGGTCGAGGTACTCATCTTCGGTGACGTCGAGGGCGACAGTGTATCGATGAACCCGAGGAACCTTCGTATATGGCAAGAGGCAGCTCCGAAAATCGTGACGGGGAAACTCAAGGCTATCCTCATTGAGTGCAGTTATGATGACAGCAGGCCAGTGGATCGATTATTCGGCCACCTGACGCCAAGCTTCCTGGTGCAGGAGATGACGGTCCTTGCCGAGGAGGTCAAGGCTGTGCGGATGCGAATGGCTATGGATAAGGGAAAGAAGGAGATAGATACCAGGAGAGACAGCAGAAGAGGCAGCAAGAGGAAGCGCGAAGGCGTCCATGACGATGCCACGATAGCGGTTCGACGCAGAGCGTCGCGGGCCTTGGCGAGGCACAGCTCAGACAGTGTCAATGAGCCGGTGAGCCCCAAGACGATGAAGATGCCTCGATCCGACTCGGCCCAGCGGAGCGTCTCGGTGGAGAGCTCGCACATCACGACCCCTACGGCCGAGCTGTCGTTGACAGACCTCCAGGGGCGGACGACGTCAATCCTTGGTGCTACTAGTGCTCCCACTACGCACCCAATGACAGCGGAGCCACAAATGATGGAAGGGCCGCAACTGGAGGGTCTGAAAGTGGTCATCATCCACGTCAAGGACAAGATGGACGACGACGAGAGGGTGGAGGACACCATCCTGGATGAGCTGCAGGAGCATGAGGCGTTTATGGATGTACCACTCGGGTGCGAGTGGGTCATTTCCGAGGTTGGGCAGAGCCTGGAGGTCTGATCCATTTCTTTTGGGCAACGCTTTTCAGCCACGGCTGTCTGGCGTGATGAGCTTGATGTTTCATTTGTTTGGAAAACTTATAGTTGTAGGTGTTGTGTGCTGTGTCAATCTGCCGGAAACGCCGCAAGAGAGCAATGCTCTTGGAACCTGCCGACCGCTGGCGTTGATCTCTGGCGGGTGGACGGATTTCGTATTATGGTTCTTCTTACATATTTGGATGGCTGGTGGGGAGTAAAGGCGGCTTCATTATAGGAATCGCGCATATGTAGAGGAAAGGAGGGAGATACCACGGGAATTCTACTTGTTTGCTGTCTGACATTGTGCAGCTCCAGAAGTGAAGCTATTGTTGCCAATCTCCTCGGGTGCTCCTCTTGGAAGAAACTCCCTTAACAGAACTGATTGCAAGGTGTTGATGTGTGATATTCTTGTTTAATGGGTCTGTCTACTCTGCACTCTATAAAGCCATCGATCGTGGCTGGTCTTGTATACATGTTTATACTTATAGCCAGTTCAATTATATCTTCCCATCTACATTGCTGTCATCCTTGCCTTTCCTCTCGGCCTCGAGCTTCTGGTACGCTTCCGGGCCACCGAGGTCCTTATTAAAATCGGGCCGAGGAAGCTCGAAACCCTCGATTGTGCGGCCGTAGGTGATGCCACCTAGCCTGCTTATTGGTCGGAGGACCTATTCCCCAAGTGTCATACGTCAGCACATGCACAAGGACGGCGCGCGAAAAAGCATAGAATCCTCAGTAGAGGAGGCAGACTTACCGAGGGGTCTATAAGGTTCTTATCCTCGTTGATGGCGTCCTCGCGCACCCAGAAGCGCGTCCCCTCGACGACGACCATGGTGGCGTTCTTGGTCCCGGGCTTGCTGCGGCTCTCAAACTCGCGCACGCTCTCCAGCTTCCCCTCGATGGAGAAGATGGCCTCCTTGACGCGCGCGGGCTTGACGGTCTGGCAGTCGTAGGCGGGGGTGAGCCCGGAGACGGCCCACTCGGAGGCGCCGTAGGGGGCGTTGACGCTGGTGCTGTTGGCGGCCTCGGCAAAGTGCTCGCTGATGATGTTGACGGTGCACTCGCGCGTCTCGGCCAGGTTGTGCAGGGTGTGCTTGGCGGCGGCGGCGCCGGCCAGCGACGACGCGAAGCCGATGACGAACAGCGGCGGGTCGTGGCTGATGACCTGGAAGTACGAGAAGGGCGCCAGGTTCGTCGTCTTGCCGTCCGGCGACACGGTCGACACGAACGCGATCGGCCGCGGCACGACCGCCGAGATCAGCAGCTTGTAGTTGTTGACCGGGGCGCGCCCCTCGCCGTACGGGTCGATCGTGACGTGCTTTTGTTGCCGCTGCTGCTCGCTCGCCAGGTCGTTTGCGCCCGAGCCGAGCTTCCATGAGGGCGAGGCCGTCTGCGTGTACTTGAAGCCTTCGGCGTCGCGGTCCCAGGCTGGGCGGGACGCCTCGACCTTCTTAAAGTCTGGGTGCGGGTTGCGCTTGATCTCGGACTCCTTCATCTTGAGGGCAGTGGTGCGGGACAAGAGACGGTGTTCGTGGGGTCGTGGGAGAGGAAATGGGGTGGGGGAGAGGCGTCGGAGGTGATTGAGGGATCTTGAGGATGTAAATCTGGGCTGCATCAAGTACTGTCAGTTCCAATTGAATGGTTCGAATCGCGAGGCGAAACCTTCTTTCCGCGCGCAGAAGCAGGCGAGGCCGAAGATATCCATCTCGTCACCACCCCTCGCTCGCTCGCTCCCTCGGCCCAGGGTGTCGGGAGCTCCCCCAAACCCCACACCCCACACCATTAGTGGTCATGATGCAATGCTTAACGATTCGGCTGTGGCCCTCCGGCAGTGCGGAATATAGCAGGCGGGTGCCCCGTCGGTACCCGCTGGCCCTGCGATACCCGGTCTGCGGCACCGGACTCGGTACCTGGGTACTTGGAAATAAACGCTCTATTGTGTCTGCTTATATACATGTAGTCTACATCGAAATAGCCACCACTAGATATATTAAGTAGCAGTCAATCTCATAAGGCTCTTAATTCTCCATCAGGAATGATAATGTTTCGTAGGACCAGTAGCCTATGTTCTCATAATTTTGGTGTTGGTAAAAGAGGTGTTTAATCAGGCCTTCATTTCGCAGGGATCTCAAATATTTGGTTATAATTGAACTATTACACACATCACTGTTGGATGGTCCCCTCGTGATATGAAATCCTGTATCATACAGTACGCTTTGTGAGATAGAATATAGCCGAGTTTTATCTGTCCTTTTCTGCTTTTCTCAAGTTACTAGCAAAATTTTGTGATCCCTACAGACTATACATCTCGACAGCAACAAGTCGGAGACCAAGCCGTACTCGACTTTATATCACCCGCGTTGCGAGCAATGCTTCTAATCTCGGCTATTATCTCATGGGCTCTTTCGGAAGACACCGAAAGAATGCCGAATGACACAGCTCATTTTCTTTCCGGAGTTGGACGCCATGACTTGCATTGAGTTATTGTCCTTTGATTTCTTGAAGCACTTTGGCTTCATACACAGGTACTGGTGGACCTTAAGTAAATTACAGGACAACGATGTGCAAGATGTACGAAAATGTACCACAAAAAGCTTGTAGAAGACTTTCGAGTTGACCTGACATTCTCGAAGGCACTCCATAAATCCTGGGATAAGAGCCTGCCCTCTCTTGTGGCTAAGAGCGACTCACTGCCCAAGGTCGCGTCTTCACTGTCACGGGAAATTCCAGTCGCGCACACATAGCATCTGTCGAACTTGGATCCATGCCTGGAGACTGTGAAGTCTACATGGCGCTTCGAACTTCTGTGAGTGGCTTCAGAACTCACACGTTTCTCGGAATGCTGGTTAGCTGCAAATTGCATGCCCTTGGACCTGGCAGAGTAGGCTCTAAGTGGCTGGATATCTCAGACCCCGATGTGGAAATTGTTGACAAAGAGGCCTGAGGTTGTTGTGGCTTTTGCATCCAATTAAGACGCCCCTCATAATCGTCAGGCTATATGCCGTACTCCCATGCATTAGTCTTTCGGTCATAAACGTCGCGAACCACCCTATAGTTCCGTGCCAAGCGACGGCCGAAGCCCTCTTCAATACCAACTTTTTCTAAAGTCAGTCTAGTCCAAAGTATTTTTATGCTCCTCTTATAAGTTGTATAGGGAGTAACTACTCACATAAACTGAAATATACGAATTTTGCCAGCGTCGGTGCCCACACCATAACCGAGATCAGCTGGCCGTAGTTGAAGTTGCCAAAATGCCCTAGGTTGACAGAGAATACAATGACTAATACCTCAGCGAAGTATGAGACGACGAATGCGAGAAGTCCTGCCTGGACACCGAACCACCAAAATGCCAGGCAACAAGGCCAAACCTGATCTTTCAGCAACATGAATAGAAATTCGCTCAGCTCATGCCCACTTGCCGCCAGACTGACTTGGTAAAGATATTTGTTCATGGTTTTTTGAACGCGCGGGACGGTCGCCAACATATCGATGAGCAAACTCACGACAGCGATGTAAATGAAAGCGAGTGCCACGTTGGTCCCTTTCCAGTCCCCGTACCCGAAATTGTAATTGTCGGTGTTACAATAAGTCATCGGGTTGGGGAGAGATCCGCAAGCTTCCACGGGGCTCGATTCTTTGAAGTTCTGCCAGAGGGTTTCGAAGCTTGACACGCGCGACATGCTGGGAGTCAAGACGATCTGAGCCAGCATTACCGTCATTGAGGTCAGGCCAAAGGTGTACCACCACATCATTCCTTCCCGCTGAAGCGAGCACTGTGTCAGGACGACTGGCAGAACACTATACACAGCCAGGGATTGGACCATCTGAGCGTTCAGTAGAACCTCGGCAAAAGAGTCGGATCCGGACGATGCCCGTCCCTCAATCCGAGATGTAGCCAACGTGGCGATCTGGATAGTAATGACAAAAAATGTCTGAACTTCCTGGAATTCTACCGATGATGTTATAGTTGCCGCATTCAGCTGCGTGCGCGCCAGTCGATTCTGCAATATTATCGCTCTTGTCCATGCGCTGGGTCTTCTCGGCACGAACATCTTTCGTATGATGAGGATAAAAGGCCATGCAACTATGCGGCTCCACGAGTTGAGGGTCTTTAGTATCAGGTACAGAAAGAGTGCAACACACGTCTGCAGGAGGTAAGACAACATGACCTTGGGCACGATCAAAATCAGCTTGTCCCTCTCAATCTCTCGGTTCGGAGCACTACTGCCAAGCACTTACCCCTGGGCCAGCTATGTCCGGGTTAAGCTTGGCTTCGACACCATCGCAAAAGCCGTCGAGGCGCTGGAATACGTCGTGCAGATTTTCTGCATTTATAGTGATGCCCTCCAGCCCGCGTACTGAAGGTGCACAAGTCCCGATCGGGCTATCATCACAGGATGACGCCGCACATTGGACAACATCAGCAATTACCTTGGAGCCATCCCAGTTAGTAAGGTCGCCAATGCCGAGGTAATCCGCCGCACTTTGGGTAACGCTGGACCTGTCCATTTCGAGGGTTCCGTTTTCGATCAGCATAGCGATTGTGGCAAGTCCAAGACAAGGCTCCAGGTTGAATGGTAAGAACAGCGTACTTGGATCGTGACATGTGTCAAAGCAAGTGCCGTGATCGCGTTGGTGATCCGTGTACTCGTAGGAGCTGTTTGCGCAACTTCCCTTTCGGAATGAGAAAGCTGGGTCGTAAGTTTGTTCGAGTGATTTTAGGACCATGTCGATTCCGTTGCGTGCCGCGACATTCAATGGCTCTGTTAGAGCCCCGAGACTCGTCACTTGTTCCCCATTGTCATAGTAGCTCCAGGAGTTTGATACCCCAAGATAAAATGGTATTGTCGAGTTACTCACTCTCATGTCGGTTGAAATTCAGAGGCAAACCAAAAGAAAATTTTTAAAAAAAAATCAAGATGCTGTCGTACTTGGACAAGGAATCATCTAATCAGTTCAAGCCAGCCATTGGAAGATGTTGTTTTTAAATAAATGTCAGATCGAAGCATAAAGAGCTGAAGCTCGTCACCAGGGCCTAGAGGAAGAGTGGAAACCTCTTATTCGAATAATTCTCCCCTATATGTAAGCACGCATTGCTATTTTTGACAGGGACCATCAGCTTGTAGCCTTGCTGTGTAACACGACGTTGTCGGCTGTGCTTCAAATCCAACCTCGAGAGCCAAACGACTGGTTCTCTTCGAGGTATGGGATTGAACTACCAGTATTTGGCCCCCATACAGAGAACTAAAAGTATGCTAATACGCTTTACGCCTGCAGCCTTAAAGGTAAGCAGACGTCACTCATACGTTGGGAACAGCCGGCATCTACGCGCCTTTCTCAGCTTCAACGCTTTTGCAAAATTGAGCATCTCTGGGCAAAGTCGTCCTCCATTCAGCATATGTGTCCAATTTAAAAGTTTCCCTAAATGCACATTCTCAACCCGGTCTCACTGAATGGTGAGGACAATAATTAAATATTGCACTGCTCTTTGTCCACTCCAGCGATATCACAACATTGAGAGCCAGCTCCGCCAACATGTGCAAATTTGAGTGTCGTCAGATATTATTGCTGCCGGTGATGCTGCATGATAGGATTTGGCCGGCCATCAATGTTGATAAGGTACTGTGATAAGATAGAGTTGCCAGGCGGCTTGCTGGAACTGATTAGCGTCATGTGCGCTGCGTACCAGTGTCGTATTGGCTCGATATGATCGACGAATCGCTACTAGACGGAGGTGGTGACACGACGCTTATGTATTTCTTGAACCTCTGTCTCAGTTGCCTCTCATCGAGCATCCTGAACCCGACCTCACCACTTTTTCTCTCGACATCTACATAGAAGTGTGCTAACCATCAATATGACATCAACTACTAACCATGGAGACATCGACGAGTCCCAGGTGCCGGGCACTGTCCAGTTGGTCGACATTGACGAGCACTTGGCAACTCGTCATGCCAGGGGCCATAAGGATATTATTCTTGTCCCGACGCCATCCGCTGATCCGGAGGATCCCTTGAATTGGTCGCCGGGCAGGAAACGTCTGGCTCTGACTTGTATCATGTTGTAAGTTCCAGCCTATCGTATGTGTTGCTCTGATTTGAAGTAGCTTACAGGGTATTGAATGCAGATATACCTGGTTCGTTGGGATGGCCCTGTCCGTCGTGTACTCGGTCTTGGTCCCTTTATCCTCAGCGCTCGACGTGAGTGTAGCCAATCTCAATGCTGGAACTGGGTATTTCTTCCTTCTCTGCGGATGGGGTCTGTTGTTCTGGCAGCCTTTTGCTCTACAATACGGCAAGAGAGTCACATATCTTATTTCAACTATTGCCATGGTTGTAAGTCCGAGCCCTGGTCCTCAGCAGATGTCCAAGAAGCTAATTGAAACCAGGGCATCAGCGTCTGGAGTCCTTATGCTAAGGGAAATGGCCAATGGATAGCGAGAAACATCTTGATCGGGTTCTTTGCAGCTCCCATCGAGGCTCTTCCGGAGACCTCGATCACCGACCTCTACTTTGCTCATGAGCGTGGAAAATATATGGGCTGGTATGCATGGATGCTAGCGAACAGCAATTTCTTCGCACCAGTTATCACGGGCTTTATCAACGACGGCATCGGCTACAAATGGTGCTTCTTCATACACGCTGTTTTCTGTGCCGTCATCTCCGTGTTTCTATTCTTCTTCCTCGAGGAGACCAACTACGACAGAAAGACAGTCGGTGTCATAGAAGGGATCCAAGCATCCTCTGCGGTTGATTCTGAGGCCGCAAGCCCATCGAACGAAAGCAAGTCGCTTCCAGAGAAAGGCCCCGGAGCAGGAACTCCTGAGAGCCCAGCTGCGGAACTAAGCACTCCGTACAAGCGCAAGACGTACCGACAAAAACTTGCCTTGTGGGATAAGCCACGCCCTTTCATGATGGTTTGGCGTGCCGTGCAGATTTTAAAGCTACTATCATGGCCGGTCATCTTCTACGCCGGCTTCTCCTACGGCACGTACCTTGTGTGGTTCAACATCCTAAACGCCACCGCTTCGATTATTCTCGGAGGTGAGCCTTACAACTTCAGCCCTGCAATCGTTGGCTTATGCTACCTGGCCTGCATAATCGGAGTCACTGTTGCCTCGCTCTTCTCCGGTGTATTCTCCGACTGGTTTGTCATTCGACTGGCGCGGCGGAACGGGGGCGTATTCGAACCTGAACAGAGGCTCTGGCTGTTCGCGGCAGCCACCATTATCCTCCCCGCAGGGTCCATACTCTGGGGTGTCGGTGCGGCACATGGCGTACACTGGTTCGGCCTGTTGTTTGCCATGTTCATGATCTCGATATGCAATGGCTGTGGAGTGACACTGTCATTGGCCTATTTGGTCGACTCTTATCGTGACCTTTCAGGTGATGCGCTAGCGACTTGTATCATCATTAGAAACACCATGAGCTTTGCTATTGGGTATGGCATCACGCCATGGCTAGAAGCTCTGGGGTATCAAAACTGCTTCATCAGTGTGGCATTTGTTGGACTGGCCGTCTGCTCAGTGTTTCTGATCATGATCAAGTTTGGCAAGTCTGCCAGAGAACAGAAGAGGGCTCAGTACTGGCATGAAGTAAGGATCAGGATCGAAAAAGGGCTTGTACATTGAATGTGCACTCAAAGCATTGCGTGAATTGGGCCAGCAATATTGGATTAAATTTATAGCAATTTGGACCATACCGGTATGAGACCTTACAGAATGATTAATCCGGACAAATACAGGTTCAAATAATTGATAGAGTACATGCTCAAGAGCTTCTGACGTAACTAGTGACCTTTCAGAACCCAATGATCCGCTCAATGCGATCCTCTTGACTCACTTCGATTTTGATGTCAGTCGTCACCACGATGCCCTGATTTTCCATCCAGGGATCTGTCATGGCCTTTACCTCGTCTGGCGCCACCTCAACACGTGCTTTGGTCGGAGGGGCTGTCCCAAGCTCGAGGACCATCTCAGTATCGTCAGTTAGACCACGGGAGTCACTTGTCATTGAGACGCCCGTCTTACTCCGGCCCAACACAGTACTTTGGAGTCGACTGATCCTTGCCATACGGTCTGACATCCAATTGGCAAACTTACGGGGGACCGCAGCTGCGACAATGTGCTTCAAAGACGTCGGGTTAGTAAGAAGCTCGATCAAGAAGAGTTTTACGGCTACTCACATGCATTGCAGGTAGACAGGCTGCAATCAGGTAAATCGAAGGCTCAATCACGAGCCAGAGGATCATGACGTTCGTGTATGATGGTGCGATGTATTTAGCTGTGTGCCTCTCGTACACGGAAAGGCGAATCGCGGAGGCTACCAGAGCTGCGATGCCAATTCCGAACAGCAATGTAAGAGCCCATTTCCGCGTGTTGGTTGCTTTGAGTCGCCAGACCGTGGGGAGTGGCATAATAACGAGCGCGACGTCGACGACGAGGTTGAAAGGAGTGACGGATCTGTAAAACTTGTCGACATCGACACAAGTACCCTCAATGGATCTGTCCCAGAAGTGGTATACTGGTATGCACTGGAAAACTGAGGTGATGGCAAAGCCGACCCATTGTAAAGTGACGAAAGCTGTGACGGTCCAGATTGCGATTCTCAACCGCTTGTCGGAGAAAATGCGCAGGTAGAGGGCGAGGATGGAAAACCGTGTGGCCGCATATGATGCGAGCAGGCACTGCAGCAACGCATATATGATCTTTAACAAGATTGCGTTCTCCTCCAAATTTAAGATGATGCGGTCTTCGTTGCTCCAGGCCGTTTCCACCTTCGCCATTGCCATCCCCATACCACATATTGGCATCAACAGCAGCCAGCCAACAATGATCCAGAAGTCGTCCCACCAGAAGCGTAATTTGGCGATGCCAAGCCTTGAGAAGGTCTTCGCCGCGACGATGACTGTGTCGACAACAATGGCTGCGATTGCCGCGCGAACCAGAGGCCTGGTGGCCTGCCACGCGGTCTGGTCCGACACGAGAGGTCCTTGCTCCGCCGACATCTCGTTGACTTCAGTCGATAATCGGATTGCTCCTTTTCTTCTGGGTCTGCTGTCGAAGAAGCGGAGTCGCCGCCGAGTCGTGGTACTCAAGTGCGTCTGCGAAAGGAAAATGGAAGTGCCCGTTTGCTGGTTTGGCACATAGCCACATGCCAGCCAGAGTGGTGAGGGACGTGGAAAGCGTCAGGTCTTCTTGCACTGTTCTTTTACGGGGCACCATGGCCATTTTGCCCCAGGATCCCGGCTCCTGATGCGAGTCAGTTCACCAACAGGGACGATCGTCGCGTGGTACCACGGTATCTTATTCCCGCAACTTGATCCGACAGGTCACAAACATGATGACGAGAGCGACGAGGGCTGGCTATGTGTGAGTCGTGTTGAGAGTGAAGATCAGAACGAAGCATTCCAGGCCCCCCCTTGTCACAAAGCACAACCCGTCCTGGAGCTGGAGCTTAAATGCAAGGGGATAAAACTCACCAGAATGGGGAATCTCGAGAGCACTGACCTTATCACAAACCTGTCACCCTGTGAAGGATCAGCGGGCACACCTCTAGCATGATTGTTGGAGAGGACCAGTCATAATGCTACTGTGGTATATTGTGGAATGTAACCTCGTACATCCGTGCGGCAACTTGACCAGGACTATTGGCCAATCTCACCCCAGCTGTAAAGCACGCACAGACGAGGCGTTCACGATTCATCAAATAGCCATTGTGGTTAGGTTGCAGGGGGCATCTAAGATGTCGATATCTTCGATGGATGCTACGGCAGCCTTTGCCTTGGGGGATGTGGGCGGGAACCGGTTCCGCAACGCTTGGCGACACTAAACATTCCTACGCCAAAAAGAGACGATGGTTCTTTGAAGATCGGCGGGTTTGAAATTCGAGGATGTTTGTGTGGGTGAGTGGGTCCCGTTGTCGTAAGCAGGATGGATGCTGGAACATCTCTAGAGCACCTCGCTTACTGGGCAACAAGCCCACAGCGGAACGACCCGTGAAGTTTGACCCATTTTCACAAGTGTTTTGGGAGGACAATCAATAAATCTATCGGCGCAACCTTCTGCCCATGTTAGCACTTATCAGATGATCGCTATGCTCGCACGGGATATCTGTGTTGAGATGCACGGTTGCCGAGACGAAATCACAAATTTGGATGCACCTATCCTGGAACGCACGCGGTTGATATCCACTACTCCTAATAATATCGTATGAGTTAAGACTGCTATTGGTCTGGGCCCTTGACTAAGGGACAAGGTGGCTGAACTTTATCTCTAGTGGTATTTCCCGAGCATTGGCGGACGGTCGATATACGACCCTGTTTTCCGGAACACCCACTGGACAGTCGGTTTGGAGCAACTTACTCGTGAAGGTATGGGATCAGCAAACAATCCCAGACTATAAATTTCAAAACGTGCGTGGAGAACTTAGTCACGGATTGAAGCACACACTAACGCGCTTGCAAGCTACACAGCGAAACTTAAAACTTCCGAGTTCTCAGTGTTCGGGAACCGACCGCCGGTAGTTGTCAGCTCAGACTTGGACCGTGGCCCTGAGTTATGCGCACGCGCACAGGCATTTGATGACTGCGCAATTATACAAGTGTGTAGCATGTTGTTCTGGCCAAACGGACCAGACCCGCGGGTATCAATTCGCCAAAATCCGTCGAGCTCCTGGGATAATCATGGAGGTCTAGGTGCTCGATTACAGACCACGGACCTTGCGTGAAGAATTTGAAAACATCATCGAATGCGCATGAAGCGCATCCACATTGAGTTTGCACAGACCGCGGCTAGCTGATCGATGCTACAATGACAGTGGTGGGCGCCATGGGAGGACGCGCCCAGCATGCACTAAGGACAGGGCCCATGACGTCGCTGCTTCGAGTAGCTGCCCAGGTGCCTGTGAAAGAGGCATAATGTAGATAGAGCACGCGCCCGCCAAGAAAGCAAAGCGAATTGCATCCGAACTACATGATCTTATGATTTTTCTCTGCCGTGGCAGGGCAGTTCTGAGTAAGGTGTGTCTTGATCACGGCCCGAAGGCGGAACTTAATCTTATTTCTATGCTATAGATGATCTGAGTCAGAGTTGGGGTTGGTATTGTGTCGCCGACCATCAACACAGCTGGGTCTGTCTATTTTCTAAAAGTGCTATAGCGCGACGACCGTCATAAGATGGCACATGAGCCAAGAAGTATTGAGACGATATGATATAGAAAGAGACATGTGGTTTTTGTATTGGGAGAATGCTCAGAGATATTTTAAGCTCGTTGCATTGTCTAGGCTGATTCACATGGAGAGAACGTATGAGTGTGCCGGCAACGCACTCGAGTGACTCCCGCCCGTTGTTCATGCTACATGCTAGTTCATCACAAATTGGATTGAGAATGTCGGAACCTCCAAATGTAGTAAGCCTGATCCAGGATGAGATTCATAACACTGCGCGACGCAACACGACCGACCTGTGTCTAGTCTTGAAAGCCGCCACGTGGTGGGCAACTGTGAACTAACTGTCTTTGACAACTAAAAAGCCAATTTATAATGTCAATCTGATTAGCTCCCGATTATTGCTAAGGGTTACCATATGTTCTATTGCTAGATGGAGACATATACCTTGTGAAGGCACTGCATATACGTAGGTGGCTAACAGTGCATAAAGTCTGGGCAATTGCCGAATATTCAATCGGTTATTTGATTCATACATGTCTCACCCACGCGACTAGCATCTACGATAGCTACACTCCGGACAAATGTAGGAATGACTTCGGCTAACTATTCATGTATAGTACATATCTATGAGGGAGACCTGTGTATAGAAAGCCATTTCTGGAGAACCTTCTTTATTCTAGATTACTCTATAAGTAAAGTAAATATTATATTCTCCTTCTGTTGGTTAAGCAGCAACAGTATTTCCTGGAGATTCTTGCACTTCCTTCTTTAGCCGATCTAGCATCTTCGCATGAATTTTGGACCCTGTATGTATTCTTTTGTCAGAATTTTATTATTGCTTATCACACGTATATCATGACTGCCATATTGAGATTGCCTCAAAATATCACAGACCGGATCGAGGGCCAGATCGATAACAGGATGGCAGAGTGCAGGAGAGAGTCACTCACAGCCACCCTCGTTAAGAGACTTCACGATTCCGATGAGAAGCCTGGAGCACTTAATCTCGCAAGCCTCGACGAGCTCAAGGCCACCATCTTTCTCCTCAATGGACCAGAACGTGTCCATTACCACGTTGAGAGGGCTTTTAATGCGTGCAAAGAGTCCCAATTGAATGTCCGTAAATTCGTAGCTCGACTCGACACTTGAGCCCCATATACCTTTCGGCATGGTTTCAACAATATCGGTGACCTTGTACAGCGTTGTCGGCCCCAGGGCTTTGATGCCTTCGGGCAGACCCGGCTCAGAGACTTCGCCAAGTGCCTCAAACTTCTGCATATGAGGGTTACACTCAAGGAAGAAGTCATGATCCTGAAGCATTGCGATGCCCTGCTTCTGGGTTGCCCCATCCGGCAGTTTGGAGGCGTGGACCATCTTTGCGGATGAACTGAGGACTGTCGGGTATTCAGCGCCAAGCCATACCTCTCGGAGCATTTGTGACACGTGGAACTATCCACATGTGGGGGTATGGGGTCACTCACACGACATGCTGCTGCTTGCCAGGGGCTGCTGACGTCTTTGGGATCTAATTGAACACTTCTATTACTTGTGCAAACCGGATTCTGCGTCTTTTCTGCTTCTGTGATGAATCTGCGCTTGCGTTGAGGGTGCCCAGGCACGAGAGAGGAGACCGGACTAGCGGTGATGCTGTGACGTCTCCTGTGTCAGCCAGCCCCTTGACCCTGTCGATCGTCCGAGCGCGGGTTTTCCGGTCTACTGCTTTCAAACATGTTTATCTCCGACGTCTTCGGTAGTTGTGCTGATCATTGCTCATGGGCTCTCTGATATTAGACACCCCAATCGATATGGGATACCCAGAACAAAACAATTCTGTTCGCAGGGTCGCACCATAGGAGATTGTCATATAGTAGATTGTTCTCTCATGAGAATTTAAAAATAGACCAAAAATCATCGTCCATTCAACTTGGAAGGGCAGGGCCGATGGAAGGGCCAAATAAAAAAAAAGGAAGAATAGACGAGAGCTAAGAAAGAAGTGAAAATCTGTAGAGACACTAACATAATGCAGGGCTACAAGCATAGTGTGCCTTGCCTCGTAATCATGATGCCAGCGCCCTTCTGCCATCGATCTTGTTCTAGGTCATAAAATTACCAGTTGCAACGGAGAGAGTGTGTGACTATGTATTATGGTGCTTGAATAGAAAGCCTGAGGTCGCCCTTGGAATGTGTTTGCTACTGGCCCCGTCCCCTCGGGGTGCCCTCTGCCACCACACCCGAGTAACGAGAACGTATCATGTCCAACGTTGCAGTCCTCATTGCTTTATGATCTTCAAGTGCTCTGGGGCAGGCCGTGTCTTAGCTATCCTGGTTGCATACAAATCAGAAATCCAGTCAATAGCGTCCAACAACCTCGTAGGTTGGTGCCGAGAAAAGAGCCACAGAACACCTGTATGCAAGGCGCAGGTGATGAGCTCCAAGGGTGAAAGGATGCGTAGATAGGTGGTCGCAAATAAGTCGCAGGTCAATCGCAATTGCAGTCAAATGCATTCGGAAGCATGTAAACATTCCTCAAATACATTTCCATTCATATTCAGGTGCCTTTGGTACATCTACAGAACTCCTGCATATGTCATTCACAGAGTAACAGAGGGTTATGCAAGATTGAGCCCCCAGGGATTGATACTGCAGTCAATGAAACTGGCGCTGGACTCTACGCAGGTAATGGACTTTAGATCGCTGGTAGGGCATCGCGACGAAGTAAAGGATTATGACGAGTGTTTGAGCGGAACATTGAGGACGATTACCGCACGTTTGATACTCTGATTCAGGAAGGTAAGAAAGTGGCCAGGGCCATGCAATGTAACCAAGAATTGCAGAATCGATGGATGTTTGCGGAATTCGCGTCAAAACACTTCACCTAAGGGTGTGAACAGAAGACGACAGAACCAACAGACCCTATCTCACACCTTTCTTCAGCAATCTCCCCATGCATAATCAGTAAGGCTATCTTTGATACTCGTTAAGGTCCAGGGTAAATCTGATGTTTGTAATAGCACATGTTGTTGCATTTTATACGAACAATGTGCATGGCCGTGATCCTGTCTCTGGCTATTCGCCACAATTTTGCCAGAGTTGAGGCACTCGGTCACACCTCATAGCTACATCTCGAGTCTTGTTTACCGCAGGCCCTATCAATCACGTCCAGTGGTACTCGTTCAAGCTCCTAAGCTTAGAGGACTACTAATATGTTTGCTGGGGCGAGTCACAATTGGAAGAACCCAGCTGTCATCCCATCTTGGGTGAACGCGAATAATAAACGCGATTAATGAACGCGAATAACATTCGCGAGGCTGGTTCCTATTCACTGGTCTCAAGAAAGCCTATAAAAACTCAGAAAACTCCATCCCGTCTGGCACCGTCTAACGTACACCACACGTAGTGATCTACCTCCATCACGCGGCACTTGTGGTAAGTATCGCGGCTTTCCGCTAGTACCTGACAGCACCGATTCAAGATGATAGATACTAATACCCAGTGCTCGCCATCAGACCAGTCTCGCCACCATGTCCCCGCGCCACAAGAACCGCAAAGGCTGCTCACAGTGCGGCCACTGCTGCACCTGGAGAGCCGACAAAGCTTTCCGCCGCACCACTAAGGCCTTTGGATCAGAGTTCAAGAAATTCAAGGTCTGCAACCGCTGCAGCCGCAAGTACAGAAAGGAGCCTCTCAGTAAGGAGGACTTCATGAACCAGTACGGTGGCGCTGATCACTCCGAGTATGCTACTACCAAGACCCCAAACCGTCTGCGCAAGATTTCCAGCACAGAATGGCTCGCTAACCAGAACAAATCGCCTAGCTCCGATCCGGATGATGATGACGAGGATGACGAGGATGACGATGAGCCCAAGAACGATGGAAACGGCGATCAGGGCGGTGGCTCAGCCCAGGGAGGCATGGGCCATGCTGTTTCTGTGGCCTAGACCTGGCACTCAGCGCAAAATCCTGCACATAGGACATTTGATTTTTTGGAAGGCATCAACAGCAGTCAGAAGCCGCACCTCCTAATAGGTGGCTGGTGGACAGATGGGAAATAAGCAATTGCCTCACGCGAAGACAGCAGTCCTTAGACTACTTGCACATCCATGAACATTCGGGATTGTGTCTTTACATGCTTTGACGCGCCCGTTGCAGTGAATTTTCATGTGCCCCTTTCATCAGCCACAAGCTGCTTCCAAAGCTTTTGATGCAGGGTGGTTCTTTCAGGTACATTTGACCCTGCCTTTCAGAGCTGGCGACACCAAAGGTTTCCATGCTCCATGGGCTATGCCATGACATACTTCTTCACCTCGTAGGAGTATTGGTGGGAGTGATGATAGATGAACCATGACCACCTAAGTGTTTACCTGCTAATCACTCTACTTAGCGCCAGCAACATATGAGAATGCCTGCTTGGTCAGCACCGTGGTTAGAAATTGAAGGCTTTAGAAATCCAAACGGATGGCTGGCGAATGGTAACCAACCCCTGCGCCCTTCGGCTGTTCGCGCTTTTCTCCAATGCGGCTGCTGTTAGCAATTGCGTACACCCGGCTAATCACGACATGGGGCCGCTCCGTTCCAACGTCACGACTCAGAAGCTCCATCACACACCTCCCCGGCAGCACACGGATAAGCAAAGAACGATGCGTCGTCCTCAAATATCTTGACCTCTAACAATTTTCTTGAATCCTAGATTCTTGAGTTGTAGCCATCACTGCAGTGCAACCATGGACACCGAAAAGGCTGCAGAAACTGCCCGCAGCAGGGAGGACGATGATGTCTTGAACAACTTGGCACGGAAAGAAGAAGGCGGTGTCGACCTAGAGGCCACGAGCATAAGATCCGATCGGAGCCAGCACTACGAGGATGATCTCGAAGATCAGAACGGCATGGAGCCTCAGCGCTCCAACACGACGGGAGCATCTACGTGGGCTTCTGAGCAGATGTCTCTTCCCCAGGAGATCCTGTTCGTGGTAACAGTCTGCTTGACCCAATTCTGCAACCGTGAGGCCCCTAACAAGCAGCCGCAATCCTTCAAACAGCTTCTCTACAGAACCATTCCTGTCTCCAAATAAATAAGATAATGCTGACGACTTGTGCTCTAGAGGCCTCATTTTGCGCAATGCTATTCCTTCTCGGTACTGTGGGCGACAGCTTGGGAGTCACCAACCCGTCCCTTCTCAGCTGGCTCGTCGCGGGATTCAGCCTGACCGCAGGCACGTTCCTGATCTTCTCAGGACGGCTGGGCGACGCTTTTGGCTACAAATTGATGCTGATGATCGGCTTTTCGTGGTTCTCGCTATGGTCGGTACTTGCCGGAGTTGCCGTGTACTCCGGATACACGCTCTTCGTCTTCGCTCGGGTCTTCCAGGGTATCGGGTCCGCCATTTGCATCCCGAACGCCCTGGCCATCCTTGGCGCGGCATATCCTCCTGGCCATCGCAAGGCCATGGTCTTCGCCTTGTTTGGGGCAAGTGCGCCAGTCGGTGCATTGACGGGTGGGATTGTGGGAACTTCGCTCAACTTGCTTTGGTGGCCCTGGAACTTTCATGCGCTGGCCATCGTCCTCGCCTTGCTAACCGTCCTCACTCACTTCGTTGTGCCATCACCACGCCCGCCCAGATTGTCGGGGAAGGTCTCCTTACGTGATTTGAACAACGAGCTGGATCTGGTAAGCGGGCCCTAGATTGGGATGCGACAGAAGGCAACATACTCCGACCGCGTATACCGCAGTACGCACCTTTCAGAGAACTTGCTGACCTATCTGTGGACAGGTTGGGGCAGTCACCGGAATTTCAGCCCTGGTTCTGTTCAACTTTGCATGGAATCAGGCACCAATAGTTGGCTGGAACTCGGCACAAGTGATTGCCACTCTTGTTGCCGGCGTGGTGGTATTCTTTACATTCATGTGGGCTGAGTACCGCTATGCCGTAAATCCTCTCCTACCTCTCGACGCATTCAATGCAGACGTCGGATTCGTCCTCGGCGCACTCGCCTGTGGCTGGGCCATGTTTGGCTCTTGGTCTCTCTATGTAGTGTTGGTCTTCGAGAACATACGGGGTCTGGCTCCATTGCCGGCCGCAACCTGGATGATTCCTATTCTCGTCACTGGCCTGCTTGCGTCTGTGATCACAGGCTACCTGCTGGGACCAGCCAATTTTACACCCCCTGTGGTGATGACTATTGCCCTGACGTTTTTCACGACTGGTGTTGTCATCTTCGCAACGGCACCCGTGGATCAGATCTATTGGGGACAGACATTCGTGTCAATTGTTATCGTATGCATTCTCCTCCTCCTTTCCATACTTGACGTGGGCTTGAGGCTTTTCAAGTGTTCCACAAGCATTTCCCGCAAGCAAGCTATGGCGCATCCGCTAACAATACAATTGATAGATACCCTTTGGTATGGATATGAGCTTCCCGGCGGCAACCCTGATTCTCTCCGATGCGGTCAAGAAAGAGCACCAAGGAATCGCAGCAAGTCTGGTAGCAACAGTCGTCAACTATAGTATATCTCTAGGCGTTGGGTTTGCGGGAACAGTGGAGGTTCATATTAACAATGGAGGGAAGACAAAGGCGGACCTCCTGAAGGGCTACAAGGGCGCATTATATCTAGGAATTGGGCTTGCCGGGCTTGGGCTGGTCATATGCCTAGTCTTCCTGGGCAGAGACAAGTTGAGGAGTTCTCGCAAGGCCAAGGCAGAGAAAGGAACGCCTTCCATCTCGCCTGGGCCTGATGCGCAAGCTTTTGCTTGACCACTTGGAAACAGAGCTTTAATTTGTGGCTCCTGGAAGAAAGAAAGAAAGAAATCAAACTGTGAATCTGAAAATATTCATTTTCAACCCTCGTACAACCTTCGGGCAAGTTTTCAGCTCCTGAGCATTCGAGGCATCCGCGAAGGGCAGTATGTTCGGTCTTAGCCCGCAGCGGACGCCAATTTCGACATGCCTCATGTTTCAAAGTAGCGTCGTTGCTGGCCCGTGGCTCTACCTTGCCTGATCGACTTGAGTACGCCCCTGGAACAGGATGATTAAACCAGCTAGTTGAGCGGGGTGGGCTCCGTCGATCTTGTACCGAGGCATTGCCCAGCGCCGTCCCTAGCAGAAATCCGGCTCTCCGCACCCGCCCGGGCAGTAAACCCGGTAAGTCCGCATGACCTTAGGCCCGCCGTGTTCGGACATGGTGTCGTCTCCAAGAATAATTAAGAGGCCGGAGAAGTCGTGACGAAGTGATAATGAACAAGCAACAACACACGGCCGGCTTGGCGGGACAGCAAATATGACGCTCTGGAAGTCCCCACACCCTGATCTCGATAGTGAGTAACCGTGACTCAGACGAAAAAGTTTGCCAAACTGGATTAGATATTGACGCAAGGAGTCTGGTAGTCCCAACAAATGTAACGACTTGGGAATGGCTTTTCGAGTCTGAGGAATATGTCCCTTTTCGAAAAGCTCCAAGCGCCGTCATTGGGGCATATAACAATGCGGTGACTGGAGAGCGTCTTGACTTTGGCCAAGTCAAGTCAAAAGCTACTACTCTGAGCACAGTACTCGTGGAAGAATATGGCCTCCGTGCCGACCAGACTGTCTCGATCTTCAGTACGAATACTGTATGGTACGCGGTCGCATTATGGGCGACTATACGGGTCGGTGGGTGATCCTGGGCAGAAACGGATGACATACTCGAGGGCTAACACATGAAGCAGGAGGCAGAATCAATGGAGCTTCTCCCGCATACAATGTGGAAGAAATGACACATGCTCTGAAGACAGCCGATACAAAGATCCTGGTGACCTTGCCCGGCTCAATCGAGGCAGCTGTTACCGCGGCCAAGAACGCGGGCGTGCCAAGGTCGCACATTCTGCTGCTCGAAGGCGAAGTACCAGGGTTCAAGAGTATCCAAGACCTGATCCAGCGAGGCCAATCATTGCCGGTCACAGAGGTGTACCATATACCCCGTGGCAAGACGAACAAAGACATCTGCGGCTATCTCAACTTCAGCTCCGGGACTACGGGCTCACCCAAGGCCGTCATGCTGTCCCACCACAACATCATCGCGCAGTGCCTCCAGCTTAGGCAGCTCCAGCTCCTCCCCGCGGACGGTCAGTACCGGACCATCGCAGTGATGCCGCTATTTCATATCACCGGCTTGGTCAGGTTCATCACGTATCCAGTGTTCACGAACGGCGAGTGCTACATGCTGCCGCAGTTCAAGATGGAAGCCATGCTCGAGACAATCATCAAGCATCGCATAGAGGAGCTGATCTTCGTGCCGCCGATCCTGATCCGCATGGTGCGTGATCCTGTCGTCGACAGGTACCTGCCACAGCTGCGCCGCATTGTCAAGCGGTTCTCATCTGGCTCAGCACCGATGAGCCCAGAGATCATCCGCCTGCTGGAGGCCAAGTTCCCCGGCACTGGGTTCCGCCAGGGTTACGGCGCGACCGAGTCCACGGCGTGCATCTCGTCTCACCCGCCCACACACTTTGCGTACCGCTACGCCCACACGGGCGGCAAGCTCGTCGCCAACACCGTGGCCAAGGTTATTGATCTTTCTGACGCGTCGAGGCTGCTCGGCCCCGGCGAGACGGGTGAGATTTGTGCACGGGGCCCGCAGATTGCGATGGGGTACCTGGGGAACCCGGAGGCTACGGCCGAGTCCTTCGATGAGGAGGGTTTTCTGCATACAGGTGATGTGGGGCATATGGATGGGGAAGGACTCCTGCATATTGAAGACCGCATAAAAGAGATGATCAAGGTCAAGGGCATACAAGTCCCGCCGGCGGAGCTGGAAGATCTGTTGCTGGGGCATGAGCTGGTTGAGGACTGTGCAGTGTTGGGAATCCGAGACGAGTACGCAGGTGAGAGGCCGAAAGCTTATGTCGTGGTGAAGGGGGCGCAAACTCCAACCGATGCGCTTGGCAGGACCCTGTTGAGATATGTGAGGGAGCGCAAGGTCCGGTATAAGTGGTTGGCTGAGGTGGAATTTGCGGAGAGCATTCCGAAAGGGCCCACGGGAAAGCTGTTGAGGAGGTTGCTAAAGGCAAGCGATAAGAAGGCCGATAGGAAGAAAGGGTTATGCGTAAGAGATGACATTGACAAAGCGAAGCTGTAGAGCACGCTTGGAAGAGGAGATAGCGTATATAAACAAATATATGGGAAAGGGAGATGGTATCTATTGTCCAACCGAAGAAACGCACCTGCGCTATGCCTTGTACATGCCGAGCCCTCTCTAAGTGAGCAGAATATCGTACCCGTCTCTGTTGATCCGAACAGCGTCGCCCCCCATCCCGTACTTGCGCCTTACCAACTCAAAAATGACCAGCCCCGCGCTCGTCGAGGGCACTTGTCGCAGCGCATTCCACCAGAATCCCCGGAATAACCAACGTCTCAGTGCGTTGGGTCCGTTACCCTCCTGTGACTTGCTTTCTTCGACGCACTTGGACCAAGTTTCCTTGTATGCGTGATAGTAGGCGCGGAACATTTTCCAGCGCCACTTCTCCCCCGGAGCTTTTGAGTTCTGGTACTTGCGGTACTTGCGTGACTGTGAGTCGAGATACTCAAGGTGTTCCCAGTGCTCCATTTGGACATGCGTGAGCGGGTGGATGATTACTTGCTGGGCAATGGATGCCCCCATTCCGGCAAGCATGAGGAAAGCAGGCTCGATTGCGTAATGGGGCTGGATGGTCTTGAGCCGCTGATTGTCTTTCCCGTCTGTGGGTCGTCTTCTTGATAGGACGTTCACTACATCCTCACTGAGCTGACCATAGTACCACGCGACGAAGGAATAGTACGATTGCGCCTTAATATACTCGAAAGTACAAAAGAACACTCCGCTCCCCAGGCTGTCCTTGGCAAAGGACAGACCCCACCCAGCAAACATGCCTCGCAGCCCAATCTCTCGAAGCTTCGCGTAGCTGAAAGACCACATACTCTGTGGTCGACCGTTGGAGTCGCTGATCATCTCAGGCCCCTTGCCTCCCCGCTCGAACCTCGCCTGAATCGCGTCTAGCGGTGCAGCAGCGACGCTCTGGATAGACCCGGCGAGGAGGCCTGCCGTAAAGGTGTCGCCGGGCGATGGGGGAGGGTAGACCCTCTTGGTAGCTCTGCTGCTTTCCTCGTGCAAGCGGCCGAGGATCTGCAGATAGCTCGTGTACAGCACGGCGCCAACGCCGACGTTAGCAATCAGAGGGGGGAGGACCTGATCCGGGATGATGCGCCATCCATGATGCTTCACCGCGGAGGCAAGAATCCCCGGTGTCGTACGTGAGCCCACAGAGCGAAGCCACTGGCCCCATGTCTGCTTGCCGGCATCTTGGGCGTTGGACAGGCTGGCTAGCAGGTAGTTGTGCGGCTGTTGTTGCTGCTGCAGGTTCCGCGCGTAGGCGAGGTAGTCGACGCGAGTGCGGAAGAAGGCCTTGACTGGCGCCCTGAAGTAGAAGGCGATGGCCTGGGCCGTAAAGGCGCGCACACCTGCAGCTGTGGCGGCTGTTGCGGCGTTGGTGCGTGGGTTCCTGTCCGAGTCGGGAGCGACGACGGGCAGCACGCCAAAGTCGAAGGGAGAACTTGGGTCACCGGCGCGGCGGCCGGGATCGGTGGGGTTCATTATCGATGAGGCATCTCATATATTGTGTCTAGATGTCGAAGGAATGTCTAATCTGTATGTGCCGAAGAGAGCGAATGCAATCGTCGCGATGAAGTAGAAGAGGCTGAGAATGAAACTGAGGTTAAGACTGAGCGGTTTACTGTAAGAGGCCGATGACCCTGTCAGCTGGCCATATCCGGTTTTGCAGCTGGGCCCAGTGGAGGCCTGAAGTTGATGCCAGCTGGCGGCAACTTGGCCATCTTCTGCCAGGTGGCAGGGGCTCTCCAGCTCAGGTAGGCTCCCGACAACCTGAGCCAGACCCAACCCTCTCGCGCAAACAAGCCGAGCCAAGCGACTGCTCTGTTCTTATGGCGACTACATCCTCTTGACCAGCGAAGTAGCTCACTAAAACTACTGGACGATAGCCGTAAAGAACGGACCGCTTCTTGGCGATCTGGAAAGCACGACTTCTCTGGTCTGGACCTTCTGTTCCTCAGCCTCCAATGTCTGATGCAGCCTGCAGGTAGCCAAGCCTGGTGAGAGCTTGGCCAAGGTGGTGCTCGTTCAAGATGAAGGCTTCACTTAAGCGCAGCACCAAAGCATCGAAATCACAAGAACACTGAACCAATTGACAAACTACGGTATATGTTTTTCCCTCTGGTCCTATGGCGTGTCAGGCATCATTCATTATAGATGTACCTGTGGGGTTGAGAACCATGAACGGTCGCCTTACAGTGGGTTCGCCAAATGATCTACTTGGACTCCTCCTTCGCCTTCTTGAGAATGCCCTCGGCCTTCTCGGACTTGTTCTCGAGTACTTTCTTCAGCTCTTCTGTCGTCTCTTTCACCAACTTCTCGCTCTCCTCCGTGTGTTTCTCCGCAACCTCCTTCAGCTGCTGAAGCTTGGACAGTATTTCACTGCCGTTGGGAATCTGGCCAATATACTGCTCCAGACCGGTACCTCCAGCAACCTGGGAGCCCTTGGACTTGGCTTTCTCCACAGCCTGGTTGACGTAACCTTCGAGGTCGCCTGTCTTGCCCGACTCAACCGCGTTCTTGGCCCTCTCAAACAGCTCCTTCGCGTTGCCCTTCTTCAGAGCATCCTGGTTCTTCTCCACTAGCTCCTTGACTTGTGGGTTCTTGTCCAAGTAAGGCTTGGCCTGCTCTAATCCCTTCTTCCAAGCCTCATCGCCCAGCTTCTGGACCTGCTGGACCTTGTCCTCGATGAGCTTGCGCGCCTTGTCCAGGTTGGAAGCTGTGAAGCCGCCGGCCACAACGTCCCGAATCTCCCGCCAAGTCTGGTTCACCTGCTTCTTCGCCTCTGGGCCGTACTGATCGCCCATCTGTTTGAGCTGATCAATGCTTCCGCCGAACTTGTCCTTCAGCTGGGGGTGGTTGTCAAGGATGTCGCCCAATGCGTCGGTGGAGAGGTCGGCAAGCTTGACGGAAAGGTCCGCTAGCGCTTCGTACACCCGGCGGAGGCTCTCCATGCTGAGGCCTGCCTTGGAAATCTCCTGAAAGTGCTTATATGCATCATTGAGGATGCGGTCTGCGTCCTCCTTGTTGTTCTTCCTGACCTTCTCAAGATCGTTGAATGCGGTGTCGACGTACTGGCGCCCACCAGGGATCCAGGTGACGTAGGAGTAGCAGAAGTCCTTGATGTAGTTGACTGTCTGGTCGGCATCGGGGGTGTTTTCCTGGAGTTTTTGAGCAACCTCATTGTACTTCTTGTTCGTCTCTTTCGTGGCCTTGTTGACTGATCTTGCAATCTTGCCTGTAGGGCTGAAATAGTACGCGCCGTAGAGAAGCCCTCCAGCTGTGAGGCCACCAGCTACACCGGCTGCGAACGGGGACGTGCCGGCCTGAGCATTGCCGCTGCCCGATGAGGATGCGGTCGTGGACTGGAGGCGAACCTGCTTCGCCCGTGGGCCCTTCGCGGACCGTGCAGCTCGTGGCAGGGAGCGCAAGAAAGTTCTTGAGGGGATCATGGTTATGGTATTTGGTGATTGTGGATATTCTTGTTTGTGAGAGTTCAGAGACAGGCAGACGGTGGAAGCTGATTGGTATTCAGGGCGTCTGTGGTCGGGAGAGGATTGCGAGGTTGAGGGTGAATCTGAAGGACTTTCGTTGGGAGATCGTTAAATTTCTTTTCACATAGACGGCCGAGACACAAATAGCTCCATTGCGATGACGCTCATTGACGCAGGTACGTGTTGAGCTTCAGCTTCCAAGCTCGAAGCTGCAGCTCCAGGCCAGTAGCACGGAGCTGATGGTCCGCAGGTGCCCGTGTCACACATCTCTGCGTCGTCATGACGTAGAGAGGTAGCTATGAAAAATCCCATCATGCATCCCTTCATACCAAATAAAAATACAATCCTGGATTAATGGGTGCTCTGAATCTCTGTGGAGCTCAGGTAGTCCTTTGCCATCATCAATGGACCCAAATGCCCTGCATTAAACACACCCGAATTGTAGTTTGGTGATCATGCACTGCATTGCTTGACATCTTGTTTGTTAGTAGAGAAAGTACTTTTTACCGAGCACTGTTGAGCTATCAACAACGCTAATATGGTTGGATTCGTATTAAGACCCAGATTTCTCGAACACTAAGTATTAAGGATACGTAGGTACTCATCAATTCATTTGCAAGCCTCGCTCAGTCTATCACGCGCAACATCTTGTAAGCGGGATGACCAATGGCTCTCTTGACGACACTCATCGGGTCCAACTTCTGTCGCTTCGTCTTCTCCACAACGACCTCACCGTCATCTCCAACCTTCTCGATAATCTCCTCCTCAGCATCCTCGTCCTCGAAGGAGCCGCTGTCCAGGAACACCTTCAGCATGCCCTGGGAATACCCGCTCACCAGCGCCGTGCCTTGCTCGTGCGCCGTCACAGGCTTCGGCGCCACGGGATCTCCGCCTGTGAACGTATAGCCTGCTCGTCCGCCAGCAAGGTTCCAGAAGACCAGCTCAGGCATTTCATATCCTGCCTTTGAAAACTTCTTCTGAATCCGTTCGTAAGAGGTGGACCATCTGTTGTCATTGTAGCACGCCGTATTGAACTGCATATCGCTGAAGACAAAGATGCGCTTCACCATGTCCTCCTGTTTGAGGTTGTTCTTAACGGCCATTGGCAAGATCAGCTTCTCGAAAACTGCGACGAAGTCGGTAGACATGTCCCAATCAGCACTAGAAAGTGCACGATACTTTTCCTGCAAGCTCTGTGTGAGATCGATCTTCTGCACACGGGGATTGGTGCTGAAGGTGATGAATGCTCCCCCGAAAGGAGGCTTCGTCACCTCGGCGACCAGCAAGCTCAGACCAATTGATGTGTCCATTGGAACAGTCCCATCGGGAAATGTTGGGTATTCCATCGAGCCAGAGACATCAGCGACGGCGATACAGTTCTCGAGCGTACCTGAATCCTTGATGCGTTGGACAAGGGATTTCCACTGGCCGTCAAGAGTCTTGGCCTGTAACTGTTTCATCTTCGCATCGACTAGGTCCTTGGTACCTTTGCTGGTGCGCTTGCCACCTGGCTGACTGGTGAAGTAGTCCGATGTCCAAGGCGCCGTACGCACAGCCTTGATAAAGGCACTTGGCAGGAGAGTTGCGCCGGAGATCTGAGCCTTGCCATTAGCAACTTTGTCGATGTACTTCTCAAAACGATCGGTATCCTTCTGAGCAAAGATGGGTGCGTAGTTATTCATGGCTAGGGAGGGCACGCGGTCATATTTGATATTCTCAAAGGTTTTGGCTGTGATGTTCCGTTCTACGCATTCAAGGTGCTTGCGAAGTGCGGCCACGTCCTTGCGATAGGCCTCTCGAGCATGACGAAGGTAGAATTCACGCTTCTGTTTGTTGCTGTCATCGTAATCTGCGAAGCCATCGAAAGTTGAGACTGGGTGCATTATCTCGGCGATCGAGGAAACGATGAAGGTGTGCTTGTCGTGGAATCGAGTGTTGGATGGCGCCCACTTGGCACAAAGCGATACCTTCCTCTTGGCTGTTGGGTCATCACTTCGAAGTAGTGACAAGTCCTTTTGAAGCTGAGCGGCGAAGAGAAGAGCTATCGTGACATGCAATGACCGATAGACAGCATCGTCCTCGAATGCTTTGATGGCGGCCTCATGGCGATCATCCCTCTTTCCATGCCGCAGGGCCTTGGCTGTCTCTTGATCCTTCGGCCAGTTGGTCTTAGATTTCTCACGCTCAATATTGAGGATATCGCGCGGATTTGCTAGGACATCGAGCTTGCCATTGACATACAATGCAAGAATGTTGAGGAGATCTTTCCAGTACCCGTGAGCCACACCGTTCTTAACGTCGAAGCGGGCTGGGTCGTCATCGTCTATCTCCTGCTCCACAAACACCATTTCATCTTCGTCGGCCTTCTTCTCGGCATCCTTCTTGTCGGCTTTCTTCTGTATTACTGGACGGCTCAGCCATTCAAGGTTTGCGATTAGTGTCAGAGGATGGTACTTGGCGAGCCAGCCGGCGCATCGATAGAAAGTTTGTCGAGAAGCTTTGCCAAGGTGAATGGAACGGGCATTGAAGATAATCTTGAGGGTCGAGTGCGCATCATAACTCCATGCCCCCTGGAGAAGCTCGAGGAGTCTCGGGCCCGAGATGACGTCCTCAAGCTCTGTGAACAAGTCGACCAGGCTCTCGTTTGTGGAGCGGTGGGCAACGTCGGCATTTTCGGTGAGCATCTTGTTCTCCATGTCTCTCACTGGCCCTGGACTCGTGCCGTCCGTGTTCTGTTGGGAGAGGAGGCCTTTCATGAAGGGGTGGGCATGACCTGAGGACTCGGTAGCGGCCTCTCCCATGTCCACCATGGGAGAGTTCTCTCCATCGTCGATGGAAATTTGGACAATGCCATCTCTCAGACCAGCAGTAGTTGAAGCATCAGACACAAGTACAGGCTCGGACTCAGCTACGAAAGCAGTTTCATCGTCCGAGAGATGTGCTTCTGCGGAGCCGCTGGCGAACTGCCGTTTAACATCCTGATGGACATAGGCCTCGAGTTCGTCCTCAGAGCCCTGAAAAACTGGATGAGAAGGAAAGAAGACAGGGAAAGTGGACTTCAGGTACCAAAGGTCCTGTTCATCCTCATTTGTGGAAGCCATCTTGGGGTCGCTTTACGGCGAGGCCTCTTGATTCGGAGAGAAAGTGTAGAGGGCAGAAGTAAAAGACAACAAGGAGCAAACGACAAACAGAGAACCAAACAACCCCATATATAATAACAAACAAAGGTACCAGAGGTTTGAGACGGTGCGGGCTCGGTGAGTCAAGCGGCTAAGAGGCAAGAGAGCCGCTGCTGCCTTGGTGGCTCGCCTGGCCGTTGGATGCAGTTGGCCGTCGCCCAATGGCCGCAGCTTGGAGGGAAGACGCCGGCTGACTCATTAAAACGGCATGGTGCTAGAAGTGCTGGACCATGGCCGGTCTGAGGCCAAACCGCTAGCTCCGTCGACTCCCACCGGCGAAGATGCATTTGATATGTGAATATAGGATTCCGGGTGAACTGGCCCGGTCCACTTCATGTGAAGCAAACACGCTAGGAGACGTATTGTTGTCGGGGGGGAGGTGGGTGGGTGGACAACCCGGACCCTGGAAGGCAAGATTCAGGTGGTTTAGGGCGATTTGGTCAGGGAGGAAGAAAAAGGAGAGGGTGGTTGGAGCTGGAGGAGAATCAACGCCTATGCTCGAAGAGACAGTGACCTTCGCCTCCATGAAGTTGCAATAATTATCAAGCATGCTAAAAGTACGTGCGGTAGTCAAACATGACAACACCTTCTGCATATGTCTTCCAGTGCTGCGTATGCTCGAGCCTCAGCCAGAGTGTCTGAACACATCTTTGGAGGGAGGAAATTACACCCGACAGGCAAGCATTTTGCAGTCAATGAAGAATCGATAAGCAGGATAGTTCTTTTGCGTCTCTATTTTATCTATTAAAGTATTTCTAATTTCCCATAGCGTTTATATGGTACGTGGTATCATGTATGCATTTCCCTCCCAGCAATCACCGCCAGAACCTCCACCACTGCTTGGTGGTGGCTGCGCCTCGATCATCCTCCTCTTCCCTCCCGACAACCCGCAAGAATACCTCGTCCAACGTTGTCGGGCTCACACTATAGTACTCAATTCCCAGAACGTCCTTGTTAGCCTCGAAGAGCTCAATCAGCCCGGGGGTATCCAGACCCTGCGCGTCAGCTGGACCACCATTTGGCGTACCGCCGCCGCTGGTGTCCCCTTTCATATCGATTTCGTCTTGGACGACGTTTCCACCAATCTTTTCAGTTTCCTTCCCTCCACCGACCATACCGTCCTTCCTCACCCTGAATCTCAACAGCCCATGTGCTCCACCTCTCGCGCCCCATCGCTCGAACTCGACACCTCTGACCCTCTCGCTGATCCAGTTCTTCACCTGGTCCATCTCGGCCTCGGTCGTCTCCGGCGCAGATTTCAACACAATTTGCACGACAAATCCCTCGCCCCATCTCTCACCTAGCTCCTTGCCAGTCCCAAGAGCCAGCATCCTCCTCTTCATGATACCCACCCTGGTCGCCAGCCGATCCGCCTCCTCCATCGAGTGCGTCGTTATCAACAGTGCTCGCCCAGGCGCAGCGACACCGAGCAGGGTACGCCACATGACCCTCTTCGCGGCCGCGTCCATGCCAGAACTCGGCTCGTCGAGAAGCAGCACCGCGGGGTTACCCATAAGCGCGATACCCAAGCTCAGCTTGCGCTTGTTACCACCACTCAGCTTCTGCGCAAGCCTGTCCGCGAACCTCACCAGTCCCGTGGCCATCAGCACCGCCTCCACGTTGGCTTGCACATTCGACACACCCCGAGCACTTGCATAGAACCGCAGGTGTTCCCGCACGGTCATGCTGTCCATGGCGTCGAACTGCGGGCACACTCCTAGGTTCTGTCTGGCGGAGGCCCGATGCGCGGTTATCGAGAGGTTCTCGATGAAGACATCGCCGAAGTGGCTGCCATCCACTCCACGAGACGGTCGGATGTCGCCGCGAACCAGGGAAATCGTCGTCGACTTTCCTGCACCGTTGGGGCCCAGCAGCGCAAAGACCTGCCCGCGCGGCACGCCGAACGTGACGTCTTGGACCGCGTGATTAGTGCGTCCGAAGAGCTTGTGCAGGTGTTGCACACGCAGGCTGTCCGTGTCGGGCGGGGCTTGTGCGTCGATCCGCTTGATCTCCGTCGCGACGGCGGGGTCGGTGACAGCTGAGGATGCGGAGGTTGAGAGGGCGGCGTCGTTCTCGGTGTCGGTGTCGGTAATGGTGGACTTGCGGGTGCGCACGCGGCGGCTAAGGTTGGTCAGGAATGCTGGCTTGTACCCGCTGTCCCACCAGACAAGGACGGTGAAGAGAAAAAGCGCTTGGACAAGGAGGTAAAGTATTGGTCCACCATATACGGTGAGTGCTCCCGGATATGACGCGATCGAGGTGTCGCGGCAGAGAAGCGAGAATTCATTGAGCGTCAGCAGCAGCGAACGCAGTAGGTTGCCTGCAGGTGTGATTGTCGCATACGCAAAGTGGGCAGTGGTCAGGTCCGAGTTGACGCGGTAGGCAGGTGAATACGTGAGTATGCTCATGTACATAATGAAGTACAGAAGGAAGAAGATGGCTTGACCTCCTGCGGCTGTGGCGAAACAAGCTAGTTGTGAGTTGGTGACTAGGGAGACGACGTAGCAGAGGAGTATGGAAGTCAAGCCGTAAAGGAAGAATACCACGAAGAGATACCCCGGTGCATACCAGACGCCAGATGCCTAGAGACATTCATTAGTATACCAGCCTAGCCCTTCGCTTTAGTGGAGAATAGACTCACCCCGACGAAGATGCCAGTTACCACGGCGCTGACAATCAACACGAACAGGAAATCAAAGATCAGATATGCCAACCAGAGAGGCCCGGCCCTGATGCCGTTGCTGTAGTGCAATGCTCTCACCTTCCTCAGCCGCTCTACACAAGGGTACAGGGCAAAGAAGGCCGGATACACCGACATGGCCAACCCAAAGTACAATATCAGCTGCAGTGTCTTGCCTGCACCTGGAGCGAACGGGACTGCAAAGGGCTGGAATGACGTCGTGATGGATGTCTGCTCGATGACATTCCCAATTGCATTTAGCGTAAGCACACCATATATTACTGCTCCGTTTCCAATATACGCCATCGTCGCCACGGGATCCTGGCCGGGTTGCAGGAAGAAGCCGCCCGGAGTTACGTTGTGGAAATTGTTCGAGACGTAGTCGTTGAACTCGTCGAGGGTATCAACGAGGTGGAAAGAGCTCGCGTTGAGGCCCGTCCGGTTCGTCAAAATGTCAACCGATATCAGGTTGGAAGGGCCGACCGGTATGAGAGGAGAAATGTTGAGGGAACTAAGATCAGACACAGCGGGTGCGCTGGATTGAGCTCCAGGATCGCAGCCCACGGCTGAAAAGCCATCCAAGAACAATGTCACCAGTCCGGCCGTGATCACTGGTAAGAGCACCGCCGCCAAATAGGGCAAGTAGTTCCGCTTGAGGATGGTGAACCGTTTACGGACCAGAATCAAGGTCTGCTTTGCTATGCCCGTCCCTCGCCCTTCAGACATCTGGAGCGCAGGCTCCTCTCCAGACGACGAATCAGAGTTGGGCGGCTTATCAAGCTTGTCCGATGTGCTTTCTGGCCTCAGTGCAAGAGGTGCATCGCTTCCTAGTTGGTGATCGCCCATTTCCTCCGCCAACTTGAGGAAAACATCTTCCAGTGTCGGGCCTATTATGTCGTAATCTTTGACACCACTCGAACGCAGTTCGGCAATAAATTTTGATGCCTCGGAAGAACCGGGGAACCAGTATACGTGCCTGTCAGCAGTTTCGTCCCTTCGAACCTTCTCCGCGGCTACGAAATTCTGACTCCTAGGAACAGATATGCGGTAGCCCACGCCGACCTCATGCTTCAGCTGCACAGCTGTTCCTTTGACTTTTAGATTACCCCGGGACAACAAAACGACGTAGTCTGAGAGAACGTCGGCTTCATCCAGGAAATGTGTTGTCAGCAGGAACGTGCGCTCGCCGCGCTCGGCAAGGAGGATGTCCCAAATCTTTCGTCTTGAAAGCGGGTCGAGGCCCGATGACATTTCGTCGACGCAGCACACCCGACTGCCTCCCGTGAACATCATTGCGAGCTGGAGCTTCCGCTTCTGACCGCCCGACAGAGTGCCGGACCAGGCCTTGATCTTGTGGCCGAGATCACAAGATCGAATGAGATTCTCGAGTTGTTCTTTGCTGTCTCTCGCGCCAGCTGCTTTCAGCTGGTTGAATATCTTCACGTGTTCGTAGACGGTGAGCTCATCCCAGAGCACGTTCTTCTGCGGGCACAAGCCCAGGCCGCCCGTTCCGTCGAATTCGATGGAGCCATTGGTGATGGTGTTAAGCCCACAAATCGCGTCTAAGGTTGTACTTTTCCCGCTGCCGTTGGCTCCAAGGAGAACCATAATCTGCCCGCGACGAGCCTTGATGCTGAGGTCATTGACAGCGTGCACTGTCTCAGGCACTGCGACCCCAAATTTGCCAAGGACGTTCTTACGAAGCCAGCTAGGCGTCCAGTGCTTGGAAAAATTAGAGAGGATGATGGCATGGTCCGACGAGGACGTAGTCGTCTTCCTTTCTCTCGATATGGTGCCATACAGCCATCTCTCGACAAGAGCGCCCAGGAGCGGGAAGACGATGATCTGGATGATAAGGAAGACCCAGAACACAATTCCAGGCAACGAAGATGAGCCACTAGGCGCACTGTCGATGAGGTTCGTGGCAACTGACTTTTGTTCGAATCTCGCCATGTGGATGATGAAGAAGACGTAGTTCATAGACGGGAATAGCAAGCTGAGGACGGCCGTGGCGCCTGTGTCGAAGGGCCCTGCAACCTGAGCGATAATTGCGAGAATGACGGCTGTCATGGTAACCGTGATGCCTGACAGCTGAGCCTTGCTGAAGAAGCTCGCGCCCAAGATTGAAAAGCTGGAAAGCGCGAGGCCTATCAGAATGTGGTATATGATGAGGATAGCATAGCTCGTGTGAACAAAGGACAGGGCTCGAAGAATCGCAGCCATAATGACCCATCCAGGAAAGTAGATGATATCGAACGCGAGATGGTTGGAGAGTAATCGAGCCGCCTGATTGTGCCAAGCTCGTTTCGTCGGAGTCATAGCTTCAATCAGCTGCGAAATGCCCAGTTCCCGTTCAGAGGCCATCAGCCCGGTGAGTTGATAAGTAACACCGCAGATCCCGATGAAGTAGGCCACTCCGAGAATACTAATGAGGGCGCCCATATAGAGCCGGCGGATCAGGGCCGCCCTTTCCTCGGCGGTCGAATCGGTGAATGGGTACTCGTCGATCGAACCTGATCCGAGGCTTGCAGAAGTACCATTTGCAGACAACGACCCAATAGCGGAGTCAATGGCGCGCTGAAACGGGAGTGTATAGATTTCCACGTCATTACTTGTGCTGTCCACGAAGATCCTCTCCCCAAAAGCCCCGTCCATTCTGAGCGTATAGTTCCAGACTCCATCACTCCCTTCAGTCGGCGAGGAATGAAAGGAGGCGGCGCCAAAGCACGTGGTTGCGCCGCGCAGGGAGCTGGCACAGCTCGTGAGCAGGTCGACATCTCGTTGCACGACCTCGACAGTCTTTCCAACATTCTCGACTCTTGCAGACACGGCATTGATGACCGACTCTATATCTCCGCCAGTGTTCCCGTTGTTGACGAATACCACCTTGTTGTGGTTTCCGGTCGAAGCTGCGAGGGCATTTTCGAGGCTTCGTATAGGCGTAGGGGAGCCTATGCCAAAAGTACTCGGGGGAACGAAGAAGTTCTTGGCATAAGAAATTATAAACATCTGCAGCAGAGCTGTCAGTCAAGCCGGGGTCTATTGCCAGGTGCAGGCGCGGCAGGGTAAGGCTTACAAAAATTATTGGTGCCAGGAAGGCTCGTATGGTGGTGAAGAAGCCATGGCGAACAAGGACGATGAGAAGGTTCTTCTTGGTCAGGGTCCAGACCTGGCGCATCAAGGCCATGATGTGATGCTGGCCGGCGCAAGCCAGCGCTGCGCTGGTTGTTTAAGCTCCCGAGAGGTCGGTCAAGGTTCGGTCTGAAGGTTCATGCGACGTCGGGTTGGACTGGCGGTTGAACACCCGGAAGGGCCGGAGACTCGGAGACGGGATGTCATAAAGGCACGGCCACCGCTGAAATCATGCCGACAGTAAGTGCCATAGACACAGTGGAGAAAAAGAGAAGTCCAGAGTACACTTGTACAGGAAAGGAGCCCAAATCGCCCGCAATTAAGGGAGAGGAAAAAAGAAAAGGGCAGGCGAATAGGGAATCGAAACACGAGAGTCGGGTTTGGAAACGTCTGCGGACGGACTTTGGACCGTCGAACGTTGCGCACGTTGGTCAAGGCGGGCCGAAGCCGAGCTCCCGCCAAGCAGCCACTGCGATCCGTTTTACCCACACCGTGCCACACCTGGGCACGGGCAAATGTCAATGACGCCCCGACTGGCGGCTTCTGCCCCCCCCCCCCGGCCAGGAGGAGCCCTGCCTAACCTGCAGCACTGGCCGCAGCAGCAACAACGTCGACTTCTCCCTGCCTCTGCCTCTGCTTCTGAAGGCGGTCAGCTTATCGATGCGGTTGCGACGCACACAGACAAACATCAATACTCGTATTCCGCCACCTTCGACGCGTGTCCACACATCATGGCTGCTGACGCGCGTAGTACAGGTGATACTCTACTCGGTGCAATCCGCCCTCTCGTCGGCAGAACGCCGCGTCCCATTGCTCTGTCGCAGTCATGCAGTCGCACGGTCCAAGGCCTGGCGAGGCATCCTGTGGCTCCAAGTGCCTGCCAATGTCGGACGAGGCTTGGTCCCGTTGAAGTTTGATGGCAAGAGCCGATGAACGAGCGCTGCCAAGCTGGTAGATAGATGGCCTCAGTGGGTTAAATCCCGCGTGCCCGTGTCGCTGAGGTTGCCAAGTGCTCGGACTCTGGAGGCTGTTCGGGGAAAGATTTACGAAACAGCATGAAATGGATCCTTCCCGAGGCTGGGTCCTAGAACATGCCATGTTCCTCCCCGTGCCGTCCTTGTCCGGGCAGAAAACCTCACTGCCTCACGGTCGTATTTCGAACTGACAGGTTGCGGGAATCCAGCTCACACGGGGATCAACTTGATAACGAAAGACCGTTGGGGGTGGTGGGAGGAAGCTCTGATCTAGATGGGAGAAACAAAACCTGAATCAACCCACAAAATCGGCCAACGTATCGTATTCGCCGCAACCCTCCCTCCATTCAACCCCCGGCTTTGACCTCTGACCCTAGCAGCCCAATCTTCCGCGTTATTCCCGTGACCCGTGTTCACTGCAGGGTGATCAGAGAACAACCAAAACAACGACGTCGTCACGAACTCCTCTCGCGGGCTGCTGCTTCTATTTCCAGTGGTCAAAGCAACTTTTCCGTGGGTGTAATACTTGCAATATTTCAACCATACGGAAAGACAGTTTCATGCAATGCTTGCGTCCATTGTTCTACGTCAATTTCGACGGTTGTTCACCCCGCGATGTAGCCTGTCTGCTCAACTTGAAATTACCGTGTCCTCCATGATCCTCTCCCCCCATATGTCGAGCATGTGTATTAGAACTCGTGAAGGACGGCCCCCTCTGGCCCTCTGGGTCTTCCTCGGGAAGCTCCTCGATGTTCTCATTGTGGTGCTTTTCCCCCACCACATTGTTGTCTTGAGGGGCGTCGAGCGCATAGCCTGCTGCTCAGCAGCTTTTTGGTCTCTTGCTTCAATCTCAAACTCACCAGGGTGCCATCTGATGGTGACAGGTCTTTCGAAGTTGATCCAGCCTTCGGCATTTTCTATGCAGCTATGTACCATTAAATAACTCTAGCACAATCCCCAAATATATCTCGCATGTGTTCGGCACTCGGTCAATCCCAAGCCATTTTGCTTGCTCACCTTATGAAGGGGCTGACAATGATCTTCAAAGGTCTTCAGAGACGCTGACAATCATTGTTCTTATTTAGAAACACAATAGACCACTGTGGCTCACACAATGATTTCCCCACCAAACTCCCTGCTACACCTTTTCCTAGCCTCTACGGAAGGAATCGGAAAACTTGCTCTCATCTGATATGGTCAACATTCTCCATTGCTACTGTCACTTTTGTGGCTTTTTTTCTTTGGTACTTGAAAACTTCCCTCTTCTGCAATCCTTTCCTTCGCCTACTTCAAATATCGCCCTTCTTGTCCCACAGGCTTCCCTCCCTCTTGACTTACAATTACCCTCAGTTTTGCTCAACGACTTTCCTTCCCTTTCATGTGCAAACTGGATCGCCACATAACTTTCTCTCTCTCCACTCCGCATCGAGGGTTCACTCCAAATTTTCTGCCCAAAAACAATTGCTGCAAAACCGCAGCAAACATTCTCTTGGTAGGTTTCTTTGCAGCCTCCGATCAAAAACGTTCTTCATCATCCTCAGAAAGACATCGCAGGCCATCTCTTCCGTCTTTAGCATGAGCACTAATGTTTTTCCTCGCAGTCGTCAATGGCTTCAACAGTTTCAAATTCCAAGCACCGAAAGAAACTTCATGCTCGATCGAAAACCAGACTGTAAAAACCTCAAATCAGCACGAACAAAACGACAAGCTCTCGGCGCTCTCCACAAGACTCCAACCTCTAGTATCACAATCAGCAGCAAGATTCAACAGTAGCCTGGTTCCGCAGCAAGCGAAACGACCAAGCTGTTCAAGGGCCACGAAATCCACCTAGACCCTAGTGAGAGCAACACAGCCGACACGAAACCTGGCTGACCACCTTACTCGCTTCTCTACATTGACCTTCTGTGGGGTTTTCTCCCTCGAGATAGCCCGCCATGGGATAACCTCCTGTGGGATAACCTCCTGTGGGATAACCTCCTGTGGGATAACCTGCCATGGAATAACCTTCCATGGGATATGGTTATGCGTCTTGGACGGTACCAAATTTGGTGCATGTGGCTCGGTTCTGTTCAGATATAGACTGAAAAAATGCTGACCTCGGCACTTGGGGGCGAACCCCAGGGCAATTTCAACCCCGACGACCTCAGGGCGGAGAACGAAGATGATGACGGTCCCATCACCGCCGATGACATCGACCAGCTCACTAGCAAGCTCACCATCGACGAACAGCACATCTCGGCCGGCCTAGAAGAAAAGACCCTGGGCGGCCTCATCCGCGTTCTTATGGTGCAGATTTACTGGCGAGCATCAGCCCTGTTCTCTACCACGTATGTTGCAGTGCAGCCATTGGTGAAGAAGTACACGAAGACCGCAAACGAGTACTTCATCGACGAGGCGGGCTGTGCCACGATCGCCGAGACGTCCAATGTTGCAGGTCTGGCGTATGGATCGTCGTCTTGTGCTCGTCGGAGATCCGTTGCAGCTTGTACCAGCCACCATTTCGGCTGGGCATCGATATGCCAAGCGCACCGGTTTTCCACCTTCTCCCTCCCATCCTGTCAACCCTCTGGCACGACAACACATGCTGTCTTTGCTGAAGAAGCTCATGCTGGACGGGTTTCCAGTCTTTGTGCTCAAAATCCAGCGTCGCACGGCGCAGGGTCTCTTCGACTTGTCGAAAGACATTTTCTTACGACAGATGTGATCTCTCTTACGGCCAAACTTGTGAGGTGGAGAACCACGACCTCGGCCAGCGATGCGAGGATTGGGCAGTGCGCAAGCTCGGAGTCGAACGGAGCCCAGGCGGCAGCCTGCTGCCGTTGTTTGTCAACATCCCTAGGACACGAGTCCAGTACACTGAGGTGTCCAAGTCGCGCTCGAAACCCCTCATGCTGGATGCGATGATCAGGATCCTAAACCGGCTGATCCAGGGCGCAAACCTTTCGCGCGGCGACATTGCCATTGTGACGCCATACCAAGCCCAGCAAAACGAGATCCTGGAGAAGATGGGCGCCGATGTCTCAGTCATGGACATCGACAACAAAGTACCCCTGACCACAGCGGACAGGGTACAAGGCAATGAAAGACCGGTGGTGGTGCTCCTAGCTGTGAACACTTCGCAGAGTGGTGCAGGGTTCTTGTGGGACTCGAACCGCATGAATGTCATCAGCACGAGAGCGTCTGATTACTTTGTCGTTGTGGGAGACATCCAGATGGCCGCAAGAGAAGCGTCGGAGAGGACCATGCAATCAAGCGGTGGTTACATTGACACGAGAGATCTGGAGGCCTGGATCCGGTACTTCGAGCGCAACCGCCGGGTGGTGGAGCAGTCGGAGGTGCAGTGGTTGAGCGAGGATGACGCTAGTTTTGGTCCTGAGAGGTTCCATGGATCGCAGGATAATTAATCCGCAAATTTCACACAATTTGGTGCACGTTTCGAGTCTACGAGCCGTGAATCCTAAGTGACGTCTCACATAGAAGCATGAGCCATGATTGCTTCAAAGATCTTCAGCTGCTGGGCGTGGTAGGGTGTCAATTGTCTGCTCTATTTTGCTGATGCAAGCTTCCTCAAGCCCGATGCCATGGCAACAAATGAACTTCCCAAAACAATGTGATCTCAGACACCCACAAAGGCATCCACCCACAGTCCACCCACAATCCAGTCATGCCCCCCAAGCTTCGTATCAGCACGGCAGGACGCGGTACCAGTGCCACCTTATTTTCACGGCGATGACAGCATGCTGAGAGAAACATGACCTTGCCCAGGGGAAAATGAAATTTTGGATCAAACGTCCAAAGCTGGAACCACTTAGGCTCCCACGTTGTGCTGCGGGGCATCGAAGTGATCCTCTGTTGGAATGCCGGGGTACAGATTGTATGCCGGAAGCTGCTTGAGCATGTCACAGGCATCCTTCATTTTGTTCTTCTCGAACGTGACGGCCTTGTCGCGAATCGTGTTAATGGGCCTTAACAAGCCAAATGGCTCCTCGATGGGGCGAGTCGAAGGGAGAGCGCCATTAGCCCAAGTTGTGATACGATTCCGCGCAATGAAAACTGCGATGGCGAGATTGTAGTGATTGACTCGTGTGACCTCATACTGATCAAACTGCCGGAAGGACTCGTAATACGCCTTGACTTCGGACATGCCAGCGAGGTATGTCATGGGAACAGTTGAAGAGAGAAAGCCGCCACTCTGGGTGACGAACTGTGTGGTGACCTGCAATCCTTTTAGTGTGAAAAGTCTTCAAGGTTCAATAGTGACACTTACCTTGGAGCCGTTCTTGAGGCTGGCCCTGATCAGCACCTGTGCGCCCCGCATGCGATCCCTGTGTGCCGTCCTGACTTCGTAAGGGGAGATGGTTTGCTTGGAGCCCCGAGTCTTGGTGACCTTTCCAGTGACAGCACCCTGGCGGCGTTTGCTCTCCTCATTGACCTCCTTGGACGTCGCCACCTCCTTGTCAAGGCGACCGACAGGCACTGTCTTGTCACCCATTCCAGTTGTGAGGCTATTCGCCTCGGGCAACACATGGTATTGTCGGCTCATCCACATACCGAAAACGACAGACAGAAAACGATCAAATTCTTTCGGAGTTGGCTCAGGGCAATCTGGGCCCTGAAGCATCTTCTTTGCGCCGAGTAGGGCATCCTGAAGGTTCTCTTTTTGCTGGTCGGTGAGGTCGGAGGGCTTCTGCTTTACCACGTGGTTTGCGGCTGCGGTCACGCAGGTGCTCCGGGAAGTGACGCGGTCAGCCATCTTGGTGGTTGTTCGAAGGTTTTGACACAAGTCAGCCGGAAATGGTGCTTCAACGTGTTCTCAAGTGTGTGGTAGAAGGGGTAATTAGCTGAGGCCAGCAGAGGGAAAGAAGCAGCACTTTTATAAGCAGCGCTTTTGCAAGCAGCGTGATGGGACCCTTGGACAATGGCCCAGGGCTTTGGGACAATTTCATTTTAGTTAATCAACTTGGAAGATTTTCGGACATCAGATGAAAACGTTTTGAAACTGCAATGACCAAAATCGCAGCGAAGACCTTAACAGCTGTTTGGTCAAAGGTGTTTTCTCTACTGACAAACGAGATGATAAACTGTGTAACACATGAATACAAAGTTGCAATTTACGTATGTAACATCGACACCAGCGTCGTCATGCGAAATCACGCCTCTCCGTCGAGAGCCTGCTGGAGAATGGGCTTTCCCTGAGAAACAGCGTCCAGTATTTCTGCCCAAGTCTGCTTCATGAAATCTTCGTCCTTCGCTATATCTCCAACCCTATGCAGATTTTATCAGCTCAGCTTGCCGACCAAAGCCCCTTTTTGCGATGTCATTGAGGGGGCCTTACGGGGACAAGATATCATGGTGCCACAATCGTCCGTGGCTCTCGGGGCCCAGAGCCGTCGCGCTAACCAGCGATCGAGAGCCTTCTTCCGCGGTGCGCGCAAATACGCCTTGGAAGAAGAAGCCTGAAATCTGTGACATTGTGCCGAAATTACGGCCCAGGTCCGTCTTGCAAAGCCCAGGGCAAACCGCATTGACGATGATATCGGGATGCTGAGGACTCAGCAAGGACGTGGAAGACTTGGTCACTCCGCGCGCCACGGCTTGCATGACTGCCATGCCCATCAACTTGACCATGCTATAGCTCCTGGCGGCATCCCATTTCCCCTTGTCATTGCATGCCTTGAGCAGGCTGCCACCCGCATATTCGTACCAATCCTTCTGCACCATGTCATGACCATGACTGTTGACGAAAGTCAGATGGGCTGGCTTGATGCGAGCTGCCGCAGTGGCCCGAAGTAATGGCAGCAGCAAGACTGCCATGAGCGCGGTAGAGAGCACGTTAACCTGCACGGCCATCTCCCAGCCGGCGGAAGATTGCTCGAACTTCGGGTTGGCGAGGCCAGCGTTGAGGAGCGCCACGTCGAGATACGGTGTCTCCTGATGAAGGTTCCGCACGAATCCTTGGACTGACGCAAAATCAGCGAGATCGACTGTCAGGATCGCGATGACAACGTCGCCACTGCTGCGCCTGGTGCGCTCGAGAATGCGATTCTTGGCGTCCTCGCCTTTGGCAGCAGAACGCACGGCGAGGATCAGCTTTTCCGCACCGAGGGCCACGTACTTGACTGCTGCTTCGAAGCCTAGGCCCGTGTTTGCGCCCGTCACGAGCACCGTCTTTCTTGCAAAAGACACCTGAAAGTCCTTTGGTGGATGCCTGCGAGACCACCACATGCCTCCAAGCATGCTTAAACCCGGGGGAGGTCCACCCGGAGACTCGCAAGCGGTAATAATGTCGAAGCTTGAGCCCGCCATGATTCCTCGATTTCGATTATTTTTGTTGGGTTTGAACGTGTTCGGTGAGGGAAATGTCTGTACAATTATCTGTGGCCTTGGAAATGATTTGAGCAATCGCCAGATCTCACATCACAATTGCAACCTGCCTTGGTCTGTAAGATTTATATCGATGGTGATAGGCACAGGCTCACGGCTGCGGATAATCAATTGCGGACGCCAACTCGATTCTTCCGCAGATGCTGCGGCTGCTAACCCAATTCGGCACTTACAATACTAAGAGTCGTGAGCGAGCCTTAGGCGCGTTATCCGATAGGTAGGCGCCTTAAGAAAATGCACCCAGAACCGGCTTCATTAACAGGTCTAAAGTGCCTTTACACTGCTTCTTACTAATGGAGGACGGGATACCCAGTGTGCTACCATTACAAACTTAGCAAATCGGTTCTTACGGAAAAGTCTTTAATTATCCCCATACTGTATTGAAAAAGCTATCGTGCCTGAGATACATGTCATCAATTATAGAATAAAAACCAGTCATCTTGAAACTGTTTATAGTTATAAGCTTTTGAATTCTGACTAATTCGTGATAACTATTCATGCCTTTTCTTACATCTTCTGATGTTAAGCAGGTACTCGGCCGCGGAGATTGAGTCCAGTGAAGTGGTATGCCTCGATGCTTCCAAGGTTGAAACTGCTACTACATATCCTGGGACACATAGACACTGAGGAGGGAGATTCCTATGCCAATGGTCTCAAAACCAACCGGGGTCTGAGTAACGAGCCCAGAGTCACTTTGCAGGACTTGGAACTTGACGACACAAGAATTAGCGAGGTAGTCCATATTAGAGTATCGAGAAGATTCTCGAAATGCATAGGTATGTTTCCCCTCAAGGTTCGTGTGACGGGCGAAGAAGGGAAGGCAGGGCTATCAGATCAGCCCTGGCTTTGCCAATCAGCCAGTCCCAAAACTTCCTATCGTGGAAACTTTCCGTCAATTTTCGTCAGGTATTGGATAGGATATGCGCTAGTATTAATATTGGTCTCGATCACACAATGGATATAAAGGTTCTCTTTAGATCAGCGGTAGCCATTACAGTCCACACTACAAAACTCATGCATATAAGTTATGTACTAGCCTGCAGATGAACGCGTTTTTTAGTATTTCTCATAGATCAGCAGCCAGCCATCACGGTCCACACCACAAAACTCATACACACATAGGTTATGTACTAGCCTACAGATGAATGCGTCTTTCAGTATTTCTCCTGGATCAGCAGCCAGCCATCGCAGTTTGCGGCTTGAATCACCAGGTCGCCATCAGGGTGCACACTGTTGACTGCGAGTATAAATATGCAGGTCCCCCCCCTTCCTTTCCCTTCTTCTTCCTCCTCATCAACCACACACAGTCCCCCCTTTCCTTTCCCTTCTTCTTCCTCCCCATCAACACCCCCCCCCCCCCCTCACACACACACACACACACAAACTTTCAAACTCATTTCGAATTCAATTCAAAACAAGTGCTAACTACAACAATAGGAGAAACTCAACAAAAAAAGACACGATGCCTTCCAAATCTCAGAAACAAAAGAAAGTCCCTCTCCACCGAGGTCCCACAACAAGGACGAAGTTTTGGGAGCCAGCCTGCTCCTCAACCTGACCCAGCTAGGAACAACGCCGAGTCTTCGTACCGTCTCACCCCATCTGAGTTCCAAGGAGACCTGGAGCGACAATGCGCGCCGCAGTAGCGACCATCGACAAATCGGAAGTGACACCCTCTAGTGCTGCCGCTGGTGGGTGCAGCAGGCGAAAGCCTTGGGCACCGTTCTGGTCCCCGTGTGGCCCGGCGGTTCCACCAGCGGTTGTCTAGCTGGGTGCCCGATCAGCGCTTGGGGGTAAGAGCCTGGCAGTGCAGGTACCGTCTTCGGACGAGGGCGGCTTGGCTGGAGCTGAGTTTATCTGCTGGGCGACGACCTCCTCGCGTTGATTTTTGATTTTTGCGTTCTGTCATTCTGGCGTTCTGGCGTTCTGGCGTTTTGGCGTTTGGAGTTCTGGCGTTCTGGAGTTTACGGGTCAGAGCCTAGCAGTGCAGGTACCGTCTTCGGACGAGGGCGACTTGGCTGGAGCTGAGTTTATCTGCCAGGCGACGACCCTTTTGTGCTTTTTCTTCTTTTCTTGGGTTTTGGAGTTTACGGGTAAGAGCCTAGCAGTGCAGGTACCGTCTTCGGACGAGGGCGACTTGGCTGGAGCTAAGTTGATCTGCTAGGCGACGACCCTTTTGTGCTTTTTCTTCTTTTCTTGGGTCTGCTTTTTGGGTCTGCTTTTTGGGTCTGATTTTTGGGTCTACTTTCTGGTGTTTTCTTTTTGTTTGGTTTCTGGAGGAAGAGCCTGGCAGTGCAGATACCGTCCTTTGGACGTGGGCGGCTTGGCTGGAGCTGAGTTTATCTGCTGGGCTCCGACTCCTATGCGTTGTCTTTTAGGGCGTCAAAGTCGTATTCTGCGCCTCCACGTGGTGACGCCTGGATAGTACCAGAGCAGAAACGCAATAAGAATCAGATAGTTCTTGATAGGTGGCAACTAAATGTAAGACTTCTTGGTCTTTCTGAAAAGGCACCGGCACGCTTTTTGTTTCTCGTGTGGCTCTTGTGATGGTTGTTTCCAAGGCTAACAAATAGCCATGAAGCAGCTTCCACAGTTACTCACTATGGCTGACATGTGATATTTTGGCTGCCTTAGGTTGGGAAAGGTACTGCTTAGCTCGCCGGCCGGGTACCGCCTAGGACCTGCAAGGCTGCTGGTGCGGTGAGGCTGCACATGATATAGCCAATTACGAAAGCGGCAACGTGGACCGCGTCAACAGTTATTACACCTGGTGTCAGCATCTCCTGTGCGTCTCCCCATCACACCATCGTTTCGAGGACAGCATCTCATTTGTTGTACCGGCAATAACCCTGGACGGGCTTTAGTCAATGGCAATAACTGAGACCGACACATTGGACTGTCCACACATAAGAGGCCGCTTAGTATGGAGTTGACTCTTTGGCATCTGAGATCCTTGACGCGTCCTCACCTCATGATTGCTGTGGCAGGGAAGACTGGCTCTGGAAAATATGCGATTGTTGGTATTCGAAGTTGGCTTGGTTGTGGTTCTGAGGGCAGAAGGGCCCCAGGGCATCCTATTTAAAGACGTGATCTGACCCGTTATTCACTGATCCCCTATTCACTACCACAATTGCATTGGCTTCCGGGCGAGAATCACATTCCTTTTTTGATTCAGTTGTATAATTGGACGAACGCAACAACTTCCATGACTTCTTGGCCTCGTTTCCTGAGGAAACAACGGGACATCGTGGAGGTGCTCTCCAAGTGGTATCCTAGGACGATGATTGTCAGACTCGCAACTGTAACATGATTGCACTCAAAAGCAAAGAGGAAACTGCTTCTCAAACCAAGATTGTAAGAATCGCAACGATTCTTTGTTTAAAAAAAACGAGATAGAAATTGAGAGATATCACGATGATGAAAAGTGATTTGACTTGCATCCTTGGCTGTTATGTTCGTCGTCTCCCAGAGTTGTGAGTGCCTTTGCCTCTAATTCAAAATCCGCGCACAGGAATTTTCGATAAAGTTGGCCACTTGTTCTGTCTTTGGATCTTCTCGGACATTTGTACACGATGGTTTCAATTGAGAGGGGTTTATACAAAATGATATCGCTTTCGTCAACATAATCTTCGTAATGAACATGATCCTTGCCAGCAAAGTCATGCTAAATTAATCATTAAACACCAAACAAAACCTGTTGAGAATGTTACCAAGTCAAGTGCTTTGAAGGACGAGGCTTGGCGCCACAACTCCAGGAGGCATCTTGCTGATCCACAGCGGAAGCCTTGTAGGCCGAGGACCATCCGAGAGTGAGGACCACCCAGACGGCAGTGGCTGTGATCACATTCCTCGTGGCGTCGTCCACCACTTTGGGCGGCGCTTCGAAATCCTCTGCAGTACCATAACTAGTTGCCGGCTCATGATAACTGTCCTTGATGTGAAGGGCTGACTGGGTCAAGGTGGCCAGCACTGCATGTCTGCGGCTGTTGGAGCGGATAATGCTGAACTGAAACGTGACTTCCGGTGCCTGTGTCGAGGACGGAGGATGGTCATCAAAGCCAGAGGCCCGCCTCTTGGAGAAAACCCATCTTGTTACCGACTTCACGCCGTGCTCGTCGATGTTGGTGAATTCGAATGACCTGTTCTGGTGATTGGTCGTAGTCCAGAGCCGGCCGTCTTCCAGAATAATTTTGTTGTCTTTCCGCAGGACTGCTATGACCTCTCGCCCTATTACTTTCTCCAGGGGCGCCATGATCGTGTTGTTCCTGGCTGGTTGTGCAGTCTCTCCTGACTGAGCGTCATCCTCACGATATCTCGTCAGCAACACATCGTCCTTGTTGAAGCGAAGAAGCCGTTCGTCTCTCAGGCTTATTTTCCCTTCCAACAGGCCCTTCAGAGCTGAAACAAATCTGATTGGATCCTTCGGCGGCGCAAATGATATCACGTCAATATCTGGTGTGCCGTGGCTGGTATCCGAGGACACTTTCTGTATTTGGAGGAATTGTCTCGACCGCAGGTGTTTTACGAGGTGTGTCTTGTCGATGTAGATGGGTGCTGGGTATGCTAGTGCGTACGATCTTTGAGGAGTGTCTTGGTGTCTACGCTTTCGTCCTGAGGAGTGTCTTATATTACCGTGATCCTCCTTCGAGCTCGGGTTGCTCTCCACGCGTGAAGGCATGATTGTTCGGAGGCAGTAAGTTGATCAAAAGTATGTCAGTGTATGCAGAACGTCAAGAACTATGAGTGGTTATACTGGAAATAAGGTAAAATAAACATCGGACGAACTTGGGGAGCCTAAGATATACATATATCGGCAGACGGAAGTTTTAGCCCCCAGCACAAAATGAGTGGAGGTCAGTCAACGTTAGATTGTCAACGTGGGATAAGCCCGGCGGGTTCCTCGGTGCGCGCCCGAAACGGAAGACTCGGCACGCCCTGTGTCAGCCCATCAGAAACTTGTGTCGACCTCAGTAATAAAACCTCAATTTGTGCATCTGACTTGCACAAGTGGGAAGGTCAGAATTGTGGCTTGCTACATATGGAGGATGATCAACAAGGCCCCTGTCGCAAAGCACGTTGTAGAAGTGACACAGCCCCCAATGAGGATGCACTTCTCAGCCTGTTCTCGAAAATGATTCGAGAATACCTCCGTTCGGAACAGGGCCTAGGGATTGGCGACCGCTGCGGCAAGGAATAATCCGATTTGCCTGCTCAAGTGTTTCACTGCCGTAAACTCTTCAAATATTGATAGCCTGTTGTTTTTGGTGCTCCACTCATTCTCTATACGAACTGCTGCCTTGTGCATAAGCTATGCCAGACATCAAATTGTCATCAAGTTGGATTTCTCTTCGACTCCTTCTGCTTCCGTCAACTGCTCCGCTAACCTTACTAAGAACTCCGGATCCGTCGGCTTACACATAGATTGGGCCGAACGCCGCGGTCTTCGGCCTCGAAGCACGGACCGACCGGCTTGATGCAGTTCCGACCGAGATTGTGATCTATCTTTTCATCGGGCTTGTCGTTGCACCCGAGGCTTGTGAAGCTTGCAAAACAAGTATCGTCTTCACATGGAAAAACGCATTGTCGAAATTTCAGTCTAGCGGCAAATTTTACAATTCTGTCCAGTCTTGCCTCGAATTACCGCATCGTTAAAGTCCCGACGCAGCCGGGGGAAGCTGATCACGATGGACCTGGGCGCTTTGTAATTAATCCAGGCGTGACAGGTGTCAGAGACACTTAATCACGGTCTGGAGCGATTGCAACCCAGCAAACCAATGCACTGGGAATAACCAGGCTTCATTGAACACATCACATGGCTCCAGACCTAGTCGATCCTTGAGTACGTACCTCGTTGCTGTACGAGCGCTCGTGATTGAATTGAGAAAGGCCTCTTGTTTTCGCCCTGTAAATCTGTGGCAAGAAAATATGAAGAGCGTAAAGAGTGGAGGAATCAGAAATGCAAGTGCAAAAAGAAGCCATACCATGTCCGAGCTCGCATATTATGACCAGGGGAGGCTGACTTGATTCCGAGTGTCCGCCCTTACCGGTGAGTTTGGCGGCTCCGACTCCGATCATGTCTCTCATGTTCTATGGGTCACGGCCGTGAATGCAGTGCTCATTGATTGGACGTCAGCTCTTAGGCCTGGCCATCACAAGGCAAGACCCGGGACGCACATCAGCAATTCGTGATGATCACTCGCGGGCGTAAGCTGCGGGTGGGCAGGGGCTGACCACTGCTTCAGGGCCCCTGAATGCCGATAGGCTGTATCATAGCTCCTTCAGATTGATCAATGAGTGCTGAAACCATTCGCTGATGACTGCCGTAGAATGGTTTGATGCCTTCCTCTCGACAAGAAGAAGGCTTACTGTCAAGCTGCACATGGCAGCAACATCCGCATCAGAAGTTGTGAGATGTGAAAGCTGTCTGTTCTTCTGCGGATGCGCAACACCAATTGAAATCTTCGGGCGGAAACTACAGTCAGTGCATGAGAAACGTGCCAGAAGCAATCTATATTGTAAGCAATCCATTCTACAGGACATTCGTTGCGGAGAATCCTCATATCGCTACAGCAAACTTCCAAGATCACATACATGTGCGGACTACAATGATAACATCTAGTCCATCTAGTCCACGACTGCCTGGGATTCGAGTCCCTTGCAGCAGCTACTTAAACATCAACATAAGTCGTAGGAATCCATCGAGATACTTGTACTTCGCAACATGAGCATACGCACCAGGCAGGCCACGACTTAGTCACGGCGCCTTTCATGAACCCAATGCCTCCAAAAACGCCTCGGAACGCCATCAGCGACGGGACTTCGCCAGCTCTGACTGCGCAGTTGCAGTCGGACCGCCCCTGACCCTGTCACCAGCCACCTTCTTCTCCCCCTCAGTAATATCATGGAGAGTCTCCGCGTTGATGGGCTCGCCAGAGTGCTTCTGGGCCTGAGCTGTAGGACCTCTCTTCAGAGGGGCACTCTGACCGGTGAGGTCCTTCTCAGCAGCCGTGATCTCCGAAATAGTTTGAGCATCGAGGATTCCAGTGTGAGTCTGGGGATTGTTCCGTATCTGAACGCTATGTAAGCGACATGAAAAGACAGAAAGCCTCATTCTGTGGACTCAAACGGGCACACTACTCACCTCGTTGCTCGCCTGAGCTGCCTGTGACTGTGCTGTAGCAGCAGGTCCGCCCGCCACAGGAGCGCCGTTGTGGGTGATGGCTTCCTCTCCCTTGGCAATGTCACTTACGACGCGACCGTCGGCAATTCCCTGGTGGACATGTCGCTGGGCTTGGGCAGTGGGCCCTCCCTTCACGGGGTCGGCCTGACCAGTGAGCTCCTTCTCCTTCTGGGTGATCTCAGAGATGGTCTCAGACTCAACGGTGCGATCAGCCATTTTGGTTGTTGTGGATGTGTGGAATGGAGATATCCTGCTTGAGATTGTAGAGTTCAGATTGGGATGAGCGTGCGAAAGCCGTGCAGGGACGTTTCTTGAAGTTGTGGCTGTCGATGAGAATGATCTGGAGAGAAGTCTGGTGTTTGAGAAGAGAGATCGAGCGGACGACATCTTGGATGGCGATTGAATTGTCTTTCAGGCTGCTTGTCTGTCTGTTCCTTCCTAATGCTGCACACGAAAAGTGTCAAATATTATCATCCTACGCGCTTGCGCTCACTCATCCAGCCTTTGCTCCTCCCTAATATACCGTGTTTTGTGTGTGGTTGACAGCCTGATGACGTCGGATTGGAAGATTTGGGCTATCGGTGACTTCACCATTCCCAGTGCTTGTATGTGTGGCGATCGTTGCTGCAAGAGCAATAGCACTAACGCTGCTTGGCTCATTTTCAGTGACGCCATGTTTGCGAGTTTTCTACTACGGGCATTGAAAACACCAGGAAGAAATGCTCCGACTGACCCTGTGTCATTCCTTCCTGCCCATGCAGCGGACTGTAGGGAATCACTCCCTCGCCATTGTGACTGCACACCTCTGCAGCAGGTTGCTGATGCTCACTTGAACATATGCCATTGATTGCTAACTTGGCCTGATTAAGGTCGCCCCAAACAGTCTTGGCTGAAAATGTGGTCTCCTGAATTGTGTGTGTCAATAAATTGCTAAATCAGACCTCTCTGATTCTGATAGTTGACAGCAAACCCAAGCGTGCCGCCATCATTTCCATCGTTTTGTCTCAGACTCTATTTATGTAGGCAGTCTGGCACTTCTCAGAACGCTAGGTAGGCTCATGAATCTGGGACTCAGGCGTCCCTTAGCTGAGGAACTCCACGATCTTGTCGCCCACGACTGCTGGTGCTTCAATGCAGTGCCAATGGCCAACGCCACTCAACACCTCAAGATGCTTCTTCGAGGTTTCTGTTCCAAATTCCTCAAACATTTTCTTGCTCGTTTCCAGCGGTGCCGACTTGTCCTCCTCCCCAGCCAGCAAGAGCACCGGGCACTGGACACTCTCATATCTTGGCCTGGTGGCGTTGGCGATGACTCGGCAGTTCGACAAATACCCTGCTTTATCCTGTCCCAAGAGCAATTCTCTGATGAACGCTGCGACAAGAGGCCCCGCCTTTGCACCCGTAGCAGCCGTAGGAATTGTGTTTGCCATTGCCTCCACTATTTGCAAATTCAGTCAGTCCATTTGTGGCACAGGGTCACTTGTCCCAGCTTGACTTACTTCCTTCCTTTTCAACGGTCTCGATGCGTTTCTCAAAGACTTTTGAAACCCCTTCCGACGGGTAGACAGGCCCGATGAGGACTACAGCCTGGATCCGCTCCTTGTGCTCAGCTGCCAGGTGGGTGACTACCATCCCGCCCATCGAGTGTCCCGCCACAATGACCTTGTCGTTGATGGACAATGCATCGAGAAGACCCAGCACATCGGCTGCGAGGGAGCTGACAGTTTGCTCGACTTGAGTATATCTTGAGCGCCCCGCGCCAGTGGTGTCGAATGTGACTACTCGAAACCCAGCCTGAGTGAGCCGGGGAACGATTGGCGTGTAGAAGTTTTGGGAGCTGCCAAGGCCGTGATGGCAGACAATGGTTCCCTTGGTCGCGTCGGATGCGGCCGGGTAGTCTGTAAAGTGCAGGCGCTTAGAGCCTACGGCGAGGACAGGCATGGTGACGATGTATCGTGAGAAGTGATGTCTCTCAAGGATCACGTCGGACTGTCAAGTTTGAGGAGGTGAAGAAATCAATGAATGGACACAATGAAGCGAAGTGACATTGGGGACATCCACGATATCGGCTAAAGCACCCGGCGATCTCAAGGTGGAGCCCTTCTGCCGCGTCGGATGCGGGACAGGGGCTATTCTCCAAAAGTGGCTTCGACTCCTTCGAAGCTACAGCTAGCCATACGACAGCGACTTTCAAAGTGGTCCAGACGAAGGTCGGAGCTGATAATTCCTATCGAAATATTTTGAATAGCATGCATTTTTGAGGAAATCCTCGTAGATTCGCGACCTGAAAACAATTGAAAAGTATACTAATATTGAATAAAACAAACTGGCGGCAGCGTTAAGGGAACAGACGTATATTTACAACCAGTCGACCCTCAACACCCGGAAGATAGAACATGACAACAACATACGTTATGTAGAAAACCCCCTTGTAGTGGCCATGAGCCCTTTTCAGCGTAGCGTACATGTGGACAGTAGACAACATGGCCCAGAGGAAGAGGAAGGTCTGACTGCCTAGGCGACTGGTGAAGTTGCTGGACTGCTGGGAAGGCCGAAAATTATTCTCCAGGCATGAAGCTGTCCTCAAGCTGTCCTCGAATGGTTCTGAACTTGCCCTTTACGTCTGACCAAGCACTTCCGCATCCTAGATCTATGTCCCGTGGGCAGGCGAGACCATCGGCACCCTGCACTCCTCGCAAGCTGTGTTGTCAGAATTGTTCTGAGCGACTGATCTCACGACAAGATTCCAATGCGGCCATATGTATTTGTTAAGGATCGGCATGGTCGGTCTGGGTAGAGCGGACTGAGATTGACCGTGGTATGGTCCGGCTATTTAAAATCCTCCTGCATGTGGAGATTGGTTTGATGCCATGCATTGGCGATTGATTGGAATTATCCGCAAGAAATGCAACACGTGAATATTTAATATATGAGACCAAGTCTTTTAATAACTTTTCGACGGCAGTTGCGGAGATAAGGGGAACCGGAAAACAATAAAACCTCCTGCTGCCGTCTTGAAGAATGGTCTTTGATGATTTTGGGCCTTCTGACATTCAGATTACCGTGTTGAATACAAGATCATATTCGCAATTCCGGGGCGCCAAAGAACTAGAGACTAAGCGCATAAACACGATGCACGTCAAATCAGTTGCCTTAATGGCGCTCGGCGCCGTAATGCCGACGACCGCTCTGATCCGATTCGGGTGTTCTCAGTTGACAGTGACGAGACTTGATCCCTTAGTCAACCCAGGAGCGAATCCGTCCCCTCATTTACATCAGATTGTTGGCGGTGTGCGTGGCTCTCCCTTTACTGTCAATTTTCATGGCCGGAAACATGTCTGATCGTACCTACAGAATTCATTCAACACATCGATGGACCCGAGCAACCATGACCTTCCAAGCCTATCGACGTGTACATCTTGTCAATTTAAGGAAGACCTTTCTAATTACTGGACCGCCGTTTTGTTCTTTAAGGCTCGAAATGGAACGTACAAGCGGGTGCCGATTCGCGGAAATGTGGGCTTCGAAGGTGCCAACGGAGGCATGACTGTCTATTATATGCAGGATGGATTGGCCGACTTCGAACAGAGGAGCAAGGTCACTGCTTTCAGGCCTGTGGGTTTCAGTTGAAATAATTTCCAAAGACAAGTGCGGTTGCTGGCTCCAACCTCTTGTGTGCTGACACAACACACAGGGTTTCCGCATGCTCGTTGGCGATCAAGGAGCTCGTACAGCGGACAAGGCGGAGAAGTACCGCCAGCTGACCTATACATGTCTGCAAGATCTCTACACTCGCTACCCAGAGACCAAAAACTTTCCATCCAGCCCCTGCCCAGCTGGTATCATGGTCAATGCTAGGTTCCCAACGTGAGGCTTTCTTTCCCCCTTGTCCTAGTACACGGCGGCTTAACTAATTTTTCTCTTACATTAGTTGTTGGGATGGAGAAAATTTGGATAGTCCGAATCATATGGATCACGTAGCCTACCCTGCCAACGGTACCTTTGAGTCCGGAGGACCTTGTCCGTCAACCCACCCGGTTAGAATTCCACAGCTCATGTTTGAGACAATCTGGGATACTCGACAGTTTAACAACCAAAGCGATTGGCCCACCGACGGTTCACAGCCTTTTGTGTGGTCGATGAACGATGAGACGGGTTATGGGAACCACGGTGATTATGTCTTCGGCTGGAAGGACGACTCGCTTCAAAGGACAATGGATTCGGCATGTTATGTCAATTGTGACACTCTAACTACCCAGAACATGTCGGCTCAGAACGACTGCACGATTAAGTCAGCTGTGGATGAGGATGTCGACGGCTGTAAGTTATCTCCTTCTATCACTGCCTGTTGGCGTCGCTGACGATGATATATACAGGGCTTACAGCTCTTCCGGGTTGGTCCACAAACAGTAACTAGATGGCAACCACAAAGTTAAATCATTAGACTCGCATTCATTCGAGGTGACCCTTCGAGGGAAGCCTGACTAAATCGGATACTTCCATCACTGAATAACTTCCTAAACTTCGGGACGTATATCCTACCATCATTTGTGATCATATGACAGCCGAGGAAATGATCCCTTACCACCTCAATTGCCTGGACAAATAATACATGTTGCTAGACTTATAAAGTATAATTTTCGGACATAATTTTGGGTGTGATCATCTTTACTTGAACCTCAAATTTTCCAGAGGACTTTGGCCCTCCAGTATTGTGTTCTTGCTGTGTCGGTCTAAGACTACCTTGCAGCCACATCCGGTTACAACATCAGACAAGGACTCCGGCACACGAATACGGGCGGGGGGGGGGGGGCTCCTTTCATACGTAGTTGTTTCTATGAGCTGTTCAGAAACTGCCATGAGCAATTCATATTTCCATACACACACCCATTAGGAATGCCAGAAACACGAGAATGTGAATAGATCATAACGAGACCGCATACCAACGTGGAGATATTGGATCATGCGTCCTTGACTGCCCATCTTCGCGTATTCAGAGCTTCTGGAAACCCATGGTATGACTGTTCTGGCGGCTTCGAGTCATGAAAGTGAACTTCTGTCTCAGATGAGAAGGATGCTAGAAGGACGAGCGAGACAATGAATTTACGAGAAATACTTTCCGATATCTAGCCTGGGAGTTTGACTCGGTCACTTAAATTTTCCGTGACCATGCTAATACTTGAACTGAATACTCATGGTCGTGACACTGAGCTGGGCACAACAGACAACTTGCTGCGTCTTGCATGTGCCTTTTATGCTCAAGACTCACAGCGAGCCGTATCTATCTATTAATTCAAAAGGATCCTTTTGTAAGAGGCTTATACCTCTCTCGAGATCCCAACAATTTCGTCGCGGTCTGGAGCCGGAAGCAGTGGAGAGCGCATGATAATATCAAACTTGGAATGGCAAATCATATACCGTGTGATGTACATGACAGACGTTTGAACTAATGTATTTGCAGACTAGCCCACTAGAAGTTATCCACTCTGCTCGTATTAAACATTCTTCCAGTATCAAAGGTGCCTAGTTGAAGTATTTGTGTGTTCCACAGCTTGGGGTCATTGGCGACTCGGTCTTTTGTTCTTCCTATGATTACGTGGCAGGTACTCTCACATATGATTAACAAGCCAACACAGGGCAATGCCAACAAGTGGGACCACGCTTGGCATCATATCGCGACGAGTATACCTTGTTATAATTAGTGGCTGACGTGGATAGAATTTTCAAGCGTAAAATCCTGGTGCAATATCGGTGACTGCGCAATGATGCCCCTTTCCAGGACGGCATGAAGGCTGAGGCAACTTAGCTGTCCACTCTTTACAGCCAAAGCCGACGACGTCACACAACAGGCCTTGTTCGGTCAGGAGCTGCAGACGTGCCGTGTTGAAGTATCCAGCCAACCAAGTCCGAAACTCAGCATGCCAGTCCAGCGAGTCAACAATTGATGTATCACATACAACAAATACGAGGCTTGGCCATAGCCTGCAATCATCGTTCGTTGTATCTTCGAATACCTGCATGACTTATCTTCAGGCTGGCTAGGTTCAATACAGAGCACATGTGATTCAGTGTGAAAAGGGTGATGGTGCCCCTTTCTCTCCTTGCCCGAATAAGTATTCTGCATGTCGCCGACATAAGTGATCAACTATTGTGGTTTCACCTGCCCAGCTGGCCACGGGTTGAAACTAGTTAGCCGCGAGTACAAGTCTAACCGTAAACTTTGGTCCGAATCGGAATCGTCCGATGTTACTGTCATGCAGCCGCACAGGGCGTATGGTAGCAATTGGTCTGTCAGAAGGTTGTAGCCCCTGAGTAAGGTCATGGATCCACCTGGTGATGCTAACATACCTCGCGCATGTGAACGACGGGTGCTTCAGCTTTCGAATGCGGCCAATTGAGGAGACTGGATTTCAATGACAGAGAAACATGAATCAAACTGCCAGCATTTATTTCCCGCTGGACGGAGCGGTCGATTAGATTCGGGCTGTCCGTGATCTAATGAACTCATGAACCTACTTTGCACGGCTCCCACGACGTCCAATCTTTGCACAAGTGCCCGCCTATGGGAAATGGTTACCTCGATGTTGTGATGCTCCGGCTGTGGCTGTCATCTTGCGATCTTCTCGCTTTCGTGATCTGCAAACCTGTTCATCGTTACGAGCTGCCGATGAAAGAATAGACGACGCGTGCTCTTGCCCTCAAAGCATCAGGCTGTCTTGGCGTGCCGCCACGACAGGTCTTGCCGTTGTGCGTAAAACACAATGCCCGGTGAAGCGTGAGAATTGTCATCGGCAGAAATTGTCATCCTTTTCCATCCGGAGTTTGATGCTCAGGTCCGTACCACCAGAAGGAAACAAGGTGGGTCATAGTTATGCGCGGCTCCTCGCCCGGGACGGGCAGCGGTTTAGGCCGCCGACACGAAACAAGCTTCGTCGCAGCGGGGCTGATCACTGACTGGCCAGGAAAATCTCCTAGGGGCCTTTGCGGGTAGATTTCTCCGAGAACAGGGTGGCCCGCTGTGGAATATGGGGTTTTCCGCACTTACTGTGGGTATAACGTTGCAGCGTATTCCCGGTCTCCCGCCCCGGCCTGCCCTTTCTTCGTCCATGCTATGCTTTTGATCGCCCGTCGCCGGACAATTATAGCACAATTCAGCGCCTCTTCCTTCCATTTGCCTGCTTCGGACGCCTACTACGAGACGATCACGTGGACCTGGCTGCTTCAGACGGACGTAAGCAGATCATCCGTGATTCCACATAAGTGGTATCTTGGCATGTTTTGAAGCAGTCTCTCATGGAGTCTCAGTTTCTAATATCATGACGAGGCTCACGGTGGCCGTCGGGCATCCTCCACAAAATGGTGTAGATCCCCATCCACCTGGCTTGGCTTCCTTTTGACATAAACTTGGCTGTTGCTTGACCGTTCTTGGCTTCGTTTATTCTTGTTCAATTCTTCGTGATTTACATGATTTTCCTTCTTGGCCATCTGTGATGTGCAATACTTGGAATTAATTCAGATTCTGTTATTGTTACCTTGTACGCTGCGCGTGTAGGGGTTGTTGTCACTCTTTTAATTTAGATGATCTAGACGGTTTTCTTTTCTTTTCAATATGGGCTTCAACCCGTTTCGGTCCGTGAAGAACTTCTTCCACGACCTCAAAAACGCCCCTGAGGCCCAGTACATTACTTCGGCGGCGGCACCAACTCAATATCCCAGCCAAGAGTCATTCAACCTCCCCGAAAAAGTGCACTACCTCGAGACCAGCGCACGTCTGAGCCGGCACTTCACACATGAGTCACTTGAGCAACTAGGCCAGGCGGGGACCGCGCCCCTGCCTCCACGTCCGGATAAGAAGAAGGGCAGTGTCCTTGATGCAGTAGTGAGAGCGGCAGGGTCGAGGTGGACACTGGGTGTGGTGCTTCTTCTGCTTGTCGTTTGGGGAGTCTTGGGCGCCGTCTTTGGTCCCACGGATACCTGGCAGGTCATTCTTCAGGATGTCTCCTCCATCCAGGCTTACACATCTGCTACACTTCTCATGCGGCAGCAGAACAACAACACCCGAGGCCTCCTTCAAAGAATCTGCGGCCTCATCTCCCGCAGCGAGTCCAACGAACGCATGGTCCGTTCCCTCACGGCTGAGCAGCGCGCCAGGCTGAGGGCCTCAACCCAGAAGATCAGGTCTGAGGTCATTGACTCCCTGCATCACAAGCAGGATATGTTCGACAAGATCTCTAACGGCGTAGCCAAGGCTACTGGATCTCTAATTGCCCTACTCATCTATTGGGCAGGCATCATTGGCTGGGTGTTCTCAGGAATTCCGCTGCAATTCTCCGATACTTGGCAACTCGACGTCAACACCGCCACGGCGTTAGAAATCACTTTCACCACGGTCTTCTTGCAGAACATCCGTAGCTCTCATGACAAGCACCTCGACGCGACAGTGCAGGGGATTGAGCGCCTCGACACGGAAATTGAGATGCAGCTTCGTCGCATGACCGGTGACATGACCCCCAATCCTACCATCGCCAGCGAACCTTTCAAGTTGAACAGATGGGTCAAGGGTCTTGACATCTACGCATACATCATTGGAGGCTCAGTTGGTCTCGTGATCTCCGCCTTTGTCTTTGGAACGTGGATCCTGGTCGGAGACCCAATGGAATTCGATGACAACTGGTTCCTGATCATCGGCACATACACCGGTCTGATTGGCTTCATCGATGGATTCATCCTCAAGAATGTGGATGCGCGTGAGGCCAAGTTGGCTCTGAAACACTTCGACAGATTGGTCGCCCAGGACCGCAAGATCTTTGGGCTTATTGGTATTGAGGTGCCGCAGAGCCAGCACGTGGTGAAGGACTCACTTAACATCCGCATCAGCAAGACAGTGGGAAGATGGGTAGAAAGCACCACTGCCAGCTGGGGATCTATCATGACAGTCTTCGCCCTTCTCATCGTCGCGTCAGCAATGCAGTGGACGGAGACAGGCCAGCTGCTCTGCAACACCCCGACTATGATTGTCGAGGGATTCCTGCTTCTGACGCTAATCCAAGCTGAGAATATTGCGGATGATAAGAAGCGGGTAACCTATGAGGATATCCTGAACCGGCGGCTTATTCTAGACAAGCACCTGGCAGGCTGGGGTGGAAATGACGATGACTCGGATGATGGTATGAGTTACAATGAAAAGGATGGAGTTGTGGTGCAGACCTTCACTATCAACGGCCAGGATGTTGAGATGGGTGGTTCTTTCTAGGCACCTTGACTGAAACCGAACAAGACTTTCCTAAATGACCGGCCTTGAGGCCACGACCAGCCGTTTCGACCTGACGTCGGGACGTCTGTCGAAGTGGCATTTGGCTGGCTACACAGGGATGGAAACTAATAGGCTGGGGGGTAAACTGGAGTTCAGATCGAAGAATACATTTCAAAACATAGCGACTGCAATGTCTTGTACAATTTAGTACAAATGCATGAGCGAGGTGCGGGTTACGAATAAAAATACAGTCAGTCATTACGGTATCCTTTGATGAAAGTTGACTGTCCAGCTCCAATGCGTAGCATGTGTGCCTGCGTGCGAGCACCTTACATGTATTGCCCGGAGAGTGCAGCGGGTATGGTCTGGTGGGCTGGGGCCTGGAGACTGCCAGACGTCTCTTCGTACCTATCCCAAGTACCTAGGTACCCAGGTAGGTCTGTTTGTGTTTATGCCTTGCCCGCCGAGGTACCTAACTGTAAGTCTAGAAACAGTACTGTGGAGGAAGGAATATTGGAAGACAACCTCTACGCACCACTACAGCCGTTGCACCTGCCCAATATGACTTGGTCAGCTGTCCGTATAGAGGATTCCCAACACCAAGGGGAGTGTCTGACCATGACCGTCTGCTCTTCTCTCTTCTTGGGTGATCGCCCACTTCGGATCGCACATGAAGATAATCTGTTCGCCTCAACCGCCAGGACGACTGCAACAAATTCTGTCACAGCTTCCAAAATCCTGAACAATCGCTTTTCTTGTGAAGTAGAAAATCTCAATTCTCTCAAGCGAACACATCTGGGCAGTCAATATGCTGGTTCTCTTTGCTCTCGCCTCGTTGCCCTTTCTGGCAGTGTCCAAAATCACCCGTGACCAGTTTGAAATTCAAGCCCGGGTTCTGGTCGGACGCAATCCTTGTGACGGTCTCAACTACTCTCATATTACACTTTACGAGGACTACTCAGAGCCTCTGTGTCCGGCTCCCAAACATCTCGATGCACAGGGTGAGTGTGAGGACTATGCCAACGCCGAACAAGACTGTGCAAGTTTCTGTCAGCTCACAACGACGTATATTTGGGGCCGCGAGTCGCCGTTCTTCAAGTCGGAATGTCACTACCCCATGCGCTGTGAGCTCCGCGAGACAGACTCAACTATGTGGACCCTGGAAGGATACATTGCTGGGGATGTGCAGTTCCGGAAGGCCCTTGAAGCTGGCATTACAGGCGGCGTCGGATCGTCGTCCGGACATGCTAAAGATCACAGCTGGTCCATCACGCCTCTGCTCGGAGAGTGTGGGTATTTCACTTGGGTACCAATCACAAAGCGGACCTGGTGAGCTCAATTTCAGATCATGCTACTGCTGTGGAGCTGCACGAGACTGACGAATGTCTTCAGCGGCACACTGACCAGCAGTCTCAAAGTTGGCACTTCAGAAGATGGATGGACGTGCCTCAATAAAACAACAACCGTCCAAGACATCTGCCATGACCAAGTTTGGTATCTTGAGGGAGGGCCTGATGGTGTCGTACGCGACCATGATCCCAGAACATTTCGGATACATTTCACTAACAAGAAAACTACACCTCAGGTGATCTGGGTCCGTACCAACTGTTCAACTGGTGAGCCCTTGGGATTTCAGAGCCAGGATCCCGTGTACAACTCTCCAGAAGTTTCACTCTACGCATACTCGAGCTCCACCATGTTCGACGGCTGGTCTACCAACACTTGTGTCATGACTAACATTAAATCTGTAAGCGATGGAACCTGGTTCAATCTAGAAATCCAGGCCCGGGGGCTGCAGCTGGGAATGGTTGGAAACAATGGAGAAGTCCTCTTCCGCAGGGTCAATGCTTGTGGAGATATCAGCTCTTGGAACTTCACTTGGGCTGATGTAGCCTACCCCAATTCGACTTGGGACATGGCAGCCAATAGCACACTCTTCGTCAAAAAGGGCGTTTCGAAAGCCTGCATTGGAACAGCCCTGGAGCAAGCAGGTGGGGTGGCAGATAATTGCGTTTAGTCTGCAGAGTTTTCGGCTTGGCTGTGACTGATGGGAAGACTGTGTGTGTTTGACCTCAGAGTTATCAATCTGGTGCTCAATTACCTTATTATTCCTGGCCACCAAGAGCAAACCAAGGAAAGTTCAGTCGGCAAAATATATATGTGACCTGCCCCAATAATTGGTACTCATTATTCGTCCTCTATAAAACCGACCCGATCCTGTCCATGTTTCAAAACGTGATGGGTGTCGCTTGGTTCTTGATATCTAGCCGCCGAGGTCTCATACAAGGCAGAATGGATGACGTCGAACACAACATAAACCAGGCTGTATGCAACTGCAGCGGCGATTCCATACTCGACCGAAGTGAACAGCGTAACCCAGAACGCGATCATGCTCCCAATGAAGTGCGAGAGAGACGTCCTCCAGTACTTGTAGAATACCTTCGGCGATAGCATGATCGGCCACACAGCAGTGATTATGATGGCCGAGAGAGTCACGTTGGGGATCCAATAAAATGCCCCCGAGAGTTTGTAGATGCTGACGAGCACACAAGCTGCTGTGACCAAACCACTGAGCGGGCTTTTGACTCCCGACTCGGAGTTGACAGCTGTCCTTGAGAAACCGCCGGTGATGGGCATGACCGAGAAAATGCCCCCGACGAAATTGGCTACACCGATATAAAGGAGCTCTTGGCTCTGATCGATAGTGTAGCCGTGTCGACGACCAAATGCCTTGCCAATAGCTAGGTGCTCGAGGGCTGTAGCAAGGAAGACCGCCACAGCACGGCCGGCCAGTTTGCCCGCAAGCTGGGTATCGGGGACCGTTGGCGTCAGTATCCCGGTTCCGCTCGTCTTGCTGATTTTGAATAGAGGGTTCTTCAGATCCTTGTTCACTCCATAGCTCATGCCCGTGAATATGATCAGTATAAGCGCATCCCGAGAGATGGACAAGAACCAAAGTGCTCGATGTTTCTTTCCCCATCTACGTCCAACGTACTGAAGAGCGCAAAGCAGAATTATTCCTGAGGAGCCGACGACGAAGTCCCTCCACTTCGTCGTCGGCAGCTTCTGGAATATTCCGCGGATGTACTCTGCCACCGAGTCTGCCGAGGCGGTCTCGGCAAAGATGGATGGAATTTGTTGTATGATAATTGTCAATGCTGCCGCTGAGACGTAGCCGCTCAACACAGGTACGGGGATCAAATCCAAGAGAAAGCCAAGCTTTAAGAAGCCGACTGCAAGGCCGTAGAGCCCGCACATGAAAGCTACTGCGGTAGCAATGACGTGGGTCTCATACCCTTCTTTGGCCAAATCGGTCACAATTTCACCCGTAAGGAGAGCCATGATAGCCGTCGGGCCAGAAGTGGTATCTGCGAAATATGAAACTTTAGAACAGAACCTCACACAGCTACATATCGTAAGTACACACCCTTAGACGTGCCCATGATCATGTATATCAACATCGGCAGCCAGCTCGATAGCAAGCCATATGAGCCCGGTATGTTTGCAACGCTCGCATAGGAAAGACTTTGCGGGACTAGCAAGACGCCAATGGTAATGCCTGAGACCAAGTCGTTGAAAATCCAACTTGGCGAATAATTCGGCAGCCATTGTAGCACAGGGAGCACATAGCCTTTGAAGCCACGCTTGAAAGACTTAGAGCCTGCGACACCCGCGTCCCAGATTCGGCCAATGTTAGGGTCAGAATCAACAAAGTCTCTGGCTAGACGCCGAGTTTCAGTGAGGCTGGGCATGGTCTCAGTAACTCGGACGAAAGTCAAGCTAGTGTCCGGTTTGGAAGAAGTGCCACAAGTTGACTGATCCCATGATTAGGTACCTACTTTTGAATTTTAGATGCTACTCAAGGTTCTCATTGCTTCTCAAATTCCACCATGCGGTATTAACCCTTTTTCCGTACTGCACCTTGGTGAGGAGCCAGGTACAGAGCATACGGCACTTAGAAAGATGCTGACGTGATAGCACGCAATTGCACTAACACGCGGGATACGGATGCAACAGTGGATCCATTCAGGCGCGAGAACATGAACATCGAAAGACTCGGATATCGCGAACCCTTGACTCGGTATGGGTCTCATGCAGTAATCGTCGCCCGTCTCCGTTATACGGAGTCGCCCTGAATGCGAGGTAAAAATTGCATAAGGCCGACATACAATCAACTCGAACTGAAATCGAATGTGAAGGCGATCTGCGAACTGACAAATACATATCGTGTGTGCGTGCCCTTTGATAACCATGAAGCAACTTTCCAAAGATGAGCTAGCTGCTCTAGCCGGCAATTACTTCGCTCCGGAGGGACTATATCAGTATATCAAGGAGTTGCCTTTCTTGAGTAGCTTACAATGCAACACGACTAGCCTCGTCGCCGGGCAATGGACAGAAGTGATCATCACTTACACCGTTGGGGGAAGTGGACTGGCTGACGGGGCATGGATCAAGGGCACTTTCAAGTTTTATTCGGTATATACCTGGAAATCTTCAGTTGCATGTTTATCAACGTTGTCAGCTGATTACTCCTATAGGACTGGGCTCTTTTGCAAACGTCAGACGAGAAGGCCGACAATTATGTATCTGCGGAATATGAGCCTGGCCAGTTGCTGCCGTCTCAGACACCTGCCACGGTTCAAAGCCTATCAGTGCGCTTCGATCAAAAGGGGCACGAGAGGCCTTTTCAGAAGGCCATAATAATTGATATCGTTGACGGATACCTCAATCCCGGGGACAAAATTGTCGTTCGCATCGGCGATACACGGTTTGGCGCCAGAGGAACTCGAGTTCAGACATTTGTCGAAGAGGACTTCCGCATGAGGTGGTATATCGATCCTGTCGGAACCTCTCGATTTGCGCCCATCAAACCGGATTTGTCTTTCAACATTTTCAGTGGTGATATTGCAAAGCTGAAGGTTATCACCCCAAGGGTTGTTGGCCCAGGTATTGATTTTCCAGTCCACATCCACACCGAGGATGTCTGGGGTAATGCGACAGTGAACCAATTCGGTCTTCACGCCCAGATCAAAATCAATGCTGAAGACAGTGGCAGCACCCTAGTTGAAACGCAAGTGCCTTTGAGCAGCGGCGGATGGACCACTGGCTCAAGCATCGTGTCCTTAACAGCTGAAGGAGAACACCTGGTAACCGTGGCGCTGGTAGATGAGAAAGGCACTACTATACAAGAACGCAAAGACAAGGTCTCTGTGACTAGCCATCTGGGTATCCCTCGGGTGTTGTATGCCGATCTCCACGTACACTCTGACGACACAGTCGGCACGAATTCGACGACATACAACTTTTCCTACGCCCAGAAAATTGCTGGCCTGGATATCATTGGATATACGGCAAACGATTTCAACATCACCAAGGATCGCTGGGAAAAGACAATTGATATCATCAAAGAAACCAGCAAGCCAGGGGAAGTGGTCATCTTTCCCGGGACTGAATGGTGCGGAAACTCGGCGGCAGGAGGTGACCACAACGTCGTGTTCCTCGACGACCCCTCCAAGCCCACTGAATTCCCGCTGGATAGACACGGCAACGTGGCCAGGAGCTTCGAATGGAACGAACATGGCCCAGCTGAGTTGCAGCCTGGGACGTGGCCGCTCGACGAGGTCTACGCAACTTACGCGCACTCACCAGAATCGCACCTCTTGATTCCACATGTTGGTGGTCGGAGGTGTAACCTAGCATGGCACCATCCGCAGCTCGAGAGGCTCCTCGAAATCGGCAGCGCGTGGGGTCACTTCGAGTGGCTCTTGCAGGACGCTGTGCGGAGGGGCTGGAAAATGGGAGTTTGCGCCAATTCCGACGAGCATCGTGGACGGTGTGGTGGCGGTGTTCCTGGAACGGCAGTATTTGGTACCAAGGGTGGCCTGACAGGCGTTCTTGCTCCGTCGTTGGACCGGCTGGCTGTTGGCAAAGCTCTCAGGGCTCGCCATACCTTTGCCACAACCGGGGAGAGACTGGTTGGCCTGGCTTATATCAGCAGTGAGGGGACAATCCAGGGTGACGATGTTCGTGTGAGCTCTCAGGGTGAGGTGAGTGTGGACTACGCTTTCCACGGGTCGAGTGGATTCTCCTCGATCGAGGCGTGGGATGCCAGTGGTATCATCTGGCAACGTAACCTGCGATCGGAGTCTAGTCGGACACTTTCGGGCTTACCATCGAAGAAGACGCTTGTGATCAAATGGGGTGGAGCGAGGCTCTACGACCGTTACCGAGAAGCAGTATGGACAGGCACCATTGAAACAATTGGGGCTGTCAAGATTGGCAATGTCCAGCCCTTTGGCGGAGTTCTTGATGTCCCAGAAGAGGTGGTTGCACAGAAGTCAGATAACTTGGTGTCCTTCGAGACTCACACCAGTGGCGATTTTGACGGGGTGTTGGTATCCTTCGAGGATAACGTGAGGCTTCCTGGTGCCATCAAGATTCAGGGCACGCTGGGCGGCTACGTCAAGGTTGGGGATCCTCTGAAAGGCAATCCTCATAAGGCCCAGCCCACGTTCGAATTTGAAGCTCCGATCCAGGAGCTTGATGGAAATGGCGGGCAGAGATGGGAGATAGCCGGAGGAGCTGGACTCTTTGTCAGTGCCGAGCTGGTTGACGATGTGGCTTTGCCGACCCAAGTGGTAGGGGCCGTCTCCATTCCTGCTCGTGCTCCAGGCCAGCACCAGTCTGTATACCTTGTTGGGCGCGAGTGGGATGGAGGCAAGGTGATCACAAGCCCGCTCTTCTTGGAATGGACCTGATGGAAATGTAAATGGATTGACTCTACAACCGAAATCGATGAAATTTCACAATCCCGTGGGGGGGAGGCAAAGGACTTGATGCCTGATGGTGATGGCGTCCGACACAGATTTCTTGGCTTGGTAGGCGGCAGTAGATTTGTGAGAGACAGATTCAGTACAGATGTTCAGTCTAAACCAATTCAAAGAGGGAAACAAATTCAGCAACTCGGCTGACATTCAGACGTTGCTTGAGGCCGCGGTCGAGGACCCTGTAGGTCAGTTCGTGGTTGTAAAGGCGCGTAAACTTGGGGGTTATGGCCCACTGTCTAGCCGCCGTAAGCGCCAGCAGCAGCCCAAATGGGTCCTACTAAAGAGTAGCCCCACCCACTAAATTGATGAGTTGAACATCTCAAATCTGACCTCATTCATTTCACTCTGCTCCTTGTTCCGGCTGAAAGGACGACGTACGAAAACTGAATAATTCACACAATGGATCGACGACGACATCCTCCGGTACCTACAATACGCGAGGTCGTCCCGGGGGCTGGCGTCAACATTGTTCTCAAGGCCGACCAGCCAACAGGGCGCACCGTGCAGGGCGTCATCGGCCAAGTCCTGACGCGGGGGAATCACCCACGCGGCATCAAGGTGCGGCTCACAGACGGGCGAGTGGGGAGAGTGCAGACCATGTCTTCCACTTCTTCGTCAAGTTCTGGGCAGCCAGGCGGTTCAGCCGGCTTCGTTGGAGGGGTGCAGGATACGGAAGTCCAAGACGGTCAGCAGCCGGGCGCTCACGTCCCAGGGAATCGCCCATTTAGAGGTCGGCGAAGAGATGGCGGCGGCGACATCCGATACGCTGAAGAGCCAGACTTGCCGCCGCAACAGATCGGCCTCGATGCTTATGTCAAGGAGAAGAAGCCGAAGAAGCAGGGGCGCGGGAAAGGCAACGATAACAACAGCGCCACCGCTGCCGAAGATGATCAGCCCGGCAATAGCTCGGCCGCCGGCTCTCAAACTACGTCTGAGGCTGTGGCATGTCCAGTTTGTGGTGAATTCGAAGGCGACGAGGCTGCTGTTGCCCACCACGTCGCTTCCCACTTTGATGATACAGCCACGTAAAGTGAACGGCCCTTGCCAAGCGTGGTGTTGAACTCTCCCACGAGATTCCAGGCCCGAAACAGATGACCCTGGCTGTGGCAGTCTGTTCTAACATACGATACGGCAGGGCGTTGGTACTGGCCATGAAAGTGGCTAGAGTCAGCGTGGACCCCCTTGCCAATACCAAAGCCCGGGAAGCGAGACAACGGACTTCAGCAGCAGCACGCCGGAGCAAAGGCCATTATCCACTACATACAGCAATTCTCGATAGCTGAACTATTTCAACGGCGCCCAATGTCAGCCCATAGCCTCAAATGATAGGGAGCACCGGAGATCGTCCAGGGCATCAGTCAATTTGTCCGCCCATGGTTCCATCAACACTCCCACGGCACCTCTGACAATACCGCCGGCCTACCACCCTGCTGGTCCCTCATCTTCCAATTCTTATTCAGCTCACATTTACGATCCAATATCCACCATCTCATCCTGGGTAGTGAACGGGGTCCCAGGTATGGCTCGCCGTGTCCGAGACGCAACATCGCTCAAACTTTCTGGTGAGACCGGCGCGTAAATGCAAGGCTGGCCATGGTCACAAGAACACGAGTATTGCAGGCCCTGATTAGAGCCGAAAGTTCGAGTGGGGGGCGTTTCGACAAGCAGGGACTTGTACGCGGCATATCGCCTGGCTGGCCCAAAGTACCATCTCTGCGAACGATCCACAGGGGCTGCGCCTGGGAGCTTTGTGCAGTATCGACTCTACATGACCTGCATCATCCTTCCCGCTCTGAGCGCATCGATGTCCTCCTTGTTCAAAGGGTCACATCCGTTGGAACTATGCCACGCACGGTCGATGCTGCTCCAAGTCGTTAAGTCAAACCTGTCCCCGCCAATTGTCGCGGTTGTTCCAGCCTCGCACGGTTTGGGGGCGTAGGCCATGGTATAAGCCTCCAGGTGGCATTGAAATAACCACGAGGCAGCTTTGACTTCGAACTTGTTGCCAGTATCAGAAACAACCGTTGAAGATTCGAGACTAGGGAGAACCTTAGTAGTGATTTTGTAAATTCGAACAAACTCGCGTATGCAGTCGTCGAAGCGATTTGGGTTCATCCGCATCTTTGGCCGCGGTCTTGAAGCTCGGAGTAAATCACACTGGCGCATTTCATTGGCGAATCTGATGAATAGAGCCAACATTAGACCGAGGTTCTCGACTTTGTAGTCGCCGTCTCCAAGGAGTAAGTTCTGATCGAGTACCGCAAGCATGTCGAGAAACATGGCGCCAACGAGCTCGGCTGCCGCATCAGCTCGGTCACCATTGTGGATTCTGTATAGTCCCAGAGGTGAGCAGGGGCCTGGGATATAAATGCCATGCGGACTGGATGACAGGGTGACAGGATGACGTGAGACTAACTTGGAGAACTGCATCCCGGGTCCAAGGAGAAACATGATCAGAGCTTCACAGACCATCCACTTCTCCCTCCAATTCGATACTTTGTCATATTCGACAACCAAGTTCTCTAGTATCTCCAGCATTCCGTAGGCCTCATCTTGATTGTGTCAGTTCAGCACTTACCCTGAGGCTGGAGGTACAAACTTACGATCGCATGAAATGTTTATCCCGAACACATCGGGGCAGCGAAGTGGAACCATGTTTAGAGTTGCCGTCCACTTTAAATAGCCAGCGTAGGTGATCACCCACGGATGGTCAAAGTAGACCTCGGCGGGCTTGGTGCAGATGCAAGTCTTGCCGTTGTCGCAGATGTTCTTGTTTTGATACTCATCGTCCCTGTCTTCGTCTTCGTAGTCGAGGCCGCCCGTATCGATGTTCCACTTGGGAGGGCAGATGCACATCCAAGCGAATGGGTCCCTCAGCTCTGAGAGTTTCTGTTGGACTTTCGAATTGATGTTGATGGTGGCGGAGACAAGCCCCCTTTGTCTCTCCTCGGCGGGCGACAGACGAGTGGATCCCTGTGGAATTGTGTCAGCTGCCGGAGCATATGATCGAGCTGAACTTAAGCCCTCCATCCCCATCTTCTTCGGTGGTCTTGCCAACTCAGTGCGCGTGCATCATCACCTATTGGGTTTGTTTACTAGACGATGCAGTTGGGGCGACCGACCGAAACACAATCAGGAGCTCCCGCATCGCCACAGTGTCTTTTGGGTGCTACTGTGCCTGGTTCTTCGACTTCTATCTCCACTGTTTCGAGAACTTCAGGGCAATTCTCGACGTTGACGAGGGTACAGTCGAGCAGCAAGACAGATTCCTCATCAGAGGCAGGCCTCTTGCGACTTTGCTCTGGAGTCATGTCGGCTGAAAATTATTGAATGAAGCGAAATGCTGTTGAACTAGTTTGATGAGTAAGAAGGCCGTAGTCGAGAGCAAGTCGGCAACCTGGCATGAAATATTGCCAGCTTGAGAGACGTTCAGGTTGGTGATCAAAACAGCTGCTTTCTTCTGCCATTGGAAGGGATATTCCCTTGGGCTTCCACATGGAAGGCACGTTTGTGTGAACAGAGACCGGTTCAGCATGGCAGTCGCACCTCTGCAGGCACGAAAGGAGCAGAATGAACGGCTAGCTCGTAGCTTCCACGATCCTACTATGAAGGACTCGCCGAGCATCAAATGTCATTGAGCAGTACCAAGACAGACAAGCGCCCATTGCAACAAGATAACATGTGTCAATCCTCGAACCGTCACGACGTCCCGAGCAGCAAACAATTCATCACCTTCGGAAACTTGCATTTACATGCATGACACAATTTTGGATTTCAACGCACCACTGGATGCCAAAACACACTGAAAAAGGAGAAACAAATCGGCGGGTTAGGTGTTCACTGGCCACATTCAGCTTTATCTACAGACTGACATGGAGATATGACGCTCTGATCCCCTCCGATTAACAAGCACCAAGAATCTATCCCGTAAGAGGGTGTTGTTCCAGGCCACTGTATTTGCGCACCTAGACGCACGATTGGCACCGCTGAGCCGGGTGGCCGAGCTTAGCCCAGAATTCAAGTCACAGTGCACGCCGGCGCTTTGCAACTTTTGGCAAGAAATCACAGACCTAGGCTTCTTAATCTAAGAAATGGGACATTTATACTTGATATGAGGGTCCAAACTCAGAGATAACGAGTTCACAGCGTCACAACTTCTTGTAATGCACTGTTAATCTCGCGGGCTGACAACCAAGATCCACGATGCGTACAACATCGAGGTGCGTTTTCCACCCACTTGAAAGCGATTGAAGCTGCCTTGTGACAACTTCGGCACCCAGGTGCAAGATGAGCAGCTACATTTCTCATCATCATCTTTAACACTTTCACAGAAAGACTCCACTCATCCATTTTGCTGGCTGCCAAAGCTCCCTCCGGCTCGGGACTTTCGAATTTGCATGTGACCAGTCGGCCTCAACAGAATTGAAGAACAGTAACAGGCCACTGCGTCGATCCTTGATCCCGATTGGCAACATAGTAGTGTACGTAGGAGTGGGCTAGGATCACATCAGCCAAGCGCCACGACGGCGCAACACCCCACGCGGCGGACAATTGCTATGTTAGGCTTCTGAGTCTGTATTTCGACTAAATAATGTGTCCTCCTGACTCTGCTGTCTGCACTTTGTACTCCTGGTAGAAGTCAAATCTTCAACTCGGTCATAACCACCAGCGCCATCATCGCGACCAGGTATGAATCGTTACGCTGATCGTAAGGCTAAAAAGCAAGATGACATAGACGAGCTGTGATGACGTCTGCTGCAAGTTTACAACTTCAATAGGATGTTCATCTAAACTTGCGCGTCAGAAAAATGTATATCCCAGCTTTGCTGCTCGCTTCATGTTTCGTTCAACCTGGAAAACTCAACATTCGAAAACAGCACATGTGCAACACCTCCCATATACAAAAAACGTGCCCTACGCTAAGATTGAGAGGTGCGGATCCACGGAAGTGTGTGGTCGAACTCATAGTCAAGCCTTGTCAGGGTGCACACGTGCTGTCGGCCCAAATAAGATTTCCAGAAACCATGTCTATCAACAGGTCACCGAACCCGAACGAAAAGGATGAATCTCACATCGCTAGTGCGAGACGCTCGACAATTGATAGCGCGAGCACAGAGTCTACTATCGAGATTGATGGGTTTCGAGTGTTGGGTCTGTCTTCTAACGACGCCGATTTCTACGATAATTTCTCTACCGAGAGACGGAAGCGAATCTTACGCAAGGTGAGCGGAGCCGCTCTACAGGTCGGTGCTGTGAATTTCTACTGATGACGAGTGCTGTACGTAGGTTGATATCCGCCTCGTGCCCGTGTTGACTATCTTATACCTGATAGCTCACATCGACCGCGCCAATATTGGCAACGCCAAGATTGAGGGCTTGATCGAGGATCTAGGACTGAGCGGTGCACAGTACAATGTTTCTCTGGCAATCTTCTTCTTCCCCTATATCTTATTCATGCTACCAAGCAATATCTTATTGAAGAGGTTCCGCCGGCCATCACTCTATATCGGGACACTGATCTCTGTGTGGGGAGCCGTGATGACCTGCACTGGCCTGGTGAATACGTTTTCTCAGTTGGTAGCAGTTCGATCCCTCCTAGGGCTGTTCGAGTGAGTTCGGCCCCCTTTCCATCCAATCACAAGAGCTTATCCATACGATTGCGACGATACTGACACTCGTACACCAGGGCTGGCTTCTTTCCGGGTGCTGTGTATATTTGTAGCCGCTGGTACATGCCGCGAGACCTAGCAAGCCGCGTCTCTTACTTCTATTGTGCGTCTGCTTTATCGGGAGCGTTCTCAGGCCTCCTGGCTGGTGTCATTGCCAAATTAGACGGTCTCTTTGGTTATCAAGGGTGGCGCTGGATATTTTTAGTTGAGGGGATCGCCACTGTGTTTCTCGGCGCAGCCACTATCGTCTTGCTGGTTGATTCGCCAAGCCTGTCTAAGCGGTGGCTCAACGAGGAAGAAATACGGTTTCTTGAACTTCAGGTCTTCATTAAGCAAGGTGGAAAATTGCAAGGAGCGCAAGAGGAAAAAGCCCGGACTTGGCCAGAGGTCAAAAATGTCTTGACGAACTGGAGGGTGTACGTCCACGGGTCATTTTTGATCGTTAACTCTTCATGTTCGTATGGTAAGCAATACCACCCTTGACAGCGACCAGAACGACACCTCCGCGACAGCATAGACCGTACCCTTGATGATACAGCTAACTCCAACCGTAGGACTCAAATTCACCCTTCCTACCATCACCAAGGCCATGGGCTTCAGCAACACTAAAGCCCAGTTCCTGTCTGCGCCACCATATGTTGCTGGAGCGATATCTGCTCTCATCTGTGGTAGGCTCTCCGATCGCCTGAATTGGCGCATGCCGTTCATCGTAGTCCCAGGCGCCTTCATACTGGTCGGCTACTCGATACTGCTGTCCCTGAACGGGGCGATATCAAGCAACGCCGGGTCGGTCTGGGCCGCAATTGTTATTGCCATGATGGGGATATACCCAATTCAGCCAACCACGCAGGCATGGAACGCAAACAATATCACGCCTGCCAGCCGACGTGCAGTTGGTGTGGGTCTAACGAACGCAGTTGGGAACGTTGGGGGTATCGTCGGTAGCTTTATGTATGTTGAGAGCCAGGCCATGCGTTACGAAACCGGATTCGGCCTCAGCCTGGCTCTTGGGGCGTACGCAATGTTGATGGCCTTGTTCTTGGAGTGGAGCTACACGGTTTCCAATGCGAGGAAGGCAAAGGAAATCGGGAGCAGACCATACAACGACGCAGAGTTGCTGGCCATGGGAGATAAGAGCCCACTTTTCAGACATGTGCTGTAAGCAAGCAGGGGACTTTCTCCAAATGCGTCCCGTAAGCAGATTGGCTCAAAGATGGTTGCACTGCATGTGCAGCTCCTAGCCTCCTACTTTCTGTATAAAACCCGGCAAAATTCCTCTGAGTCTTACTTCAGTTATTTAGATGCTTCCACGGCTTATTCTTTTCTTATGATTCATCAGCTATCACCGCCTAAGACGCCAATGATACTGCTTACATTTACACACTACCCGCAATGATGCCCATGGAGCAGGACTTTGATCTTGTGGTAATTGGCGCTGGTATGATTCGCTTCCAGCCCCAAAACTCTAAGTTGTGAAACCTCAGCTGAACTCAAGCGTCATCTAGGTTGGGCAGGGCTAGTCGCTGCAAAGACGTATCAGCTTTTGCATCCCCTTCATTCCGTAGTGCTTTTGGATCAAAATTCAAGCCTCGGTGGCACAGTAAGAGCTTCTCTGGGGGCATTCTCTCCATTCCGGCCCATCATTTTTATGCTCTGTCCTTGTTTTGTCGCGAAGCAAGGGAGTTACGAGCAAAGGCTCTCATGCATCGTACCTTCGCTTTAGCAGAGCATCTTTTCTTTGTTGTTCCTCGGCAGCTGACTCCGCATACTGTAGTGGGCGAAGGAGAGACTATATCGTACGTACAATCATTCTCCCGTTACGGTTACTCATCTGTCCTTTACTAGAATCTTCCAGAATTGATCGATTCGGGTTCCATAGCAGAGGACTAACACATACTAGCTGGTTTGAAGACCAATAACCTGGTCGGCACTCTTCAATACCCAGACTTCCCCTTGGTTCCCGAGGAGTTTGGTATAGAAAGGGGTCAACACATTCCTGGGCACATCATCCACGAATATCTGTCACGCTATGCTGAGAAGTTTGAGATCGCGAGCAAAATTCGGCTTCAGCATAAAGTGATCAGCGCCGAACATCGAGATGAGGGCGGGTGGAAGATGGTGGCTGAAGCTGAAGGCCGCATCATCAAGATCACCGCGGCGAGATTGGTGGTTGCCACGGGGCTGTCATCAGAAGAGTTCTTGCCCCGATTTGACGGCGAGGAGACGTTCACCTCACCAATATTTCATTCGAAGTATTTTCCAAAGTATGCAAATACTTTGGACACAGCCAAGTCTGTGACAGTCCTTGGCGGACCGAAATCCGCTTGGGACTGTGTTTACGCTTATGCATCGAAGGGGGTGCAAGTGAACTGGGTGATACGAGGTATATTTAAGACGGAAGCTGTCATGCGTTCCCATGAAACTAATAGTTGCGTAGAGAGTGGCCATGGGCCAATATGGCAAGCGCCTCCATACGTAACGCCGTTTAAAATGTGGCTCGAAAAGCTTGTAAATACTCGTCTGTTGACGTGGTTCAGCCCGTGTATTTGGGGGTTCGCAGACGGTTACACCCGGATCAGACGGTTCTGGCATGAAACAAGCATCGGTCGCACAATCACCCGCGCCTTCTGGTGGGTCTTGACCAACGACGTCGTTACGCTGAACCGTCAGTACAAATTTCCTTCCCCTACGGTTGCCCATCCGCCTTTCGTTGGAACCTTCCAGAATGTATCGCTTAGGGCTCCGTAGCAGGTGACTAACGCATAGCAGAGTACGACAAGCACCCGGAGACCAAAAAGCTCAAGCCATGGTCGGATGCTTTTTACAGCGGCACATCGTTCTCGATTCTGAACTACAGTACGAACTTCTTCGATCTGGTCAAGAGCGGAACTGTCAAAATCCACATAGCCGACCTTGTTCGATTGTCCCCGTCAACGGTGCATCTTTCTGACGGGACTTCGTTCAAGACTGAGCTGCTTCTCTGCGCCACTGGCTGGAAGCATGTTCCACCCCTGAAATTCTTGCCTGAAGGAATTGAGAAAGAGCTTGGGCTGCCCCATGTGCCGTCCGATGATGAACCCATCTGGAGGTCAGATCTCGTTCACAAGGCTGACAGCGAAATACTCACGCGTTTTCCTCGTCTACGAGATCAGCCTAAATCTGACGGGAAGTTTGTGCCTTTAGCTGAAGCCAAGGGGTTGTCTGCACGCTTCCAAGGCGAAGTCGACCCTTCCAACCACACTAGGCTCACACCTTACACACTCTATCGATTCATGGTTCCTCCATTGCCCAAGTTCCTCGCAACTAGAGACATTGCCTTCACAGGATTTGCTACAAACTTTTCTACTGCGACTTCCATCTATCTTCAGGCACTCTGGATTTCGGCCTTTTTCGATGGAGATATTGCAGTCCAAGAGCCTGGAAGTGACACCGACCCCGAAGTCGCAGAGAAGCTTAAGTATAATACGGTCCTTTACAGTCGATTTGGAAGATGGCGTTATCCGGCTGGTCGCGGCAGCCAACTCCCAGACTTCGTTTTCGACGCGGTACCATACTTTGATCTTCTGATGGGCGACCTGGGACTGAAGGTGCATCGAAAGAAAGGATGGTTCGCCGAAGCAACTGATCCATATGGGCCAGCGGATTATGCAGACATTCTCTCGGAATGGGTTGCCAAGAGGGGTACCAGGCCTTGTGGATGTTGATAACTATTCTCCTTGATTCACTGCGTTCCTCGATAAGTCTGTATGTGCTCATACATAATTGGTAGATATAATGTATTGAAACTTGTTCGTTGTGCGGGAACGAGAATGATCAGTATATATCACTTGATTGACCCTTGAGAAGACACCGAACTCAAATGCCTGACACATGTTCCCCCGTATTGTGATCTAGAGACTTTGCTTGATAATGTCTGATGCCCTTTCTGCAATTGCGTAAAGAGTGGCAGTAAGATGGCCGCTGATCTGTATCGGGAGCACCGACGCATCTACCACGCGCACGTTGCTTGTTCCGTATACCTTCAAATTGGGGTCGACAACACCACCCAATTCCCTAGCCATCATCGATGCCGTGCCAATAGGATGATAATTCGGCTCGACTAAAAGCTTGGTCAGTTCAGAAACCTGTTGCCATGGTTATGAAAACGCTGACAAGTATTGATGATGTACTCAGCCCAATCCTCGTCCGTCGCCGGATCAGCCGTGAGGTTTCCAGAAATATATTCTGCAATAGGATGTGTGTTCCAAAAAGACTGTGCCTGCTTTCCAATAGCGATTTGTGTAGTCAGATCTATATCCGCAATAAAATATTGCGGATCAATCAACGGGGAGTCAATCGCGTCCAATGTGGCGAGGTGCACCCTGCCTCTGGAAAAGGGCAATAGACACCACCAAGCCGTCAGGAGGTAGCCTGAAGAAGATGCTGTAATAGTCTCGGCTATGGTGACATTCTTTTTGAATATCAGGTCGTGCTGTATCCGAAAGATTTCCTCGAGGGCAGACACGTTTAGACCACCCCGAGATCTGGAAGCCGCATATTCAGCATAAGCAGTCAAATTCGCGCTGACCTCGTCCGAAACAGCGTTTTTCACAGGTCCAAAAAGGTCTTCGGCATTTCCAAATGTCGCGTACGTAGCATAGCCAGTCACGTTCAAAGTTCCCTCGAAGATGAGATTGCTGTTCGGTTGCTCCTGAAGGTTCTCGCCAACCCCAGGTAGATCAATGATCGTCTTTACACCAATGTCTCCGAGGACCCTGAGTATTTACCCGTGTCAGTAAGTATTATGTTTTATTCGGCAAATGGCTTACTGAGAATTGCCAATCCCGGACATCTCGAGGACTAAAGGAGTCCGAAGCGCCCCGGCAGAAAGAATCACTTCCTTATCGACACCCACGTTAATCGTGACATTATTGCCGTCGATGTATCGCACACCGGTAGCTTTCTTAAATGTGCTCACGAGCTTTGTATCCATTTCAATGCTCAAAGCAGTTCCCTTAAAGACAACAAGATTGGCTCGGCCCTGGACCGGGTAGAAATATGCTCTGGCCGAATCCCATCTCAGATCTGACTCTCTCTCGATGGTCATTGGCCAAACGTCAAATCCACGCGTCTCACCACTGTTAACCTCTGGGTTGACTGGGTACCCGAGGTGCTCCCAGCTCTTCTGTACAAGCTCATGGAATGACCCATTCGGCAGAGCGTAACGAAACCCTACGTTCAAGTCGCCATGATTACCGTGATACTCTGGCTTGAAACTGGCACCGAAATCAGTCTGTGTCTTAGTGGGCGGCGTAAATCGCTCTGTCCGTTTGTAGTATGGAAGCAGTGAGGCCCAGTTCCACCCTTCATTCCCCAGAGTCTCCCATGCGTCAATTTCGGCAGCGTCAGCCCTAATGTAAGTCATGCCATTTATCGTGCTCGTCCCACCAATGGCCTTGCCCGAGTGGAAGGTGAAAGACCGGTTTGCTGCACCGGGTTGGGCCGTCGACGGATAGCTCCAGTCGATCGAGGTATCGAAAGCAACAATAAAGTTTCCTGGATCAGTGACATTGGGGTTGTTCCGTACATCCTCTCCTGGCTCGATTACCGCAACCGTAATATTGGAATCCTCAGAGAGTCGATTGGCAAGGACAAGACCGCAGGTACCGCCGCCTACAATCACGTAGTCGAAACTCATGGCGGTCGTTGTGATTATTTGCGACATGAGGAATGTGAGGACAATGTGAGGGACGTTCCGGGTTCCCATCTTGCAACTCATCAGATGTGCTCCAGTGAGACCGGAATTAATGTACTATTGCTTCAGGAGGAAGTTTAGAAGCTTGTGGGTCACACAAGAATATTGTTACGAAACACACGCGACCAGAATTGAAGTATTTATCCTCTGCATATATATGACTACACATTACGGCCTCAGCGGCCGTACTTCGGAACGACACTTGCAGAAGTTCAACCGCCCGTACGCCGCGCCGTCATTGTGCATGAGAGGATTCTCATCCTGAGTTCCAACGCCATCTGGGCGGGTAAGCATACTAGCTTATAATACCTCAACCCCTCTCGCATCCCGGGAGATTCACACACCGAGCCATACTATATAGAGACACTGACTGGATAGGTCTGTGACTTCTACGTGCAACCATCCATTGGTCCATATCTCGGAGAGGCATGGCTACAAATGGGATAATAAATAGCTCCTTGTTACAAGAATTAGACCGTTTCGATTCCTCAGATAGCCTAAGAGCCTCCATTTATTGATTTTTACCAGAACCCGTCTCGTTTGTCTCCTCCCAGGCAAGATTCGGTGTCCCCAATCGCTCACGTTTCACTCGCGTGATGTCAGTTGAATTCAACAACTTTGCTTTCATATACGAGAACTTTCGGTATCAAAACGAGGTAACTCCTGTTTCACAATCTTTTGAAATGAGATCGCAATCACTTAGGGCCTCAATCTATGTTCCAGAAGCCCACCAGGCCAACCCTGCGACAATGGCTCCCTAGCTAGCCCCGCCTTGGCAACACTCCACCGGACTCACGGTTCTATTTGGGAAAGATGACAGTTATGTTAATGTCCACGATGGGATAGAAGTCTACTTTGGGCCGCAAGTCGAATCCCATCTTGAAACTATGCTTATTCTCCCACGTCATGTTAAGAAATGTGTATACCCAGTAACCAACCATTCAGTCAAGATATCATCATCCTATCAACGCACGCGTGCGCACGGGCTTGGTGTGCTGCTACAGTGACGCAGTCAGGAGTAAAGGATCACGCTTTGCTCATTCTCTCTTAGCATTTCATTGCAATTCGTACAGTCCTAGAGCTCAATTTCAGGTGTTGAGCAACTCCTACGCGAGCTAACATGACGCTGAGTGGTGTAGGATTCAACAACGCTTTCCCCTCAATGTGATACCGCTACATCTAATTCCATTCATGATGGTCCAATACTTTCTCGCTCAGAAAAAATAAAAGCTCAGGCCTAGTTATAGACCCTCGCTAGTGCCTCCTCATTGGCCACATTTGCTGTGTGAAAATGGTGAGTCACAGACACAGCAGTCTGGATATGTCCGTAATCCAGAGCCTCTTCCCTGTAGACTGCCAGCAGCTGCGCCGTTTTCAAGAAGTTCTTGATTTCGCGGCCATTCAGCTTCAGATCAGCCAGTTTGTCGACTTCTTTGTCAGAGATCCGATGAGGCTGTGTAAGCTTGCGGTGCTGATTCTCCGGTCCATGATTTTCCGCTGAGGCGCCTGCATCAGAATTTGCAGAGGTCGGAGGGCTAAGGGCCCTCTTCATGGATGCCTTGGATGTGCTAGCGATAACAGGAACAGGTTTCTCTCGTGCCTTCTCCTGGGCTTCATCGTGCCGCCTGAGAAACACCTCCCAGATGCCCTTGCGACACTTTCTGTCGAGCTCGGGGTATTCCAAAGAGATATGAATGCGGGACTGGAATGCTGTGTCGAATGTTGATACGCGATTCGTTGTCAGGAACATGATGCCCTGGTAGTACTCTAATTTGCGGAGAAAGATAGACACGAGCTTGTTGCGTTCCAGCTCGTGGAAGCTCCTCTGTTCCAGCAGTACATCAGCTTCGTCGAGGAGAAGAACTGCGTTCCAGCGTGTACACATCCACATGGCATATGATAGAACTTTCTCGACGCTCCTCGCGTCGAATCCCAAATCACCAGCGGCTAAATTGTAAAGAGGGACCCTCATCTGCTCAGCGACTGATTCCGCTGTAAGAGTCTTTCCGACACCAGGAGGACCAGAAAGCAGGATAATGACACCGAGGCCTTTCCCTTCGATTAAATCATCGAAAGTGTTCCGGTACGACTGCTTGGAAGACAGGAAGCCCAGTATGAGATCCTTTCGCTGGCCTGCTAGTCTGAGGTCGGAGAACGCGAGCTCGTTGAAGGCAATTTCTGAAACGGCATCGACGCACAGGCAGAACCATTTCTTCTCTTTCAGAGCATAGCCACGGATAAAAGGCGAGCAGATGAGCTTCAAGCTGTCGTCGAGTTTTGGGCGGTTGAGGTTGCCGTCGCGTTCCAAGGAGCCACCCGCGGGCACGTTGCTATCGGTGGCAATGCCATGGCCTATGTCTGAAACCTCGTCATTGCCACCAACCAAATTCCTGACTATGCGAGAGAACTGGGCAATATCATCCGAGTCTGGAACTTCTGCTGTACTGACACAATTAAGGTCACCTGGATTGCACTGCTTGAATGCGAATGCGTCGATCACCACGCGTCCTTTCACATTGTACTGTTTTCTGGTTTTGCTCATTATGCGTGTCCATGCCGGGCCGCTGTAATTGCGATAATGAGTACCAGCCAACAACTCAAACTTGCAGCCACGCTGAACAAGACTCGTCCGCATCTGCTTAAATTGACCATGCATTTTCAACGGAAACGCTGCCAGGTTTTTGATCGCCATGGTACCACTGAAATCCGGTATGATCAACCGGGTTCTCTGTGGCACGACGCGCTCTCCATCAAAGTCAACGTATGAGCATATGAGATCGAAGAAAGGCTTGCCGTTATCCCTGTCATAACTCGATTCTCGGAGCAGGAGAGCGCGATTTTGCCCTAGGTATGGGGCGAAGACGAGGATATTCGGTTCGAATATCGTCCAGAGGTGCTGAAAAGTGATTACACCGTTGTGCTTGTCTGTGCTTGTGTTAGGAACCTTCGTGCCTCGATTAGTTTGGGACGTAGGGCACTAACAATCAGTGATTGCCTGGATGATTTCCCCAAACTCTTCTTGCAGCAGGTCATCAAGAAGCTTCGCATGCAGGATGATCTCATCTAAGTGAGCATTCCCTTCACCGTCCTGACGCTTCTTCTGCATCGACTCAATCGTCTCCCGCAAAGCTGGCCAGCGGTGAATGAGTGGTTCACAGCTTTGGGGGACTTGTCAGCGCCTCGTTTCTTCCCTGGTGTGACTCAGCTTCCTAGGCGACTTACCGTCCTACGAACACAAGACGCTTTAAAGCCACCGTTACACCTGGGTATCCGCCGAGGACATCTTCTAACAGGACCTTAAGGAGCGGGCTCTGGACGATGATGGAATCTATTGCGTAGGTCCTTTCAGAGTTGCCATAGACGCGGGAACGGCGGGCGATGATGGCCCATTTCTCACTTTCGGTATTTTCGACAGGACGTGCGACATTCTGAGGAACCTGGGTCTGCCATTGGAATCGACCTCTGCGATCTTCCTCGCCACTGTACATCGGGAACACGGAGGGCGTCATGCCGAGCGCTGGATTCTCTTCATGTGAACTGATGTCGGACTCTTGAGGGCTCATGGTTTCGCTGGCGGTGTGTGTGCCGCTTGCCTTGCCGTTCTCGGCCATTTTTTTGGTTTCTGAATTTGAAAGTTTGCAATTAGAGACGACCTTTCAGGCTCGACCCTTCGATCTGAAGTAAATGGGTCTGTAGACGGGACACGCCGACAAGCCAGAGAAAGAAGATATGGCTCGAGCTGATGGAACTTCAAGCTCAAAAAGATACTTCCAATGCTGATGCTTTGGGGATGGAAGAGAACCAAAATCGCAAGAAAATTAATCAATTGATTTCAGAAGTGATCTGGCTGAAGTGTTGACCGCAGGCCGAGCACGAATTTTCTACAGTACCACAGACCGTGGTTGAGGTAGGAGCATCATCAGCGCTGAATGGTCTTCAAAATTTAGAAGCAGGTGCAAACGGCCAATTTTGAAGTCTCAGCAGCTACTCCAGGTCTGGAGGCTTGGAAGGACAGAAGTTGAAGGCGCTCTCGGGCAGAACACGAGACTATCAATTATCGACTTCCCATTCAAGCTGGAGTTTCAGTCATCTGTTTGGGCACATGAATAGAACTCACTCTGCACTTCATGAGGCAAACTCAGAAGATTTCTACTTGCGCACAAGTCTAGAGGGAACTTTAGTCTTCATTGACCCTTCGTGGTGTTGGACAGACTGTAGTGATTTGCTTTCTTTTCCAACCATGGCGTGACATTCTAAAAGGTCGTTGGCCTCCACCACCGTGGTTGAAGAAAATATTAGATGTACCAAAAAGAGTCCCTCTTTCTCTCATGGTATATCATCCAAACTTCAGACCATCAATGACAACACTCAAAGAAAAAGCGATCCCGGTGCCCTATCAAGGGCACTTAAAACTTGACCATGGATTGTTGTCTCGGTCCCTCTGTCTACAACAACAATTGCATGTGAACAATTCACAGGCTTCGAACTGAAAGAATTTCTCACCAAATATTTGAATCGTGAAACAAACGCATTGGCCGGCAAGATGAGTAGTTGCATGTCTAGTGTCAGATGAGTTCACAAGGAGGACTTGAGGATTGGAAGCCAAGGGATCGAAGCGAAGACTGGAAGCCGAATAGCATTAATTTGTTCCGGTCACCAAAGAACTAGTTGCCGTACTTGGACACATAGGGCGTAGACAGCTCCACCCGCTCTTCATGCTCCCCATCAAGCCTGTTGTAATATCCCCCATCATATCCCAAACTGCGCTCGCCCTCCCCATAGGCCGGGTGGGTGCCCTGGCCGTACGCCGGCGGGGCGTTGAGGTCGGCGTGCTCCTCATCCTTGTTGTTCTTCTTATCCTTCTTCTTGTCCTTTTTGAACATCTTCTTGATCCTCTTCTTGATCTGCTTCATGAGCTTCTTGATGGCCTTCTCCTTGTACTTGTCCTCCTGGCTCTGGCTGTCCTGCTTGCCGTCGCTGTTGTTCCCCTTGCGCTTGCGCCTGCGGCAGCAGAGGCACCAGCACGCGGCTAGGGAGAAAACGGCCAGGACGATGACCACTATGGCGGCTATGGCGCCGCCGGAGAGGATGTCATCCATGCCGTCTCCACCATCGTCGTCATCGTCGCCGTCCCGTCTCGCCAGGAAGCTGACAGGGATGCTGTGGGCTGCTCGAGCCAATTGGTGGAGGGCTGGCATTGTGATTTGTTTAGGTTGAGGCTGGCTCTTACGGAGTGAGTGCAGTTGTGTAACAACGAGTGGTAGTGTGTCTGAAAAGAGAAGACCAAGTAGAGCCTGTTGACACTGGCCTCACAATGACACAATGAGCCGCTGGAGTTGAGAACGATTGATGATCACGAATACTGATTATTTGGAAAGTATCAGGTAGCTGCCATGCTTTTATCTGTCGAGACATGACTGTGTTGTTCTCAGTGCCGAAAATAAAAATAGTCTTCTCAGGGACGCCCTGTCCCGGTCTGTGGCTTGGCGGGCATGTCCATAGATCACTCCATCTCAGACCCTTCATTTCATATTCAGCTATGAATGTCACCGCTGCAATGTCCCGCTCGCTGTCATTAGTGCCCGTGGTTGGCTCAAGCTGTGGGGGCTGACTCGTGCTGTCTAATCCGGGCTGTTTGCCCTTACAGAATTTGCACTTCTCCATGAAAATTGACAGAAGAGGCATTCCTCGTCCGGTGTGGCCGTGCGATTTCAGGCGGACCGCCTGGATTAGCAAGGGTAGTTTCAGGGGAGACGGCGCTCATCGATCATAGCGTCTCCGTGGGGAAGCGGCTAGCTGTGCCTCCCAGAACTTTAATTGAGGATGAAGCTTTATACTGGCCGATTGGGTGCGGCTACCACCAGCCTTGTGCTTTATTAATAGTATGGCATGGGTTTTTATTTTTGAGGTCCACAATTACACTGTTATTGCCTTTGTCGACTCTGGTGATCGATTCATTCCTCTAAAATCATCACTGAGCACGACATACTGCATGCCCTTGAGTGACATTGTCTCTCCTTTGTCTAAAGGTGCGAATGAGTTACTGCTGGGCCTTGTCACATAATGGGCCTAGCGAGCTTTGATGCATAGCAATTTATGCATCAGATCTTTTCGGTGAGCCCGCCGTTGAGGATACTGCACAGACTCTTCGGCAGTTCATAATTGATGCTAACCTTCGCTGCCCGGCCCCCGTCCGAAACACCATCCAAAGTTCCGTCCCTTTGTTCCTGCAGCAGGCTGATGTGCTTTTGCTGGGAGAGAGGGGCCAGAAATGGAGAGAAACCATCTGATGGCGCAGTGACTAGAATTGATCTAGAACGATGAGACTCGAGGGTTGAACTCGCACGTGAACATGCCCACGATGGACAGCATGAACGGGCGCACCAGGACAATACAAGTCGAGCTTGGGAGCGGCCGGTGCAAAAAGCCGTAAACAAAATATTAGAGCTGCCGATCTGGTCGAGTCAAGCCGCTCCACGTCTCCTTAAACGGGGATTAAATTGACCACCGAGTGTGATGCGCTGGTACTGTTATGCCCTTGCTACGCATCCAGCATGCATTTCGTCAACGATTTCGGCACCCACTGTCATCGGGTCTCGGTCGGACGGGGGTTGGTCCCCGCACGGAAGCGGCACCGGACGGCCAGATGCAATATTGCCTCCGTCATTGACGGCTCCAGATCGATACTCTCCAAAAACGTGAAAACAGCTGACATTATTCCTATCGTACGCATCAATTGCATAGCACACTTTCATTTCGGCTTCTACCATCTTTTGTAAGCTTCAAGAATTACACGAGGTTGTAGCTTTTACAAGATGCCACAGCCAAGCCAGGACTGGGACGTCCTCGTGGTAGGCGGTGGCAATGCCGGCTTCAGCGCTGCGATATCTGCCGCGGAGGAACTGTCGAAAGGCGGCTCGGAACATCCTCGTGTGCTCATCATCGACAAGTGTCCCGAGTCGTGGGCAGGCGGGAACAGTTACTTCACAGCGGGCGCTATGCGCTGCGTACACAACGGCCTGCAAGATGTCTTGCCACTTGTCAACAACGTCGACGCTGAGACGGCAAACAAGATTGACCTGGACTCCTACACCTCGGACGATTTTTTGAACGATATGCACCGCATCACAGGCGGTAGGTACGACAGAGAATTGGGCCGCCGGTTGGTGGATGACAGCAACGAGACGGTCAAGTGGCTTGCGGGCCATGGCGTTCGGTTCCAGCTGAGCTTCAACCGGCAAGCATACAAGATAGGGGACAGATACAAGTTCTGGGGTGGCTTGTGTCTGAAGACACAGGATGGTGGGAAGGGACTGATGGAGGACCATCGGAGGGCGGCAGACAAGGTTGGCGTGAGCGTGATGTACGAAACGGCCGCGAGGAAGATCGTGACAGATCCAACTACGGGGCAATTCGAGTCTCTAGAGGTTATAGGGAAGGATGGGCTGGCTTCTGTGATCCGTGCCAAGGCTATTATCCTGGCTGCTGGCGGATTTGAGGCGAACCCGCGGATGAGGGCGCAATATCTCGGGCCTGGGTGGGACCTGGGACATGTGCGAGGAACACCATACAATACCGGAGAAGTTCTCGAAATCTCGATTCGCGAACTGGGAGCAAGACAAGTTGGTCACTGGAGCGGGTGCCACAGTGTTGCCTGGGACGCAGATAGCCCGGCCAACACGGGCGACAGGGAGACCTCCAATGAGTTCACCAAGAGTGGTTATCCCTTGGGTATAACGGTGAATAGGGCCGGGGAGAGATTCTTCGATGAGGGCAGCGACATAAGGAATTATACGTATGCCAAATTTGGAAAGGCAATTCTGGCTCAGCCGGGCAGCGTGGCATTCCAGGTGTGGGACAGCCAAGGGATCCCGTGGTTGAGGAGTGAGGAGTATCGCGATGAGGTTGTGAGGAAGACATTTGGCGATACCATCGATGAGCTTGCCTCGAAGCTAGAGAAGAAAGAAGGTCTCGAGAGTGCAACAAGACTGGTCGACACAGTCAGGGAGTACAACGAAGCAGTGTCGGGACACAGACAAGAAAACCAAGATCTGAAGTGGGATCCGGCAGTCAAGGATGGGCTGTCGACGCAGTCATCGGGCAAAGGGCTGCGGATACCAAAGTCGAATTGGGCACTGCCATTGACTGATGGGCCATATATGGCAATCAAAGTGTGCTGTGGCGTCACGTTCACCTTTGGTGGTCTCGCTGTGGACCCTCGGACGTCAGGTGTCATCTCGAACGCGACGGGAAAGGCGATCCACGGGATCTACTGCTGTGGCGAGATGCTTGGCGGGCTGTTCTACGAGAACTACCCTGGCGGCAGCGGCCTGACGTCTGGGGCCACGTTTGGCAGGAGGGCTGGCATCGAGGCCGCCGCGTTGGTGCAGGGCTCGAGACGGGGCGCTCAGCCAGAAGGTGCTTGAAGTGCAGGATCAAATCAGCAGATAATCTCAAGTCACAATTCTCTTTTCTCGACGCTTCCAAGTATTTGGCTGATTGACTACCTGAGTACTTACCTACCTAGATACCTCGTTAGATAGGTATGCAACGCTCATGGTCCAGGTCCGCCCAGCCCTTTCTGCAGTGCTCTTGCCTCCTTCACCTACCTGGGCATAACAAGGAAGCTACGAACTGCCTGAGCCTCGACCTTGATGATTTTCGAGAGTGTTTTGCCTTTGAAGGATCTCTACACTTTTCCAGGTCCAAGGTTGATTGCCCTGGTGCAATGTGTGGTACCATCGTGGACCTTTGCACATGACAGCAATGAGAATGCCCCCCCTCCGACCCGAGTCCGCATCCAACAGAGTACCAAACACTCCAGTCTGCCCGTCTGCCGGCCACCCATATCCTCTGATCCTTCCGCGAGTTTGAACCATCCAGGCTGAAACAGGATACAAGCAGCATTCATAGGTCTGAAGTCCCGATTCTGTTGCTATCCTTGTCTATGCTGATACTCCGCCTTAGACACTTGTGCTGCTGCTCATTCCATCCCAACAGCGGTGCACACTGGCCTCCAAACCTCAGCGTTGTCTGCCAACTGGCCTGAAACACTTCTCGGAGCCCTGCCGAGTTCTCTCCATCTACCAAGATACCTCATTCCCACAATACCTAACAACGCCCTCATCCTGTCTCCACCATCAACCCCAATCCTAACCTCGACGAAGCACGGCCGATCCGCAATCTCGACAAGGGATACTCCATCAACGAGAGTGCATCGAAGGCACACCTTGTCCCGTGGTCACAATGCAGCCGTCGACAGAGTCCAAGCCTAAAAGCACAATGCCTCTTCTTCCCGCAGAGATAATACTTGCCATTTGTAGCTGCGTTACCGTCGAGCCACACAACCCGTTGAAAGGATTCAACGTCAGCCCTTCCGTCAGGGACAACATTCGAACTCTCCGGCAGCTCTCCCTGACTTGTCGAGGCATTCACAGCGTCGTAACCCCGGCTCTATATGGCTCCATCTATTTCACAGGTCCCAATACTGATCCTCGGTATCCCATACCCACCGATCATCAAAGTCCAGGAGCCGAAAGTCTTGTCTATTTCCTCCGAACAATATTGGAGCATCCGAACTTGTGCAAATACGTTAAAGACCTTACCTGCTTGGTTGATCTCAAACACAACTACAATTCGAATGAGAAAATGAAGACTCCGAACAAGGACTACGGATTGCTCTCAGCAGTTGAGAACTGCGAAGACATCAGAACTCAAAGCCTCCTTAACATGGGCGACCGTTGGCTCAGGTTGAAAGCCAACGGCCGGCTCGGTTTTGACACCGCTTTCGGCTTTGGTTCCCGCCGACCACTAATTTCCACGAGCCATGCAGTTTTCGCTCTAATCCTCTGTCTCTTGCCCAACATCACTTCGATCTCTTTGCGGGCCGCAGTACGATATGATTCAGCCCCTCTTTGGGGTCGCGTGGACGACTCAAACTATGCTGGCACAACTGAAATGTCTGACTCCGGCAGGATTCAGCACAGTCCTTTGCAGAACCTCAGAACGCTTCAGCTGCAGTGTGAGCTGCTTGACCCCGATCATTGGGACTTACACGACAATTACCATGTTTTAGATTTGTTTCCGGTTCTGAGAAATGCTCCAAATTTGATGCGAATCCGGAGCTACGGCTACATTACGTCTTGGGGCTACATTCCAGACTCTGTCACTTCTCTTGAAAGCTGGGGAATCGCAGCAGACTTCTTTTTGAACTCTGATACATCACTGCGGCTAAAGAGTGTTGTGTTACACTTAGATTGTACCTGGTCCCTTGACGAGGAACACCAATTCGACCCGGAATTGTTCGGTCACTGCCTCAGCCTTGAAGCACCGGCATTGGAACATCTCGAGGTGCTATCGTCTTCAAGAATGAGCAGAAGATGCATCTCCAAGTACTTACCACGCGGAATATTGGGTCTAAATCGACTCCAGCATCTAGCTCTCGATACCCGCTTCTTCTCTGGTGAGCACTGCGATGAGATGACGCGGCAAATTGCAGGGGGAAGTCCGAGTGTCCTGCCTCCGAACATCAAAATCTTGCGCCTTGTTGACAGTGAACCAAGACGTGATGCCGACTGCACTCTCCAATTTCTTGGGATCATAATCCGCGCGCACGTCCGAAAAGAATGCATGTCAAAATTGCGAAGCGTTGAATACTTTCACATGCCTCCACTCACTGATGTGAATATCTCTGGGGGCAATTGCAGTCTTCCGGAGCTGGTCGAAGCACTAGAGAAAGAGCTTGCGCTTGATGGTGTGCAGTTCCATCTACATTTGTTCAATCACGACGAAGACGACTTTTTGGGGGCTGATTTGATGGGGATGGGAAACCTGCCCGTCTAGGCCTAGATTCAGAAAATAGACACCTACGACTGAGCAAGATAGTGTTGTGAGAAAAAGTCTTTTCAGGAGGATTAGGCTCTGCAGACGACGGGGAGTCTTACTTGGTCGACATCCACTCACAGCATGAAGGTATTTTTGACAGGTGCTCGCGGAAAATTATTACACATTTGTCTTCGCCATCAAAAGTAATTAAATAATGCAAACTTCAGCACCATCTAAACTACATTGAAGACCAACCCTTTCGCGTCGATTTTGAACTTGACTCAATGGGCGTCGAAATTCGCACAGGCATACAAACATTATTCAGGGCAGAAGCAGTTATGTTCTCACAACTTGTCACCGTGCAGTTGTCTATCCTGAAAATGTCTCAACTGTAACCCTCGGTCCTCTCGCAGCTCATTGACTCTGGCTCTGCCTGGATGAGTAGACTGTGTGGTACGAGAAACTACAATACCCAAAGTTGGCATACAATATGGCTACCATTCTATAACAAGCCCGGCATAGAGGTCGCAATTCTCAGCTATGGAGCATATCAATTCTGGGAATTCGGTCAGCTCACTGTCCTCAGCATTGCCCGATCTCTATGTGCTCAGAATCGAAACAAGAACCTCAGGAATTACCCGCCGCTGACCAGGTTTCATAGCCATTAATTGAATAAAAAAAACCATCGACAAGGAAAGATAGGCTCGAGTATTCGACGTTGCCAGTACGACCACGTCGCGCTCAGTTCCATTATTCTAGACCAGCTTCAACGTCTATCAAGCTGTTGCGCTTTCCCATGGGCGGGTTGAGCAAGCATCTGCCGAGAAATATTACAGATCAGCTTCACGCTGGGAAACCCCTGCTGCGAAAGACCAAGACTCGCGCAATCAGGTGAAATTCCCGTCCGATCATCGATCCGAATATGCAGCCCCCTTGACACGAGTCAATGTCGGCCCTATACCCGGCATTCTACGGCTCACTCCATGGTGTATTATGACGGCCGCACACCAGCACAGTGCATGGCTGCATACGTACGCGTGTAGAGCGGAAAGGTGGCTTGAACCGATGTAACATTTGGCATCTCCTTCCGGAGCTGACACTAGATTGCATTACTGTATTACCCCCATGCTGGCTCAGGACATGTATCTAAAACGGCTCTTCGTCGCCTGCCAATTCAGCTCGTCTATCGTGAGATCCCGTGCCCTCGCCTCCATCACGTCCAGCGGCTCATACACAGCGCCGAAGAGCGTCCCGTTCCAGCCAATGCTGTCTCCGGGGCTGGGCGTCGAACCAACGCCGTAGTCCTCCGCGTCCTGGTGAGGGGTGGTCAGCTCGCCCAGGGTGGTGGAGTAGTTGGAGCTGAAGAACGGCGCCTCGTTGGCCAGGTTGTACTGCGCAGAGCAGATCTCGAACCGGACGCTGGGCAGAGAAGAGTAGTACAGGTCGTAGCGCGGGTCCAGGGCGTCGGAGAGGGACTTGACGGTTCCGTCGGGGTGGAGGACCGACCATGGCGCTCGGCATGAGTCGCCAATGCAGGTCTTGAGCAGCAGCATCAGGCCGTTGAGTCGCGACGTCAGGCGGGTAGCTTCGGTAGAGCTGTTCGCCATGATGGGGTTCAGCTCGTACGGGTCCGCCACCGTGTCATACAGCTCGCTCTCTCCGGTGCACCAGACGGCGTACATGTAGCTGTAGTCCTTGGAAATGATGCGGGCGGTCTTGTACGAGTTGTTGGCCACAGATGTGGAGTATCCCATATCCGATATCTCGATGATGCCGTTGCCCCAGTACTCAACGTTGATGGTCTCAACGAGGGAAACATCTGTGCTGGTAGAAGTGCCATTCGAGGTACCGGCAGCAAAGTACGGAACAAGGCTGCGGCCATCCAGCCAGCTCGGCCACTCGGACTCGTCCAGCCCTGCGAAGTCCAGCAAGGTCGGAGCGATATCGATGTGGTTCGAGGGGATATCAGTAGACAGGCCAGTAGGAACACCAGGTCCACGGATCAGGAAAGGGACATGCGTGTCTTCCTTGTAAGGAAGAGTCTTCCCGCAGGGAACACGGTGCTGGCCCAGATGATAGCCGTGGTCAGCGCTGTAGACGATGACAGTGTTGTCAAGCTCCCCCTTCTCTTCGAGGACATCAATCAAGTGAGCGACCATCTCGTCAACAGACTGCAAGGTCTGGGCGCGAGCGCGCGCGACCTCGTCAACCCGCTCGATGACGCTGCTGTTCATCAAGGGGAGCTTGCCCACCCAGGAGGGCTTGTCGTTGGTGGCCGGGTTGAAGTTGGGCGTGCGAGGCGCCAACACGTTCGGGAACAGGTCCGCGTGGCGAGCAGCTGGCACTGGCGGCCACTTGCCGGTGTCGTTGAAAGTCTGGTGAGGCGCTGTCGGCGCGACCAGCAGGAACCAGGGCTCGCCGGTCGCGGTCTCATTGGCGATGAGCTTCTCCACCCGGTCGACGGCCTTGGCGCGAACGACATCCTGGAGGTAGGAGCCGTTGTAGTATCGCGGCGTGGCTCCATCGATAGAGAAGACCGGCGTGTTGTAGGTATACATCCATGGGTCAAGCATACCATCGAATCGGTCCCATCCGGCTGGTGGTGTGTCGTAGTTGTAGATGGCATATCCATTCATGATCTTGCCGATGAACTCAGTCCTGTAGCCAGCCTTCTTGAGGTAGTGAGGGAGATTGTTATCATTCTCCCCTGAGGCTTGGAACTTCTGGAAGCTCCCACCTGGAAGCTGGACATTGGTGTTGTTGGTGTTGTGTGCCTGCTGCCCGCGGAGCATAGCAACGCGGGAAGGGCAGCACAGCGCAACAGTCGCATAATGATTGTTGAAGGTGAAGCCTGGGCAGCGATGTTAAACTCATGGCATCCCCGCTTTGGACTGTGCTTAGCTGGAATGTCACTTACCCTCCTGTTGAATGCGACTTGTCACCGTGGACAGGTAGTTCAGGGACCCTAGCTCGATGTCCTGGTCGTCAGTCAGGACAAAGAGGATGTTAGGCTGCGCCGCCTGAACGAGCGACGCCGCGAAAGCACCAAGAGATATCAGGGACCGATACATCATGAACGTCGGGACATCAACGTCTGATCATCAGAGACGGCAAGTTGTTGTGACGTTGGAGGCACATCGCGCAGATATATGTCTTCTCCTTCCGGACCAACCGTCCCCCTGCATTTCGGATATCGCTCATTTGCTCGATTTAGTAAAACTGCCGGCATTCGACATTTGGCTTCCGCTAGTTGCAAGGCATTGGAAGGGGGTATTTGCAATGATGGAAGGGTGTGGGTCGATGGTGCAATCGCACTAGTTGACAATCAGTAAAATATCGCCAGCTCGAATCAGATCTTTCACTGCGGATACAACACGTAAGACTTGATTTATGTGTCATCGCCTGTCGTAGAACGTCTGATCGGGTGTGATAGCACGCTTGCATACAGTACGCAGAACTGTTCGATACATGTTGCTTGACATGTGCGGAGGCCAAGGAACAACATTGCCTTGTCGGCGTGTACGTCAGCGGCACCTGTCTACAGCCCCCTGGCTATATCCGACCGAGCGAAAGTGGGGTTCAGGTCCGAAATGTGCTCGATACTCATAGTCGCGGTTCAGCGTACTGACGTTGTTCTCCTCGCTCACCGCCGCTACCCTGTTAGCAGGGGTTGGCTTGTAGTTAATGTTTGGATGAACGGGGGGACCTTTGAAAAGCCGCGCCAGTACAAATCCAGAGTCATATCATCCACGTAAGTTCTATGAGAACTCGTGTCATACCCGAAATATATGACCTGGCCCAAGACCCTTATTCCGATTGAAGTGGTCTACTGGTAGCTGAGAAGTTGTGTTTTCTCCCCTCATCTCAAATTAACTTTCGTATACTTAAGTTTGAAGTAGTAAATTCAGATCTGCAAACAACCTCTCAAACTTTGGAGACTTTCCCTAGACAGGAATGTCTGCCCGATGTTGATATGAAAAATAGAAGTGAACATTCTGTGTCAAGGGAGCTGTATCAATCTGGAAGTTGTGGCTTCCACGGTACTACTAGGCACCTACTTTATATTAGTTGAACTATATGCACATATGACCTGTGGTCTAGTGGTTCGAACAACACATCATTAATCATTGGGTTATGATAGAAGACGGCTGCCAAAATTTGAGGATGCAAGATGCTGGTACTATAGTGTAAGGACGCTACGAGACAACAACACTTGCTTGCTAGAAGTGGAGCCTTTTTGATGGCCGAATTCACAATTACAAGAGCATACTAGCTTTGTAACCCATAAAGACTACTCGAAAGCTTCGTGGTAAGAGAACGTAAACTTGAAATCAGTCGACGGAAGATGATCACTTTGAAGAGAGAAAAATAATCTATTGACTGGTGGCTTATCCATATGTACATTGCCCCCATTTTCTCATTTGAGTATGTACTGGAAGAGTGAATGGAGTTCTCAAGCATACTGGCAGCTGACCATTCGCGTCCGACATGAAATTTCATCATAGGGATTTGAAGCCCTACCACTTGAATGGATTGAAAAGCCCGCTGTAGAAACTCAGATCACCTTCCTGTGTTCCCCGAAAGCATTTACGACGCAGTAGGCTGGAATGCGAACCATTCCTTGACACCAACAGCGGCATAGGCTCCACTCCTACCCGAGGGGTTGAGGATGGCCCTGATAGACTTCGTCGAGACCGTTGTGAATTTAGTCTCAGCAGGAGTGTCAGTGACCGCAGTCGAGAATGCAGAGCTATTCGCCACTCGAGACCACTGTCCGTTGTCCGCAAGATACTCGACCCACCACGAAGCCGGAGGTGCCACACCTGCAGTCGAGCCGGCGGGCGAGTCTGCAAAGAAAGCGATGGCCGCACCGTTGAGCTGCACTGTTGTGTTCCACGTATATGTCAAGGTATTGTTGGATGGTGACTTGTCAGCCCACGAGCTCCAATAATCCGGTGGGAGAGGGTTGGCCTCTACGCGGCCGTCGTTGATGGCCGCCACCCAATACTGAATTGGTGTGCCGTTCGCCGACGATGGGCTTGCCGCGGGTGCAATATTGCGGGTTGGCGTGCGCGGCGGTCCAGGGCGCTTGGTCGGGTTGACTTTCTCAATAGACGGGGGCGTCGTGGTGTCATCCCAGTTCAGCTGGTCGAATGCAACACTTCGGCGGAAATGAGTTCCATTAGCGGCATCACGGGTGTGATAGACGAGGAAGTATTTTCCTGAACCTGCGGGTTGCTCAAAGACACCGGGGTGTGAAGTTGTGGAAGAGACGATATCCAATGCGATGCCGCGGTAGGTCCATGGGCCGAGAGGGTTTGAAGCGGTACCATAGGCGATGCACGCATGATAGCTGGTTGGCGTGCACGGCGAGTTTGGGCCAGCGTTGTTCCCGGCGTAGAGCATGTAGTACGTGTCTTTGCGCTTCATCAACCAAGGTGCTTCGAAGAAACCTGTGAGGGAGTTGACGGTCACCAGAGTGCTGCTCTTCACCGTGACCATGTCTGTGTCCAGTTCAATACCCCTCAACTGCCCGAATGTCCCCCAGTAGAGGTACACTTTACCGTCGGTATCGAGAAACACGGTAGGATCAATGTTTTGGATGTTGTTCCCTGGTGACGGCACACTCTCTGAGATAATAGGGCCGGACGGATGAGCGTCTGTGAAAGGGCCAAGAGGGCTGCTCGCAACAGCAACGCCGATAGCAAATGGATCCGAGTTGGGCGAATTGGCCTGAGTGACAGGAGCATAGAGATAGTAACGGCCATCGGGACCAAGAACGATTTGGCTGGCATAGGCAGTGCCCTGGCTCGCCCATTTGAATAGTGTCTGTGGTTCTGCGATATCTTGATGCAGAGTCCACTCTCCTCCAGAAGGCGTTGCGCTCTTGGACTCAAATATCTGCCACTGGTTCATGATGAAGTTATTCTCGTCCGGCCCGGCCTCATCGCGACCGGCTAGAATATAGACCGTATCATTGACCACAATTGGTGCTGGATCTGCCGAGTAGATCGAGCCATCGGCCAAGATGGGATTTCCAGTCGAAGTGAAGGTGCTTGTCGTCTGGCGAGACTGCACCGGAAGAGCAGCGCGGGCCAGTGAGGCCGTGATGAGCCAGGCTCCAACATACGACGCAAGGGGCGCCATAGCGAGTTCTAAGTGAAAAGAGCGACGTACGATAAAGCAATCCGCCAAGTGAAGCAAAAAAAAAAAAAAAGTGTCACAACTGCCTAGAAGTACTAAGAAATGAACGAAACCTGGCAGCAGGTGTTTATTGAATCGCTCTCCTTTTGGAATGGAAGAGGACCATCCTACGTAACATTGTCCAAATGATCCATGGACGTCCACTAATGATAGTCGTTCTCCCCTTTCTTGGTATGTGGTATTTCGGGCGCTTTATCCCCGAAACGCGCCACGGAGAAATGTGAGCCTTAACGTGAGACCGCTTAGCAGAGTCGGGTGGAGAAATACGCGGGAAACTTGCGCCCTGCAAATATCCGCGGATAGGACACAATGCACGATTCAACTCCCATGATTCAGTTCAATAGGGCCGCTAATTGAGTATGCGACATTTTCCATCCACTAAAGGTTGTCTTTAGTACACAGGCATTGAAAATGCATCCAGGTCATACTGCCAGCTATCAATGCTGCTCTGGTCATATACACATTCCATAGAAGTGCCATTGTTCGCCCAGAGCGGCCTGAGAGGCCACGCGCATATTTGCTGGCTCTGTCCCAAATTCTCGCCCTGCAAAACCGTCGCATTCAGAGTGACAGGCTCTTTGCCGTGCTCTACCCAGTCGATGAGCACCGCCAAGTTGGTCTGTGGCCAAGGTCCATTTGGCTCATAAGGATTGTAGGTACAATGTGCTGCACCTGGCACGAGAAACAGCTTATAGAAGTCGTTCATCGCTTCGATACTCTCATTGTATGTCGCACCCGGATTCAAAATCGAGCGAACGGATTCGTAGTACCGCACCGAAGAGGCAGTTGGGATTGAAAAGTCAGACTCGCCGTGGTAATGCAGAATCTTGGCGCCTGCGTTCTTGAGCGGGGAAATGTCGGGCCAATTGGTCATCAGAACGTCGTTGTAACGATTCCATCCCTTCCAGATCCAGTCTCGGAGCGTGCTGTATGTGACATTGTCGAGGTTTGCCAAGTTTGCGCCCTCCTCGAGGTTCAGCAGAACTTGCACGAACGATCCGCCAAGGGACGTCACGGACTCTTCCCACTCGCCCGTCTCGTTGTTGTATGCCGTCTGGGCGTCGGTAAAGGTAGAAGAGGGTGTGTAACTGAAGTATACCCGTTTGCCATCGTCGTCATGCAGACCCTCGAGGATCTTCTGCGCCACAGCAATTCCCTGGGCCGAGACGGTTCCGTCCTGTGCAGGCGTGGCAGAGCTAAACGGTGTCGCTGGTGCTGCAGGACAGGAGTACGCAAGACCCAGCGTTGCATTGAGGTCGAGATTCATAGAGCACAAATCGGTGCGCGAGACCACGCCATCTGTCTTCCCATCGAGAGAATCGCAGGCTTTGATGGTCTCATTCATGATCTTCTCGAGCTCACATGGGGGAGGATAATAGCCCAGTGTCTGCTCGACCACGTTGGCGTAAAGGTGTTGAACCTGTTGGAAGGCAAATCGAAAAGCAGGAGCGCCTATGACAGCCCCATCGTAGGCGTCGTCAAAGCGCTGTGCCTGGCTCCAGCCTTCACGACCACCCTCGGAACAGCCCTGCGTAGAATTGTTTAGAAATCTGTGCATTGAAATGGAAACAACAATTGCAAGCACTTGATTGACTTACTTGGTAGTATTTGTACAGCTTGTCAGTCTCAGTCAGGTTGAAGAAGAGCCTTGAGAATTCTCTTCCGAGCAGGCTTTGCTCCCGGATTGCCTGGTATCCAAACATGTACACATTCTGCCAATCTATTGTGCCGTTCTGAACTAGAAAGGTAGAGATTGCATTTGTCTGATACTCGCCAAAACCACCATCCGTTTGACTAGCCACGGCCCCGTACATCACGCCGCCAGGCAGTGACTGCAGCCGCGAGTTGATCGCGTATCCCCCTCCACCAGTGAACAGATATCGATTCTGGAAGGCATCAGGGGCGGGTAGCCAGAAAGTCAACAGAACGGTGTCGCCGCGGCCATCGTGGCTGTAGGTGAAAGTCACATTACAGTAGTCGAAATTAGCGGCTGGAAACATCGGTGAGTCAAGAGGGCCAACAGTGTAATTGGTGACAGGGTTTGCCGTAATGGATTCTGCGTTCACACTGATCGCATAGTCCCCATAGTAGCCGGTGGCCGGTAGGTGCGATGCCACATAGGAGGCCGTGCAGACATCTTCGAGGGTGACCGCTCGGGCAATTGGGGCGATCGCAGCGAGGAATGCCGTGAAGGAGGACAAAGATCTCATCTTAGCCGCTGGTGATTGAACACCAAGTGAGATTCGATATTGTCTCACAGTGCTGATTCAGACGGAATAAACACTGATTTTAACTTCAAGAGACCACCTTAAGGTCCACCACAAATTTAAGCTTAAAGCGCAACCTCGCCCGGTTATAAACCTCGGTACGAGTGCCTACGATCGGAGTTCTCATCATAGCTGTCTGTACAACGCCGCTCCGAGATCCGAGCACGAAGTGTCTACATATCTGCAAGTTGATGGATCGCTAAGGAGGACGCGTCATGGCCGTGGTGGTGCAAAATAGTTGTTCAGGGTAATTCCGCGTGTTTTTCTCGGCGGCTAGTATCGTAACGCCGAAGTCCCATGTCGAGCGGGGCATAGAATTAAATTGCAGTGTTGTGGGGGAAGTCGGATGGAGATTGCAGCTCTCAGAATTGGAGATACAATGCGGGGGCAGTTGTTGCCCCCGGAGCAAAGGCAAGTAAGTCCAGTTCAAGGAAATCTTTCTCAAAATGACGAACTCGGTGTGACGACAACAAAATACGCGACGAGGGCTGTTCGGCAATTCAAGGGTTATTCGTTGAATCGGCTTGGAGGGTTATACCCAGGTAGTGTGTCGTTGAATTTTACAAGACCGGTAAGACTTCATTGGTCGAGGCTGACAATTGGTCCCGGTGACATTTCTCGTCGCCGAGATCATGTGCAATTGCATATGACTGTTTGAATAGGACACCTGGTAGTACATATTCATATCGCAGGCGTGATTCGCACAAAGGACATACTAACGTACTCCTCTTCGCTTTGGCCTTGAAGAGCTCGGACTTGTGCTCGATTACGAAAAGCGATGGACATCATGGTTGGTTAGTTGTCGACGCCGTTTGTGAACTTTGCCTCCCTAAAAACCACAATCGTGGCCAAGTCTCCAGACGACTTGAAGGACGGGCTTTGAATCGGAGCTATAACTACAATACGTAGGACACCATGCACCAAAACTAGAGCAAAATATTCCTTAGTGGTGGCAGTTCTATATGATTTAATCACTTAAACACCCGTCTTAACTCACGTAAGTGCTTCACAGGGATATGCCAAGCCGACCAGGCAGTTCCGCACGGCGGACCCGACTAGGCCTCTATGGTTCGGCTCGACCTGTGAATGGCAAGGCATGGTCCAAGCGGTACCTGAATAGCGTCATCGCGGAAGCTGAACATATAGGTCCACTCGCCTTGCCGAGCCTTTTGGATCGGCTGACATAGTATGAAGGATCAAGAATAATCTTACCAATTTTCTCGAGTGGCGTGCCAACATCTATTCTCGTGGGGGCATTTGTGGGATGAAAAGGACTGTTTTGAGTGTTCCAAGCACGCTAAGCCGTCGAGTGTCCAGTTGTGTACCATCAAAAACACGACCCGTTACATTCATCATGCCCTGCACTCATGGCGTGCTTTCTTGGCTGCACCTCACTCGGGAAGGTCAAGCACAGCGCAAGCTCAAGCGAGCTCTTGATAGGCAAATCTTGGTCTAGGCGCTAAGGATTATGCAATTCAGCCCAGACATTTACGAGAGAGAGGAGGCGAGTTGAAAACCATTGATAAGGTGGCTGGCTCCAGTACGCATATATCGAGAGGGCTTATCAGGTGCATGTCCGCATAATCTGCAAGATCACAGATCAGCCTCAACCTTGATTACGATCCCCGACACGCCCGTTCTGCCCGAGCAAGGGAACCGTGGCCCTGCTGGGTCGTGCTCAAGTGTTCTAGCAATTCGCACAGTCTTCAAGGCCGATACAAATCGCCGTCTTCTTCGTCGACCATGTCGTACAAATTCTGGAACCGGCCCACGGCGGCCGCCCGCGAGATCCCAGTGGTCGATGCTTATACTTCGGACTCGGAGCCGTCAATTCTTCACGATGGTGACCTGGCCTATACCCGCGCAAAGGCTGGCAACGATTCCGGAGCAACGTACCAAGAAGCTGTGGGCGCACCTGTCGAGGTGCGCTCGCCGTTGGGATACAATGTGGGCTGGGTGACGATCATCTTTCTGAATGTCAATCAGATGGTCGGCACGGGTATTTTCTCAACGCCGGGAAGCATTCTAGGCAGCACTGGGTCCGTTGGCCTGGCTCTCTTCTACTGGGTCATTGGGTTTGTGATGGCAGCTGCCGGATTGGCTGTTTATCTCGAACTGGCTGCCTACTTTCCCAACCGCAGTGGCTCCGAAGCTGTCTATCTTGAGCAAGCCTATCCGCGACCTAAGCACTTTTTCCCTATTGCCTTCGCGGTCCAGTCCGTGATCCTGTCTTTCAGTGCTAGCAATGCTATTGGTATATTCCCCCCTTGTGGAGCATAGGACGAAGTGAGAGTTAGATTATGTATACTAACAGACCACCAACCAGTCCTTTCCCGTTACATATGGCGTATCGCAGAAAAGACACCTACCGACTGGGAATCCAAGGGCGTGGCAGTCGCTGCTTACACCCTGGCCGTGATCTGCGTCATCGCCAACAACAAATATTCACTCTGGGCGACCAATGTCCTCGGGGTCTTCAAAATCGCACTACTCGTCGTCATCTCGATCACCGGCTTCGTGGTTCTGGGCGGCCACACGAGCGTGCCTAATCCGGGCGCGAACTTCGACAACGCGTTCGAAGGCACCACAACCAACGGGAACGACCTAGCCAACGCCATGGTCAATATTGCATTCGCATATTCGGGCTACCAAAATGCTTTCAACGTCGTCGCTGAGATCAAGCGTCCTATTCCAACCCTGAAGAAATACGCCACCATCTCGGTCGTGCTGGTTGCTGTTCTCTACATGCTGTGCAATATCGCGTACTTCGCCGCTGTTCCCAAGGAGGAGTTTGCGGAATCTAAGGAGATTGCGGCCGGCGTATTCTTCACCGCAGTCTTCGGCTCAAGGGGCTCCAAGGCGCTTAACGTGCTTGTGCTTTTGAGCGCCTTCGGAAACCTGCTTGCTGTCTTAATTGGCCAATCCCGCCTGATCCGAGAAATTGGAAGGCAGGGTGTCCTCCCTTGGACCCAATTCTGGGTTTCTACCAGGCCTTTCGGCACCCCTATTGGACCCTACCTATTGAAGTGGTTTGTCACCTTTATTATGATCGTTGGCCCTCCCGCTGGAGATGCTTTCCAGTTTGGTAAGTCCTCCGCCAGGAAGAGTTCCAGACGTTATTACAATTACGCAAAACCCAGAGGCTGACATATTGCGCAGTGGTGAGCTTGAAAACATACCCAGACAGCATGTTCCTTGTTGCAATGACACTCGGAGTCTACATCTTCCGATACCGCTACAAACGCGTTGGCCGTGAGCGCGTAGATTTCAAAGCTTGGGACGTGGCAGTAATATTCTACTTACTGACTAATGTCTACTTATTGGTGATGCCTTGGTTCCCCCCAGAGGGCGGCCCATATGCTGGGGATGTGAGCTTCTGGTACGCTACCTACTGTGTTGTTGGTATTGGTATCCTCATCATTTGTGGTCTGTACTACGTTGCTTGGATGTATGTCCTTCCCCGCTTGGGCAAATATGAGGTGCGGCCGGAAATTCTTGTGGATGTGGACAACAGAGGCGCTACAACGCACCGTCTAGTTCGCGTCCCACGCGACAAAGTTGCAGAATGGGATGCGAACCACGATGAAGCGGGAAACCTAAGACAAAGGTATGTGGATGCACATACTGGCCACGAAAGTGCTGAAAAATTCGAAAAATCGGTGGTTTAGGAAGCGTTGTACAGGAGATTGGATACGTTCCGGAAGGAATTCACATAATATAACTGTTCGTAGAGTTGCTGCCGAATATATCAAAGTTTACATGACAAGCATGGAGAAACAAGGAAGTGAGCTACGTGATGCACACTAGAATACCATTCAATTCACTGTGTATTATTATAACAATTGACGAAACCTAGCGATATGAACGACAGTTCGATTGAAATCACAAATGCGCGTCGCATTGAATGCACAAGCACTGACCCATTCCTATCATCAATTTCCAATAACATTAAACATACTTCAAATACTCCCACACTGTAACAATAGCTTCCTATTGCTGCGACCGGAAGGTAGCATCTTTGTTAAAATAACGGCTGATGTCGTTATCATGGCCGCAATTGTCACACTTGTGAAGAACCTTTGATCCTGCACCACCCCAGTTCGCGCCTGACTGGCCAGTTGAGCCAGCAAGACCCGAAGTCAAACCAGAAGATGTGCTCTTGTCATGCCCAAAGCCTGAACCTTCCGATGATGCCGGCGCATGTGGCTTACCATCCGATCCTAAAGCCCGATGTGCGACCTTCTCGGATGTTTCAGTCCGGGGGTTGTTCTCGTGTTCTTTGCCTTGACCATACTCAGCGGCGAGACCAGTAGCCCCTGCACCGAATGCTGTCCCTGCAGCTGCGTATCCAAGACCTGAGTGCTTGTTGTTCCTGCCTACGTCTTCCGTAGTGGTGGAAGGAACAGACTCTTGCTTGTTCCACGCTTGTTGGGCGGCGGCCTGGGCTGCGGGCTGGCTGTGTTGGCCTAACCCTTGCGTTTGGTAGCCAGTAGCTGAAGTAGTAGAAGAGCTCAAGGGGGGCGAGAACTCGGAACTTCCTGCTCCAACAACAGTGTTGTGGATACCTCCACCAGTGGTTGGGTCGGCTTGACGACTTGTGGTGTCACGTTGAGCTAGGCTGCCTGGAGCGACCACGCCGGAGCTCGTCTCGCGTGTAGTACTAGGCAACACGTCTCTGTGGCGGTCTGCCCTGTTGGAAGCCAGAGCTCCAGCTCCAGCTAGACCTGCGCCACCAAGGCCTGCCGCATAAAGACCCTTGTTGTCATTGTTGCCTTTTTCATCACTGCCCCAGTGAGGATAATTGCCTGCACCACTCGTTGCGCGCTTGGCTTCATCTTCAGGATCGTGGTGCCTGATTGGGTTGGCGGTATGGGCTCGGTGCTCAGTGCTGGTTGTTTGGACACCAGGCACATTGGTGCGAGATGTTGTCTCGTCTTTGCGATCATCATGTTTCCTGCTCGCCAAATATCCTGCTCCCGCGAGGCCTGAAGCTCCAGCCCCTGCTGCCAGAGCTTGCTCCTTTCTGTGGTTGTCGCCACTCGAGCCTACCTGGGACGGCGTGGTAGTCTCCGCAAATTTGTTGTCCTTGACATCTCTATTCTCACTGCTCAAGTAGGGATAGTTTCCAGCAGCACTGGTAGCCTTTTGAGTCTCGGTTAATGGGTCATGACGACCCGTCGATGTGGTCGTGTGACTAGGGTTTTGAGTGTGACTCCCTTGTGTAGTCTGAAAGGCAGGGTCGTTCGTGGAGTCAAATGTCTTGTCCCCCTTTTGTGAGGCATAGTAGCCTGCGCCAGCGAGACCTGCAGCTCCAGCACCGGCGGCAAGAGCTTCTTCTTCCCTTCTGTGGCTATTGTTGTCTCCTGCCGAGGTCGTCTTGGTAGGAGTAGCAGTCTCGGCAACCTTTTGCGTGGTAGTTGGCGTCTGTGTGTTTTGAATCGTATTGCCTGTCTGGGTCTGTTCAGAGAACTTCGAGGCCCTGTGGGTTGGTTCCGTCTCGCTCCGATTGTAGGGATCAGTCTTGTCCCTAGTCGCGAGGTAAGTAGCGCCAGCAACTCCGGCGGCTCCAGCATTCCTATCGGTGGTGCTTCCTTGGTTGTCCAAGGTCGGATCGCGACTTGCTCCTGTCCTCGTCCCTCCATATGTTGTTGCGTCTTCATCCTTCGACCTCGAGGCGAGGTATCCCGCCCCGGCCGTGCCAGCACCTGCTGCCAAGGCACCAGTCGCAAGGCTTGAATCTTTGTTAAGCCCATGATGCTGCTCTGTGGCACCGATGCCTGGCCCTTCAGCACGGTGAACATGTTCGCCACCTTCCCTCGGAAGGTCACCCCAGTAGGGATAGTTCCCAGCCGCGCTGGTTGCTTGCTTCGTTTCGGGCTCTGGGTCATGATGAGAGTGACCGGTATGATGCAGCGCTCCTCGCTCAACATCGTCTGACTTTTCCTGATGATGTTGTACTGGAGACTCCTTAGTCAATTTGTTGTGTTCATCATGGTGCTTGGTGGCGGGCTCGTCGGTAGGAAAAGCACCAGGGGCGTTAACGTCGGGGGTTTTGACATCGCTCTTCTCATGTTCGTGATGCCCTGTGAGGGCATCTTTGATTTTCTGTCCGATGGAACTCATGATGGATCAACGTAGTTTAACTTTGGAAAAGATTTAATGGTTAAGATGGACAACAATGGGGCATACTGAGGCGAGAGAGGGGAAGCTCTGCCTTTAAACTTATTCTATCACCAACCACCTCGTTTCTCAGACAATGTGCGGCTTGCCATAGCTAGAATGCTGGTCAAGCTCATTGACATCCCATTTTGTGACATCATATTGGCAGCTCTACTAGCTATTGATGATGTCTTTTCTACGATCTGCGGTCTAGATTGCCCTCAGCTGAGCCGCCTCTTCAAAGCTATTCCCCAAAGAGCTGCCCGCCAGCGTTGTAATGGGTAAGGTGTGCACTGTCTGAGACACTAAATAGCGGCATTCGTGCGTCAATGACGATTGGCGCAAGCCACCGACAAAGGCCAGACTGCCTTAGCTGGATGATCGCCTCTAGGTCGTACCGGCATAGCGGAACCTAGTGCGGTGATGCAACGTCGATCCAACGCAAATGCTTGATGGGAATCCCAAAAATCGGTTTGTGAAAAACCGAAACTGCTGGTTCCACAGCTTACAGGGACAGAAGCTCGAGACGGTCCCGGGGGATCATCGGTGGTGCTCACTTAGAGCAATCGACGATGCCTGGCCAGCCTGGCCAGCCTGGCCACGTGGACGATAAAGAAACAATGTCGAAATTGAGATGATGCACGTGGCCGCTCACGTAGGCGGCTCTAACGTACCTCCTTCGTAGGCAGGCAGGGAGCGCCCTGTCGTGTCGATTGTGCCGTCACATCGGACAAGCTTCTGATTGATGTGTGTATGTGTGGGAAGGTGATCAAGCTATGCTAACACACAAACACAACTACACCACATGAAAATGTCATCCAAACTTATCAACTACTACTCAAGTCTCAAGACAGCTTTTGTTCACGCTACACATGATCCACATACTGGGCTGTTTATGGGGAATCAACCTTATATGCAAGGTATCCAGCGCACAACGTAGAAGAAGACATAACGGGCCCTGGTATTCCTCCTTCTCGGGATCCACCCCGAACCCATAGTTGCTTCTCTATGCAATGGTGGGTCCAATAATGACGTCCGTCATTGCAGGTGCAGCACGTCGTGAACTTTAATTCCATTATCAAGGAGTTTACTTAGTTGTATGCCACAATACAAGTATCAGCTTGCAAGCGTTGAGCAAGCGATTCAAGTCTTGTTCTGATGGTCTTCATTGTTGAATCCTATTTATATAGCACTCTCGCAAGGGAACTCCTCGCTCACGCACCTTGTGCTGTCAAGCATCTTAATTATCCGGAAGGCGGAGCTTTTGATACAGAGATGCTGTCCTCGGATCACATAATTCATGATCCTGGTTTGCGCATGCGTATCTTCCGTGGGTCGTGAAATTACGTTTACAACGCGCTCTGGCGGCCTGCTAGTTCATAGATCAGGCCCGACTGTTTACAACATACGCCGCTATGAAGAAACTAACCATATTTTCGGGATTTTCTATGCGCACGTCAATATCTATCATTTTCTACATTCGATAACTGATAACTTGCGTGGGTTAGGGGTTCCCAAGTGGTCTGAGGAGACGGAGATTACCGAAAACGGCTGACGCAACTAAGGTTAAAAGATGGGGGCCATGGGGTTGACCTGCTCGTACTTGCCCGCGAGCTAAAGACATGGCAGCGGGTTTTATCCACGTACACTAGATGACCTTGGCATCGATACCCACGATGGTGCTCACGCCATGCAACATACACCGCATCATCTTGCGATCCAGCTTCGTTGATCTTCCGAAATCTTGGAAGGCATGGCAGATCCTTCTCTCCAGCGCAATGCTGCTCCGTTTGCAATACATCCCAATCTCAGCAGCCTTGAGTCCCTCCAAGGCCGCCAAGAAAGTGTATGAAGATCATTAGGAACTGCATTGAGCAAGCGCACAAGGTCTGCGATAGACCTCCAAATTCTTGCTGGTCGTGGAAACCGACGCCGAGACTTTTTGCTGAACCTCGGAGTTATCGACTCCAACGAAAAACGTCGGCTCAGCCGACCCAGAAGAAAACGCGGTTCGTCAGGAGCGGTGAGCACCTTCACCCACCACACTGCCACAACGCCCGTCTTGTCAGCTTGTTCAGAATCTAAAGGCGGCAAAAGGACGCCTCGTGACTAAAATAGCAGGACCCAGCCAATTCGGTGTGAACCCTGTCCCTTGCACGGGAACACCTTTCCCTTGTCATAGGTGGTTTTTATTTGCACTTCGCCCGGCTGGCAGGCCCAGTCTCACGACGCGACCGTGGATTTTGCGATTTGGAGTCCAAATGATCAATCTAAGCTGCCGGAGACACGGGCCACCGCTGCCTGGGCCCTGGTCGATGGCATTGCCTCCACGACTTCGTCGGCAGTCAGCTCTCCGACTTCAACGTTCTAGGCCCAGTACAGTGGTGGAACAGGAATTGAGTCGTACTTTTGTCTTCGGGCTATCGGTCTCTCTGAAGCTTTTCGGGTCTTTCGGCGCTGTAGATGTCTCCTTAATGTAAGCTTTGTCGTGTTGATCTTTTTCGAAGTCAGGCCTTGCTTTCTCCCTAATTCGATACGTAGTCTTCGAGATGTTGTTCGTGTGCGGGTGTCTCCGGCGTTCCTGAGTTTTTTTCCTGGCAGCAAAAAGCGGGAGTCCAATGATGGCCTAGACACTGAGTCGCGACAAAGCCTGAGCTGCTTACTACAACACATGGGAGTCTCCACTACACTCACAAAGGAAGAACCCCCGTTGCCACCAAAAATATTCCGGAAACCTGTTCGCTGTCGCCTTTGAAGATCGGGCATCAACGTCCTCAAGCCCCTTAGATCTGGCAAGTTCGTCGATATGGGCTGGTGAGCGTCACCAAGTTGGAGAGTGGATAGCTGTATCTACTTTCTAGGTCGTATCAATCGGGATTTCAAGGACAGAGGACTGACGAAAACCTGCAGCAGGTTAAGACTCTTATCTCGATCCTTCTGACCGTGACGCCGAACCGTTCATCGCGTAAAGGGGCTGTGGGTTCTGCTACCAGTGACAGGTGTTTGCCGTAAGTGACAACGGGGTGGATCCAACCCGCTGGCCAGTACCTAGTCAGAAACCCTGCAAGCCAACAACGGTTCGCTGCACTATCTTCTGCATAAAGGCTTGACGTCGCATTCGAAGCGAGCGTTACGAATATCTTACGATAGGACTAGCAACCCAGTCTACACGGGCGCGGGTCGACTCGCTTCAAACAGCTAGGTAATAACACTGCCGATCCATCTTTGCTTGACAATGATGGCTCGACTCTCGTCCGCTCACTCGCCCGGCCTGGCCGAGCGGCAGGTCCAGCAATATTCGACCTACTAATCTTTCTTGCTCTGTGAGGTCTCGAGTGCGCGATGTTGGCGACTTCGACGCACTGCAGTGGATCAGGGCGGTCAGTTCACAACAATTTGCCCACAACAACAGGAGCTCTTCGCTTGAAAATCCAGAAGATGGTGGTGGGTCCCATAGGAATTTAGATCCACTGTGGGTGACACCGTACTCCAGAGGGCCCAGCCTGGGGCCAATGTATCGCAGATCAGGCTCGCAAAGCAGGGATAGAGCTTGACATCATTTCTGGCATGAGTGGCACGTGGCTTGATGGTATTTGAGTCCAGGGCCTTTACCGCGGGTAGTGACATGATCAAAATGGAGAAGTTCAGTCGAGCAAATCAGGGGCGGTCCAGCGACAGGCAGAGGAACTGCCGCAAACAAAGCAAAACAGCGGCACACGCTAGCAATATGCATAAAATTACATCTCACACTCGACTGACACTTTACTAATTCTGAACCGTCAGAAAGAGTTGACGGACACGATGGCTACGCAGGGTCTCAGCAACTCCACCCGTCAGCTGAACTACAAGAAACTCTCACGCGACACGCACCGCAACGAAATCCGGCTTCTGGAGGTCCAACCTGCCAGTGAACTCAATGACATAATCGTCGCTCGCCTGGTCAACCGATCGTTGACTCCGGAATTGGAGTTTATTGGTGTGTCGGCCCTCTATGGCGATACCGATGTCTCGGAGAAAGTCCAGGTAGATGGCAAGCGCATTGCGCTGCCGTCCAACATGGGACAGGCCCTGCGACATGTCAGGGCAGTGTTTTCGCAATCTGACCTCAGCTCAAATGCCTCTGAAGGAGAGGGTTCGCTGAACGAGGGGAGAAGATCAAGAGAAAAGAAACAACCTCGCTGGCTCGGCAACATCCTCCGTGGCCTCGGCTTTCAACGCCCCGAGGTTGACCGTGCTCGGAATCAGAACTCAACACTGCTTATCTGGCTGGACGCAATCTGCGTCAACAGGGGAGACGCGCGGGAGCAGAAAGAACAGCACAGGATGATGTCGAACGCGTACCGCAACGCCAAGGCCGTCGTAGGGTGGTTGGGTCCGAAGGACGACACGAGCGACATAGCCGTCCACATCATCCGCACTTGCGACAGAGCACTTCCGCGTGACTTTGGTAGTCCCGAAGACAAACAACTTCATCCAGAGAACTACGCTCCACGATACGCCTGGATGGAGGACATCAAACATTTGTGGGATATGCCCGAAGGCGTCACGGATCTACGCGAACAACAAAACTTCATTGCCTTGTCGAAGTTCCTACAGAGACAATACTTCCAGCGTGACTGGATCCTGAACGAGCTTGCCATGGCCACATTCCCAACATTCTTGGTCGGCGAGGAGATCGTGAGCTGGTCCGAGGTGCTTCGGTGGAATCGGTGCAACGAGGAGTTGATCGACGTGGCCACCGCACACTTCCCTGAGGAGTACCGGAACTTGATTGAGACATTCATTCCATTGGGAACGGTAAGCGACCTATGAATTCCTATTTCACATTACAATTGTTATGACGGCGTCTTCCCTTTGTTGCAAGAGTCCCAGCCTAGGAGCACCGAACGCTGAGAGGCATTCAAGATGACTAGACGCACTTCACCACCTCACCCCCTTCCACTTAGCTAGGATGACCCGTAACTGATTTTTTGTGGTTAGGTTTACACTATGTTGAAGGAGTTCGAAAGGAGGAGAGACAACCCAAGCTCTGGGTCCGACACAAGATCGATGCTTACACGTGGCTCATCGAAAAGTGGCTCTTGATGGGAGAATGGCGCTTGAGGGCTCGTTGCGTGCGTGTACGGTTCTGGTTACGAATGGCTATGGCTCATGGCTTCCACGGAAGAAACGATTTCTTTTTTCTTCTTGGTTTAGTATTTTATATACCCACAGCATTCAGCACTGTTATCTGATTACCCAGCCTGCCGTTGGCCGAGCTTTCACGCCTGACCTCTCTCTTATCCCCCTGATAGCTGTCCTTGCGTTGTGTACGATCTCGTCCTCGTCCATGTGTACTAACTGCCCGTTCCCGACAACTAAATTCCCGTCCACTACCACGGTCTCGACATCCGCCGCCGTACAACTATGTACTACCACGGTCACCGGGTCAATGCCACCCTCGACGATCTGTGCCTCTTCAAATGGTGTCGCACTAAGGGGAACACCCACTACCACAAAGTCCGCCTTTTTACCCTTCTCCAAACTGCCCACGTCCTCGTCTAGACCCAGTGCCTTCGCTCCATTAATGGTCGCCATCTCCAGCACCGTCGTAGCAGGTAGCACATCAGCCTTCATCCTCGTGCCTGCCTGCAGCGTGCTTGCCAGGTGCATCTCACGGAACATATCATACGTGTTGTTGCACGGCGCGCCGTCTGTTCCCAGGCTGACGTTCACGCCCGCAGCTAACATGTCCGGAACCGCAGCGACGCCCGAAGCCAGCTTGCAATTACTCGTAGGGTTGTGTGCCACGCTCATGCCCTGGTTCCGCGCGATAAGGGGCAGGTCAGTTGCATTGTCCAGGTGCACCATGTGCGCAAGGACCGTCTTGAAGCCCGGGCCAGCCAGCTGTGCATCCTCGCAGAACTGGACTGGTGTCCTGCCCTCGTAGCACTCACGGTAAATCTCCCGGTCCCGTGACGCCTCTGCGCAGTGCATAGTTAAATTAATGCCATGTTCGTGACAGGCGATGCCGATGGCCTGGTGCTCGGAAAGAGGTGATCCTCGGGGTGTACTAGCCGCCATCCAGACATGAAGTCGATCGGAGAAGGAGCCGTGATGAGTTTTGTGAGCTGTGAGGGCGGCCCCAATAGACATCTGCTCGAGATCCTTGTCACGGATGTCGGATATTTGTGTATCGGTTGCTGTTCCCTGAGGCTTGACCAATTTGCCCTTGTAAAACAATGTCAGTATGCCTGCTCCTGGTAAAGTTTGAGTTGCCTCAGAATTGTTTGGACTCACCAGGCAAGCCCTGATGCCAGATTCGCCCACAGCTCGTGCGACATTGTCGAAGCCGGCGGTGTGCGTAAGCATCGCCTCGAGAAATGAAGTCGTACCCCCTTTGAGCAATTCAGCAATCGTTAATCGCGCAGCATGATACCCATCCTCGGTGTCGTAAGCCGCCTCTAAAGGCCAGATGGCATCGCACATCCATGGATGCAGCCATAAGTCCTCGGCCAAACCTCGGAGGAGAGATTGGATGGTGTGGCAGTGAGTATTTATTAGGCCGGGTATGATGATCTTGCCACGTAAGTCAATGATTCGAACCTCCTTGTCTCTTGGAAATTCCGTATGCGAAGTGACGGCTGAGTATTTGTCTACCAAAGCTATCCGAGTGCCATAAACAAGAATTGCTCCGTCAAGGATGACTTCGCGCTTTTTGTTCACCGTGATTATTGTGGCATGCTGGTAGAGTGTGGGCATCATGGCTGCTGGTATGAGGAGAATTCTGATGGTTATTATTATCTTCAGTGCAACACAGTGTTGAGTTAAAAGTTAAATCATGCCGGTAGTTGCATCCAACCGGTCTATCTCCGGCATTTCTAAGCACTCGTCAGGCGGGCGGGGGATGCCCTTTTCGGAGTACTCCGGTTGGTTGAGGGCACTCACATTCAGCCAGAGGGGATGATAAGAGAAAATTGCCAAAGGCAGCGTATCATTTCAATCCAAAATCGTTTCCGGATCTCTTCGATTGATCAGTTGCTACAATCAACCTCAAGAAAGTTAGGATAAGAGTGGCGATGATATGGCCTTGACTGAGTATCCCCTGAAGCGCGAAGAAGACGGCAACACTGACGAGTCGTCCGCAACGTCAAAAAGCGGCAGTGGAATGACTGACAAGTTGTCTCGATGGCGAGGACTCAAGGAATATCTCACCAGCAAGGAGGGATGGGTTGGCAATTATGTATGTTTCCAGATTGCTCAGGCCCAAGATGCACACGCACAGACATCACTGACCATGTCTCACAGGACTATCTTTACCTCGTTACACCAAATATCTGGCCCATGAACAAGATTTACAAGGATCATGAGCCTCCATTCTATGGCCTGAACGATGAGGTTCCCATCTTGCTTACCATTATACTCGGCTTACAACACGCTTTGACAATGATCGGCTCTGTCGTATCCCCAATCCTTGCCCTCGCTGGTGGTGCGTTCTACCTAGACACTGCAACAACAGAATACCTCGTTTCCGCTTCCTTCATCACGACTGGCATTGCCACCGCCCTCCAGGTGACGCGCATACACATCGCCAAAACGCCGCTCTTTATCGGGACCGGTCTACTATCTGTCGTGGGCCCGACATTCGACATTATCGCCATCGCCATCGCCTACACAGCCAAGCTGTACAGCAGCGGCTCCTGTCCGACAAGTTCTGATGGGACGCAACTCCCCTGCCCCGATGCCTATGGCGCCCTTCTCGGCTCGCTGCTGTGTACCGTCTGGATCCAGATCGCGATGTCACTCGTCCCGCCAAAGCTTCTGAATAAGGTCTTCCCCAAGCTCGTCACAGGCACGCTCCTTCTCTTGGTCGGTGTCTACCTCATCGGAAACGGCATGCAGAATTGGGGCGGGAGCAGCAGCTGCCATGACGGGACAGGGTTTTACGCCCTCTGCCCCAACGCCAGCGCGCCTCGCCCCTTGCCGTGGGGAGACCCAAAACTCATCGGCCTCGGGTTCAGCGTCTTCGCGACGATCGTGCTGGTTGAATTTTTCGGATCGCCCCTGATGAAATCCTCAAGTGTCATATGCGGGCTGGCGGTAGGATGTGCCATTTCAGGCGCGACGGGGTACTGGAGTCCAAGCCAGATCGAGCAAGCGCCAGTAATCACGTTCCTCTGGGTGAGGACGTTCAAGCTCTCGGTCGACGGGGCTCTGATTCTGCCTCTGCTCATTATGTTCATCTGCCAAGGCGTGAGCACAATGCCCGATATCCTCGCCACAGCTGAGATCTCGGACGTTGAGATCGAGGGTACTCGGTTCAACAGCCGCATACAAGGAGGTATTCTCTGTGATGGTCTGGGAAGTCTGTTCAGCGCGCTGGGTACAGCTGGCCCGATGGTTGGTCAGGCTGGTAACAACGGGGTGATCGTCCTGACGGGCTGTGCGAGTCGAAGAGCAGGGTGGTGCGCCTCTGGTTTCCTCATCCTAATGGGAATATTTGGCAAGTTCGGGGCCATTTTTGCGTCGATGCCGCCGTCCGTCTTGGGTGGGATGCAAGTCTTTCTATACAGCACCATCGCCGTGGCTGGCGTGCGGGTGTTGGCCTTGATATCTTGGACTAGGCGAAATCGCTTCATATTGTCGACATCCCTAGCCATCGGCTTTATGGACATTGTGCAGCCGACCTGGTTCAACCAAGTGCTTGATTACAGTGGCTCGAATGTGCGCTTATCTGGGTTCTTACAGGGTGTGAACTTGATCGTGGAGACACCTTTCATCATCGCAGCCGTGATTGGGGTGTTCTTGAACCTCTTGCTCCCAGATTCTGAGGTGAGAAGCGAACGAGTGCGAAGTCTGGCGGGCAGTTTGAGAAGTGACTAGTATCTTGACTGCACAATCGGCTTAGTGGAAATTTGAAGCCAAGTGATACTATCGCATATGGTACACGCTGAACAGTGCATCATGAGTATAGCAGAATGTCACAATCAAAACAGATATAGAGCATTGCATATATTGGCCAAAACATCATCCCTCAAGATTAGTCTGTTCCTCTTTGCTTTCATCCGAGATTATGAACGCCGTATAGTTTGATTCAACCTCTATGAGTAACTTAGCAGGGTCATGGATGCGTATCAGTAGGACCGCAGCACTCGATCGTATTAGGGATCAGGGCGTGAGCCTCCGGAAGAATATGTTGAGGCTAAGATATATTCCTTTTCAAGGATTACAGCATACCGTATTTGCGCTCTCCATTTCAACGAGAGCTGAGCCCGACATTAATCCCCCGTAAGCACTGTAAGTGGTAGCACAGGCGATTTTCTCCAGCGTGTTCATGGGTAGAAGTGGTAGCGGCATGATGAGATCCTCGAAGGGCGGGTACATAATTACTGTACTTCATGTGTGAAGGGTCTCGAGGCTTTCGCTCCCGTCATTGATCTTGTTGGAGTTGGCCTCTGTTGCGGCGGCGGCGGACAACACCTTGTAACGCTTGACTGTGCACGTTCAAATGGGATATCCCGGGTCCATGGCATGATTCTGTATTTCAGCATTTGTCACAATCAAATTTTGAACCGGCAGAATTTGCATGCCAATTTTTTGGTCATCGCGGGGTTCTATGTGTTCTAAGCTGACGCCTTTCTAAAGGTAGTGTAGCATAATACAGACTTAGGCTGGTCGCATCTGTCCAAGTAAAATGTAGATGTCTTGTTGACCCTGGTTAAGTCTCTCTCTCTCTCCCCCTCTAGAAGAGAAGAAGAAGAAAAGGAAACATACTTAGTATCTATGGCTGCTCTACTTCTGTTGTACAACAATATCGGTGGGATTAGGGCAAGTCATAGGCTTGTCGACAGCTACTCTGCAATACACGGATAGTAAGGCTGCGTTGTGTTGAGCGTCTTGGTTGGAGTCGAGCTGGTTTGATCACTGCCATGTGTTTGTGGTGGGTGTATAAGAAAATCATGGAATCCAGGAGATGTGCAATCGAACAATGGAAGGAGGCGTTCTGTATGCATCTTTCCATTCATCTTCCTGGGCAGGAGTGACATGTTTGAGTGATATTGTGTTGCTAATTGCGCCACAGGCCCCGAAAGGGTGACCAGCGTCAGAAGTCTGAGAGTGACAGTGGTCTCAGTAGTAGGGGAAACGCTGCGAGTAACACAAATATCAATGGCCCCGTCAGTCTCTTGCCGTAAATTCAAGCATCAAGCACCCGGCTTCTCGACGGTTCCGCACATTTAGGCTCTCGGCCGTTCTCGTGCCCTCAATACTTGAGTACGAGATCTGTGAACATCCGGGCACACGAGAAAGGCCGCGAGAGGTGCACTCTCTTATGGTGGCCCCTGTACTGAGTTTTCGGATGGAGTCAATTGGGAATGAACCTGATGGATTGCGTACCAGTTGGTAGGTAATACTGCGCCTTGTTCAACACTCCCCACGTAAGTACTGGTAGTAGTCCTATGTTGTACAACTAGATTGTAAACAGGAATCGTATACGATAGTTACAACACCAGCAAGCTGCAGCGACTTCGGACATATAGGTTCATAAAATTCATACAGGGCTGATCAGAAGGAGCTTATGCTTTGTTGCCGATTGCCTAGGGCGCGACGCCGACATCGTCGATAACCCCAAGAAGATCATCGAGGATTTTATTGCCCACGATCGAGACATTATTGTTCCATCTAAACGTTGGGTAAGAGGAGATCATACTTTATACACCGCTCGACCTGTCTCCGCGGTATGCCAGCAACCGCTATGGAAGCTCTGTGTATGCTTCCAGACCAAGCCTGGAATGCGTGGCATTTCCTTTGAGCTACGATGTTACATGAATATAGCGAGCGACGAACCAAATAACCATAAATGCTCTATTCTTCTCCATAAATATTGTGCCTTCGCAGCAAAAGTCCCCGGAACTACATTGTAGACACGCAGGTGTACACAGGATCCTTACTTCCGTGTCACGAGGCGGGCGACAAGTGCACTGGAATTTGGACTTTTCTAGATATGTTGCTCACTTATGTGGTATACGAGCTTAAATCCGGCCACGTCACATTGCGTGGCTTCGGAGACCGATGCTATTCACAACCTGAAGTTTGAGTAAGCTTCCGAACAGGAGCAACATCCCACCGGCGGCCATGCAGAAGGCCGAAACATGTGACACAGTTGTGTCACGGCAAATGGATGCATGTGATGACAGATCTGAGATCCACGGCCCGCTCCCGGCGCCGCTGCAAGCAGTGTTGCTTTTTGTTGGTATTGTCTGTCAACTTGTGTCACGTCGAAGGAACACCACTCGGGCCACCACATCGAACAACTCAAATGGGCTGGCGCCAAGACGCACTGGTTGATGGACATTGTCTGTACCCACCCACGAGCATCTTAATATACCACATATGCGGGCGACCGAGTTCCCCGCAATGTTGACTGCCGTATGCGACTCCTGTGTGCTGGCAGTGGCAAAGGAGCGTGAGTCGAGGCATCAAGGAAGCCGAGCCAGGTGGTAATAGCATAAATTTGAGAAGATTGTGCGGAGAAAAAGATCTATGCTTTGGGACGTGCCAGGGAGGTGCCTGCGACGCCATGCCAGTCGCAGGCAAAGATCTGCCAAGATCTGGAGTCTCCCGTTGCATTGAGGGACGGGCAAATGCCGATCTGGACCTCGGAATTGATCCTTGTGGCGATTGCGCGCGGCAGATGCAGCGCGCTTGTCCAAGAGAAACAGGGCGAGCGATCACTTTAGGGCTTGCAGGCTCGTTGATCCAAATCACGATTGCGTACTTGTCAAAGATCAACAGACGCCGTGATGAGCCACAGGGGGAGCACGCGAGAGCGTTCAACCGAGCGTCGGTCGAGTCAGAGCGCGGTGTTCAGGTGATGGAACGATGGGCTGCCTGCAGTCAATCCCTGACAATTGGCAAGGCTGACCGGCGGGCGTCGCATCAAGGGACAAACAGCCAAACAATGATACAGTATTATATGTTTGCTTGCGTTTCGAAACATGACTTGCCCTCCCGGTCGGGCAGAGGGCAGAGGGCAGCGTGGCGCGTGGGCAGTTCTGCAAGTTCGGATGTGCAAGTGTGCGTGGTCAGGCGGGTCCTCATGCACTGACGGCAGGTTACGATAGGCTAGGTGTGGGGTTGTTTCAAAACACTCCCTTGTTCCCCGGAGTGAAAGAGTGACAGCGTTTCGAGGGCAGTGGTCGAGCGTTCATCCGAGGATGCTGTCGAATGGATTGAGAGAATTTAGCCTTTGAGGGAGAAACACCTGCAGCGCGATCCAGTCAAAGCTCTCGAAACAAGCCCAACTCGAAACGGGTTCGTCCCTTTCACGGCAAGACGGCTTAATTGCCCGGCAACCTTACTCGTCCGCGGAGAGAAGATGAGAGAGTGACAGCGAAAGAAAAAAAAAAGATTGAGGCATAATAGACGAACGGAGGCTAACGAGTCGGGCCTCATGGATCAATTGACATTGTCGCCTCTTGAGTCCTGCTGACCTGGTCTGGCCTGGCCTGGTCTGCGTCGACGGCGGGAAGGTTTGCTTGGTTGCAAACCCTGGGCGCAGATCTCGAGTCAAATTGCTGTCCTCCCGCGGTTGCAGTAGGCGACAGTCACAACCAGCAAAAAGGCGGCTGTGGCTGTGGACCTTTTAGACCAACGTAGCGGGAGGCAAGGTGACGAGGTGAATAGGGGCATGACTATGTGTGTGTGTGTGTGCACGTAGAAAGAATGAATGCATTGACAGATTGACAGGCTCAATCTCCCCAAAGAGCTGCGAGGCCAAATCCAGCCAGACAACGGGCTGCAAGGCACGGCAGCTAAAACTGTCAAACGGCGCTAAGGAGACAGGGGGGACGGGCGGCCCCTGGTCGCGGGATGTTTCTGAAACGGAAGACTTGACCACACCAGCTCCATTTTGGGAAAGCAAGCGCCAGGACGGCGATTTATTGACGGACTGACCTTCCTGACCGACTGACTGTGAAGAGACGGTCAAGTGCAGGCCCTCAGGGCATGGTGTTACGGCCCAACTAGTGCCCAGCCCAGTGAAAGTGTTAATCAGATCGAGGCGGTAGGAAGAACAACCAAACACCTATCCTATTGCATGCTATGATCAAGGTGTCCCCATATGTACCCAGGTAGTCTAGATCCAGGGGCAGTGGTCGTGGCGAATCAGGGGACGCGGGCAGGGTTGCTCTTTTCGGAAGGGAGGCGGCGGCTGCATGAGAAGAGGTGCAGAACCACGCAACGACAGGCCAGGAACTCGCCCTCGGTGGGCCGACGGCACACTCAATCAACCTCCCTGCATCGTCCCATCTTTAACCTCACTTTACTTTCGACGTTCCTTGCCCACCCATCCCCGAGCCGGAAACCTTGTGAGGGCTTGGCTTTGGCTCACCGAACAAGGTTGCCAGAGTTTGGATCTGCGCTGCTGGCTGACTGACCCGAGGGTCGCACTGGTGGTAAGAGGCAAAATCAACCACGTTGGCCCGCCGATCTCACCCTGTGAAGGCTTGGTTCCATGTCAAGCTTCGTCTGACACGCAGTAGGGGCAGCTTATCCTCGCTGGGAATCTGCTTGCGAGACGGGGACAATGTGCTTGTGTGCCTGTGTGCTGGTGAGCGCATGTTTGTGCATATCTGCGTGACTGAACATGCGTTGGGATGGCAGGTGGCAGGTCCGAGGTGAGTTTTCGGTACATCATAGCCTCGATATCTCGTGCCACGTAATAAAAGTATAGTATCTCGTGGCTAGTCAGTACCATGATGTCCCCATGTAGTATGTGTTGCCGTAGTATCTGATTTCTACAGTCCCGCCCGGGCCTGGGTTGCTCGCGGATTGCCGCCCGCGGGTGTCTCCCAGAATATCCATTCTGCTCCAGAATCGCTCCGATTAGGCACGGAGTATGCCTGGATCTTGACTGCAAACCAGAAAGTCCGGCGGAACGGTGTGTATCTCCACAGTTTCTGACAGGCATCAAAGGCGGTCCAGATCAGAGTCCAGGGCCAGGTCGGATTGCTTTCGCTACCATCAGACGAAGCGCACCGGGAGACCAAACAGGAAAAACAATAGAACAAATATAGGACAGGGTTCTAGGGTATTTTGAATAGCGACTGGATGCTCGAGTGGGGCATACCATAGCACCGAGGGGGTGAACAGGTGGAAACACGAAAAGCTGGGATGGGTTGACTGGTTCAGGGGAGCTCGAGCTCTGGCGCCGCAACAGTCAGGGTGGGCGCTTTTCCTGGATGGGCCCTCCCTCCCATCACCACAACCCTGCAACCCCTTCAACACCATGCCCGCCACCTTCGATCTCCCGCCTCTCCCACCTTGCTTTTAATACGACACGTCCCTACCACTACCCTTCGGTTCGTTCCTTTCTGTCACTTCTATCACATCTTCTTCATTCATTCTTGACAACAACACGCTCCTGTGGAGTCATTCTTTCATTCAACCCGCAACTACCTTTCCTCCTTCTTCGATCCGCCACCCTGCAGAGCAGCGAGCCGTATCGCAGCCTTCAGTCCCAATCTCCACATGTGAGTAGCCATTTTCTGTCAGTTACAGTCACTCTGCAAATCACCAAGACTTCCCACTCGCGTCTCTGGAGACTTGTCCGTTTTCCCCCACGCATCAATACGCAGGTACAGTGGCCTCCACACCACCACCACCTCTCCTGGTTAGGAAACCACAAGCACAAGCCACCGGCTTGCCCCAGAGGTCTGCGTTATTCGGCCCATACTCAACGGGGGAGTGCTGTCCACTGCATTTTGACAACTGTTTGATCGGATGACTGGCACAATCGGGGACTGCTAAGTGGTTGCCGCCGACCTCGAGTGAGTTGTCACCAGACGGCCCCAAAAGGGAAGTTATTGTCAACAATGCCATCCATCAAGGCAGCTTTGTTTGGCAATAGTGGCACAAAGCAACGGCATGATCACAAGAAGGGCATTGTGAGTCGATAGACACCGTGTCTGTGAAGTCTATTGTGCCTGCTTACTATGTCTACATTTGCTCAACTCACATCATCCGTCGAGTCCTCACCACACAAAAATTCCCCCTTCCATTTAAATGCATTTTTTTCCTATACAGTTACTACTATGCCACCCACCCCTTTTTTGTCTTTCTTCTCTCTCTCTGTATACAGGGTCCTTCTGCAAGTCAGAAACACAATCCTTGCGCAAGTCGAATCACATAACAGTATCAACTTACTGACATTAGACGCCTCAGACCTCTCAACTTTACTTTCCTTCCAAATCATTTCTTCCAGAAAGACATCGACAAATAGCTGTGCTACGTCAAGATGATCTTCTCCAAGCTCCTCACGAGCGTCTTGCTGGCGCTCCCTGCCATCGCGGCTCCAGCACCTCAGGCATCCACTGCGGCTGCTTCAGGTAGCAGCAGCTACTGGGTCGCCGACATTGCCAGGAACGGAAGCCCAGCCTTCGGTGATGCGGGCTACAAGGTCTTCCGAAACGTCAAGGACTACGGTGCCACCGGTGATGGAGCGACCGATGACACTGCGGCCATCAACAAGGCCATCTCAGATGGCGGCCGATGTGGCCAAGGTTGTGGGTCATCCACGACCACCCCTGCCATCGTCTACTTCCCTCCCGGCACCTACATGGTTAGCGAGCCAATCGTGCAATACTACTACACTCAGCTTGTTGGTGATGCTGTTACGCTCCCCACCTTGAAGGCAATGGCATCTTTTGAGGGTATGGCTGTGATTGATGCCGATCCCTACAACTATGATGATGGCAGCAACTGGTACACCAACCAGAACAACTTTTTCCGCCAAATTCGAAACTTCAAGATCGATCTCACTGGGCTCGACCAGTCCAAGGGTGCTGGCATTCACTGGCAGGTGGCCCAGGCGACCTCGCTGCAGAATATCGAGTTCAACATGGTCCAGGGAGGCGACGCTGCTAACCAGCAGAAGGGAATCTTCATGGACAACGGCTCCGGCGGTTTCATGACTGATCTGTCCTTCATCGGTGGCGGTATCGGCATGTTCATCGGTAACCAGCAGTTCACCACGCGCAACCTGACCTTCAGCAAGTGCAACACGGCAATCTACATGAACTGGAACTGGGTCTGGACGCTCAAGGATGTTACGATTGACAGCTGCGGACTGGGTCTTGACCTGAGCACAGGTGGCCCCGGTGCGCAGACTGTTGGCTCCGCTCTGTTCCTCGACAGCACCATCACCAACACCCCAATTGGCGTCAACTCCTCGTACGCAACTACCCAGACCGGCACGAACGGAACTCTGATCATCGAGAACGTCGACATGACCAATGGTGTGGACATTGCCGTCAAGGACTCTAGCAGCGGCGCAACCATCCTAGCAGGCAAACAGAAGGTGGCCAGCTTTGTGCAGGGAAACTCCGTCTCAGGAGCCGCTACTGCTGTCAAGGCTGTCCAGGCTACCCAGGATGCCGTCACCAAGCCTGATTCTCTGCTCAACTCAGCCGGTGCAGTCTTCACCCGCAGCAAGCCTCAGTATGAGAACGTCCCCGCGGCCAACTTTGTCTCAGTCAAGTCCTCAGGCGCCAAGGGTGACGGATCGACCGATGACACCGCTGCTATTCAGAAGGCCATGGATAGCTTGACTACCGACCAAATCCTGTACTTCGATCACGGCGCATACATTGTCACCGACACCATCAAGGTCCCTAAGGATATCAAGATCACCGGCGAGATCTGGCCCTTGATCATGGCCAAGGGCGACAACTTCGCAAACATGGAGAACCCTCGCGCCGTCTTCCAGGTCGGCCAACCCGGTGACACAGGTGCCGTTGAGATGAGCGACCTCATGTTCGAGACTGTTGGTGCTGCTCCTGGTGCCATCATGATTGAGTGGAATCTCAAGGCTTCTTCTCAAGGCGCGGCCGGCATGTGGGACGTTCACAACCGAATTGGTGGCTCTGCTGGCACCAACCTGCTGGTCGGACAATGCGCCAAGAACAACGGCACGACCCACGATGCCAATCCGGCCTGCGAAGGTGCATTCATGATGATGCACATCACCAGCTCTGCCTCTGACGTCTACCTGGAGAACACATGGTTCTGGGTTGCCGACCACGACCTCGAGCCTACTGCCAACTCGGCCCAGATCGACATCTACAACGGCCGTGGTGTGCTGATCGAGTCCCAAGGCCCCGTCTGGTTGTACGGTACCTCATCTGAGCACTCCGTACTCTACAACTACCAGCTCGTGAACGCCTCGGCCGTCTACATGGCACTTATCCAGACCGAGACTGCCTATTTCCAGGGCAACCCTGCCGCACCGGCGCCCTTCACCGTCAACGCGACCTGGAGCGATCCCAGCTTCGAGGGCGCCACATCCAAGACTGCCGCTCGCACATGGGGCCTCCGTGTCGTGGACTCCAAGGATGTCTTCGTGTACGGTGCCGGTCTGTACTCGTTCTTCGACGACTACAACCAGGAGTGTCTGGTCGGTGAGAACTGCCAGGACAACATGGTGTCGCTCGAGAGCTCGACGGTGCACCTGTTTGGTCTGTCCACCAAGGCCTCCACCAACATGGTGACTGTCGACGGCGAGTCGAAGGCGCTCGACGCAGACAACCGCAGCACTTTCTGCGCTACGCTCAGCTACTTCACCAGCCAGGCTTAGATTTCCACAACTAGGTCGAAACCCCTTCTTGCCTCGCATTCGTGCGATGATGATCACTTCAATTCTTCATGATCGGCCCTACAGTGGCATTTTTGTTATGATTTCTCTTCTTTCTTCCCCATGAAGGCCCTCAGTGGGTGGCATGGATGGCGTTTCGGTACAGGGAACCTGGAGATACCATCTGGATTTGGTTGCATCAATTGATGCAGAATATCAACTTGAGAGACTGGTACATAAAAAGGCTATGGTGGCGGTGAAGCCTCCCGTTCTGATTGATTAGATCGAGTGCCCAATCTCGTCGTTTGACGGGAGGGCCAGTACATAGGATGATCAATGGATTACTCTCAAAGAATGATGAAGACCCCCAATGCTTTTGTTCTTGTATCCGAGTGAAATGAAATGTGTCATGATTGACATGCTCCTGGATTAGATGTAGGACGACATGATGCATGCGTCAGTGACAAAGCCGTCAAATTGTGCTGTGGCCCATATTGAATGCCATGCTGAGGCAGCCAAGCACGCTGCTAACATTAGCTCGCCGTGGCGGCTTTTGATAGTGTTAGTGCAGCTTCGAAAGGCCGAGGCCCCACCAGGTTCTAGAAGCCAGCAAACCTGCAAGCTCCGTCGCCGCGCCTAAGATTTAAGCAACGTCATAGTGCCTATGGCCTCGCAACAAAGGCGCCTGTCAGGTTCGTAGGCTTGGGCCAGTTTGTACATCCGCTTGCGCTTGCTCTCGCTCCCTTCAACCTCCCCCCAGCCGCAGAGCAAGTCCAGTGGCCAACTACGACGCGCAACGCTTGCTGCCTCCTATAAATTCAAGCGACGAAGCCGGAGTTACGCATCACGACCTCGAGCCACGGCTTGGGCCTCTGCCGATCTCTTCTCCGTCCGCCCTCTGCATTTCAGGCCCATTCCCTCCGTGCCCCTTGCGATGGAAGACTCACAAGAGCGCAATATTCGAAGCCGCACAAGCATGGCCTCCTCTTCAACCTCGAACCGACCCAACGGGTCCGTCTCTAGCGACCGGCCTACATCGCCCTCGTCCCACGCCGGCAGCTCCTCGTCGACCAAGGCACGCAACCCGCCCTTCCTGCCCACGCCACTCGAAGCCGCCGCCCTGCTGCTGTACCCAATACTCCTGACCTTCGGGACGCTCTTCTCGCTGCTCTCGCCACAGGTGCGCAACGCGCCCTACTTCCCGGCCCTGCAGGCGCACAGCCAGGACCCGAGCCTGTCGCCGTCGTACTTTGCGCGCAAGTCCAACGTCTTCAACGTCTTCTTCGTCAAGCGCGGCTGGGGCTGGATCTCGCTGGCCTTCTTCGTCTTCCTCTTCACGCACCCGGCCGTCCGGAGCGCCCAGCAAAAGACCCGCGGCCTGATACGCTGGGGCCTAGTGACGACGTGGTGGGTGCTCGTCACGCAGTGGTGCTTCGGCCCGGCGCTGATCGACCGGTCCTTCCTGTTCACGGGCGGCAAGTGCGAGCTCGCTGAGGCGAAGCTTGAGGTCGGCGCCGACGTCACCGGCAAGGATTTTTTCACGGCCGTGGCGTGCAAGACCGCCGGCGGGAAATGGAAAGGCGGCCACGACATCAGCGGCCACGTGTTCCTGCTGGTCCTGGGGAGCTACTTCTTGCTGCAGGAGGTCGGCTGGGTCTATCTGAACCACTGGCAGCGGCGCGGCGCGGGCGGTGCCATCGAGCTGAGGGACGAGAGGAGCGTCATCATGCACGATGGGGCCATTAAGAGCGCTGCCGTCGAGGGCGAACGCGACCACTCGGAGAGGGGAGATACGGCTCGTCCACGGAGCGCTTGGGAGGCGCTCGCACTAGGAGGGAGACTTGCCGGTGGTGTATTCTTGCTGAGCTTGTGGATGATCCTCATGACGGCCATCTTCTTCCACACATGGATTGAGAAGGTACGTTGTTTCCATGTCCCCCTCTGAACCGACCATGCTAACCATGTTCTACAGCTTACCGGTCTTCTGGTCGCCTCTGCGGGTTTGTACGCCATCTACATCCTACCAAGATTCGTGCCGCCCCTGCGAGCAGTAGTTGGTCTGCCTGGCATATAGACAGGCTGTGGAATGTTGTTTAGTTCTATGGATAGAAAATAGTTGAAAAAAAGAATACGCATACTGGACATATCCAGGTGCCCATAATGCCAGATCATACTGTTTAATCCGCGCGGCTGGCTTCCGTCGAGTCTTTCCTTTCGATCATCCGAGCTCATTCCCGTGCGACTCATACTTGGTCATGCTGCATGCCTCTGGTGATTACGTCATACGTCAGGATCCACTGAACTTCACTTCACTTTCATGCTCCGTCTCGCGCTCAACTCGCACTCTCTGGCCGCGAGCAGATTGGGCTGCTTCCAGTACAACCTCATCACAGGGCTGTGGACGGATGCTGCGTGCTAGGATGTCAGCAGTCAAGGTTCCCGCCAATCTCCCAGAGCTGGTGAGGGCCAAATTCAACACTGCTAAGGCCAATGGCGACGTCAACTTCTATCCAACACAGGTCGCTGTGCTGAAGCCAGGATCAGTCCCAGTATGTCTCAGACATCCTCTCCATGGCGCTCTCACTTCAATTGATCCTTAAGAAGACTATCTGGCCTACTGACTCCTCACTCAGTTCCAACTCCGCTTCTCCCCGTCGCTGGCCAACAAGCCAAAAGGCCCTCCGCCAGCCAGCAACGGCCCAGACAAGAAGACGAAGCCCTTCAACCCCTTTGAGGACCCCCCGCCCACGGCCCTCGTCTCAGAACTCCCGCCGGGCCATCGCCTAGTGCTCAACAAGTTCGCCGTCGTGCCGGAGCACTTCCTCCTCATCACCCGCTCCTTCAAGCAGCAGACCCACCTTCTGGAAGCGGACGACCTGTCCGCCGCCCATGCCTGCGTGCGCGCCTACCACGAGGATGCCAGCGGCGGCCAGGAACTCTTTGTTTTCTTCAACTCTGGCGAGCACAGTGGCGCCAGCCAGCCGCACAGGCACCTGCAGCTCCTCCCCGTGGACAAGATGCGGGAGGGCCTGGATGATGGGTCGGGCTGGACGGTGCTGACTGACCGGCTCGTCGAGGGAGGAGATGTCAAATTGCCGTTCGCCACATTCTCTGAGACGATAGCTGATGACGTGGGCCCCGAGGCTCTGCGGGCAGCTTATATCCGGCTGTATCGCAAGGCGTGTGCCGCGGTGGGTTGGGACGAGAATGATTTGGGAGAGCTTGCGAGCGATGACGTGCCTGCAAAGATCAGCTATAATCTAGGCATGACGCGAAATTCTTTGGTGGTGTGCCCTCGCTTAGCAGAAGGGGATGCCGTCCGAACCAGCGACGGCCAAAAGGTCGGACAGTTGGCACTTAACGGGACGGTTTTGGCTGGTACCGCCTTAGTTAAGAGTGAAAAGGAGTGGGATGCTTTGAGAGACAACCCAGGCCAGTTGTGGGATGTGCTGGCGAAGATTGGGTGCAACACATGATGCATCTTAAAAGAAATGAAGACGATTCTTCTCAATGATGACGGCTCCTGAATTATAGCGTTCCTGCCTCAGAGTACCGGTCGAGTTTCTGAGCTTCTGAGTGTCTGTATATAATGATGCTATAATACCACCCCTTTTTTTTACGCCTTCCAGCGCGTTTCCTCCTGCCAAAAAAGACCAACGGACCACCTACTTGCGAGGGCGAGCGAGGCGAGGTTTTTAGTCGGACTCGTCAGAATCCTCGTCAGACTCCTCGTCAGACTCCTCATCCTCCTCAACCTGCTCCTCCTCCTGCTGCTGCTGCTCCTCCTCCTCCTCGTCGCTAGAGGTGGAGTTGTCCTCGCCCAGAACCTCAGCCCTCTCCTCCTTGGACAGAGGGGAGTAGTGGCCCCACTTCATGGCGGGGTTGTCGCCACTGTCGCTGTGGCTGTCGGAGGCGTCGTCGTCGTCCTCCTCCTCCTCATCCTCGTCAGAAGTGAGGGTCTCGCCGCCCAGCACCTCTCTCTGCTCCTCCTTGGAGAGAGGGGAGTACTCGCCCCACTTCAAGGCAGGGTTGCTGCTGCTGCCGCTGATGCCGTCAAAGCCGGCTTTGGCGCCCGACGACTTGTTGCTGCCGCCGGCTGCGGCCTTGCCCTTGTCTCCCCGAGTGGGCGTGGTTGGGGCCGGGTTCATCGGGACGGGGAAGGACCGGGCCAGGCTTCCCGTGGCGTGGATGCTGCCAGTGCGGGCAGCACCACCGCGAGCGCGCGAGGCTGACGGCGCGGCTGAAGAACCAGACGCGGCTGAGACACCTGCAGGCTGGTTGCGGATTGCCAGCCATCGCTTCTTAAGGGTGGTCACGCCTGCGGACGTGGTCCCACCATTCTTCTTCATGTGCTCCTTTACGGCCTTCCAGATACCGTTAATGCTCTTCTCCTGATCAAGAGGACCAGTCGCGAAGAGCTGAACTGCTGCACGCAGCAGTTGATCCTATACCATCGAAAGTCGCGTTAGATTTCTTGAGCGTGGGTTTGAGAGAGGTGCGAAGTTGCATTGTAAGAGGTTGTCTGTTTCTATGGTGGGAATAGTAGGGTGGGAATAAAGTGAACAGTAGCGTGGGAAAACTTACGTCCTGGGCCGTGAAGGTCGGCACGCGGGGAGGTCGATCATTGATGAGCACGTAGTGCCAGGTGCGCAAGCCCTCCTCCGTTTGCGTGAAGCCAAATCGCTGAATGATCTCCCTGTAGGTCATTCCCTGAGCCCGAGCCCAGATCAGCAGCTCGCCCTGCTCCTGACGGTTCAGTCCCTGGGCGCTCCGGATGATGCCGCTGGCAGCGAGCTGAGCGATCGTACGGGCTTGCTTGGGAGGCATCTTGAGTGACTTCGTATGGCTTTCAGAGTTGGGTTTCTTGTCTAGGAAGTCTGGCGTTTGTTGATATTGTTAGTTGTTGAGCTAGGTGTGGGAGTGTGTCTGGAATTGAGGTGTGAATAGGTGGGAGGCTTAGTAGAGTGGGACGAGGGGATCTTCAGACACAAACGACATTCTTTGAAGTGCTTGTTGATATCTGTATCGATACGTAGGGCGGTATGTGAAGAGGGGAGTTGAAAGAATGGATACGATATGTACAAGGGAAAGGGAAGAGGCAAGAATCCAAGAGGAAGAGGAGCCAGTGCAACATACCTGTAGACTGTTGAGCTTCTGGTGATGTGGTCTTGCTGCCCGTGACGCTTCTCAGTCTTGTCGGAGATTGAGGTTGTTGGGTGGTTGAGTAAGAATCTGGAAGGAGGCTGGTTTGGGAGATTTGCCAGGTTTTTATATTTCCACAGCCTGTGCGGCCAGACACCTTCATCGTGGATTCACTGAATGAATAGCGGTCGTCCGAAGTTTCCTGGTGGACCAGTTACCGGCAATGGAATTGTCCAACCAATACATACGGCTGGAGAACGAGCACCTCAATAATGCTTGTGCTTGACCGTGATTGCGTCCCATATTTACTGATGCACCACAGACCAGCAGCAAAGTCTTCCAATCATGTTCTACAGCTTACAATTGAGACATCCAATCAGTACTCATTACTGGTGACTGTACATCCCATAGTCTCTAGTGCACCCTTGGTAACCAATGGATTGTCCAATCTAAAATTATCCGATGGAATGTAGTCAAACATGTAATCGATGCTGCTGGTATCTGCTCGTCAGTCTGTTTGGCTTCACTGAATGCACGTGGGGAATGATCAATTTGTGTTTGTCCACTAAGAGACAATAGATCTCTGGTCAAGGATAATCAATGGAAGTTCTGTCCCTTTCAGAGCCCAATGTGGGGAGGTAACAGGACTTGTTTTGCAATTTAGCATGGATCCTAGGTCAAGTATCACGTGTATCGTATAGGGTATAGAGCACTCGACGAGCATTTACAGGCTAACGTTAGTGAGCGAAACGGCTGGGAATACTCAGTATCACGGCAAATACGAAGACAGAGAGCCACCCACTTGAACGCCGCTCTCTTGAGATTCAGGATATCAGAGGCTATTATGGGTTGTTAGTTCGTGATACTACCCATATGAGGCTCCTCGACAGCCTGAAGCACATTTGACTTGGTCATTTCCTCCATGGATCAATTGAGGAACTCGTTTGTTGCGAGGGACGCTGGCGCGACTCAAGTGCTGCTGAGCAACAGCTTGTAACGCGTTCGTATTCGTGCCCTCCTAGAAGCCTCCTCGCGTTACTGGACATGTGGACCCTGAACATGTAATATTGTTCATTCCCTACGTTTTGTTTAAATCCCAATGGCCTAGATCAAATCATAGTTGTGTGATGTTCATTTGTGGCATCCGGCCAAGATCCGCATCAAACTTGGGGCCCACGAGGACCAGGCCAAGAGAGATGTGCGGCACAACTCAGAGCTGACACCACCCAGCAGATCAGATGCTTAACGATTGTCTTGGTCGTAGTCATCGTGGCTAGAAGAAGCAACCAGAATTTCGCTCACTTACGCTCTGAATCGATCCGACTTGGACCCAATTGCTCAGATGGGCCTCTCTGTGTGGCCTCCATCACCACCAAGCAAGACTCAAATTTTTATAGCCTAATATTACAATTGAATATCTACCTAGAATTAGATATTAGACGGCCCAAGAGGGCTCTAATCGCTACAAAATACCTGTAAATTAGAAGCAACGCTGGTGTAAAAGGCATTGGCCAGGTAAGCGAACGCAGTAAAGGTGAGAGCATGGACAAATCAGTCCAACCAGCCAAGAGAGCTGCAAAAGCTCACACTGCAAGACTCCTTTCGCCGCTGTCTTAGGAGGCGTGGTCGCCCTCATCCTCGTCCTCCTCGAAATCAGCACCCTCCTCATCTTCAACCTCGTACTGCTCGTACTCGGCGTGATCCCACTCGAACTCCATCAGCTCTGGGCCCGCTCTGCCGTCGCGTGCGCTGGCATCTCCAGAACGCTCTTCCTCAAGATCGTCCTCAAAATCGGCCTCCTCCAGACCAGGGACGTCATACTGCTCGTATTCCTCGTGATTCCACTGGAGCTCGTTGAGCTCTTGGCTCTCGCCACCTCTGCCTGGGCTGGTCTCTCCAGTAGGTTCGTCCTCGTTACTCTCTTCGAAATCAGCCTCCTCTTGTCCTGGGACATGATAATTCTCGTACGACTTGTGGTCCCACTTCGCTTTGGTCGGTTCCAAATCGCCCCGGATTTTAGGCGTCTGTTCGATGAGAAACCAGTACCTCTTCTTGAGGGTCACGGGTCCGGCTGTGGTCGTGCCTCCGTGACTCTGGATATACTCTTGCGCACTGTTCCACAACCGCCGGATGTAGTCATCGACGTTGTCGAGGTGTCGTCCCGCGAGAACCTCAATGGCCTCTAAGAGAAGTTCATCCTGCCATTTCGTTAGTCTACAACCTCTGAGTCGCAGAGGGTGATTTCCGAAATCTGTGGTATTTGAAGCGAATGCGGGAAGCAGGGTGTGTATTTTGAGTACAAGGTCAGACGCGAACGGGGCTTATAGCGATATTCGCCATCGGGTACAGTGGAGCATATTGGAGAAAGGCAACTTACGTCTCGCTCTGTAAACTCTGGAACTCGCGGCGGTCGGTCCATCCGTCTAGTGCGAAATCGCACACGAAGAGTGCTCTCCTGCAACGGGAACTTGAACTTTCGACGTATTGCATCCCATGTCATTCCCTTTCCGCGTGCCCAGTCAACAAGCTCGTCCTCTTCCTCCCTTGTGAGGCCTTCGACGTTCTCGATCAAGCCATTGTCCAAGCGCTGTGCGATGGTCATCGGAGCAGGATTGGTAGGCGCCGCAGCGCCGCTGGCGCGCTGCTGGATGTTGTCTGCGGCATTCGCAACTGCATTGCTCGGGTCTGGATCCCGCAAGCGCAATATGGGCTGAGGGCCGCCTTGGATCTGAACCGCTCCAGCTCCTGGAAAGTTCGAAGCAGAGCCGGTCGGCGCCGCAGCGGGGTTGGTGTTGCTGACAGATTGCTGGATGTTCTCTGCAGCGTTGGCATTCGCATTGATCGGGTACAGGTTACGCAATCCGCGCAGATGCTGGGGTGCTGCAGACTCATCTAAGTAGTTCATGTGCTCCACGTCTGGCTGAGGAAACATTGGTTGTGCAGCGGGATATCCGAGAGCCTGGTATGGATTCAGATTGTTATCCCACTGATGGGGCTGGCGGAAGTGTCCGAGAAATCGGCCGTGTCGCACGGCGTCCGGGGAAGGCATCACTGGGACTGTAGCTCTGTTAGTATGACTGTTCTTGAAGTTATGGAAAGTGTATGGGCCTTGTCATCTACATACTGCCATGGCTATGAGGCTGATTGGGGTAGTTCTGGGGCCGATTGCTGTAGTCCGAAGGCTGGCTACCGCGGTGCGCCGCGGGTGGAACTCCCGGGAAGGCTGGTAGATCGGTATTGTCTGCGATATTGTCAGTCTCTCGTGACTATTGGCTCACAGATCAGCCCTTCCCGGGGTGAACAAATTCACGCTTACCCTCAAGCACAGCGCCGTGGGATCGTGGCTGCAAAGCTCGGCCCTGTGCAGTGTAGGAGTTAGTTCAAATTTAAGAAGATGTATACAGAGAGTTTGGCAATTATAACATGAGGCCTCGAAGTCTGAGTAGAAGGCTGTGGCGACACTGCAATGCATATGTGGTCTGAAAGGCCAGCTGAGGACAAAGCCTTGGCTAGGAGGAATGGGGAAATCATCTTACCTGGTTACCAGTGTTCTGGTTCTGATCGACTTGATACGCACGAAGAGGGTCATAGATGCCTTCCAGGAGGAGGTCTTCCTCGTCCTGGAGAGATCGCTGGATGGCAAGCTGTATTTGTTCATCGTCAAACTCTCCGGATGGTTGACGTCGACGCCGGAAGTGATCCTGACGATCTGGACGATCATCCTGTCCCCGGTTTCCACGGTCATCCATGACTGCTGTTTGCAAATCTTCTAGGAGGAGTGCTGTCTCTAGGTTGCGTCAGAGCCTGAGAAGGGGATGTTACACCTGCAATGTTGACACTTGGGTAACTCACAGGACGGCCTTAGGTAGTATTGCTCTTGTGCAAAAATGCAGAGTAGAAGAGTGAAGTGGGAGAATACAAGCAGTTGGAAGAAACGGCGTAATTTTGCTTCGAAGGCAGTTGTGCGAGGCGTAAGAGAAAAACGTGAGAGTAGACACGTGCCCCGAGGATCAGATGAAGGTCAATCTGCCCAGTGTTGTTTGTGTATATTCTTGTTCCGAGGCCCTTAGCTCAGAAGCAGCAGGCAATGGCTACACTGACAGTCCTTGCTGGGATGGGCTATGTAGAAAGAGGTACCAGCCTGCAAGGAGATCAATATCAAATGTTGATTTTAGTGGAGGGTGGAGGCTGCGTCAATGGCTTCACTGGTGCCTCTGGCGCTGGTATATGGTGGGCATTGAGAGCCAGGTTGTTTTGAGGCCTTCCCAATCCAAGCCCTACCAATTGCAGATTTGCCGTAAACAGTCTATGTTCTTGACCGGCTGGCATAACCAATTTTCTGTATTATCCAAGAGGCTGTCTTCAGGCGGATCTTATGCTTCGCTGCTTCGTTCCCTGGCCGGGCATTGACTCTCCTCTGTACAGCGGGCCATGTCCAAACGCATCCCTGATGGTGTATTCGGCAGGCAGTCTATATTAACTTTTGAATCGCTCAAGGTATCCTGCTAGAACCATGTTTGTCCCTACAAAGATAGCACCATCCACGATGGAAGCGCCCAAAGAGGCTCAACTTCCGCACAAACATCCCTATTCTTTTTAAGTCCCCATTGTGTGAACCCATTCAGAAAATATACCCACTTGAGAAAGTGCTAATGTTGGCTTTCAATTCAGTTCCATTATAAATCCGGCCCCACCTAGATGCCAGAGCAGTTTCGGTTGGCACTATGTGTCCAAAATAACATGTGCCGGACCTGAAGTCCTTCCAAGAATGCTTTTGGACGCACGAAGACAGTGAAAAGCATTTACAGGACTGATGGAGCATTGCTTCTTGCAAGAACTGGTCGCAATGTACTCTAACCTTTGGAATAGACTATGAAGAGATAGCTTCAGTGCTTCGTTCAGCCTCGGGGGGTTTCAGTACTGTTCCCGGATCGACAGTCATCAAAGGCAATTCCTCACTATACAAGAATCGGTATACCCGAGAATACGACAGCCTTGTCACTGTGGTGGCTAAACAGCAGCAAAACAGCATGCTAACAGACGTTCCGTGCCTCAAGCTTAGAGGGAAGAGCAAAGACGAAGGATTGTTAGCTGCACACGTCAAGGAGAACATCGTTCGGGTACAACCAGCTGTCTGGAACCAGCTTGAACAACGCTGCGGCTGACTCCGAGGACACCGATTCGACATTCCCAGCTTACAACAACTGGCGCCCAAGCTTCTCGAACACTCAAGTCCGGTACAAAATTTTCTTGCGAAAAGACGAGTGCGAGCTCTCGCTGCCGGAGGAGGAAGGTAGCAATCCCCGTGCCGCGGGTGTGGACGGGCGGCCATTATTTCCTGTCACCTCAAGCGGAAAGAAGATAAGCCTTCTAGGATACGAGGAGGAAGTTGAAGATCTAGAATATTGACAGAAACTAGGACGATACAATACCGCCTTCTTCTCCCATGTTACATATATATCTTCTTAGAGCACCGGCATGTCAAGCTTATTCCCGCGAACCTGTTCAACCCTGTCTTGTGAAATATATAACTACCAAGATCGATTCTAAGGACATCGAAACGTCATACACCACGTATAATGATATCCTAGTACGAGGAAATATGATCATACTCTCCAAAAACCACTTTCCCCTCCCTTCCCCTGCCAACCTTGATTCCGACCCGAAAGAAACTGTGGTCAAGGATTTATACTAAGCTGCTGCCTCGCACAGATATACCTATCTCACAGTGGAAGACTCCCTCGAACTTGGAGTGTGGCGGTAACATTCCTAGCCAGGGAGCTGCCTTCGTACCGCAGGATATCCAGTTCGCACCAAGGGTTATGCGCCGAGCGCCGAGGGAAGTCAATCCGGGCCTTGCCGGTCCAGACCTCGGTGAGATGCATATCCATGAATACGGGAACAAGCTCTAGGATCGGGGGCGCCATGCCCGGGTGTGACTGCTGGATGCTGCGGAGGTTAAGGGACCATTTATTCGGCCCTGGGGGGTTGTTGACGAGGGCCTCGGGAATGAACTCGCAGTCGACCACCGTCCGCCCGGCCGGTCTCTGCGCGTTGGCTGTGACGAGCCGACTGCCCGTCTCAGGCTCGATCTCAGCCTTGCCGAATACCTTGGGGAAGCCGTACTGTTCGCGGCCTGCGAAGATGGCGGACTCATTGTCGAGGATCAGGATGAGGTGGTAGTTGAACTTCTCCCCCTTGTACGACACTTCGACGTTGTGGACATACTCCTTGTATGATCCTACTAGGCTCATGCCGTACTCGATGAAGGACGATGTCATGAGCGGCTCGTCCTCGAGCTCCAGCATGTCTGGAACGAGGTGCCGGACCTGTGATGCGGCTACGCGGTAGGAGACGCTTAGGACTTTGTCAATGATGAATGTGTATGGGTCTTGATGTCTGGGGTAGGGCGGAGCGTAGATCGGTACGCCTTCCGCCGTGACTGATAGACTTCCGAGAGGCATGTTTGGGGCTTTGACAAGCAGCTGGTGATGCAAATTGCGACTCGTTCTTATAATGGTTTGATGTATCTAAGCACTGACTAGCCATGACCCAAAATGGCCTTGCGAGACTTTGATTCATTTTATACATTATACCAGATACTGATTTGCAAGCAGGAACGGCTTTTATCCTACGTCCGATGCAAATCCATAACCCACGGCAAGTAAACAAGGGCCGATCCGTTGAAGTGGGCAGCACTGAACTTTATATGTGTACGGATAGAGCGGAGTAGGGCTGCTCGGCCCGGTGGAGCGAGTACAAACCGCCCTGCTCCGATCATGTTCATCCGTGCTCCGACGAATATGCGGCCTTTTCATGAAGTAACATATGTAGGTACGTGGGAACTGTATCCTTTCTGTATTCTCTGAAAAATCTCCATCGTGTCCAAGTAGAGATTAGTCCCCTTGGCACTTCGAATCTCCTTGATCCCAGAGCATTCGACCGTGGCAAAGGTGCTTTCCTATCATTGGAAATACTGCTTGGTCAATTAGGTGGATAAATATTTCATTCGGTCCTAGACCGTCCTCTGCAATCTAAATGCTATTGAGTGGAAGTGGTGTGTGCACAGAGATCTGTAAGATCGAGAATTGGCACAGCACGAGGCAGCATCGTCACCCTCGACGCCTGGATGTGCTCGTCAAGGCATCTTACTTCCAGAGACCTCCGTTGCTCTGTGATTAGAATGGCTGGTGGGTATGTCATTCGTGAGCTCTCGAAGCCTTGTTTCAAGACGAACAATGCCCGTACACTCGAAGACCACCCGCAACAGGGCCGGCTGGTGCATAGAGCCAATCCTGTCTGTAGACGAGGATCTGTGAGCCGGCATCAACATAAACCTTGATCTCGTGTATATTCAGGAAGAACATTTGAGTGCCTAGAAATTGCTGATCAACTTGCAATATGGGCACCTGGTAACGAGGAACGGGCATGCACATGGGCGTAGATAGTGGATTTGGGGTGGTGTCCGAGTGGAGCCCAGGCTAGACGCTCCTCAATGTTTACATGTTGTGACTTCCATGCCGCAAGCACTAGCTCGACAGAGCCAATATCAGCACTCGGGTCGTCAGCTCGCAGGGTTACATGGGTGCTGCTACCAAACTGCCCGGCAGGGACCTACATTGTGCATGTAGGTAATCTACTGGCAACCGCGTCTTGGGCATATCAGTTTCATTAAGGTAGCAGCGCGTGCCATATCACAAAATCAAAGGTGGCGTCTTGGATCTTGGGCAAGCAGCAGCCATTGCGGCCCACGAACTATGTTTGTTATTGTCCTTGTCCCAGTATAGGGTAATGACTTGGTGGCGGGTTGCTGCATGCTGTGCATGGTGGAAAGATACATAGCCGCTAGGGCGGGCCGCTGTCTTGGCGGTGGTTTGGCCGCAAAACATGAGCAACAGCACTTTTTTCAGGGGAAATCTGAAGGCTTGGTGAAGTCTTTGGAAGCACGTTGTGCAGACCTCGGCATCAGCGGGAATAGCCTCAAGCAGATGCGTCTCGGGTTCGCCCGTGCACGTGCGTGTGCAATGGCCATCAACGCCGGCCTTTGGGCCCAGCGGATGCTAGCAAGCACAGCCAGATGCCTCGGGCGCGAGCAGAGATGAGGTCAGACCGTCTGGTTTCAACCACCTAAAGCCCACGGCTAGGCCCGAAAGTCTGCCCCCGACGATGGATGGGATGGCCCGGCGAACCAACAAGAATCGGGCGAGATGCACGAGTCGGGTCACACAGCAGCGTGCGTGCTTTGTCCGCCCGGGTCGTTGAGGCTGGGCTTTTGCCGCGGACCCGGTCGGGATCTTTGCATGACCTTGACCATTCACCACCACCGTCACCATCACCATCATCATCACCGCCAGTGTCGCCATCGCCGGTGTCTGTGCGATTCTCTTGGCTTGGCCAGCTGGCTTGCGACAAATGCAAGGCCCGGCTTCACCGTCGAAGATCCCCGAAGTGGATTGAGTCGCACTGCATGCGTGTTGGGCTGCACGTACAAGATCCCGATCCTGATCCTGGGGTCTGTTCACCACCTGGCCTGGCCACCCTGCCGGCTTGGGCATCCACCCCCATGGGACCCGACTGCCGGGCGTTCTGTTTTGGAAGAAGTAAGATGCCCGTTACCGCTTTCAGTCAGGGCAGCAGCTGAATTTTGCTGATAACGTTGGTTCACTAGCCTTGTAATAAGACTTGAGCTTCCGGATTCCTCTAGTGCCCTGGGCCTGCGTGCATGGCATGAAGTGGGATCGACAAGACTTGCGTCCTCTACCTACTTCAGACTCATTGCCGTTAGCCTGCGACATCCAACCATCTATTCCGTGCGAGCTAAAGAAGTTCAGGGACAGTGGCAGTTGGAAAAAGGGGTGGTGGCCAGTCGAGGCCGTCTAAGACCTGCACCAAACTGTCTGTTCTCTTTTTTTCTTCTTTTTTCTTCTCTCGCCTCCCATTACCGAATTGGGATGGGAGCAGTCTGATACTCGCAGCGACATGACTCTGCAACGCCAATTGATGATTTTTTTCTTGCTGTTTCTTTTTCCGAAATGCCTGCCGAGATGCTGATTGTTTGTCGATCTCGAAGAGTCGAAACATGACAAGACTGTGGCACTGATGCCCTGTCTGTCTGTCTGTCACTCGCTCAGTAGGAAGGAACAAAGCCCAGAATGAGGCCAGCATACAGAATGTGATCAGTCTCAGTCTTGCAAAATCCAAGGAGCAAGGGGAGTAGGTAAGGTCTACAGCACAAAGGAGTAAAAATAGGAATTGAGCAGAATCAGGGGTCTCAGGCTGACATGTTGGTACCAAATTCTCCATTTGGAATGCTCAGCTTAATAGACCCCCCCTTAGCCTCTGCCCTCCCTCCCTCGAGTTTCACCTAACCCTTGGATCCCTTGAATCCCTTGGATCCCTTTCTGGTCCTGGGCCCCCTTTAGCGTCAGGACCCTGTGGCTAGCGTGTTGTCTCGCCCCGCTCTGCCCGTCAGGCCCGTCTGCCCTTTTCAGAATCCAGCCCTCCAGGTCGGTTGTTGCCCCCCCTGCCCCTGCCCACATTTGCCTAATCCTTCCCAGATTGGATAGTGCAGTTGCGCAATGGCAGTCCACATGTGATGAGCAGCAGTTAGCCAGCTCCGTCAGCCTGCCAGTTCTGTCTCTCACGCTTGGGCTGGGTGCTGGCTGGCTGGCTGGCTGGCTGGCAAGGTCCAGAGGCAACGAGAGCCAGAGACCAGAGCCGGAGTCAGTCCTGCCCCCCTGCCCACACCCACCCCCCTGTACCCCTGATCGGGGGCGGTCAGTGCAGGGGAATGGCACGTCAGATGCAGGCGCGAATAATAGCAATGTCGCAGTGGCAGTGGCCATAGGCGTAAGCTACTTTGCTGGCTGTCGCTTGAGAGACGAGACAAGACCGCATGCATCTTTTCGATGTTTTCCTAGCGTCAACACAACGTCGTTGCTGTCGTCTGTCCGTCCGCCTGTCTGTGTTGCCGGCTGTCTCGTCTCAGCATCTTCTTCTCTTCTTTTCGAGAGCGAAGCAGTGCGCAGCAATCGCAACGCATCGCATTGCATCGCACTGCATTGCATCACATCACCTCTTGTCACCGTCCAATGCTTCTTTCCCTCCCTGCCACTGCTTTCTTTTGTCGCCTCTGTTCCTGGTCCTGGTCCTGTTCCTGTTCCTGTTCCTGATTTGCGTGTCCCTGGCCTGTCTTGATCACTACCAACAACATCGTCACTCCCTCATTTCCCCCCGCCACGACCACACGGCCACACGACCACGCACAGCAGCGAGTGGCTCGCACGTAACCGAGATAGCCTGGCCGTCGAGTCGCCCGGTCGATTGTCCGTGCCCATCTAGTCATCGTCTCGCACCGCCTTGTATCGCATCGCATTGCGCCTCGCCTCGCCTCGCATCGCCTCGCATCATCTCGTGTCGTGCCGTGCGCGGATCGTGTTGCGTCTTGTTTTGTTTAGTTCTTGGTATTTGTGTCGTGTGTCGTGTCGTTTCTGCCCATCTTTTGGACTGCATTCGCGACTTATTTCATACCGACGTCGGTCTTCACTCCCAGTCGCAGCAATTGGCCGAATTCCAGGTTAAAGATTGAAGAGTGAAAGACGGACCCAACAACCGCTCTTTCCTCGATTGAAGCCATAACACAGCCAGTACACACACCACACCACACCACAGTACAGCATCGCACATACCCACTTCCGGCCATTGCTTGCGTCGGCCCCCCGACTCACCCAACAGCATGGCGTCTCCCTCCGCTCGCCGAATCTTCCCAATCTCCGACTGGGCTCCAGCCCACGAGGCCTTGTACCTAGAAGCCGACAACGACTCGTCCATCGACACCCTCCCTTTCCCCCCCAAGCCACGACAGTCCTCCTACACGCCCTCTCCCTCGTCTTCCTCGTGCTGCGCGCCCCTCCCTCGACGTAGTCACACCACAAAACAACACCGAAGCATGTCGTTGCCCTGGCGGCCCAAGTCTCAGATCATCTCGCCCAGTGACATCGAGGCCAAGTTCCCCGACTTCTCCCTTGATCGCACCCAGACGGCCGCCCAACTGGCCACCACACACTCTGGCTCTGCCTCTGGCTTAGGGTCAGTCTCGGGTTCTGGCTCTGGATTTGTTGAATACGAGAGCACATCATCAGACCTCCCAGGTGCCGTCAAGGGAAAGGGTAAGGGTAGGATCAGTGGCATCTTCAGACGCGCGTCTGTCTCCCTCAAGGGCCTGGTGCACCGTCGAACCTCCATCGCTACAGACACCTTCGAAGATCCCCGCGAGACAACCCGACACCAGCAGCGATCGAGCCACGCCCCTTCGCACTCATACCACCACATCCAGACCACTCCAGCCTCGCCCCAGGCAGGCTCCTCCTCTCCCTCCCGAGCAGGCGCACAGCAGTCTCGTCCGACAACAAGCCACGGCATCAATGCGACGTGGCACCGCCTGCGACAGGCTACTAGTTTCCGACAATCTCGTGTCCTGTACGGCGACTTCACAATGCACGGCCACGAAGTCCCCTACCAGCCCCAAGACGACCTCCCTTACTCCGTCCCAAGGCCCGGCGTGGGCGGCGAGCCGCCTGTCATACCCCGGCATGGAGGTTCGGGCGCACGAGCTGCCGCCGCTGCCTGGCAGCACGACATGTTTCCCACTGTGCACCCGGTGGGACGAGCCGACATGCCAGTCTTGAAGAACAAGCGATTGACCCTCGATTCGACCCAGACCGATCGGGAAAGTGGCATTGGCATCGCTGTGACCAGCCACGACTCCGAGGCTGGTGACCTGCAGGATCTGGACATGGTGACGTCCGACGGGGCACAGGTCCTTTATGGCTGTGCTCCAGAGATCAGCAGGATTGACTTTATCGACAGGTTGCCTGCAGAATTGGCGATTCAAGTGCTGGCCCATCTAGACGCGGCGGATCTGGCCAGGTCAAGTCTAGTCTCTAGGCCCTGGCAGGAGATGGTATCCTCCCAGCACATCTGGAGGGAGTCTTACCTTCGTGAGAAGACCGGCACGTATGCTACAAGCAGTCCCGTGCAGCCAGGCTCAGGACTAGGCGTGCCGGCTATCCAACCGAACATCAATTGGAAGGACGCGTACAGGGTCACCGAGGAGCTGGGCCAGAGATGGAAGCGGGGGCAGGCCACGTCGATCTATCTTAACGGGCACTCGGACAGCATATATTGCTTGCAATTTGATGAGTATGGCTCACCTTCCTTCCGTGGTGCCCCGGAGTACTGTTTTATATCTGACTATTTCTGAACAGGCAAAAAATCATTACCGGTTCCCGCGACAAGACGATCCGCATCTGGGACATGCATACCCTGGCGTGTAAGCTGGTCATCGGTCCTCCCGAGGTTGTGAAGGACAACGCTTTGCTCTACGATGAGGATGGCAATCCAACACACTCAGCGACCCATGAGCCGCATACGGGAGCGGACGCCGAGCAGAACCGCACGACTTCCGTTCCAACCACCGTCTCTTTCCAGACCCACCACAAGGCATCCATTCTCTGCCTTCAGTACGACGACAACATCCTCGTCACTGGCAGCTCCGACGCCTCATGCATCGTGTACGACGTCAACGGCGGGTACCGTCCTGTGCGACGTCTGCGCCATCACACTGCTGCCGTGCTTGACCTTTGCTTTGACGACAAGCACATCGTGACCTGCTCCAAGGATATCAGCATCTGCGTATGGGATCGGGAGACGGGTCAGCTCCTGAAACAACTCAGAGGACACAGCGGGCCAGTCAATGCGGTGCAGATGCGCGGCAACACGGTTGTTTCCTGCAGCGGGGACTTCCGCGTCAAGCTGTGGAACATTGACACCGGCAAGCAGATCCGAGAGTTCCAAGGCCACACCAAGGGTTTGGCATGCAGCCAGTTCAGCGAGGACGGGAGATACGTGGCCAGCGCTGGTAATGACAAGGTGATTCGTATCTGGGACGCAAACACGGGCGAATGCCTCCGGGAAATGAAGGCTCACGAGAGCTTGGTGCGGTCCCTGCACATAGATAGTGTTTCGGGACGACTCATCTCCGGCTCCTATGATACCGACATCAAGGTGTTCGATATGGAGACGGGCCGTCAATTGCTGGACTTTCCTAGGTGGCATGCCAGTTGGGTGTTGAGCGCCAAATCCGACTACCGCAGGATCGTGTCTACTGGACAAGATCCGAAGATCTTGGTCATGGACTTTGGTGCCGGCATCCAGGGGATCGACATGCTCGAGAGTGACTCGGCCAACAGGGTCGCGATGGAGGAGAGCAAGGTGGTCGCTGACGTTCAAGAGGACGGCGGCTACATCTGAGGGTGAGGTTGGATCATTGGGATTGAGGCTGCCGTGATGTACGCACGTCTTCTCAGCTGCAAGCACTTTCGCATCCCGATGCGTCGAAATCCGCCCTCAACAACACCAACGAAGTCGAAGTGTTCATCGCCATCAAGCAGCATTGAACACTACTATTATTCTTTCCATAGGTCCATACCATCACCGCAACACAAGACGGAGCTTCACAAGGCTTGGTGGGGAGATCGGTCGCGCAGCGTGGCGTCGAATTTGGTACTCGTTGCTTCCTGCCCCACCAGGGCGGGAGCAACATGGCTAGAGAAGCTTTCTTGGGATGGATAATCTGATTAGGATGCTGAGTATGGCATTATTATCATCCATTCCCATCTTGCTCCATTACCTTTTTATCGGCCGGCTGGCAAGCGGCCAAAATGTTTAGGAGCTTGGGAAGAAGTTATTTGCATAGCGAGCGGCGGGCTACTTGCTTCAATTGTATGCTTGTTACATCCTTTTGTGAGCATATAGATCAAAAACATTTAAAGAAGTCCCCGGGATTTGAGAGCCTTGCATGTCTTGCCCCTTGTGTCGACGTCTTCCCACCGGCGAGGGATGCGATTGGAGCTTGGCATTCCGACTTACACGAGCCACTATGATCGGATGGCAGCACCATGCATCTCTAGACCAGCATTCTTCATGGTTATGACACCTATCAACTTGTTTATGCTTTTTACCCAGCCCCTCGGTGCATGGGCTCGCCGTGAAATTTGAGCCTCGGCCAAAACGTTTCGAACCTCTCTCCACGTGCTAACTCCACAGTGCCGCCCGTTGCAGGTTGCCTAAACGGGCTTGCGCCCATGTAATTGGTGGTATATCCCGTCGAGCAGATGGGATGTCTCGAATATGGACAGGGATTGGGGGGAAGAGCAATAGAAAGAAAGAGCAGGCAGGCCGAGGGAAAGGAGCTTTGGGAAATAGCAACGAACATGGAGGAGTCTCTAGAGATGAGGGATATAGGCCGATCGGCGAAGAGATGACGCATGACGCTCTGCTAAGGTCTACGTATATGACCTTCATCGACCTTCCCATTATCTGAAATTGAGACGATGTGCAATTGTAAGGAATGCCAGTCTTCTTCCCACAGACCAACGAACGCTAGAACCAGACCAACTCGCGGCGTAAACGCAGACTAGCAACAATGAAGGCCTCCATTCCCACACTCACTACCGCCCTCGTGGCCACATGCGCCCTCTGGGCCCCAGCCCTCAGCGATATAACACAAGGCGTCACCCCGGAACTCTTCGCCCGCCTGGACCGCCTGGCCCTGCTGTCCATGAACGTCTACACGGGGGCGTTGTGTGCACCGCCCTTCGGCCTCACCCGCGCCGGCTTCATCAACGAGACGACCTACGACATCCAGGGCCAGGTACTACGCGACGACGCCGCGCGCGAGGCCGTCGTCGTGTTCCGCGGCACCGCCAGCGACAAAAACTTCCAGGTCGACGTCAACATCACGCTCGCACCGTTCGAGACCGCCGCCGCCAACTGCCCCGGCTGCCAGGTCCACGGAGGGTTTTACCTCGCCTGGACCGCGGCGCGGGAGCAGGTCCTGGGGCTGGTTCAGGGGGTGCTGAGTGCGTTCCCTGGGTATGGTGTTGTTATCACGGGGCATAGGTATGTTGGGAGTTCTCTTTCCTACGGTTCTGCTTTGTTTCTTTATTCTATGTGGTTGCCGGAGCAGCCTGCTTTGCGCTGGACTATGTTCCGTCACAATTTGCTCACAAATCTTCACTTACTGCGCAGTCTCGGCGGCTCTATGGCCTCACTGGCTGCTACACAGTTTCAGCCGCTGTTCCCTAATTTGACGGTATATACCTACGGTGAGCCTCGGACAGGTGATGCGATGTACGTCCAGGCAGTGGAGACCAACTTCCTCGCATCGAGTCCTCTTACAACGAGGTACTTTCGCTCCACTCGTAAGCATATTTCCTTTTCCCGGTAATCGTCAATGCGATACTTTCCGAGGAGGTTTTTGGAACATCGAGGCAGATATCTAGTGTCCATTATAAGTGGCTGATTTCACACCCGTTCCTGCACGTAGACGAAGACGACGGCGTCCCTAATTTCCCGGGCGTGAGCGATGGATATCAGTCCTCGACTCGCAACTCGTTCTGGCAGCGGGACCCCGTGGGCGCCAACAACACGTTTGTGTGTACGAGCACTAGCGACTTCCAGACACAGAGGCAGTGTGGTGAAGGGAGAAATGGATCCGGCATCAACCAAGCGCATCTAACGTACTTTGGGCACCCGCTTAACGTGAACGGCCCATGTCCGCCGTAGGGGGCAGGCTGGCCGGGAACAAAATGTAGCATAGTGGGAAGCTGAACCAACAGGCGGGGGTGCATAGTAACAAGAGATGCGACTAACGGACCTAGTAGTATATGCTCGGAAATCGGAAAGATGCACATGCATGTAAATATCAATCATTGTTATTTACGCATGCGCGGTGAAATAGACAGATATAGGCAAAATCAAGGCGAAGTTTCTTAAGCTTTAGCTCATAAATTCCAAATTTTTAGATATACATGCCTCACTTGTATATACAGAAGACAGTGGGACTACAACTACAGATATTTAGCCGAGATAGCATCGTACTCTGCCTGAGTCACCGGCGTCACAGACCCATGCTTCAAGCCCGAGGGGAACCCGCTCGTGCTCGAGCTAGACCACGACCCTCCCGCGATGTCCGACGTCTCAAAGGGCCTGTACTGTGTGTAGTCGTCCAGCAGCAGGTGATACAAGCCCGGTGTGACGTTGTCCGCGTACGCCGCGGGGCCTTCAGCTGGGCTCAGGCTGCTGACATATCCCGGGATCCGCGTCCACGTGCCAAACAGCCCGCCTGTTGTGGTCTCCTGGTATACCTGATTGACGGTCTCGTTCTTCAGGAACCGGGCGTACGCACCGCTCGTGCCCAAATACTGGAATTCTTGGTCGATGAGTGGTGTGTCTGCTAGCGCGAGGTAGTCCGACGGCGCGCTGAAAGTCTCGAAGTCCGCGGTCGTGGCGTAGCGGATCCTGTCCAGGGTGGCGGTGCCGGTGTGGGCGGTGTCGGACTCGGCGTAGTGGCGTGCGGACCAGAAGACGTAGAAGAGACCGTCCCCGGTATTGTAGACGGCCGATGGCGCCCATACCATTCCTGCTGTTGCGCTGTCCACACTGTGTTCGGAGTGACGATTAGCCTATGCGAACACACAAGACAGGTCGTTGTGGAACGGCGTTCTCGCTTCGACTACTTACGTTCTGAGTGAAGGCTCAGACCAGTCCACGAGGTTTGTCGAACTCCATACCACAATCCCGCGGCTTCCTGTCCTCGTAGCTGCGTCCCACGAGAACCCATCGGCGTTGATGTCGAGATCTGCCAGATTTATTTATTAGCGTCTGGCATTGCCTGGTGAAGTTGGAGAGGACTTACCGGTGGCAATGAGATAATATTGAGACCGGTCATCATTCGTTGTCAGGAAGATATCCCTGACGCCCTTCGTGCCGACTGTTGACGCGAGGATGGGCTCGCCACTATTCAAGAAGGTGAAGCTCGAGGGACTGTTCCCATTAGAAAGGTACTGTTGAACTTGAGGCCTAGCATCGGAAAAAGTCGAGATAAGGTATCCAACGTAGCTGGCAGCCTGTCGTGTCTTGAGCGCTGTCGGGCTGGCGACTACGCCGAGCGCTGCTGAAGCAGCAGTGACGAGTAGCGTGAACGCGTGCATGTTGGAGCACTGACTTGGCCAAGAACAAAACGAAATCCTTTATTTCCCTGAGCTGGAAAGATGTGGTATTACTACGGATATTCCCTATAATACAAACATTGTCGGAAAACGCAGCTTTATAGGCGAGTAAGATTGGGACTGACGCATGAGTGTTCCTTCGTTTGGTGTAATTGTTCATCGCGAACTTCATCCCGAAGCGGCTCTTGGGTGATCTACATGGGTACGCGTAGTTAGCCCTAAGCGTCCCAATCGGCTCGAGCCTGGGTTGGAGTTACTCATGCCAAGAGCGCTTCGACTTGGGGCGATTCAGTGCTTGTGGCGTCCCGGTGTAATTACGTCCGTCCATTCAGACTTTGAGTTGTGAAGAATTACTTGGAACTCTCTATATGCTGAATTATGTGCATTGCGTGTATTACACCAGTAGTGCCTGCGCACTTGGACTACGCAATCGCATAGTCGCTGGATCACAGCAGACAGCACTTGTGAACATCGACCTGTTTGCACGAATCCGGCCAAGCCCGGTTTCCTGAATGTAGAGTTAACGACAATGTAGTCGGATTCACGTATTACTTGATTACAGAATTACTCGATCGTAAATGATCCCTTCAGCGGCAGATCCCGAGAACTTCTTCCAACATAGATACCGTACTCTCCTCTCGCCAGCCTCCACTGCTGGTTCTCCACGTCCCAGACACTCAGATCCCTCCTCGTCAGCTCAAACACAGCCCGCCTGCTCTGGCTCGGAGCCAGAGGGCCGACCCGCTTGAAGCCCCGGAGCTGTCTTATTGGTGTGTCCTCAACGGGGATGCTGACGTACAACTGCGCAATATCGGCACCGTCAACGCTGCCCGAATTCTCAACGGTGGCCTTGACCACGGCAATAGGGTCCCACAGCTCGGGGTGGCCGCCTTGCACAATAGCAATTTCTGGGTCCGGGAACTCAGAAAAGCTCTCGTTCGCGGCCTTGCCAAAGAGTGAAGTAGTCAAATCGCTGTACTCGAACGTGGTGTAACTCAGGCCAAAGCCAAACTCGAACTGAGGCTCAATGTCTTCCTGGTCGAACTTGCGATAGTCGATGAACAGACCCTCGCTGAAATTTGTAGCAGGAAAGTACTCATCGGTAACGGTCGAGTTCAGGACGTCGCCGTAATCAGTCTCGTTCTTAGCGACGGTGTAAGGAAGACGACCACTGGGGTTGATGTCACCGTAGAGCACGGAAACGAGTGACCGGCCTGTCTCTTGGCCGGGCAGACCGGCGAACAGAACGGCTGTGACATTTGGGTGGTCGATCCACTCGTCAACCACGCGAACACCGGTAGAATGAAGGACGACAATGGTGCTGCTGCAATTGGCGGCAGTGTTCTTCACGAGGTTGTCGCTGAACTCATCTTTCAGCGTCAGTCTGTCGAAGGACTCGGAGGCGTAAGCGTTGATGAATACCAGGCAGTGCTCAGCGTTGGAATATGCCGGAGACGGGTTCTCGGACCAGAAGTCCCACCGAAGGGTGCCTCGGTCCTTGCGGATGCGCTCGGAAATAGCCATAAAGGGATCGATAATATAAGATGGTGTACTGCCGCCAGAACCACCACCCGTAATCAGAGTCCCGTTGAAGGTTTCCCATCCAAAATTGACCTCGTAACCTCCACCATATCGCGATGGGTTTTGCCAAGCTTCGGACTTGATAGTGGCGTCGTAGCCGTAGATATTGAGGAATTTGGGGCTCTTGAAGGGTAGTGTGCCGTTAACGTTCTTCACCAGCACGGTTCCGGCAGCTCCAATCTCGTGGATCAGCTCAGTATGGTCCCATGCTTGCGCGTTAATTGCAAAGTGCTTCTGCGTGCTGGAGTAGACCGAGGGACTGGGAAAGGTGTTTTCTTGTCGGAGGTAGAAGAAGCTGGCCAGCGTTCGTGTGACCATATCATCAAGCCGAGCGGTGCTGACAGAGCCGTTCTTGACAGCCTCAGTGAGGTTGTTGCCCCAGTAGCCGCCGTCCGGCATTACGATATCGAGTCCGGCATTAGCGCTAGAGACGCCAGACTCGTGCGCCCCCCAATCGCTCACGACGAAACCCTCGAAACCGAGCTCAGTCTTTAAAACGCCGTTGAGGAGCTTCGAGTTCTGGCAGACGTAGGATTGGTTGACGCGATTATATCCGCACATCAGAGCCCCTGCTCCCTCGCGCAAGGAGTCCATGAAAGGGAACGCATATAGTTCGTGGAGCGTCCTATCGTCAACGTTGGCGCTGATAGCAGCACCAGCGGGACCTGCGATACGTCGATATTCTTGCTCGTTGAGCAGCCAATGCTTTGGTGTAGCAATGACGCCGGCATCTTGGATGCCCTTGGTGATCTTGCCCATCCCCACGCCGGCAAGATAAGGGTCATTCGACAGACCCTCCCAATTTCGGCCACCGCGGACTGTACGACCAAGAGGACCAGCAACGGGGCCAAGAGCTACATTAATGCCCTTGGCGTAGTACTGCTCGCCCAGAGCGCGGCCGTACTTCTCCATGAGCCCTTGGTCGAAGGTAGCAGCAACGTGAATACCCGCCGGAAAGGCAGAGACAAATTCCTGTCCTCGGATTCCATCAGGGGCATCTGCGAAGCAAAGCGCCGGGATGTCGAGACGGGCCACGCTACCGGTGTTACCAACACACGCGCCAGTGAAGCCGCGGGTGATGTTGCTCTTCTCTTCTAGGGTCATCTGAGCCACGAGAGCTCTAGCTCGCTTATAGGCAGTGGACCACTTGGGGCTGGTCTTTCCGCCTCCGACCGCTGCGATCGAGTGTCAGTGATTTGCACGGTCGAATACAGTCAGTTCAAGAAGCAATTATGAGCTCACGTGAAGGGTAGACCGGTGGGCTGAGGCCATAGTATGGTACCTCTGAAGGCGGCGAGGTGTTGTTGGTCTGGCTCACGACAACGCCAGCCGTCACGGCGGCGAGCAAAGCAGATTGGACCTTCATGTTGTCGAGCTCGGGGAGAGGATGGAGCCGTGGGGTAAGAAGCTTCGACTCGACGAAGAACCAAGAGATGTTTGGAGCCTCATATAACAATTGGGTTTGATCACTAGACTCCGGTGACGGCGACCTGAACTCTCACCGTGGCCTGCCCTTGCTAGTATCGGGTGAGGCTCCATAACGAACCCCCTCATCCGTGATGAGAATGACGCGATAGTCAGTGTGCCTCCACACAACCAACATCGTGGTACCTGGTGTTCCGGAAGATACCCGGCACTTGTGCTGCAGGTTCAATTTCTTGGTCACTGCTACAGTGAGCTGAGGAGCTGGTTTGGTCGGGATTTGGAGTGGAGACTTGATGGTTCATTATCGTTGCCCAGACTTACGGGCCGACTGGGGTGGGAACCTGAACGCGGAGAGAGGCCAGGATGATGCGGGGTGAAAGCGCAACTCCAGTAGAAGGGACGAACTCGCGCGATTCAGTCCACTTTTGTCTGCTCATCACTTGATCATCAGACTCTGTCAAGTCTTTTTCTCCGACCTCAGCAGTTACCAGACCGACGGGTCCGGGCATTTGGCAGAATTAGTTGACTCCAAGTCCGCGAGGCCCAGTGACTTCAGGGGTCTGCTTCTGGGGAAGTAATCGTCATTGGCCAGGATAGAGTGGGCAAGTGGCAGAGGAAAGTGACGGGGTTTGGGCAGACCGGCGGTGACACCGGTGACGGGAGTTCAGAAGGAATGTTGCATTGAGTCTGGGGAAATTGTGTCATCGCCCAAGTCTTCCACTTGCATTCAAAATCACCCGGTAAGCACTTCGGTAACCTTTCCCAGCGACTTGTAGTTTGAAGGTGCACAAGTCTATGCACATAGTATTTCCGTGTCAACGAAAGTCCAAGTCTGTGTATACCCACCACCGTGAAGACAATCATGCTCGGTAGCTAAAGGCGAAAATTTGGTCTAGAGTGTTCTATGTGTAGTCGAAAATATGTACAAATTCAGAAGGCAATATTCATTCGATCGTCTGGAGCACCGCTGATCCATGCTCCCTTGCGTGACAGAGACCTCAACCAGTGTACACAGCGGGTCCCACGCTGGTGTACTTAAAGTTAGAGTCGTAAATCGAGGTCGAGAACAACGCATCGCTGGTCTTGTATGCCCCTGGGAACTTGACGCCAGCAGGGTTGGTGGAACCGCCACCAGTGACATTTATTTGAAAGCACGAAACGTAGGGCTGGGGTTGTCCGGCGCCGGCATGAAGGGCGATGGCCTCAGCACGGACCAGATAATTTCCTGGCGCGATACTGGCGGGGACTTTGAGAGTGTCAGCAGTGGTTTCTTCATTGTGCGCATAAGGGAGAAGACTAAGCCTACCAGTGAAAGCCCTTTTGCCACAGTTCGCGTTGAGAATCTCTGTTCCCCACGATGCAGTCGTCCCGGTGTACCCATCCTCGGCAACCTTGAAGAAGCTTGCCTGTGAGCCGTCGGCTGTCTTCGCGTCGCTGACCTTGGCCATATACACCATCACAGGGCCATAGTGGTTTCCTCCGAGGGCTTGATTGCTGCACGATCGATCTCCTGGCTGCTGATGCATCTCGACTGTGAGAGGGGACCCAGCTGCAGGGTTCGTTAATATTTTGCCTCAAAACTCTAGTGATACGAGGGTCAGACCAACCTTTGACTTCGCAAATTCCAGAAGAGGCCGCAGGGCTTCGGCCGCAAGCCATTGTGGCATCGGTAACGCTAACGATAGGAGAGTTGTCTTTGACGGTCCGCACACAGGTCCCTGCTTTGTCCTCAGTCCCGACCCAAAGCTCTTGCCATGTAGCGTGTGCTGTGACTGAAGTCACAGCAGCAAGGAGAACAAGTCCGAACTTCATTTTCAAGGATGTGTCGAGTCACGAGTGAAATGTTTGCAAGTGAAATCAGGAGGCTGTCGAGAAGAGGAGATGAGTTCTCGTGAAAATCACTCGGATTCGAAGTGTATATAAACTACGGGAATTCATGCTTTTAAGGCCGGCTGTTTCGAACCAAATCTTTCCCGCACCAAGGAGGTCGAGACTAGATCATGAATGGCTGTGCTGTGGGCGGCCACAGTCTAAGCATGAAGGCATCCAGTTCATCCGTCCAAGAATCCTAGATTAGCCGGTGTTAAATAAACAATGTAAACTGTCTTGGCAACGGCAGCACTACCGAACCACGGGCCCGCAGGAGGCACAGATCGTCATGCCGAGAGCGTCATCGCCAATGAGCGCGGCGCAGACAGAGCCAAGCTTTTCTTACACATTGCACTACCCTGTGCATGATTTGGGAACCGGCGCGAGGTCTCCGAGAAACCATTCAACAGTGATTTCTGATGGATCAATTGGTCAGTTCACGGTAATAAGGTCTCCGTGGACAAGGCTGGCCTGAATCATGGGTTCCAGGTTGCCTTTCCATAGATTGGCTGTTTGATACCCTACGCAGTCAGATGAGGAGGCCTAATCTGAAGACCTACTGGACAAGTAGAGCCGAGGCGGAAGCCAGGCGATTGTGCGCAGACATTCACCCAGATTTGATCGAGATCATGGAACAGTTTGCTATGAGAGAATTCGTGATCGGCCATTTCGTAGCGATTGAAACGAGCTTTGATCAAACATCAAATACGAATAATAAGGGTCCTTTCGCCGAACAGTAGCTTATGTGATAGATCTTGCCAAACAGCTCAGCCGACGACCGAATAAATGTCTGCTGGGAATGGCCGGACCGTGCTCTGTTGAACCGTTGGCGTTTGTTTCGCGTGCTTTTAAGACGCCCACGAGCATTTTCATATTACATCCCATACAGATAGATGCCGGCTTTGAGAAAGCTCATGATGTCTCAATTTGGGATACTGGATCACATAGTGCCGCTACCACGCGTTCAGGGACTTTATTGGATGAATTAAGCATTTCCGCGCTGTCGACCAGTGTTCAGACGCAAATCGGCCTGGTTCGTCTGGTGCGCCATCTTCTGTCACATTGATCTGCCGGGAACGCTCTCCGGGAAAATAAATAGTATGCCTTAATCGCTCAGATCACTTCCAGATAAGACCGAACCAAGCTTTGGACAAGATTTGCAAAGCGAAGGATGAGCATTCCCATCTATTTTAAGTTATCTGACACCCGCATGAGCCAGATCTCGGGACGCTCGGCATCATCGAAATACCCTATGTGATCGATTGACATGGAGCAGTGTCCAGAAAATCAGGCATGCGTATGACATTGGCTGGAATCATCTTTTAATCGGTCCTTCTCCTAATCAACTTGATCTTTTGGTCACGGGCCGCCTTTGCGATCACTCTGAGACTGGCTGGGCTCAACAAGTCTCGCCGGCGTGAGCAGAGGATATCCGACATTCAGAGAGCCAGATGCATTGGTGATAAGTCAGTTTCCGTCTTCTATTGATCATCCACGGAATATTTTTCCACGCTCACAGTTTGCGCGGCCACTTTTAGTCCCGAGTCATTTTTCCGACACACTACGTCCTCGCGCGTTTGTGAGGGGGTTGCTCCAGCTCCCAATCATATGGTTTTCGGCCGTAGACAACATATCTTCGCACAGATCATTAGCGACGCCTAGTAGGTGAATAAAAGGAGGGTGGGGTAGATCAGGAGGGTTTATCTCACATCGGGAAGAAGAAATGCAGCCGGGAATCCGTGATGTCTGTTTTGGCTTTTTCAACGAGGTCTTCAATATCATCCGGCTCCATGCCCAATTTTCTAAAGAGCTTCCAGCCAAATCCACGGAGTGCCCTGTGGGAGTTTATCATCTGCCAGTAGCCGAGTGACTTGAATTTAGCTTCGTCTGGCCACGGGTTGCCTGAGAATGGTCAGCAACTCGATGGGCCTTTCGCTGTTGATCCAAAGTAGAGAAATAAAGAAAATCACTCCAAGCTGAATTGGAGAGAGTCTTGTGTGGGCTCACCTGGAACGGGTCCAACATCCTCCACAACGTCCAGAAAACCGGCCTCAACTAACATTTCCTTGTACTTGCTAGGTATATCAAGGTCTCGACCAATGGCTTCACCAGCCTGAAGAATGAGTTGAGAGAACCTTTCTATATGTGAGCCATGGGCCGTCCCATCTGTACACATGAGCTTGAACACAGCGTCCTGCAACTCGATCCAACCTCCGGGTTCTAGGTTATCATAGCATTTTGTGAACAGCGCTCGGTAATCGTCAAAGCATGTGTGAACCATTCGCAGATGTATGTAGTCAAACACAACCGGAAGAGTCCACTCGTCGAGCTCCGCGTCTTCTTTGATGAATGAGCAATTGGGAGGCCCTTCGGGCTGGATCAGGCTGAGGTCTGTCCCGATCACATTTGAATCCGGGAACTTCTTTGCCATTTGTATAGCCCAGATGCCGGTTCCAGTCGCAACATCCAGGACATTCTTTGGCGGCAGCTGTATGGGTGCTTTGAAAAGGGCATCATCCATGTGAACTTGCCACAGTTTATGCTGCAGGTCGAGGCGATCTTGTTCTGCCTGCAAGAACTTTTGTCAGCGGTATGGTCCTAAACATATCCGCCGCGGAGGCGCAATTTCACTACACACCGCATCGTTCGGCAAGTAGTATCTGCCCTCATGATAATTATGATATGTTCGTCCATTCTCCTCGTCCAACACCGCATCGGGCTCAGCGATGGACGCTCCGCTTGGGGCTCGCTGCAGCTCTTCAGGAACCGGTTTCTGGGCATGGAGTATAAAACCATTGAAATCTAAGGCCGGGACAGATTGGGCTATCTCCTCGGTGAACGGTTCAAACTGGGCATTGGCACTCCCAGCTCCGAATAGTGGTGTCTGGCCTGCCGGATTGCTCAAGATCTCGTTTGGCAGGATGGCGCCGCCATGTGCGCCACTTGGTGTAGCCTCGGAATTAGCAATTGCATGCACGCTTCCGGCTTCAATTTGCTCTTGACCGTGGGCCGAGGCTCCAATCCCCGGTTGTGGCTGGCCGAAGGGCAAGCCGCCTGCATTATTGTCATCCATTGCTGCAGCTCCAAGATGTGGTGGGAGGTCTGCGGGCCCAAGAGTCCAAACCGGCTGGCCGGATGAGATGCGGGCAATCAGGACTCAGGCGAGACGTGGGAGCTGGCGGATTGGTACTAAGAATGGGCATGGCGCCATTCTGCCCATCGGTAAACGGCGTGTCTTCAGCGCTGGGTGTGTCCACAGTGACAAGGAGGCCCATAAAACGCTTGTGGTAAGTGGTGGCTATTGTAAGTAGCCTATCTGCCGGATGCCCACCCGGGCGTCCCGGCTCCCCAAAAGAAACGGTCCCACATGTTCCTCGGGTGAACCCTAAGCGACGCGGTCCGTACATCTCAGATATCTGCTCTCTGGAAAGACATCCGTGTTGCCAGCCTCTGGACATCTAAAAATATCGAGATATATATGCTCTTTATAAGTGTATTCTCCAGTGCATACTTCTGACCAGTGCTATTTTCTTCAGCCCCGCTCGGTTGAGACATGCTCGCGATTAGACGAGAGGGCTGCCCAGGTTTCGAGTGGCTTTTGCCGCCTCAGTGGAGCAGGACTGGGCGCGTCTGTTCCATCAATGCAACTGGACAAGCGCGACGCAACCTCATCAGGAGTGTTTTGCTGTATCGATTCGCTCGGAAGGCTTCCTCAACAGGATGAGAGCGGGCTCTGCTGATGATGTGTTCGTACTGTTGGCGTGCCGCGTGCCTTGGCTGGACCCCTGGTGCCCTGAATGAGATGATACTGTAATCGACCTGGGTACCGCGTGACGTCACCAGGCAGGCTGTGGCGATGGAAACACAACCACGCTGCTCCTCGAGTGGTGGGATTTCAAGTACTGGGGTTCTTCGAATGACACCGTGAACTTGGCAGTACTGTAAAGATAACAGGAACCAGGTACGAGTGTACGAGTATATATGAGCCAGCTCCCAGATTCTGCAAGTTACGCAGCTGCAACAGGGGATATGCAAGGAACGACTTCTGGACCCTCAATATTCTTATCATGAAACGAACAACAGCAACATCAGCCCTCAGGGCCAGCACCCTATTCCTGTCCTTTGCCGGCTCGCGGGCCTCGAATTCTACATCAAAACGAGGCCTCGCCTATCTCGGCGATTCGCACGAGGGCGATGTCGATCTGCTACTCTCTCCCAACTCGGCGATCTCATGGTACTATACCTGGTCAGCCTATCCCGCGTCGAACGTGAACGCGACCCTCAATTTCGTGCCTCTTATACACGGTGTCGACGATGCATCCTCGTCGGACGTTCAAAGCGCCATCAACTCCCTACCGGCAACTTCAACGCACCTGCTTACATTCAATGAACCCGACGGCACGACCTCTAGTGGCGGAAGCTCTATCTCGCCCTCAGACGCAGCAAAGGCATACATTGACAACATCGTGCCACTGCGCACCTCATCCTCAAGAAGCTGGAACATCTCCCACCCCAGCGTGACAGGTTCAGAGAACGGCCTGAACTGGCTGCGGGACTTCACCTCGGCCTGCCGGGATATCGACCCGGACAATGGCTGCCCGACCGACTTTGTAGCTCTGCATTGGTATGGCAATTTCGAGGGCTTGGCGTCCTGGATTGGGACAATAAGAGAATTCTACACGAACTCGTCGTCCAACGGCGCGGCTGACGCCGACAATCTGAAGTTCTGGATCACCGAGATGGCCCTCCCTCAGCAAGACGAGGACGACACAGTGGCGATGATGAACCAGAGTTTGAGTTACTTGGATAGCCTAGACTACATGCAGCATTACGCCTGGTTCGGAGCCTTCCGTCAAGACAACGATGTGAACGGCTTCGTTGGCGACAATGTTGCCTTATTCAACAAACATGGTGCATTGACAGATGCTGGTGCCCTCTACCTAGGTGGTGAAGAGGCCGGGTTCAAGGAGGGTATGAAGGGTATTGCAAGCGGCCTTGGAGGGAGTGGTTTGCTGCGGGCATCACTGCTGGCAGTGTTCGCGGCTGCGATGACCACTATGGCGAACTTTTGATGCCGGGGTCAGTGTGCCCCAAATAGATGTCTTTTATTAGCGTTAAGCTTTAGATATACCCAAACTTATTCCAGCATTATTCAGACTCTTGCCTAGCTCTTCAACACTAGTTCATAGCCGTGCTGTCTTTGACATCTCCTCCTAAGCCCGAGGCTACCGTCCGAAGTTAACTCCAGCCAAGCGACGCTGAATTTCACCACATGCGAGCCGTCAACTAAATGTTTCAAATCGCTGTCTGAAAATGGGGCCTGATGCAAGAAAAGCTTCCTTTCTTTTCCACACATCGGGAAAGTTGAGCCTTGAGCTGATCCCCGTGGCCTTCAGCATTCTAATTGCTCGCCTGTTTCGCAGTTCATCCTCTGTCTGCCAGCACATGAAGAACTTGGCTGCTAGTACATATCTATAGATATCTGAGACCATATTTTTGCCGTGAATTCTGCTATATCACATAAACAAGCCCCTCATTTGGCTGCGCCTTTCCGGCGGCGAGTGAGTCCCACCCTTTTATCACGGCTTCCATGCCGTCCCCCCAGTGTATCTTCAAGCCTTTAATTGAATCCTTCTTGAAAGTGTCCCAAGCCTCTTCGAACTCTCTAAAGTATCGCTCCTCTCCAACCTTTGCAATAGCACGGTCTCGAATGTCGCTGGCATTGATCTGCATAGACTCGTATGTCGGAGCAGAAGACTGGATCTGCTGAAAGCCGGCCAACACGTTGGATGAAGATTCCTCAGAAATTTCCAAGCCACATAGCATCAACAGAACCTCTCTGTGAGTCTTGGACATGGCTTCAGCCCATTTCTGAGCAATGCCACCACGGCCGCCAAAGTCTACCAAGACAACTTTGGCACTATCAGGAATTCCGATCAACACATCGGATGGCTCTTCACTCGTGGAAATTACCTCGTCGTACTCTCCAGTTCCCCTGACAAATTCAAGGGAGTAACTGCTGGCCGCACCAATAACTTTTGCAACTGCTTTCTTCCGGCCATGTCTCAACTCCCGCACGAATGACAATGCAACTTTAGAGCCTGGAGCAAGACAAATTATAGTAGCCCCCTCGATATCCGCCTTTCTTGGACCCCATTCCGCATCGCCCGGCCCAGGGTTGACTGTGTCCTTCGGGTCAGACGTGAAGACGAAGCGGTTGACCAAGTACGCCGTCTCAAACATGATGCGCACAATTGCATCGTAAGCCACGCTTTCCGTCTTGGCTTCAATACTCGAGCGCAGGTTCGGGGGAAAGATGGAGTATCGGTTGTACATTGGGAAGATGTCTTGGCGATAGTCATTCTTGACGAAGACTTGGCCAGGAACCTCGCCCTTTTGCAGTATGAGATCTTGTGGAAGCGTTCCGATTGGCAAGTACCCCCACAGATAGCTGCCCTTCTCCACCGAAGGATGTGTCGAATCCAGCACCTCAGCAAAGCCCCAGCAGTTGATGCGGCCGTACTTGGTAGCATCATTGAACGGTGCCGGCGTCGAGGGTGGAAGAGGATGGATGCCCCACAACTTCATGAGGAACCCAGCCTTCGCATAGGTCATATTGTTCGAAGTGAGAGACATCACCTTCGTCCGGACGCGGACAGAGGAGGGGCCCAGCGGTGCATAAGGGATAGCGTCAGGCAGAGAAAGTAAATGTTGGGTGAAGTACCGCTCTTTTTCGAGCACTTGTATGACGGGAATTTCGAGCATGTTTCTGCGTACGTTTCTATAAAGACTTTGCCAGATGATGGATGGAGGTTCGAGAGCAGGTCTGTCCTGACACGCGAATTGACATGTATTAGACACAGTTATGGTGTGTATCTTGCCGGACTTCCGGTCACCAAGCTTTTGACCTTTCGGTCTGACTGGTTGCAAAAGCTCGCAATCCCTGCCATACGTCAGCTCCACTGCATCCGCGTGGATCCGAGATGGGTTCCTTGTCCGGGCTTCGTGCGATTCAATACTTTTGAGCCTCTGTGGTTATCATGAATAGGCAATGACGGAAGGACGCTTGTCGCTGTGAGCATGTGCCACACCAGCCGCTCGCTCGCAATGGAGCTGAAAACTGCCTGAGCACGCCAATCAGAGGGTTCGGATCGGACTTGTATCAAATGACGAGCGGAGCAGCCCCAGGCATCCAGCATTGTGCGCAGATTGCTCAAAGCCACCTCGTTGGAAGATATGCGGAAACCTTTTCCTCTTGCTGGGCACGCCATGGATGGCCGTCAGTCCTGTGCATGAACCATGTAAGCTCGTGAGATGCGGAGGGGGTGGCAAGCTCGCGAGCTGAGCTAGATGGTGGCGTTTGCGTGCAATGGAATGCAAGATATATTAATTTTCCACCAGAAGAGGCCCAAGCTGTAGTTCAGCCAATCCTAACCGCAGCGTTTGACTTCCTTTGTCTTCTCTACCTCAATAGGTGGAGATTGAATGAAATGCGATATGTGAGAGTTACGTCGCATTCACGCAGATGGTTTGCCGATGCAACCTCGAATGATTGGCTTGTTTAGCCACACTGGCGAATTCGCTTTCGGGGCTCCTGCAAGATGGTAGATCAGAGATATGACTGGCAGGGATGCAGTGTGAAGGATATGGCATATCCATCGATTTGTAGGGTAGGAAATTTGGGTTGGTGGATGCAGGTAGCATTCGTGACCAAGGCCCGTGGCTGACTTTGAAACGGACCATGGCCCCCGGAACCTTGAAGGGTGTCGGGCGTCAATATAAACTTGTCCCACCCCGCCGAAGAAGACGGTGTTTCGCAGCCGTGCCTTGCGTCGACATGATCCAAATCCAGATACCTGTACCAGTCGTGTCGACCTCTTTGATTTTGCAAAGATGAGTGTCAGCACGAAACGCATCAACGTGCCTCCCCAGCTTCTCCTGGACCCAGGAGACGACCAGACCCTGGGAGATGAGGAGGAGCAGCCACGAAAGGTCCTAGACCTTAACGGAAACTTCTCGCTTGCTGATGGCCTCAAAAACCTGCCGAAGACCTTCATGCTCCATCCGGACAGGGGCACAGACCTCTCGAGCGTGATACTCGTCCAACCCGTGCCGGGAATCGAGGCTGTGAAACGCACTCGCCAGAGGATGGGCAGCGGAGAAGCTGGTATCTGGACGGCGACTCACTTTCACCCTTGGTCATCAGCCGGCTCTGCCCTTTCGCCAACACGAGCCATCGCGGCCCCTCCCAAGGATTTCTTCAAGTCTTTCCCCATCAACACCTCAGTCAACGGCCTCTGCCGCTGGCGCTACTGCATTCGCCGACGCTTTGCCCCCCAAGTATGCGGCATTAAAACCATGTGCATATTTGCCGATGGCGCTTGCCAGGATGTTGGGAAGCCGTCTGCAAGAGGCGGCTGTGGCTTTGTCTACGGTGCAGGCAGCGCGAGCACCATTTCGTTCCCACTGGAGAAACGCGGCCCGGACGGAAAGCACTACCCGCCCACCAGCATCCGAGCTGAGCTTCGGGCGATAATCGGGGCTTTGGAATTCCGGCCATGGTGGGCAGAAGGTTGGGAGCGCGTCGTGTTAATCATTGACAATGAGATGCTTTCCTATGGTGCCACGGGGTGGCTGCGCCAGTGGGCTGGGAAGGAGAAGTGGAAGACAGCAGATGGGAGAGCCAGGCCGGACCGGGATCTATGGGAGAAGCTTTCGGCATTGATGGGGTCATACGCGGAAAAGGCTTGCGAGATATCTTTCTTTCTGGTGTCGAGAGACATGAACTGGGCAGCGGATCGTGCTGCTTTAGCTGCTACTGAAAAAAGTGCCTATATCGACCAGTATAGGCCTCAGTCTGATAGGGCAGCTTCATGGGTTTTCTCCTAATTAATTTGACATAGCGAGTATCTGATATACCTGTTACACATACTCTGAAGCATGGCCTCATTCACAGATACTATTATTAAGATACAACTATGTGGAATCCCTGGGCTGCATTTGTAGGCAGCCTTGTGGTCAGAATGCGGACCGTATTGCGAATATAAGACCAGTTCACATTGGGTAATATCTTTTCAAAATGCACAAGCCCTTCCTTTTTTCCCCCCTTAAAACAGACTGAAATTGATATAATCATCGTATGACGTAAGGTTCCTCAGTACTATACCTATGGTGGCTCTGAAAATGTCCACGAGCTTGTTACATTAGGTCGACCGTCTAATCACTCTTGTCCATGCATCTGCGGTTTGCACACATAATACAATAAACACTTTACCTTAACATAAAAAGGCATGGGGCCTTATAGACCAGTAAGAAACCACAGTTAATGAAAGTGATTTTGGTGCGATGTCCAGGCCCCTAGGGCACGTAACCCCTGTAATCCTGATCGAGATGACAGCACTGTGGGCCATGCACAGCTTCCGCATAGATTATATAGCTGCGTTGATGTCAAAAGATGTTACACCGTATTATTCAAGCGGAGTCATACGTCGTACGATCCAATCACAGCTGCATACTCTGTGCTTTACATGCTCGTTTATAGCACTTGCGCCCGTCAATGCATACTGACACTACGCCCTTTCCCTGATAAGAGGGAAGACAACTTGAGCAAAGAGACGACGAAGTTTCGCAAGGAAATTTGGTTTCTCAAGACCCTCCCCCCCCCCCCCCCCCCGAAGGTGCTGCAGCAATGCTTATAAGGCGGAAGGGTGCGTCCTTGCAGTCCATCCAAACACGGGGTTTAGCGACAGGTCTTCGTAGCTTGGCTTTTTAGCGACCATATTCATTTTTCACCCGGAGTGCCCAACTCAGACCAGGAGCATTTTCTATTTGACATAGAGACTGTCGTGACGGTGTGTTGTATTCCTTCACCCCTGGGCATTGCGTCACGCATGGCTACAGTTGTGGTTAGTACGGCAGTGTAATATTACACTGTACACTAGCCCTTAAAAGCGGTTTAGTCGGTCTATGCGAACAAATGAGAATACGAACGACTAGTTTGTACGCGAAGCGAGAATTCTGAAAGAGAAGTGCATACTCGTGAACATACCATTCGGAGGTTTCCATGGAGGAAGAAATGCCACTGACTCGCTGCGTTTTCTCAACAAACTTAGAAGGAGCAGCCTCTCTCCCGGATCCCGACAGTGTCGCGGATCGAAGGGAACTAGAGTCATTGATAAAGCTGAAAGGTGAATGCTTCTCTCTGCGTGACGCCATCAAACAACTAGCTGAAGTGCATTGGAAGTGTCTTCTCGACCTTGAGAGCCTCGAGATAATCCGTTTAGAAAAAATTCGTGGAAGCTCCAGCCGGATCTTCGCTAATGACGAGCGCATTCCCTGACGTCGTATTCTATTCTCGGGATGCGCACCAATAAGGCTAATTTCCCCAGATCTCAACTCTCCCCATGGGGTGGGTCACCCGGCACTAGATGGACCAAGCCTGCAACTATCATGGCTAGGATCTGCCCATTGCGGCATGCGACTCCACCGGGTTCCCTGTCCTCCCGTAGCCGCTGCTATATTTCTTCTCGTGCCTGATGATCAAGATGGGGAAACGCGCCAATCTCGTGTTGTCGTAGTCCCACAAGCGATGGTAAGCATCTGCCCCTGAGGATGGGCTATATATAAAAGCAGCACTGCACCGCTGCATGTTTGTGATAGATGGATCTTCACGACTCGCACAGGAGCGTGATTCCGACCTGGTCAATAGCCCATCATGGCTTTCCTATCCAGCCTCACACTTCCTCTGCTCGCCCTTCTCCCTGCCCGTGCCCTCGCCCAGTCTACTCCCCTGGACGCTACCGAAATATGCACCGCCTACTTCGGCAACGACGCTGCATGGTACATTCCCCGGATCCCCATCTTCCAGTCCAGTGACACACAGCTCAACGACGTGTATTACTACCGCTGGAACATCTTCAGGGCCCACCAACGGGACCTCGGTGCAAACGGCTACATCTCGACCGAGTTTATTGATGATGTGTCGTGGGAGCTCTTCCCGTTCGCCGCCCTCAACGATGCGACGGGGTTCCACCTGGGCGAGGGCCGGTGGTCGCGTGACAGGCGGTTCGCTCACGACTACGTGGATTTCATGTACAACTATCACCCGGAGACTTCGACCTACGGCAACGACAGGCACTTCAGTGAAGCCATCGCAGATGCGTCATGGCGCGTGTTCCTCGTGGACGGCGACCTGAGCGCCATCTCGCAGCACCTGGACGCCATGAAGACCATCTACGACCAGTGGGTTGATCACTTCGACTCCAGCAAGGGTCTGTACTGGGTCGAGCCACTGGCCGACGCCACCGAGTACACCATCTCCAGCATCGATGCCAGCGGCGGCCAGGATGGTTTCACCGGCGGGGAGAGCTTCCGGCCGAGTATCAACAGCTACATGTATGCTAACGCGAAGGCGATCGCGAGCATCGCGTCGCTGACGGGCGACTCGGCCACGGAACAGCTGTATACGGCTCGTGCGGACTGGCTTCAGGGAAACTTTACGGGCAGCCTGTGGAACAGTACCTTTGAGCACTTCATCGACCGATTCAAGGTGGACAACCAGTATGTCAAGTATTGGGACTTTATCCGCGGCCGTGAGCTCGTGGGCCTGGTGCCGTGGAACTTCGACTTTGTACCCGCGTCCACGTCCGAGGTGGACTACAACGCGGCGTGGAAGCACGCCCTTAGTGCGGACGACCTGCGTGGCGAGGCCGGCCTGCGGACCGCCGAGCCCAGCTACGAGTACTACATGCGGCAGTACCGCTACGACAGCGTCTCGAAGCTCAAGGAGTGCCAGTGGAACGGGCCCATCTGGCCTTTCCAGACCACCCAGGCGCTTGGGGCGATGTCCAACCTCCTCGACCACTACAACCAGTCTGTCGTGACCAACAAGGACTATGTCGATCTCCTCAGGCAGTACACGCAGCTGCACTTCGACTCCGCCGGGGTGCTGAACCTTGAGGAGGATTACTACCCCAACAACGGCTCGGCGCTCGTCGGTCTGGCGCGCAGCCCTCACTACTTCCACTCCGGGTACGTTGACCTGATCCTGTCTGGGCTAGTGGGAATTCGGCCTCGCGCGGACGACTCCCTGGAGGTGAACCCGCTGGTGGACAGCAGCATCTCGTGGTTCCGCGTGGACAACGTGCCGTACCACGGGCACAACGTCAGCGTGCAGTGGGACGCAGACGGGTCGCACTTCGGCAATGGCGCCGGGCTGGTCGTCGAGGTCGACGGGGCAAAGGTGGCGTCGTCGCCCACGCTGGCCCGCCTCGTTACGCCCATCTCGGCCGCCACGGCCGCCGCGATCGACAAGCCGATCGCCAAGTCCATCCAGCTGCAGAGTGACAGTGACTACCCCGTGGCCAGCAGCTCGGTCTCGGGTGCCGACGTGCAACAGCTCCACGATGCCATCGACGGTAGGGTCTGGTTCTGGACCGAGATCGTCAACGGGTACAACTCCGCCGCCGGCGACGGCAACTCGTCGCAGTGGTTCGCCGTCGACTTTGGCGCCAGCACCGAGGTCAGCCGCGCCGAGATCGCCTTCTACGAGGGCGACCAGCCGGGGACGTACACCTACGTGGACGGCACCTATGCAAGCGTGACGGGCACGTACGCGGTCCCGGCGAGTTACGTTGTGCAGGTACAGAATGGAAGTGGCAACTGGACGGATGTATCGACCACGAAGGCGGACGAGCCCCTTGCCAATGGAATCACGAATGTCGAATGGGATGCTGCGACGACCAATGTTGTGCGGCTTGTCTTTGTGCCCCAAGCTGGGAAGCAGGTTCGCCTTGTGGAGTTCAAAGTCTTCTGAGAAGTGAAGACCGAGCGGTTGGAAGAACTTTGTACCTATAATTTCATTTCAGCTGAAAATTGCAAAATAATTTGGCCCTGCGCCGTCTATCCTTTGAACGCCGTCCCAACGGCTCGTGGTGCCCGAGTCGAACAAAATTGTCGTGCATTTTGTCTATCAAATTCAACAACCTCTAGAGTCAATCTTGGTCGTAGAACCGCCCCTCAGTCATCCCACTCTTCATCTAATTGGCCGATCAACCGGTCCTCGTCTTCCCTGCTTCTCCCCATCCCGCGCCCATTTGGCGATATTGAAAGTGATCGGTAGCCCCTCCGACTGGGCATGAAACGAGCGCAAGAGGAGGTTAGAATGATAAAGGTATCCTACGGCGCAACATTGATTAGCTGCTCGAGCTTCTCCGCTTCCGTGTCAGACTGGTCGGATGATTGCTCACCGAGACGAAGCTCCAAATTCCTGCCCAGAGACTGTAGTTCGGCAACTGCTTCCAGCCCCTAGCGTTCGCCACCGTCCTCTGGTAGAAAACACCACCAGCAAAGTACACGGCAATAGCAATAAGGAAAATGAGGGCGAACACTCCGCCCGGTCCAACGCTCCCGGGCTTGGAGGGCTGGACGCCGGCGCACGCATGCTGGCTGCGCACGACGAACATGTAGGCGCACTCATCGGGGTCCGCGCCGACAAAAGAGACGGTAGCCGTGGGATTGACACTATCGCGGTCGCAGCGGAACGAGATGGTCGCGGACTTCCTTCTTATCTCCTCGGCCTTCTCGATCAACACGGTGTTGTCGTTCCCGATAGTCACAGTATCCAGGGAGCTGGAGTAAGCGCTGTTGCTCGAGCCCCTGTCGGCCGTCGACGGTGCGTCTACTGCATCGTTATGATCTGCGCCCCTTTTCTTTGCCGATGAACCACATGGTGAGCCGCCGGAGTATTGGAGGACCAGCTGGCTGCCTCTTGGCGTCAGGACGGAGGATTGCTGTCTGTTGCAGTGTGTTAGCAAACCTGGGGAAAGTCCATTGCTTCCACCCAGTCCAAGCTTACCCTAGGGAGTAGATCTTTCCGTCCTTGCCCTCATAGTATGCGCTGACGTTCTTCCAGAGAGCCTCATCAATGCCCACAACCTTCTCTGGTTTTTGTATAACAGCCTCGCAGATGTTCAGTGTGAAGTTGTAACCGTAGTCGTAGCCCCTTGCCGAATAGTCTTCTGACTTGGCGCGTTTGTGCTTCCCGTCCTTCTTCGGCGCAACAGCGATGTCTGGTCGCAGGTCGAAGTAGGCCTTCCCGCCAGTTGCTGTCGCCGTGCAGGCTGTCGTGGTTGTGGTCTTTTCGTCGGCGGCGAGGGAAGCGCCGAAGAGAGCCGCTGCCAGGAGCAGCAGGCGCGATCGTGAGACCATTATTGAGTGATGTCTTGGAGAGGGCGTGTATAGTTCGGCTCGATTTTCGATCGGATTACGAGACCCAGCCCAGTGTGGAGTAGCAGATCGTCGGACTGCCCCGTGCTGGCCGCTAGACGGGATTGTGACAAGTGGACACGGCGGGAGGCAACGAGTCGTGTCGTGAGGATATTCTTGGGCAGAAGACGGATGGAGTACAGTCTGCGACAGGAGGAGAGTTAGTGAAAGAATGAGTGTGCTTCGTCCAGTCCAGTCCAGCCGAGCTTGTCGTCGAATGTTGGGTCAACGGGAATGGGTATGGTGTTGCGTGGAGCCAAGGTCGTCAGCCGAAACATCGAATATGTTGGATTGGGATGAGCAGGGGACAGGGGACAGCTGTCGCATTTTGACTGACGAGGGGCCGAGGGATGACGGTGCCCACAGGGGGACAGTTACGGAGGGCAGTAGCCCGAATTAGCAACGGCTGATCCTCCGTCGTACAGAAGGTCGCAATGAGGCAGGTCCCTAGGTCCCTAGGTACCCAGGTACCCACCCCCTCACCTTGACCAACGGCGTCTCGGTGCCTGGAATACGGCGACAACTGTGCTTATCTATCTACCTGCAGTAGGTTTCTACAGTATTGATAGCGCCAGCAAGTCAGCATCCTCTGCCGAAGAGCCTCACTTGACGCCGTTATGATCGTCCCGAAGCCCACTGAGGTTCTAGTCGAAACATCGAGTCCACTGGTACCCAGAACACGACTGTTTCTCCCTGGCCTGACCATCCTCAAGACAAGCAACCTGGGCGCTCTTTCACTTGACTACCTTCTGCGAGGCTCCTCTTCAGCATCACGATGCATATCGCAATGCGCATCCTTCACCCGCGCTAGACCTCTCCTTGCTATGTCATTCATTCATTCAAGCCAGCAGATCTCTGCGAGATTTCAGCGCAGATGGTCGATCTTGTTGCATGTATATGCCATTTATGATGTGTTGTACTGTACACTCGCATATCATAATGGGATATCTGCAATCATTGGTGGTATAGCAGACTCGCACATCACTATCACTCGGCCGTGAATTAGATCAGGATCTGGATGTACCGTTTGGTTCCCACGGATTTTCTTGAATGTTGACCTATCTATCCTGTCTGAGAGTACAGTGCCTTCTGGGATCATCATCCCCTCCCTCACTCGCCATGTTTTAGACTTCGTATCAAGGAGTCATCTCTGGTTCTCGCATCTCGATCCACACTGGACCATCCTGAGCAACGAGAAAGTGTTGTGAATTTACCATTCCTCACGGCCTAAATTCAAGGTGTGAAAGTATCACCAGCAGGCATCGAGGTCGAGATCGAGAATGCAGTCTTCCGTCGTCTACAACAGAGTAGATGCACCCAAAGCAACGGCGAGTGGGGAGCAGGGATGCTCCAAAGACTGGGCGGCTCCACCCGTCGCATGTCGCTAACTTGATTTGGCAGCGAGCTGGCGAAAAGTCTCGTTTGCATCATTGACATTGTCGCTGGCATTGCCCTTGACCACAAAGAGCTTCAGGGTCCCCCTCCCGCTCAGACAAACAGCCAGTCAACATCGGACCACGCGGCAGCTGTTGCATCCGGCTGCCCTCACGCGCATTTGCTTCCTTATCTCGAGCAATTCCTCGAGTCGTATTGCAGCGATTTCCATCTACCGCGCAGCCCCATCAGAATCCTCAGATTCATCGCATCACAATGCCTCCCAAGACTGCTGCCCCTAGCCAAGAGCATGGCTACGAGTTCTGTGGACCGTAAGTGGTGACATCCACCATCTCTAATAGAATTGCTGCGATAATTGACTAACTGATCGTCCTCGCACAGCCCAGGAGCCGCTCTGGTCTCGTTCGGTCTCCCCGTCCTGCTCTACCTGTTTTCCTTCGCCTGTAACGATGTCTCCGGCTGCCCTGCGCCCCTACTCCTGACCAACTGGAAGACCATCGACCTCCAAGAACTGAAACGCGAAGTTGGGTGGCCCGCGGACGGGATCCGGGGACTGGCAAGCTGGGAGGTCACGGGCTGGACACTGGCGTACTACCTCTTCAACGCCATACTGTACCGCGCCTTGCCTGCGGTCGAGGCCGAGGGTGTCGAGCTTAGCAGTGGTGGAAAGCTCAAGTACCGCATGAACAGTAATTGGGCCCGAGAATAGACTCACGCAACCAGACATCTTGCTGACTCTTCGTCACAGGCTTCAGCTCCATCATTTTCACGCTCATGATCTGCCTCGCCGGCACCATCCAGCAGGGCGCCGACTTCCCAGTCTGGACCTTCATTACCGACAACTACGTGCAGCTCCTTACCGCCAACATTCTCATATCCTACGCGCTCGCTACCTTCGTCTACGTCCGTTCTTTCTCCGTCAAGGCGGGCAATAAGGAGCTTCGTGAGCTTGCAGCAGGGGGACACTCCGGGAACATTATCTACGACTGGTTTATCGGTCGCGAGCTCAACCCTCGTGTCACCCTGCCTCTCCTCGGCGAAATCGACATCAAGGAATTCATGGAGCTGCGCCCCGGCATGCTCGGTTATATACTCTTCAACTTCGCCTTCATTGCCAAGCAGTACCGTACTTATGGGTTCGTCACCGACAGCATTGTCTTCATTGCCGTCGTACAGACTCTCTACGTGCTCGACGGCGTCTTCATGGAACCCGCTATCCTTACCACCATGGATATCACTACCGACGGTTTTGGCTGCATGCTTGCCTTCGGCGACCTTGTCTGGGTGCCATTCTTCTACAGCCTGCAGACCAAGTACCTTTCGGTCTACCCCGTCTCCTTGGGGCCTGTCTGGCTCACAGCCGTCTTCGCGATGCTCATTACAGGATTCGCGATCTTCCGCCTCGCAAACTCGCAGAAGAACACCTTCCGCACAAACCCGAACGACCCGAGCGTCGCGCACCTCAAATACATCGAGACCAAGACTGGGTCCCGGCTCATCACGTCCGGCTGGTGGGGCGTCGCCCGCCACATCAACTACTTCGGTGACTGGCTGCAGGCGTGGCCTTACTGCCTGCCAACGGGCATGGCCGGCTACCTGATCCTATCCGCCGGCACGAACGCCGAAGGCGCCTTTAAGATGGCCGACGGCAGGGAGGTCATCCAGGGCGCTGCGAGGGGCTGGGGCGCGATTTTCACCTACTTCTATGTCGTGTACTTCGCCGTCTTGTTGATCCACCGTGACAGACGCGACGATGAGAAGTGCCACCGCAAGTATGGCGAGGACTGGGAAAAGTACAAGAAGACCGTCCGGTGGAGGATCATTCCTTACATCTATTAGATGGGGAAGGCATTCAGATCTACCTGTTACTGTTTCTGTTGGATCTTCAAGACGAAGAACCATCCAAAAACACAGGAGATGCTGTGGATGCCGTTTGGCTACACATTTTTTACTGTCACTGCGACCGGCACACGTCGGCGCACGATGTATGCATACGTGCTCGGGCCTTCGCGCCAGGGGCTACGAGGATTTGACCGGCGTTATTGTTCCTGGTGTAACAATGGCAAGTCGGCGGATATCTGTTGTTAATTATACTGTCCCATTTTGCGAGCACCGAGGACAGTTTGTGGATGAAGTTGTGGATGTTTGCTGTACTCTATTACCATTTTGCAGATGCGCCATTGGGTACCTGTACATAGTTGCAATAAAGCGACTTCACCATTGTGACCTATTCGCGTTCTGCGACAACTCACTCTGCCTATCATTTTTTTATTTTTCCTAGTCGGTCTTGTTTTGACTATTGCTCAACGTGTTAGGCGTTCTCGGTAGCTAGTAGTGACCATCACTCTATCAAAGGCCCTTGAGACAAGGCACGTCAGGCGCTGCCACCAACAGATCTGCTTCGCATTTTGTGAGCTTCGAAGGCCAACAAGGAGACACCATCATTTTGATACTTGCCAGCCCAGCGACTGACCCATCAGCGGGCAGCGTCTCAGGACCCCATCCAACAGCGACGATGATGCTGGCATGATGGTCACATGAAGGCCACCCGCGGCCTCTGGCTTTGGCCCGGATCTTATAGTAAGAGACCTCTATCAAACGTGATCATGAGCAAAGACAAAAAGTGAGGTCAGGGGCTTGTGGCGTTGTCGTGATGGGCAGCGGGGACACGTTGGGCTGGTTGCGAATGACACATTCTATCCCGCAGCTGGAATTTCAAAGAGATGTTGTCACCCAGTTAGTTCGTCAAGTAATTATTCATTAAGAACTGCCTAATACCCACACTGGGTCAAACAGGAATGTGCCTAAGTAGTTCTACATCATGTGCTCATAACTGTTTACTCGTACCTGAAAGCTTCGGACCACAGCCCCATCCACCAATCTGGACAGGCAGATCCTCAAAACATACATCGACGATGGTTCCGGGAAGGTAAGCAGCAACATAGTTCGAACCCACGCACCATCCGCCCGGCTAAGGCAGAGGCGCCTGCAGGTCCAGCTTCCTGCTGCTCCGGCCGACGTACACCGTCTTGGGGGAGCTCGACACCAGCCAGTCCTGGGCCACCGTGTCCCAGTTGCTCACGTCGCGCCGTGTCAGGTCGGCGCTGAAGGTGGCTGTCGCGCCGGGCTCGATGCTGATCCGGGCGAAGCCGCGGAGCACGACGGGCGGGTCGTCCGGCCCGCCCAGGGAGACGTACAGCTGAGGCACCTCGTCACCAGCAACTGAGCCGGTGTTGGTGATGTCCGCGGTTACGGTGTACAGAACTTCGTACAGGCCGGGGTTGCCACCTGGGGCGCCGCCGGCAGGGGCATAGGGGATGGGGTCGGACGAGATCGCGTTGGGTGGGAGGAACTCTTCGGCTGTCTGACCATAGTGTGGGTCCTGGCTCGCTTCGGCGGCCGAGGTGGTGGTGTTCAGGTAGGGGTAGATGTAGCGGGTGACATAGTCTAGCTGGTCAGCCGGGAAGGCATAGTCTTCCAAGTTTGTCGAGTAGTTGGAGCTTCCGATGATGGGGGCTGCGGGAGAAGACCCGTTGGCCGGCACGTATGGATCCGCGTAGGCCTTGACAACGTTCAAGTTCGCGTATTCGAAAGTTGTGTAGCTCAATCCAAAGCCGAATTCGTAGATCGGAGTAGTGTTTGTCTTGTCAAAATGGCGATAGTCAATGAATGAGCCCTCCGTGAAGTCGTCTTGCGGAGCGCCTTCTCCGTTGTTTGCCTCGTACAAGACATCAGTGCCATAGCTCTCGCGTGTTGCACCCCAGGTGAAAGGCGTGCGGCCAGCAGGGTTGACGTTGCCGTAGAGGACATCGACAATTGAGTTTCCTGACTCCTGTCCGGGCAGACCGGCCCAGAGAATCGCGGTGATATTGGGGTTGTCGTACCATTCAGTAAGAAGGGTAGGACCAACGCTGTGGATGACCACGATAGTATTGTTGTTCAGGCTGGACACGTTCTTGATCAGCTCGTCGCCGCTGTTCCACAGCGTGAGGTTGTTTCGGTCGCCCTCATTGCCGTCAACGCTGATGTACCCCTCGCCGCTGTCTGCGTTCACGAAAACAATGGGTGTCGCATAGGCTTGCACAATGAGAGCCTCGATCTGGCTAGTCGCGTAGTTGTCGAGGATGCTCTCGTAACGACTTCCGTCGGCGAGCGCCTGATTCTGGAGTGCGGTGTCAGGAGTCACAAGGTACGGGAAGTCAGAGGTACCAGAACCCCATCCCATCGATAAAGTTCCATTGTCACATCCTCGGTCGGAACATCCATTGGGGCCGTTCAGGTTTGGTCCCGCGTCTTCACCAATGACCGCCAGGAATCTGGGCTTGTCGAGGGGCAGAGCACCAGTGTTCTTCAACAGTACAGTTCCCTTCGCAGCAACCTCTCGGATCAGAGCGGCGTGCTCCCCTCTCACGTCGATGTGGGAGTTTATCTGTTGATATCCTTCCTCTGCGCCAGCGTGCACGTAGCCAAAGGTATCCCTCGACCAAGAGGAGAAGTTAGGATACGGCTCATCAATCGTCCGACCGACCTTGAAATATGCGGCCATAATCCGCATTGCCATATCATCAAGACGACTTTTCTCTGGTTAGCGAGTGTTGTAATGAAGCTATCATGAGCTTGGCCAGGACTTGTCCTCAGCCTGGTAGGCTTCTGGGAAAGAGCTCTTGGGGGGGGGGCCACTTACTACAGGGGCATCGTGCCGTTCAAGACAGCCAGGGTCAAATTAGTACCCCAGAAGGAGAGACCGGAGCTGAAGGCAGTGTCACCAGGCATTGACATGTCCAAGCCCGCGACAGCAGCGCCGACTCCAGTATGGTGTGCACCCCAATCGCTCATCACAAACCCTTGGAAGCCAAGCTCGTTCTTGAGAATATCGTTCATCATCTTTGAGTTCTGGCAACCATATGAGTTATTGATTTGCTGATAACTACACATGACGCTTCCCACTCCAGCCCTTACGGCATCGGCGAAAGGCCAGAGGTAGAGCTCATGCATTGTCTTATCGTCGATGTTGGAAGACAAAGACTCGCTGATGTTGAAGCCGTAGCCTTGAGCCTCGCCGGACTGACGGAAATGCTCTATTCTGCGCGTTAGAGATTGTACTGCCATTCGTTTTGGACTTGAGATCAGTTCTTACCTTGCTCGTTGGCAATGTAATGCTTTGCACAAGCAATCACACCAGCATCCTGGATGCCCTTGATCGTCTCTGCCATTCCAACTCCGGTGAGATAGGGATCGGGACTAAATCCCTCCCAGTTCCGCCCTCCAGTAGGGGCACGACCAATGGGGCCTGCAACTGGACCGAGTTGAACATCGATTCCCTTGCCTCTGTGCTCTTCGCCCATGGCATTGCCTCTCTTGTAAATTAGATCGCGGTCCCAAGTGGCTGCCGCAGTAAGACCGGCGGGGAACGCAGAGACCCAATCCGCGAAACGAACACCCAAGGGAGAATCCTGCATGCATAGGTTCTTGTGAAGGCCAAGACGGGGTACTGAACCGACATTTCCAACGCAGACTTCGCTCTCCCAACTGTCCTACAGTCAGTTCTGCGGATGATCTTTGTTCGGAAGAAAACCTACCCAACACCGGTGGTGATATTGACCTTTTCGAGAAGGGTCATCTGTGAGACGAAGTCTTTAGCCTTGGCATAGGCATCTGCCCAGCCGTCGGCCTCTGGGTCCATCCATGGCGAAGGATAGAACGGAGGAGAGGAAGCAAGGTCCGTCTGTCGTTGTTGAACCTTTGAGGTCGTGTCAGCAGGCTGAAGAACAAGAGCCGCAAGGGCAGTCAAGATTTTGACGGTGTTCATAATGCTGAAGCTTTTCGAGGTCTCAACTTGAGCGGCGCCGAGTCGCTCGGATTACAGCTTGAAGAACAAAATCTGGTAGCGACTGCAGCCCGGTTGTAGTTGAGCCGGCAGAGCGTGCTGGTGACACTTGACGCGAAAGTACCGCGACACAGGACGGAAGCTTACCTTTGCGTGGTCACCGATAGTGCCTGCTGTAACAGAGCCACAGCTCGCCGCCAGCCAGGCGAGGGCAGCAGCAGGCGAGGACTTCATGGCGTGCAATGAGGTCAGAGACCCGGCCAATAGATTCGTATCGGCGGTGCTACGGTGCTGTGGAAGTTACGAGCAACGCAACGGGACAACGTTGTGCTACCTAGGAGCCGGACTGCAGCTTCCACACTCGCGTGGACTGAAGGGAAAGGGAAGGGCGAACAAGTATTATATAGTCTATAGCCCGGTGTGGTGAGCACCCCAGAAGTGATCAAGGTCCTCAGTGGGGTGAGCGAGTGACCTGACGACTAAGTTACCCGGCTTACCGCATGAAGGCAGCAAGGTGATGGAAAGTATGTCTTAGGCAGGGGATATTGATGTGGAGACGCGAATAGTTCATCCCAAGAAAAAAGCGACGTAGTGGACGAGATCCAATTACCGAGCGTAGGGCAGGGCCCCCATGTCTCCCAAGCCAGGACAAAGGCAATTGGGGACGTGGACCTGGAGAGGAAGTCATCAGAGTTTGGCCGGAGCTTCTCCGCATGGTAGGCTAGATCCCTGGCGATGCATCGTCATCCGTGCCGTCATGCATCCGAGCAGCATATATGTAGCCTTAGCATTATTACAGTAGCATAAGCCATCAGGCTGCAGGCCCAGACAGGGCGAGCCGAGCCCCCAGGCGCGTTGTGACTTGGAAGAAGACGAGCGGCAGGTCCGTGATCTGTCCAAGATCAGCGTCGTCCCTTGTCGTAGTTATGCTTATTACTACTGTGTAGATTATTAGAAAGGTAGGGAGAGGAAGAGGAGGCAGATTCTGGGTTTGATGCCGTGCTGTCCGGTCTGGCTACAGTATCCACCCAGGGCAGCCATGGCGGATGTCTCGGTGATTTGTTTCTTGGGCGCTGGCAGTGCCAGACGGGCGGTGTCGCAAACAAGACGACTGGGGGCAGCCAGGACAGCTCACGAGGGCGTCATGGTGGTGGCCGGGCAAGGCCCATGGGGAAAGCAAAGAAGGGCCGATGAGGAGCTCGTCGACAAGACCCGAAGCAGACACAACTGACGAGCTATGGGCACCCGCGTCGCCGCTAAGACGAGCACAACGCCGTTAGGCGCAGGGAGAGGACTGGGAAATGAGGGTCGAGGTTCGTATCGACGGTGTTGTTGTTGTCTTGGCCTTGGAGAAGTTTGCGGGGGTAGTGATCCATCCTGCGCTTGTTGAACCCCGCAGAAAATTTCCCCAGCCTTTTTCCCCCTCGTCCTCCTTTTGTTCTCCTCCTTCCTGCGCCCCCGGATCTAGCCCGTTGGTGCCCGGCGTGGGGAGCTGGGATGCCTGCCCAAACATTTTCTGGGGAAACGGCCCACCATCTCACCACACCGTTTCCTGCCGAGGACAATCCCTTCGATGGGCTGCCCTGCACGTCTCCTGTGATTAACACTGACCATATTCAACCTCTTCTAAATCTTCCTTCCGCGGCGGCTTCACATTGATTGCACACAAGGTTGACTATCCCAGCATGGCCTTGAGGTACTATACAAATTTTGTTCGAGTCAATGTCGCTCTGTTAGAGAAACATCAGCCCAAGACTAGCTCCTCGTCGTCCCAACTCAGCTAGACGCACGATCGAGGCTTGTCTCTTCGTCCCGAGTCCAACCTCTCTGGTTGCCGAACACAGACAGCCCGGCGCTCCACTACCGCGGCGCCACGTCCCCGGACGCAAGCCACCGGCTACCAACTGCCAACGCCACGCACCTCGACGAGAACGTTGCATTTCGGTGGTGGTTGCCTGGAAGCTGATGTTTATAGTGAAAAGCGTAGCACAGACTAAATATCTGGCATGTTGTGCATATGTACGAACGGGTCATCTGGGGCAGTCTCACTTACATACCCCGCTTCCACCACACCCTCACAGGGTAGCTGTGCATTCTCTTAATCACTGCTACCATGGTAGGTTGTCGGATTGACTTTTTACAAAATGTCCTTGCGCCAGTAGACAGTGGCCAACTTCTCAGCTGTCAGTTCTCGTCCTCGGGCGAGCCGTCTGGACTCAGCAGTGATCGGACGAGTTCCCGAGGCTGTGGATCCGAGGAGTTGCATTTGTGTATTCACCTGTCTGGGCAATATTTGACCATGGATAGCGTAACGCTCACCACACAGTTCCCGACAGTCTGGTTGATGCTACTCTTCCGTCGGAGAAAAGAGGACATGAGACTTGAGGGTTGCATTGTCGCTGTTGATACAACCGGCTGAATTGGTAAACATCTATGGGATGGCCCTTCGCGAATACACGTTTGTGCTCTGAACTGTAAGGCGCTATGGTACCTAGGTATAAAGTACCATAGTTTTGTATTCGTCTCACATTGATCGGTCACTACTGGAGTGATCTGCGCAGCTTCAACGGACTAAACACCTTCAGAAACAAGGCCGCGAATAAGAGCCAGTCCATGATATTTGCCATTTGATATTCATTCCCTCCCAGCGCAGGCAACCTTACCAGGAACAAGATCAGTCACGGAACAAGCTTGAAAGCGACAGATTGTGATGAATAGCTCAGTCTTACATTCAAAGTGCAGTCGGTTCACTGGCAGTGTGCCACTCAACATTGCGCTTCGCTAAGCATTCTGTAACTCTGGGTATTGAAAAAGACCAGCTTCCCACCGCATGGTCCTTTTGTGTCCACTACAGTATATCAGGACCAGCCATTCATTGGCCCCTTCACTCCATTTCAATCAGACGAGGGTAAGGCAAGATAGATCCAGTCCTTCGTAGCATTTTTACAAGCTTGCTGGTCCAGACTCGCGTCAAGAAACTCACTTTTCTCCCTCCCGGACTCGACCCGATGAATAAACTCCCGGACGGATGATCAGCGAAAAAGTTCAACATCCAAAATCGTAGAAAAGCACCGTAGCATTGAGACAAGGGCCATTCCAGCCATCCCGAACAATCCGAGGCTAAGACCGACACAATGCAGTTCACAAGTGAAAACACACCCAGGACAATTTTACACAGGCACAGTATACACACCCAGTCTTGCCATTCCTAGAAGTAGAACTGTTGCTGTGGCGGCTGACCTGGAGGTGGCTGCGCGAGGAAGTCAAAATTCATAGTATCGAGCCCCGAATTCCAAGGATCGGGGGATTCTGCAGGAAAAATGGCAACATGGTCAGCCAAGCCTTGTTGCAAGCAACACAATATCAGGCAGAAAGAAGAAAGGTTCCACGAGGAGAACTCACCCCAGAAGATCGAGTCGTATAGTTCCATAGGCTCAATATAGGCGCTCGGATCAATCGGTGCGAGATCGGTGCCTTCAAGGGACGGCGCTCCAGTGACATACGGTAACCTGAGGACAAGTCAGCGGTGATTCATAGTAACTGTGCTCTCCTGGTGGTTAAGTAGACATCGAACTTACCCTGAGAAGTCCTGCATGCCAGTCCCATTCTGCATCTCCGCCATCGCCATCGCCGCATCTTGATGAGGGTCGAGGCTCTGAAGAGAGGAGGCAGCATACGTTGCTCCGGGAAGAAGGTTCTGGCCGTCCGAAGCGCCTGCGGATGGGTTCGTGAGCTGGCCCATGCCCAGAGGCGTACGTGTCCCAGATCGTGTCCCTCCGTCACGCTTGAATACTGAAGAGCCCATGACGCTGCCGTGGTCGTATATATTTTTCAAAGCGGCAAGCGCACGCGATAATGGTCCTGAAAGCTCGATATCTTTGTCACTCTTTTGTATATGTGGAACGGGCGAGGACTGCTCCTTGGCGGCGGTGGCAGATAAGGCAGAGATGAGGTCGCCCTGAAGTTGACGAATCTCAGGGTCTGACTTGGTCTCGGGCAGGAGACCCAGAAGCACGGCGGAAGAGAGGCCGTGGTACGTAAATGCCCAGGATCGGGTCGGTATGACGGAGAGTTGATGCATTGCGAGGAACATCCTGACGGTCTCAGTCAGATTGTCCCGAAACTTTGCAGACAACACCTTTCGTTCGGACGGCTCGAGCGAGTTGGTTTCACCGCCTCGCTTCAATGCTGGGCGACAGCAGACGGAGACAACAAAGCAGGTATGTAGCCTGATGGCGAAGTGTTGGAGCCGGTCTACAGCCGTCTTGCAAGCCTCTTTGCTCCGGATCTGGGGAATGACTTTCTCGCGCAGCCGTTCCGTAGCCTGGCAGTTATCGAGGATCTGTACAAAGGTTGCTTCGGCGGTGGCGTCAGGGTTGAGGCGTCGGTTTATAATTTGACAAAGGTGATACATGGCTTCGAGGTAGGTCAAGCCGTTACTCTCGGCGTTCAATGAGAGCGGAATCGGGCAACAGGGAATATTTGTCATAGGAGATCTTGTAGCATTTAGTACCAAGATTCATTACCAAGGATTCCAGGGAACAGGAAAGACGTACCGGTCGAACGAGAGGGACGTGAGAGTGTCGTGCCATACACAACACCACCTGTGAGGTCAGCTTTTCGCCACTTGTCTCGAGTTCGGCCAAGCGGCTCTTACCAGAGTTTCCGTCGGATAATTTCCTTCCTCTTTGCCTCCGGATCCGTAAGCTCGTTGTTGTTAAGCCTATGCAGACCAAGCGACAGTGCCAGGCGACAGGTAAGCCCAAGCAAGGCCCAAGATCCCTCTGCCTTCATATCGTTGAGAAGACTGAATGACACGAGGAGTAAGGCCTGGATCGAGTCGAAGTTTGGCCGGAGGAGGAAGTTTCCCATGCGAAGGAAATGGAAAGATATCTGCAGATACCTCTGAGAGCTGCTGGTCCGTATGTGGTAGGGTGAGTCGTGATACTGCGATCCCACGGCGAGGACTGCAAACAGAATGGCCAACCACGAAGCTGAAACAGGCCTCCTAGCGATCTTGACCGTACTTCGTGCATTCTTCGCACGCTCTTCCAAATAAACCATCAATCTTGATTCCAGGTCGTCGATGTCGATAACAAACCCCCAAAAAACCTGCGGTATCTCCTTATACGTTCGAAACAGCCTAGAAATGTTAGATGCATACACCAGAGAAAGCCCGTTACCAGCAAGCCGACGACGGAACCAACACGGCACACACAGGCCAGACCTACTTCATAACCTCGCGGTCAGATGGAAGCTCAGCAGAAATGTCCGCGGTCAGCTTTTCCAGGTGGCGCGAGGACATCAGCGGGAAGGGTGCCGAATTATCCAGGCCGAAGATAGAACGCATATCTTGTCGGATGTTGTCGACACCCGCCTGGCGGTCGTTGGGGGAGGTCTGTTCTCTCAGCAATGCCGGTATGCTGTTCTGCCCGAGATACCTCGTCACCTCAGCTGATTCGGGGTCAACTGAGATTGGTGTCAGAGATGATGAATCCTTGCGTTTTGAGCGGAATGGAATACCGAAAGCGCGCATGGCAGGATCAGATTTGGCGTCGCTGCTCAGTTCGCGGGAGTCCTGGTCATCAGGAGAGTGGGCCCTCTTCTTGCTGATGTGTGAGGCAACATCCGAGCCTCCGGTGGACTTGGATGATCGATTTGGCTTGTAGGAACATAGCTGGGGGTGCTCCCGCTTCACACAGTTCTCACAAGGCTGCTTGTTGTCGCATTTCACCTTTCGTTGACGACAAGGCCAGCACGCGGTTCCTAGCGGAGAAAGAGGTTGTAAGCAAGGTTTTGCAAAGTGCGTGCGAAAGTTGCGAGTTGCGCGCCAAGACATATTCCCGAGCAAGTGACGAGGGGGCGGAGGAGGCACAGGCGGGGCAGACAAGCAAGAAGCAGAAAGCGATTTACATTGGAGTCGCACAGGCCGGAGAGATGCGTGAGACAAATGAAAGAGGATGGATGGCGTACCGTATCGTACTTTCCGGTGCGAGTGGATGATGCGGCTGGCCTCCTCGGGGGTCAGGTCGTCGATGTTGGGGCTCTCATGCTGCTCGGTCATGGCGGCGAACCGCGGAGCCGGCGCCGGCGACGGTGACGGCAGCCAGGTATGGGCTCAGTAAAGTCAACAGCCCCCCAGTCCCCAGTGGTCGAGTCTGGTCGAGCCCAGTTCAGTCGAATCGCGCCGGACCAGGTAGGACCGGGTCGGGCTGATGGTTTATGAGGGCTCGAGTCTGATCTGTGGAACGTCGTCGCAGGTCAAGCAAGAAGACTCGCGGCCACTCAAAACTAGAGGGGGAGTGCAGTCAGTGAGTGGGGGGTGTGAGTGAGCTTGCTTTTGCTCCACCCCGGCGAGGAACGGCCGGCAGATATCGACCGATGACGCTTCTCGAAGGACTCGAGGGACTTTAAGATTAGGATAGAGGTACTCCTCGGTACGGAGTCGAGAAAGTAATCTTCAGTTAGCAGGTATCGGATGAGGTGAGATGAGGTGAGGTGAAGTGAGGCGAGGTGAGGTGTGGCGAGGTATGGCAGCGGTGGTGGTGAAGAATGGGCAAGATGGCAAAGATTTGTGAAGATGGCTCATCGAATTGGGAGTGAGAGTGAGAATTGGCCGTCCATCGTCATGGCATGGGGTGGCTGATTAAGGTTTGCGTCTGCGAAGGTTCCAACGTTCGTCGGTCGGGTTTCATTGGATCGGGCTGCTGTCGCAGAAGTGGGGTATGAGCTGCAACGGCAGCAGCAGCATTAGCAAGCAGCAGGCCAGCCAGGCAAAGCAGCACAGCTGGACAGGCCAGAGCACAGACAGGGCCAGACACACAGGGCTCGAGGCCGGGTGCGGGTGCCGGGCAGGCATTGACAAAGTGCCCTGTCCCATGTCCCTCCCATGTTCCCATGTCCCAACGATCGATCTCTCCAAGACTGAACCCTGGACCCAATCTGCGCTACTGCAGGAGACCACCAAGCTCGCCTGGCCTCTGGCTCAGCTCACTGGCAGTGGCAGGTCCAGCTCCGAACGTTGAACCCGTTGGGCTGACCGAGGTGCTGCTAGGCTGTGTCAGTTCGGTGCTGCATCGATCTCCAGGACGTCGCCTTGTTTACTATTATTGCTGCATGACAGATTCATGGTACATGACTACTGTTACATATATCTACCTAGATTTAGCACCCAGCACCCAGCACCCAGCAGCCACCTGCCAAAGGAGTTAAGTCAGTTAGTCACTTAGTTAGTCTGTGAAGCATCTCGGCACTTGCTCGCGCACCCACATGGATGTAGGGATGCTCTTGCCAACTGCCAGTGCCAGTGTCCACGGGTGTTGAGTCTGTCTACTGTACCCCGCCCTTAGCCTCCTTTCGTCCAACCCCTCCTACCGTTTTCTCCCTTCCACCGTCCCTCCTTCCTTGGAGGGCTTTCTTGATTCGTTGCCCTGCCAACAGCTCACCTCGCGATTCAATTGATCAACCAATGCGAGTTGACTGCTCCAATGCTCGAGTGCTCGAGTGGAATCCTCCTCTACGATACTGCACAGCAGACGCCACATCCCAGTCTCCTCATCCACTGTCTCACACCAATCTCCATTTGTGCATCTCTCGCTGGATGGAAAAAGCACTTCTCAGATCACTTCAAGCTAACCCGGATACCGGATGCCCTGCACGCCAATCTCTGCAAACGACGGCGATCCCGCATGATCCTCGACAGACAGAGTGCCGCATATCCAAGCCTGCTATAGCCAGTACTGTACGTAAGGGCCAAACACCGACTACCTAGTCTAGGTAGTGTGCTTGGAAATCGTTCGCTTGTGCCCACAGTCTATCAGGTTGATCCCATCTCCGGCCTCCCCTCAGCCTGTTGTTGACTTTCACCACCGGCCGTGTCCGTAATCCCGTACTATCCCAGTGCGGCCATATGAGCACCATCAATGCCTGACCGTCGTCTATGAAATTACAGACTCCGTGTCTTCTGCTATGAGACCGCCTCAGGTCTTGGACCCGTACCCACGGCACCCACGAGAGGACTTGCAGCGCTTCATCAACGAGCTCAATGTGAAATACAGCCTTGGCATCCCGCTTCCAGATCCTGGTCTTAGTCCTTCCAAGAGGAAGGAGCAGGGAAACTCCGCCACCAAGCTGTACGATCGTCTCCAAGTGCATTTCTACCAGGGAGGAGTGGAAACTCTCCACCAGTTGACGGAGCAGTTCGACATAGAGGCTAGGCAATTCTGGTCTAGCTGGGTCAAGAAGCCAGGAGGCGACCAAGATACACTTCCCACGCCTCGCACCACCCCTTTAGCAACCAACCAGGTCCAACGAGAATCCTTGCACACGATTTTCCACGAAATCCTGGATCGCTGCCAACCAAAGAGAGTGCTCAGTCGAACTCGAAGCGGCCCAGCTTCAATTTCGATGGAGAAGTCCACTTCTGCCCAGCCTAAGAGGGCTCCGGAGGCGGAGGCTGACATGGATACGGCGCCGATGAAGCGTTCGAGGCTGGCAGGGCAAGCTGCGAGTGCAGCTCAAGATTCCAGTACGTCGGCCCTGCCGAAACCAGAATGCCTTTTTGCTGCATCGAGAACAATCTCCAAGGCATGCGGCCAAAGCTCAACTAGGACAGAAGACCCTCTTCGAGAGTCAATCGAAGTACTTCGCAGGCCAACAACGCACTCGGCTAACACCAGCAGGACGTCTCTACAGTCCGTGTTCTCCAATACCAAGGCTGAATGTAGCACACAAGAAACAGTTGAAGCAAGCCCTCAGGAACAGAGAAGAGCTCCGTTGAGCTCGCAAGACCATTACAAGCCCACCTCAACTTTGGAGGATGCCTTGTATAAATCTTTTGACGAATATGAGGCCTCGTTCGATTCTCCTTGGAAGGATACAAGACCTAAGAATGCCCCTCATCCCCTAACACAGAATTCAAACTACTCGGGTCCCACTTCGTCAGCATTGGATGAGGCTTTTCGCTTACACTCAGAGAACGAACAGCAGCCTCAAGGCGAGCAAACAATAGCCGAGACTCTGGCAGTCCCTCAGTCTCGCTCCTGTCTAGGGCAAGACATATGGCGTATGTCATTCATGCTTAGAGTACCACCTTCCTTTTCAGTTCAGCTAACCTGCGTCAGCGGCACTGCCGGACTGGCTCAGGCCGGCGCCGTTTCATATAGCGTGGGAGGTTATCCGGATCGGAACCCACATGGGAGTTGACTTGAGTGCATTGTCACTTACTTACAGCTCGCAATGGACAGACCAGAAAGTGCTCCGTGATGCCCTAGGCGGGGCTTTTCCAGGAAAATCATTACCAACAGCCTCGGATCCTGGCGCTTGGGCTGTAGCATCAGGTTGTGCATCAGACGAGAATCAACATGTTGTATTTTCGGCATCACTCGAATTTGCCAGCACGAGATCCGGTTCTACACTGCGTTTGAGATTACAACCTCTCAAGCTTGACCGACCCCATCGCCTAGGCCGCAAATATGGCGCGGACCGTTTCCTGGAGCTGCTCGTCCCTTCTCCTGATTCCTCCAATCTACCCTTATCCGTGAAAGACGAGCCATTTGACGAAGAACTTCTCAATTGGCTGACACAGAAGCCACATGCGTTTTGTGGCCGCCTTTACAGACCCTTCTACCTGAAAAGCGGTGGGCAGCGCAAGCCACCCAAACGTCTACAATTCGGGCCAGAGCCAAAGCCAGTCTATACTGATCGTATCTTCCTGTTCGCCGAAGATGGGGCTGACCTGTCCAGGAATAAGCAGCCGCCCACACCTCTTGAATCGATGGTCAGCTGGGGTCTGGACCTTAGAAGGGGCATGAACAATTCTCAGCCCGTCCTGAAGCTCTTTCAACGACTAGCACTCGTCCTCAGCAGGACCATCCCCACCGTCGTTTTTGAACCCGGCCAAATCAGGCATCGGACTCGAGACCTGCGATCACCTGATGGAAAGAAGGTGATGAACGACGGCGTGGCTAGAATGAGCAAAAAGGTTGCTAAAATGATCCAAACCGCTCTTGGGCTGTCATCACCCCCTTGCGCTGTCCAAGGCAGACTTGGCTCCGCTAAAGGGATGTGGATCGTTGATGTTACAGACACAACCGACGATATTTGGATCGAAACATACCCCTCCCAGCGCAAGTGGGTTCTCGAGGCTACGGATGCAGAACATCGCACGCTAGAAATTCGCAGCTGCCCCCCAGAAAAGCTGCGGTCCGCCAGCTTAAACCTCCAGTTTCTGCCCGTCCTAGAAGACAGGGCTCGTGACAAGCAAGCAATGCGCACGACTATAGGAAAGCTGTTAGAAAAGAACCTGCTACTAGAGTTCGCCGATCAAAGGAAATCTCTCGAGAACCCGATACAATTCCAGAAGTGGATCTCTGCGAACTCGGCTTACAGTTATGACCAGCTCACTCGTGGCCATGTACTCTTCCAGGGTGGTCTCCCACAGCAGGATGAGAAAACCATGACTTACATGCTCAATGCGGGTTTCGACCCGCGGCGGAACAAATTTCTAAGTGATATGGCTTACAATAACCAGCTTGCAAGGTACGAGAAACTCGGCAAGAAGCTCAACATCAAGGTCGGATGCTCAGCCTACTTCTACATGGTAGTCGACTTTGAGCAAAAACTCGAGGAAGGCGAAGTCCACATCGGATTTTCCGAGCGTTTCAGGGCGGACTTCGACGAATGGGAAGGGACAATGGTTCACGGCATGGATGTCCTCGTTGCTCGTTCGCCAGCGCACTTCATTTCTGACATTCAACGGGTTAGGGCCGTCTTCAAACCGGAGTTGGCACCATTGGGAAACGTCATTGTGTTCTCAGTAAAAGGCACCACGCCTCTTGCTGAAAAACTCAGTGGAGGCGATTACGATGGCGACCAGTGTCTCTGTATCTGGGATCAGAGTATTGTCGGGAATTTTGAAAATGCTATTGACCAGGAACAACCCGATCTTTCTGAATACTATCGGCAAGATAGAATCGAGCTGCGACAGCTCTTGTCATCCCACAATGGAGACTTTGGTCCGGCTATCGGTGAGATGATAGAGAAATGCTTCGCATTCAACCTCGCCAAAGACATGTTAGGACAAGTTACCAACTACAAAGAGCGTCTATGTTATGCTCGAGGAAATGTCCGAGACGACGTGGCTAGGACACTCAGCGCGCTCCTGAGCGATCTTGTAGACGCGGCCAAGCAGGGAATTGAGTTTGATTTCAAATCCTTCAAGACCTTCAAGCAAGCTCTCAAATTACCTGACCACCTTGAAGAACCCCTGTACAAGAAGGAGAAGGGGCCTCTTCTTCCTCAGCAGCAGTATGGGCATATCCTGGACTACCTCAGGTTCTGGGTTGCGAAACGAACCATCGATGAAGAGATGGGCAGCGTTGGCCAAGCGCTGGAAACCGCCAATGCTGTTTATTGGGATAAAGACCTCACAGCAAGGCATTATGATGAGTGGGAGCACGATAGCACGAACAGCGAACCGGGAAAGACCATCCTTCGCTGTCTGAAGCAAGATATCGAGAAGGTCCTCGATGAGTGGAACCACCTGCTACGCGACAGTGCTGTAAGCTTCTCAGAGAGGGCGCAGCGGACACACAGTTCTTGGTTGGCCATTCAGCCCAGCAAAGACGTCCCCGAAGCGGTTCTGGAGCGCCTCCACCGTGGTTACAAGCACACTTCGGAGTGGGCCTTGCTAAAAGCTAGCACCACCTTCAAGCAGTACTACTACACAAAGCCACGGTTCGCTTGGCAAATGGCGGGTTGGCACCTGTGTTACATCAAATGGCAGGCCGTGTCGGAAACGCAGGCTGACGTGGGCAGGATGCCCGCTGTTTTCACATCGACGATGCATGCAATTACCAAAATTGACAAGCGCGCTATCGATCGCGTGGTTGAATACCATACCAGCCGTGACACGGATGGTAGTGGTGACGGGGATGACGATGAAGACGGCGAGGATGATGCGTGAGGAGCATCACCTGTCTCTCCTCCTGCGACTAGAGGTCAGACCTCCAAAGACAATCCAAATTAATTTGGTCTCCAGCCCTGGGTGGTCGTTGCCGACCTCTCTGGGCCAATCTGTGAAGATGAGTCTCACAGAAAAAGCATGCCATTCGTGGGCTATTTGTTTTCTCACTCAGATCATTTCAGCAGGCTGCACGCCGTTGAAATTTTAATGATGCATTAGGTACTAATGTCTACAAACCTGCATCACTATGAGGGAATGCTGTTGGGTCGAAGATGGGCCTGCAAATGTTCATCATGATGCTGTTGCTCGTGTTTCATGGTGTATTTGTTATGAATTTGGAACGACTTGTGTGTAGACAATGGTGTATGATGAGATTGAAGCGGAGAGGAACCGCTGATTCTTGTATTTAGAACGAGGGTGAGTTCATTCGATGGCAAAGTCCTGGTTCCCCGACAGGCCGGATCTTAGAGATATGTCCAAAGGGCGAAGGGGATCAGTAGAATAGTATGCTTTGTGTATTATACCACAGGCGTCTGAGCGGGCCATGGCTCGTATAATGAAGTGTGTTCAAGAGCCTTCTTTGCTGTCGCTTCTTGTAGACGCCTGTATCTTGTTGAAGGGTGCTGTCTGTTTTGTTGCCTCATATGATGCCGGATGTTGGGGGTTGCAAGGGTGGAAGACCGGTGGATCTGCAAACGAAGAACGGTCGCCCAGTGAGCCGATGAGTCGCGAAAGTCAATGACCTAGGCAAGCTACGGCGAGAATGCCATGGAAATTAGGTGCGAGAGTTTGTGGCGGCAAAGCATTCTCGAGGGGCCTTCTGTGTACAAAGTGGTGCTTCATCCCCCCCTTGTTCTCCAACAGTCTGACAGTGTCTGCGGGCATATGTGGCGCCAAGAGCAGGCTTGAGTCGTTGCCCTCACAACCGTATAGGAGAGCTTAGATTCCTGGATCTGAACTCTGAGACACATCTAGCAACAATACACAATGAAGAGGCACTAGAGGGTCCCGCTTAGGGGTTTACTGGAATTCCAATGTTTCGGGTGCTGGGCCTAAGGTTTTCATTCCATGCGGCCTTAGCCCATACAAACATTGCAGGGAGGAAACGCTAATATATAGCTGTATTAGCTGGGTCACGTATTCAAATACAATGTATGTTTAGGGATGTTAGTGTTTATTTAGGTATAGGTTGCTTGCTTAGTTATAAAAAGCAGCTAAAGGCTGTATTTTTTTAAGGTTTATTTATAGCTATAGGCCTAATAAACTAATTAGCTTACTATAAATATTAATGCTATAATTTATATATTAGTAGTTTTTTATTAAATATATATATATACCTATAGGTATTAAAAACCCTTTTAAAAACTATTTTTTATATAATTTAAATTTAAAACTTTAATAATTAAAGTAATTACTTATATGCTTTAATTAAGTATTTAAATAATTTAAGTATTTAATTTTTTTAAGTTTATTTAAGAGTTTTTAGAATAAATAAATTTACTAAATTTAAATAAAAGTTATTATAATACTTTTATTATTAGAATTACTTTTTAAATTAATATTTAATAATTGCTTTTGTTTTATAAATAACTTTATTTTAAAATAGTTTATAAATTTATAATTTTATTATTTAAAAAATAAATAAATAAGAATAAACTTTTAAGCTAGGCTAATGCTAGTTAGTTTAATTAATAATATTAATATAATTTTATTTTAAATATTAAGTAATAATAAAATAAAATAAAATAAAAAAAAAAGTATAATTAGTAAATTTAATAAATTTAGTAAATTTAGTAAATAGTAGTAAATAGTAAAAATATAAAATTAGTTAATTAATTGATTAATTTTTAATATATAAGTGTTAGTATTGTAAAATTTAATTAAAAATATTTATTAAATATTAAATAGTATTTAGTTTATAAAATAATAATAACTTTTATTATTTAAACTTTTAATATATAAGCTATATTATAAAAATTTATTATAAGGTATATTTTTAAAATAGATTTAAAAAAATATAGCTTAAAAGTGTAAATTATTAATTAATATAAGCTAGTTTAAAAATAATAAAACTAATTTAAAGTTTTATTATTTAAGTTTAATATACTTTATTATTATAAATTAATTTTATTTTTAATAGTTTTTTTTTTTATTAAATTAATTAATTTTAATTTATATAACTTTTAATTTTCATAATTAATTTATTAATAGTTATAAGCTATTTAAATACTTTATTTAAATTAATTTTAATAAATATATTTATTAAATTATTATTATTATTAATTTAATATAGCTTATAAATTTTTTATTATTTATATAACTATTAAAATATTATTATATTTATTATTAGTTGCTTTTTTTTAATAGTTTTTAATTTAATAAAATATTTATAAAAAAAGTATAAATTTATATAAATTATTAATAATATTATAAAAATATTAAAATAAGCTATAATTTATTAAAAAATTATAATAAATATAATTTTTATATTAAAGCTATTAATTATACTATAAATTTTTAAAGTAAATATACTTTATATAACTTTTTTATATTTAATTAAAAATTAGTATAAAATATTATTAATTATTTTTTATTTTATAAAATTAATACTTTTTTTTTTATTAATTAAAATAATTAAAAAATTAATTTAAAAATTAAAGTTTTAATTATTTATAAAAAAATTATTTATAAAAACTATAAATTTAGCTAAAATAAAATTAATAAAAATATATTATAATTTATAGTTAAAGTTTTATATTTATTATTAAAGCTAATAATTAAGTTTAATATATATAATATTATTTAAATTTTAAATTTAAATAACTATAAATAAATTAAAAACTATTTTTAATTAATATATAAATATTAAATATATTTTATAAATATATTATTTAAAATATTTTTAAATATAATTTAAAAATTTAATATTAATTAAATTAATTTTTATATTTTAACCTTTTTAAATAAAGTTAATAAATTTATTAAAATTTATAATAATTTTTATACTATTAAAGTTAAAAGGATTATTAATTATAAATTTAATTTTTAGTTTATAATAAATCTATTTTTTTTAAATTTTTTTTTTTTTAGTATTAAAAAAATAAAAGTAATTATTAAAAGGATATTATTTATTTATATAATTATAATATTAAAATAATTTTAATTATAAATAAAAATTAAAAAGTATAAATTATAAATAAACATTTTTATATTTAATTTATTATAATAATAATAATAATATATTACTTATTAATAAATATCTGCTTTAATAATACTATAAAATAGCTTAATAACTTTTATAATAATATTTATTAAATACTTATCTTAAATTTCTAATAATAAGCTTATAAAAAGTATATATTTTAATATTATTTTAAATTATAAGTAAGCTTAAATAATATTTTAAAGCTTAATAACTATATTTATTCTTAATAAAAATAATATTAAAGCTATAATTAAATACTAATTAACTTTTTATATAATTAATAATTATATTAAAATATCTTTCTTTCCCTTATTATTATACCCTTATATAATAAGTTATAACTTCTTATATAGCTTTTTAATCTTACCCTTAATCTTTTAAACTATATAAAACTTAAAAAATTTAAATATACTATACTTATTAAAATAATAAAATTTAAATTAAAAAATACTATATCTAATTAAATCTAATATCTCTCAAATATTAAATTCCTTAAAAAAATTACCAAAAATAATAATCACTCTATCACAGCAAAACTTAAATACAAGCTTATAATTATCTTTCTCCCGCTAAATAAATAAAATTTTAACTAGTTTAAACTTATTCTTAAATCCACAAAATCGTTTTTATTATTAAAACTAAAAAAGCTTAAAAAGTAATTAATATTAATTTAAATTAATATTAATTTAAATTAAATTTAATTTATAATAAAACTTATTACTATAATTTAATATTAGCAGCTATTATTACATTATTTTCTAAATCTATATCATTACTATAATAATATAGTTAAACTAAAGTTAACTAAAAAATAATTAAACTATTAAATAAATTAAAGGTTATATTATAACTATTAATAACTAAAAGCTTATATAAACTTTACTAGCCCTTTTTTTTTTTTTAAATTTAAATATTACTTTATAAAAAAAGTGCTAAAATATCTAATATTACTAGTTTATTCTAAATATTTAAAGCTATATTAATTTACTACTTAATAATTAATTTTTTTAATATTTTTATAACTTTTTAAATTACTTTAGCTTTTTTTAAAATAAATAATATAAATAAAAAATTAAATATTATCTAAAAATAAGCTTTAAAAATAAAAAGTATAAATATAAATTTATTTAAACTAACTATATTATTAATAACTTTAAAAGCTATTTAAAATATAAACTTTATAAAAAATATATTTAAAAGCTTAATATATAAAATCTTATATACTTATTAAATAAAAGTATAATATTATTTAACCTTTTTAATAAATTAATAAGCCTTAATAAGCACTTATTTACAAATAATTCTTATAATTCTAATAATACTTTTAAACTCTATAAAAGTAAAGTTAATACTAATATTATAAACAATACAGTTAAAAAATCTAAAATAAATATTAATTTATATTAAATATAAAGCTTCTTATATATTTTTTATTAACAAAAATAAAAAAAAACACTTAATTTAAAATAAAATTACTAAATTAACTATATATAAAACTAGCTTATTACTTAAATATATAATATTAATAATAAACTTATAATTAAAATTTAAATTATTTTTAAAATTAAATTTAAACCTTTTTAAAACTAAATTATAAAATTAATAATAATAATAAAACTTAAAAATTACTTTTAAAATAAAAAGTTTAATAATATATCTAATATTAATTAATAAATAAATTAATTGCTTAATAAATAAATATTTAAAATAATAATATAATTATTTAAGCTTAAATTTAATTAAAAATATATTTTTAACCTAATTTCTAATAAAAATAAAAAACTATAAATATCCCTATTTCTATATAATAAAAAAAATCTTTTCCTATTATTTTAACTTATATTAAACTATTTTATTTATAATATTTTAAAAAAAAATAAAAAGTTAATTTATATTTTAAATATAAAATAAAAAAAAAATAAATATATTAATTATATAAAAAGTAATTATTTTAATAAATATAAAAAAAAATTATATTAAATAATATAAACTATAAGCTTTATTTAAACTTAATAAAAGCTTTATTAGCTTAAAAAATATTTATTATTATAAATAAGTTTTTTTATTAAAAAATAAAAAATTATTTATAT